TTTCTTCTTTGTATCGAGCGAGTTGGCTGGTTGACTGACTGACTGATTGACTGATTGCCCGTGCCTTGCTTTACTTTTGCTCTGCTCTGCTTTGCTTTGCTTTGAGAGATGTTGTACTATCGAAATTGATCTGGTAATGTGTGGCAGCGTGGGGTGGGATCGAAGATAGAAGAGATAGACACACTATGGGCGTAGAAAGCTAGTGAAGCAACGCTCGTTAGCGACAATGTGCATGTGACGATTGTGGTGTTGCTCGTGCCGAGTGGTGCTGGCGCTGAAGCTGGAGCTGGAGCTGGAGCTGGAGCTGGAGTTATGACTATGACTATGACTATGGCTACGATTACGGGCTATAGTTGTCCATGGTCCAGGGCAGAGAGCTCTCTCACCTTGATGCTGGGTATTGATGTGGGCAAGGTCAGCCAAGGCAAGGCGAGGTAATGTTAGCTAAGGTCAAGTCCAGTCCTGTTACCAGATAGTGGAGTCGCACAGTATCAGCAACTTGCTCAAGGCTTCCAGTGCCGGTGGCTTACTTTTGCCGGGGGGTGTGTGGCACACAGCCAAAGCCAATTGCGAGTGAACGGTTGAGGTGGGACTTGGTTGGGTCAGATAGTCCACTGTTTGTTGTACGCAATGAATTGAGTGAGCGATGCTTATACATATATGTGTCTTCTCTGCGTGGTTTTTATCTTCTTCTCCATGACCCCAAAGACCAAAGACCAAAGAGCAAGACCAAGACCCAGAGAGAGAGAGTCGCTCGCCTTTGCTTCCCCAAAAAGCTGGGGTAGGGGGTCTCGTCTTCTCAATCTCTTTCCTGGCAAGGCTGGCTTCTTTCTTAGGACTGATGGTACGGATGATAAGTTCTACTACTGTACATATCATCCTCAGTTCAGAGGATACAACTGCTGTAGGTAGCTTGATTTATACAACATACATGACCACGCCGCTCTTGCTCCCCTAAACGAATGCCGAAATGTGGCTTGCAGGAAAGGTCACGTGGTTCATAGGAATTTCCAAGCACAAAATTTTCACCCTTCCATGTTTCAGCCATTGACAAAGTGCAATAGCTCCTTGCTCTTGCTCAGCCACGAACCGTGTCCACCATGTACTATATATGTCTTGCCCCCCTGCAGCCTGGCAGCCTGGCAGCCCTGGCTCGCCTGGAAGGTACTTCCAGACACTGCCAATGCCGTTTTAGACGGTGCTACCGCATGTACGGATCCGCACTCCTTACATAAAACTTTCACAATCATCACACGCCGTCTTTGAATGGGACTTTGCCCTTTACACTGATTGAGCGTCCGATCTATGTATTGACGTATTTTCTCCCCCGCCCGCTTCTGCGAGAAGGACCCAAGAATACCAACCACATCCGCAACCCTTACAAAGGCCAGCTATGTCTAGACATGCTCAGTAGAACATGAAACCATGTGAGACTCAATTGATTTTTGACGGTGTGCAACGTGGGACCACAAAGGACCGATGAATGTGCGGCAAAATCGACTTTATATCAATCATGCTTTCGTGCGGTAACAACTGCACGCAACCATCGCAATCCATCCTAGACTAGTTCCGAGTGACACGAGTGCCGTTTGTGCACCTAGAGTAGCGTTCTAGGACCGAATGTCAAAATCAATATCTAACAGCTTTTTGCAAATAGCTTCATGGCACATCCTGTCACCAATGATTCGCCTAACCGTGAGGACAAACGCTCTTAAGGAACCAAGTACTGGCAGAGCGCAGCCAGGTTCAGCTTCGTGGTACACTCCGTTGATACCAATAAGGTCCTCCCGGACCACTGGTCCTGGGGCTTTCGTTCGACCATGTGCCAGATTGCAATCTGGGCCGTCGGCTACGTATTTCCATAGTGGCGGCCACTCTGGTTTTCCCCAGCTTTGCCTGCCACAAGCGTCCCAGCGAACAGGCAGGTATGCGGGGAAGACAGCCATGAAGCTATATACGACATATAACCCCAGATTTTGCGATCTATGTGCCAGCCCATCCAATCCACAACACCGTGCTTTCGGTCTGCCGCGGATTGTGTGTATTTAAGTTATCTGAATCAGGTTGGTGGTCGTATGGTGCCCACATTACGGACAAAACGTATTCTACTTATTCTACACGTTGATTTGGATCATATTCCGCTCCGACCTTTATCAGTTACATGGACCTACCGACTGCGGTTTGTAGGAATTCAGTAGTCCAACATGACGGATATTTGACCACGTTGTAAGGCTTACCTTTCGATCCACCGTTGGCTTTAAGATATAGCCCTAGAGTAGAGATCAAGAAGGCGTCCCGAAACGCGAAACTCGAAACGAAGACGGGCCCACGGCCAGTAACATCTCGAGAGCGCACGACGCAAGCGAAGGAGATGCGCATGATACGAGTGTTAATCTAGCGGGTTCATGGCAAGGGGTTTGGACCGTCGTCTCAGATGGATATGTTCATGCCGATGCCCATCAGCTACACGCGGCCAATAATCAAAACAGGCCCAGACAATAGAACCTCGACGGAGCGTGGTGACGGAGCTAACAACGAGACAGCTGGCGGAGAAGACAAACAAGTGACAGGCAAACAAGTCTCAACGGGCCGACGTCGCGCCTTTTCGGGCAGATCGAAGAAGTTACTAGTCAGATCAGGATCGGGATCCGAGTCCAGGTCGAGTTCGAGGCAGAGAACTGGCAAAAGGAAAATACAGAAGCGCACACAAAGCAGCAACGGTGATGGAGACAGCGGATCCGAGGCTGCGTCGAGAGCAATTGGGCGCAGGAGTAACGACTTGGGCGTACCGAAACCCAGCAGCACCAGCAACAATAGCACCAGCGCTAGCGGCGGCGGCGGCGGCAGCAGCAGCACAACCTCGCCTAGTCGGGAAGAACATGGCCGATTGCTGGACCTGAACCTGAATCTGAACTCGAACCTGAACCCGGACCCGAACCCTGTAGCCCCGCCGATTCCAATCATCACCAGGAAGGCCCCTTTCAACACCACAACCACCACTGCAGATTCCCCCGTATCTGCTGCGTCCCCATCTACAGTTGTGTCGCCAATTGGCGCAGACATTAGCCATAAACCCCTCCCTCAGATCCCGTCCGTACGTCCAACGAGAGAGAGCGCTTCCGTCATCCTCTCCGCCGCCAGCACAAACGCCGCAAGGAGAATTATCCCTCGCACTGGTCGTGGTACAGAGAGCCTATTTGCATCTGCATCTGCATCCGCATCCGCACCTACACCTACGTATACATCTACATCTGCGTCGTCCGCGTCTGCGTCTGCGTCTGCAATCGCTACAGCAGCTCTCCGGCCTCGCGCATCCTCCTCATCTCAATCACAACACGCTGCCAATGGGTCCTTGTCGGCCCTGAACGCATTCAAGAACCATCCGCCGATCCCGCCCTCGCCATCATACACCGGCGCTGGCCCCGGTGCTGGTCTTGGTGCTGGTCTAGGTGCTGGCGCTGGCGTTAGCATCCTGCCACTGAGAGGCTACCCTCAACAAGGGGAACGGCCAAGTCACAAGCAACGACAAGCACAACGGCGAACCTCGACGACGCAACATGCCGCTATGGTCCCCGCTCCTTCACAGAGCTCTTCTTCCACAAAATCCTCCTCCACCTCCGCTGCCTTCCGCCGTACCGGCAGCCTTTCCTCTACTTCCATCTCCGGAGTTGCCAGCTCTCATCGTACTGGCGTCATGACCTCCGATCACCTGCCCCCTTCCTCCCACGAGGGCTCCTCTCACATTTCAGTGGGAAACATATCCAACACATCTGGGCTTCTCAAGACCAAGATCAGCGTAGGGCCCAAGCCACTGATCATTTGCAACGGCCGCACCTACATCCACGATGACCAGCTTCCATACCCCTTGCCCGTCGATCTCGCAGAACTGCATCGCCAGTCTCTACGTACCCTCCTGCTGTTTCAGCTCTTTGGAGGGCCCATCATCTCGACCGCCTTCGCAGCAAAACCACCTCAGCGCATCCTCGAGGTCGGCTGCGGCTCTGGTTTCTGGAGTATGATGTGCCACCGCTACTTTGCCCAGCACGGCCATCACGGTATCTCCTTCACCGGCATCGATATCGTTCCTCTTTGTGGTACTGGTCCAGATCCGAATTCCAAACCCGACAAAGAAATGAACTGGCGCTTCATCCAACACGATATGCGCCGCGCCCCTTGGCCATTCCCGGACGGCGAGTTCGACCTCGTCATGGTCAAGGATATGGCTTGTGCTGCACCTGGTCAGTTTTCTCAGGTTTTCATGGACGAGTATCTGCGCATTCTGAGGCCAGGCGGCGTTCTCGAGATTTGGGAGACGGATATGAGCATGCGTATGCTGAGGCCGCATGTTCCTGCGACCCCCGCGACGCCCGTCGCAGCCGCACCCAGCGTGGCCAAGGACAGCGAGTCGGAAAGTGAGGAGGAGGACGATGCCACCCGACTAGGTGTATACGTTGTATCAGCTAATACCCCTTTGTCTGCACCACTCAACCAGTTTTTGGTAGAGTACAATGGCTGGCTGAGCAAGGCTTTGGACGCGCAGTACCTCTCTGCTGTACCTTGCACCATGATGGGCCCCATGCTTCTCCAGGAGGACGGTCTCATCGAGGTACGTTCCAAGCGGCTGGCTGTGCCACTTTCCGAAATCCGGTGGGAGCGTGAAGGCGTTGGCGGTGTCGTTACCAAAGATGGGAAGAGCTACATTGAGAGCATGAAAGGCAAGGGCAAGGCCCACGATACCAAGGCTGGTAAGGGAGGCAAGACGCTTACAGCGGCACAAGCAGCTATTCGGAGAACGGCTCTTGAGACCAGTGTCGGATTGGTACAGGCTCTCGAGCCCATGCTGCGGGAAGTCAGTGGAAAAAGCCAGGATGAATGGGACGGGTGGACGGGGAAGATGATGAACGATTTGCTTAGAGACGGCGGGACGAGCTGGGGCGAATGCCTCGAGATCGGAGCCTGGAGCGCGAGGAGGAAGAAGTGATTGGTTCAATTTTTGGCTTCCATCGGCTCGTTCTTCGTTTCGTCCTCTCATGGTGGTATTCACGCCTCTATTACCCAAGACATATTTTATTGACATGCAAACTAAAAATAAAAATAAATCCAGACAAAGTACATGCTTGTCTTGGATCTATTTGAGCTTTAATGCCTCTGCCAGGAACCGTCAATTACCTCGGTATTAAGGATCCAACCGGGATTGCAACTGTTCAGATAATAACACTGCATGCGAGGTAGAGTTCCGGAGTATGCTTATTAGTTTGCTGTCTGCTTCTTTGAGTGGGTATATGGGGGTTATCAACAGCCCCAGCAGCCGCTGGCAACTTTTCCTGCCCGTGGTTTGGATACCACGAAGGGCCGCACTGGCCTCCTCTCACATCACCTCAGTGCTTCTCAAGCTCCATCATATCTTTTCCTCAGAGTGCGGTACCGTTTCAGGTAATAACTGTGTTCTTCATATCAGCCGTTTACATTCTGGCATCAAAGGATTTGAGGTCACATGTGAGGGCGGGAGGATCATAGTCTTATACAATTGCCGTTCACTGATGCATGCGTGCTATCTTCGTTGTGCCACGGTCACTTGTGAGTAGTTCGTCATGTACACCATATGGACGAGGCCTCGCAGATGTGAGATGTTTGCTGCCAGTCACGGAGAATACAGTGTAAAAGGCGAGCCTCAGTCTTTTTGTAATGTGCAGCGTGAGAGCAGTGATCGCCGACAGCGTTGGCATAAGGGACATGGACTCACAGTGCCTCAATTTCTATCCCGCCCCCCCGGCCTGGTTAGCAATGAGTCGCTCCAATGGCGCCTTTCCTATGTAAAGTATCGGGGCGTCACGTGGAAAGGAAATAACACACCTTTGCGGACAAAATCTGCCCTGGCAATGCCCTTGCGGATGTCTTCCTCGTCACGCAAGTGGGCGTTTGCCATAAAGGCCTTGTGCAGGCGCGGGCGGAAGTAGTCAAAACCCTGCGGGTATTCCCTACCGAGGTTGAGGAGCTCTTGTTGACGAGTCAGCTGCAGCCAGTTATAACCAAGTTGCAACGGAGACACATTGCAGGCATACCTTTGTAGATGGCAATGACTTCTCTTCTGAGGGCCGGTTTAGGTGCCGGCATTTTTGCAATATTCTGACCCAAACTCTCTGTTCGGTTTGTAGTTCTCTTTTCGGACTTCGCCCTGATTAAGACGGATGACTGATCATTGACCGATGGTTGATTGGGTTAAGCGCAAATGCCACACATTTACTTGTGCAGTGGTAGTTAGACAGTATAGATGTCAAGGTCGATGTTGAGCCCGAGCTGGGTCGTCTCGGCTAAGAGTGACGCCATATTTAGCCTGCGAGATGACACGCGACGGCTAGCTTCGCCGATCCGTGGTCCCGTTCCCGCAAACATCTCCGTGGGTAGGATTTGCCCAGATGTCTACTTTTTGTGAAGTCCTTCTCTTGATGCATTTTCGATCCGGCCCAGGTGAGACCGCAATATGATTTTAAATAAGGGTCTAAAACCGGCTGCAGCAAGCCAGAGATTTGCAGGCCTTTATGCTTCGGTCAATCCAACTCCACGATTACCTGGTCTGGGCAAGCGGTGTCTTGCGACATTGACTTCCACAACTGCGGCACCGCCGGCTAGGTGGCTTGCTGATCTGAAAACGCGGCTTGGCAAATGTATCATCTTTGGCTGTTCCCCAGCAGAGGTACAGCGCGCTGCTGCCGTGCTTCGCGCGCTTGGAACCGAATGGCGGACCTTGGCTGCAGGTAGCGAGGGCTTTCTGACAGGAGGCAGGCGAGGCTTGGAAGGGCAGGCTGTGGTGTGGGGTGAAATGGACAGTTTTGTGAGTGGACGAGTAACCTTGTCAATTTTCTTGGAGATAAAATAAATACAATGTTTCTTTTGTTGTTAAGGGTACACGGACTTGAATATTCTCAAAGGCCCGTTGTCACAAGATCATGCCAAGCTATTCAAACATTACACAATGCCGTTGCTAACATGTCTCTCTAGCAACACGTCAACAACACTACATATATACGATACGCAGAATCAGCCAGAGTCAACTGGATTACACATTTCGCCTCTAGAGACCCGTCACGTGCCTCTGAATGGAAGTCATTGATGAGCCCTAAAGCTGTCGGGTTGATTTTGAAAAGCATCAAGGCCGATTACAAATTTGTATGTTCATGGCCCGGCTGCTAACAAGAAACCACTAATTCAAGTCTCATACCGTGTAGCCTTTAATGTATCCCGACCGAGTGTCGGTCTACCATAAGCTCCGCTCGCTGCCCACGCCCTCAGACACGTCTCTCATACTTGACTGTGTGATACTGTCTCACAAGCATAGGCGTATTGCTGCTCGTACGGAGGAGGACGTTGTGATATATGATTACAAGACCGCCAGGAAGACAGTGATGCCTCCATTTATCATGGAAGTATTCCAGGACACGTTCCGGCAACAGCAGGAGGAGACGAACAGATCCAGAGCCCGCATATGGCAGCTGATCAAAGAGGTAGAAAGCTTGGAGAGAGAGACGTGGGATCGTGAAGGTGCCGTGGAGGATACAGGTGCCGCAGGAAATAAATTGCCATGATGGAACGGATCAAAATTCGACCCATATGCTCCGTCGCCGTTGCTGGAGTTGAATTAATGGACCATTGGCGAGAAGTGTGGCCAGCTGAAAGCCCTGCTCTGATGTGTGAGGGGATCAACTCCGGTGCACTGTCATATAATCACGGGTTGAGTAAAAGTTGCGTCTCACCATAAGCTGCACGGTGTTTATAAAGCTGCTCGCCAAGCAGTACACATCAGTTTTCGTACATTCTCGGTTAAGACAAAGTCAAGTCCCAGCAGATGCGAGTTGGTCCATCATGGCGTAATATAGAATGAAGAGTTCCTTGAACGAATACATTGGAATAGCTTCGTGGAACATATTTGGTCATAGCAGTCACCAAACTACAGCGTGTTGATGCTACCCGAGGGACAGGTTGCAACACGGACCGTTGTCCATCGTAACGCCATATGGTTGTTCGGAATGTGCTGTCACCAGAAGGATGTCTGCTACATCTGTCGAATAATGGTTGGCAAATGCAGATCACTTGCTTCCCCGGGCTGCACACCCATTGTGAGTGTCTCCACAGGAAGAGCTTTCCATCTGCCTCGTTCAGAACCACATAAGTGGTATCATTATACGGTGGCACTACGTGACCGGTGATCACGGTCATTGCACGTATATGTTTCCATTGTCATTCTCCGTTGAATCAGATCCTATACGGTTCGGAAACTGACTTTGCTCGTTGGGCAAAACACATATGCGACCATGTATGAGCTGTTGACGCCACACCTGTGGGGCCGTTCGTTGTCTCTACTTGCGAGCGCTTGGAAGACCAAAAACTTGGGACATACATGACTGGTGTATCTTTAACCATCGGACAGCGATTAGGCCACAATGATGTCCATGCAGTGAATGGTTGATTATTGTACATGGTTGGCTGTCATTAACGGATTCGACAAAAATAACATACTAGTACTTGATGTCTACATAAGACGGGATGACGGTGTGCGGCAGGGGGTATGGCGCCATGGAGAATACGCTCAAATAGCAAACACAGAAGCTCGCATGATCCCACCGTTGATTGCGTGTGCAGCGGAACAGGTTTCGGGGGAGGAAGGGAAGACGCACGTGAACTCACTGGTAGAGGCTCAGTTGCTTGATTCACGATAATATATCCATGTGCCCCGCGCGCTGGGTGATATCTCGGGTGACTGACTGCACCGACTCTTGTGTTTTATGGCTCGACGACGCTGCAGCCCATCAAAACGTCCCGTTAACTATGCAGACTATTCAAATGCCAATAGGGCGTTGAACGCAGCTAGACCATATTTCGCCTAGCAAAGATGGAGTAGGGTGTGGACAACGGTAAAAGTCACGACTGTACTGCATAGTTACGTCCTGCAGGTAACATTTCTTGTTTCTTTCCTTTCTTTGTGCGAGTAGTATGTTAGACCTGGAGTTCAGGATCGGACTGTCTACAGAGTCTAACCATCGAGTGACCTTGACGAACATGGTCACTGTTCATCAACTAGCCACCAAGTAACTGGCTGGTAGTCATCGTGGTTCCAAGGAATTTGATGACAGATGTGGTGGAGATTGTATTTCATGATGCTGAGGGCTTTCCCAGAGCATACATACACAGAGTATTAGAAGTAAAGGATAGCAAAGATGAGAGCTGCAATCGGCCTGACTGCCTTGCCGCCATCGTCTGTCGTCGGAAATGACTTTGTGTGTTGTCTGACAAACGTGCACCAACGGAGGTTCACAAGTACTACCTACGTAGAGTTCAACGCCAGCATGCCTGGGCTATTCATGTGGGCAGGGATCAACAATGCAAGTTTAATTTGCTGCTTACTGAGTGGCCGTGACGGTCTTCGCATGACTTTGGCTGACTCCGCAAAAACCCCACTAACGATGTCGCTCAATCACCAGATAGCCAGTCAGAGATGAGCTTAATCTGGGAACTGCCGTCAATGAGGCGCTAACCAGTCCGACTGTGGATGGTACATAACCTTGTCTGCATCTCTTTTCTTCAGTCGTGCCGACGATCTGACGATTTCCCACGAGGGGGAATGCCCCGCGTTATCTCGCTCTGCTCGGCTTGTGATGTTCTGCCGTGGGTTTCGAGTGCCCACATTACACCAACCTTTGTGGTGTGCACTACAGTATTGTAGGTCTGGGCTGGGACTCTATGTCCAGCAGCCGCAAATACTATGGATAGGATTATCCGTGGAAACTGAAGTCTTGGTGACTCATGGCCGGACAAACGGCCGTCACGATACTATTGTAGCAAGCACCGCTGGATTGTACATGCCGAGGTGGGTATTTAGTTGGGCGGGACATGGTACGTAGGTCTGGGATGCGGACTACTGTAACTGGTTGCACTTGGATTGGAAGCGAAGAAAGGCTTGAAGAGGTCTCTCGGACCGCACGATGTCAAAACAAGCTCAGCGCCGGGGCTAGGTACACGAGTACATCATATGTGATATGACCGATAAGAAGTCTTGGGCCCCTCTTGGGACTGGTAGGTGGTCAACCTCGGAGGATAACTATGGTTGTAACATGGTCTAGACAAATTAAGTATTTACATATATGAAGCGCACAAGTCTCTCTGTACCGCGGCGATGCAACGAAAGATCCACTGCAGGGTTTTCAGTGCAACATAATCTGACTGGTCACGGTGCTTTATGGGGAAGTCGTTACGTGAAAGAGACCATACACGTGGAGAGAAGTGTACTAGACAGCAGAAAGAAGAAGAGGGAAAAGCGACTTGGGGAAAAAAAAAAAAAAAAAAAAAAACCTCGGCAAAAAAGTTGCTAGGTGGCCCATCAATCAAGAGCACGGCCGCCACCACTACTCGCTCGCCTCACGTGTAATTAGGTAGGGCTCGAGTCAGTGTGTCTCGGCGCAGTGGCCAAACCACACATGGCGATCTTCGCTGTGGTGAAAATATGGCCATGATCCATGGGTGCTACATTTAGATGACATTCTCGGAGAGATCACCGTCATTACGGAGGATCGCGGGGTTGTGCAGGCTATGAGGATGTTAGGAAGGCGCAGCATGAATGCCAGATGCGCATTGTGTATCATGTATGTGCAGAGAGCACACCAGACATGCATGTATTTGTTTAGCGGGAGTCGGCCGTGTGGGGGAAACCAATTTCTCACCTCAGGCTCTGACTCTTGAGGGGCCGTGTATAAGTGGTTAGGGGATGGAGCCGGACGACGACATATATTTTGAATGCGGAACAGTAAGTAATACATGGCTTACCTGCCCAAACAAAATTTCAAATGCTTAATCATTTTGTTCTATGAAATATCCATGTGTCAATTGGCCGGGATACTAATCTTCTAGACCGCCGATATGCCGTGAGGCTAAAATAAGCGTACCTGTGTACTATCTACGAAGAGCCCCCATCTCACCTACCGTATGCCAGACGCCAGGCGCCAGACGCCGGACAATGGCAGTGAGTGACTACATAAAAGCACGGTATGCACAAGTATCCCTACATATATCGGGTGAGTAAATAATATGTGTCACGTATCGTACTGTCGGTGGTCGAAGTTCCAAGGCCATCCTCCAAGACTCTCACAGTCTGCCTTCAGTGTAAATCAAACATGTTTAGTTGTGCTGTTACATAGTATGCCGCTAGGCCAAGCATACAAGTATATGCCCGGGTACAACCCACTGTAGGTGCGTACCTGGCACCAGACCCGATTGAATCCCGCTTCCCTGCTTTTTGCTTCTTTGCTTACTTAGTCTGCCCCCCTCCCTCCTAATTCATGATTTACTTGTAGGTATTCATTCCTATCACAACTTGCTCTGTGATTTTACAGACGCAGATGCAGACGCGGACGCGGACATATCCATTACAACCCACTTACTCATCCTTTTCCTTCCCCTTCACCCTGCATCCGGACCACCCACACTCATTTCGATCAATCGCCAATATTTATTATTTCACTGAACATCTCAATAACCTTGCATTACCGGACCCGGGTGCCCCCAACCATGCCAGTTCACCTCCCGGAATAATTTGTTCTGCTGTTCCGGGAAGGCTCCCACCCACACCCCCCATCTCCAGATTGCTTGCATATCGTGCATTCCACTTCGCAACCCTCCCCTAGGCGCATTCGACCTCCCCGTCAAGTCGACTCGACCGCTGCGCTGGCTCTCCGGGTCGGAACAGCCCCGACCGACTGTATTTTATGCCTCGTCCCTCTGCATCCGCCAAGCGACAGCAGGGTCCCTCCAATCAGCGCGACACGAGACATGAGGCCGGCTCTGTAGGTCCCGGCAAACGCATCTCCAAGCAAAAGAGCCAGAACCTCGCCGACTCTGCCGCCTCTTCCACCGCGAATCCCCCTCCGTCCGCCATCCCACCGCTCCCCCCGACCCCTCCCAACGTCAATGGTTATTCCAAGCACCCTGCCGACATGCCTACCGAGCCGCTGAGGAGAGGCTCTGCAGGAGGCTATTCCGAAGCCTCCTCTGCCGAATCTTTCAGTCTCGGTCACGGCCAGAACCAGGGCCAGGCTCAGGCTCAGGAGGAACAACATCGACGCATCGATGTCAATGCCACCAAGAACTCCAACGTTCACCGCGATACCGGACCATTTGACTTTGCTTTGACCGTTCTCCGCTCGTGTCCCTTGCAGGACACCATTGCCATTCTCATCATCTTGATGCAGATCCCTCCCGTGGCTTTGTCTGGCATCTACATGCTCTTCACCTTGCTGACTTTCGTCACCACCAACAGCGGCCTGTCTCTGAGCGATGTCTTCGAGTGGAATCTTGGGGCACCCTCGGTGGCTACCGTTGTCTGTATCGATGGCATCGTGCTTCTGATTTGGCTCTTTCTCTGGGGCCCCATCCAGCATGTCATACTCGATCTGGCTCAGATGGTGATAGCCCTCGGGCTAGGCGGAGGTTCAAGCTCGAGAGACGGCGGCTCCATGAAAAACAGCCTTATATGCCTGTCCATGATTTTGCTTTCCCACGTCTTGCGCCACACAAAGATGAAATATTCCCCAATCGGCTACCTGCTGGGTTCAAGCCGCTTTATGACGCCCGATCTGGACGATCCCCTCGAGTCACTTGAATCCATACGTGGTTATGACAAGATACGGTCGGGCTGGGTTAATTGGGTCCGGAGCATATTGGCTATTCACATCCTTAGCCAAGGTCTGATTAAAGCTGTACGCGATTGGTATCTACGGCGGGAGCGACGCGATAACCAGGTTCACGCCGGCGATCCGGAAGCCGGTAAAGCCTACGCTGTTCAACCTCCCACTGATGGCGGGTTTTCGACCCCTGACAGCGACGCCGCCTCCCTTCAGCAACCCCAAACCTCATTGAACTCGAAAAAGAAGAGAAAACAAAGCGCACAAATCAGAAACCGTCAGCCTTTATGGGCCGCCATAGCGAGTACCAAAATTGTCGTCGTGAAAGAGTATGAACTTAACCACAGCGCGGTCGATTCAGCTGGTTCCAACGCTACCGATATCCACAACTTGGGCAACGCACCCTTCAACACCGAGGCCGATCAGATATGGATCTCATACGTTGGTTGTGATGAGGTCTGCTTCAATACCAGCCACTTCCCTAACTTTACTGCCACCACGGGCCACCAGGAGAACGGCAACTCGTCGAGGATTGATCTTTCGAAACCTTTCTATGTCCGTGTCAACCACGCCGTCTGGCAACCGACACGCATCACTGCTGTCCAGCGCGAGGACGGCCAGGGCACAACATGGAGCGGTGATATCTATGGGCTGACGCCGCTTTCTAACTACGAGTGCGAGTTCGTCAGTACTGCCACTCATCAAGTCCTTTTCTCAACCAGTGTTCGCACCACCAGGGCCAAGACCGCAGCTATCGATTCGAATACTTCCAAGCCGAGCGGCCAATCCTCGCTTCGTCCTGATTCCCCTGCGACCACGCTCAAGACATCCATCGCTGCTTCCGAGGCCAGGCTGAACGAAGAAAAGGCAAGGCAAAAGGCTCTTCGAAAAGAGTGGCATCGTAAGGCCAATGCCCTCAAGAAAGAGAACGAGAAATTGAATGCCGCTGTGCAGTCAGCCGGTGCTGGAGACGACAAGCTTCGACAGAAGATCCAGCAGAACACCACGCAGCAGAAGCAGGCCGAGCAAGCCCTGACAACATTGGCAGCTGAGCTCAAGGAGCACGGTGTCATTCCCGAGTCTCTGAGAGCTGCCTGGAAGGCCAAGCAGACAACTTACACTGGCGAGAAATGCAAGTATGACCAGGCCAATTCTGAGTTCAAAGGATTCAAGGCAAACATCGACAGTCAGGTCAAAGCCCTGATGGACGAGAAAGCCAGCTTGGAGGCCAAGAGGAACAAGATCAGCACACGTATTGCCAAAGTCGATGGTGAACACGCACGCATTGCCGATGCGAATGCACGCGGGCTGGATGAAGCCGAACGCCGTCGTCAAGATCGAGCCGCCTTGGAGGCTCAGTTCTTCCGCTGGGAGCATGAGCTGTCTGAGAAGATTCACAGCCACGAGCAAGAGAGCCTCGGCCGCGACGAGGTTTTGCTTGCCCTCAAGGATCAACTTGATGCTTTCCACAACCAGCAACAATCCTTCTACAATGGTTCGTACGATTTTGTTGATCCTTCGGCCGCTGGTCACCTACCTACAACTTCGAGCGACCCTAGTTCTTCGATTCCTGCCACTTATGATGCTGCTACTGCCTGGTCCAACAGTGCTTATAACGCTTCTCTGTGGGGCCCCTCACCCTTGGCGCCTGGTTTCGTCCCTCAGTCTTCGGCCTTCGCACATATGCGGTCTGCTACCAAGAGAGGTCGGTCCTCCTCCATGCTTAGCGATGTCTCTGGCTTCACTCAGTCCAGCACCAACGACGAGGATCTAGCCAATGCTTTGCCGGGCGTAGGCGGTCCATTCCGGCCACCTCCCGGATTCGAGTATTCGCCGTACTTACAAAACGATGCAGATGTAATTAGTGACGAGAGTTCGAATGCAAGCGGGAGCGCAAGTGGTAGTTCGGGTAGTACGGGTAGTGATAGCATCAGGGATCCGATGAGCCCTCCACCAAGTTGATAGATTTCTCTGCGTTGTCTTCTTTCGTCGTTGAGGTGATTTGCCGTAGTAAGTTGTCTGCGTACTGCGGCTGACTAGACAGATATGATGCATCGACAAAAGTTCTCTTCGTTCTATGGAGTCGTCACTGCGCGTGATACCTTGTGGTCATGTTGCTCTACGCCATAGCCCAGGTTTTAAAGATGCATTGATGAGATTGGCGAAATTTGACCCACGTAACACGCAAGGCATCTCCCGTCAGCTTGCTTGAAATCGTGTAGTGATGTAAACTTGGGATCATCTACACCTGTGATCTGTTCCTGGTCAGTGATTGCAAATGGGAGGGAAGAAATCCACGTACCAACATCAGTCAATTATATGCAACCTATGTCACGATTGCATGTCATTCGAAGCCTTAGTTCAATTTGCTCTTTGCGGTTGGCCAACGGGGAGTCCATCGGGGGTGCTCCAGTGAGCTTTGTATTGGTCGATAGCGGTGGATCGTCAAGCTGGCTGTCGAAATTTGTCTGGACAACCATATAGTAAGAACTGTCGGATCGACTGACTGGCAGCTCTCGTATGATCATGCCAATGTATTCTTTTGTTATCCATATATGACTGGCAGGACCATACCATAGGCCAAGCAAAGCCGGTTGAAAAGGGAGTGTAAGTTTGCGGATGTCCCTTCAATGATATGTAAGCTTAGACATTCAAAAATCACAGATGCTCCATCGGCAACCCGAACTATGGCCCAAGCAGGAATGGCTGGTAAGGAGATACCGTTGGTGAAGCAATGTACTACAACTTTAGGATCGGGCTCAACGTTGATCTTGATATACCCTCATAGAGTAAATCATATCCCAGATGTTTTCATATATTGTCATAACTTAGTTTTTACTCTTGTCGCTGATTTGCTGTACGGGGCGGTTGGTCTGTAGTTATAGTTGGCCAATAGGTGCTTGTCCCATTCTTTACACACTCTCACAGAGCGTCCTAGTATTGAGACGAGTGTCTGGACGTTGCACCATTTGGCCACAATGAAATGAGTATGAGAAAAGGATGGAGCCGAGAGCTTGGCACCCCTTTGTATAGTAAATGACATGTGCTCGTAATCCAGATTGGCATCGGTCGTCGACGATAAGGGGTCGAGAGTTCGTTGGTAAGCACAGGGATTTCTTGAAGCCTATATTTACGTACCATAATTTCCACTCTCGTAATAAGAAGTGACGCGGAAGTTTACTTAACCCCAATGGCTTGTTTGAATGTGTCGCCCCTGAAGGGGGCGGGCGAGTGTGGTTGATGTACATAATTCACGATTCAATGACACAGCCGAGCTACGCCGTTGGTGATTGACACCCACGTGGTTGAACAAACTCTACATTTATCGCTTAACGATATAGTAGGTTCTAAGAAAGGCCATGCCACCTGCCTGGCTGGTGGGTAGCTCGTTCATACTGGTGGTTTGATTACATCGATTTCACAATCCACCTTGTGAGTTTCACTTGTCTTCGGCCGTATCGTCTAGAAAAGATTATAATTAATCTCCTTCCTTTACAGCTCTGTTCTTGGGGTGGCCGGTTGTGAGCATGTGGCCTCGTCACTGGTTTGATATGTGCTCCCTCGCAATACCACTCGGTATACTGATCTCCGACGTCTGCTTTGTTATGATTATATCAGAACTTACCGCGGGAACTGCCCATGACTTGCACGCAGATGAACCTGGCATGTAAGCAAGTGTGCAAAAACGCAGGACGTGAAATCCCCAACAGATAGAGCAGCGAGGCTCACTCGTGAAAATGTAGCAACGAGCAGTTTATGAACGCTGCAAAATGTCTTCTTTGGTACTATGCTGTGATTTAGGGGTTATGTGCGCGTAGAGAATCTAGGGCAACCAGCTTGGACGTAATATCGGGGACAATGAGCCACGAGCAAGAACTAGGCCACAATGGCGACATACCTTCCCTGCCAAAACAGTTCAAAGGGGACAATATGGCTGACTGAGCAGACCGCAGCAATGTGGAATGCTACTGGCACAGAAGCGGCCATTACGGTAGCTGGAATCTAATATTCCGTACTTGGCCGAATAATTAAAGCCTAGCATACGGCGCTCCGAAATGCAAGGCTGACTCTACTGCGATTTGCATTGACGGTAAACTATAGCGGTCTTATGATGACTCAAGAACCTTATACTATCTACAGGTACTCACCAATCTCGAAAATACACGCGTGTCGAGCACTAGAACATCAAACCGCCAGCTAGCCCACCGAGCATCAGCCCACCGAAAAGAGGACCAGCCATTGGCATCATTCCCATACCGCCACCGTAGCCGTAGCCATAAGGTCGGTTGTATGTGCCATATGGTCTCTGGTAAGGACCGCCGTAACCACCTGGATAGATGGGATCTGGTCTAATGTGCCTTGCCCTCTTGTTCAACGGACCGGGAGGCCTGTAAATAATCTCGGAAAGGTATGGACTGAGGCGCTCCACTCTCTGAACCCCGGAATATCGCGAACCTGGAGGTTCAAGGTAAACTTCAATTCCATCGTCATCCTGGCCCAAAAGTTGTGGCTGGTTTGTCTCGATGGCTGCTGCGAGACCACGGCGGAACAGCTGGTGTTGTTTGTACATGTCACGTTCATTCTGTTCGCGCTGCTGGCGATCCTTCGCTCGTTTCTCGTGCGTAGTTCCGGTGAATTTGTCCTTCATCTTGCGCCCCAAGCTCCGCTTTGGCCCGCTGGCATTGCTGGCCGAGGCAGACGCATGACTCTTCCCGTGTGAGTGACTATGCCCGTCTCCCTCTTCGTCCGTTGTTTCTGCGGTCACGTCGTGATGACTTGGATGGCGTGAGAGCCCGCGGATTCTTTCTCTTTCCTCAGATGACAGGGAATTCATATAGTCATCATCATCATAAGGGTGATGCCAAACAGCTCGTGGAGGATCAACCTTGGTGTTGACAAAGAATTGATGTTGTGAGTCCGGGTCAAAACTACGGACCCAGCCTGCGGGTAACGGTCGAGACTCATCCTCGATGCTTCGGCGAGCTTCAGGGGTGATGCCATTCCGGGGTTGGCGTGAGAAGGATGCAGAGCCTATGGCCTGCTCATAGGAAGGTGGATCAGCGTCAGCCATAATTGTCTAAATGCAGACTGTGGTTTCCTCTCTTCCTTTCTTCTTTTTTAGTGTCAAGGCAATTTCGCGTGTTCGGAGATATGTTCAAAGTAATATATTAATAGGTACAGAAATTTTGAAGATGATTGACTACAGACTGCAAGACATCCAAGGCAGAGAATGTTCGACGTCATATTGACGGTGGCGGGCGGACCCTAGCTTCGGGCGTACCTGCCCTATTACGAGTTGTAGAAATAAGTACAAGTTATAATGCCTGTGGTTTTCCAGTTTCGAGAAAGACCGAAAGACATATCTGGAAAAATTACATTTCTAATTATCATAAAGATGTGGTGCAAAAACAAGGCGAGCTGTTGTAGCCAAGCAATGGGTGGAGTGAAGAGACAGTCAGGAAAAATGGCTCAAGTGCGTAGTTGGGTAATAAAACATTGAGTAGTAACTAAATCATCAGCACACAACAAGCAAGTCTTCGTGGCTCAGTTGGTTAGAGCGTCAGTCTCATACTCTCTCTGTATGAAGTTTCTTAAACAGAATCGATATCTGAAGGCCGTGAGTTCGAACCTCACCGAGGACATTTCTTTTGCCAAAATGCCTTGCGCAGTGTTCTGTAACGCCCCGACAGACTCGTCGATGCGCAACAAACCCTCAACTACATGTGACGGATGTAGGTGAGGGTTTGCATGATCTTATTTTTATGTTGTTTTTATGGACCTTGAGGCTCGCATGCCGTCACTAAGTTTAGCACATACAGTGGACAGCCAACATTGGACAAGGTGGCCAGTGAAATGCCCCCACTTTCGTGGTACCCAAACCTTTGCAGAAGGCCACTTTGGCATCCAGCTGGGCAGAGGCTAGAATTAGAACTAGAATGGAGTAGGAGTGCTTAGCTAAATGCGCATCTTCTGAATTGGTGGCAGCTGCAACTTGTCCATAATAATATCCGACTCAATTCAGCTCATTCCCACTACTCACCTCATAAACGCCCCGACCTCTCTCAGCCGAGAAATCGAGAACGCGCCAGTCTCATATCACAACACGGTAAACACCCATTACTGTTGGTAGGACTTTGCGCACGCACTTGTCGCTGGCACACCAACCACGGACAACATGGACTACGAGGCTCTCAAGGAGCAGTGGAGCGAGGTAGAGGACCGCGATGGTGTGCGCCTCAGCTGGAATGTCTTCCCGAGCTCGCGTATGGAAGCTTCACGCTTGGTCGTCCCCATCGGAGCTCTCTACACTCCCCTGAAGGAGAAGCCAGATACGCCTCTGCTGCAGTTCGAGCCTGTCGCCTGCAAGCAGCCATGCCGTGCCATCTTGAACCCTTTCTGGTACGTCTAATCTACCCCTCCAAGTTCAAGTCCAAGTCAACGGCCAAGTTCAAGCTCAGGTTCAAGTTCAAATACCAACTACCTCTTTCCTTCTGCAGCCAGGTAGACGTCCGCGCTCGGCTTTGGATATGCCCTTTCTGCCTTTCCAGAAACCCGTTACCGCCTCACTATAAGGACATCACCGCCAATGCTATCCCCCCGAATTGCACCCCTCCAACACCACCATCGAGTACAGGCTGTCGCGCCCAGCTCCCAGTCCGCCCATCTTTTTATATGTCGTCGATACTTGCCAGGAGGAGGACAGTCTTGCTGCCCTCAAGGAGTCCTTGATCATGAGTCTGAGCCTCCTCCCCGAGAACGCCCTGGTCGGTCTTATCACCTACGGCACCATGGCTCAAGTACACGAGATTGGCTACAACGAGTGCGCAAAGTCATACGTCTTCCGTGGCAGCAAGGAGTATACTGCCAAGCAGGTCCAGGAGATGCTTGGTCTTCTCGGGCCTGGCTTGAGACCAGGTGTCCCCCAACAGCAGCCTGGCCGCCCGCCACTACCCATGGGCGCAGCCACTCGGTTCTTATTGCCTGTGCAGCAATGCGAGTTCCAGCTCACCAAGGCTCTGGAGCAGCTGCAGAAAGACCCCTGGCCTGTTGCCAGCGACCGAAGAGCCCAGCGCTGCTCCGGCGTCGCACTAAGCGTCGCTGTCGGTCTGTTGGAGTCGTCTTTCCAGAACTCAGGTGGCCGTGTTATGCTCTTCGCTGGTGGCCCTGCCACCGAAGGCCCCGGCATGGTTGTTGGTCCCGAGCTGAGAGAGCCCATCAGATCTCACCACGATATCGACCGCGACAACATCAAGTACTACAAGAAGGCTCTCAAGTTCTACGACACTCTGGCAAAGCGGACTGCTCACAACGGCCACATCATTGATATTTTTGCTGGCTGTCTCGACCAGGTCGGTCTCCTGGAAATGAAGGGACTGTGCAACTCTACTGGCGGTCATATGATCCTGACAGATAGTTTCACGTCTTCCATGTTTAAACAGTCCTTTGTACGGGTGTTCGAGAAGGACGGCGATGGGAACCTTCTCATGGGATTCAATGCTCTCTTCGAGGTCTTGACCACAAAGGAGCTCAAGGTCACCGGTCTCATTGGCCACGCAGTCTCCATGAATAAGAAGTCGACTTCTGTAGGCGAGACGGAGTGTGGCATTGGAAACACATGCGCCTGGAAGATGTGCGGTATAGATCCTACTGCAAGTTATGGCGTGTACTTTGAGATTGCAAGCCAAGGCGGTCCTACGCAGCACCAACAAGGGCAGCAGAAGGGTATGATGCAGTTCCTCACCTACTACCAGCACTCGGATGGGCAGTTCCACCTGCGTGTCACCACCGTGGCAAGAAACCTGAGTGGCCCGGCCGGAGATCCAGCGATTGCGCAATCATTCGACCAAGAGGCTGCAGCGGTGCTCATGTCCAGGATTGCCGTATTCAAGGCTGAAGTCGATGATGGGCCAGATGTTCTACGATGGGTGGATCGTATGCTCATCCGGTTATGTTCCCGCTTCGCCGACTACCGGAAAGACGACCCATCATCCTTCAGGCTGGAGAAGAATTTCACACTGTATCCGCAGTTCATGTTCCACTTGCGCCGAAGTCAGTTCTTACAAGTCTTCAACAACTCTCCCGACGAGACGGCATTTTACCGCCATGTACTTAACCACGAAGACGTCAGCAACTCTCTCATCATGATCCAACCCACGCTGGACTCGTATGTTCTTGCACAAGATGGCAGCCAGCCGGAAGGGCAGCCGGTGCTTTTGGACTCGACGTCGATCCAGCCTGACCACGTGTTGCTTCTGGACACGTTCTTCCACATTTTGATCTTCCATGGCGAGACAATCGCCGAATGGAGGAAGGCCGGATATCAAGAACAGGATGGCTACCAGAACTTTGCGGCTTTGCTTGAGCAGCCGAAGGAGGACGCCAGAGACCTGATCGGTGACCGATTCCCTCTGCCTCGTTTCATCGTGTGTGACGCTGGTGGCTCACAAGCCCGGTTCTTGCTTTCCAAGCTGAACCCCTCCACAACGCATACCACTGGTGCATACGGAGGTGTTGGAGCGCAAACGGCACAGACCATTTTCACGGACGATGTTTCCCTTCAGACATTTATGGACCACTTGATGAAGTTGGCGGTTAGTGGAACAAACTAATGAGAGGGCCTCGGTGGTTTCATAGTAGATGTTGCAGAGATACGAAAGCTATTTCTTGGGGCCTAGCGGGCGCAAAGATGCAAAGATACCGGAAATGACCATTGCTACCTATGATGTTACGTCTTCCCCACGGGCCATAATATATAACTGTGAAGTGTTGGACTGTTGTTCTGAAGCATAGAACTTGGCCGTCGTCGGCAGTGCGCCGGATCAAACAAAAGCAAGAGCCACACGGTAGAGGAATCACTGTCCTCGCCTTGATTGAGTAGATCCATTCGCTTGAGGGCCATCCTTCCCCCGTATGATATCAATTTGGTAGCATCGATTCACATGAGCTGCTGCGTAGGCCGGCTGTTTCTGTTCAGCTACCCATCTAACCCGTTCAGCGCATTCTCGGGCGGCTGCTGGTATGCAACAATGCGTAGCATGTGCAATTAAAAGAGGAGCTCCTTAGCGGTGACAGCGGTGACCGCAATGCGACTGCCCCGCCATGAAGCTTAAGCACGGCTCATAATTGGCCGATAATTTCAACCCTACCCCCCACAGGATTTCCAAAGTAAATTCTGCCATTTTTCCAGTCCAGCTTGACCTTTCTTGACCCGGTTTGAGAGAATCGCGACAAACACCACACCGACCGATCGATCGAACCCCAAAGACCACAGTCACAATGCGTGAGTAGCCTGCCCGACGTTGACGATGCTGCGATCCTGCGATTCCACTCTGTCGGAACTTTCACGAATCAAAGCAGGAGAAGACACAACGAGAAGAAAAAAGACCCGAATGACTGACATGATTTTCCACTCGCGCAGCTCCCAAGTTCGACCCCAATGAGATCAAGGTGATGTACGTACTTGCCGAAACGCACCAGACACGAGAGAAAGCAATTTCGACATTCCATGCCACCCGATCAACCACTGCCCACCGATGACGAACGATGAGACTAACACAAGATTTTCATAGCACTCTCCGTGCCACCGGAGGTGAAGTCGGTGCCTCTTCCGCCCTGGCTCCCAAGATCGGTCCCCTCGGTCTGTCTCCCAAGAAGGTCGGAGAAGATATCGCCAAGGCTACTGGTGACTGGGTATGAACATCTGAATCTCATCTGCCCACCCAAACCGAGACAAGAATAGTTGACTGACGGATATTTCGATCAACAGAAGGGCCTCCGTGTCACCGTCAAGCTCACCATCCAGAACCGTCAAGCTGCCGTCTCCGTCGTCCCTACCGCATCGGCACTTGTCATCAAGGCTCTCAAGGAGCCCCCGAGAGATCGCAAGAAGGAGAAGAACATCAAGCACACCAAGTCGATACCCTTGGATGAGATCATTGAGATCGCCCGCCAGCTCCGCTACAAGTCTTTCTCCAAGTCCCTCGAGGGTAGTGTCAAGGAGGTTCTCGGTACTGCTTTCAGTGTTGGTTGCCAGGTTGACGGACGTAGCCCCAAGGCTATCCAGGATGACATCGCCAGCGGTGCTATTGAGAGTACGTGCCCATTCCAGTTCATTCCGCATGTACTCTCGGTTCAACAGTCAAGCTAACATTACTCTCTAGTCCCCGAGGAGTAAAATGGGTTAAATGGATGGCCAAAACGTTTTCTCTTTCCGCATCTTTCTAGGAGTTCAGGAATGGCTTTACATTAGGCCTCGCCGTCAACGAATAAAGGAATAAGCCAAAGCCATTCATGTTGCGTCGTCCACTTGCATTTTTGTGCCTCATTACCATGAATGAAACGAACGATTCCCATTTCCTACCGGTCGATATGTTTCAAAGACGCTGGCATGTAATTGTTCCGCGCACAAGACGACAGACCGGGGGACAACGACTCACTCGTGACAGCCGTCAGTGAAATGATATACGGAGGCCTAGGTCAACTTTGTCGTGGCCAATCCATCCTTGTATGGCTCAGTTCGGTTATGTATCATGCTATGACTCATGTGCTACAAAGTGTATTTACTCATGACGGAAAACACCGCAAGGTTTGTATTCTTGTGACCATTTTCTGTTATTGGACATTTCTAATACAAACGTGTGAAACTGCCGAAAGTAGCCTGGAAAGAAAAGTGAAAGATGAAAAAGGGTTCCCAAGTGTTTTAACGAGTGCATATGGATTTTTAATTAAATGTGCCGTTTTATTTCACAATGTTCAATATCAGTTATAACCTCTTTGTATACCCACGTCTAAATCACCAGGTTTACGTATGCTGTTGAAAGGTACGTACGTATCTGGTACACATGCCAACAAGTGAATTGGACCGAATAGGCAGAACACTAGAGTAGAGAGTGGGTGCTAATTAAAGTATTGCTTAGTCGACGCCCATCCTCGCCGTTCATCTAATAAGCATTGCTTGGGTGGTGTGCTGCAAGATTATGCCGACCCAGCCGGCACCGTTTCATTCCCACCTTGGGCGATCTTCCAAACGGCCGATAAATGAACAATGCACACGTACGACATGACAAGGGGAAGAGAGACCACGGTCAAGTTTATGTTGTCATCATCCTGTTGGGGCAGGATCATCAGCCTCAGTAGGCAGTAGGAGGTCTGCCACTGCTTGTCGTGGCTATACTAGGCTATTCGTAGTAGGGTGGAATGTTTGCTGGAAAATTGAGCCATCGTCCGGGAAAAAGATATCAGTACCAACGGGTATCTTGGAAGTGCCTCACATTTTGGTCATAAATAAGTATGTGCTAACACGACATTGTCACACGGCATCCTGGTTGATTGCAGTCCTGGAGTGCAACACACTCATAGTTGCACTCGCCTGTGAGATGCAGGTGTGTGGCCGCGCCCCCAACCCGTCCCCAAGTCGCACATGGGTGTGGCGCCTCATCTCACGTTTGACCAAAGGATACGGCTTGTACCGAAGAAGTCAGGAACGACATTCCAATCATGCTTCATGGCAATTGGTAAGATTACACGAATATTGATGTCATGTCAGGTATACTTTTGTAGCAGACTGTGACTGTGGCGAGCGCAATATGAACCGAACTAAACCCAACTAAACTTTGGCTCACGTTCATATCCTCAAAAACGACATGAGCATGATTCCTCCGTGATTGGGACTTTGGGCGTATTGCGGGCAACGGTCGATCCCACGTACCACCGCTGAGCGCCAAGGATGCGCCCAGGTGGTTGAGGTGGTTCCAAACCTGGTGGTTTTTGCTTCCGTGCCGTTCCCCACCCAGTCACTGCGCACCGTCAATGCCACCATTGAAGCAGGGCGCAATTTAGTTTTTGCTCTACATGGCACTTCATATGTGACTGCGGGATAGTGTAAGTAGGGAGCAGTCAGAGTATACCGCGCAAACTTGGCGCCCTTCCCAGGACTGGCTCATGAGATAAGGAGGGGGGGTTTTCTTGTTATTGAATTTTGTTTTGCTTGCCGTATATGCTGTATTGACTTACTTTCATCTCCATGCTTGGCAGCAGGTCCTTGCTCACAAGCTGAAGCGGGGGGGGGGGACAAGGCACGACAGCGAGAAAGGTACTTTGAGCGTTTGAGAGAAAAATACATACATGGTAACGGATGAGGTGCACTAACTAGCAGCCCTGTAAAACCCCTGCCACTTTCTGCCGCCATCTCACCACACCTTACCTTAAAGGCATCCAGTGGAGAGGCAGGACCCTAGGTCGGCTGGTAGGCAGAGACGAGACTAGACGAGACTGTCAGATTCAGCGCTTGTCGTGCAGCAGCCCCGTTTCTCTGACATGCTTGACTTTGTGCCGGGTGTGTATACCTACAGTAGGTATATGGCAAACAACATCTGGCGTCCCAACAATACTAACCTTAGGCCAAGTCGTTCGCAACCCGACTTCAGCTACAACACAACGGTTGCTCAAGGAATACCTGGGCACGATTCGCAGCAGAGCACCCAACCATCGATTCCTTCCTTTGTGCGATGGGGCATCCAAGACACGGTTCCATCCAAGATCCCCACTGCACTCTATCGAGCGGAATCTCACATTTTTAGACCCTCCCGTCACTCCATAGTAGGACTCCTCCCGGCCTGCCATTGTCCCCACGCCGACCGCTATTGAAAGTCGACCGAATCCACGACTTTGTTGCGCCGTTACCATCATACTAAACTAGACTCTTATACTTGCGACTGCCGGCATACTCCTTTCACCTCCTGCCGTCGCCATCGCCGCCACCCTCGTGTCCGCATCGGCGACCTACCGAATATACATACCACGGACCTTGTCGTGTCACCACCAGCTTGCTCTCGTCATTGCCCGTTGTCCCTGGACCCCTCCGTACGTACCTCCAGCAGCCTTGCTCATCGCTAGGCACAGCGGAGGGCAGGGACAACCCTCGGGCAGAAGACGGCAGAAATAAAGCCAGCGAGGCCTCGCCACCTGGCCCGTCCGGCCACCGACATTGCTGGCTCTCCAATGCATCCTGGCCAGTCCTCCTCCTGCCGTGCTCCTGCCAGCAGCCTATGATGAAAAGACGAAAACCAAACGCTCCTTTCAACTGTCTTCCGCACCGATGCTGCCTCTAGTGCAACCGCACCAGATGGTGCAGTCGCCCTCATCCTACGACACGAACCATTCCTTCCAACAACGACAACATCAACAACAACATCAACAACAACAACAACAGCAACAACAACAGCAACAACAACAGCAACAACAACAACAGCAACAACAACAGCAACAACAACAACAACAGCAACAGCAACAGCAACAGCAACAACAAGAGCACCAGCAGTACCAGTACCAAACCCAGAACCAGTACCAGCACCACCATCGACAGCGACAGCAACAACAGCAGTCCTTCCCTTATCATGATCTACGTGCTCCGAAGCATGTCCTTCTCTCACCCCATCGCGCCTTTCCCATCCGCGCGTCCCAGCCGCCGTATTCAGCTCACCTGTCACAAGGCCATGGCCAGAAGGAGAATTATCTTAGGCGGAAGACGCCCAATGGTATTATAGATGCTGCGTATGACGGGACACACTCGCAGTTCGCCTCCGGACCACCGCCCTTGAAGCATATGATCCTCTCTGGTGCTGCCAGCCTTTCGTCCACCCCAGCTGCGGCAACGAATTACGAGTATGCTGGATACGCACAATCCAGCTGGGCCCCGCGTATGCCATCGACAGTGGATCAATCCGAGCCCAGAGGTTTCAATACCTCCGATATGGCTATGTTTTCCCAGAACGCAGGTTGGCACCAAGGTATCGAGCGTGGGCCCCGGCCTGGCATGGCCCTAGACTGCGCGCCGAACGCACCTTCGACTGCTTACTACCCATACAACACCAGTTTCCGTGTCCCGACAGTCAATCAACCAACTTACCAGCAGTCGCCAGGCCCAACCATTTTCAACAACGGCGGACTTGCACCTCCACCGGCATGGCCAGACATGCAATCAAACAGGCTGGAGCCTACTGCCTTCGGCTTTGCTTCCTTTCAGCCTTCGAATGGGCAAGCATTGCACAATCAAGCGCCTTGGACACTGCCCTTTGGAAGTGATGTTCGGCCTGGAAATCTACAAGGCTCAGCACAAAGACTCGAATCATTGAGTCTGGACACGGGCGGCTATAGCCACAGCGGAGCACACCTGTCGGACACATCGTCCCCCGCCAGGTTCCGGGAGAAGGCTTTGGCGAACGCCCATCGCACATATGTGGATCTGCTTGCCTTCTTGCACTCGAGCAAGAAATCAGCAGCAGGCCGCTTGTCCAGCGGTTCCAAGACGTCTTCCAAGATGGTCATCTATCCCAAGGTCCCAAATCCGCCTGCAACGGCGACCTTTGGTTTTGGACGTCGCCAGTCTGTCGGTTATGCCAACCCCTCGGGATCTTCAGTTTCGTATCTGGCTGAACACTCAAATATAACCGTGTCTTCACCTGTTGGCAGACAAATACAAAGAGGCATTGATGGGGCCAACTCGGCATACCTCCATCTTTGGACTGAGAGCTCACGCTACCATGCACACGATGTGCCCCGCCCGGTGGTAGTGACTTCACCTGTCCAAAACGCCAAGTCAGCTGCCGATGTGCTGCATCATTTGTGTGAACAAAGTGACTGGAAGTGGGTTGACGGTATGCTCCTGGGCGGCTGTTTATACTACGGCCTCGAAAAGTATGAAGAAGCTCTGGAGTGGTTTAAACGGATCCTGGTCATCGATAATACGTAAGTACTCGTGTAATTGCCGACCGACCGCGGCGGACGTTCTAACTAACATTTTGCACAGCCATGTCGAAGCGTTGTGCAATAAGGGTGCCACGCTTTATTGTCTACAGCGCAATAGTGAGGCAGAAGTACATTGGCTCGAGGCTGTAAAGCAGAAACCGAGCTATCTGGATGCCGTTGAACATCTGGTCGGCCTTCTTTGCTCTGCTCAGCGTAGCCAAGACGCTGTCCGAATCATCGATTCTGTGCAACGTGCACTACGTCTGCGCGAGGCCCACAGCACGGATGAGCATTCGCAATTTCTGGGCAGGGAAGCATTCGGAGAGTACTCTTCACGGTCGGATCGAGAGCTGGCTGTGGATCAAGGCTTTTTCGATGAAAGTGCCTCGGGGAGGTTGCTTCTGCCTGGATATGGCTCCAGTGGTTACCAAATTGCTGGCAACGAGAATGGACGGATGATTGCTTTGGTCCATGCCAAAGGTAACATGCTGTATGCACTGAAAGAGATCGACCAAGCATCAGAGGCCTTCGAGGAGGCTGTTTTGATCAGTGCGGGCAGAGGGGTCAAGTGCATACGATCTTTGATCGACAGAGTTCAATATGTCCTGTCGCCGCCTACTCCCTACAGAATTGCTGGTCAGGAATCTTGGATGGGCACTTCTGGACCGTTGTTACTCCCACCAGAAAAAGCCAGGCACACTGCAAAATTGGTTTTCACTAATCATGGCGAACTCCCTGGTCTTCGGTTTGTGCCGAGAGGGATTTCAAGAAAGTCTGCCATATCCACCACAAGCAATGCTCTGCTTTCACTCGCCAAGATCTTTCAGGATGGGATGTCTCATAGTGCGACTAATCGAAACCTTTTCAGGCAAAATTCCGGTGTTGGCGATATCTTAGCCCTTTACTATCTCTCCCTCTCCTTGTCGGAGAGCCCCTCGACCGCCAATAACGTCGGCATACTCCTCGCGAGCGTTCAGCAGTCAAGTGTCACACAACCCCAACCGGCGGCAGAAAGCTCAACGAATCACTTCATCCCCGGAATAGTCCCAGGGAGTGGCCTAGACCTAGCACTGGCATACTACAAATATGGTCTAGGCCTTGATCCCAAACATGTGCATCTCCATACTAACCTTGGCAGCTTGCTAAAGGATGTCGGTCAGCTTGATCTTGCTATTTCAATGTATGAACAAGCTGTTGCATGCGATGGCACATTTGATATTGCACTAACAAATCTCGCCAATGCTGTCAAGGACCGCGGCCGGATCAATGACGCCGTCATGTATTACAAGCGGGCTGTGCAGGCGAACCCACATTTCGCCGAAGCTGTTTGTGGTTTGTCTACGGCATTGAACTCAGTGTGCGATTGGCGGGATCGTGGTGGTGTCATATCACCAGGACTCAGGTACGATCGTTGGCACGTCGACGAGAATGGCATGCTTCAAGACGCCAGAAACCGCGGCAAGAGCTCTGGTCTCATCAGTCGAGTGGCTGAGATTGTCGCTAAGCAGCTGGCAGACTCCTCACACTGGGGAACCGGCGTTCTAGGAAATGGCGTACTCGAAAGTGTAATCATACAACTGCAGGCTGCTGGCGCCCATCGCACAGATCAGGGACTCAATCTCGAGGTGGAAGGTCGCCGCTGGATGGGCCGTCCTTGGGAGGGATCACGGGTTCTACGACTCATAGAGCGCTCCATCAAAAGCGCAACACGTTTGTGGTATCTGGATAAGTATGTGAACGGCCGTATACTGGAGAGTGGCTATCACAGGCCACGACTCCCAGCGTCACTTGCAGTCCCATCAGCACCGACTGTGCTCCCGTTTCACACATTCACCTGTCCGCTATCGGCCAAAGACATCCGTAGGATTTCTCAACGGAATGCCCTGCGTATATCCTGTTCCACGTTGCGATCTCCCTGGCTTCCAAACACAGTCTTTCCACCTCCCCCTCCCCCTCGGCCACACCTGAATATCGGTTACGTCTCTTCGGATTTCAACAACCATCCATTAGCTCACTTGTAGGTTTAATGTTCTTTCAATTTTCTGGTCATCTACCTCCTTCTTCTCTGTAAGATCGGTGCTAATTAGCAGCACATCTATAGAATGCAGTCTGTCTTCGGTATGCATGATATCTCACGTGCGAAGGCATTCTGCTACGCGACAACTGCTAGTGACAGGTCCACGCATCGAGAACAGATTGAGCATGAAGCCCCTGTATTTCATGATGCAAGCAACTGGTCTACAGAACGGTTGGTGGGTCAGATTGTGCAAGATGAAATTCACATCCTGGTCAACCTCAACGGTTATACGCGCGGTGCTCGCAATGAGATCTTTGCTGCACGACCGGCGCCCATCCAGATGTCCTTCATGGGTTTTGCAGGCACGCTTGGTGCTGAGTGGTGCGACTACTTACTGGCAGACCAAACAGCTGTCCCACTCTCAACTTTACGACCTGTCAGAAACAACATTAGTCTCGAGGATGTATTCCGTGACGAAGATTCGGCGGATGAAGAGGACTGGATGTACTCCGAGAACATTATTTTCTGTCGAGAGACATTTTTCTGCTGCGACCACGCGCAATCCAGCGGATCAGAGGAAAGAGACGTTAGTTGGGAAGACGAACAAGCACGCAGGTGGAAGATGCGGAAGGAATTGTTCCCTAATCTTCCCAATGACACTATTATTCTGGGCAACTTCAATCAGCTTTACAAGGTAATTTCATCCTGAACCCTTTGATGCCGAAGATGTCCCATACTAACCATATCGTAACGACAGATCGACCCGTCAACATTTAGATCATGGCTACGAATTCTTTCCAACGTTCCCAAGGCAGTACTCTGGCTCCTTCGATTTCCGGAACTTGGCGAGAGCAATCTTCGAAGGACTGCCAAGCTATGGGCTAGCGATGAGGTCGCTTCGCGAATCATTTTCACGGATGTAGCTCCTAAACAACAACATATCGCCAGGGCTCGGGTCTGCGACTTATTCTTGGATACGCCGGAATGCAATGCACACACAACGGCGGCTGATTGTTTATGGTCGAGCACCCCGTTGCTGACTTTGCCGAGATACCCATACAAGATGTGTTCACGAATGGCAGCGTCTATTTTGAAAGGCGCTCTTCCCAAGAATGTTGATGGTTTAAGGGCAGCAGGGGACCTTATAGCCAAGGACGAAGACGATTACGAAGTTCTAGCTACGAAACTGGCTAGCGGCTTGAGTTACAAGATGACCAACCCTCGATACGGGGAGGGTCGAGGTAGACTTGCTGAGTTGCGCAAAGTCTTGTTTGATGCGAAATGGACCTGTGCACTATTTGATACACGAAGATGGGTGCGTGACTTGGAGGACGCCTACGAAGAGGCCTGGCGTCGTTGGGTCTCCGGCGAAGGAGGGGATATACACCTAGCGGCCCTTTGAGCTGTTGGTATTTTCGGGAAGCGCAACTTGATGTTTCGTGTGAGGGAGGCACAGGCAAAGCAAGCAAAGGCGTTCGGGCGTTCGAATTTGAGTAACGATATTATTTTTGATCGTGGTTGGGAAATGGGTATAGCAGCCTTTACGCTAGGTTACTATTTGCATGGGCATTTTTAGATGACTCCATCACAGGTTGTTGGAATTACCAACATCGTAGCATTGGGCGTCCGACACGGTTCGGGTTTTTTTTGGGGGGGGGGGTTCTCTCTCTCTCTCTCTCTCTCTCTTTCTTTCTTTTTTATTGGTAAGGTTATAGATCATGTGACGGCTCGGACCAAGTGCTGGCAAGGGTTTAGTTACAAGTTTTGGATGGGAGTCGGCTTGTATTGGGATGCAGCTCGACCAGGAGTTGGCAGTCTGTGATGATCGGGTGTTCTGGCTAAGGCATAAATATACCCAGAGCCATTCTGGTAGATGGCTCGTGTTTTAATGGAATCGAACAGCTTTACTGGGGTTTCGGGTACGGTCAGAACCCCATGATTCTTATTTTTATTCTTTTGTCACGTTATAGCGAAGCAGCCTCACTGGAAATAATGCCACTTTGGCCGATGGCTGCATGAGCTGTTGAACCCACGTGTAGGCCATGCATGACGGCGGCACCGCCGGCAAATGAGCTGCACAAGCAGGCAAAATTGCAGCGCTCAAAATCTTGGGCTAGCCCTTTGTCCTGTCGAATAGGACTTCAGCACATGTCTCCCAACAAACAGCACCGCAATACTTGATCAGCTACGAACGGTGCCCAGCTTCAGCTGAAGGATTGCGACAATGCGCAATGCATTGTATAAGGCTATGTGCCAATGTATAGGCCAGGTACCCATAAGGAATGTACTTGTATCTCGGATCACAAGGCCAGAGGTGAGCTTTGTAGAGTAGAACATTACGGAGTTGAAGGTCAATGAGCACGATACTAAATGGTAAGATACGCTATGCTTGAAAAGCTGGGAGACATACATAGTAGAACCGAAATAATGGCATGGTGAATGGACGCAGTAGAGCTCTAATGCAGAATTTGGACCTGGGTATTATTATTGTACGAGACAGCGACTAGATGATAGAAGTCACATGCACTACATGAGTCAAAGAGTAGAAGTGCCCGTGATTCTGACCTGGTGAGCCAGGGCCCAGAACAAACCCTTATGGTTTTTTGTGTGTTTCCGTGCGGCCGATTACTGATCGAAAAATCTTGGGTGAACCCTTGAACAATATAGATCACTATATTAAGCGTCCATCGAGGACATTGCCCGGGGCGGACACTGCGGCGGTGGGAACTGCGGAACGGAGTAGGTGGGAGGGAACACCGCACGCGCAAGAGCAAGGTTCAAGACACAGTCAGCAACAACGATTGGGTGGCGTGTTGCCATGGGGCGTCGCAGGGACCTCAAATGCCCTTGTCCAAGAGGAGCGGGAGCGGTCTTGCGAGGCATGGCCAGGGTCACTGTTGAGTAGTATCGAAGAGGTGCTGCGCCCGCCCCGACAGAATGGTTTCGGCCGTTGCAATTTTCCAACTTAAGATCCCCCCCCCCCTGAAGCGAGCCCAGGCCGCGATTCAGCTGGGGAACCAGAGGGCTGGGATGTGGGAACGCCGGCTGCTGACGAGCGTTGTTGGACTGGCTGTCAACGTCGGCAAATTTGCCAGGTTAATTCGTTCATTCTCTCCAGGGAGTGTCGCAACAAGTCATTTATTTCATGGTGCCGCGGAACAAGCCCCCCTGCGTTCGCAAGATGCCTGCTGCGTTTCTCGGGACCGAGAAATGGTGGCCTAATTCCCAGACTCCATCACAGACTCCATCATGGACTCCATCACAGCGCAGTGTGGCACTTGCAGAGGCGCGCGCAAATTCGCTTGACTTTGCCATTTGAAGAAGACGTTGAGATGAAGTGGGGGGCGGGAAGGAAGATCACCAACCTAGCTGAGCTGAGCTGAGCTGAGTTGAGCTGATCTGGTAACGCTCCGCTCTTATGCTACATACCTACATATATTTCAAATACTTTCTTATGTCTGGCATATCGTGAGACGCGTTGTTACAGCGACTGCATTCCGAGAAAGAAGTCTTTAGAAATAGTCGTTATATTCTCTGCACATCATCTTTGATGAAGCTCAACGGAGGGCTAGATGGTTTAATGAGCAATAAGCGCAATATGTTGTGAACTTATAATACTTTCTTCTAAAATCGGTAGATTTCCGCTTGATCGCACAGCGAAACGAAACAGGTTTGAACCTGGTTAAAATTTGGGGGAGAGGAATTCTCCCTCTCTTTTTTTCTTCTTCCTTTTTTTTTTTGGTCTTCCCTATTCCTACTTCCAGCCGAGAGCTCGCTACACGCAAAACTCCCCGTGTTTTGACAGAACTCTAGGTTAACTTACTAACCTTAGAAACATATGTTATGAGTGGCACGATGCCAGCCGGCCCATGCAAACTCAAGCCCAGAAGTAATCAGGGCTAGAGGTAGAACTAGTGCCAATCGGCACGCCATTGTGGTCGATCCAGCTTCAGCTTCCCATGCTGACAACGGTTCTAATCTGGGTCAAAACGTCTTTTTAGTCGCCGACGCCATCCTCGTTTCTGCTGGAGCGCCCGAACCGTTCCCAAACCATTGGTTCAAGTGTCGTCATGACTACAAATAATTCGGGTTTTCTGTCTACATTGACTCAGGCCAATGTGATATTCGTGGAGTCTTTTAGTATCTACTGTATGTAGTAGTAGTGCTGGTCTTGTAGTAGATCAACGACAATTCTAGAAATGAAAGGATGACTACGTACAACACTGTCTCGAGGATCAGGGGTGTTCACTAATTAGCACTATGTAACTTGGGAATGCCTCACACAAACACCCACATGATACTTTTAGCACAGGGTCAAAGGCAAGGGGCTAACCTACAGGAGCTCCTTTGTGATGATCAGCTTCAGACAAGCAAGATGTTGCATACATAATGGAAAACTTCTGCAATCCAGCCAGGGGTCACTTGTGCTTCTAGAAAGCTTCCAATAAGTTATTTTTTCTTTCCCTGACTGAAAAAAAGCAACGATGACATGCAGGTGCATTGACGGCCAGGTTGCCAGGGTTTGATAGTTCGTCCGCTGCTTTCTTTTTCTGCGACAAATGCACCTGCAATTAATGAGGATTTCGCCCTGTGCTAATCGGTGGGCTGCGGCCAAGAATTGTAAAGCAGTTGGGAAAGGTCAGGTGTCTTGGCTATGGCCAATGACAGTTTGGATAGAAGAAGTTAGAAGAAAGGGAGTATGAGGGGGGGGGGGGGGGGAAAGGTGAATGTTGCTGATAATGTGAGTCTTGTTTGCAGATGGTAGTGATTGCAGTGACGAGCGTCGCCCGGTATTCTGTCAAACGAATTATCTACGATAGTTGGTAGGATTCTTTACTGTGTTGTTAAAGATATGCCGAGTAGCCTTGGAACCAAGCTGACGCCGTCTTGTTCATCCCCTATAATCGCCATGACAGATAACAATTCCAGCATTGCAGCATACGGATGCACGATCAGGGTAGCCTTGACAAATGAAAGTACGAGTCGTCATTTCGGTTGTGATGTAGAAGCAACATCAAGTAGGTTCGTATAGTTGCTCTTTAGAAACTGGGATCCGGGTTCCAGAGACTGGGCATGGGCATGGACATGGGATCTCACCAGTATTAATGATGCAAATAGTCACAATGATAGCTTGTGAGTTCTTTGCCATTGTCCGGGGATCTAAATCCGCCTGACCTTTCGTACGGCTGGGATGGACAATCAAAACCCAGCAGAATGGGTCGGTGGAAAGCCACCCGCGAGGATCGCCCGAAGCAGACAGGGACATTATGCTTGATAGCCGGTCATGCAAATCAGTGCAAGGATACCGAGCAAGGGCCATTCATGGCGGAGACTCTAGACCTGATTCAGGCCACCTCGTCAACTTACTGGCCCACAGAGCTGATGTGTGCTTTCCAAGGTTATCCCAGTCCTGGCCGCGGAAGAAGCCTATTCTGCTTCAAACCCTAGAGCTAGGAGCTGGACCTGACTGCCCCTCTCTACATGGCTCATCGCCTATGCTGGTTGATGCAACTGAATGTCGTTGATGAGATGAGGCTCCAGTCCGGAGACGAGCGGAATAGAACGTATCGTGCTCTGGTCTAGTAGAAAAAGAAACTCGCGATGCAGATGAGCTACGATGCCGAGCAAACATCCATGTTCTGTCGAAAAATGAAGGATAATCGCCAAGGATATACGTGCAGCTCGGTGTCTCCGCCCGCAGCTCACGTGGTATATCATGTTTGGCAGGAAAGTGCAGTCTCCAATGGTCTCCACGAGGCAAGGGAAAGAATATCCTATACCAAGGGTAATGTAGTACCTACAGCAGGTAGAGAACTGTGCTGTGGCACTGAGACATTTAAATAACACACTTACAAAACAGCGATGGGTGCTTAAGGTATGTTTTGGACGCTAACTACATACCTCACTCTGACAGCAGACACATTAGAAGAGAGGTCTTGCAGAAGAAGTGTTTCAGAAAAACTGTGCTGGGTAGCGCGGCGGCATACTGTGCTGTCCTGAATTTCGAGTGCGAACAATAAACAAAAGTGGTAGAGCGGGCCCGATGGAAAGCGTGGCATCCAAGTACTGTATCAAAAGATTTCCAAGGATATGGCCCTGTCAGATCTGTCCGGAAACAATCACACCCGCTAACCCCTGGCCTTTGCCCTGGAGGTTCATCATGACCATGGCCACACTTCTAAAAGTACGACGAGTTTGTGAGAATCCATACTGTAGCTACAGTAGGGATCGACAACAGCACTCTTGAAACCGAATTGGTGGGTAATCAATGATGATAATACTCAATGCTCCCCAATTTTCCGTCAAGAAAAAGAATGAACAAGGTTTGCATGGGGCATTTCCGGATTGCAGCTGATGTCAAGATCATCCCCATCCAGCCTGTATGTACTTGGGGGAAAGCTGGCGGCTTGCCGAGAATCCGCGTAGCTTGATAGATTATACCAAGTACACGTATTTTAGGGGCAACTTCGCTTTCTTTCCAACGTCAGTACGATGCACACCAGCGTACAGTGTCCGTCATGGAATCTGTTGAACAAGTTAGTCTCAGCCTAACAGCACGACAGCGTCGTCCACGCTCCGAGCTTGAGCTTGAGCTTGAGCTTGAGCTTGAGACTGAACCTTGATGCTTGGAGCTTAGGGGAAAAGCTGCACACCTTTGGCGGCTACCGTTTTCCCCACTGATCTGGACCCCATTGATATTTTACATAGTACCGACCTGTATCCCACTACTTGATCTACCTCGCAGAGTACCTGCTCAGTCTTTCGTGCTTAGACCGTAGTATCCCTCCGCTGAATACGCCGTCTCTCTAGTGCTATCCTGTTTGGGTCGCCCATTCCTGTCAGACTGGAATAGCCTTTCGTGGACGCACGCCACAGCCAAAGATGTGCCCTCAGAGCGCGTGTGCCAGATGAAGGCCTCGATGCTACGCAAAGACCAGATCAGTCAGTAGACGCTAGCTGCCTCGTGGTTATCCACTGCCCGGAGCAAGAGGCTGCTACTCATTTGGAGTTGGATACTGAAATTTTACACCTTTGGCTCGCCACTATGTCCACAAGCGCACACCCCTGGTTCCAGCTGCAAATCCCTACACACCCTCTCCGCAATACCAAACTACTGGCATTGTTTCGAGTACGTACGTACGTATAGAGTACTCGCCTATGCTCCTTTTCGTATTTCACGCCATGAACCCTGTCCCTTTCATCTCCATGTCTGGACATTTTGGCATTGACGCTGGCAGTTGTCCTTGGCATGTCTGGGCGCAAAAAGAGGCGCGCTCAAATCCCAGCTCTGGCTGAGAGGCAGACCATGTACATAGCTACGGTTCGCCGTTGTTTCGAGTCTGCATGCTCTGCGTCGTCCACCAGGTCGTCCGGGAACCCCTACGGATACTACATATTACTGAGAACACTATAAGTACTTTGTACTCACTCACCCTGAGTTGATCTGCAACTTGGCCCAGTGTCCGCCGCCTGGTCTCCGCCTGCCGCTGGGTCACCCTTGGAGTAGACTCCAGACTCCCTGGTCTCAACCAAGCATGGTAGCTTTTAGTAGTGGGAGTACATCTCTGCAATCCAGTACCGTGCCAGTTCCCGTCCACTGCCGAACTTTACTTTTTTTTTCGCTGGTAACCTCCCTGCACTTGCGAAGTACCCATCGAACCCAGTTACATAGTACCCCGTTAGTGATGCCAAACACCCACGTCTTCAGCCCCGTCGATAGATCGCCTAGTCCACTTGTTACTACTCTATATATCGTCCCCATCTGCCGATCGGGTTTGACTTGAGGCATACCCTTCATTCTCATCACAGTCCTGGTCGAGCATTAGTTCGTCATTATTCTCAGAGTCGACTGTCGTGCCGCTCAATCATAGCATCGACAAACCTTAAGTCGGTATATCACCTACTTTTGAGCAAGATTAGACAGGCCACGCCACGAGGTCAACGTGAGAACGTTTATTAGCTCAGCCGCTGCCCACAAACACAAAACCATCATATCTTTGCCACAAATCAGACCGTGAAAGTCATCATCTTTCACGTGAAACCAACAAGCTCTAGGTCCTCACCTTCGATACCATGGCAGACCAGAGAAGAGGACCGTGGTCCCAGCAAGAGGACAACTTACTCATGCAGCTAGTTGAGGAGCAAGGCGCTCTCAACTGGGTAAAAATATCCTCCATGCTTGGAACGAGGACGCCGAAACAATGCAGAGAGCGATTCCACCAAAACCTCAAGCCAACCCTCAATCATGAGCCTATCACACCAGAAGAGGGTGAGGAGATTGAAAGGCTAGTACATCAGATTGGCAAGCGCTGGGCTGAGATTGCTCGCCGTCTGCATAACCGGAGTGACAATGCCGTTAAGAACTGGTGGAATGGAAGCATGAACAGGCGTAAGCGGGTGGCACGTAAGAGACAGCCATACGACGACAACAATGATCTCTACCGATACTCACACACCCCTCGACTTCACTTGTCATCACTGTCCACTGTTCCCTACACGCAGACACAACAATACGCCCTGCCGTCACCTTCGGGCTCGTCCAGTCATCATCAATATTCTTCTTGGAGTACAGGATCGAACACGTCGATATCGCCTACTGTTGAATCTATCAACGACGGCGCACCTTCCCTGGTATCGGATGCAGGCTCATACTACTCGGAGTCTCCTACGGGATACCCTCCGGAGTCGCCCAGCTACACCACAAGCCTTCCACCACTAAGGTTTGGAGACAGCGCACCTTCTCCCCAGAACTACTACTACGACACAAGTTCGAAACAACAGCAACAACTACCATCTATCCGGGATGCTTTGGATGGCAGATCACAGCTGCCTACAGCGCCCAGCTCGCCGGTGATAATACCCGTACCGAGAATATACCGTTCGACACCTCGGAGTCCACCAAGGGCGGATTCACCACCACCCGTTGATCCGAGGATGAGATTGAACAACTTGTTACACTAGTGGAATGCATTTCTATTTTATTTCAACGGCGTCATGGGTTTGCTTCATCACAGCATTGCTTTATTAGCGGCTAGGTACATTGACTACGGCGGGAGCGCGGATGGGCATGCCTCCAGGCAGTTTGGAGAGTGGTAATTGAACCGAATGACGAGGATCATGATGATTATTGTAATTAATATTTGGCATACCCAAAAGTCCATCGCTGTACTTTAGATTGCGCCATGTTCGCGCTGACACACTATGATACCACAAACTATCATGAATTGCACTACTACTACACAATTACTACCACCACCACTACTGCTACTACGAATCTTTGATATTTTTTGTTTGGCCCAATACAAGTATTTCCTCGAAGGACGGCCAAGTGTCTTCTCATTTTTCTCATCCCTCTTGCGAAGATAACCCTGTTGATTAGTCTTACGGTCCAGGCAAAGGTCTAGTATGCACATGGCAGAACAGCGCGGGTCTGGCTAACCTTGACAGACCCATTGCAGGGCGCTATCAGCGCCGTTCTACATAATTATTTGTCTGCCAAAAGTTCAGGCCTTTGGCAGTACCAACCAGGATCGAACTTTGATGGAAGAGACACCAAGTGGAGGCTGCACGAGGAACGGCGTCACAGACCGGTCGGACTGCGTGCGCTGAGAACCACAGTATGACGACTAGCGTACGTTGCAGATGCATGTCTTTGCATCCTGGTTGGCAGAAAGGATCGTTGAGGACATTAATGAGCGTTGCGCTCAGGCTCTGCCACTCCGCAGACCAATCATCAGACTAATGAGGTGGTTCAACGCTGCACTTTAACGGCCGGGCGGTCTCCAGGACCAGCTCTCGCCAAGCTGAGCCGATGTCTCTCTGTTCCTGGGCCCAGATGTTTTCGTGTCAGATTCCGAACTAGTTTCGTCAGATGCCTGGCTCAGAAACGTTGGACGATCAAAACAGAGTTCGGGTCACCTTCAGATCCGACCTAGATTAGGGAGCGAGCCACCCGTGTTGAATTTAAAATCTGTCAGTTAGGTGCGAAACAGCAGAGGAACGTGCATGAACTTTTACTCAGTGCTTGACTGGTGGTGCATGCGTGCATCGAAGTCGTTCCCATGTTTATTTGATGAGATAGATAGAGTGCTGTGAAGATCGATCCTAGTCTAGCTGGGATCATATCTCAGAAACAATAGTACGGCACAGCAAGATCTGCAGGTAGATCTCCCATAGTTCGGCGACCTGAGATTGAATTCCAAATCAAAAGCCCCGATTCCGACAGGGATCCCCAAGTGCCTACTTTATATGGGGTCCCTAATGGGGAGGGCTGCTGTTCGTGCAAAGATGCTAGGACCGTTGGGAGAGGATCAACGACAGGGTATAAGCATATGGGAAAGAGACGTTGAATTCTTGGGCAGCACGAGCCCCCATACGGGACCGGCACGACGGATCAACATCCATTCGCAAATCTGGGCGATCTCCCTGAGCCGGGGTGCCTCGTCCTTCAGTAATAAGTACCGTCGCACATACACACGCACATACATACGTTGCGGAAAACAAGCTCTCCCGGCCGCAATGTGTTATTGAAATTGCGGTCGGGGAAAGAAAAGACAAGATTTAAGCCACATTTCGGGGAGAGATTCACGCATCTGTGTAGAACAATGCCCGTAAAACAAAATGATATAGTAAGGCGTCGCTAGACGTTTTATGAATTTTTTTTTAAAATTTTTTTTTTTAATTTGATTCAGTGTTTTCTTCGTCATGGGTATGCTGCACGATGATCCCGCTGGGACCTTGGTCTTTGAGATCGACATCAACCTCAACCCGCTGGAAGGGGATCGCGGATCACTAGCATCACCGTCCCACTCATTCGCCTTATTTACAACATGGCATTGTGAAGGAACAACAACAATGACCCTGAAGCTCCCCTCGGGATACTTGCCAAAATCCATGATGTGTCCTAGGAAATTTGAATTAACAAGTAATGGAGTACTGCTAGGCCGTTCCTTGAGTCATGAACCCGAAAAGCAACTTGATTGTTTCCACCACGGATGTCAGCTCTATGGGTCTAGTTGTCGACCATTCCTGGACAGGGTGTTTTGGGCACGATCAGTCTCATTCGTTGAATCGTTAGTGGTTGTTGCCAAGATATTTTGGTAGCGCATCGTGGGCAAGGATTGTTTTGCAGATTAGTGAACGTTAGCCAGCCATTTGGAAAAGATCTTCACTGGTCGGGGTCATTTCAGCTATCAACAAGCCAAAGAGGGTTCTCCTTTCAGCACTGTTGGTCGAACGATGCAATAATCATTGTGACGGTCACAAAGTTGCCTGCCAGGTATATATTGATTGGAACAAAGGTCCCAGACCGAGCCTCGTCATGGGGAGGCCACAGCACAGTGGACACCAAAGGATGACAGCACACTGGACTAAATAGTCCAAGGCAAGCGGCAGCGAAGAATTCGTGCGGTCCCAAGGATCTGACGAATTCATGTACTGAAGCAGACTCTTTGGAAAGATGAAATTTCTTGTACTGTCCCATCTATGCTGTTCTACTATGGACGTGGCAACTATGTTGCGACATTTGGGCATCACTGGCGATGGCCTTGGCAGCGTGCCGTGTGAATGCAAGAGTACCCACCACTTGGACGTGAATGAAGTAAGCCGATGGTTGATGAACGGTGCATCAGATCAACACAAAATGCATTGCTGAGCATGTGCAGCAACCGGTCAAATGCTACCAAATACCGAGTCAAGGACTGAGGTCTGATGTTCTGGCCGATGCACCTACTTGGAATGGTTGAAAGATTGGCATTGTGGTCATACAATGTAAACCACAACTGCATTGCCAACCATGATGGACCCAGGAGGCCAATGACGTACATTATACATATTGTCGTAACTTAACTAAGGTAGCCAGCCGCCCTGGCTAACCACCGTTGTGTCAGTAATGATCGAGAAATCTTCAAAGCATCGCCGCGTGCATGAACGCAACGGCCAGGCCTGCCGTTGACGCTTTTTCGGTCTTGCTGTGTCGCCGGTGCTGAAGGTAGCGTACAGTTTAATTTCGGCCTCGACACTACTTACAGTACCCGTCAGTCAGAGACCTATTTAGCGACTATGGGTTAAAAAAAATATGTCACAAAGGTCTGATGGCAAACCTGCTTTGGTGAGCCCAAGATGGAACGTGCAGTTCAGCTTCATCTCAATAGTGTAATATACCGTCCAGCTGGGATAGGGCCGCGCCGTCTCTCCCACCCCCAAACATGCATCAACGACAGCAAAAGAATAAAAACAAAATAATAATACTAAAAAATGAGTAACTGGTTGGGTGTTATTGCGCGACATCTTACACCCCAAAAGAATTTACCCAGGACGGTGCAGCATGCGTGTTCAGGAGCTTCCGGCCGAATCGATCACTTAAGGAGAGCCACCATCGGCTCCATCCTGCAGCCATCCATCCACTGCGAACTGGGGGGTTTCTGACACAGCGCATGCAACGATGAACTCTGTAGAGATGAGATCTTATTCAAGTTAATCATCCTGCGAAGGCTTTCAACCAAGACCTGCAGAATACTTGTAGACAGCGTCTCTCCAAAAGTTAGGGAGTTCAAGGACCAAACCTAATGTCAAGTAACTGTAAAGAAAGAGCATGAGCATGAGTCGTTCAAATAAGAAACGCGGTTCTTGGGAAGCACTGCTACTTGGTCACGAGTCACTGTAGTCCACCGGCAGCAAGTGGCCAGCAAGTCTCGCACCTCAAGCCCCCCCCTGCGACGCCAGCAGAATGGGTGAGGGGCCAGCACAGGGATAGAAATCCACTCAAATGTACTGTACTGCGTTGTACTGTGTTGTACTGTACTGCACTGTATTGTATGTGTGAGTGCGGCTGGGGATTACGGATGCTGCCCGCACCACCCTGTACAAAGGCCATCTGAAAAGTTGCTTTTTCCTTTGTTAAAGAATGCTGCAAATCGCGCTTGCCCGCGCAAGATGCTGGTCGTAGATGATATGCAAGATCAGCTGCAGAGGCAATCCCAATCCCTTGGCATGCCTGCACAGCTGGACGGTAGGCCGATGAGTAGGCTCAAGAATCTGGCTCCGAACGAAGTCACATGGATGCGCTGCACCCCGCCGTCGTGCTCGTGGAAATGTTTTATTGGTAAGAAAAACAACGCCCTCCGTTCAGATTTTGCCTCGTTATTACCCGCGTCAGCCGTTGACTGCTCGAGGTCACGCCAGCAATCTATTACCATGTACATAGTGCACGCAGTCACGGTCACAGCCTGTTCTGGACCACCCACCCCTCCCAATCCCCCTCCCCCAACGAGAGACATGCCGTCAAATAAAGCAGCACACGAGCCTCATGGTTTGCCTACGAGAAGTAGTTTGGGCGCTCGACTTTTGGACCTGGCAAACTGCAGGAGTCGGTGTCGGCGAATAATGACATCGTGACTGGTCGAGATGATGGTACACACGGCGGTAGATTAAGGGTGTGAAGCCGGCCAACCGCGATGATTCCGTGGTCCCAACAGTCTGGTTAAACTATCTTCGGCTATCGAGCCTTCCCGCGCCGTGACGTGACGTGACGCGACCTAGCATGGTTCAATTGTCAGCCGCCAGCAGTAAGCCGGACAATTGCACCTCGGACAAGTAACTACCCGCCGAAAGGGGGGGAGGGGGAGGGGGCAACGGGCTCCTAATGAACTCTTTCTGTTTGCCGGCCAATTAACCACCTTTATTATCAAATATACCTCACGTATGTCCTATCCCTTAACCCACACATACGAGTCTGAAGGAGCACGACAGCCTGCTTGTACCACCGTCATTTCTTTGGACTTGTGTTGCTACCAAGTAGCAATGCCTTGTGCTAGACTACCCTCACAACGCGTACCATTCTCCCAATTTAGTCCAGGGCGCTGTGTCTAATGCGCCGAAACGCCAACCGGTCACGAAAGGCTGGGTCTTCTTCTGTCGACCGGCGATACACTAACCTAACTACCTCCCGGAGGTGTCTAAAACACCCCGGTGTGCTCTCAAATAGAACATACAAATGAATCCGCTCCCGCAATCAACATCGCTGTTCGACAGCAAGTTGGCCCTTGAGCCACATATTGTGCCCCCTCAAACAAAAGAAAGTTGTAATCCCATAATTAATTATGAATCCGATGGTAACAGAGGAATCGCACCCTACTTTCCATCTGATCAGTTATGGCGAACGGTTGATTTCAAGTCAAGTTTGTAGTTGTTCAGGACTGGACAAGGAGCGAATCGGAAGAGGCCAGTGTGCATCTCAATGAATAGCATGCGCATGCGCGATGCTGCCGAATGGACCAAATTCAAAGTGGCCACATGTGACGATACCTTCGCAATACACCTGAAGGTCCAAAGCGAAAGAATGAGTCGTATCGAATCCATGATAGACATCACAACTTGACAAGGTTTGCGATGATGTGTGTGGTGGTGCAAGTCCAAGCTTGTCTCACTTGGGGATAGCATTTCGGCTGCATCCATGCAACAAACTAAAAGCCACATCCTCCTAGCCACGGATGGGCGCAACGGAATTACGCAGTACAGAGCATCGAACTGTGCGAACACGCGCGCCGGTTGACGGCATCCATAATAGGGTTGCTTCAGAATGTTCCACCATGCTTTTAGGATAACGTCTAGTACCATGAGAATTGCTGCTTGCTCCACGTTTTATGAATACAAAATGGTCTGATGTTGATGCAGCCACGAATGCTACCGATTCAGTAAGGCGCAGCGAGCTTGGTGTTTCGCTATTGTACTGAACATTTTGACTTTGACTACCGTTGAGGCTAATTGCGGATCTAGATTACTGCACCGGCGGACGAGTCATGCCCGATGCCATCATCTACTATTGTTCAGAGCCTCATGCCAAGTAGTCGTCTTCGAAGCTCGCCAGAAGACTGGTTCAAACTCTAATCCTTGACAGAAGCGAATGACCTAGCGTCTAATTTTCCTCGAATGTCTTTAGTTATATGCATGAATGCATGTGTATAGTCCGCAACGATATTGGCTTCCTTGCAACATCCATGTATTGCCAAAAGTCGCCGGTACTTCCTCATGGGATTTTCTATTCACGGACGCCGTGCTCGTAGACATGAAAGATACTTTTTCTTCTTCCTTTTTTTTTCCCCCCGAATTTTCTTCCTTCGATCTTTTTTTCAAGCTTTGTCGTTGCCATGGTCTGCTTGACTAGTTGCCAGAGTCTCATGAGTGACAGGATGTCTGAAAACCTAAACCACGCGCCGATGGCCACAGAAGTACCATGATGCGTCAATATTACTGCGAGGCAGACCTTCAGTTCGTTATCAACGTCTCGAGCCCCTTTCGAGTCCCCACTTGTGACATTTTCGAACTTTGCATCGCCAATCAAAATGTCACTATTGGCCCATTTATCAATACTGGCTGCTATATGCGACGGCTAACCGGGCCGTCCATGTAGCTCTGGTAGTTCGATGAGTCTCACATCCTACCAGAAACCCAGCTTTACCTGCTGGATTCGGATTCGCGCCAGATGTTTCTCTGCAGGGCGTGGGAGGCAGCGAGCTGCGCGCTATTCTGCCTCTGCGCCGGCTGGTTGAGCAAGCGAGAGTGTTGAACGTCACAGGGGGCTTCCGTACTTTTGTGGCGGCTTCGATGGTTCTGCCGACGATCATCTCGGATGAGGGCAATCTTACTGCTAGTGAAAGCATGTGTTCGGAGCTCTCGCCGATCCTCTGGACCAACGTTAACGACAGTATCAATGCTCCCAGCTGAGTCGGCACTCCGAAGACCAGGTCTAGTGGTATGGGTCTTGGTTCCGTGGCTCACTCTGTCGGGTGATGGAGCTTCGAGGTCAGGCACGGTCGGCGTCACACCCAGAAATATTCTAGAACCGTCATCCCATTGGCCTATCCTGTCAAGCTGTTGGCTCAATGATGTCTTATCGCTTAGTCGCAACTTTACTTCGTTTCTGGGCTCCATTTTTGTAGCTCGTATGATCGGGTTACGGCGGACCTCTTGGCATCCATGAACTGGGAAAGTAATATCGTCGCCAGGCATGAATGAGAAGCGGTTTCCAGAGGTGATATCGCTGGCCTGACGACCCATATCATGGACTGACAACATGCCAATGTCGCCGCCATTGCGACCAGTAGTATTCCCGGCCTGCGAGTACACGACGGAGGCACTAGTATCGGCGACATCGATTGGGTCGCTGTCAAGTATGGGGCGTAAGCTATCGAGGACATCGGTAGGCATGGGGGCTTGGTGTTCGCTGTCAGGGTTGGAGCTGCTTGAAGTACTATCAAAGTCAAGCTGCCCGTTGCTTTTGGGCTGCGTGCTATCGTCCTCTTCTTGCGCAAGGTTCGTCTCCAGCCTGGGCGGCCCTCCAGTGTTGTCTTGTTGAATGCCAGAGAACAGATGCTTGTTTTGGAGTCCAGGTTTATGTCGAAACTTAGTCCTGATCATCGCGTTCCTGCCCCTAAGCTCTTCACTAGTTTTGAAGTCCTTGTCTTCCCCGAGTATAGTGGGAATAACACGAGCTACGTTCTGTCAGTCTGCCTCACTTTGGTTGCGTCCCGGCTGTGGCTTTAGGTGGAAGAAGATGCTTACATGCAGATGTGCCAGGTTTTGTTTTGTTGGCGTGATTGGTGTTATCGACGCGACTCAAATCCTTCAAAATATTTTTATCCGTTATTAGTAGCCGGCCAAGGAACGCGTTGTAGTCTTCCATATCACCGAGGCTAGACGGTGACTTATGTCGTACATTCTGGTTGTGTAGTTGCTGTAGCTTGGAGACGAACTGCCTTGCGTCAGGTTCTCCTCGATCAACTATGCTGTCGGTTCTGGCCAAGGTCACTGTTTCCAAGCCATCCCGCGAGGTCCGTGCTATAATCACTTCGAGTCTTTTCACCTCGGACTTATATTGAGCTTCCCGTTTTGCCCATTCGTCTGCAACAGTCTTGAAGTCTTGCGATATCCGATCACGAGCTTCTTGTGCCTCATCCCGAGACGTGTAGGCTGCATCAATTCTATCCTGGACATCTTGAAAGCTTTCGATGAGATGGAGAATGTACGAATTATACTCGGTGGGCACTGGCTGAAGGACTCCCTTGGTCATCATAATAACCTGCAAAGCTTCGACCATCTGCTTTATGGATGGGTTGTACCATATCCTGTCTGCGTCGTTGACGAGGATATTCGCACTAGTCGATGGCGTGGGTGGCTCTGGCGAGAAGGAGAACCGGCTACTGAGGTTGATGTAGCTAGAAACTCGGTTGGGCTTTGGCCTGCGAAAGTCGTCCGCTTCCTGATTTGCAGACTGCTCTGGCGGCGGCGACCTTGGCACAACAGGCGTGCGGGCGCGTTGCCGGAACGAAAACCAACCAAGGTCTGCCATTGTTCATACTGGAAGCTGTTGTCGGTGAATGATCGACTATTACCTACTGGACGGCTTGGTGGGAAAGCAGCTGACGATAATTCGCCGGTGCGTTGTGTTGTGTCGCAATGGGAGATAACATCTGTTAGGGAAAACACCTGTTGTTATTGTGTACCGAACATCCAATGCTGGAATGGAAGCATCGGTCCAAGCCGCTATTCAATGCACTTCCGTTACCTACCATGGATGTCCCACTTGTATAATACCGGGAGTTAATATGGCGACCACACTTGTGCGTGAAACGACTGCTAGGTAGCATGGATCGTGTTGCCAAACACCTTTCATCACCGCTTGTTCCGCTGTCAGACCAGCCTGTCTACGCACAGCAGCATTGCTTTGAACTGCGGAAGAGCCTGACGAGGCGAAATTAGCATATTCCATACATCTCAGGAGTCACGTAATAGGGCTTCTGGACGGAGTTGCCAGAAATAAAGACTCATATGGTTACAAACATTCTGTCTGAGGGATGTATACAAACTGGAGATCGATATGGGCTTCCACTTTCCCCAGTGTCACTTGAGAGTTCCTTCCGCCTTGCCAGGTTCCAATCAATAATTTGTATTAATGTTTCTCGAGATATCACCCTCCTTCTGTCGAGAAGTATTCCATGAACGGCAACAAATCTTTCCAGTCTTTTGCTTGCAGTTTAATGTAATGCACAAGACTCGTGAGGTTGTACTCGGAAAAGGCCACGTGCGACGCAAAATCACCGTGCTTTGTTCAACTACTTTGTCATCCCGTACATCTCTCTTCTGGAGGCCTGTACTCCAGCCCCAAGCCCTCAAACACCCTCTTCTCTGCCGTCAACATATCAGGTGCTGGTATACCATTGGTACTCTCAAGATCCACCCAGTGTCCATCAACTCGGCTTCGAATGCCACTGCTGTCGAATTTGAGATGCCTCACGGCGTTACAATACCGCCGAATATCTCGCTGGAAAGTTGTGCCACCGCTCCAACCAAGAACAGCACACCCGGCTGTTTTCCAAGGAGCTATGATGATATCCACTCGTCGATGCGGGTTCGGGTTCTTTCTTGCCTTTGTTTCGTCCCATTTCGGATTTTGCCAAACAACCAATGCCTTGTCTAAAGTGTCGAAGCCAGATCCAGCGCTTCTATCCTCGCCCTTCCAGGCAACGGGGATCTGCCCTCGCTCCGAGTTCTTGGTGCTCAACGTTAGGGTATGGGTGATAAACTGATCCTTCTCTAAAACTACAACCAGCTCCTCAATGAAGTTGCGTGTGGCTTCGAGATCCGGATGACTCAGAACAACATCGACATCGCCACTCCCTCGTTTACCCCTTCTATAGCCACCGACAATGACCATCTGATAGCCCTTCCGTATTCGACGCGCATGTGCGAGTATGGTGTTTCCGATATCCTTCACTTCCGCGCGTGGTATCTTTAGCAGAAATTCGTCGTGGTATTTGACACCTATTTGTTGAACTCGTAATAAACTGCTCCACCCGAACTCGACAATGTCGTCCAAATCTCTCCAGCCTTTGTTATAAAAACTTCGCGCTGTGGTTTCCCCGACTCCCCAAATCTCGTAGAACAATTGTAGGACAAGTATCTGAGGGTCTGCAGTTGCCGCCTCGTTCCCTTGGATCTTGCCAGTTTCTTTCCATTCCTGGAACAGGACCGCTATTTTGGGGCCACAACCAGGCAACCTGGACACTTCTAACAACGAGGACATTAGACAGGAATGATTCAGTGTTTCGCCCATCATACCTTGAGCACTCCCAAGCAGATACGGATATGCCGCCAATGACGCAATGCAGGTTGAGTAAGCACGAACACCAACCTTATCACCTGTAAGGGCACGGATTGTTCGAATCTTCTTCAATTCTTCGATGAAGGCATTATTTGGGGGGTTGAGCGGCGTAGGACGTTGACAGGAATATGTTGTATGCAAATATTCCGGAATAGGAGGAAGATAGATATCACGATCGTGTTCCGAGGTTGTCTCTTTAAGCAGAGCAGGCCGATTCAGAGGAACGGCAGTTCTGGGATGCAGGTCGCTGCCTACGTAACCGTGGGAGGACCTATGCGATCGATTATCACTCTCACCTTCGTCTCTAGCGCGCTTGAGGATGTCCGCGGGTTTTTGAGCTTGCTTCTTGTGTGGTTCTTCTGTATCTCTGCATCCTTGGTAGATCAAATACCCTCGAACCGGGAGTACGTGCCCTTTGGCCACGGAATCTATGAACCAGCTCAGGTGGACAACCTTGACGAGGTCTGCCGGGCCTTTCTCATTGTGTGCGAAGTTCGACGCCCGGGCTTGGTGATTCGTCAGCTTAACAGTAGCCATGTCCTCTTCGCTGCCAGAGGCAGTGCTGGAGCCCTCAACTGCCGAGTGCAATTGGAAAACGGAACCCCTGCGTCGTTTAGCTGGGGGAGGCGATCCATGATCAACGTCCGAAGATACTTCAGTGGTCACGATACCCCGCCGTCTGAGCTCGAAACGGGCTCTTTCTTTCTTGGATATTTTTGCCAAGACAACGTCGGCCTCGCGGATGTCTGAGGTCAAAGACGGTATCTGACCCTCGAGCTTAGGAAGCTCGTCGGAATCGATGTGAGTCGGAAGTAAGTAGATTGCAGGCATGTCAAGTGTAGCCATAGCGACTATAGCATATGGGCTTGACTAAATGCGAGCTCACCTTCATTCTCGGTGTGATACGTGACAGATGGGATGAAGATGCCAACTGAAGTCGAGAGTGCCACCGGCGACAGTGCAACGCGGGAAAGTCTTGTGTTAGGTGGGCTTGTGGAAGTGAGCGGGGAGCAACCATAAAGGCTTGGGGGGAGTGTACGGGCCATACACGATGCTCAGCTTGCAACATCATGATGTCACATGCGGCTACAATCTTTCACTGAGAGTTTGAGGGAATAGTCCAGCGTTTACATCGTATGTCCTGATACTTTCGAGATTGGTGTGTCCTCTCCTTGGCAACAAAACAACTCAGTTTGACCTCCGGTCTTGCAACCTGCATGAATGTATCAAACGTTGAAAATTGTGGCCGTAACTGCAGGCGCCAATGCTTGTGACTTGCTCACCGCTTACATAACCAAGGTTAGACCGGGGAACGGCAACTCTCGGTTCCGACATGGCTCTTACTTGCATTCCTCCAAGCCGTTACATGCCCATCGACTTCGCGTCGTCCATCTCTAGAATTGCACATTTGATTACAGCGCCGCGTTGCTGCATTCAGGTTAACAGTAAGAAGCCGCCCTTAGGGTAGTTTTCGGACATTGAGGTTTGCGGCGAATTTGAACCTGCAGTGGTAATTGCTCAATATGCGTGGGTCGCAGCCAAGGTGAAGGCACACATGTCGCAGGGTTTCAGCTTGACCTAATTTTGCAAACTTGCTGCCTCACGACCAGGAGTGTGGACGTGAACAGGAGAATAATAAGCGAATTTGAACTGCACAAAGGCATCATCGAAAAGAAAGACGACCAAGGCTCTCTGCTTTGTCTCATCACAAAGATTCTCTGCGCGTTCCTGTCTGGAATTGCACTTGCCGGCACAACCACAACCACCACCGTCACCACCACCACCACCAAAACAACAACAAAGACGGCACAAGGTAGCTATCACTCTCTCGCACCCGACATCCACGTTCGCCATGGATCTAGCACAGACCCTCCTGCGATCTGTAGTTCGCGCCTTTTACGACCCCAAGGAGGTGGACACGAGGCACATCGTTATTGTCGATGCACTCATAACCCACTCAGCCTTGCGTGATGACGACCTGTCGTACCTGATGGCGCAAAACACCAAGGACATGACCAAGATCTGCGCCAATCTACAAGCCGACCGCTTCATACATCAACATGTACGGGCAGAACTGCGCGAGGGTCAGCAGAAGGCCACATCGCGTAGATACTACTACATCGACTATCGACAGGCAATTGATGCCATTAAGTGGAGGGTCTACCACATCGATAAGTCTGTGCAGGGTAACGCTGTTCCAACGGCGGAGAAGAAGGAGTACTTCTGCACATTCTGCCAGTCAGACTGGACTGCCATGGATGTTCTCGACAACAGCAGTGACAAAGGTTTCCTGTGCCATCGTTGTGGTAGTGTTCTTGTTCACGACCCGGAGCGCCAGTCGGGTGGACATGAGCAGTCGACGCGCCTGAACAACCAGCTCAGATTTATCACGGATCTCCTTCCACAGCTAGATAGTGTCGAGATCCCCAATAACACATTTGAGATAGCCTTGGGAGCAGCCCGGCCTGTCATACGGGACGCCACCAACCAGGTCGCACCTTCTGTGGTGGTGGAATCCACAGATAAGCCGACGGCGGTGCGTGGAATGACTGACACAGGCCCCAAGAGTATCGCCATTAGTATTACTGCCGCCGACGGCCCTAGCGAGGCGGAGAAGGATGCCGAGAAGGCTCGTAAAGAGAAAATTGCTCATCAAAATGCTCTTCCTTCGTGGCATACTACAAGCACCGTTACTGGTATATCCTACGATGACACCACTAGTAATAACGTGCCGGGCATGACAATCGAGGATAAAAAGCCTGACGCCAGCTTGCTAGATGCGCAGGAAGACGAAGACATGACGGCTGTATTCGAAAAGATCAGGCAGGAGCAAGAAGCCGAGGCTGCGCGTAAAGCCGCACTAGCCGACGAAGACGACGAAGAAGAAGAAGAAGACGACGAAGAAGAAGAGTTTGAAGATGCAATCCCCGCAGCTGCAAGCACAAATAACAGCTTCGTTGGCGAGAAGCGAGCGGTGTCTAGTGTTGACACAAGCGCTGCTGCGACTCCTGCGTCAGGTGACGATAGACCTTCCAAGAAGGTCAAGGTTGAAGAGCCAGCAGACGACGATGAAAGCGACGATGAGGATATGGCATTCGAGGACGTTTAAGGTTCAAAGCGGAGCGGATGAACGCAGTACGTGTCGAGAGCCATGTTAGCCGCAGAGTTACTGGTAAACTACAATTCGCTGCACTTTCACCTCACGGTATTGACCTACACATACATGATGAAAATCGTCATGGAGCAATGAATTTTGAAGCAGGTAAACTCTTAGGTCGTTGAAGTCTCGCCATGAACACATTCCTGCGCCATTTTGGCCAGTCTCCGCTCATATATTAACCGGCTGGGTCATCATGTTTTTGCCTTTTTGCATGGCCACTTCTATACCAATACCCAGAGTGAGTGCTCAAGAACTTACTGGTCAATCATACAGTCGTCCATGCGTGTACCCACGAAGGGAAAGGACCGGTACCTCTAAAAGTTGTAAAGTGTATTGTTCGTATTTACCTATAGATATTGAGAATTTCGGGGGTGCGAGAAAAGATATTTATTTATGCTGATGATTTCTTCCGTAGAAAAGCTTTTTCTTGAACAATTTTCTTTCCACATGTGTTTTCTTTCCTTTCTTTCCCCCTTTTCAACTACAGAGCAACCTACCCTTGACATACCTAGACCATAATTTGCGTTCCACCAGAGCATATCACCGATATATAAATCACCTTAGCGACGAGCACACCATCATGTCACGAGAAAAGCTTAGATGTTCATAGTCGATGTGTCCCTTATGCCTCAAAGGTGCAAACATCATGCTTCTATTTCACAAAATCTGTCTCGATGGAGCAAGCTCGCGTTACACTTGAACACGACTGTCCCATTTTTTCCCTACATGCGGCATAAATCAAATTGTTCCAATAAAGCGCCGTACTAGTTGAGAACAGGCGAAGTACTTTGAAAACAGCTTTCATGAAGAGGTAGTGGTCGGGACCGGCTTCAAGACAGCCCGTTAGTGGATGTTGAACCCCCGGCAGCCAGTACCTTGAGTGAGAAAAGTCGCCGAACCGCAGAAGTCTCCTTAGTTAGTAATCAGGCACGGCGAATTTGCATTGGAGAAGGCCATCCCAGCACGGAATGAGATGCATGGAGTGATGTGCCGACGGACTTGCGGCCAATGATTAGTGAGTCACCGAAGCTTCTAGCGTGCAGAATGGAGATATTCAAGGAAGAATGGGCCCGTTCAGAGCTACCCAAACGAAACGATCTGAGTACGAGCACTGAAACGTTTCCCCGTGCGTCGTCTTAATTCTACGAGTAAGTAACTTAGTCCCCATGTTCCCGGAATTGAAGTGAAATCTCTGGACATCTTCTCTTCTTGCTTGCAAAACAATCCCACGTCTCACGAGGTTATTCGTCCTTGAAGTCTAGTACCTGTGTAGAGAAGTTTCGTTGTTTATACCTATCACTACAGAGTCTTCATACCCCGGCCGGATATCAATCGCTAAAATGCCGTTCACCCTGCAGGTTCCTAGCGAATATGGGTAAGTCGCAATGTTGTCATACCTTTGGCGAACAACGACATCAAGGCCGAACTCAATTGGTCGTTTGACTCTCAAGGCCATCCTATCAGCGGCCGTTACGTCCAAGAACTTATGGCCACACCTGGCTAACTTGTTTATCTTCTTCTTTTGTAGCTACATCTTGACTGTGGCCTCGGCCTCATTCTTTGTTAATACCTACCACTTCTTCCTGTCGGCCTCGGCGCGCAAGGGCAGCGGCCTCAAGTACCCGATCCCCTATGCGACGGAGGAGCAGGCTGCCAAGAGCCCTGCCGCCTTCAAGTTCAACTGTGCACAACGCGCGCATGGCAACTTTGTCGAGAACGTCACCCCATTCTTGGGCGCGCTTCTGATCTCCGGTCTGCGATACCCCACGGCGAGTGCAGCGCTTGGTGCCGCATGGGTGATCGGCCGTGTTTGGTACGCCGCTGGTTATGTCTCACGCGGCCCGCCAGGACGTATTGGTGGTTTCACCATCTCGTCGCTCAGTGATTTGGCACTCAAGGCCATGGCCTTGTGGACTGGTGTACAAATGGTGCTCGAGTCAGCGTAAATTGATGTTGCGATATTGCCAGGGGCGGAGGCAGATGTATACTAGCATGTGATTATATGGAGATGATCTCAACTCTGACGAGCGAGGATGGCAGCTCTGATAAACGAGGATGGATTGAATACAGAACATACTCGGTACAAGACGTTTCAAACTGCACACGCAGAATTGTGCTGAAAAGTGACATGGCGGTATTTAAGGGGGGGGAAGGGAGACAACGCGGACAGCAGCGATCAGAGGTTTTCCGCCTCGAATAGATTGTTAGAGCATCTGGGCAGCAACATGCTCAAATACGAGGAACGAATGGATTCCATTTAGAGTATTGTGTACGGGTACTGTGCCAATTGTAGAGTGAAGACGTCCTCATGAATTAGCACCAAGGCAAATGAGCAGGGTAAGATGAGGTAACTTAAGTTAGGTACGTGTTAAGTTACAGAGCATGTGCCTCCAACTCCTTTAGCGCTGGCTGTGACAAAGCACCTGCAGCTCTTGAGTTTGGTAGTTTACAGTACTTGCATCCTGGTTACCCCCCACTTCTTCCCCGAGAGCCCCTCCGACCGGGATGCCGGTCGCAACTTGACTTCCAAGGTTCGCTTCAGAAGCTCTCTGACGTTAGGCTGCCGAATTGCAATTGCGATTGCGATTGCAACTTGCAACCACAACCGCAACCGCAACCACAACCGCCACCCTCTCAGAAGGCAACCTGGACGTCTTTGCTTGTTCTCCTCATAGTCACAATCCACATCAGGATGTAATTTGTTTTTGCTCCATTGGAAAGCCGCTCATCACATCGACAACCGATAGTTAGTGCATGCATTTGCGTTGCACTCACGCGCACAATGCGTTATTCGATTGTTTCATCATTCATCCTATCCGCTTGCCTTCCAACTTCGGCCTACGTCCATGCTCTGCCTCAAGAGCCCGGCCAGTTGACGCCGATTCCTCAACGCAGCCCGACACCAGCCTCCAAGGCATCGTCGTGGCTCAATGTATGGCCATTGAGTCTGGTCCGGACCGACGATGGTGCCGAGCATCGACCGCTGAAGCCAAACTATGACCGACAAGTTGTCCTTCGCTTCAACGTTTCTACCGTCGAGCATGAAGCCGCGTTCAGGAGAGCAGCTGACCAGATGCTGCTGGATGTCTGGGATTTCGGTCCAAGCTATACTGATATACGCATTCCAAAGAACCGCATACGGGGGTTCTTGGACTTGTTGCCAGAGCCCATGAGGGCAGATAGCATGGTCCTGATTCAAGACCTCGCTCGCGTAGTTGCTGCGACATACCCTTCTCGCCAGGACCGGAGCGACTTTGACGCCTTCGTGAGACAGGGACAGACACCTGCCGATACTAAGAATCGCGGCCAGGGAGTCAACGACTTGTTCAAGCACAAGCTGGACGATCTCTTCTTCAGGGACTACCAGCCAATGTCCGTAATCGCAACATGGATGCAGTACTTCGAGTCCATGTTCAAATTCCAGCATGAAGGGCTCGTTACCTTGCTTACAATCGGGAAGTCCTATGAGGGTCGAGACATCCCTGCCTTGAGGATTGGCTTTGATGTTCAGCGCCACCACAAGAAAAAGAAGCCCCGGAAGACCATACTCATCACAGGCGGCCTTCATGCCCGAGAATGGATTTCCGTCAGCACTGTCAACTATCTTGCCGACATGTTTGCCACCAAGTTTGGCAAGGATGATGTCGTCGATGCGATGCTTAAGGAATACGATATCGTCTTCGTTCCCGTGCTGAATCCCGACGGATACGAGTATACCTGGAATGTGGACAGACTCTGGCGAAAGTCCAGGCAAAGCACCACGATGCGTTACTGCCATGGTTACGATTTGGATCACTCATTCGGATACCGCTGGAATGCTGCTGAGCACCAGAGTGACCCTTGTTCCGAGAGTTATGGCGGCAACGAGCCTTTCCAGGCCGTCGAGGCTCGCCAGCTGGCTAATTGGGCGACCAACCAGACCAAGCATGGCGTCAACTTTGTAGCTTACATTGACCTGCACTCATACTCACAGCAGATTCTGTGGCCTTATGCATATTCCTGTGATGCCAAGGTACCGAACCTGGAGAACATGCAAGAGGTTGCCATGAACATAGCAAAGTACATGAGACTCTTGGGCACGGGTGAGTACTACAGTGTTGGTTCGGCATGCGAGAGTGCTGTGGCAAGCAATACCACAATCGACGAGGCTTCACGGGGAGTACATAAGCGACGGATTGAAGCTGCCGGTGGAGCTGCCATTGATTACTTCCACCACGATTTGGATGCGCGATATAGCTTTCAAATCAAGCTTAGGGATACAGGAAGTTACGGCTTCCTCCTCCCCAGTAACAGCATTGTCCCCGTCGGCGATGAGGTGTTTGCGGCTGTCAGGTTCCTCGGTGACTATATGCTGGGAAACAATGGGATCGAAATGGTTCCAGACACAACCCATGCTGATCAAAAGTCAATGTCTGGTGATTGGGACTCAGGAATGTCCGAGCTCAAGCGAAGAAAGATGAGGTGATAATCCAGGGAGGGGGAGGTCAGCATCGTATGTGATCATTTATGTTGTACATGAATTTTTGGGGGCGGGGGCGGGTTTTACTGGCGTTCTCCAAACCAGCAAGGAGTCAAGGCGGGTGCTTTCCCTGTTCTGCATTGCATCACACGTCGTTAACTGGATGGGCTTTGCAATTGCGGCTGTATGGTTTGATTCCATGTACATGAGTATACAAATTGTTGGTCCAAGGTCACCAATCTTTAAAGAATAAGTATGAGACACATCTGGATGCGTATTTTCTACTCTATCAGTGCTTCTGCTGCACTTCCGCCATATGTTATTATTTGTACTTGTGGTCGATCTATTGAAACAAAACAAACCACCCCCGGCCACTTGATTAACCTAGCCCGTACAATACTGGCGTTCTTATATACATAGTGTTAGATGCCAGGGGATGGGTATGCATTGTACAGACACAGCCACTAAAAGGAGTCTGAGTGGCGTTAGCGGGTCCTATACCTATACCATGGTCGTCGGGTACTTTTGTGTATGTATGTAGATGGGAACGAGGGAGGGGCTACCCGTCTAGGTCCGCACATAGTACTGCTACGCGAAAGTGGCCGTTTATTCAATGGCGCTTTGCCCATCTTGTCTTGACGTACGTAGCTATCCAGGTGGGTTTCGCGGAACAGACAAAAGCAAGGAGAGGTCGTATATTACAAGCTTGGTTGGCAATGGTCAATCATGAAAATCCATATCTAAAGGGAGATGCATGTGAGTAGAGTTTCACATTACCAAGTGGATCTTGACTTGGACAAGTTCCAGGGGGATGGGGGGAGGGGAGGAATATAATATTTGACAGCTGTAGGCTGGATCCGCGACTAGCGGTTTTGGCTGTCGAACCTCGAGCGAAGCTGCTGATGAAGCCAACCATGGCATTTCTTTCGAAGGTTTTCCCAAGTTCTAGTTCCAGTTCTAATTCCAGTCGGGGGGCACCCCAGCAGACCCGCGGCCACACATCTGAGAGCTCCCAGTTCCCAGTCCCAAGTTCCAGTCCCATCGCCTCCCTTCCCATCGCATCTAATCGCATCGAATCCCATCGCATCCCTCCCCATGCTCATGCTGCACGCTGCACGCCTTACGCTCTTCCAAGTTCCCACTCTGACACTTTTGCCCGCTGCCTAAGGTGCTCTAGCATTGAAGGAATTCCGGACGCTAGTCTGCATAGGGATTACATGGATATTTGGTCCAGTGTGTCCAGCTGCTTCATTCAATGTCCTATCGATCCTATCCTATCCTGTCCTGTCCTGTCCAAATTGATTGACCCTATCCTTGTATTACCTACTTCCGTATTCCGTGCATTTTGTAGTCCAGCAATTGTTTGCATTGTGCTGACCGTCTGGGGTCACTGTCTTGTCTTGTCTTGTCTTGTCTTGTCTTGTATTATCTGCCGTGACCAATTTTCCGACGACTCTCTTTCATTTGACGGATTATCTCATTTCACCTTCACCGTTACCTTTACCTTTACCTTTACCTTCACCTCCACCTTCACATCTAATCAACCCCCCAAATCTAACGTGACGTCCCGCACCACAGAGCAAATCGCCGCGAATCCCAGCAAGTCCAAGCTGTTAGGCCCGACACGACGAGGCACACGACAGGACACGACACGCCGAGACGAGACGAGAATAGACGAGCGGGAGTGAATAGGTGAGAACCATGAACCATGGGCGCCCTGCATTGTAGCACTTGACGCAACGACCATCAGCACAGCAGCTGCTGCTCGTCCGTCAATCCTGCACTGCATTGCATTGCATTGCAACAGGCAACTCAATCTTCTCTGGACTCGCTTCTGCTCCTGCTATTGCTCCTGCCCCTCTTGTTCTTGTTTCTCCCATCATGCCCTTCCTGCGTCGCCGTGGCGTCATGGCCAGTGAAAACGACATGCGGCGACACACTATGATTGATCCCGATTCAGGATCAGGCCCGGGTCCAGGCTCAGGCTCAGGCGCCAACATCTCGGGCCCAAATCCGGCCTCTCTCGGAACGAAGCAGTCAGCTCCGCGAAAGTCCCTTGGCAATGACTTGCTCGACCCGAGTGCTGCGAATGCGCCAACACGGCTTTCAGTTGATAGCACATACCGGGAACATGGTGATAGGAATGGGATTGCAACTAACGGAGGGAGGGACAACACTGTCAACAATGGCGAAAGTTCCTCGGTCGAGTCCAACATGCCCTCACTATCGACATCTATATCGATTGGAAGGCCGAGTGAAGACCCATTTGACCGGCCGGAGTCTCCCCCTATACAGGACGAAACACCAAAACATCGGCGCTTCTCCATGCTGAGGTTTAGAAATGCTTCCGACCCCCAGTTGTCCGTGCGGATGCGGCAACAGCAGATGGCCGAGAAACCTCCACCAATGCCAGATCGTATGTTCCCACTTGCAATAAGCCGTCCAGAATTGTTAGTTAACCGTTGATGCAACATTGTTTAGCCCCCGCCATTATCACAACTGCTCCTACCATGGACACCCAGCTGCACCAAAAGAAGTCGTTTATGAAGATTCCCATCAAGATTCGCCGTTCGGGCGAGCTGCCGCGAGCTAGCCATGGTGGACAGCTGAAAGTTGCGGCTAGCCAGAAGGACAGGAGGAAGTCGATGACTCTGCTGGAGGAGGAATCTACGACATCATCTAGGCCCTCCGTCACCTTCCAAGACCCTCGACCCAGGCCTTACAGCTCCAAGTCGCACCCAGGACCTCCCGCGCTTGGGGAACAAGGAACAGGAAGCTCAGCCTTGACTCCACCCGCAAATCGCCTCTCTGAGTCGGAAAGGTCTGAAGCCAGCTCCGGGGAGCATAGTGGAGGCTTTGGCAACACTCCCCCAGCGACTCAAGTCGCATCGTCGAGTAGCAGTTTCTTTCGACTAGGCCGCCGGAAACACAAGCAACCAGAGCCCCTATTCCCTCTAACGCATTTACCACAGAGGAGCAAGACCCCCGGCTTACAACCCACAGTCTCGAACCCTTCCTTGACCAACGTCGCCGAGACAGATACGTCACGGCCCTCGACCGTTCATGGCCGATCTACTCCTATCGCATCCCCTTCTCAGGGACTAGCCCTCAAAGCCCCCAACTCCCCTGCCACAGCCTTGTTCCGTCCTGGATCGCGCAACTCTGGCCAGAGCTCCCCAACACGAGCCCATCTCGCCCTAAGGGGAAGATCCTCAACCATGAGCTCTATGGGCAGGAACTCGGAAGACCACCAGCTTCCAGGCACCGCCCGTACTTCGTCCTCGATTGGGCGCAAAAGCTTCGGCGATCTTCTCGGCTTGAACCGACTACGCCAGAATCCCGACATCAACCGTCAGGGCAGTCTGACTCCAGCTACTCCAGGCTCCATCGCCTCGAAGAACAACTCCCTTCAATTACCAAGGAAAGAAGAATCCTACGTGCTACCTGAACGGCGCGAAGACGACACGCCTGCCAAATACCTAACCCGTGTAGAAGATCTTCTAAGTCGTGGCGTGATAGCGAGTGCGCTCTCCAAAGGTTCCGATCCGTTCTCTGCCTCAGTCTTGCGAAGCTATATGCGTACGTTTGGTTTCTTCGAAGAGCCCATGGATATGGCTATAAGAAAGCTGCTCATGGAAGCCGAATTGCCAAAGGAAACACAACATATCGACAGATGTTTACAGGCTTTCGCAAATCGATATCATGAGTGTAACCCCGGCATCTACACCAGCCCCGACCAAGCTTATTTCGTCGCCTTCTCCTTGCTGATTCTTCACACCGATGTCTTCAACAAGAACAACAAGTTCAAGATGCAGAAGGCTGATTATCTCAAAAACACCCGTGGCGAGGGCGTCTTCGACGACGTCCTAGAATGCTTCTACGACAATATTACTTACACACCTTTCATCCGAGTCGAGGATGAGTTTGATCTCAATGGGAATCGGACAGGTGGCCACAAGACGAATAAGAAAGTCATGTTTCCAAATGGGACTCCGGATACAATGAAGCGGACCAGGGATCCTATCGACCCATACGCTCTCATACTCGATGGGAAACTTGACACTCTAAGGCCGCCGCTCAGGGATCTGATGCCGCTAGAGGAGCACTACAACTACGTTGGTACTGCCAAGGACCTCAACGTCAGAGATCTGCAAAGAACCTTTTTCAAAACTGGTGTCCTCCAAATAGTATCTGCACGCTCACGGCCAGATGCTTTCATGACGGAAAAGACACTGACTAATCCTCAAGAGGCTGAACCAGGCATTGTCGACATCAAAGTCACAAAAGTGGGTACCTTGTGGAGGAAAGATCCTAAGAGGAAAAGGGCACGATCGCCATGGCAGGAGTGGGGAGTCATTCTGACTGGAGCGCAGCTCTACTTCTTTCGTAATACTGCCTGGGTGAAGAATCTCGTACATCAGTACGAGTCTCACGTTAAGTCTGGCCATGACGGCATCCCTTTAATTTTCAAACCGCCGCTTGAGCATTTCAAACCTGACACACTCATGTCAACTGATGGGGCAGTGGCCTTGTTTGACCAGTCCTACAAGAAACACAAGAACGCGTTTGTCTATGTCCGCCATGGAGGTTTTGAGGAAGTTCTTCTTGCCAACGACGAAGACGACAGAAACGACTGGCTGGCGAAACTTAACTATGCTGCTGCTTTCAGGACCTCTGGAGTACGAATGCGTGGAGTTGTTGGTGGCAACTATGAAGGTCAAAGTCGCCGGGCGATCAGAAGATTAGACAGCAGTGAGGTGACACAAGTCATTCAAACGCCGACTGGTGAGGTCAGTATCAATCGTAGCCGCATTGATCATCAGATGGCGCATGATATTCTTGCCGCTCGGCGATTTATGATGCAAGACCGCATTACACAAGGGGAGGACAAGCTACAAGCTGCTGAGAGACGACTAGACGATCACCTGAGAAATGCTAGGCATTTGCTGTTGCTTGCTCCAATCCAGGAAAAGACCCGCGAACAAGTCCGCACAAGTGCAGCCAGTCTCATCGCTCATTTACGATGGTCGCGCACCGAGATTTGGCGACTCAAATGTCACAGAGATATCCTACTGCTGGACTTGGAAGAGGACAGAGAAATCAATGGTGACCTTGAGACTCATCAAGCAGAGACGGACGCCTCGAACCAACCCGCTCTGGGCCACATGGAATCCATAGCAAGCTTACACAACACCGTAGAGCAAAGCCAGCGCCCACCTGCGCCTTTGTCGTTGGCTCCTTCATCTAGTTCTATGATACAGAACGATGAGGAGTCGCCCGTCACTGAGGTCTTTCAGACACCGCCGACCAGCGCAACAGCCTCAACATTCCAAAAGGCGCCAGGCAACCTCGACTCTGCAGCCGCGCATCTTGATTCTGCCAATTCTCGGAAAGCCTCCATGTCAAGCGCTACGTCGTCTGCAGCGCCGGGCCCTATGTCGCCGCCCAAACAGATTGCTAGCCCGACCGCGGGCCCCGACAGAAACCCATACGACGAGCATGATGAGGACGCCGACGAACGACAGCTTTTGGAACAAACGGGTCTGCTCAACCAACAGCTGTCGCGTACCTCGGACGGGCACGAGCCGTCCAAGGCGGCAGACGACACACCCGAACGACACAAACGAGCAAGTGCCACCGCCGCGGATAAGGACAAATTAGATCGAAACAAGATACGGCGCAGCCTTCAGCGCACTCTCAGGGAGAGCACGGGCCACTTATCACACCACCGGAGCAGAAAGGGAAAAGATTCGGCTTCCAGCGGTGGCATGTCTGATGACACCCTTCGCGATGATGTGCTGTCCCGGGGTACCGGAAGCTTCACTGTGCATGGCAAGAAAGCCTCGGTCATCACCTTTGGTGCAGACCTGCAAGGAATATCGTCCAATGAGCACATCCGTCAGCGTAAGCCGCCTCCGAGCGAGGAGCAAGCAAATTCTCCAGCCAGTGCCGATGATGACTTTCGTTCTGTCCTCGGGCAGCCTTCGTCGAGAAAAGATAGGAGAGAATCCGCTGCGAGCGCCAGTACTGCCACCGCGCGATCTTTCCGGGAATTGCACCGGAAATACTCTTCAGCTCAAAACGCGCATAGGGTCACCACTGGCGGTTTGGTTGTCCCGTCGGACGACGATAGCGACGCGGCCATTAGCTTTTCGGATGGCAGAAGAACACCTCTGCCGCCGGTCGAAGATGGGTCCGGTGACGAGGATGACCTAGCCGCCCGACGGGCTGAAGCTCAGTCGAAGCTGTCTCATTACTTCACGCCTGAGCCACCCAGCTCGCCAGTTGAAGAAGTTTCGGAGGAGGACGATGTGGAAGACAAAACGCACCAGTCTAATGAGCGGCTTAGCCCGCCAACTCAAACCATCAGTGCATAACGAGAGGTGTCACTCGGTCTTCACATTATTGCCAGCTTTTTCTCTCCTTTCCAGCAGTTTAGATCTGGATCGAGAAGCGTTTAGCGATCACTTCTTTTTACTGGCGTTTTCGAGAATGAAGCATGCACATGTTAAAGCAAAGGCATGGAATGCATACCAGGCAGATAACGTGCGTGGGCCACTCCATAGTTTATCCCTAGGTATTCCCGACGGTTTGAAGAATGGTTTCACCGTACCGGTATAGTTTTTGGGTGCCCATGGTGTACATAGAACCAGGGAGCCGAACCACGCTCTTCTTAATAAAATGCAGCATTAAAGGATAATTTAAAAAAAGAAATATCATAGTAGTAATATTGATAAACGATTAAATTAACTCGGAAAAAGCGTGGAATTACTACATGTTTCCATAAAGTAAATGTTATTTCACAATAAATCCCCGGGGGGGGGGGGGGGGGGGGGGGGGGGGGGGGGGGGATTTCCTAGTAGTGAGATGCAATAGGGAAGTGATGTAAAATGCATTGAATTATTACATGGAACCTATCGTCACGAGTTATACCGGATGGCTTGTAAGGGTGAGGCAGTATGCATGCTAGGATTAGATGATACAGCATTTAGAATACCTCTAGTAGTGAACCGCACTCCTAGCAGGGCTTTTGCCATTTGGCATCATAAGGTGTCACCAATTCGTTCCTACAAGCAAATGCGGACAGAGAATAAGACATAGTCTCCTTGATACATGGCCAGGTTTGGAGCAACATGTACGATCTAGCTGTGAGGCGCTCTCAGTCCTCTTATGCCACTATGATATCCCATGGAGCTATCTTTTCGGTAATAGATTGCACTGGGAGGGGGTGGGGGCTATGCTCATTTCTTCTTCTTATTCTTCTTTTTGGAACCCCCTGTCGCTTTCTCGACCTTGACAGCACCTGCACCGCCCACAAGCTCCAGAGTCTCCTCCTCCTTGACCGTACCGCCCTGTGTCGCCTCTTGGGCACGCTTCTTGCCCTTCTTGCCCTTGGGGCGGTAGGTGCTTCGATCTCGAAGGGGCAGCCAGCGTTCTGGATCTGGTTTGCTGCCTTCTTCATAATCCTTGGGCAGCCTCTTTTTTCTGAACCTCTTGTTCGGCTTCTGGGGCTCCGAGTCAGCAGAGCGCTTTGTACCGTGCGGCGTGGAAGTAGCCGCTGATGCCACACCAGCATTGATCAGAGCTTGGATGTCAACACCGGATGTGAGCTTGTCTACCGAAGTCAGATTCTTCAGGTAGGGCTCAATCTTGGGGTAATCTGAGGTAGCGTATGAGGCTACCAGACCAGCAGCAGCAATGGTATCACTGTTGGACCGGGCAGCAATGTCTTCGAATGTTGAACCGGCAAGTACTAGATCGTCGGGATTCGACGACTTAAGAAGCTCAATGCCTGCTTCTCGGAGCAAAGACGTAGGCGAGTCTTGAGACCGCGATTTCCAGTGGGCAGCAGCTGTGGCAAGCTCACTCCTGACCGAGTTTTGTCTGCCAAACAAGCGGTATACGGCCACCGTGACAGCGACCAGGCCGGGAGAAAAACGGACATCGTTGTGGTCAGGAGTTGTGGCCTGCTCCATGCGCTTTAGGAAAGCTTCGAGCAGGGTCATTGCCGGTCCAGGATTTTTAGTTTGTACGTAAAGCTGAATGATGGTCAGAAGCAGACCGACATCAGTAGGACGCTTTTCAAGTATAGGCAATATCTCCTTGATGGCCAACTTTCCAGTCTTCAAGTTTGCCTGTGCGGCAGCATTGATCACACCGAGCCCAGCAATTTCCGTAGAGGCCGATGGTGTGGTGGCTTGCAGTATTTGCCTGGTTGTTAACCTCTCGACACCGTCCAGTTTGTGCATTTGGAGGCTCAACGCAAAACTATTACGTCTTAAAACAGCTGCCTGATATTCGAAGAGTTTATCGTTTCCGGAGAGCGTCGTAGCAGTTTCGATCAGGCGCTGTGTCAGATAAGGGTTCTGGCTTTCGGATGCCAAAGCAGTCTGGTTGTTTTGTGCGACAACCTTGGATGACGGCTCGGTTATCCTGAGAAAGCACCCGTTAGCACACACCACAAACATGCACATGTAAACATATATAAACCATGGCCGTAGGAGGAAAGAAAAGAGAAAAAGAGAAGAAAGAAAAAGAGAGGAAAAGGTTAAAACCTACTCAGATGGGACTATGGAGTTTTGGAGGGCTTTCGCCTCGGCCTCCTTTCCAATCCGCGAAAGGACGTAAGCGTGTTGTATGATGAGGGGGAGAAGCTCGGCCTTCTTCTCTTGGTCACTCAAGTCCTCGCTGGCTTCGCAGAGATCTCTTGCACGCTTCAGCAAAATGCTGGCTTTGCTCCAGTCACCACGGGCCACACAACCACAGGCGGCATTGAAAGCGGTTTCGAAGGCCTCGAGGTCTTCGCGCGAGGGCTGCTTGTCCTCGTCGTCCACCAGGTGGCCCAGTCCAGTCCATTGTAGTTGCGCATTCGTGGCGAGGGTGTTGATGTTCAGGTCGTTCTCCTCGCCGGGCTGACCGTCACTCTGGCGGGAGAGGTCTCGGTAGATGTTGGCGGCGTGGTGGAACTTCTCGGCTCGATAGGCGATCTGGCCGGCGAGGTGGCGCGAGGCGCGAGTGAGGGGCTGTATCGACTCCACGACATGTTGGGCGTCAGGCAGGCTTCCAGTCTTGTAGAGGGCATAAGCCTTCTCGAGGGAACATTCCTTCTCAAGCTCGTGTCCACCATCGGTCAGAGCTCGCAGGGCGTCGTGGAAGCGGTCGAGCTTCAGCAGGGCGACGACTCTTGTGTGATGGGCTTGCGTGTTGGACTTGTCTGCTTTGATGGCGGCATTGGCAGCTTTGAGCACTTCCTCGTGGTCTTGGATGGAGGCGGCGCGCAGCAGCGACGTTAGAGCTGCCGCTGGGTCTGACATGGCGAGAATTGGCTGTGTCACGGATGTCCTCCCTACAGCATGATCTCCTTCCCTGGGGCAGCAGCTGAAGCTTGGTGTCTACCCGGCGTCGCTTTTTGCTGGGCGGATGAAATGCCACTCACGTGCTGCTTCGAGAGAGGGGGGGTGGTTTCTTGTGAGCCAGCTGCAGACGGAACAGGACGAGCAGGACGACGAGGACGAGGAAACGACGGGGATAGTGGGACACGGCGCTATTTCACCCCACCAAAAAGTTAACCCACAAAAATCCCATGGGATATGTATATAACTATGTGTACATGTGTGTGTACATATATGGTGTATTTGTGTATGTAAGAGTGGTTGTAAATGCACGCACTCTGTCAATTGTCTCCATACTTCCACGTACATCGTATGCCTTGCGCGAATGCGCGAGTCTTGCTACAAGTGCACCGCGTGCTGTGACGAACCTCAACCCTTCTGCCTAATTATTCATTATTCCATGGAAATTCATCCGTTGACAAAACCCCCTCGCTTTCCATTTAATCTGGGCTCTGCTCTCCAAAGTTTCTGAGTTACCATCGGTCGCTCTACATCCAAACCTCGGACAATTTGATTTCTTTCTTTTCCCCTCGCTTCTCTCTCCTTCTATTCCAACTCGTTTAGCCTCTTCTAAATAAAGAAGACGCTGATGTAGATGTGTGTATACCGTACTGTTTGTTGTCCATGGGCCGCAGCTTGATATGCTTCGGCCATGCTACATGTATGAGCTCGTCCACCCGGCGCAAGTAATAAGACTGTGCGCCCAGGAAGTTGGCGCACTGCTTCCACTTGGGTAGCCTGGAGTTCGCTGTCTTCAATTGATTGTCTGCCTCTGTTTCATTAATGGTTGGCGACAAACCGTGAGCGGGAAGCTTCGCAGAAGCAGGGAATGAATGCTACGTCGTAGCACGAGCTATACAAGGCTGTGTTGATGCAACATATTGCCGATTATGGCTGCCATCTTGCCAAAGCCTTACTACGTGCGAGCCCTCGTGGCCATAAAACATCCCTGAAAAGTTCAAGAATGCGACTGGTGAGGTATCCAAAGGGTCCGGGAATCGCCATTTTCCATCTTGTTCCAGCCTGCCTCTACGGCGCGAGGTTCCTCAAGAACATGCCGCTCTCTCTATCGTCGAGGCGTATGAGATAGCGTATCGGTAGATGATCCAATGCTTTATCCTCCATCAAATTGTAGAGAGGCTTAGGTGCAGTATCTAGTTGTCGGGGTCTGTTTCTCTCAAGACATCGACCATCTTCTTAAGAAAATTCGCAAGTTTCTTCACCGACTCCCCAACGGAGCCAATGAAGTTTAGTCTGACTGATGACGGGTCTGTTTCATCTCTCCCCGATTCTAAAAATGCGCCGGAAAAGACCGCGCTTTTCCTTCGTCGAGGCTTGATACGAATGCATGGGATAGACGGGCCGTGTATCATATGGCTCCGAAAACATACCGTCAGGTTGTTTTGTGACGCGCGAACGACGACTTGGGATCTCGCCAAGTTTAGTGCTGCCCGATGACATCGAGACATACGAAATGCGATTTGAAGTACGAATATGTATCTTCTCTCCGGAACCAATGCTCCCTGGAGGTGTAGTGCTGTGTGTATCAATATGCTTCGGGGGGGTTGATGCTGATTGTCAGACTTCTTTCTCCTCACTTTCTTCAGGGCATTGGAGTCCTTTCCGAATGGTGCAACGGCTGTCTTTGATGTATTGTCCTTTGGTGCAGACAGAGTTGCACGCCGCGCACGACGTTTATCATTAGTCGAGGAGGTTGAACTACTTTTGTTACTCGAGCTTGATGAGCGAGACCGTCGTTGCTCACGCAACACACTGGAAGAACGACCTAGACGATTTGATAAACTATCCATAGTCCGTATAGCATCAATTCTTGACGAATTTGATAAAGATATCATTGATTCGTAGTCAATCACAGGCTTTTGAACCTTGGCCATGGTAAACAAGTTTATAATTGCATTCTTCAACCTCTCCAGGATGCGCCAAAGCGCAGATCTTGAGCGAGCTTTCACGATGCCGCATCAGCATCTCTGATCCCGCATTTTGGGAAAGAATAAACTCACTGTCACCCTTTTCCAAGCGTCTGCCATCTTTTGACAACCTGGAGAAATATGTACGGCGAACTTGTGCCCTGTCAGATCGTATTGACCTCCGAAGCGACTGGACTTCTGATGTTGCTGAGCCGATAGACTCGGAATCAGAGCTTCGGCCCTTGAAAGCTTTCAGCAAACTGAGGCACTTCGTATAAGTCTCGAGGAGCGCGGACACGCCATCGCCTAAGCTTGCCATTACATCAATGTGCAGATAAAATAGAGGCGTCGAACCCTAGTTCACGATACCTTTTTGCTGGCGAGTGATCAAATCCGTCAAGGCATGGCTGAACTTCTCGATAGTTTTGTCCATGGCGAGTGCGGGGAACTGGACGTCGTTCGACTAGCCATTGTTCGTGACTAGCCGCTGCTATATATGGCAGCCTGGCCAATCAAAATATTATCCAACCTTGCACACTCACAAGAGGACCGAATAGGTCTGCCCAATTATTTGGAAGGTCTCTTCGTTGAGAGGGAAAGCCATTGCTAGCCAGTCTTTAAACAAGGCAGGAACACGTGAGACACGGAAAGTTTTCAGCTATATTACCAGAAATAACCGAGCTACAAAATCAACCATAGCTTTCCTTTCACAACCCCCCTCCAACAACAACCAAAAAAAAAACCCCCCTCTCATGTTCCGGAAAGGCCTCTCTAGACTTCCGAAATTGGTAAGGCATGCACCCGGATCTGCCTGCTAATTCGAGTCAGCTGCACGACACGATCCGATCTTCGGTTTGCGCACTTGTTTTCTACCCGTGGGATATTGGCTTGTAATATTGTAAAACTTTCACCCCGAAGCTCCATCAGGCGTGGGGGAATTGGGGCCATGGCAACTTATACCGGAGGCGACTCGAGAGTGCCCCGCGGAAACGGTCCCGCCAGGCCCCATGGACGGGGTATTTGCCCCCTTGTGAGCTAAGACCCGTATTGGTATACTGAGGTGAGATCGTCTCTTTCCCTTACATAATCTCATATAACACAAGACCAAGCTTTCAAAACTCTGTAATTGAAAAGGTCATGGTGCATTTGTGGGGGTATTACCGTGTGTAACAGCTGCGTAAAGGTGGTTGTTCCCACCTGGGCAGCTTGGATACTTTCCCCCATGCGTGATCGCAAGGCCTGGTTACACCAACTGCAAACGGCTCGGGTAATATCTAATAGTAACGTAAGATGGAGGCTCGGGAGGGATTGACTAATTCGTCCATCAGGCTTTGGGACGACAGGTGTGTATTGTATCTGGTAAGTCCTATCGAGGCAATATTGCACGAATAATACGAAATGATGAACCATCCAAGGCCATAGTCAGGAGCTGGCTTTCTGGCCGCGCTAATTGGTCGAGAACGAGCCAGCACAGTCGACCGAATTGCACTTAAAGATTTCATGTTTTTTCTTCTTGGAGCTTTTGTGCCTTTCGTCACTAGCCAAATGCGATGATGGGAACGCAGGAAGAGTGACTTTCTCTAGGTATAGACTTCCTCACGGCCTTCTAGGATGGATATCGAAAGGGTGAAAGAACGACAAACCATTCGATATGGCACACAGTAGCGAGGCGTGCGTGAGAACGACGGGCTCGTAACTGGGAACCAAGGCCGCATTTAGGCCAATAGGAAATTATCCAGCTGCCGTCTCATGGTGTTTAGGATCTTGGTGTTTGAAGTCCTTGTCGTACTGGGAGACCGACCTATGTAGATAACAGCCAAAGCTGAGTGGATGCTGAGAAGTGCCACTGCCTCACCGGAAACTTCCCCGAACCAAGAGACTCGGTCAGCCATTGCCTGCCTTATCTCTGCCATTCTGCTACGATATTGCATGATCCATGTTCAGTCATCATCTATAGTAGTTCCCGCGAACTGATAAGGCCTGGGTGCAGAAGTAAGTGCCGGTGCCAGGAGTAAAGAGGTGTACCATGTCTGCCTCAGCCCGGCTTACCGCTAGATGCCGTCAGGAGGCTGTCCCTGGTAGAATCGCAAGCCGCTGCCTCCAAATCTGCCCTTTGCTGCCAGTAACCTTTGGCACGAAAATGAGCGAACACACGCCAAAATGATGTGACCTGTACAGTGCAGTGTTCACGGTGCTACTGTATCGAGATTCTAGATACATACATCGTTCCAGGCGCTTGGCTTTTCCATTCCATCTCGCTTTACTGCGTGGGGGTTAGTGCACGCCCGCTTCAAGATGTACCTTGCGTTAGTGGTCCGGTACATATGTCCTAAAAATGAACATGTCCTCCCAGCAAAGGGTGGCCTGGATTGATTAATAGCTTATTGTGAGAATAGGTCCGTTCATTACTTAGGGCGAAATAACTAGAACATGCTTGTCCGTGAGGTAATCTTCCTGGGATTCGGTCATTGCTAGGTCGAGCTGGATTACTGTACCTTGACTGTAACTTTAGCTTTCCTTTCCTGCGGTGTGACCAAAAGAGCCCAAGTCAACATCAGGCACAATTATGGCGAATCTTCTTCTCAGCCTCTCATACCCGACAACGTGACATAGATAGTTTGGCATCATTTAAACGCAGCTTTGCGACATGCCTTATCTATTGTGAGTTGTTCTTACGGTGAAGCCCCTGCAAAAAAACACATGGAGACGAACGCATGCCATCAATTGGTCATTGGCAGTAGGGCAGTGGCTGCAGAGCCGCGGCTCATTGCGTCCGTCCCAAACGAATATTGCAATACATCAGCGTGAAACAGTGGTAGATATTGAGATTGATATCCGAATAAAGCTCCCGAGAAGCCGTCGTAGTTTATATGTCGTTATGTTATAGACTTTAATGTTGTAAAACGTACTTGATATAAATGCAATGTACTTGGTAGTCATCGCTCGCGACCTGCATGTGGGTCCATTCTTATGTCAATCGAATGCCCCATGGCGGGGTCAGGGGTTCCGTTCCGTTTCCTACCGAAAGTGAAATCGCACACCATTGTCAAGCAGAATGACACATGGTCATCCAACCGGCCCTGCAACAATTTGCCATCCATTTCGACCTAGCATGAGTGGGAGTTACAGTCTCACGCATTGATGACGATATTTGGTTTGGAATGGCGCATCCGAGACCGCTGGACAGTACTTGGTGCATGGTAAAATGGTAGGCGGCAGAATATATCCGAGTGAACAAACGACGCATGTAAACATGTTGTTATAAGCAAGCGCCAAGGTAGCACTTAGAGGAGGGTATAGTATAGCTGTATTGATAACGGCATTGCACCACTTGACGCGATGTTCCCGCCACTTGTGAGACGGTTGCACTACATAGTAAAGCGCATTCTAGTGGCACACAGATATCGAGCTGGGCGCCCAGTCTGAGAATTATGCCGCTCGGCGTTGTGTTGTCGCATGGTGGGATTCGCGGTGCATATGAGCGAATCAACACACAGGGGCACGCCGCCTTATCTAACCCCCCACAGGCCTGTTCCCTCTTCCCTATCAAGGTTTCATGGTTTTGCGACACTCCAATGTGGTATTTCGTGATGCTTTTTTGGGGCACTTGCTTGTCCTCCGTTACTGCTTGTCTGTCTGATAACGGTACAGGCGGAGGACGCTTGAGCATCCCCTTGTATTAGTACTCCATACCCCGTACCCTACCCACCACTCCTGGGGACTATCACCAGATTCATAGTGGGCTGCAGACCGCAAGCCTCCGCCGGGGAACTCGTAGCTCATTAACGTTCATTCTAATCATCTTTTCGTTTTAGTCCTGACTCGCTTCTCGTCTGCCGCCCTTGCAAGGAGTTAACCTGTCCACTCGGACTCTGTGCTTTTTGTCAAGATCCTGTGATGAACACGCACGACTGACACATGCCTGTCTATCTACATACCTTGGGAGAGATTCTTGACCCACAATCTCCAGAAGTTCTCCAGCCGGGGTGTCTCTACCATCTCGGCCAGGAACCATTCTACGTACCTGTGGAGGTCTTTACAGTGTACAAAAGCGCGCATCCCCCAAAGACATTCATTTCCAATCCCAATCGCAATCCCTGCCCCCGGTCTTGGACTCTGGATTGGATATCTCGGCCATTTCTGGCCTATCGGTTTATCTTCAACGCATACAAGGGCGAGCGCATCCCGCCAGAGGGGCAATATTAATGGTCTAACACCTTACTACACCCTCTTTTTCCGCCGTCTCAACCTGCATTCGCCATCCTCGAACCTGGCTTCGACCACCTTTTGCTGCATTTCGTGTCTTCCCTGGTGACTTGCCATTCTGCTCGTACCCGTCTACCGTCAGAGTTATCCTTGTGCGACATCCCGCGCGCTGTCTCGGCTGCATATCTCTGGTCGCCGCACGATCACAAGCTTGGGCGCATCGAGTCTTCCTTCATTCTGCACCCTTATCACGCCAACCCGCCTGGCAGCCCTACGTCTGCTCCCAGTGCACTTATCAATAGCCGTCCGGTCAGCAGCATTCGGCTCAGGTGTGTTCAAGTGATTTTCTTTTATAGAAAGATATCACACGACACTCTCGTTCATGCTCGCTTTTAAGGTTATTCCATGGACGAAGTAATCCCCACACAGAAGGTGTTTGCATGCAGGGCTCCATAGCGTCACAAACGTCAAAGCTAGAGACCACCGTGCCAAAGACTGGCCGGGAACCACTACGAACAGAGGGACTCAATCATGTCTACTCATTCCACACCATCCCCGCCACAGGGACCCGTACAGGATATTGATGAGACGAAACTACCAAGTGGGCAATGTCGTTACATTCTACTCAACCCGGAGATCAAGGGTCACCGTTGTGGTTGCGTTGGTTTCACTCTGAACCGTTTGCTACCTGGTGTTGCGTGTGAATGTGGTCATCTCTCATGTTATCATATCAAGGGTCCTGAACAGCCCCCAGATAAGGCCCAGATAGAGCAACTTATACGGAGGGTTCAGGCATTGGAGGAGCAACTCGACCGGGAGAACCAGGGTGGTCTGGGCAGCGCCCTGGGAGATGTTGTGAGGCGCTTGGGCAGTCTCGAAGAGCAGTATGAGAAAAGCAAGGAGGACCTCGGACAAGAGAATCGAAATATCTACAGGCAGATCACCAGCGTTTGGCAGTCTGTGGAGCAGACGGCGAAGCGACAGACCGAGGTGCACAACCGCCTGACGATGAATGATGAACGACTTGACGAGCATGATGATAGCATGCAGAAATTGGAGAGGAGATTGATGGAGGCAGACGATGCCGCCATCGACTTGGAAGAACGTGTAGACAGGCTGGAAGACTTGACTCCAACAAAACCTCGACATCGGCGCACTTCCTCTTTGGACTCTGAGAAGTCAAAAAACTTGGACCCGGACATCACTTGGCAGCGTGGGCGTAGTGATACACGTGGTCCGGCCCCCATCACAAGTACAACTCTTACCCGTAGGATGGATAGCACCTCCAACCAAAGTGCGGTGTCGAGTGAAGCAGCTGGACCTTGGACGGTGCATGTATCCCTCATGCCCATGGCGTCTGTAGCCTTTCCTTTTGAGAAAGACACCACGGCTTATAAGCGTTGCTTGTCACGCGGGCTCCACCAGATGATTGCGGTCCAAGGGACTGACAGTGGATCTTTTGCGAATGCAATCAATGCAGCTTTTGGTAGTTTGCTGAAAGGAAGGCCATGGATGCCACTCCAAGCACGCCTTTGCGATGCCAAAACGCTGCAGGGACTACCCATGCTCCGAACTCTCGACCCTGCTCTTGTTGACGCGAACAACTACGACCAGGACTTCCTGAGCAAGCATTGCGCAGTCTGCGGACCCAATGGCAAGCTCGATTCATTGTACATCGCCATGCAGCTGGACTCATTTTCGTGGCACTTCTTGCGACGATCACCGTGCTACATGCAGGGACTGGAGGATAGCTGGGCGTTTGAACCATTGCTGGATCCTAATTCCCCGTCCGAGGATGATAGTATGGACGAGGAGGACAGACCTTCGGCGGGTGATATATTGCCGCCGCTGCAGTCGCTGAAGAGAACGGCGTCGGAGATCTCACGAACCCCGAGTTTCAGCGCTGGTTCGGGGGAAGGACAAGGCTCACGGCCGAAGGTGGCACGGACGGGAGCTTGTGTTCCCGTGCCACTAGAGCTTCGTCGACGAATCGAGACAGTCTAGAAAGAGTTGTAGGTTAGCGAGTGCGTTGAGATAGACTTGCGATTATTGAGATAGATGCGGAGATTGGGCGTTCAAAGGAGACTGCGTACTAGACATTGGGAATGGGGATACCATAGCTCGTTGAGCTGCAGCGTTTGTTTTGTGTGTTTTCCAGGTGTCCTTGACGAGGAGGGCGGTCTGTTGTGGGAGATGGTCACGTGGAGTATACGGGATCATGTAGAGGTTGTCCCGAGTAGACCTCATTGCCGTGAGTGGCCATGTACTGCGTTCACCAAGAAAATAGATTGGTAAATGTCTTGATTTAACATGATGCTTGGATGAAATGATGGTGACTGTGTAATGCGCTGTGCTGGCAAGTATCATCGACTCTATCTCCTGCGAGGGGTGCGGAATTGTTTGGTCGAGCGGGTATTGGAAGCAACATCATTGGTATTGCTTAGATTATGGGAAACAAGTGTGAGTAGATCCCAAGGACTAGCACTGAGACCGCCGAGTATCGTCGTAGGCCTGTTTTGTTGAGTTCTGTTATTTGCGTTTGACTGGGCACGATGAGTGCTTGCTGGTGGATATTTCACAAGTTTATTTCCTTGCACATGGAGCATAAACTGGACCAGGAGTTGATGCACCCGGCAGCTTTTGGCTACCCTCAGTATGAATCATTGGTTCAAGTAGGACACCATACATAGAACAAGCTTCAAATAGCCCTCAGAATCCAGTAGCTGATCTGGAACAGTCAAAAGCATCTCACTGGCACACATGTGTAGCATAGGAAACCTGGAACCTGGGTAATGACGGCTCGAGTGACTCCAGTCGTCGGTACTAATACAAGTGTCGAGGCAACTGTGCCTGCTTAACAAGTGACTGCCTCATGATTATGTGATACCCGCCTGAATACCTACCGTTGTGGTCATGGTAGTGGTTATGGCTGTGGCTGTGGCGCTATAGGCGATGGGCGGTGGGCGGTGGGCGGTGGGCGATGGCGGTTGCGGTAGCGGGGTCCTAGCTCTGAAGGGAGTGGAGGCGCGGCGGACCGACCCTTGCAGGCCTCGAAAGTCGACTCTCGCGTGAGGCTGCCGCTAGGACTAGGACGACGATGCGATAAGAAGAGTCGCTGGTTGAAATTGACTCGACTCGACTCGGCTTGCCTGCATGTGTGCGGTTTGCTTCCCCTCGGCCTCTTCAAGCATCACATATCCTCCGGCGACGACAACGCCCAGCATCATCTCCGGGTAGACACCGAGAAGCAGCTCGCTCTATTGGCAAGATCCTCCCTGCGCAATACTTCACCACCTGCATAATAACCATCAAACTCATTAGCCTTAATACTATCAGCTCTCATACCATCGTGGATATCAACAGCTTTTCTTCCAGCCAATACCTTTTCAACACCATCATACCATTGCAACGGACAGAAAGAAAGAATAAAAGACTGCATCCGAAGCCGCAACCGAAACCCATCATTCCTTCCGCAAAGTGCGCGGCTCGTTCTCACTCCACTCCCGCCCGAATCCAACTTCTGCAGCACAACATCGGCAAAGCGCAGCAAGCAATCAAGGCCGCCAACATGGATGCGATGGAAATGGACCTCGACGTCGACATGGGCGCCGAGCTCGTCCCTGATCAACCAATTGCCTTTCAGGCGCAGGATACACCGGTATGGCCAAGACGCTGTGCTGACGATTTGGAGACATTCACGTACTGACGGATCAAACGGCAGTCACCTGGCGAGGTAGTCGATGCCGAGACTCTAGAGCAACCTGATACTCACACCCTGGTGCCGAACAAGTTGCATATAGCTGGTGGGCTGGACAACTTGAACGACAAGGAAGTAAGAGAGTATATCAAAGAGCATACGGACGTCACGTTCGAGCGGCTCGAGTGGATAGATGACGGCCATCTCAATGCGGTCTATTCCAGCCCCTCAGAAGCCCAGGAGGCCATGGTCGCTCTTGCCGCCATCGAGATTGGAGATGTCACCCAGCTGCCGGCCTTCGAGCTACTTCCAGCTAAGCCCTTCTCACAGAAGTCTGGGGTTGCCTTACAAATACGGGTCGCTGTCGTCGCGGACAAGAAACAGCCTCGTGCGGCGGAAAAGAGCCGCTTCTATCTGCTCAACCCCGAATGGGATCGCGAAAACCGTGTCAAGAGATACCGCGATCGGGACGGCGAAAGAGGTGGCCGCCGAAGAGGCAGGCGCGAGGACGAGCCGATTGATAAATTCGATGTCAATCTCTACGACGACTCCGCTGCTGCTCTGGCCACAGAGGGCGACGACTCGCGACCACGCCGCCGGCGGTCCTATACTCCCGATCACGACAACGACGATCGTAGGAGGTCCTACCGCAGCTCGAACCGGAACAAGGAACTCTTCCCTGGTGGTGGCTCTGGGAGAGACCGCTCTGCTTCTCCGACCCGCGATCGAGATGGGGATCACGGCATGGATGAAACTCGGCCTACCGATGGCTCGGCCGAGCGGAACCGTCGCGGCGCAAGAGCCATCAAAGATCGGCTTACGCGTAGCAACCAGGCCAAGGAGCTGTTCCCCGGCTCTGGTCCCTCCTCGGAAAGCAATCGGTTGAATGACGCGGATGAATTATCCAACCGCTTCGCCCTCCCACTGTACGATGGAAGCCATGATGAGCCGCCTGTGCCTCGCAGCAGGAGGCTTGGTGATCGTATCGCGGCTCCGGGAGGCAGCGGCCGACTGGCGGATCGGTTACCAGACCCTGCCGACTCGACTGGGTTCAGCATCCGAGGCTCAGCTGCGCAACGGAGTGCTGACCAAGGTTTCGCCATCAAGGGTGGCGCCAAGACAGCCAGAGAATTGTTTCCCGACAAGTTGGGAGGAGGCAATGCAGGAAAGGAGCTGTTCGCCGACAAGGCCGAAGGGAGATCACGCAGACGACAGAAAGCGGGCGACTTGTTTGACTAGGAGTTTGGAGAGTTACGATGGGAGCACTGTCATGGCAGAAATGAGAAGCAATTCATGACACTGTCTTGCTCCTGGATCTATATCAACATGATACCTTGCAGGAGCATCTGGAAAGGTTGATGCTGATATCTTGCATCGATTGTGGTGTGGCGTTGGGGGAGTTAATCTGGAGTTGGGCTCTGCTTGGAAAGCCATTTAGATACGACGAATTCATCTGTGCCATAATAAATGGCCAGTCTACGCCTGTACAGCTTTGTCCCTAGCAACTACATATGTGCGTGAATAATTCCAGAGATGCTGACTCGCATATTTTGCACAGAGCAGCCATTAAGAAACAGAATCAAAAGATTAAATAAAATTAAAATAAAAGGGAAGAGGAAAACTGTATATATATATACGTATATGTAAAGCTAGCTCATGTTTAGCGGGGGAGTATGGATGATGACGGATTTGTGAATCCAAGCTGCATGAGCAATGGGATCGGGCATGCGCAGGGACAGGAACAGGAACAGACCAGGAAACACATCAACTAGTTAGTCTCATTGACCTTTGGTTGGCGGCCAATCAACTGCATGCTTGGGTTGAGGTGAGAGCAGGTGAACCTCACGCGTTGCCTGCACGCAGCAACCACGGCCTATCAAAGCAAGCGGCCCAGAAGGCGACCCCTGGATGAAGCGCATGCAGCATGCGACCAGTCAGAAGTTGGAAAAGGTGCGAGTCGCGTCGGTCATTCTTGAAGTGCATCAGGAACACAACAAACAAACCCATGAGCGCGGTCACTGACATTGTCCCACTCCGTCCTGTATAACAAGAAAGACAGGAGCTTCGACCACGGCCATTTTTGTGGGCCTGGACTAGGACTGGTCGCAAACTCTCATACAGTACATACTGAATGCGGTCGACCTCTCGGAGCGGCATGGCCAGAGACAAGCATTGCCGTGGCGCGCTTTTGGAGGTGGGTTTAGTGCCAAGTTTGCTTGCAGTCAAAGAGACGGGATTCAGCGCGTCTTTTGGGCCGCAACTCTAGGCCCCGAAATGGGTCCCGAGACGTGTTAATTACAGGGCAAAGCAGCCTGTCAAGACTGTTTTGTTGTTGCTTCTCTCAGACGCTCTGTTGTGTTTTTTTTTGAGAGGGACTAACTTGGTACTGTGTTTTGTCGGGCACGGCAATGTATGCGCCTACCAGCCACCATAACCGTACCCGTACCCGTATGGGGCACAGCCAGAAGATTGAATTCATGTTTGTGGACAGGAAAGAAGTCCGATTTGCAATCTGTGAATATACCGATGATAACACCTTTGTAGCGCATGCGGCTTAGGGGGGGAGGGGGGGAAAACATGAACCAGTGCGTACGTGCAATATGGACATGTTGTAGCTCCTTGATTGGCCATGAGTTCAGGCGCGTAACGGCCAGAAGTCGGTGGGGTCGAATGCGTCACGGGATGGTAGCAGCGAAGTGAATGATTGACAGCCAGACAGGGGTAGCATTGAGAGTCCAAACAAGTTCAGTAACAACATGAGTTAGATGCATTTGAATAGGTAGCAGAGCATTGCAAGCGATAGTCCAAGTTCTTTGGCCTGTGCTTCTGTCTAGCGCGTCGGGGGACGTGCTTTGGGCGTGGTCCACCGCCATCAGTTCAACTCAACGGCAACCCTGGTGACAGTCCCCAGTGACAAGCCACCCCCCAGGTCCTCCTTTCATCGCCCGTCCGTTCGCCGATTTTACATCTGAGCTTCCCATTCCCACTTAACCCAAACAATCAGCAGCTCACAGCAGCTACCTCATCGCTACAGCGACCACAACCACAACCACAACCACAACATCATTGACGACGACGGCGACAACCGCGACGACGACGATAGCTCTACGACATCACCGTTCAGAACCACCAGCTTCATTTGGCTGCGGCGACAAAAACATTCATTCATTCATTCATTCATTTGTTCATTTGTTCTTTCGTCGATCCCTTCAAAGCGGGCGCTTCTCAAGGCTTCTTAAGCCAAGCATTAATCCACGCCAACCTCGCATCTGGAGCTCAGCATCCCGTTTCAACAGTACCATAGAGCATGCGATAGAGAGTGCCAGTGCCGTCGGAGGGCAGCTTTGGGGAACGTTTGGCTTTGGCTTCAGCAGGAACGCGCATGGACATTTCAAACAAAGACGACCATCACAAGCGCCCCGCAGTCGCAATCGCAATCACAATCACGCTCACAGTCGCGATTGTAGTCGCAGTCGCACTCTCCAATTCGACTCAGTCGCAGTCGAATTCCCATCATCGCCGTTGGTTGCCGATTGTCCTCATTTGCACATACCAAACACGACAGCCACAGAAACCATCCTCGACAACACTCCCAAACCTGAACACCATTCATTACCAACGTCTTGCACGAATATACTCCATTTTCGCGACCGCCGGACAACCTACTTACTTCGCCCCCTTTCCGCTTACCCCCTGACGACTGCCGCTACGCGCAAAGAACCAACATGACGATAGATGCAGAAGGCCCAGCCATGCTGGCACCCCCCAAGAGAGCAGTGGATGATATCAACGGCTCTACTGTACCAACACCACGGAGGATAGCCACCCCGCCTCCGCCCTCAGATCGTGGTCGGCTGGAGGCGAGGTCCAACGGCGACAACGGCAATGCTAGGAGCACCCGCCAAGGCGCAAGGGCTGCAGGCAGCAGCGGTGTCGATCCCGAGATTCTGTCAAAAGCGCTATCCAGGGAGATCACAGCAGACAGGAGAGATAGCACGCCTGGCGCAAGTCCTAGTAGGAAGCGCCAGAGGATAAATGGCGATAGGTATGTGGCCTCCGCCCGTCCCCCCCCCCCCTCCCCCGGCCATCATACTAGCTCTCCCTACAAGTGGCTTCTTGAACAGCGTCGCTAACAGTTCGCCAGATTCATACCCTCGCGATCAGGTCAGGACCTACATGCCAGCTTCAGCCTGCTTCACGAGGAAGGCTCACCAGCCACCCCATCAAGGCAGAAGAAGCGAACCCCCCATGGCGAACTGCATTTCCAAAGGACTGAGGAAGCCAATCGCACATTCTCAACCCTCTTACGGTCTGAGCTGTTCGAGAACACGATACCGCAGGCAACGCCATCGACGTTATCCCCAGACGGAAATGCCCCAGGCTCTAACCACTCTACTCGTGTTCATGATCCAACGAGGTCACATACTCCACCTAACAACAACCCGCCCCCGTCACTTCCCTCATCCTTTACGCCCTCGACGCCACACAAGAATCTGTTCTCCTACATGTCACCGCGCCACCACGCCAATATCGCAGGCCACCCGACGCCCTCCAGGACGCCTCAAAGCCGCCACGGCCCAAATCTCGACACAAGATCAGAAATATATAGCTTATCTCCAGTGCGCTTTGGTAGCCAGCAGATGCTTCTGAGTCCCCGTCGCCAACCTAGAGCTGTGTCAAAAGTCCCGTACAAGGTCCTAGATGCCCCTGAACTGGCAGACGACTTCTACCTGAACCTTGTCGATTGGGGCAGTGCTAATGTTTTGGGTGTTGGTCTCGGTTCCAGCGTGTACATGTGGAACGCCCAGACAAGCAGAGTCAACAAACTTTGCACTCTCGAAGATGATACTGTAACAAGTGTATCTTGGATACAGAAGGGCACCCATCTCGCCATCGGCACTGGCAAAGGCTTAGTCCAGATCTGGGATGCCGAGAGATCACGGCGGCTAAGAACCATGACGGGCCACACTGCGCGTGTAGGGTCACTGGCATGGAACACTCATATATTGACATCAGGCTCAAGGGATCGCCTGATCTATCACCGAGATGTTCGCGCTCCCGACCAATGGATGCGGAAGCTCGTCGGCCACAAGCAAGAGGTCTGTGGGCTGAAGTGGAACTGTGACGACGGGCAGCTTGCCAGTGGTGGCAACGATAATAAGTTGATGGTCTGGGACAAGCTCTCCGATACGCCACTCTGGAAGTTCTCCGACCACACAGCAGCTGTCAAGGCGATATCATGGTCGCCACATCAGAAAGGTCTTTTGGCTTCTGGCGGCGGAACTGCCGACAGGAGAATTATCTTCCATGACACAGTACGTGGCACGGTAATCAACGAAATTGATACCGGCAGTCAAGTCTGTAATATCGCCTGGTCCAAGAACTCCAACGAAATCGTCTCGACGCACGGCTACAGCCAGAACCAGATCGTCGTCTGGAAATATCCCTCCATGACCCAGGTGGCCAGTCTGACGGGACATACCTATCGTGTGCTGTACCTTGCCATGAGTCCAGATGGTCGTACAATCGTCACAGGTGCTGGCGATGAGACACTGAGATTCTGGACCACATTTGGGCGGAGACCAGGCGCCCGCGAAGACTCCGAGGGTGGCGGGGGACGGCTTGCGGAGTGGAGCGTTATTCGGTGAACGGCTTCGGATTTTCTCGCTTCAGCTGAACTCAACTCATATTCGATTACGACACCTCAACTCCATCAAACCTTGTACGGCTATAATGACCACGAGCCGCACAATCCTGAGACCTATCACTGCTACGACCCCTTGATGATCATGAGGCAAGACACATCTTGCACATAATAGCCCCACGAACCAATTACTTGCATCCGGCGGCGTTCTATATGGAAAAGGGAGATCTTTGCAGGGTGCAAAAATCGCAAATCAATTCTTTAATCGCAAACAAGCATATCGCATGTCCATATTTTGTTTTGCACGAGCGTATACATTTACTTCTACCAATATTTTAGCCATTCAGCGAAGGTGTCCTAGGGTTGGGAACAGGTTCGCCCACCTGGACTAGGAAGAGAAAGGACAGGCGATTGCTCTGATAGTAACCAGTTGTATCATAATCGTGAGCACCACGCCGTGCTCGTCTCGAGGGGCTCTCAGGTCCAATATGGTCAAGGTCGCAGTTTGGTAGATAGCAAACAATCGCACTCGGCGCAACATGGCGAAAATCTTTTGAGCTTGTTCTCATCAGATGTTGTGCAACTAACCTGGATTCACCTTGCCGTGACTTGTTTCTCTCTCTCTCTCTCTCTCTCTCTCTCCCTCTCTGTCTGTGTGTGTGTGTGTGTGTGGACTGGGAATGTTTAAGAAACCAAACCGGGTGAATCTATTTATATCAAGTAGACCATGACAACATCGCCGGTACTGACTAACCTAGGTCGTTTCAACTATTAAGAAGCCCTTTGTGGGTGGATAATTCAATCGGGAAGATTATCAGAGTTGGACCGTGCGAGACAAGAAAACGACCGTATAGAAATATACTCATACATGAAGAACGATTAGAGAGCATGAACATTGTTACTATCTATTCCTTGCTGGCTCTTAATTTCGTAGCATTCGTGTATTATAAACATGTATTGCAAGGGGTATCAAGTATTGGAAGAGAACATTCTAGTCCGTCAGCGACATATCCGTGCCCTTGAAAGCGAAACTCCATAACGACAAATATTAGACTTTCCAAATGTTCGTAATCCCAGCTAAGCAGCCATTCCATAATGATGAGGGGTGGAGACTGTTGTGATGAGACCCAAGTCCTTCTCGCCGCACTTAATGAGTCGGAGGTCCCGTTCCCTTGGCAAGTCTCTTCCTGGCCACATCTCTCGCGCTCGAATCTGTGTCGATAGAGGAAGAAACCACATCCGCCTCGGGGTCGAGCAAGGTAGCGTGCTTGTCCTCAGGCTTGCGTTCCTCGTTCAGGAGTGGAATGGACTCGACATCCATGTTACGCCCACTAGCCGGATCGACGACACGTACCGTACCCTCCTTGGCTTGTTGACGCTCTCGGGCCTGCATCTCCATCGAGGCGTCAAAGATTGGTGCCTTGCCCTTGTTCTCGTCCGCGGGCGTCATAAGAGGAGACGAAAGCATGAGTTCTGGGCTGCTTTGCCACTTAGCCACCTCGGCCTTCATGGTCTCAAGCTCTCTCTGGAATCTCTTGCCAAAGACGTCGATATAATAGGTAGAGCCGTTGTACACGCTCCAAGTGAAGACAGTCATGAGGAAAGCAGCTGATGCCCAGCGGCTGTAGAACCACAAAGGACACGGTATCATGGTGAGAACAGCATAGGAGTACTGTATGAACATGAATGCAGGCTCTTGCAGGATATCGGGAAGCGACAGCACAACCTTGCCGATCCAGGCCTTGGAATATGATTTCCGCAACCAGGTGAAGGATGTTGGTCGCCCGGCAGCGATCTTCTCGCGGCGTCGCACGGTGATGAGAAAGTAGTAAGCCAGCTGCCAGATCAGATAAGGAACAGTCGACCAGGCTAGCATAGATATGACGTTGGCGTAGGCTGTAGGGGTTCCGGGTGGCGACGTCTTGACAGCCCAGATGGCGGGAAAGCGGTCTCGCTGTAATGCCTCTGGGATGAGGTGAGTGATGCAGTGAAGGGTGACGCAGGGCATTATATGAATGAATAGAGAGGTGACCTTGTCGAAACTGTGGAAGACGAGGGAATTGCGCCACATGATGATGGCGACGGCGTTGTTGCCGAATGCGAGGCAGTACGTGGAGACGAAGAGGCGTTTGGAGGCAGGGAAGGCCCAGACACTGAGGAACACCAGCAGGTTGACGAAGTAGCACAGGTCGGCCAAAAAGTAGTGGTAGCCTCTCTTGTGGTAGGTATAGAAGCGGATGGGCATGAAGTAGAGCAGCTGGGCTGTGTACCAGATGTGAAAGAACTCGGGATAGGCGCCGATGAGGTAGCCACTGATGAAGATGTTCATGACACCACATATGAAGGAGACCTTTTCGCGGGCTGTTATGATCTTGGTGTCGTTCCACTGGCGGCCGAGCCTGTCGACGTTCTTCTTCATGCGTGCCCGGTACTTGTCGAGGCGCTCCTCGGCGGTAGGCACGCGGCGCCGCCACTCGTCCACCATGCGCTCCTTAGCAAGATGGCTTTTGGATTTGAAGGCATCTCTCGACTTGCGGACTTTCTCGGTTTGGGCAGATATTCCCTTCTGGATCTTTTCCAGCTGCTGGGGCAGGGCAAAGTTGTCGAGTAGATCGAGGACGCTGAGCCGATCTAGAGGTGGAAACGCCTCCCAGTCTTCTTGATAGGAAGAACTGCCGGAGAAGGAGGGATTTCTCGACAGCTTTGGGCTCCTCGCGGGGCCCAGGGTTGGAGTATCGCCGAGGGCGTCCTCCGGGGGTGAAGCGCTGAGCGGTGGTGAGGTAGTGGCGTCTGGGGTAAGGACTGGCTCACTATCCGTGTGACCACTGTCGTATTTGGAAGGCGGAATGGGCATGGGTAGAGTGCTAGAACTTGAGTCTGCCATCTCGCTGATAGTATGGGTGGGATACCGCTTGAGATCGTGGCGGAAGGAGACTAGCCGAAGCGCATTGGCTCCCCTAACAATCAAGACGTCAGCCATGAGTACCGGGAGACGATGGGCAACAAGTTGAGCCAGGTTCAGTGTGATGGATGGATGAAGGCATGGTCCCGACTATGTGAGAGGCCGAGAAGCTTGGAGGGCCAGAGAGGGGGAGCTCACTATATGCAAGGAAGGGCTCGTCCGTGGCCAAGTGTCGTGGGGTTGAGCTGAGTTGCGTTGTTGACTCAAGGCGGCGTATGACCGCAACTACTCTTGTGACGGATGGCGATTTTGGGTCACAACGGCAGTGGTTTACAGGGCCGGTTCAGACGCGAGCCGGGCAGGCCAAAGGTGATGTTGTGAAAGATGAGGGTCTCCAGGGCTTGTGCCTAGTCCTGTAAACGGTCGTGGTTGCAAGTCGTGTTGGTTTGGGGGCTTTTGGTTGGCCGGGAACGAGAAGACGAGAACTCAGACGGCTGCAGCTCGTGAGGGTCCAAGGTTAGAGCGCGGCTTTAGGCCTGAAATCTGTCAGGTGGCGTCGGAATTCTGATGAATGGGAATATACTGTGAACGGCGTGGGATGGCTGCTGTAGAGAGAGTTTGATGCATACCAAGTATTTGTAGTGCCGTTGATGCTCGAAGCTCGATGCTCAATGCTTGATGCTGGATCCTGGGCAGACTACTGTAGTGAGAGCTTGGGGGTTCGTATCCACCTTTTTGCGTGACTGAAGACGGGGACTGGCTGTAACTATGTAATACCTTTCGAGTTCATGAAGAATGTTGGGCTTGACAATATCGAGGATCAAAGATGGCAGTGCAGAGTTGCTACGTCAAGCGCGGTCGAAGATTGCGCGAAACATGACCACGAATAAGAAAGGTAGAAGGATTATTAGGCAGTGGATATGAATTATGTTTGAGCTGGCGATTTGCGATTTTTTGTCAGATCCTGAACCTGATCCTGTCCCTGCACCGAGTATTGAGGTTGTTGACATGTGGTCCCCTGCTCAGAAGAGTGACGTCTGACCTGCATCAAGACCTCCACGGTACTTGGCCAGAAGCCAGACGCGCCATGATGCTACTGTGCATGTCCACTGAAAACCCACTGGGAACCCACTTGGCTGCCGCTCGCTTCAATGGACGGACGGTGAAGTCCACAGCAGCAAAGAATTAGTTAGCTGTCTGCTGTGCACCACGCAGCAAGATCTGACCAGTGTCGACCAGCTGGTCAGCAGTCAGCGGCCAGTGGGCAGCTCGAACTGCCTGTCAGGTTTGTGTGGGCTCGCAGGCTCGGCAGGCTAACGGAAGTAACTAAGTACTACACGAACATGCAGCGTGCATGTTGAGAGGCAGTTTACACGTCCGCACACCCTGTACCGAGTCGGCCAACTGGGAGGTCAAAGGTCCCAAAGGTCCCCAATATTCCAAAAAGCCCCCCCCCGCGAATTGACACTGGAGGATCCAAGACACCAAAAGTCGCGTTCTGCAGGGTAAATAGCTGTGTCGTGAGAAATTGCGATAGCTTCATTTGCTTCCGCAACCTTGCCCATACTTGACTTGACCAGTATATACACCCCCTCGCATCCCATCCCGACGCACTCAATTTAGAACCAGCGACCTGCGATGCCGTGATTGCCGTCTTCATCTCGCGCCACCACCACTCTTAGGTTTCTCTAGCACGGCGCGTCGCAAACAAAGTCGCGTCTCCCCCCCTCCAACCTTCACCTGCCTTCGTACATGTAGTTGGTTGCTGGTAACGTCCAGCATCACCACTCAAGATGGGCAAGCTCATCCGCCTCGAGTTGTTCAGTAAGTCCCACATCTTCTCATATCTACCCTTCCCTTGACCCCCCCAGCTAAGCCAACCCACTACAGACTTCAAGTCCTACAAGGGGCACCACATCCTTCTGTTCGGCGACTCCTACTTCACCTCCATTATCGGCCCCAATGGATCCGGCAAGTCCAACTCGTACGTCTCTCCTCGGCTTGCCCTTCCTCCCTCCCCCTGCCCTCGAGTCCTAACATATCACAATCTCCCAGCATGGATGCTATATCCTTCGTCCTGGGCATCAAGTCGTCTCATCTCCGATCCGCTCACCTCAAGGACCTGGTCTATCGAGGCCGCGTTATGAAGACTTCCAAAGTCAACGACGACGGTTCTGCTGATGCCCCTACCAATGGTGACCCCAACGGTAATGCGACCGCCATCGACCAGTCCGAACACCGCCCAACTCGCGGTGACCCCAAGAGCGCATGGGTCATGGCAGTCTACGAGGATGACGCCGGCGACGAGCAGAGGTGGAAGCGCTCAATCACGAGCCAAGGCGCCAGTGAATATCGCATCAACGATCGCGTCGTCGCCGCCCAGCAGTACAACGAAGCCCTCGAGGCTGAGAACATCCTGATCAAGGCCCGCAACTTCCTAGTCTTTCAAGGAGACGTCGAGGCTATCGCTGCCCAGTCTCCTCAGGATCTGACCCGTTTGATCGAGCAGATATCCGGTAGCTTAGAATACAAACCCGAATACGAGAGACTCCAGGCCGACGCCGACCAAGCGTCCGAGACCTCAAACTTCCAGCTTCAGAGACGCCGTGGCATCAACTCCGAAATCAAGCAGTACCAGGATCAGAAGAAAGAGGCCGACAACTTCCAGAGCAAAACCGACGAGCGTGACGCCGCCGTCGTAACACACATTCTGTGGAAGCTCTACCACTTCCAACGCGTAATGGACGAGTCCAGCGCCCACATTCAGGAACATCAGGAGAACCTCAAGGAATTCCGACGCAACGTCGACAAGTTTGAGAAGGAGCTAGAGACTGCCCGACAGGCGCAGGCCAAGGCGACTCAAGAGGTCCACAAGGTCGAACGCCAGATAAAAAAGCAGGAGAGGTCCCTCGAGGAGAAGGAGAACAGCCTTGTCCCCATTGAGGAAAAGATCCAGCAGACCAGCCAGGCTGCCGACAAGATCCGCTCCAGGATAGCCACCGTTACCAAGGAGCGTGACGACCAAGCCAGGTCTATCACAAAGATCGAGAAGGACTTGGCCGTCGTCCAGAAGGCCCAGAAGCAGTTCGAGGACCAGTGGAAGGAGACTATGAAGAAGCAGGGCAAGGAATTGAGCGATGCCGACCGCAAAGAGTACAACACCCTTCGCGCTCAAGCCATGACCAAATCTTCTGAAAACCAGGTCAAACTCGAAAACCTCACCCGCCAGCTCAAGACGGACGAGGTTACCGTCAACAGTCTCAAAGGCAAGGTCGAGAACTATCAGGCCGCCGTGGAGAAACTGGAGGCAGAAGTGGCCAACATCAAGGATAGAAGGACCACCGTGCAAGAAGTCGCCAAGCAGATCTCGGGCGAAATCGATGCCAAGAAGAAGGAATTCAACCAGATCCAATCTGAGCGTGTTAGGACCAACCAGCGAAGGACCGAGCTAGACGAGAAGCTTCAGGATGTTCTCAGAAAGTTGCTAGAAGCCGACGCGGGCCGGCGGCAGAACGACAGGGAAGCCAGGATGAAGGACATGGTGGCATCGCTCAAACGCAGCATTCCCGGAGTCAAGGGCAGAGTAGGAGATTTATGCAAGCCGAAGCAGAAGAAGTTTGACGAAGCTGTCATTACTGCTTTGGGTCGTGACTTTGACTCGGTCATTGTCGATTCCGAGAGAACCGGCCAAGACTGTATCAAGCATCTCAAGGAACAGCGCTTCCCCGCCATGACTTTCCTGCCTCTCGACAACATCAAGGTCAATGCCGTCAGCAACGCGGTTAAGGGCATACAAGGTGCTCGGCTGACTATTGATACCATCGATTTCGATTCCTCCTTGGAACGGGCAATGACTTACGCTTGCGGAGGTTCCATCGTCTGTGATACACTAGACGTTGCCAAGGACATCTGCTACAATCGCAGGATACCAGTCAAGGCAGTGACGCTTGAGGGCTTCGTTATCCACAAAGCAGGTCTGATGACTGGTGGTCGTGGGCCTGAACATAAGGGCAAGCGACGCTTCGAGGAGCACGACGTACAGAATCTGCGGAAGGAAGCCGACAAGTATCGAGACGATATCGAGAAGCTGCCCAAGACAGACCGTCGTGGTGCCGCTGAGGAGATCCTTCAAAGCGACCTAGCAGGTCTTGAGCAACGACTCGCTTACGCCCGCAGCGAGCTCGCCGCATTTGACCAGAACCTGGCCAGCGTGAAGAGGGAGCTTGAGAACGGAAAACGTCAGCTTAAGGAGTTGCAACCCAGATCCAAGGAAGAGAACAACAAGCTACAAAAGACTCGATCCACAGTGGACAAGTTCAAGAAAGCCATTGCTGAGGTCGAGGACAAGATCTTCGCTGATTTCTGCGAGAGACTCGGTTATGCCGACATTCGTGCATACGAGGCTCAGCAGGGCAGTCTCGAACAAGAAGCAGCGGAAAAGCGCAATGAATTCGAGCTCCAGAAGTCGAAACTGAACAACAGCCTTAATTGGGAAAAGTCCAGATTGAATGACTCCGAGAGCCGACTACAGCGCATGCAAGATGCCTTGCGACGCTATGAGGAAGATATTGAGAATTACGAAGCGGAGAAGGAGGAGATCGAACAGTCCATGGGCAGTGATCAAGACACCCTTGACGCTTTGCAGGAACAGTTCGACAAGCTCAAGGACAAACTCTCAGAGCGCAATCAGAAGGTGAACGATGCGAAGGCCGACGTACAGAAGAGGAGCAGGGATATCGAAAGCAGACAAAAGGCTATCAATGCTTTGGAGACAGAAGTTCAGAAGAACAGTGCCGGCAAGTTCGCTTTACTGAGGCGGTGCAGGCTTGAGCAGATCAGTATCCCACTAACGGAGGGCTCTTTGGATAACTTACCGAACGAGGACAATCTGCTCCAACAAGACCCAGATGCGATGGACGTCGATGAAGGCGGGGAGGACGCCATGGAAGAGGCAATGAACGACTATGGAATCGAGGTCGATTTCAGCCAACTGGCGGAAGACTTGAAAGATGTATGTTTCTGTGGAGGCCCTCTTATTCGTTCAACGCTAACAGAAGCAGCCCGAGGATGAATCTGTGGAGGATAAGCTGCAAAACAAGATTTCTTCCTTGACATCTGAGCTCGAAAAACTGAATCCCAACATGCGTGCCATGGAGCGACTAGAGGTCGTGCAGACTAGGTTGACCAATACTGATCAGGAGTACAATGCTTCGAAGGAAGCCTACAGAGTTGCTCGTGAAGCATTCGATGAGGTCAAGGCAAAGCGGTTCGAACTCTTCAACAAAGCCTTCTCTCATATCCAAGAGCAGATCTCACAAGTATACAAGGACCTGACCAGGTCGGATAACTACCCTCTAGGTGGTCAAGCATACTTGGATATCGAAGAGGACACTGACAAGCCATACCTTTCCGGCATCAAGTACCATGCGATGCCGCCGCTCAAGCGCTTCCGAGACATGGAGCACTTGTCTGGTGGTGAGAAGACCATGGCCGCTCTTGCACTACTATTTGCCATTCACAGTTATCAGCCTAGTCCGTTTTTCGTGCTTGATGAGGTGGATGCTGCCTTGGATAATACCAACGTGGAACGTATCAAAAACTACATCCGTGAACATGCTGGCCCGGGTATGCAGTTCATTGTCATCAGTTTGAAGACTGGATTGTTCCAGGATAGTGAGAGCTTGGTTGGTGTTTACAGGGATCAAGAAGTGAATAGCTCAAGAACTCTCACGCTAGATGTAAGTTCCTATATCTCCAGTGTTCGAAGACTCAAGTCACTGACCTTTTCGATAGCTTCGGAAATACGCGTAAGACACGAGCAGTGGCGGGAGAAGCTGTTTTTGTTTGCGGAGTTTGGAGATTTTGCACACGGTTTCATGAAGGGTCGGTCAATCGGTTCAGGGGATCAAGACCGGGGATTCTGATCGCGTAGCTTCCGATAGGTTCCCTGTTTTGGAGCGGATTGGTCTTGTATTATATTTCGGACCGAGCCTTGTAGATAGCTGGGGCATGTCGCAGGGCCAAATTTTATGCTAGATACCCTGGTGTCTAATTATTACGCACTTGTTCAAGTTTCCTTCCTCCCACAGTATAGGTGCGTGAATGAGACACACCATACGGCGACAAGTCATAATGAACCTCAAGCAAAACAAGGGTGAGTGCATGCGGTATAGTCACCAGAAATTTCCAGGGGCCATCTTCTATATTCAGCTGTGGCTCTCGAGTTTGACATTTTGTTTCTCATTTGTTCAACAGTTCTGTATAAATCGGGCACACATTTTTTTCCGGAACTCTTCGAAACTTTCCAATACTGGACAGGTCGCTGGGGTTTACAGAGAAAGGGATTGAACGCAAGAGAGAGATATTGAAATTATTTTACTGACTAAACTCACGCCACATCTATCAAGCTTGTTGAACCCAAATCTACCCACTGGATTGCTCCAGCATCATGCATGTCGTAAGCTCTTGAACTCCTGTGAAATACGTTGAGTATCTCATGCTCGGCCCATGCCAGTGAAGCCCAAACGCCTAAAATGCAAGCAGAATTTCCCACCTCATGTCCTCTCCTCGAAAATGCCCAGTGGCCCTTTCAGTTTGGTGAACATCTCCTCTCTCTCCCCCTCGGCGGTGCTCAGCGCAGTGACAGCGCCTCCGGCCCCGATCCTCCACACCTCGGTCTCACTGCCGTCCTCATGCCGGACCGTCTCGTCGTCCCACCTAAACATGCTCCGGATCGTGACGCTCCAGTCGCCCTTCCCGGTCACGTCCATGTATCCCACGACCCCCGAATACAAGCTCCGCTCCTGGTGCTCCTCGATCTCCTGCAAGATCTCGCAGCTGCGCTTCTTCGGCGCGCCCGTCATGCTGCCGGGCGGCAGGCTGGCGGCCAGGACGTCCATGCCCGAGTAGTCTCCCCCCGGCGGGAGCCGCCCCTCCACCACGCTGATCATCTGGAAGACGCTCGCGTACTCCTCGACCTTCATCAGCTGCGGCACCCCGACGCCGCCCGGCCCGCAGACCGCGTGCAGGTCGTGCCGCACGAGATCCACGATCATGAGGTTCTCGGCCTCCTCCTTCGGGATGTGCAGGATCTGCTCGGCCTCCGCCAGCGTGGAGCAGGCCGGCGACTTGCGCACCGTGCCCTTCATGGGCCGCATGGAGCACAGGCCGTCGCGGCCGTACTCGAGGAAGCGTTCGGGCGAGGACGAGATGAGCGTCGCGCCGCCCAGCCGGACGTACGACCCGAATGGCGCCGGCTGGCGGGTGCGCAGGGTGCGGTAGACGTGCCACGAGCTGGGCGTCTTGGTGGCGCTGGATGGTGCCCAGCCGTCCGTGGTCACGGCGTCCGCCCCGGAAGCGTAGGCTGGGTGTCGTGTGATGGTCGTTTGGTCTGTCAGGCATAATTCGTACGAATCGCCTGCCGCGATGTAGTCCTGGCAGGTCCGCACCTTGGATTCGTACTGTTCCGGATTGGGAGTCACGATTATTGGTGGACTCGCGACCCCTGTGGGCGTAATGGGCGGCGTGAAGTGGCTGGTACTTTTCAGCTTGTTATGATTGACGCGCAGACCATCAGTCCAAAGGCTGGAAGCCTGCAGTGTGGTCGCAACTGAATCTGCCCACTCTGTTCCGACCTCATCAGAAGGGTGCAAGTTTTGAAGGCGCAGTGTGCCTTCAAGATGATCGACTATGATGCTTCTCGTGACCCACGCAAAGCAGAGATCTGGTCTGTGGTGCTTTCTCGAGCCTCCGGCCCGAACATCTATACACTCCAGACCCAGCTCATAGCTGATGTAACCCATGAAGCCTCCCAGAAAAGGGGACTCGGTATCCGAGATGCTGAGCCGCCTTTGGCTCATGAAGTTTGATAATAGATGCCATACCGTTTCCCCTTCCTTCAGCTGGATGCTCTCACACCCCCTTCGTCCCGATGCGGACAAAGGAGGCGGGCGAGCGATCAGGTGGCGATCGCCCACATGATACTCAAGCCTCAGTGAGTCTTCTACGCCTAGAGCGATGATACTATAGCGACCGCGAACGTCTAGCCCTATGCGGTTGGCATGAGCGCTGGCCGAATCCAGGACGATATGTTGTTGCGCGTTGCTCTGCAATAGCTCCACGATGTCCGGCACTTCGACGTGGGAAGGCAAGGAGATGCTCTTAGAAGTGTACTGCAGACCAATCCCATGGGCCTCCATTTCTGAAACAGTGCTCAGATCGGCTTGTCGCACAGCTGCCGAAGTGGCTGATTGCTGCAGGAGACTAGGCGCTCTAGAACCCGGGACTGAACCTTGCGGCCGTGATTTTGTTGTGCGACCACGCTCTTGGTTCCATACAAGTCCTCTTTTAAACCAATTGCTGATTATTGCATGGCCACTCGACTCCGAGCACACAGACTCAGGATGATACTGCAGGCCCCAGAAAGGTTTTGTCGCATGCTTCATTCCCATAAGGATGCGTTCGGTGGTATTTTCTCTCCTCTCCTCAACCCAAGCCAATGGCACAATATCGGAGAGACCTGGGTTAGACACCCATTTCGACGCAGGCCAGTCTGTCTCTGATATAAAATCTTGGCCGATGTCTGCACAGAGACTGTGGTACAGCGTCGCCTTGAATGGTTGGACTCCAGCGAATATACTTCCATCACCGGGTGCGGTCTTGTCAGAAAAGTCAATGGGACGGATCATTCCGTGGAGGCCGCCTCCGGGGATTTTCCTGATTTCCGCACCACAGCTGACTGCGAGGCTTTGGAAGCCCAAGCATATCCCGAGCACGGGAAGGAGATGTTCATCTTCCAGTTCCCATATGTGCTTTATCAACCCAACGTCGGCATCATTGGTCGGCGCACCTGGCCCAGGCCCACATACTACAGCGTCGTAGTATTGCAGCTCCCGTCTCAAGTCGTCCTGGAAATTAGTGGACTTTGGGTCAAACCGAGGTGAGTCAATGTGTAAGATATCCACATCGGCTCCTAGGAGCGTAGTTAGCAGGGAGACAACATTATTGCTGAAAGAGTCATAGGCATCGAGAAATAGGATCCTAGTACGGGCCATATCTGTATAAATTGCGAGCAAACAAATGCTGCAATGCACGAAGTATAAACAATCCTCCAGCAACTGATCGATTCTGGCACGGGAGTGGGCGGGAGGCGAGCAATGAGAAAATTCAGCGGGCCGGATCCATGTCCTTTAGCCCGTTGTGGTAAGAAATGGGTCGAACGGTACTAAGTTTAAGCTTAATTCAACCAGGACCCTGACGGGTAGAATCGGGTAAGCTCACCTAGGAAATTGTTTGTTCGATCGACGTGCAATATGAGGAGATGCTTGTATAGATATGCCCCCTGCACGAGATATAGATGTCTATAGCAGAAATTATTTTCGGACTACGTATAATGATCGACCTCGATAATTAAAGCATGTTTCAACCACAGAACTTATCGAGGTTGCCAGTTAAATCTTGAGCGTACCAAGAGAAAGCTACAAGAGAAAGATTGCATGGGAAGGTATTATATTGAGAGAGAGAGAGAGAAAGAAAAGAAAGTAGAAGGAAAATATATATCTTGAATTAAAGGGCCCTCTCGCCTTGCTAGCATTATCTACGGGAAGTAGTAGTCGGTGAAAAGAATGTTGATTGGAAAAAGGTAGGCCACGTGACCGGCATAACACGCCGTGCCTCAGACCTGCAAATGCTGAGCATTTTTTGCTTCATGTGCGCGTTACAACGCTGCGATATCTCCGAATGCACTGGAAAGTATGCACCGTCACCATTGGGATCTCTCTGCGGAGTACCAATGAAAGACTACAGCTATAGACAACTTAGTTGGTGGCTATGTGTAGAAATCCCCGCAACAAATTTACCATGGCAAGTCATTAGATCAGTGTATATACCGACAACCTCCCGGTTGCCAATCCGATGTCGAAAAACTCGTAGAGACCGCTACATCGAATTGGTAACAGGCCTTAAGTAGACGTTCAAGTCCGGCTTGAACCATAGCTGGTAAACTCTGTTCCTTTCAATCCAGTTGTTACTGTCACCAGCCAGCGTCAAGTCAAAGGTGAAAAGGAGCTTGGCTAAGACCAGTCGCATCTCTGCGTATGCCAGTCTTGTAGAGAAAGTTAACGACAGCTCTCGCTGATACCAGGAAAGAACTTACGATCGGCCAATGCAATTTCTCGGTCCTAATGAGAATGGCTGAACAGCGTCAAGACGGTCGCCAGCGAATGACTCGCTGCCAAGAAAACGTTCGGGGTGGAACTCGTTTGGTAGTTTGAAATGTCGCTTGCTTCGGTGCATTGCTAATGCCCAAACACTTACAACTGTCTATAAGTGGAACCATTAATATGAAAGACCTCTCTCTTGGGACTTGAGCAAGTGGGGCTCACTCTTCCTGGTACAAATGTGTTGGCAATGTTTGTCCCTCCAAGAGGTGTCACTCTGGGTAGACCATTCGGAACTGGCGGATAGAGGCGGAGAGCTTCATTGAGACAGGCCAGCATATACGGCAAACCATTCACAGAAGTTAAAGTTATGTCATTGGTGTCCTGAAACGTTGATCGTATTTCCTCCGTGACCTTCTGGAGGTGGTCTGGGTGTGTCAAGAGTAAGTAAGTAATACCTGTCAGAAGAGTGGCGGTGGTTTCTGAGCCGGCGACTGCCAATCCGCCAGCGTTGGCTCGCAGAGTCTCGAAGCTGAAATTCTGTAGAACGGTATCAGTATGAGACACACCGAGCTGGACTTATAAGGAGGAACCGACCAAATCGTCTTTTCTGTCAATTAGTCTGCCGATAATGTCTGGCTCGTTGTTGCCGATATCGATACGCCGTTGAAGTTTCTGGCGAGTAATGTCGTTATGCTTAAGCCTGTTTCTCCCTGCTATTTTGGAGATTAAGCCAAGAAGCGGTTTCAAGCCAATTACAACTAGGGCCGAGACAAGTCCGCCTTCTCGAATGGCGAGAGCGATGGCTGCAACCCATGGATGATACTTTCCTTCTTGCAAACAACCAAAGTCTTCTCCAAAAGCGAGTATTCCGATAACGTCAAAGGTCGTAAAGTTATCTCTTGAGCATTAGTACAAAATTATAGACAGTCGTACTTTTGGAGTCGAGGACATACACCAGTCTCTCAAGTTTACGGCAGCTGTGCCGTCTTGACAGCGCTCTGCTAGGCGCTGAAGGAGCAAATTAACATAGCGGCCAACTACAGGCTCTTGGTCTCGAATGGCTTTATCTGAAAACGAGGGAGCCAGCAGTTTGCGCAGGACGGAGTGTTCTTCTTTTTCAGCGCTGATGATAGACCCGGCCAATCTGCCGGAAGGCCGGTATGCTGGAATATACTTCTCGAGATATTCTCCCCCGGGGCGTACAGTGTAGATATCTTTCCAGGCCTCGGGGTCAAGCATGGCTAGCTCGTTGGGCTTCGTCCTGACGATGGGCCCGTATTTCTCATGAAGCTCCGCGACGTGCCAGGCAAGTTTGCCTTTAGCCATGTAATATGCCCAGGGAAGCGCACTTGCTCGATGGGACAAGGGCCCGGGAAATGACCGAAGCGGATGGAAGAGGACATTGTACGCTACTCGTGTTGAGACATAGAGAGTTGCCTAAGTCTCGTCAGATTGGACTCGAGTGGTATAAGAGGCGCTGTTACCAGGGTCACCACTACACTAAGCGCGGTGGTCGCACTACACAAGATAGCTTGTATGTTGTTCTCCATGATTCACAACTATGCGTTCCTGGATTGCATGCGATAAGGACTGACAACTAGGAATGTTCCTGTGAAAATTTCCGTGGAGCAACCACTTGACTGCTTAAATGCCCGGGCTGTGTGGTATACCTTTGAAATTTGTTTTCTCAATGCACGGATGAACGGGCGTTATCTACAAACCCCGGCTCCTGTTGCAGTCAATACTTCCGTCCAACTGTCAGACGGCTCATCCCTAGTCCGGAACAAGAACAACAGTTCCAGTGTACACTAACCTGAATGTTGATTCATTTGGGCTCCTCGTTCCCCAATCTTCCCCACCTAAAATATCCGCCTATCCTTTCTCCAACAGTATAATGGAGATGATGCATTCCTCGCGACAGATTAACTCATTTGCAGGTTTACTTGACTAGTGCATCAGAGGGGAGGACTTTTGCCCTGGCCAATGGGATGATAGCGAGTCCTGGCCTTGGGCATTTTAAGTGACCAGGTTGAGTCGGGGATGGAGTTTTAGGAGATTACGAAGAGTATAGAAACAATTGCCAAGAAGCACTAACAGAGTTGCCTGATGTCTTCCAGATCCTTACGGGAGAGCAGAGCTAGCTAACTTTAGGTTAATGAAGTCCAGCATCTATAGCGCACTGGCCCCAGCGGAAGTATGTGCCCCACCTAAATTTTACCGCCGCAAGCTAACAAGCTCACGCCAAAGCTCAGGCCCATGCCTGCAGTATCCCTCAGCTCACACTTCTCACCTTAGCAGATTCGAGATCTACCAACTTTGCGCAAGCTTCTGGAGCACCGAACAAGATCCTCGAGACCGCAGCTATCATTAGTCAGTACACGTAACTCCCCACTGACCTATTCGACTTGATATGGATCGCCGTGGTGGACGCGGTGGAGCGCGTGACCGCGACCGCGGTCACGACCGGCGAAGAGATTATGACAGACGCAGCGATCGCAGAGATGACAGGAGGGACGACAGAAGAAGGGACGAGCGAGGCCCGCGAAGGGACAGATCTCGCTCAGCATCTCCGGGGAGAGACGCCCGACGCGACCGGGATCAGGATCGCAGCCGTGGCGGCGCACGCGATCGCAGAGATGCGCCATCCGACAGGTACCGTGATAGGGAACGAGATAGGGACTACGGTCGAGACCGCGACAGGGGCGAGCGCGATGCGCCCAAATCTTCAGACAGGCGGCCCCAAGACGACCGAAAGGAACGTCCCAGAGTTGCCAGCAGAGAACCCGATGAGGCAAAGCCGAACAAGCCCGGGGCGAAAGACGTGCCGGAAAAGAAGGAGCAGTGGTCCGAACATAACCCTCCACTCCCAACACGTCCCAAGAGCGAGAGAAGTACGCCACTATCGTTCCGAGTCGGTAAGACCGAGGAGGATACGTCTCGTGCTACCAAAAATGACGACAGCCGGGAGAGGGATGCTCGAGAAAGAGGCGCAAGTCACGACAGGAGCGAAGCCATGGACGAAGACGAAGACGAGAAAGAAGAGGGAGAGGAGGAAGACGAAGACGAGGAGGAGGTAGAGGTGGATGATAGCCTGGCAGATATGCAATCCATGATGGGATTTGGGGGGTTTGGCACAACCAAGAACACGAAAGTGCTGGGGAACAATGTCGGGGCGGTGAGGAAAGAGAAGAAGACCGAGTATCGGCAGTACATGAACCGTGTCGGAGGGTTCAACCGTCCTCTGAGCCCTGGCCGCTGAGAAGCACATATCAGATAGACGCCTGTACACAAGATGCTCTGGTGTGTACAGCCAGCACAGCCTGGATGAACACCCCAAATCTCAAAAAGGATGCACTAGACTAGCAAGGGGTCGCGAGCAGATGAGATACCTATCTACGCCAAGGGATCGTGCGAAGACATCGACCTTTGCACTGGAGGTTATGTTTACTTCTTATCGATACGGTCCTCTAACCTGCCCCACCACCGGATGGATAGCGGGCTCGGCAGGGGCGTTGGGGGGTCGTCGGGGGGTCGTCGCACCACTAATAATCTACTGTTACAGGGGTGTTTTAGTCAAACCTAGGCCTAGACTAACTTCAAGAGCTTGGAGCTCGAATGCGCTGACGCAGCTCTCCAATATTCCAATCCAAAAACCGTGTCCAGAATTATCCTCAGAGGCTCCCTTCTCTGCAGCGCAAACCGGCCACAACTACATGTACAGGCTGGCAACGCAGATGGTTCAGACACACCCATAAACCATGGCAGTTCGCGATCAATTGACAGCTTTGCTGTCATGCTTATTGCTTCTTGTCCTTGGCAATCCCTTCATCGGCAGAGTTCACGCCGAGCCCCAGGCCCAAGATGAGTCCATTCTCCACGGCGAGATGGCCAGAATAAACAACCAGAGCCTGCTATGGGGCCCGTATCGCCCCAATTTGTACTTTGGTATTCGCCCTCGCTTGCCCAAGAGTATCATGACTGCGTTGATGTGGGCAAAGGTCGACAACTACAATGATGTCCAGAACAGTGAGTCCCCTACCTATTCGTCTCGGAACCCGCCTCGAGTACATGACCGGAAACCTGACCATTGCCCACCGCAGGCTTCCGGTACACTTGCGAGCAGAACGAGGGCATGGCCGGTTATGGCTGGGAGGAGTACGATACCAGGAAAGGCGGCGTCCAGACCATTCACGATACCCAGAACAAGATCGACGTCACAACCTCATTCGTTAAAATTCCTGGTGGTGGTCACGGCGGCAGCTGGGCTGCGCGTATCAAGGGTGAGCCCCGAGAGGACGCCCCCGACGACCTAAAGACGACCTTGGTCTTCTACGTAACCTCGGAGCCCCGCTGGGAAGAGATCGAGGTCGCAGCTGACGGAGACGACAACGGCTTCCCCGGCGATGTGACCCTCTTGGGAAGCTCTGAGGCCCTCGGCAACTGGAAAATCGTTGTCACCAAGGGCACTGGGGAGCATCCTGAGAGCAACCACCCCATCACCAGCCGGGACTCGGAGAAGACTACAGTGCAGTCAATTGCTGTCCCGGACGAGCATCTATGGAGAGCTCGGGATGTGCTTTTCTCACAGCTGAAGCAGGGTGTTGATGCTATCGTCGGAGAGTTTGGTACCGATCACGCACCACCTCCTTGGCAAACATACCAGCTCCCGAACCAGCCTGGAAAGGGTAACGTGCAGATGATCCAGAAGATCTTCGAAGGCCCCTTTGAGTTTGATATCCTATTCACCAGCGGCTCCGCTGGCAAGGACGTGACGAGCGGCGACCTGACACGAGAGATCAGATCGACCACGGAAGCTTTCAGCGAGAAATACCTGGACGTCTTCACCCCGCAGGCACCATTCGATGCTCAGAAATACCAGAAGTTTGGGCGTAGCATGCTCTCCAACCTTGCCGGAGGCATTGGCTACTTCTATGGAAATCACATTGTTGACCGATCAAATGCCCCCGAGTACGAGGAGGAAAACGAAGGCTTCTGGGAGGACACTGCCGAGGCCAGAGCTCGTCGCCAGGAGCAATCTGAAGGCCCCTACGAGCTGTTCACCAGCATTCCATCCAGGCCCTTCTTTCCCAGAGGCTTCCTCTGGGATGAGGGCTTCCACCTCATGCCTATCATCGAGTGGGATACTGATCTAACCATGGAAATCGTCAAGAGTTGGTACAATCTCATGGACGAGGACGGCTGGATTGCGCGCGAGCAGATTTTGGGAGACGAAGCTCGCAGCAAGGTGCCTGCCGAGTTCCAGGTGCAATACCCACATTACGCCAACCCACCGACACTCTTTTTGATCATTGAAAACTTCCTCGAAAAGCTTCAAAAGGCCAACGGAACCCTGGCCTCAAGCAAAGAGACGCTCTCTCAGCAAGGCCTTCACCATGAAAGCGCCCTTCTTGCAAATCCTTCCTTTGGACTGAAATATCTGCAAGAGATCTACCCCCTCCTGCGACGCCAGTTTTACTGGTTCAAGAAAACACAATTTGGGGACATCAAGTCGTACGAACGTGAGGCATATTCGAGTAGGGAGGGCTACCGGTGGCGCGGTAGGTCAATTCAGCACATTCTGACCAGTGGGCTGGACGACTACCCCCGAGCTCAACCACCGCACCCTGGTGAGCTCCACCTCGATTTGATCTCGTGGGTAGGCTTGATGGCAAAGACCTTGAACACTATCGCAACGGCCATTGGCGAAGAAGCAGATGCCAAGGACTATGCCGCTGTTCTCAATAACATTGAGCACAACCTCGTAGATCTTCACTGGTCGGAAGAACAGGAATGCTTCTGCGATGCCACCATTGATGCTTTCGAGGAGAATCAGCTTGTCTGCCACAAGGGATACGTCACCCTCTTCCCCTTCTTGACCGGCCTGCTGAAGCACGACGACCCCAAGCTCGGCAGTCTCCTCAAGCTCATCGGCGACGAAGACGAGCTGTGGAGTTCGTTTGGTCTCCGCAGCTTGAGCAAGAATAGCGAATTCTATGGCACAGACGAGAACTACTGGCGAAGCCCGATTTGGATTAACATGAACTACCTCGCCATCGTGCAGCTCTACGTAAGTGCAATCCTCAGACATCTGCTGGTATATCAAAAGGTGCATCGCTGACAGAATTCAGAACGTCGCACGCCTGGATGGCCCCTACAGGTCCCAGGCCACTGACCTCTACTCTCGTCTTCGTGCCAACATCGTCGACAATGTGTACAACAGCTGGGAGGAGACCGGCTTTGCTTGGGAGCAGTACAACCCAGAGACGGGCAAGGGTCAACGCACACAGCACTTCACGGGGTGGACAAGCCTGGTCGTCAAGATCATGGCCATGCCCGATCTAGCTGCGCCCACACCGGGCTCTGGTGTTCCCAAACCTGGGCACGATGAGCTGTGAGATGCCATGACCCGTGACGATAGACTGCATTTTCTTTTGCAAGACATGTATATAGCACAGCATGTGAGCGAGCGGACATGGATAAAAACCGAAATCTACCTGAAATTATACAGTTGTGTCTGTTCTCAGTTGAATTGTGGGGTGTTATGATATATGCTAGCTTTCCCTAACGCCGTCCTTGTTGCGCCCTTTTCCCGATGATACGTCCATCCATGTTTTGTTACACTCAAAACGCTAGTAATGTCCCTGATTTCCCGAGCCTCCTATTTCCCAGCATTGAACCCGTCGCCACTCTTCTGCACAACCTTTCTTTCGAGCACCTCAACGTCCCTGCTCAAGAGCTTGCGCAGTTCCGGGCTAATGACCCTGGGCGCATCTTGCTCCTTTGCCTTGCCGGTGTTCTGGGCCTCGTCCTGGCTCTGGCTCTGGCCTTCTTGGGCGGAGGGTTGTGATGAGGAGGAGGAGGATGAGATAGTCCGCTGCGCCCGGGGCTTCGGGAAGTTCTGCTTCTTATCAATAGCCTCGACCCGGCGCTGGAAGCGGCGGAAGAGTGCTTCCGCGCGGATGAGGGTGGATTCGAGGTCGATCGTGTTTGACAGCTCGTTGACTATTTCACATGTTAGCTCGACGACAAAAGCCAATTGCCGCGTTGGAACTTGCCGTATTTCAACACCTCGTCAAAGTGCTTCAGATGCGTCATGATTACGTCGCGGTGTTTCTCCATGATGGCAAGAGCGATGAATAGATGGAAGCTGCTGCTCAGATAGTCGGTCCAGAGGACCTCCCAGAGGTGCAATATGTCCATCCATTGGAACTCCCGCTTGTACCAAACGAGAAGCATGCGGAAGAAGAAGAAGAAGTTGGTGCTGTCGGCCGACTGTAGGTGGAGATACAGCTTGGGGTCCATGAACTGGACCAGGTGATCCAAGGTCAGGAGCTGATTACGCATGCCGGACTGGTCGCGCAGGAAGTTGCGCTCCATGCGCTCCATGAAGTGTTGAAAGCCCCAGAAAGCGAGAGCGTCGTCTTGCATTACGGCATAGATGGGAGCTAGCAGGTCTGACATGCCCTGAACGTAACCAAGGTCTTTATTGTACTCGTTGTAAGTCAGAAGCATGTCCTTCATTTGTTCCATGTGGACATTTGTCCCCGCCTCTGCGAAGGGAGAGTCCGGATCAGGATGAGGTGTATCTTCCCCGGCGAATATGGGTACTGTGCGATCAGTTCTATGAACATCCTTCTCTGGAAAGGGGTGTGAGTTAAGAGTATTAAGCGTTGACAGAGAACCGACAGCTTACCGATACGGTTTCTTTGCTCTCTCCACCATTCACCCTCGTCGCCCGCGCCACCGAGGTCAACCAGGCGTTCCCACCACGCGCCCTTCAGCTTGACATACTCGTCCCGTAACGAAGCCAGCTGAGCTCTGCGCTCCTCTGACGTGCTGTACCAATCGTAGACGCCCAGGATGAATAGCCAGGCCTCTTTCCGGACCCCATCTTCTGGACTCAAGCCTCCGTGGAAGACGCGCTCCTTCACCTCGTCAACCGTGACTGAGAGGCGGCCGGTTCGTGGGTCGAAGAACGTATTCCACTCCTTGAATGTGACGGGCTTCCTTCGCTCCTCCAGAGACAGGGTGCTGGTCTCAAGTAGCTCAAACTCCCCAACCTCGGTATCTTCCAGCTCCAACACATCTCGTGCGGTCCAGATTCTCTGGCTTCTATCTCGGTCGCTTTGCTCGGCCATGCCCATGGCCCATCTCGCCAGATATATCCTTGCGCTGTCAAACTCATCCTGAAGGGTCTGAACTTCAGGGTTTCGCATTAACCTGCGTAGTTGTGGGGGCACCTTTGGGTTGTCCAACACGTCCTGGGCTGTTCTCCTTGTGAATGTCGTGACTTTGCTGAACTTCTCCATGATGTTCCATCCGGTCTCCTTGACGAACTTCATTAGAGGATCCATTTGACCATCACCACGCTGACCACTCGGACCAGCGGCCGCGCCTCGCCCACCAGCACCCCTTGAGCTATCCCCTTGGTCGTTCTGCGATGGCGAACTACTGGTCACCTTGCCGCCGAATGCCTCGCTATCCTCCTTGCTAGGTTCGACTAGATAGATGTTTGGTTCGGCCTCGCTGCGCTCAACCTTGATATATCTCTTGAGCCATCTAAGCACCTCGTCGCCACCCCAAAACATCTGTCCATGCTCGCCAAAGGGATCGAAGTTATCCTTGGCCCGCTTCTTCTTCTGCAGGATTGTGCTTTGGCACTCGCTATCATGGAAGAACAAGGCTGGGAAGCTATCGCCGGCCCGCGTGTTGACGACGACGCTGCCAAACCACCAGCCTAGACTGGGTGGTCGTACGAGCAGCGAATAGATGGCGCTGACGGGTATCGCAAAGGCATAGTGGCCGATGGACCCGCGGTGGGTGGTGACGGTCGGGATGGGAGGGACCAGATAGCTCTGCTTGGGGGGCGAGTCGCCCTCGGTGAGATCGACTTTGACGTAGATGCTGGTGGCATCTCCTAGGCTTGCTTCGGGGACCCAGGCCAGCAGGAGGTCTGAAGCGGCGGGAGAGACGGATGCTCTCGAGCTGGAAGAGGTAGGACGGTCATTCTGGACAGCCTTCTGCTGCAGAAGAGCGATGAAGCCAGGGATGTTATCCTTGGCGGAGGGCGTCGGGTGGATGTAGACCTTGCTTTTCGAGTATAGGAGCTTGACACCACGACCGGATTCAAGGTGCGTTATGGTGTCGTAGTCGTTCTCCGAATCGTCAGACATGGCATATAGAGAGCCCTTTGAGAGAGTCAGTATCACGGGGCACGCAAGCACAGCTATGGCTCCCAAGCACGGGAGCAGACAGATCAGTCTGCTTGGCACTTACAGATGGTGAGCTCGTACGGTCCGCCGCGGACGATGACATCACTCGATGGAGGGGCAATATTGCCCGAGGGCTTCTTTTATATGTGAGGAGACACGCTCTGGGATAAACTCGTGTGGTCTATGCGATTTAGTATTAGGTAGACCAGAAGCGCAAGACTGAATACTGCCAATTTTTTTTCGTCATGTGCCGTGTCGTTCGACCAAGTTCTGGCATGCATGTGAGCCACTGCGTGGGGTCGGACGGGATGGCGAAAGCCTCAAGGCATCAGCAAACCCCCCCCTCCTGTTCCCCGCCGCCATCCAGCCCACGCACCTGCAAGCTCAAGCTGCTGCTCAAGCAGCTACTCAAGCTCAACCCACCTTGCACAGGCGCCTTTTAGCGGGAAGCGGGGGGGCTGTCATGCTGTATGGATCTGGTATGCAGTATAGATACCTGACAGAACCGCTAAAAGACCACTAGTCGTCGGTAGAAAGACCGACTCCCAGACAAACTGTCTGCATGCGCGTCCTGTCGCCATCAGGAGGGGATCCGGGTGACGCAGATTCTAACCTTGGTCTAAGGTTAGACCATTCAGTCAGTCCCTGTGCATCTTTGACTATCCTTCTCTGTCACTTATCGCGACTAGACTAGGTTAACCTAGCACGTATTTATCGTCGCTTCGAATCGTGACGTGAAGAAAGTCTGAAAGCTTCCAGCGGACGAAATGTGGCAGGTGGCTCAACCCCCAACGAATCCATCATCAACCTGCTGTGTTGGAGTTTTGAAAGCAGTTTACCGCATAATATCACCGAGGCTGATGCATTTGACGACTTTTGCTGCCGTTCAGTTCTTCCAGCCGATGCTTCTTTGACACTTGCACACATGATGGATGGTATGGCCGTAATCGTTCGCATAATCCTGCAACATAGTGCGCGTTAGACACGCAAGCTCGTAAGGCAGCCATCATTCTTGCCTTGTTACTCCCGCTTGACACGACGTGGTAAAACATAGCCATCGTAACACATTGCGAAACAAAACACGTAATTTATGCCGGTACCTAGTGATCTTCTTGCCGCTGGAATTTTTTGATATCGTCGATTGCAGGTGATAAGAAAATATCTTGGCCCGTAGGGGTTCGATTCATCTACACCCGTGCTGGCCGTCATGGGCTGGCTTCTATTCCTTTAAGAGGGACTGCTGTTGCGCCGAGCACATATGCGAGAAGACCACAGCGTCGAAGCCTCTATGTACGGTCCCGCCGCATGCACTGTGCTCCACGCCGGATCCCTATAACCATGACCGCGAGCACCAGAGGTCCCTAAGAGAACCTCATCTCATACGAGGGCCACTAGGCAAACCCGCCCTCCTATTCCCTCCTGGCAAGCCCCCGGATCTGCCACTGCCTCCGCCTCCCCCGCCACCATACATCTGGCTTTCGTCGCTGGCCCAGGGCGAGTTGGCAGCCATGAATGGTTTATCGCCACCTCGGTTAGAGGTCGCATCGTACATGCCACCTGGGCTGAACCGTGATTCGTAGTCGTCCATACTTCCACCGCCCTTGGAACTGCTTTGCTGCGGCGGCGGGTTGAAAGGCCCGGCAGCGGCTGGGCTGGCCGTCCTCGACCCTCCCCAAAGCCTCTGCCGCAGCCGATCTTGCGCGCTGCCGGCACCCGAACCTGCTGGTGGTGTTTGCGCACTCCCGGCGCTCTGGTAGCTGCCAGCTCTCTGGCTCGGCAGCGGCCTTGCCTGCACGTCGTCTCGTCCCCCGCCTGCCCCGCCTGCTCCGCCAGCACCAGGCGCACTGCTGTTGAAGGGGTTGTTCGGGTTCGCCCTCGGATCATTACGCCGCATGGGGGGCGGTGCTCCTCTTCCTTGCCTCAGACTCTGGGAATCTTGTGGCTGGGACACCGGGTTGTTGTCCCAGAGACTGCTCAGACTACCTCCGCCCTGTTGTGTGAGACCGCCATAGCGTGACCCGACGCCACTTTGCTGGGCGAGGACGGGCTGGGCGGGCGGCGGGGCCTTGGGGTCGGGTGGGAGCCAGCCGGGAAAGGGACGGCCTTTTTCGGTGTAGTAGTTTCGTAGAACTCGACAGACGTGAGTGTCGTCTTCGGTGTCGCCGTCTGTTTCGCCGCCGAGAAAGCTGCGCTGTAGGTTGTTGATGCGCGAGGTTGTGTTGGTGAGGATATTAGAATACCACGACATGTTGGCGGGTTTCAGGAGCAGGATTTGTCGCGAGATGTCCTACCGAGGGCGACGTTGGGCAATGTGTAGTTTTATATGTGCGACACAATCCGGGCGTGAACTGTCTCAAGCTGGTCGCAAGAATTGATGGCCGCGATGTTTGGTGGCAGCCCCCAAAAGTGGTGTTCAGGTTCTGGTGCTGGCCCAGCCTATTATGAGACACGAACAGGCGGCTGAGGTTGCAAAAATGCTCGACCATGAGACGGGCAGGACGCAGCTCGAGCAGGGAAAAGTAGAGATAGAAAAACGGACGCCTGAGCAACACAACGAGTATGTATTTGTAGAATCTTGGTCACCAAGTGGGCGGGTCAGGTCAGGTCAGGTCAGAATGAATTAATTACGTGCCTTTGTCTGAGCTTGAATGGCCACTGTTTCAAGGCAATTAATGGCCCCGAGTCTGCGGCAGGGCCCCCGGGGGATCAGAGGATCAAGGATCAAGGTGAGTGGAGTGGGGGGGAGGGTGTCTAGCACTTATTCTTTTTTTAATGCGCGCCTCGGGCCGCAACAGCTCGGATACACATTAGACTTCAATCAACGTGTTGAACGTAGTCAAAGTTATTTCATCATCTTATCTTATAGACTTCCCCGCCGTTTTTTAAGTACCTGCTCAAACAAAGGACTCTCGCTGCTTTCTGCAAACCACGGAATGCTCTCCACAAAATGAAACCTCAGAACTGGACGATGATATTTCTTTCTAGCAATTGGTATCATGAATTAACGCCTGTGATCTGTAAACCTCGGGCAGCCCGTCAAGACTACGCATCATGTACGTGCCGAGTAGCCCCCTTAGAACGCCAGTTCCTGAGTCCGCGGTTCATATTCCACCTCATGCTCCACCTCCTTTCTTCGCTTCGTGCCCTTCGTCGGCTTGCGGGCAGGCGCTGCTGGAGCCTTCCTCTTGCCGCCGGCCGCCAGCTTCTTCTTGATGTCGACCTCTTGGGTCTCCTCATCATCTTCATCGTCCTCTTCCGACTCGTCCTCCTCGTCGCTCTCTCCAAGCCAGTCCTCCATATCATCCAGGTCATCATCCGTCTCATCCAGGTCAGAAACGTACTCCACTGCGCCGTCCTCGTCATCTTCTTCCTCTTGCTCATACTCATACTCGTTCTCGTTCTCGTCCTCCGATTCGATACCCTTGTCCATGTCCTTGTCTCGGGTGCCGTCGCCCTCTCTCTCCATCTCGTTGAGCACCTTCTTCCAGATGTTCTCGCTGACATTGAGCGGCTGGTCGCCATACGCACCCTCCCTAAGTCTCTGTAGAAGTTCCCTCTCAATTGTCCGTTCAAGCTTAGCCGCTGCTTCTGCCTTTCTCTCTCTCGTAGCCTCTCGTCGTCTGATCTTGGGGGCTAGCTTGGGCGTCAACTTCTCTCCCAGCCTTGCTTCCTCGGCTGCGATCCGGCGCATTCGAATGGCTACTTGAGTAAGGCGAGTCAACCTCTGAGAACTGGTTAGCAACGTGGCGATTTTCAAAGCCGGCCTCAATGCAGGTCGCCAGGATGTTAGATGCTAGTAGTGCCCTCTTATCCAGTTTCGCCAGTGGTTTTATATGTAGCTTGAAACTTGTGGGACAATATTGACGTATTTCCATGGGTGAAAGTCCAACTATTCAGTGATAGACGGCTGGTTTTCGGCAAAATTAGACGAGCTGCCTTGCAGTAAGTGGGCGGACTCCTGGTCTGGGCCGGTGTTAATAGGCTCATATTGCGCAGGACTGCAGCGTCGCCGGACAAAGTGCGTGTAGAATATCGTCGATCCAATTGGATGCATCATGGTTCGAAATGTCGGCGAAAGCGCATTGCGCATCGTTCAAGGAGATACCCCGTGACTCCCTGGGCGCAGACGTCCACGGAAAACCAGAAGGCTTTTTTTTCTTCTTTTTTTTTTTTTTTCAGGGCTACTAGCATCTAACAAAGTTGCGACCTGTACTCTGTCGAGGCGGAAGGATGTGGGTTATAACTTGCCTGTTTGGCCTTGTGAAGCAAGAAAGGAGGCCAGTATAGCATCATGTCATCAAGCTGTTTCAAGGCCGTCTGGTAATTAGCACTCAGCTTCCTCTTTTCCCAGAGCTTGGAGGGAAGGTGGGCGCGTTCACTATCATGTCAGGTCAGCATGCGGTCAGCTGTGGGAGTATGGCAGTTTTGGCTCACATGGTCTTCATATACAGATACAGTGTACCCTTGACAGGATCGGCTCGAACTGTGGCGTAGCGAGAATTCGCCAGCGGGCAGGACTAAACGAAGTCAGTATAGTTCTGCTCTGGATTGTTTTCCATTTCCGGGATCCATACCTGCCGATTGCATAGGCCTGTGACATTGTACTCGTTGCGACAGAAGTTTTTCTCTTTCGTAGTCTTCAACTTGAAGGAGCAGAACTGCTGATTGATGATCTGCCACACAATCTCGTCCGACGCCATATTGAGTGTGTTGATGATGCAAATGCACCAGAGCGCCAGGCAGTATTTGAGTGGTTGACGCTGTTCTTTTCGCGAGAGCAGCGAAGAGTAGGGCGGAAGAAGTAGATGGGCCTCGGGGAACTGGGAAACCTCTCGACTCGTTCCGGGGCAATGTATGAGCAGTCTGCTGGAGAGGGTGGTCCAGATGGTCGTAGAAAACTTGGAATGCTACTCGACAATGGAAGGCTTTCTTTCGCTACTTGGAAATTTTTAGAGGGGCACTGGCAGATGGGCTTGTCGCTGGACTTTTTTTTTTGGCATGTATGCTCAGCGGGCGGTGAGGCTAGTGTCCCCACCCTCGCGTAATCCAGCCCAGCCAGCCCCGGACTCCAGACCTTGCACGCGCGACAACAATTCGACCAACCATATATCGTTCAATCCAGACCACATGTACATACATACATGCATACATGCATAATACCGTCTACCGTAGACATTTTTGTTTTTGCTTTATTCCCTGAGTATACTAGGGCCAGGCGGTTTGCCTGATCATTCTCATTTCTACTGTTCTCTAGTCTACTCTATTCTACCTACTCTGATCTCGGACACAATACGGAGCCCGACCTTGCTCATCCCTGCGTGGCCTGCTTATTTCAGCCAATGCTTCGTCAAGCTATCAGGAGAAGCAGAAGGTCACTCCTATCGCACCACCCTAGCTTAACTACTGCTGCAAGGAGCTCGGTGCAGTCCGGTGCGCTTACAACACCACCATGGTCTAGAGTCTGCGGCTCCGTTCTTCATTCCGAGCAGACACATGGCAGCAGATCTTTCTTCGCCGCTAGCAAGAGGATCGACACTGTATACGCCTTGTCGACAGCCCAGGGCAAGGCTGGCATTGCCGTGATACGCATATCTGGCCCCTCATCCAGGAAGGTTGCTCTTTCCCCCATCAACCCACAACCACCAGCAGACTGACAGTCTTCCAGGTTTATCAAGGTCTCTGTCCATCAAAGCCTGTCCCAAAGCCTCGATTTGCTGCGGTGAGAACTTTGTATCATCCCAACTCGGATGAGCACATTGTGCTGGACTCGGACGCGGTTGTCCTGTACTTGCCAGGCCCGAAGACAGTCACTGGTGAAGATGTACTCGAACTGCATGTACATGGCGGTAGCGCCACCGTGAAAGCAGTCCTTTCTGCCATTCCGGCCTGTCCTGCACTGGGTATTGTTCGATATGCAGAACCAGGCGAGTTCACCAAGCGTGCCTTCGTCAATGATCGTTTGGATTTGGCTCAGGTCGAGGCCCTCAGTGACACCTTATCCGCCGAGACAGAGCAGCAGCGGCGTGCAGCCGTTCGTGGTGCCTCTGGAAACCTGGGAAGAACATACGAAGACTGGCGCCAGCAACTACTCCAAGCAAGGGCCGAAGTCGAAGCCATAATCGACTTCTCCGAAGATCAACACTTTGACGAATCGCCGAGGGAGCTACTGGCCAATGTGTCACGGCAAGTTGAAGAAATCCTCAACAGCATCGAGGTACACGAGCACGCTAGTCAGCGAAGTGAACTTCTCAGAAATGGTATTCGTATAGCTTTGCTTGGCCCCCAAATGTGGGCAAAAGTTCCCTGATGAACCGCATCGTGGGTAGAGAGGCTTCTATCGTTTCTGGAGAAGCGGGTACCACTCGCGATATCGTCGAGGCCCACCTAGATATCCGAGGGTACCTGTGCACTTTTGCAGATACAGCGGGTTTCAGGAGTGCCAATATCGATGATACCCCTCTTGGGGCCATAGAGAAAGAGGGCATCCGCCGGGCTAGGGCGAAGGCCCTTGAGTCTGATATTGTGGTAGTGCTCGTGTCGGTTGAGCAGGCCCCCTCTGGGGATTACTTCCTTAATTATGACAAGCAAACCCTAGAGCTACTCAAGACTGTCGGCCAAGGGTTTGTTGTGGTGAACAAAAAAGACATGTTGCCGGAAGACCAGTTACGAGATTTGATACAAGAATTCCAGCCATCAACGCTTGACAGTTTGGGCGACGTAACACATGCTGAACCAGTCTTGGTTTCATGCAAAGATGCCCAGCACAAACCTGTCAAGGGAATTGATCCAGGAGGTGTGCAGGGGGTGGCTGATCGTCTGGGAGAGCTGTTTTTGGCCATGACCGCGTTGCCTAGTGGCCAGGAAGATCTCCTCGGCGTTACCCAACGCCAGAGACAGCTCCTCATACAGTGCAGACGACACTTGGAGGATTACGTTGGCAATACCACATCCGATGAAATTCTAGATGAGCTCAATTTCGTGGTTGCTGCGGAGGACCTCCGTTATGCCGCCAACTGTCTGGCACGCATCACCGGCCGCGGCGAAACCGGTGATATTGAGGAGGTGTTGGGTGTTATCTTCGAGAAGTAAGTCCCAACACATCTATCATCATAACAGTGTGCTAACGCCAAGACAGGTTTTGTGTAGGGAAATGAATGAATTGATGGTGTTCGAAAACATGATACCCTGAAGACGAATAACTAGCAATTGCTCTATCCCATATATCTATCATACACCAACAGTCTGCCAAAACAATTCCCGGGAAGCACCCGAGAACACCCTCTAATCAACGTCTCCCAACGCCGCCCTATGCAATTTTTATGGTACATGTGTCCGTTGCCGGTCTATTCTATTTTCCCCCCGAAACCCCTTCTACAGCCCACGTCTATACAGTTTCGAAGAAAGCAATGCTGGAACACCATTCTAATGCCACAAAGGAAACCAGCTGCTGGTAGAAATACATGTGTTGTACAGAGACTAACTGTCTCGATTGTCGGGACAACTCGTCGGATAGTTGGACGTGTTTTCGTCAGATGTTGACAGGTATTTTGCAAAGATATTGCTCAGACTGGACGATTTACTCGTCGTCATCGTCTGTCTTGTCGCTCTTGTTGTAGCCAGATCGGCCAAAATTTCTCTTGTCGTCATCGTCATCGTTGTCACCATCCTTGTTGTATCCAGATCTGCCGAAGCACTTCTTGTCATCCTCATCGTCGTCACCATCCTTGTTGTAGCCTGAGCGGCCATACACGATGGTGTTAGGGCAGTTGGTAAAAGCGAAAGCAGCCATTGCGATTCAGAGGATCAGTGGATTTGCGTGGAAAGAAGGTATGTTGGAGATGTGTGTGTGTATGTGTGTGCGTGTGTGAATGAAGCTGATTGTGTAGTAAATGTTGGTTGTTTTGGTTGAATGACTTCTGGATTGGTGATGACCTCAAAAAGCAGGAGTTCCTAACGACTTATATACCCATGGATCGTCGACTGGAAGTCAGACTTGCCAGTCAGTGTACGCCTGCTTCCAAGCCCCCAAATGGGCATACCCATGCACCACGGCATGTCTGCGATTGCAATTCTACGACATTCTTGGGTCGCTGATGACATAAGGGCACCATGGTGCCTAAGTTTACAGCCCCTTTGAAGGGTCTCGGTAATGAGAGCCGCAAAAACGTGGAAGTCAGGGGTGGCGCAAAGGACCATACCGCATCGTTGCAGCCAATAAGCATGTCTTGATCGTTCCCAAGTAAGCACATCTGCACCCGGCTAAGGATAGGTATGGCCCCAGTTTGGATGCAGAGGTCTGCGTCCTATCCCCAATCGAGAAATGGGGGATACCACCTGAATGATCCGACCGCAGCATCTATAGTTCCACCGCGTGGAAGGTCCCTAGAATGCAGCGAAGCTCTAAATTTGGGGGCCACACTGCACGGGATAGGGCTGAGCGTAAGACAGGCTGAGCATCTAGTCACCGATGACTCTGATTTCTGACACCCTCGCATATTTGACAAATGTTCCTGGAATACCTCAGGCATCCACACACACACATTCTCGAGATTTTTGACATGTGGTTTTTGCCAAATCACTACTCGATGAGTGCGAACGTTACAAATCCAAACCGTGTTAGCTGCATATGCAGCAGAATGGCCATGATTTTCGCCTGTAATAGAAACTCCTCCTGCAGACTTATCGGTCAATCCCGAATAATGGCACGTAGAACACCGGGTAATCCGCAAGTACCTTGACCGCTGTACTGTCAGATGAGTCTGGCGACTCACTTTGCCGTCACTGACAAATGCTTGATGGCTACAACACTCTTGATCGCCGTCTATTTCGGGGAACTTGAGCCTAACTCGGCTGCGGTAGCGGTAGCGGTCCCGAGATGGGGTCCAGCTGCCAAGGATGAAGGGTCCCCGGCGGCTATCCGCAGTGCAAACAGATTCAGCGATCCCCCGCCTGTGAAACTTTGGTTTTCTTTTCCTCGGGCAAGTTCAGCCACGCAAATCCCATTGCTCAAGGTCAAGGTATCATACAGCTCTCGCACCTCAGGCTATTTGCTGGATTAACCACCAGCAATCCAAAGCCCTTGACGGATATCCAGGTTTGTGTGGAAGAAAGCCGCTGGCACTAGTATTAGCGCTTATTGCTCGGTACCGTTCACCACGCCCAAATCTCACCTACCTATTTTTAGGCCCCCATTTTACTGCGTTACTCATTTCAGTAGAGTCCGTTACGCAACATAGCCACCAAGGCTTTCCTTATTGTTCTTTATTCTCGGCGACGTCTGTACTCGCCGTCTATGGTATTGTTCTCTATATACCTCATATTTGTCTCAAGCTGTCACCAAGATACATATTATGTGAGCAGTATCTTGTCAGTGTGACCGCACTTTGCTCACTACATAACAGCCATACTTACTAGCTGCATTAGGTCGGCCCCCCGAGTGGGTGGCGCTGAATTTGGACGGGAATTAATTCCAGCATACTGTAGCAAGCTGCAGTGTATTTTTTACGGGCCCCGTCTCATTAGACCATCGTAGATCGTCATTGTTTACACCGAAACAATGGGCAAAAGAAAGTTGGCCGCGCCATGTTTGTGCATGGAGAGACCGTCTATGCTTAGAACAGCGAGAGACCACGGCACTATGTCGGTCGTACTGGTTCACCGGCAGCATGAAGTATGACTATACTCGAGGTCTCCATGCCAGCTCTTCAGGGACTTTGACAGCTTGATAAAAGCCCCAAGACATGAACAACACAGCCACAAGAACGCCTAAGCGGAAAAGCATTACAGTAATTTTAGGCGGTGCTGAACATCGTTGACCAAAGTGTCCTCCGGGCGCTGCAACTGGTGCGGACTCCAAAACGTTTTGCTTCGTTCACCTCCGCGAACCTCCAGAGGATTTGAGCGGCATGACTTGTTTCATTGGGCCATTGTACAGATTCAAGAACATCGGGGAATCGTATAGGGGCTCAGTGTAATGCATCGCTTCGAGGTCCGGGACGTGTCATGTCAGATCACCTCAGCACGTAGCATGTCAAATATTCGTGGGGTTCCCGGCATCCCAAACGATACAGCCAAATTGGGGTAAGATTCGGGGATAGAACCAGTTTAACTCAAAAGAAATGCCACTGCAACTCGAGAGAGACGCTCCATATACATGAAACGGAGTCCTGTATGTGGCAGTCTTCGCTTTCTATTGGGACAGGACGCTTTCTCCATCTACAGTAACAGAAGAATGAGGATATTTTGATTTGCTGGATTGATACTGTTCCATCATGGTTCGTTCTGCGTCAGAAACCTGACATAATTTTAGGCTTATCGGATATGGGAGCTTTCCATTAACATAAGATCAGCGGATCAGCAAGCTCTCTATTTCAAATTTCTGAGCAGCAGGACTGTGTTTGTGGTGAACTGTATAGTTTCAGTCGAAGACTACAGCATGCGGCAGCAAGGGGCTACCTCTCCAACACCATGCTAATACAGCGGCACCTCAACGAGCAAAACACAATGCCACATGGAAGAAGCTGCAACTGCTTGAGCTCAATGGAACCCCCACAACTAAGGAACCAAGGATCATGCACGTCAGCAAGGCACACTGAGCTATAACCCATCCCGGTATTGAAAGGACATTACATGCAGCAAGTTACGACGAGAGAGCTCCACTCGGTGAGAGGTATTTCAAGCTGGCCATGGCAAATATTGATGCCATCTAGGCTACCAGTACTTGTTTCGGTGTAGGACCATCAAAAGGATCGTCAGCCAACGTACAGGGCAAAGGCTTTGGGTCTCGTACATTGTGATGCTAAAGTGCTGGAGGGCTAGGATCTAGCATGCCGTACAATGCGATTCAATATTTGTAAAGTTATATGGCTGCCAGCCAGACATGCATTGTCGAACTCGTCGGTGGAAGACTCCTGCTCTTTGGCTACCACAGAAGTTCTTAGCCATGAGCACCCCCATACATCGTCTTACACTTTCAAAAGCTACCCTCACCTCCATCTGCCGACGATACATGCTTAGGCTGTCACATCAACAACGGCTGTGTTTTTTTTTTTAGAAATAGTTTAGATACTGCACAACTCGCCCTTCATAAATTTGCCGCATGTCAAAGGTTATTTTCGTGGTGTTCCTTGAGATCACGCATTCCGTGACCATAGAATCTGCGGATCTCAAGGTGACAATTCAAATAGTATATTGCCAATTTGTAGTGTATTGTTTGTGAGAGAATTTCACGACCGCAAGTCCGAGAAAACGGCAGCTAACATGATCGGCCGGTAGACGTAGCATAAGCGGCAAATGCCGCGTGCCAAAGGAAGCGCCTCCCCGTCGCCTCGTTTTAGGGTACCGTTCTACTGGTAACACAGGAGCCAGTCGGGAGAAATGGAACTACTGATCGGGCATTTTCCTTCTTATCGGGACAGTGTATGGGGCCACTATGACGATGACAAAGTATACCATCACACTATATTCCGTTTTGTGAAGGCCAATCGAGCAAAATTCTTGACGCTTCGCGTCGCCACAACGTAGACATCGTCTCTGCTAACTTTCTCAGTCTAGATCTTAAATAGCAAAGCGTTGATGATTGTCCGTGGCTGCTAGTGCAGGGATCCCGCATCCGATGCCCACAAAGACTCGTGCTAAAGCAGAGCTCGAGGTCCACGTCCCTGGCTCTGGGTTAATTGCCGTTGAGACATTTCTGTTGTAGGTCGACAGGTGAGGGGGAAAACACATAGGCCATTTCGCATTCGATCATGATCTGATTCCCACATTGGCTTTTCTGCATGCAACGGAGATGATTTGCAACTTTCAGGGGCAAGCTCCGGGCGACACCTTTCAAGCACTACATCATCATCATCATTCGACTCGACTCATGTGCATCTTTCGTAAACCGGCGGCCCTCACGTCCGTTGGACAAAAGTACGTGAACAAGCACCACCACCTTTAGGGCAGTAAAAAGAGACACATCGCAAACGCTAGCGTGACCTATCGCAGCCGGCTGCAGGGTTGGCATAGTCTTCTTTCCAGTATTCCGCACCTCCTCCCGCCCTCCACTACTCTCATTCGTATGGGCATGGAGTCGCGAAAGTTGGACGAGACCACCAACAAGACCTCCTTTTGATGCCCCGCTTTCAATACTTCTACCATCCTGACGGATCATCATCAACGACAGACTGGACATGGAGGAGGAAAAGCAATCACACACACACACACTCTCTCTCTCTCTCTCTGTGTGACCCCCGACTTCTGGTGGCTTGCTATTTACCATACTATCGCGCCATCGAGAACTGGAGTCATTTATATCTACCCACCCCACCAATTGGACCATGGCAACGCAGAACGGCACAACAGCAGCAAACCTGCCGGTTCTAATCATTGGAGCCGGTAGGGCACAATGGCCTTGCTTATAAACTTATATTACAAATTACTTGTACTGACAGTGTGACAGGCAGTTGTGGCTTGGCCGTAGCTAATGGTCTAAAACGGGTGAGCTGCGTCAGATTCTTGAAAAGGAAGTGAGTATGCTAAACCGGAAAACAGGCTGGGATCTCATATAAAGTTCTCGAAAAGGATGACTCCGTCAAGCTACGGAGCGATGGAAAAGAGCGCGACTGGGCTGTAGCATGCCATGTAAGCCGCTTTGCATCCCCCTCAATAAGTGTACAGCACTAATCAATACCGTAGTGGTCGTCGCCTATTCTTGCGGAGCTGATTGGACCCGAGAAGTGGTCCCGAATTCTGGAGGTCCAAGTTGATCCTAACACGCCAACGCCAGAGCTGGACGTCGGTAAGGTGCTAAATGGCGCCACGGGTGAGGTTATCAACGAGCTCCCCTTCCCCAAATTCTATCGATTTCTTCGCTCGCGCCTCCGGGCGCTGATATCTGAGAGTATCGACATCAGTTACGGCAAGAAGCTCTCATCCCTGTCCTACGCGGACGACGGCACCTCTGTAACAGCGTACTTCGAGGACGGAACCTCAGAGAAGGGCAGGCTAGTCATTGGTGCCGACGGTAGCAATTCCAAAGTCCGGCGACTCTTGGTTGGCGCCGAGAAAGCGAAGTTGAAGCAGCTGCCCTTCAACGCAACGTTCATCAACGCCTCATTCACGCGCGAGCAGGCACTATTCCTGCGCTCATACCACCCCCTGGCGACAGTCATAGTACACCCGGACAACATGATGTCGTTGCTCGCCCTGCTGGACGCGCCTGACGCCGATAAGCCCGAAGGGTGGCGCTTCTGTTTCTACATCTCGTGGGGGGCGTCCGTCGAGGAGCAGGAGGCCGAGGCGGCTGTGATGGGTGCGAGGGAGAGGCTGACTCAGGCCAAAGAGAAGAGTAAGGTGTACGCTGACCCCCTGAAGAGCGCGCATGCTTGGTTGCCCGATGATCACGAGGCGGTCTATTGGACAAGGAATATGAACTGGGATCCGAGCTTGCCTGAGCATGCGTGGGAAAATCACAGTGGCCTAGTGACGTTGGCCGGAGATGCTGCGCACCCGATGACCTATCGTGAGTCTCACTGCCCCTGTGCATTACTGCCATCAAATTTTGCGTTGTATACTAACTCAAGTCTGTTTGTCTAGACCGAGGGCAAGGCCTAAATCACGCTCTTGACGACGCTGGCAAGATTGTTAAACTACTTTCTACCTCAAAGGGAAGGAGTCAAAGCGAGATCATCGACGTCTACGAGACCGAGATGCGGGCGCGTGCTGGTGAAGAAGTGCGGCTCAGCGAGATGAACTCACGCATGTTGCATGACTTTTCTAGACTACAAGAGAGCCCGTTAATGAAGCGTAGTCTAGCAAAGGGCTCGATCGACAACCCACAATCGGAGCCAACTGAGACAGCCTAGGCACAAGGCTCAAATTAAGCACGACAGAGAAGGAGGTAAATGGAAGTCGATACATTTATATACACTTCTTGTTTATAGAGTTGAAGATACCTTTGAGTGCTGTATGCAAATTGTTCGACGGATTGAAAAGACCAAGCGTTGTAGTGATGTGTTGATGCCTCTCTCCTGTATGATCCATGATACCCCACTGCCTTTAGTGGTTGGACCGATAATACAACTCGGAGTTATTCAGTAAGTCTTACATTAATTGGTGTTATCAAGTTTGATATCATCATGGTATTTCTTTCTATTCAACATTTATTGATTTTTGAGGCCCGTAATGATCCATAGCCGAACGTAAACACCAGCGTCTCGGGACATCGGTTCTTCCTATTCCACAGTCTTCCAATGCTGCTCCAAGACATAATGTTGTCGCGTATAATGAAGGCTGTAACTGTGTCAACGCGAGAAAGTTCCCCTCGGCCCTGTAGGCTAATAGTGCCGAAGAGTCATAGGATGACTGTTTCTGGAGGAGTCCTAACCCGCTGGCCATTGTCCCAGCCATGCTCTAGGTCATGTCACGTAGAGCTGAGTTCACTAAATTGACGTGAAGGAGTTACAGCATCGTCGTCGCCTTCACTGTCAGAGGCGAAAAGAAAATCTTTCAACCAATGTTCCGAATCGCTGGGAGAGTGTGCTTTAAGCTCCAAAGACAAAGCTCTCGCTGGCTTTCAGGTGCGGAGAATAGAGAACAGCTTCCAGATTGCGTCTCTTCTGACAGAGTCGTGAGATGATGTCTAGGAATCTGACTCTTGCCATTCGCAACATCGACTTGTAAACTTTCGTAGCTCAACGTCCAGCTGAATATGATGAATTAGCTTCCTCTGCCGAATGAGTATGCCTTGGGATTTATCTAGGCAAGATACTTGGAGCTCCGGCCTATGGGAGTTTCTTTCCTCAACAAAAAGCTGCCATTCTTTGCGGACAGATGCCAATGAAACTCACCGCGATATTTCTTGTGTGTAATTGCCGTTAATATCATGAGGCAAATCTCTGCTGGAAGATACATTCAGGATGTGATTCTTTTTTTTTTTTTTTGTTGAGTTGCGAAATAATTATCATCCCATAGCGTCTGGTAATGCTGTGCCTGTCCGCCATATTGATAGAGGACTAGTGTTTGGTGGCGGAGGAGGGAGATTTTAAGATGTGACGTATTGAAATTGGGCGAGGCAAAGCTCAAAAGAAAAGATTAAAATTGAAAGTATCATGGGCTGGTGCAGGCAGACATGGAGGTAGCCGTCAAACCTCAGGCGATGCCGAGGCGTGACTTCGCATTCAACACACCCTTGCTCTAATTATTAAGCTTGCTATCGGCTCCGTAATGTTTCTAGATGAAATGTATAACCAAGTCACGTGCCCAAAGATCCTTTAGTACTTGATTGTGTGGATGCGGATGAAAAAAGGACAAGATATCATCACAGAGGGCATGATTCTCTTAACATACTTGGTATACTACTCGCCGTCCATGATACGCTATGCTAGGTGCGATTTTTTTGCTTTGATATCGTGGACGGGGAAGGGAAAGCCTTGCGAAGCCACTCTAGAATATCGCCGGTGAGCAGCGAGAAATGATGGGAAACAGCAGTACTATGTCTACAGAAAGTAATCAAGAGAGTTAATTGAGTGTGGCTGTAAAATTTCCAAGCGGCCATCGTCATGAATGGACTTTGGTCAATGCGCTTATCGCCGTGTTGACCGAAAGGCATGAGATTTGGTGTGGGCAGACAGTCGAGTGCAGGAGTGCATACAAATTCAGCACGCGACGGGTGTTATGTGCAATGTCTTCTGAGCACTGAGTATATTGCCAATATCCATAGCACCTGACCTAGAAATTTAGACATTTATTCTATGGTGTGATAAATCTAGAGTGATCGACAGGGATTTGGAAAGACTCACAAGAGGTTCTATTGCAGTGCCCAACGCTCTTAACCTACGGTACGGAATATAGGACTGTACATGCCAACCCGATTTGAGCATTCTCTCAACCAAAGCAAACAATCAATTGCAATCTACTATCGCGAAAGTGTCGTATTCGTTGGCGTACCCTCTGGGGGTCGAAGTCTATCAACAATAGCACATTCAATCGAGTTCTTATGCTTTACGCATTTAAGCTTGTGACTCAAATTTGTTTTCGACGAATGTTGGAACATTGATCTTGTGTTGTAATTTTGTCAAGGTTCTGCATCGAGTCAACGCCATCCATAACGCTCGCAAAGGCAAACACTCTTCAATTCGTCTCGAGCTGTACCTCTGTTCCTGTTCCAAAGGCATACTGGGCTTTTGAGCATGCTGGCCGAACATATATCGTTATGGAGAAGCTCATAGGCCAAAATTTATCACGGGGATGGTTACAACGGTCGGAGGCATCTAGAGTACGTATCCTTGGACAATTGAAGTCCATGGTCATAGAACTAGGCAGTATTTCAACTCAGAATGTTGGTGTTGCGAACGTCAACGAAGGTCCAAGATATGATTAAAGATTTTCAAAGCAGTCGACTAGGGGGGCTTCTGAAACAGTACGGGACTTTCACAGAGAGCTCCGTAACGGCATCGAAGCGCAGGACTTACATGGCCATCCAGTCGCAGCGGCACTCGGTAAGCTGGTTTCCTTCCACAATCAGCCTTGGCTAACATCCGTCTTCACACACGGCGATCCAAGTAGTCTGGACATCATTGCACGCGGTAACGATGTCGTCGGGATCATCAATTGGGAAACTGTAGAATGGATGCCCCCTTACTGGAAACATATTTCGGCATGGAATTTGAATCCTCAGAATAAGTTCTGGTAGGACGAAGTCAATAAGTTTCTCACACCAATGGATTGTGGACTGGAGATGGAAATGATTCGACTAAACTACTTTGGAGATGTCTAGCCATGTTTGAAGAGTACTCTACAATCTAAAATACTGAGTGCCCGTATTTCTCAACCTGGATATTAGCCGCGAGACTTTGATGATGTTTTTGACTCGAAATGTAACATAGCTTTGCATTTTTTACCGACAATCTCTGCCAAGCTCGATTAAGTCATGTAAGTTTTATCAGGCGGACTGGATTCCTTACTTACGCTTCCATGGTTATTATGTTGATCATGTCCGTCATACCAGGCAGTTTTGCATAGCATTCGTGCTTACTTCAGTTTTGATCTTATCTTTTTAGGCTGCTTCCAGAAAAGACGACATTCGTTTCACGAATTTACACTAATCAGTATCTCCTAATTTTGTCCAATTTCGAATTGTATAGATCCATGTAACGCACGTCTTCAGCTGCTACCCAATCGAGCATTGGTCTATACTGAGTTGCCATTAATTCGTCTATTAGGATGTCGAGTTCGTCTTCAAGATACAAGACAAGAAACTAGCGGTTCCTTGCTTTCAACCCTTCACTTTTGTAACGCTTTGTTCACCCTATGATCATCCTTATCCGCTTGTCTAAGTTATAGTACGCCGGGGGTATAAGGTTTGAGCCCAATGTCGAAACCCGTCTCCGTAATACCTGCATTAAGAGCTATCTTAACGTAGTATTATGACCATCACAGCACGCTGCTATCGAATCACAAACTTTATCTTCAGTGGTTCCAAGTTCTCTCGTATGTCCTTCATGATCCACATCCGTGAAGCCAATATCATTTTTCTTCTCACACCTACTCGAAGGTTTTCTCTGTCGATATCCATCGTGTCTTCAGTCCAGTCCACAAGAAGACTGATGATCACATCATCTGAATGAGGGTCGACCCAGTAGCACTGCATCATCATGAATAATGAGGCTGATCCATTGCACAAATCCTTGACATCCGAGCTTAGCAAGTTTTCGAAGCCAAAACCGGCTGTGCCTGTAGGGAGTATATTGATCTCCTCGACGGGGAAACAAAATCCTTCGAGGACCAAATAATGGATACCATCTTTTTGGCCAGTGTCTAAGCTGTCAATATCAGGCAATGTAGTGATCCTTGCGTTCAATCTGTCTAGAAACCCTACAATATTCATGTATATTTTGAAATCGTCCTCCCGTGTTTTCTTGTCGAAAAACTGGCCCGAACAATGGAAATATCGTGTTCCGTAGAAGTTTATGTTGCTACCTTTCCATCCCGCCCACGTCCAGGATGGAAACTCAGGTGGCTGAACTAGCTGCCAGCCATTATCATTCTGCCGATCTTCACTGGAAGTGTTCGGATACCAGCAAAGATTTATTGTGAAGGAAAACTTCTGATTGTCGTAGGTATCATTCAAAGCACCTTGTTCAGGAATAGAGGTGTATGGGATGCCCTGGATGCTCTTGATTGCATATGTGGACATTTCCAGGAGGTTTGAAACCCCACGAAATGCTCGGATGGTATCTTGCACCTCGGAAAGCATTCGTGAGGAATAAAGCTCGACAGACCGAAGGTACAGAGACATTATAGGTCCTTGTGAGACCAGCCGATCGCTGAAATATTCGTAAGATGTGGCCCTTCCATCTTGGACTTCAGCCAAGGACTGGTGAATACTTATGAATGAGTTTGGTAACCTAGATTTAATGCAGAGATTGGGAGCGGAAATAGGCAGAATGTCAGTCCAGCTGCTCCGGCCGTTTGAAAGAAGGGTATGTGTATCCGTAAAATAGAGTATCTGACGAGACATAGCTTTTTCTTGATAAGTCCAACCCCGCCAAGCCCAACACGATTTGTTGATCAAATCGTACGCACTGGGACCTGTCTCTAAAATTGCGACATCATGTTGAGGAAACACCACAATCTCGCGGTGAAAACTTTCGACATCGTCGACGCCCGGAAGGAGCCCATTGCTGCTTGCAGCGACGATAGTCAGTTCGGCACCTGAATAGACCTTATCCATGTTTGATATTTGAAGAGCTGTGTCGACATGATTATCCTGTTCGATACAATATTTGTCCACCCACAAATAACGATAACCAAGGTCTTGTGTGACTTTCATTGCTTGTACGACGACCTTCGGTATCTGCTTGTCGTTGGTCAAGTTTTGTGCATGTTGTCGATCCACTTTATGCTGGTCTGCAAGTCTCCAGACATAACTCAGCGCGATCCACTTAAGGTTAGGTTTCTCTATATCAGACGCCTTAACAACGCTACCACTTTCACAGTCGATGAGTCTCATACTGGCAAAGCCATTGCTGTCGCAGGATTTCAGCATTTCCGGCCAAGCAGTCATCTTCGCCTCTTGTAACCAAATGCTAACCAGCCTTGGATCATAACGATTTCTCAGGCTCCACGAGTCGAGGTCCGGACTTGCCTGAATGTCGCAGGGTTTGCAGCATAATGTCAGTCCTTCGCTAAACGGGGTGGTTCTGCTTGCTCGGAAGGTCACAGGATGCGACGCCAGAAGTTTTCCGAATCCATACCAGCCGGTTTCGAAACGAGCGAGGCAAAAGTAGCGGCCCGGTGTGTCTGGTGGTTTAAATTTATCTGAAGTATGGCGCATGTTGTATCGTTCCTCGTGATGCCAAACATGCCAAAAGTCAAAAGCCCGGAGTTGCCAGTTTCCTGGAGTGGATGGGTACAAATCAATGAAGTTTCCTTGCCCATCATCTTCATCATGGCCCATACGATACAGCTGGGATGCACATACGTCGTGGCGCTGTAGCAGCTTGCAGAGATGACAGAGCACACAGGGAACAAAATCTCTCCCCAAGTCTGCAAGTAAAACCCCTTGAAGACTGCTTAACTCATGGGGTTGAGCATCTGACAGTCGCTGCCAGTCTATTTCTTGACAAGCTGGACATAGAAACATATTGGAAGAGGATTCGAGCTAACCAGCAAACTAGATTTCGCAATACGTATCAGGAGTTCTCTCATAAACCACGATTATATTGGTGATGAAGACACAGTCAACGAAATGGGAATGAACCGGGACAGCCCCTCTTTTACATGTGGACACAGCATACAAGCATGTGTGAGAACTATTGTACAAAGTATGTAGCAAGTCCGCACTTGTGCGCTATACGCAGCGGGTCCGTCACGACGACCCCACCTTTTGAATATCATACCATCATTCACTGACAGCAATCATACAATGATTCAATATTTCTTATTAGCCGGCCTAAAAGCGCTAGTAGCACTGACATTCAGAGCTTCGACAATGACCCTGTGTGGACTCTGCAAAAGAGCAGACTTTCAGTCGCTCCTTGTCGCCTGTCTTCACCAATGCCGAGAGAGGCAGGAGGCTCATTACGGCGGCGGGGATGGACTCTTACCCTCGCCTGACGACTCGTTGTGGGTTAAACAATACGACGATATCTTCCAGCTCAAAGAAATGGCCAGGGGATGCGGTCTTTGCAAGATCATATTTCAGGCTTTTGAGCAAAGAGAAGACGCTAATGTGGAAGAAGCAAGAGGTTTGCCAATTGGCTTTCGTCCGTTTCGAAACAAGATTGAAGTTTGTTACAATTCGGAAGAAGGACTGATCAATCTATGCGGTCTCGATGTGTACATGAAAGAAGCTGATGGTGAGCATGTGTTACGTTAAATGCCGAGCTTGAACATTGACATCATGGCAGTCAACGAGTGTTTCTGTGTTTACCAGATCAAGGAGGACATGTCATCCCCAATTCTGAAGATGATTGAGAATGATCCCAAATCCGCAGTATCTACTAAAGCAGTGTCCAATTGGTTACAAAATTGTTTAGAGAATCATGACTCATGTAATCGTTTCCCTGAAAGCCAGAACAAGCCAAAACGCTTGATCTACGTTGGCGACGAAAGCAGAGACCCGTTTCTGGTAGACGCAGAAAACATTAACAAGCGAATCAAGTGGCTATCTTTAAGCTATTGTTGGGGAGGAGAACCTTTGGTGAAGCTTACCAAAAACACTATGAACATGCTTAGAAGCGGAGTACCTCTGGCAGAATTCGACCACACGATTCGAGACGCAATCATCGTGACCAGAGCTCTGGGAATTCCGTATATCTGGATAGATTCGCTTTGTATCATTCAGGACTCGGGAGGAGCAGATTGGAACGAGCAGGCTTCCAAAATGAATGAGATTTATGGGGAGTCAACAGTCACTCTCGTTGCCGCCAGCTCAGACACAGTTCAGAAGGGGTTTCTAAAAGAGCGTCCATCACGATATGTCCCTATATCATCGTTCAATATTTCAAAGACTGAAGGCACCGACACCGATTCTTCTTTGAAGGTGTACGTATCGTCGGAGTGGGACAAAACTGAGGATTCCGCTGATGGACCTTGGAGCAGCCGAGGATGGACAATGCAAGAAGGTTTACTACCGAATCGACTGCTATACTACACGTCTTCTCAAGCAATTTGGAAATGCTGTAAGGAGGAGAGATTTGAGAGAGGCGTGGTGGAAAGTATTGAAGATATAATGACTTTATCTCATCGCTTTGCAGACGACATGGGTGTTGCTTCCGAATGGCTCTGGGAATTGGAAATATTCACGAAGTTCAAAAATTTCAAGGACTATTTAACAAGATACCCAAGCAAATCCTTGTTATTGGAACCGGACGTGTTTCGACTGTGGTATGACCTGATCGAGAATTACTCTCCCCGAGAATTCAAGGATATTGGTGATCGCCTCGTGGCATTGTCGGGTCTTGCTAAGGTATTCGGCGATACAATAGGATGTGATGAATACGTCGTTGGTCTCTGGAAACCAGATTTGATTCGAGGATTGATGTGGAACATCGATGGTGCAAGGCTTGTACCTCGAAGTTCCTCTATACGTATGCGAACTGTTAACAGTGCCATCCCATCTTGGAGCTGGGCTTGCGTCGGGTACGAACATGTTGAGTTTCGTCAGAAGAGCGACAGTCGTTTTCAAGCTCTATCACGAGTTGAGGAAATACGGGTCGATCTTGTTGATCAGTGCCAACCATTTGGCAAAGTAAGAAGTGGTAGCATAAGCTTGACTGGCCCCTTGAAAATACTACCAGCACTTTTCAAAACAGCGTGGAAATCTACAGGCAATTCGTTGTCAAAATTAGAGCGGTATATCTCAGAGGTTATCGAGGAGGAAAGCGTCGAAGGTGTTGATTCGAGATTCTCTTCTCCGCCCGGAGGACATTTTGCAATACTTCAGATGCTCCGGCACCAGTCTACGCTGGAGTTGCTTGTGTTGGAAGCGACTGGAGAAGTCTCGGATGGGATCTGCATGTATCATCGTGTCGGAGTACTTACGTTGCGTGACTCCCGTAGGTGGCCGGTGGCGTCGCCAGGTCTTATCGCTCTGGGTAAAAGGACAAGAGCCTCTCTCGCTGCTCGCCTTGGCCCGAAACATAAGCCGCCTAGGAGGTATAGATGCAGAGGATTGGTTGCGGAACTAAACCAAAACCCTTGGAATACCGAAACTATAAGTCTAGTCTAAGTTTAGGTTACAGTGGTGCGAAAAAAAGAGATGACGATCAAAATCACCCATTACGAATGGTTTACGCACATATGGATGATTCCACAAAGCGACGCTTCAAATGCAACGATTAAAGACTATCGTGAAGTCAATAGTGATTCACATTTGGTATTTTTCTTCCTCCAGGGACGTCGCACGCAGAGCGAGTACCTACAGTACTAGGTTACCGGTTCATGGATATTCCGAATGAAACCTCAAAATATATTCTATATTCGGCTAGTATACCAACTATTCTAGACTAGTCTAGTTACTTTCAAGCTTAGATCATGTTTCATAGTATAAGCCTATAGTATGGCCACCAGTACCATCATCTTGAGTTTTTGTTTCCATCACCCGGTATGGGACTACTCTTCACATCTCAGCTTTCCCTCTTTATAGCTGATATGCGGCCGAAGTACGACGGTCAAAACGGATTGGATTGATACATTTCGAAATGCGCCTCTAATTAATCTATTGATAGGTGCTGAATGCTTGCCCGTATAATGAAATCAAGTACAGACCCGACCCAACTCCACGCTCGTGCTCATTGTCTACGAAGAATCCGTTTCACCATATCGCGCTTCTAATGCTTGCTGTAAGGAGGCGGCTGATTGCTTGGAGCTGGCAAGGACCTAGTCATGGCAGACAGCTCGCCTGCCTTCAACATCATCTTGGGAAAGTACTGTTGCACAAAGCTCTCGGTGTAGAAGCTGTGTTGGGCATTGTGTACCTTCTCGATGTTATGCGCAAGTTCGTGAGCGAGCACGACCCACCACCATATGGCGGCTTCTGCCTTCTTCTGCCCATCCGCCATGTCTGCTGCATGTAGTTGGTTAAAATACCGCAGATTACAGAATATACTTCCGTCGCTATTGAACGCGATTGTTGTGCCAGAATCATCATAGAATATGTGAAGTGCCTTGGCTTTCACGGAATATACGTCTCCAACATGGCGGATAAGGGAGCCGAACGTATTGATGTTCTCATGGTTTTGAGTTAGGAATTGTTGCACATCCATATTCAAGTCCCTCATAACAAAGACAGGCATTCCGTTGGATGCCTCGGCTGCAAGATGAAGGTTTTGTCGGGGTGTCTCGTCGCAATAGGTCGCTTGCTCCTTGACGTCTTGTGTTGTTGGCGGGCTGAACAAGGTCGAGGAGCCGTAGCCTCTTGTCGAGTTGACAGCCTTAAGTAGGTTGTCGTTGACATTTGACATACCATCCTGCTTGATAGTTCCCTTGGCTTCCTTTCCTTTGAGCTGTTTCGTTTCATTTGTAGGCACTTGATTAGCATCGTTATTCTCTTCAAGACCCAGCCGCTTCTGTATATTCGAGAAGAGGTTCCTTCCCCATTGCGGGAGGTCAGGCGCGGGAGCCGGTGCGGTGGGCGATTCTGGGCTGTCGAAAGACCCTGGCATCACTGGCATCTTCGGTCGTGCACGAGGCGTTGATGGAGACGATGGACCAGGCTCAGTTTGCTGTTGGCTTTGGTGCGCCTGAGCTCGGTCTCTTTCCTGGTCACGCATCCTTGCTTGCTCAGCTTCCAAAGCTACTCGCTTCTCTTCCTCTGCCATCCTTGCTTCTGCCGCTTTGACCCGCAGAATACGATCAACATTGTAACCACGAGAACGCAAGTCAAGTAAGTCGAGCTTCAGGAAGGGTTCGAAAAAGGTATACGCCTGTTGGGACGGACGGTGGAGAATGTGCTGGCATATTGCATATCCAACTTGGTACATGTCTGGTCGCGGACGATCTGAGGCAACGTAAAGAACAAGGCCTCTGCTTGTGATAGCGGCTGCTGCAGACTTTTTCTCCGTATGAGACTGACTATGGCCACGCAATGTCCGGCGGAGAGCTAGGGAGCGAACGACTTCAACAACCAGATTCTTCTCCAACCATCTAGCATCATGCTTGATGGGATCTCGAGCATGCTTGGAATACTCGTGGATGAAAATCTTGGATCGCTCGACAACGTGCTTCCGCAACCATATTGCGCCGTCTTGACTCTCACTATAACCACCGACTTTTAGGTCGTCCGTGACAAGGCTGCCAAGGCTTTGCGACCCAAGAGCAGCATAGAAGGTCTCCAAGCCGTCTTCTTCAGGTGCACAGAGAAGGCCCTCTTTGAATAACCGATAACTTATGTAGTCGTCAAGAATGACAACCTGATCCGGTGAGGCCAATTGATACTGTCTACTGGGAACGTCGTCTTCGTCAAGTTCTGCCGCCTCACCCTTAGCTGAAGGGGCCTCCTTGAACGCGAGCAAGAACTTTGATGTCTTCAGCTTCCTCCAAAGGTCTTTGTCTCTCTTCAAGGTACTGACATCCTCAGCGAGCGACCTGAGAAGGTTGAGATACTTTTCTGTACTCTGGAAAATGGTGAGTAAGCGAGCAGGCTCTCCTGCTGCCATTTGTGCAATCTCCAACTTGGTCGGCTCATTCTTTGCCCCAAGCCTGAATAGGAAAGAGTTGGCTTGCTGACCAAAATCGACAAAATCGAAGATATCGCCGTATGTTGACGAGCTACCGAGATAACAATTCCTCGGGCTGATGTGCGTGACGATGCTCTTAGTGGATTTTTCCGACACCGCGGTTGGCAGTCTTCGACGCAAGACGGGCACGATCGGAGCGTCTCGCAACTTGATGTCTATCGTTGTGTCCAGCTCATTGACACGAGTCGCAAAGTAATTAAACACTGTGATGGCAGCTTGCGAGTCCTGAGGTATGCTTCTGAGTAAGCGACTGACACAGTCTTGGATGGGTGGATCTCTTTTAACACCGAATTTGGGTGCGTGTTCATGCAGGTCCTTCTTTAATATGTTGAAGCCAAGTACAGAGGATGCTTCATTGGTATAACACCCACCGGGGGAAACAAGATGGCCTGACTTTCCTTCTAAAGGAAGAAAGGACTTCCCACATGAGGCGATGTCAAATGTGCCATATCTATTACTGACATGGTTGGAGACAAAATATTGCATGGCATGAACACGCAGCTCTTTGTCAGCCGAGGACATGAGTTCAACAAGTTCTGGGGCCGAAGGGAAGGCTTTCAAGCCCAATGCTGACAGAAACTTGCCTTCCGCAGAACTAGCACGGTATAACCCTGGCCAGTGCAGAATCTTGACACCGAGCGGTCTAAGAGCAGCGTTAGGTTCGAGCAACTCCGAGACTTTGTAAAGTTGTGTGCTCGCTTTGGTAAACTCTTGTCCAGCCGGACCGGCCTCTGCTGGACAGATTCGTTGTTCTCTGAGCATCTTAAGGTCGTCGTTTGGAATATCTGCGCGGACCGAGGCAAGGTATTTGATGAGGTCAACATGACTCCACTTGGCTTGTCCTTCGGACGACGGGTTGAGCAAACGCTGGAAGATGATATCCAATGCCACTGTCTTCCGGACACCAAGAGCAGCCAGAAACTTGTCTTTCAATCCCGCACATTGCTGGGAGATGGTCGGCAGGTCATCGAAAAGCTTGACTGACGGAAAAAATGAATCTGTAGGTTTTCTCATTCCCAGCTTGGTTGGCATCGAAGTATGGGCCTTGAGTAACGCGACCACTGTTTCCCTCGAGCTCGGACTAAGGCCGTCCCACCCTTTAGAAAGCACCGTCAATACCTGAACCGCAAACTCAGGTGTCTTTGTGAAGTCTTCGCGGTCGGATCGACTCGACCTAGTCTCTAAGAGGAACCGAAGCCAGGGCACAATTTCCAAAGACTCCCAACCCAACGATCTGAGGTCATTGTTATTGATCGATTTGGTGAACTCGTAGGGAATAGTCGAGGGTGGAATCGGCAGGCCGGAAGGAATCTTGTTAGGGATGATGAAGTGCTTGATGCTCCCCAGAGTAATGATACCACCCTGACCGGCACCGTTTTCGTCTAGTGTTGCAATTGCAGCATCAAGAAGTCGATCTTTATCCGCAGCGCTGAGATCGCCTTGAGCGGCTCTCTTGCAGGCCCATTGGAGAAAGGCAGAGAGTTGATACTTGTTCATTGGATATTCAGATAGCTCTTGTCGAACATCGTCCACAGTGATCTCCGATAAGAGATCGTAGTAAGTCAACTTGTTTACAAACTCGTTGTCTCTGAGCTCTAAAGGTATGACTGGAATTCCGGGCACAAATTTCATATGCTCCTCAGAGCCCAGACGGACTTGAGTGGTCAAGCGCACGCCACGAGTGCTGTATATCTCGATGTGTGCCTTCTTATAAGAAGTCCAGAACGCTTCCTCGATGATCTGGGAGACTTGTGCGCTCGGCGTGGATTCCCCAAAGGCGAAGGAGTTCAAAATGTGCATCGCTTCTGGCAAATGCTTCGCTATTACCTCAGGACTGACCTTCGCTCCAGGTGATTCAGCAGCCCGCTGCAACTTCTGCTGGAGCTCACTCATCTCGTTGGCGAAAGCAAGTCTCGTCATGATACCAGCTGCTCGAAGCATTTCGATGTTCCAGTTTCTCACCCAGCGCGCATTAAGATCAATGGCCTCGCGCTCAACAGTCGGAATAACCGATGGAGCAGAAATATGCATCCCCGCACCGGTAGTCTGTGTAGTTGGAAACCCAATAAAGATACGACCGTTCGTCTTCTTGGTTGTCTTACTTGGTAGTACCGATGCAAAGACATCAATGGCTTTCGAAAGAGATGTGGACTGGGTGGAGCTTTCCGAGGCTTTCACTTCGTCATAGGACGAGGTCAAGATAGCAAGCTTGGTCATCTTGGGCGGGGGCTTCTTGGTGGCTCGCTCCAGCTCTGCGGAAAAGCTCGCCGTGACAGAAGTCTTGATGTTGGCGGTGGTGACCCTGAGGAAGATGCTCGAGTTGGTCGTGGCGGTTATATCTTCTGCGATAGCCTCCTGCACAGCCTTTTCTTCCTTGGCGGCTTTCTTTGCCTTCGTAGATGCCGTGTTAGCTGTCAGCCTCGAGAAAAAGCTGCGCAACGAGGGCACTTCAGCGTTGCCCATGCCATACGATTCATTTGCCTTTGCGGCGATCTGGGGTTTCCAACCCATGGCACTCATATATGAAGCATCAATCTGAACACTAGCCTTGTCGACTTTTTGTATCTTCATGATACGGTCCTTGGTAGTGGTCTCGATATCTCTGTGCAAAGTGACTTCGGCACTTGGACTCGTCTTCTTGTGCAAAGACAAGATCTGATAATCGTCGATCCAGAACTCAACGTGCTGCAGCGACACAAACGTCAGACTCGTGGCTAAGAATTGCCCGACTGAGAGTAGATTCGGCAGAGTAGTCGTGGCGTTTCGATAGTCTAGGACGAAGGCAGTGTCGTTTGACTTTTGCTCGTCTCCGAGTTGTAGCTTCCTGGTGAAAAGAGCGTTGCCCTTCCAGTAGAATGCCATAGCCTCACTTCCCGAACTGATGAAGGGCTCCTCACAATCGGCGAAGACACTGTAGAATCCAACACCAAAAGCGCCAATCTTGGTTTCATCCGGGTTTCCCTCGGCAATCCTCTTGAGCCTCGCCCAATCCGTCTTGGCAAAGGGCTGACCATTGTTGGATACCACCAAACGTCGCAAGGTATGGTGTTGCAGAACATGTTTGAGTATGTCGGACCTGTTGGGGGTCGAAGGAAGGGGTACCTGTGTGGAAGGCAGTGTCTCCCATTTTATCTTGACCGTGGTCGCCTGTGCATCGGCGGCGTTCTGTATAAGCTCTCGCAAGGTGGTCCATTCCCCCGAATATCTAGCTAACACCTTGTCGATTAGGGCTCGAGTATCGACCGTGACGGCTTCCTCGTCTTCGCCGTGATTGAGCGCGGCCGCTCGCAGCTTGCCATAATCCATGATGGGGGTTGTTGCTCTCTCAGGGGGTCGTAGGCGGATCGTGACCGTAACAGGAGTTTGTATTCGTGGGTTCGATATTAAGTATCTAGGTGTTGAAATAGTAAAATCTTGCGCAAAAGAGCGCTCTAACTATCAGGACTTGGGCAGAGTGTGTAATCGAAGTACCGCTCCTGCACGATCATCGGTGGCGACGCGAAATACCAGCAAGGCTACCTAAAAATAAAAATAAACGGATGGGCGCTGCATTCCAAGTAGAATATGGTTTTGGAACAATGTCACCACTGGTGGCCTTGACAGGGGGACATATGTCATTAAGGAGAGGGAGGGAGTTGAAAAGAGTAACAAGTAAATAAATAAATCAAAAACCACTGAGTGAAAGCGATTCAGCAGAAGCTGTGCTGGAAGGAGTTTACTGCCGGAGGCGACAACACCTTTGCGTGGCCTCTCGAGGGGAGCTCGGTGTTTATGTTTAGTTGGATGACGATATGCGACAGTTGGCCCCCGGCCGCTGAAACAAAGCCGATTGGGTGTTTCTCAGGTCAGGTCTCAGACACATCAGGGGTCCCCCGTGATCAGCAGCCTTGCCGCTAAAGTCCACTAACTCCGCTGCGCTTGTGCGCCAAACGGGGACCCTGCAGCTGCTTGTATCAAGATATTGAAAATGTACCAGGTCACAGCGGCCACAATAGACAATCCAGATTCAGATAAACTCGCTTGGCATGAGCCTCACACTCGTCACTTGCCACACAATTGCACCCGAAGAGACATGCCGGGCGGTTTGCTTTGGTAATTTGAGCTAACTAAGGCAAGGACTGAACTGAATGGAAAATCGCCACGCCTGCCATGTGTAGTCTCTCTCAATATGCAGATTTAGAGTCCCTACGCTCTGGGCCATCCTTATTTCCGCCCGTCCGTCTCTCCCTTGAAAGTGCTCTATGGCGTCCTTCTCTGCCATGGTCGTTCCTTGGGCTATGACTCCGATCTCTCCTTTGACTTCGTTGTGGTCTGTCATCGTCCCTCTCCTGGCTGTAACTCCTTCTGCGCCTGTGTTGGTGTCTCTGGCCATGATCATCATGGCGCCTCGACGGACCATCTTCTGCGCGGACCTGGGCATGGTCCTTTGGCTTGTCGTTCTCGCGCCGGTCGTCTCTGTGCCTGCGGCTATTGCCGTCCCTGTGTCTCGGCGACCTATCGCGGCGCCTCTCTCGACTGCGACTGCGACTGCGACTGCGACTGCCGTTTCTGTGTCGCCGCCTATGCCGTCCTTCTGAGTCGTGGTGTCGTCTGTGTCTTCTTCGGTCTGAGGCGTCTTCTTCCTTGGGCTTTTCGGGCGCCTCCTCCTGGGGCCCAATCCGCGGCTTGCCCACTTCAATGGAATTGGCACCGGTCTGATTTCGCTCTTTGACTGGCAGACCAAGGGCTCGAGCCAGAGCGTCTTCCTCGGCTTCTTTCACTCTCTTGATTTCTTCTCGACGCTCGCGGGCAGCCCTTTCCTCTTCGGTTTCATCCGAGGGACCAGCGTTGGCATCATCACCTTTTGCGTACCAACTCAGGTCACGGCCTTTTTGCCATCGGCCTACTGGAGCCTTAAGACTGTGGCCCAGGTAGTTCTCGCGATGGGCTGAGCCTGCCACTTCGTCCCAGCTGAAGTTGACACCGCCGCGCGAACCTGATTTGCGGATACTGGATACAAGATCCATCTTGGCACGTTTTCGATTGGTCTTTCGGATCGTCTTATGATTGCAAGATTGGGACTGCGTGCAATCGTAACATGGGTCGATGCCGAAGAAGAAGAAGAAGAAGAAGAAGAAGAAGAAGAAAATGTAGGCGTGTGCGATTGTGTCATGCGCTACAAATTCAATAGCAAGTTCACGCGCAAGACGAGTTGGCTGACTGAGCGAGGCGAATGAATGAATGAATGGAGATGGCGGGGGCGTTTCCGTGACTTGAGCTGCAGCCTTGGACGCTAAGGTTAGGCGTCTTTCGCTAAAGAGTAGCGGACCTTGGGACCTCACAGGGGTCTCGAGCTTTCAGAAGCCAAAAATGCCCCCGCCAGCCCGCCAGCCCTTTGCAGACAGACAGACGATTGCCCATAGCCCAAGTATGTGACCTAACCTTGCAGTAACTAGGTTAAGGTTAGTGGTTTATACACAATCCTGGTCGCAAGTCGTGACAAGCATTAGGTTAGGTCAGTTAACTTAACTTGGCTGGAGCTCTGTCAGGTCCATCTCTCTCAAGACCACATTCCCGTTGCTTCACCTACCGTTCCCAATCCATTCCAATCCATTCCAATCCAATCCGATCTTCTTCTTCACCCAACTGCGTACAACAGCAAGGACAACAGACGTCAAACTCAGATCACCTTCGCAGTCAAACCCCCGGGCAACATCGAATCCATGGGGTCCAACGATATCCCGCTGGACGAGATCCAGTGGCATCATCCTCAGCTCGCCGACTCCATGCAGGGTATTCATAGCAACAGCGTGCTCTTCTACTTTGCCGAGTCCCCCTTCTTCGACAAGACCTCCAACAACGCCGTTATTGCCAACCAGGCCATGTTCAACCCCGCAATGTATCAGTATATACAAACACGCGAAGCCTTCGAGGCTCGTCTGAAGACCATGAGCGGCGTCGAGTTCATTGTCGCCGAGCAGCCTGCCCAGATGGCCCCCGGGACAGGAACTGGCGTCTGGGTCATCCGCAAGCAGACCCGACGGAAGCGGCCGGGAGACGACGACGAAATCAACGTCCACTCCACCTACTACGTCGTCGGCTACAACATCTACATGGCTTCCACCCTCGCCGACATTCTGAGCTTCAGGATGGCCACCATCACCAACTCTCTGCGCAAGTGCTTCCCAGCTGCAGATGACGCAAGAACCTGGTCCCCAGCCCAGGGACACGCATACAAGCCCTTGCCCGTGGCCACAAATCCCAAGGAGCGTCAGTTGGCTGCCTCGAAAGAAGACACTCCCCTGCCCGACAGCCAGGCGAGCAAACCATCCGAGACAAAGAAGTCAGCACAGTCCTCCGTGCTCGACGCCCGCCTGGCCGAGCACTCCTTCGCCATCCAGATGCAGTACGGTGGCGAGTACATGGACGAGAATCCCATCACAGGCCACCCTGGAAGCTTTCATCTCTCCTCCACCGGCCGCAAGGACACCAGACCACGTGCCACCCCCGCCCTCAACCCGCTGAACACCAACTTGAAGAACCCAGTCACAGCCAAGCCCGCCGACAAGAAGGAAGGGAACAAGGAGGCCAAGACCCCCAAGACCCCCAACAGTGGCATCTCCAAGCCCAAGCGCAAGAAGACCAAGTCAGGACTGACCCCCGGAGCTACCCCGACAGCCATGTAGCCAGGCTTGCTCCATGACATTTACGACCCTAGACTAGTTTGAGTTTGAAGAGCATAGCATATTTACAGGCGTTCACCACAGGATAGTTGGAAAGCATTTTGATACCCCCCACTATAGAAGACTGGAGAGGCTCGAGTCGTGTTCAGGTCGAGTGCGTATGGTGGAAGACATGCACCGGGATCGAAGAACACTTCAAGGCTGGGCACCCACTCAAACTGCAGTCTGGAGCTCTAGTCAAATACCGATTCAGATAAAACGTTTGATTTTACATAACCATGCATTCCCTCTTTTCTACCTGTAGTATGTGGTCAATCTCCCCACCCTTATTGCACAACCCAGCCTTTGCCAGGAACCTTCTTCTGCACAATCTTCTTGACCGGCAAAGCCCAACCCTGGCCGCCTCCGCCGCCCTCTGCCCTCAAGTAAGGTACGACGAAGCTCTCTCGCACCGCCGGGTCGTCCGTCTTGACCTCCTTGATCGGCTTTCCGTAATTCAGGAGCGGCGTCCCCTTGGCCAAAGCCGCAAGCTGCGCGCTCGTGACGTCCGTGAGGGCGAGCATCCTGGTTTTCGGCTTCCTGACTGCGTCAATCCCCGGCGCCGCCCGCTGGAGATGCGAGTAGACGATGTACTCGGGGCACTCCTGCGGGCTGAAATGCGCGAGGGACGAGGCGGGGTGGATATACACGCACTTGTCCACGTCGTCGTCGCTGAGCGGGTCGATGGGGTGGAGCGGGACATATGGCACGTCGATGGCGCGGCGCGGCTTCCTGCCCTGCTCAGGTGGGTTGGGGGCCAGGTCGCCGCGGATCGCCACCTGGTCGATGAAGCCTGCCGCGACCATCTGCTTGAGAGCCGTGACTTGCTTGGGCGTCGGCCGGTCGAGCTTGTCCTTGAAAGTCAAGTTGGCGAAGGCTGGGATGTCCTTCTGCAACAGGCTGGTGATTTGTTTGCGTAGCTTCTGCGCTTCCTGGAGCGCCTTGAACCGGACAAAGTGGTTCTCGCACCACTGCTCGCTCGAGTCGTGCGCGAACTCGCCGACGACTTGGAGGAGCTTGATAGCGTCCGAGGCGTCATCGAGCGAGCGGAAGTTCTGGTGCACCTTGTTATACTTTTGCCTTACTCGTGCTTGCTGCGTCTCGGCTATCACGTCCTCGTTTGTTCTAAGCGTCCCTTCTTCGCGATCAGATATTGCTGGAACTGCAACGGTTTCCGGGATAAATATTTCTTGGGTAGAAAGACCTGCTACAAGAGCGATGGTGTAGGGCATACAGTCGTGGAGATGTCCGATCAGAAGGATGCGGGCAAACCGTGGCGGCAGTGGGAACTTGGCCATAGTCGAGCCAATGTCTGTGGCCTGACCCTCCGGTGTGATGGCGGAGAGGTATGTTAATAATCGCTCCGCCTTGGCTAGACTGGATCTCTCCGGGGGTGTCGGAAACGGGAAGTTCACAACGTGCTGTAGCCTCATTGCTTTGAGTTGTAAGACAATACCCTCGATAGGCATCCGCAAGAGTTCCGGGTCAGCAAACTCAGCAAAGTCTCTTTCGTATACTGCTGAAGAGTACAATCTGTAACAATGACCAGGTCCCGTACGCCCAGCACGACCAGATCTCTGATTTGCGCTAGCTTTGCTGATCCAGCCAATCTCGTAACTTTGCACACCGCTCTCCTTGTCGAAACGCCGTGCCTTGGCCCTTCCGCAATCGAACACGTAACGAGTGCCAGGAATGGTCAAACTGGTTTCAGCAACGTTGGTTGCCAAGATGATTTGACGGTGGCCTTCGGGGGTGGTTCAAATACTCGCATTTGCTCTTTCGTCGGCAGAAGCGAAAAAAGGGGCAGGATATGCATCTTCAGAGGTCCAGTTCCTGCTTCTTCGTCCGGTATATCAAACTCCTTATCGTCATCGTCATCCTCCTCTTCAGCGTCGTCGATGAAGTTGATCTCGTCGTAATCGTCTTGGGTGGCATCGGTCGTTTGACCAAACTCGATATCCTCCACTTCCAACGGGGCATCATTGGCAGATATTTTTACTTTTGTATACGCTGACGAGGCCCAACCTCCCGTTGCTTGCTTCAACATCTTGCTCAAGCGCGAAATTTCATCATGCCCAGTTAGGAAAACCAGCATGCCTCCTGGAGGGAGCTTTTTGTGACCTCTGGTGATCTTCTTGTACGCCTCTTCAACGTAGTCGTGCTTGGTTTGTCGGGCAAAGTGTACAGTCACAGGGAACTGTCTTCCCTCCACATCCAGTACGGGAGGCGGTATGGGGAAGAGCGTGGGGTTTTTCGTCAAATCATCTATCCTCAAGGTTGCTGACATGATGATAAGTTTCAGAGGTTTTATCGTTGGATCCTCCTCTGCCAATTCTTGTCTCAACTTGACCACACGACTAAGCATACCGATAAGAATATCTGTGTTTACGCTTCTCTCGTGAGCTTCGTCGATGATAACGGCGGAATATTTGCGAAGAGCAATATCACTCGAAACTTCTCGCAGCAGTACACCATCAGTCATGAACTTGATGGCCGTCTTCTCGTCAGCGGTGCCCTCAAAACGTATCTGATAAGCAACCTTCTCCGAGTGGTTACCCAACTCTTGTCCCACTCGTTTTGACATACTGACGGCGGCCACCTTTCTCGGCTGGGTGACTCCAATTAGACCCGGTGTGGGTGAATCTGGTGATCCATATCCAGCCTCGAAGAGAAATTGTGGGACTTGTGTCGTTTTACCGGAACCTGTAGCACCACAAATGACGACAATATTGTTGTTGTGAATTGCCTCCATGATCTTCTGTTCCTCAGCTACGACTGGCAGCTTCAATCTTGCTTCCTGTATCTCTGTCGATCTCGTCACAGGCACACTGTAAGCTTTTCTGGCATCATTACTCGTTGCTTGCAACTCCATGGGCAAGGGTTCTTGCTCAAGAGGCCGCGGTTTGAAGTTTTCTGGTTTTGGTATGTCAAGTATTGCCGATGCTGGGTCTATGGGGTCATAGCCGAGAGCTTGGTTCCTTTGTTGATGAGCCCATGCCTTGAATGCAGAAGATCGTTGTTGCGTATCCTCCGGCTCATCGCCTGAGTCGTCTTCGCTGTCGTCGTCCGACATTTCCTCGTCTTCTGAGCCAGACTCTGCGCTGGAAGCGTCTTCCTCCTCGTCTTCACTTTGGTCATCCCCAGAGCTATTGGTTCCATCGACAGCTTCGCCGTCTGAGTTGATACCACCCCATTCATCGGTCGAGCTTGTTGATGACTCAAGCTCTGGTTCAGGCTCCGCGATTTTTGGCGTAGAAAATTTCGACTTGACGCCTCCTCGTTTTTGACGCTTTTGCATGACGGGGCGACCGTCGTCGCCAAGCTCCAGGGGGCGTTTCAAGCCCGAACCAGCAGAAACGGGCTGCTGAGTAGATGCGGCGACAGCATTTGTTGTTGGGGGTGATACTGCCTCTGTGGAGTTGGCCTGTTTTTCTGGTTGCCAACGTCCTCTTTGGAAGAAACAACAGTGGTCTTTTGTAGTGAAACTTCAGGCTCACTATCAGTGTCGTTGCGCTGCTCGAATAACTCCTCATCTTCTTCATCGCGCAAGCCAGCCTTGTGCTCTTGAAGTGCCCTCTTCAAAGTTTGCTTTTTAGTCTCCTTGCCTTGACCAAGAGTCCGAGTGCTGTAGAACAGACTAGTGTCGACCTTGCTGTTGGCCAGCTTGGCCAATAACACCCTGTTCTCATCGGCCTTCAATTTGTTGTCGATGTACTTTTCGAGTCTCTTGGCCTTCTTGCCGCTGACTTTGACGCCTTGGTCCTTTAGCTCCTCGCGAAGCTTTTTGGTCTCTGTATCCTTCTTGCTAGGAATGATCTCAAGCGCATTGCTGTCGGCTGCAACATTATCTGCGCCATCTGATGATGCTTCACTTGCCTTCTGCCTTGCAAGGACCTTATGCTTCCGTTGCCGGGGTACGTATTTGTTTGGCATCTTGATCTGAAGAATCCAGTAAGTGGAGTGATTGTGCCAACAATTAAGCAACGAGTGTTTGCGCAGGATCTGGGAAAAACTGCATGCACAGGGTGGGCAGAATCAGGACTAATCACGGTGCTCGGTAGCGCAAAGCATCCACAATCATCTCCCGATATTCTTCTCAATGCCTACACGATATGACGGACTGCAAGTCAAGACAGGTACATTCAGTATGCGACTTTGAAAATTTTGACCGCCTGGCAGAAACGGACCCGCGGTGCCAAGCCCGGTTAGTGTGAGGCGCCGCACAAGGGACTTGCCCCACCAAACAGTAGGGATTCGGGGGCCTGGCGGAAGCTCCACACATACATAAAGTACATGGACGGACCCTAACTAGATCAGATCCAACTTCATAATTGCGTCGTGGAGCATATCTACGTTCTCGCTTTCGATAGTGTATTTGGCAGGCTTAACTTAACATTCTGCACAGATACAGAGACTGCTTTGTATCAACGCATTTGCAGATCAGGGTCGCATTACGGACAGTATCCGAAGTTTCTTCAAACATGGAAAATATAGAGGTCAAAGAAGACCCATTCCCGGCGTCCACAAGGCACGCGGTCGGACTGGTAGATGGTGTCGAAACGCAAGCTTCGTCAACCTTCTTCTCGGACAGAATTATGGTCACCTTGTCACAGGAGGGTCGTCTCTCGCAATGGGTGAGTACTTTCTCCATCGACAATTTATTGCTCTCGTAGCTAAGATGACCATCAACCAGATCCAAGTGTCATTATCAGCGCCGTCAGCTGCAACCGTTGATATGGCACTGCCAGACAGGAGTTTGTTGCCTTTGTCACATCTGACACCAAAGACTCTCCTTGGCGGTGGTGGCGAGGACAGAGAATCCTCTGGTCAACTTTATGCAGTTCAGATTGGCAGTCTCATTGCCCGCAGAGATTCGGATGAGAAGCGTGTTCTCCTTGTTGGTCTTGGACTTTTGAAGTCCAAAACGGACAGAGAATCTTTCTTCGACGTTATCGAGCTTGTTCAGCAAATTCTATAACTGCAGCAGTGTTGATGACTGTGCCCCAAACCACAGCCGCACAGCCTTGAAAACAGTACATATTTAAGTGGCGTCAAAGCCAAGCTTTCACATATCTCACTGCAACCGGAGCAGCGGTATCTTATCCTTACCATAAATATGCAATATTGTTGGAGTCGTGTGTCACGAGCCAATGCAACCGCACTGCGTCTAGTGATGCCCTTGGTGGAAATCATACATCGGCATCAAACTCTCTGATCAAGACTAGTCTTATTACCAGTTCCCTCAAACTGAGGAGCGGCTTGGTGCTTCTGCAATTAATCTTAGAGATTTCTCAACTTTATCGATTGTGTCTGCTCACTAAGGAATTGTCAATACCATCCCGATCTATCCTACTTAAGCACATCACAACTCCCAAGGTCTTACACTCTGCCCTTAATCTTGAAGCCTTTCTTCCCGTACATCTTCCCATATAGAAGTTGTCGAGCGAACAAGAAGCAGATGCCACCAACCATGACTACTGCTACATACAGCCCAGCCAAGGCTTGAGTGCCAAACGTTTGAAGCATCTGACCGCCTAAGGGACTGGCAAGGAGTAAGGTGAAGCTGACGAAAAAGTACATTGTTCCTATTCCAGTAGAGTCAGCTATACGAGCACGAAACATATAAACTTCAAGTTTCCACGAACCGAAGTATCTTCCGTAATCGTCTGTCTCGCATGTTTTCCCCATGCAGACTGGTGTCAGGGAAATGAAAGAGCCACTTCCAAAGCCCCAAAGCGCAGAGAAGGCATACAGTGCACCTAGTGACGATGCACCGAAAGGGACCAAGATCGCGCCAGTGAAAACTGCCGTACTCAAGATCATGCAAAGCAAAACGTTAAAATGGCCAAAGTAATCACCAGCTATTCCCGGAAGAAGTCGGCCTGCTGTTGAGGTGGCGTTGGCAATAGCGACGAGAGCAAAACCATTATCAGAAGTGAAGCCAGCAACAGTGGCATACGTGGGTAGGAGTGAGAATACCCCAAAAATGGCAAACTCAAGGGCGGCGATTCCAATGGTCACAAATGTGAAAGTACCGCTCGTCAAAGCCATGAAGTTGAGCGCTACCCTCTTACGCCGGTGCGTTTCGGAAGCTTCGGATCCTTCTCGTCTCGGAAGAGGTTGCTGTAGGCAGAACACACCACCTATTAATACAGCTGTTATCACGAAGGCGAGAATCCTAATGGACCAGGCCCAACCGAGCTTTGGAAGCAGCTCACGCAGCATCAAGGGCATGACAACGCCGCCGATGCTTGATCCGCAAAGAGCTATACCCATAGCCAGTCCTCTACGACGGTTGAACCATTTACCGATGACCGTGATACCAACCATGGAAAGTATGCCTGCCCCAGTTCCGCCCCATATTCCGAGAACAAGCATGAACTGCCAGTACTGGTGGCACTCGGCAACCACAAATAGAACTGGCGCGTACACAATACATCCGACAGGCCCAAGCATTCTAGGTCCATATGCGTCCAGAATTGGGCCAATTTGAATACCTAGGAAGAGTGCCAACGAGGTGAATACTCCTGTAATCCATCCTATGTCACGTGAGGTATATGATGACAGCTGGTTTAGTTCTAGATACGACTGGACTGTACCGATCGTCTGCATAAAACCTGTTTGGGTCAGGATTGGATGGACCACACCGGGTATTAGGCTCTGCTTACCATAGCTTGCGAACAAGAACAAGAAAGATCCGGCGACAGCTAGCCATGCTTTGGGGTCCCTCTCTTCGGAAGATGGCTGTTGCACTGAATTTGTGGACGGGCTCGCATCCTCTTCAGTAATCAGAGCTTGCGTAGAATAGGGTGTCTCTGAGGGGTTCGGCAGCTCATGGAGGGGTATAGAAATCGAGTTGTCAAGCGTAGACATGCTTCTGGAACGTTCAAAGTATTAAAATTTCTTGCAACTACTATAGCATTCGTACGATGAGTATATCTATAAGAGAAGAGAGGCTCGACGCAAGCACAACAGCTCTTGCATAATGGTGAGATGTAAAGTTATATATTGCTAATTCGACCTTGCGCACACCTTATCTGATAGCTAAGCACGCTTTTGTTACGACATTGCATAGACCCACACAATGTCTCCCCCGCGGGTCTCCGTCAACGGTATAGCTCCCGAAGCCGCTCGTCTTTCATGACCAAGAAGAGCCGTTCGTTCCAGGTCGGCACTGCTGGATTCATACTTCGGCCACAACCCCCAGCTCAACTGATGACTCTTCTTTGACTAGCGCAGTGACACCAATGCAAGGCGACAATTCATTAGCTGGGATAGTCAAAGAGGATCGTACAGTCACCTACCGAGACCGGATGTGGCTGCACAAACTTCCAAACCACTTACTCCAGACTTGGTCAAACTTTCGGAATCCGGTCAAGTTAATCATGTAAATCCTTCTTCGCGCGACCTTGTCCAGGTTAGACTCATCGCCATCTAACATAGCTCTGATATTCTAAGGCGATTGTTTGGTCTGTGCTTCTATGCTACCCTCAATAATCTCACCTGTGCCGAGATCATCACCCATGAAGCCGCAGATGCGCAGACTGTATCCTTCTCGGATATAACGGTTGTAGTTACCGTTTGACATGGGCGTATTGCTTGTGTAAATCGCTTTTTGCTGGGACGCAATCTCCGTTGAAAGTTAATATATAAGTCAGCAGTAGGATTTCTGAAGTGTGGTTAGGTTTGGTCTTGCAATCTGATACAACAAACCCGAACATCATCATATATGGTGATCCTATGTTGGCTTATATTCATCATATGACGGGGCTCTATCATGGCGTCAATTTGACATCTCCACGTTTGGTTGATTGCTATATAATCTTTAGTTGCTTATTACAAGAACAAAAGAAGGCATTTCGGTTCGTGGTATTCACTTTGCATATTTGTACATAATCTACGAAAGTCTCGATACTAGTATAGTGGCAGATTTGAATATCATCCGTCGCAGTCGTAAATTATTAGGAAAGGACATCTCAACCCGTTGTTGTAGCTCACTATCGCTTAATTCTGTGTGTATGTCGAATCATGCCTAGTCATGGCCAGAGACGGTACCGACGATTGTACAACGCGGAGGGCAGAAATTGTTTTTTCAACAATTTGTGATATGGAAGAAACGGGCTTTGAGGTCAATTTCTACACCTAAGTTTGGACTACTATAGCACTTGGCGCTATTGAAGCTATGGCTGCTTTCTTTTCGTCGAAAGATTCTCGTTCAATCTTGAATCGTAATTGACACCCTATTTGGTCTAATGAGATGCGTTCTGGACCTTTGAAAATACTGGCACACTTACAATCACCACAGGAGATCGGCTCGTACTTGGCTGGATTAGTTTCCGAAACACAGCTCGGTATTACGCTTTCGACGCAGTTGAAGTTAAGCCCTGCAGACAGTGATCAAGTTAGGCCAAGTATTGCTGAAAGACTATGGAGCACGATTACCAAAGAAAAAAGGCATCGAGACACGTTCAAGAAGCGACTCATTGGTAACTCGATGGACTGTGGACTTGTACGTATCATTCGAAAGACGCATCATATAGTCACCAATGTTGACAACAAATGTTCCCTCGATTGGTGGAGCCTATAAACAATGAGCATTGAGCTGGTCTTCAGGGGCTTCACCGTACCTTAATCCACTGACCCTCCTTGGTCAATACCTGTAATCCACCTATGCTGTCTTGCCATAATAAAGTGAAGAGTTGTAAGTCGGTATGACTACCAAGACCGACGAAATCCTCTCTAATCTCTTGCTCGCTCCTTGGACGATAATAATTGAACACAGAATCTGCGCCTGGGTGCGTCACCTTATCATCCCAATAGCTCTCTTCTAAATCCAAGGAGAGAGCGAAGGCGCCGACTAGCTTTCTAGCCAATAGCAAGCAACTCGACCAGTACGCCACAAGGTCCTTCTTGAAATCCAGCAGATGCGACGTACCATCCCAAACGAAGTCTTCACCTCTGATCCACGGCCTTACTTCCTCTGGTATCTCAGAAATATTCGCTGGGTGGTCTGGATCAAGTTCAGGGGAATATCGAAAAGAGAACGACTCTCTGACGTCGACACTCTCACTTGGAGAGATATTGGTGGTCATTGCACCGGAATAGCCATTGTAGTACTTGCTATGTTTCCTAGAAGATATCAAGTCCTTTTTGTCCATAGGCTGTCTCATAAAAGCCAGTCCTTGCTCCTTTGCTCTGGCGATAGTCTCCTGGGAGATTCCATGGTTCTTGATATAGAAGAAGCCAGTGTTGACGGCTGCTGAGTGAATCTGCCGTGCGACCTTCTTTCGCTGACCCAGCTCGGAAGAAAACATTGGCGCCAGATCGACTACCGGTATTTCCTCAGCCGTGCAATCTCGAGGCGGATCAAGCAGGACATCGCGGTACACTGGCCCGAGGGCTGTGCGAAGCTCAAGTTTCGTGGTAGTCATTATTTAGCAAATTGACGTTGGTTCTGGTAGTATACGAGTGACATAATATGAATAGATAAAAAGATTTATACGTTCTTCCTTCAGTCGACTTTGATATAGGTTATCAATCTTATCGCCCTAAATCGGCGGCTTATGAACTATGAGCTGACAGAGCCATATGCCCTCGGAACCCTAGGTTCGCCGCCGTAGTTCGGTGGACTCTGCTGGCCTAAGCTCCGTCGGTCGCCGATGGGCCCTACCGCAGACATACCATAATACACCACCACTAGTCATATTTCGTGGAGGCATGCTCGATGTGGCAATTTCACCATCCAGCTAGTCCACTTTCGTAGTCAAGTTAGTTGCACATTATATCAATCCAGCTCCTGATATCACTGTAAACCATATTCACAGCCATGTTAACCAACCGCACAATACTTCCATACGTCTACAGTCTCAGGAAGTTGCCAGTCCGTTACCGAAAACCCAGGCGATTAAAGCTGCGATCGAGGGCTTCCATTTTTTATCCGAAATACAAACGCACTGTCATCGTTATCGAATTTTTCGTGGCCAAATATGGTACTCATATACTGAAAAATGAAGGTCATGTGTTACGTCTCTACGCCATGTAGCGAGAGATTCAGGAGCTCTATTTCATTACACAGTTAAAGCCAGGAAGCCACTCTGGGCCGAGACAGCCAGAAGTCTCCGCTATGGTAAAATGGGAAGATGCTAGGTGGTACCCAAGCTATTAGTAATATATAACATGCTTTATAGATTTCCAATGGGGCGGATAATTGGCTAGAGCATATCGAGCGCAATGTTAAGTCTTATTCTTCAAATGCTGTAGTTCTGCGATGAATTTGGGAGTTTTGAATGGGTAATATGTCCTGGCTAGACATCGAGGTAGATGTGGTAGCTGGCGAGTCGCCTGTGACCTGTTAAGTAGGCCGGACTCTAAGGCTGTTATGGATTACTATTGCTGAAACCACTGTTAATCGTGCTATCCTAGCATCTATGCCAATAATATCATGGTCTTATTGGGTAAGGTTAAATGCAGTTGATGCACAGCATAAGAATTTGATTAAGCGGCCATGCTAAAAAGTCTAGTGATAAAGCCTCGACCGTACAACGTTAAAGACTATAACACAAATTAAAGAATAATGATTAGCCTTAGGTCCAGGGTGAAACATGATAACTAGATATACCACAAGCAAACAATGCGAACTTCTAGTATAATAGTTTTTATTGAGGCGCAGGTATACGTGGAACCCACATCGCCGACTGCCTAGAGCTCGTTGGTATGGCATGTCCATATTGTTGGAAGATGTTATGAAAATCATCACTAGAGCCGGTGTTGTTGCTCGCCGGTACCGCCAGGCCCAACGTCTATTGCTGCTTCGAAAATGTCAGATGGTCTGACCTCGGTAGGCGCTGATAAGATCCTACTAAGCGCTGCCCCCGATACTTCAGAGCTGCTTGATCAACCCAAAACCAGTCGAGACCCTCTTTGATCGCCATAACGCGGCAACCCTCTACTTTCTTCTAATCAAGCTTTTTCCCGACCACTATACACTTAGGAAGCCCCAGCTATCAAGGTCATCAAATTTAACGTGGCTTTCCACGTATGAGAGAGAATAGCGTACGGGGGAATCTAGCATCCGGAGCACTCCTTAAGCATCAGCGTTTTGATAGATCAGAGGGCCACAGTCAAACCCTGTCTAAGCTTTTAAAGATGGTCAATTGAGGAATATAGTGAGACAGTTTGAGCAGTGGCGCGCATACTCCGTCTGGATTCGGCCCACGAAGGTGGCAACGCAGCGACAGGCGACCAATCAGACGCACACAATGTTCGCGCGTCCACATGTTTCAAGTCCTCCGCAGTGCGCATTCCTTTCGGCTTATACCTGTGTTATGTCCAACTTATACCCGGTGCAGATGCGGGGGAGCTATTGCGACTGCATCCTTCATAACGTTAAATTAATACCAAGTCGAATACGTCGTGAAACATAACTTGAAAGTATATTGTCATCGTATTATTCTTCGTTCGCTGTTCAGCTCCTGCGTAACGATGAGATAGTTGTGGAAAAATTTTGGTATCGACCTTTAAACACAACTCACAAAGTATTAAGAACTTAGAGCACAAGTTACATTGTAGGTCATTGATAATCGCGACCATGGCACCATTCGTATCTGATGTAAAGGTCAACGGCAACGGTATTCCTAATTTTGAAGACCTCCCACTGAGAAAGTCGGACCCTCACCATTCTGCTTGGGGTTTATATGGCGATCATGACGAGCTAGGGTTCCTCAACCGGCTCACGGACGAACGAGTCGCGGCTGCGGCGAAGAGCGAGATCAAGACAGGCCACAGGTAAACCTGACCTACAAGTGACGAGTCACGACTAACGATGCCACCAAAAGAGTTTCGCTCAACTGGCCTCTCGACGCGCAGGAAAGACGGTCGTTCTTCCAGAGGGCAAGATTTCACCAGGACATCTTTCCAAAAGCACCGGCAACCGTAAACGATGATGTATGGACGTTCAACTCTCAAGTATCAACCCAATGGGATGGCTTGAGGCACTACGGTTATCAGAAAGAAAAACTGTTCTACAATGGTGTCACGATGAAACAGATTCATGGCTTCGACGAGGGAGGAAAGAGTACCGTGAACGGCATCCAAGGTGGTATTGTCCCCGGTGACTCCTGACTCAGTCTCACTAACAATTAACAGCATGGGCGGAAAAGGGCATAGTTGGTAGAGGTGTGCTCATCGATCTTCATAGCTGGAGAGAGTCACATATCGATCTCAACGCTTATGATACGTTTCAGTCCACTCCTATTCTCTTGTCTGATATACGGGAATGTCTTCAAGTACAGGGGACTGAACTCAAATTTGGCGATATCCTCTTCATTCGTTCTGGTATGCTTGAACCGACCATGGTCTCTTGATCGCAGTTCATTGAGTGTTTCGCCAGGTTTTATGGCACAGCATGAGCAGAAAAGCCAAGACGAAATCTGGTCCCATCAGGACCAAACGCCACACCGTTTCGTGGGAGTGGAACAGAGCGAAGACATGCTGAGATGGATATGGGAGAACTTTTCTGCGGTAGCCGGAGATCAACCCGCATTTGAATGCTGGCCAACGCAAAAGGACTGGCTTCTTCACGAGGTGTTGCTCGCTGGCTGGGGATGCCCGATCGGCGAATTGTTCGATCTCGAGAAAATCGCGGCGCACTGCCAGAAAGAAAAGCGGTGGAGCTTTTTCGTGTCGAGCGAGCCTTGTAATGTGCCTGGTGGTGTTGCCAGGTAGGCCCGTTCAGCCCCGTTCTTATTGAAACGCTCACTGATCTCAAAAGTCCCCCTAACATTCTGGCAATCTTCTAAGCCTAAGGGAATAAAGTACAAGAATTATGTGAGAGCTGAGCTAGTTCTAACAGTGGTGTACATGTAAACGAGGCAGGCTGCAGACAAGCGGATTTTCTGCAAACACTCTGGGGCTCGAGGCAAAGTGAGCTGTTAGTTGCGAGTAATTCACCCGAAAAATCGCTTCGTGTGAAGAGGAAGAGGATACAGTGAAGGCTGACAGTTTTCGGCTCATGACGGATTCTGCGCTGCGTAAGCTGGATAGGTCAGGCAGTGAGGATGGGTAACGCAACCTATGAAGTTGGCATAAGATAATTGGTTTTTGTGATTCAACTTTCCAAACCACGAAAGTTTCAATGACATATACTTAAGATTCAGAACGAAAATTAAATTAAATGGAATATGACATCTTGGGATATAATTTTCAGTCTTCCGCTAGTGTTGACTCTGCGAGTTTTCACTTGTCGAATCTATTCGGCCTTAATGATGTAGACTTGGTGGGCAATATGGCGAGACTCCTCGGGGTCCGAGAGTTTCTGAAAAATACTGGAGAATACTGCATTTTGAGAGTGTAATTGCAAATTTGCAATGTGAAATTATTATGTTGGATAGTCAAGGTAATCATAAATGCCAACGAAACATCGACTGGTGGACTTGGAACCAGTGATCATTAGCAATTTACGGGCATGTACACCCGTTATTTAAACACCATGCTGGAATAATACTTCTCATCACGTATTGATTGGCCAGCCATTCCAATTTCGCTATTCATGTTTTCGAGGTATAACTCCACTCAGCCTCATCAGACCAGGTCAAGAGGGTAAGCTTGTTCCACTGTTTTTGAAGCTGTTGACATTCTTGGAATAACCAAGGGTGTATTCGTCAATGGTGACAGTAGAGACTGATTACCAAATACCGCCTGCAGACAGCTCAGTACACATACGGCTGTTGGCCACAAAAAGGTATTTGCAAAGCCCAAGTACGAAGCGTGATGATATGTATTATAGGGTCAGCGTAATCGCCAATGCCCTGTTGTCGTGTTGTTACGAATATACTACTACCTGCATCAATCAAATAAGCCTCCATGACTTGAGTAGACACTATTCTACTTTACGACCAACCTTTCTTTAATTTTTTAATTTTCAAAGGAGCATTTCACCAATCATGCAACACTGCTTGACACGAGAGTTCATAGTCAACGCAAGATAGTAGGATATATTTGCTATTCTCCTAATAATCTAAGTCTTTCTGCATACCAAGCCCTGCACCACTTTAAAAAAAAATGAGGCCAATGGCTTTTGTATGACCCTTAAGTATTCTGGGACTGGTGGCTAAGCTCGTCCTGTGCTTGGCCTGACGTGCCTCCACGTGTCTCTTGGGCGATTACAGACCTTAGAAAGGTTTTCTTTCATGAGTACTGCTTCAGATTTTCATAACCTCATTAGAGGCAGCGTTCATGCTATAAAGAATCATAGCCACATCGTGGAAGTTGCGTTGTAAACAACGCATCGAGGTATTGTTTGACAGCGTTAGGCTTCGGCCTTTTGTTCAGCTAAGCGTATCTATCGCTTGCGGTCACTGAGAAGAAGATTAGTCATTGGATCCAATGGCCACAGAATGTCGCTTACCTTTGGCTAAGCCTTCTTGACAGCGTCTGTAACTTCGTGTCATTATCAGCGTCTCTTTTGGCTCTTTCCATAGCAGCCTCATGTTGCTCCGACGCGGCCTTTTGGACCTCTTCGTGAGTTGGTGGAAGACGCTCGTTTTGCAAGTCGACTTTTCGGGCGTCCTCGAAACTGCTAATTGCGTTCTTGATTCCCTCTGCGCCGAGCATGAGGGTACCAGCAGGCAGCCTTCCTCCAGAAACTGTCTTAAGCTCGGTGACCTTTTCTGACTCCTCACGGAGAACTTGGAATACACGTGATAATCTACCAATAGCAAGAATCTTGTTCTTGATCGCACGTCGCTTGTACTCGATCGAGTTGGGGTCGTTGAAGGGATCCTCCAGGGATGGCGATTGGGGACCAGGAGATGTGGTGAGGGGCGTCTCGTCCTTGAGTTCTTCCTCGGAGCATGTGTGCAGAATGGCAATCAGCATGTCGGTGATCTTCTCGCCCACAAATGGCAAAGACCACGTGAAGACGTCCATGAAGTTAGGAAGCCAGTACGGGTGAGGTGTGCAGTTGAACTGGCGAATGTTCATAACGTTATTCTCGTACTTCAACACGGCCGCCTTGTTGTTATAGACGTCCAGGTAGTTGGGCGCAGAGAAGATTGTCATGACACTAGGGAAACCAGTGGTCCTGGTCTTGCGATACATTCGGTAGCCGGCATCTTGCGCTTCGTGCGCTCGGATAACAGACAACAGGTTGTTCTTTTCCAAGAAAGCACAAGCGGCTGGATACGAGAAGAAGTATGAGCATCCTCGGACGTGGTTGTGCATGAAGAATTCGCTGGTTTTCTCTTGTCCAAAATCCTCGAGTGGATCGGCCCAGAGAATGTCACACATCAGGCCTTGTGTAGGCGGCTCGCGGAAACGATCGATATTCCGGATGTCGTCCAGCGTGTGCAGCTCAGGACTGAGACCGCCATGGATACACAAAAACTGCTTGTTCATGACGGCGGCCAAGGGCAAGCAGCAGAAGGACTCCATGCAAGCCTCGTAAATAGCTTCCGAGTACTTGTGCTTACACTCGAGCTTGAAGGTGAAATAATCAGTCAAATGCCGGCACTCGTGGTTTCCGCGTAGTAGCCACAGTGTCTTGGGATAGTGTATCTTGAGGCACCATAGATAAAGGACACACTCGATGCTGAAATAACCGCGGTCGACGTAGTCGCCCAGGAAAAGGTATCTCGTCTCTGCGGGATCGCCACCAACTTCAAAGAGCTTCATGAGATCGTAGTACTGGCCGTGGACATCGCCGCACACGGTAATGGGTGCGTCCATCTCCAAGAGATTGGGCTCCTCGCGGAGGAGCTCGGTGCCCTTCCTGATGATCCATAGAGCCTGGTCCTCGGTGAGGCGGCCTTCGCGGTAGAAGTGTTGCTTGAGAAAGGTGATGTTGGGCTTCTGGTGAGTCTCGTCCTCGAAGAACTGCTCGTCGCTGGGGGTGAAGGTGGCTGGTGCTTGAACATCTAAAGAGCAAAGTTGTCAGTCATGCTCCTGGTCACGGTCATAGTCCTAGCAATCGCATATGGCGCTCGGAGGGCTGCAAAACGGCAAGGGGCCGCGAGGTAGAGCGGCGGCGGGGTAGATGCAGGACAGTTCAGGAGCCATACCTTTGCAGACTCGCTCCTGTGTGTTGACCTGAGTTCCATCCTCCATGGAGTGGATGGTGAAATCAATCTCAGGTACGGGCTTCTTCTCCCGTATGGCGCGGATGGCATTATCAACCTGCATGTTGCGGTTATCCTCCACATTGGAGGACGGCTGGGCGTCGTCCGCCTCCATCTTGAAGCCGCGTGAGGAGTTGCGCCTTGGGAATTCGGGCGGTCTGGGTGCGGACGCGGGCAGGCAACAGGACAGCGGTGTGTTGAGGGTCCAAGTCTAGTTGTCTTCACGTGTTCGTTCGAGGATCGGGGATCGAGGCGTAGGCGGCTGCGACTGCGAATGATCGTGTTGAGAAGTGAATAGGGCTGAGAAGGGGGAAAGTTGGGCGACAGAAAGGCGGGCAAATGTACAAAAAGGGTCTGCACAGAAGGTTCGTAGACAGGCACAAGGTTGGGTTTGGGGGGGTGGGTGCGCTAAAGTGCGGGCGGGTTTAAGTGCTGTACCTTGTACGGAGAGACGGACTAATGACATTTCTGAGAGCTGAGTGAGTAACTATGCACTCTATTCCCATTCTAGACAACCAAGCCATCCATCAATTACACGCACGCAAGGTCTTGTACCTAGGTACCGAGCCTCCAATGAAGGAACGAGAAGATGGATTATTGAAGTGACGCCAAGCATATCTGTAGCCTTTCGCCTGCCCTGCGATAAGCGGCATCATTGCCCCAGGTTCCATGTCCATTGAGTTGTGTCCATCTTCACCTGTTCGGCTGACTTCCAAACCCAATAGTTGCATTTCTGAAATCAAGCGTATTCCTCATCCTGAATTGTCAGCATTGCTCCTTGATCTCCCCCGGGTGGTAGGGGGAGTAGGGGAGGAGGCGACCTGGGGTTGTTACAAAGTCACACTAGTGTAGCCTCCGTGAAGGCTCCTGGCAACTTGTCAGCTCCTTAACTACCATCAACCATCAGATGGCCCAATCCCACAGAATGCCAAATTCCAGCCAGGCAACCATGACACTGTTGAGCTACCCACACCGAAAAGGCTCTTCATCTGTAGTCCTACCTTGCTTCCTTTGCGACGTCCCGTAGGCCAAGCATGCGTGAATCTTGGTCAGTACAAAAACAAGTATGCTCTTGGAGCTAAATCATCATTAGTCTAGGGGCTCACTTGAGAGACCCATCAACCAATGACTTCATAACCGAGCATTTTCTCACTTCTTACCGGCTATCCAGAACGTGCTCGCTGCGCTACGGTCACACTTCAGAAGACAATCATGGCTGCACACGTGACGAAGACAATCCTACATGCATTTACAGCATGCATTTTCCCGCACACATTTGTGTACTTGGTTGCGACTAATTATGCTCAAACTTGCTGCATGCATCCGCCGTTTTTCAAACCCTCGTATTTGACATGACTATTAGCTAAGAGCGCCTTTATCAAATACGCTCTAACTGCGTTCCAATATTGCAATGCATCCACCGTCACGTTGTACGGTTCCCAATCAATCCATGTACGAGACTATGTTGCGGGCTTGGGATACGACATAATGAGGGTGGTGGTTATTGATTTTCTTATACCGGCAGGTAATTTGACGTGGAACTTGACACCAGTCGTCCTACTCCATGGTAGCAACCAACTTTTATAACCTGTACTAGTCTAGATCTAAGAAGAGCGGCTCAAAAATCCTGATGCACACCTCCAATCTCACACAGCGCAATATCCGCCATCTACCAAGAGGTCGGTTCCTGTCGTATATGATGATGCATCGCAGGCGAGATACAGATACGCGCCCTTCAGCTCTTCCGGCTCGCCTTCACGACCTTTACGGGTGTTAGCGAATGGGACAGTCAAAAATACCTCGGACACTTACCCATAGGGATCTTGTCCTTGAAGTAGCCCTTCGTCTCTTCAGGGATGAATTGCGTAATGTCAGTCTTGATATAACCTGGACTGACACTATTCGCTCGAGCGAAACCGACCCATTCGACAGCAAATGATTTACCTATGACCTCATTGAGCATTTCAACCTAACCACAGCCTGTTCATTTACTTACATGCATGGATCACGGCGGCTTTCGAGGCGTTGTATGCTGTTTGCATCTGGGGAATGTTGGCAATATGGCCAGACATTGATGCAGTAGCGATGAAACTTCCATAGGTAAAATTCTCTAGTTCCTGTCCATCGATTGTCGTCCTCTCCTTCTTTTGCCGCCTCCAATGCAAAGCAGCTGCCCGTGCGCAATAGAAGGTACCGTCGATGTTGACTTGGAGGACCTTCGACATCCTCTCGATGGGGCCATCGATGAACGGGCCGTCCTCCCAGGCGATTCCCGAGTTCGCTACGAAAACGTCAAGTCTGCCATTAAATTCTTTGACGATTTCGTCTACAGCATCCCGGACCGCCTCCCAAGATTGAACATTGACTGGATACGCCTTGCCTAAAGTCAGTATCAGTACTACCGCCTGATAGACAACCAAAGATCAACGTTGGCGTTGGATCGCAACAGACTTACATTTCACACCGAATTTCTTCTCGATGTTGGCAGCTTCGTCAAGAGCTTTCTTATTACTATTGTACCAAATAGCAACGTTGGCTCCGGCCTCCGCAAAGGCATGCGCTATCGAAAGGCCGATGCCAGCTCCTGCTCCGGAGACGATCGCTGTTCGTCCTTTCAAAGAAAAGAGAGGCATGACAAGGCCGTCATTTTTCGGTGGTGCTGGCATACCATTATGGGCAAAGTTGCCTCCGTTCATAGCAGCCATTGTGCAGGTTGTTGCAAGCTCACAAGAATGCTCACAATTACAGAATATTACTTTTCAGTGATTTTCTTGAGCAGTAAAGCACCATGAGAGAAACCGGTCCGGGATATTGTTGTCAATCATACATGTTCTGGGTCTGCGACTTATATCCATGGCAACGGCTGCGTGATTAAATAGCTGCAGTGTACGACATGTGCCGTTTCCTGGAAACCGGCGTGCTTGTTTGACAGACATATCTATCCAATGCGGCACAACCTTAGTGGAGCGCATATCCCCAGGAAAATAGATTACGCTAGGAAAGCCGCGATTTGCGAGCTTCAAAGTCGTTTGTACAGCATCATGTTTACTGTTTACCTCTTCCCGATACGATACGAAGGTGGGACTCAAAATGGCACACATGCTGTCTGCCTCTACACAGGTTACACACGGTGGGCACCCGCAGATTTTGGACGCCACGACCTTGATGAAACCAGACTCCCATATATTGAGCAATATTTGTTTGCGCTCTACAGTCACACTTCTGGGCGGGCGGGGTAGTTTCCATCTGTTGCCAAGTCTTGATTCGTGTCTTTGCAAACCAGCGAGCTGTTCATGCAAGATGATGGATCCTAGCTAGCAAATAAGCGGTCAAGCATATTCCCGATCACAGAGGCCCGCAACTGATAGACGCAGCCAAAATAGTGGTTCTAATTGCGCTTTCATCTCATGAAGAAGCCCAGCTGTGTATTTACTTTGCATTGCACTTGCAGTGAACTGGAATCAGCCGACTACCCTTCGCATGATCTCCTCGCGAGGATAGTTGGTGTTTCTCCACCGTGAGATGAAATCATCTCGATTGACTATGTTATTGTTAGCCTCACTTCCATCCATTAAAACGAAGTTTGGGCAGGTAGACGTACTGTAACCACCGCAAATCCGTCTCACGCCGGTGAATGCACTGCGACCATGCAAGACTCGCCAGTTGTCAAAGACTGAGAGCAAGGTTAGCAGGTGCGTCATGTCGGTTTTGGAAACCCACTCACCAAGAAGGCTACCAGGTGTAAGCTGAAACCAGTATTCTACCGATTTGCGCCTCAAGATGGCATCCCATTTTCTGGCAGCATCGTACCACTCCTCTGGTGAATATTCGCTATGGAAAGGGACGACACCTCTATCGTCATTGTTCCACCTTACACGTTGTAACTCACCCGTGGCCTCGTCTACCTCCAGCACGGGGTAAAGCTTATCGGGTGAGATGGTGATGCCCTCGTTGCCGCTAGCATGCCATGGTAGCTTGACGCGGCTCAGCACATTCCATGCTTTTGGATCTTCGTCTCTAAGCAAAGCTGCAGCCCAGAACCCGTCGACCAGAAGTGATTGACCCCCTAGCGTGGCCTTTCCATCTTTGGCAGAAGGGTCAACGTGTGACAAAAGATGAAAAGCCTGCAGCCCTGCCGGGTCAGAGAAGTAAGTGGTGTCAGTGTGTGCTGCTAACGCAATGTTTGTATAGGCCGTGTCAGCAAGGGCGAGATCAGGTATAAAGTCGTAGAAGCCACCGTAGTGTGTTTCTCGTATGAAAGCAATCTTCTCCAGCAACTTTTGACTGGGCTCTGCCGTGTCATACGGCACATCAGTAATGAAGCCAAACCCATATTTTCTCTTAGAAGTGTAAGCTGGCGGGTTTACAAGTTCGGGGTTAGAGGATAGACTGACAATGTAGCCTGTTAAACGCCCAATCGCATCCTTCTCGTCCTTCTCGATATCGTTGCTGCTCACGGATGGTGGCCATCGCTTTGCCAGAGCGCTACCTTTGGAATCGAATGTATTGATTCTTCCCACATCAGTCAAGACTCGGTAGCAGCGGACAGTCCACCTACTGCGTTTCCTCCGCTTTCGGTTGATCTTCTGTCAAGTAATACTCAATAAAGTCCCACGGGTAGAAGCTTTCGTGCGAGTTGTCGGACCCTGCACTTTGTTACTTGCCCGTGTCAAAATCATAACTTCAGTGAGTTGACATACATCGAACAACAACTCCCGCCTCGCGGCTCTCGATGTGCAGTGGCCGGATATCTTGTGGGATCTGATGGTCTGTGAGCTATTGCTTGAATGTCTACCGGTGTCTACTCTCACCTCAAATGTGTTGAATCCTCTCTGCATAGTATCTTGGTTTACGCATGCATTGCATCGACAGTTGTCTCTAGTCATCATAAGCTCCGATTTTTCCTTTCACTCTTATACATTTCGACTTACCGCAACCAGATATTTGGCCTGGTGTATGGTTAGCACTGCAAATTTGAAAGATCTATTGACGTTGCAAATCAAAGGCCTTAGCTTACAGGGATGTTCTTTTGAATTGCCAAATATCGCCCGCGCTTTTGTATGCAAATTTGAGGCTCCCGTCATTAGCTGTTACATGAGGTGCAGGCGATCTTGTTATTTGAGACAATGCACGAATAAAGTTGCGGCTTGCAGAAATATTGCCCAATGTCCGACTATACACTAATTAGACGTTGCTCCGCGATACGTTACGATGGTTTGAGTATAGATGTCTCACCGAACGAGGGGCAATCCTCGCGCCACTCTTAAAATCATCGTATGACGCGGCAGTACGATCTTTGTCAGATGATGCTAAGAGGATATGCTGCCGAGACTTGAAGAGAAGGCTATGGTCTGAAGTTTCAAGGTACTCAACATCAGCGATAGTGATAGCCAATGAATTGTTGTCCGTGAAAGGACATATATCACGCGAGCGTCGGCCGATGTACAATGGCCGAGGTAAGGACTGGCCCTGGGTTTCCAGTCAGGTGTGGCGCAGTCCACAACGCCACATCGACGAACTCCGTTAAGATACTCGATCGTCAACAACACTTATTTCGTTAAAGGTGTTGACTGATTCAGTCAAATCCTTGTCTGACAAGTTCTCTCAGAAGTCATGGGCTACTTTAGCTCCGACGCTGCGAGAGCGCCGCATCTGACAAGCAACAACTTACAATTGGTAGACTTAGACGCGTGAGCCGAGCAGCTCATTTTAGCGTGGTCTGATCCTCCCCTTCGGCCAGTCTCGTCGTCTGATTAATCGCCGGTGCCAATCCATCGGAACTGGGCTGACAAGGATCTTGTACAGCACTTCAAAATGCTCACCAATTCTGGCTCATATGTCATGAAGAAAAACCCTTAGTCGATAGTTGTGTTGCAGCGGCCAGGAACGACTCACTGTTCGGGTTTTGTTGAACACAAACTTTGGAATGGCCATACATGGCCGGGACTCCGTGCTGTTAGAATGGTTCAACACGGCCAACGGGCGCCGGCCATGATGTATGTTTAGACTTGACTGTGCCATGAGGCTCCTTTGCGACGTAACGACATGGTCCTTTCCTTGCAATTGCCACCGCCATTCTCCTGGGCCGCAGATCAGGCCGCATTCATTTTTGTCAAGGATCTCTGGGGCGTGCAGATTGACACGCCCCCTGTATTGAGACGACCTTGTTGTTCAAGTGCTCGCGTATGTTTTATACGCCTCACTCCTGCATAGAAAATGTGCTGTTGGTTATTGTCGCGGCAAAATCTTGACTTGGATTGGCTCATTAGTCGATCAAGCGCCTGGCAGTGCTTGAGTGTGGGTACGGGCTATATCTATAGGTTGATCATACCACGGCCCGAGCCAGACATAAGGCAGAATTTGGAGACTGTATCCGACAAAGGAAGTCAATATATTATCACAGACTCTTGGTAGATCTAGGACTCTATTCCAGAGATCATGTTTTTGGCTCTTGGTGCTCATCTTTTCTTCCATCATGGCTCAGGTAGCTGCCGTGTTTCTACTTCTATTTACCAATCTTACGCTGTGCTATTCTATATCATACCCTCCTTTGTACCAAAGCGAACATTCTCCATCATCGCCTCGCTCGGAGCTTAACAAGTGCAATGCCGACGGATACTCGACATGTGGCAAAGGCCTTCCCGACGACTTCTGTTGTCCTTCTGGGAGCACATGTCTTTCGATCGCATCAAACACAACTGCACTATGTTGCCCCAAGGGCCAGGATTGCAGCATAATTCAAGTAATTACTTGCGACATTCAGCAGCAAAATGTGACTGCTGCCCCCGAATCCGGAATACACACAACAACTCTTGAAAAGTCTTTGCCTCTATGTGGCATCGATTGCTGCCCTTTCGGTTATCACTGCAACGAAGATTTGAGCTGTGAGCTAGATAAGGATGTGGCTGTGACCACAGGAGACAAATTCAACATCTCGACTATACTGTCGACGACGCAGATCACGACCGTACCAAGTTCTACTTCACAAACTTCATCACCCACCGTGTCTTTTTCATTGGTCACGACGACAATAAGAGTATCCTTATCGACAGCAACATCAGTAACGGGCGACACGCCTGCTGCTACCACCGAATATATACCTACCCAATCCTCAAATAAAACCAGCATAGCTGTGGGTAGCACCATTGGTGCCGCTGGGGCTGTTTCAGCCATCGGCGCTGTCATCTACCTCTGTATGCGACGGAGGAGAACACGAAGATCGGCGCAAATACAAAAGAGTTGGCGGCGAACGTGGAGGCAGCAGCGACCTCAACATGATTCGGGCCTGACCAAGTTTCATACATGGCGAGGACAAAGCTACTATGCGAAAGCCGATGCGAGACCCATCGTTAGAGTGCCTGTCGTGCCGCCGGAACCTGTCTACTATGCAGAACTGCCTGCAACGCCTTTGTCTACCTTGTTTTGGGATAAGAGCCTACCCAGAGCCCCCCAGACACGCCCACAATCCACTTATAAGACATACATGGGCACAAAGGCTGGAAAGTCGCAGGATAGATGGAGTCTTCAATGATATATAGTAATTTTAGAGCACAACCTGATATTTTGAGACCATGGTTTGTTACCTGTGTACCTTTTTTCACTTGTATGTTTGCGAATGTCCCACCGTAGCTCGATTCTGAGTTCCGCGTCTTCTTGAGGTCTTGATGGTTCTTATTCTGTCTAGAAACAGGGTGAAGCGGCAACTCAAAGAAACAGAGTGTGTTCTTGAGACGAGGAGTCTCATATTTTATACTATATAATCATTGGCTTCCTGACAATCTCTCGCCGTTGAAACCTTTTACACGTACTTGATGAAGTGACTGTGGTTATTACACTGCCAATACCGACGTCCTGACACCTCAAACTCACCAAAAGTCAAAGTGGCATCGAATCTGGTCACGCAGCTACCAACCAGTGAGCCCCATCAGATGTCACCTGATCATCACCTGCCCAAAGAACAACACACCAAGCTGCGCGAGTGTACCAACAGAGTCATCCCCCTGTGCGCCGCCATCCTGGTCATCTTCTCCATCGGCGGAGGCCTGGGCTACACGTTCAACCAGCAAGCCCTGCCACGGAATGCAGTAGTCGGCATCTCGATCACGTTTCTCGCTCTCGGGCTCGCCTTCGGGATCGGCTGGCTGAAGATACACTACAGCACCCACGAGAGCCATATCTCGAGACTGGAGGCGGCTCGCAGCGCGTACGAGCGCATCCGCCAGGACACCGGCAATCTGCACAACCGGGTCTCCAGGCTGTTCGGAGCGAGCCCGGCAGAAGCGGCCGGGACGAACCTTGAAGGCTTCTTCCCCGTCCTCGGCCAGGCAGAGCAAGGGCTGTACCACGTGGCAAACGACGATAGCACACCCTTGGCCAAGACCCAAGGAATAGCTCTAGATGCTACCCATGCCGCGAGTTCGCAGGGCCAGGAAGGTAATATCCGGAGGGCGGCAGTTCGCGCCGGTCCATATCCGCGGAAAAGAGGTCACGGAGGACTGCAGAACAACGGCACAAGCTCTTTGATCCCGACAACTCGGAGCACTTTCATTTCACCACCACTACCACCGCTACCGCCATCTCCTGCGCTGAGACCAGATCGCTCGGATCATGAACACCCATGGGCGCCGGCGGAGGTGTCTGATTCCGGCTCCATGAGCAAAACGCCTCCGCACATGATCGCACAACGCAAAGTAGCCCCCACAGCGGCTGGATCTGGGTCTGGGTCTGCACACTATATTATTTATGAACAGCAGCGACCACCCCGACTGACGACAGGTCACATGGGGTACCAGCCCGCCGCATATTCGCCGGGGGTCGCCCCAGTAGACCTCGACACGGGAGCACCAGGGAGTCCGGCCCCGTGCCCAGACCAACAGGACCCAGCCCTGTCCACCAACCTCGCCTTCCTGCCAGACGACCTGGGCCAGGCCGTCCTGCAAGATCTTCAGGAGCCGCAAAGCCCGGTCCAGGTCGACAGAACGATGCGCCGGGTAGCAACTCTGACCAGGATGCCGAAAACACAGAAGGACATTGATGATGGCGCCGGCGGGCTGATGCTCCCACGGTCGTCGAGCAGGAACAAGACGGGACCTCTGCCCTCCCTGAGAGTCTCAAAGCCCGCAAATGAGGGTAAAGAGTCGGAAGGCAGCGCGAGATGATGCAGAGCAACAAAAACAACAGGAGAAGTATACTAGTCATTTCGCCAATCATGGCACTGTCTTTGATAACACCATCTTTCCGGAACCTGCTTTTGTATGTCGCAAGCCAGGAGTTGTTGACCTGCGTGAGCAGCAGAACCAAATCGTACTTCTGGAACCAGCGTATTATTCTGCTGAGGCAATGAATCAAACGAGTGGTTTGAAGCGAATCTATGGCAGGTCATTGACGGAACCTTGGACTGAGCCGCGGCGAAAAGAAGAAAAGTAACGCGGAGGAAAGCGTGGGTATGGACATTTGATCAAAGACGTAGATAGATATTAACTATCTATTGCGAGAGTGCTTGCCAGGAAAGCTTTCAGAAACAGGGTAGATCCGGCCAACCTAGCGTAGTGCACACACAATTCAGGAAGACACTTCAACACCATAACACCATTGTTAATCCCAGTTACCGCAAGACTCTCTAAGCAGACACAGCTCCCCGAACTCTATCCCAGAAGGAGATGGAAGGCTTCGCGCCGTTGACAATTTCAGGAGTTACGACGACGGTGTTCCACTTCTCCTTACCGTCGATAAAGAGTTGGTAGAGCAAGCTGCTACGCTCACCGTCTGCTCGATTCTCAATGGTTAATGATCCAAATTTGGAGTTGCCAGTGTTGATATATCTGTTTGTATTAGCAGTTGTGAGCTCCGATAGCGAGTAGGAGGACTTACTTGAGTTCCACGTCCTCCTCATCTGTTTGCTTGTATGTTGGGATGGGAGAGTAGAACTGATTCAGTGGGCTTGCTGAGAACTCATGCACAGTAACACTCTCGGGCCATTTGCTGTCCTTGGGAGGCGGGAAGGCGGTTGCGCCGAACTCGTGGCGGTCTCCGGATAAGACCACGACACCGTATCCTGCTACACCAGCATCCCACATGGCCTCCAAAATAGTGCGGCGCTCTTGGAGGAAACCTCCCCACGTGTCCTTGGTGTTGACACGCCAATTTTTAGTGAGCGGAACAGAGCTGGCGACGATTTTCCACTTGACACCTTGTGGTTCTGGACGACGCAGCCAGTACAGAAAGTCCTCTAGCTGGTCCTCGCCAAGCATGGTTTTGTTGACGCTTTCAAAGGGCTCGTTGTTCTTGGAGCGGTAGCTACGAGTGTCCATCAGGAAGAAGCTGGCAGGACCTTGGGCGAAAGAGAAGTATGTGGCTCCAGCACGGCTAACAGCACCTGCGGTTCCTGCTCTCTTGGCGCGGGGCGGGTTGACTTCTGTTTGGTAGTGGTGCCAAGGTTCGACGGCTGTCTTATAGACTCCGGTGGACTTGGCATCCCAGTCGTTGAGAATTTCATGATCATCAAGAACGTGAATCCAGCTCAAATTCTGACCTACTGGGGCCCAGTCTGACGAGGCGTACACCTGCCGATATTTCTGTCTGTAGTCTTCTACGTTACCTCCAAACAAATTCGGGACATCAATATAGATGAAGTCGCCCATGAACAACATGAACTGAGCTCCCAGAGAGGGAAGAACCTTGGCGAGATGCCTCATTCCCGGTATGGCCAGTGGATGGTCCAAGGGATTGTAGGGCAGTCTGGGAAGAATACACGAGGTAGCCAAGAAAGTGAATTTTCCATCGTGCAAGTCTGGCATGACACCTGGCTTTGGCGCACTCGTAAATTCGCCGGAGTGGTTGTTTGAGGTGGTCCACTCATATGTACGCTGTTTCGAGTGTGTCAGGGGGATGGTGACGGCGGCTGTATAGTCAGTCACGTTCGTGGTCCATCGAACGCCTCCAGCGGTTTGCCATAGTGGGTTGTCAAAGGGCGGCTGAGCATCCTTGATGTGCACCTGAACAGTAACAGGCATCTTGGACTGATCTGGCTCTCGGATCAGCAGTCGTGCTTCCGTGTCGGAAACATAGCCTATTCTTGCAAAGGACAAATCCTCGCTGGGATATTGCCAACGCGGTCTGTAGACGACATCGGTGATCATAGCCAGACATGCTGCATTGATCAAGAAGGTGATGAGGGAAGGCAATTTGCTTGCTGGGTTGGGCAGACCGTTGATGAGAGTTCTGATGGGCGTCGGGGCACGATCGACGAGGGAAACTGTCTCTTCGATGTCAACCTCTTCCTCTACAAGAACTTCATCTTCCTCGCCGCCGGCCACTTCATCCTCATTGAGTAGCTTATCTGTGACGGTAACGTCCACTTGGTCGACCAGAGCCACTTCTGGCTCCTTTATCCAGAGAGAGATGAAGGTCGGTACGTAGATGGCGAAAAGTGTATAGACGATATATACAGCAGGCTATTAACTCAATTAGTCACAGTTGCTCGGGTTGAAAGACTTCGGCGGTACAACTTACTGGCAAAGCAGCCTGGAAATGGAGAGTCAGTATACTCGGTTATAATAGGTTCAAGTGGTTGGTGAAGTAGACTTACCCAACGAAGAAAGAAATATGAAAGGATCCTGATGCCGGCGGAGGCGATGGACGCGCCTCTTCTTTGGTAGTCCATGGCGGTAGAACGCGAGGTGATCTCGCGGCGCAGTCCTCCAGCTGCTGCCTCGAACTTTGGGTTATGATTACGACTCATTTAAAGGGGATGCGAAGGAAGGGAGAGAAAGTCAAGGGCCAGAATGGCAAGTTGGCGAGGATCAAATCAAGGGGCGCCAATGGCTTGTATGGAAGTTCAAGATGAGTTCACATGTGAGGAGTTGGTTTTGTTTGTCAAGTGCTACAGTAATCTAGGCGACTGGGTGAAGTGGGCTGTTTGGTGTTGCAACTCGTCCCCGAAGCTCCTGGAGTGTCTGGAGCGTCAGGAGCGTCATCTGTGACGACAAGGGTACATCATGGGGAAATCATGGGCATGAGCTCCGTGTAATCTGCACTTTATAGTGGGGGGCAAGTAAGCAATTCACGCTGTTTGGCATGAATGATTGGGCCGATAAGACAGCCAGCCTATCAATATGCAAGCTGGAAGCAAGCCGGAAGGAAGCTGGGAGCAAGCTGGGAGCAAAGCTTCTGTTTCAACGCGCCGCAATTCATTGGAGACGCTAGATCGCGCGCTTGAGCACACTGCACTAGAGCAACACCCCCCAGGCGCCCCCCAAGCCTCCCCTAGGCCGCCACCCCCCTAAGTGCGTGCCGAGACACGCTAATAATAACAAACTGGAGCATTTTGGCCAGCTGTGCTTTATTCTGAAGCTTGAATCAAAAGCTGGGATTTACCATTCCCCGTGCCGATTCGACTCGCGTGGCAGCTTCAACCGCACCACTGAACCTGAACGGAACTCAACTGCACTGGACTGGACTCGACTCGCGACAAGCGTCCAAAGCCGAGCCATCCAAGAACAGCAAACACCATGAAGTCCGCACTCGTGTCAGTCGGCCTCTTGGCCTGGCTGATCTCCTTGGTCTCTGCCACCGCCCTGACATATAGACTTGGTGCCAACGAGAAGGCTTGCTTCTATGCCACCTCTCCCAAGGAGAACACCAAGATGGCATTCTACTTCGCCGTAAGGAGCCCCCTGTCGATCGCATGACACTGGTCGCTAACCCCGGGATCATCGCAGGTGCAATCAGGAGGATCTTTCGATCTTGACTACGAGGTCACAGGCCCGGAAGAGAAGATAGTTCTTAGCGGAGAAAAGGAGCGCCAGGGCGACTTTGTCTTCACTGCGCAAAGAGCTGGAGACTACAAATTCTGCTTCAACAACGACATGAGCACCTACACAGAAAAGATCGTCGACTTTGAGATTGCTGTCGAGGACGAAGTGCGAGCGCAGCTCCCCGCCAAGCAGGGCACAAGCCCCGAGCAGACTTCCGCCCTCGAGGAATCCATCTACAAGATCTCCGGACAGCTCTCCACAATCACACGCAACCAGAAGTACTTCAGAACGAGAGAGAACCGCAACTTCAGCACCGTCCGAAGCACAGAAAAGAGAATTGCCAACTTCAGCATGATCCAATGCGCCATGGTTATCTGCATGGGTGGTCTCCAGGTGTTCGTTGTTAGATTCTTCTTCCAGGTAAGCACCACGACCGCTATTGCGCTCTGGGTTAGTGATTGCTGACATTTCGTTCAACAGGGCGCCAGGAAGGGCTACGTGTGAACGACTATTATGTCGCATGGATTGGAGTCATTTAGCCGCGACGTAACCAAAATTATGCGTAGGAATTGGGTCTCTAAGCGGTATGACATGTATGTATCAAAAGGCCGCTCTAGAACATCCACGGGCGTTCTGGGCTGCTCTCAGACCATTTGGCTGGTATTTATGACAACAAACTTGCAATGCTTCGACGACAACATTTGCTCCCTGCCGATTACGATTCCATATCAGGTGGGGTTCGAACAGTGATCTAAACGCTCGAAATCCAGCGTCTTGTGACCCTCTGGGTCTCGGGTTTTGTAATGACCGTAATTGGATAATGAAGTTCGTTGAAGGTTGTTCAATCCAAGGTAGTCGCCTTGGACAGCAGTGAGCATCCAACAGACCTGTTCAAGGCTGACTCATGGTTCACTCCCTGGTGCGCCGCGGCCACACATAAGAACATGATCTCGACAGAAACACACAATTCCATGTGTTCAAGTAGAGTCCATCCTTTTTGCATTCGGATCATCTACCATCAGAGATCCGTATCAAGCTAAATGTGATCTGTTATGGAAGGTTAAACAATAAGAGGTCAAGGCACAGATAAAGTGGAGCCCCTCAAGCTCAGGCCCAAGCCACTTTTCTCCATTGCTCCCAGCCACGCCCCGAAAATAGGTGCACGTCAAGTCAACCAAGTCACGTCAAAAGCTAGCTCTTGTTGCCTGGTCTTGGTTTACAACAAGACGCTGCATGGTTTTTGCTCAAAGTTTCAGCAGTCAACATCATCATCGTCGTCACGCAACACCGCCATGGCATCCATAGCAGCGTCCTTGGCGCAAGCTCTCCCGAAACCGAGATACACCGGCGAAGATGAAGAACTTCCTGCTCATGCTCAGCAGCGCGGCCCCAGAATCGTTGGCCCAGGACAGATAGACGAGTCGCAAATTGTTTTAAGAAGGTCCGGACCCCCAGCATACGGGCAGAGGACAGGATGGCGACCCAGAGAACAAGAAGACTTTGGCGATGGAGGAGCGTTTCCTGAGATTCCCGTCGCCCAGTATCCTTTGGGCATGGGCCAGAAGGGCTCATCGACAAGCAATGCTCTTGCCATTCAGGTCAATGCCGACGGCAAGGTCAAATACGATGCTATCGCGAAGCAGGTGAGCTCAGCGGCCACATTCTATCGCTCCTCTAATCATGCTAACCCCGGTGGACACCAGGGACACCGTGAAAACAGAATTGTACATTCCTCCTTCAAGGACTTGATTCCGCTGCGACAACGCGCCGATGCGGGTGAGATCAATCTGGCCAAGCCAACCGAGGAGGAGATTGCAGAAACCAAGAATCGCACACAACAGGCTCTGGAGAAGCTGATCAGCGGTGCCGTCGCATCGCAAAAGCCAAAGAATGTCAACGCCGGCGGCAAGCGAGAAGCCACTTTTGTTAAATACACCCCCGCAAACCAGATGGGAGACAATTCAAAGAAGCAGGACCGCATCATGAAGATCATCGAGAGACAGCGCGACCCTATGGAGCCCCCAAAGTTCAAGCACAAGAAGATCCCCAGAGGACCGCCTAGTCCACCTCCGCCCATCATGCGTTCTCCCCCAAGGAAGTTGACCGCCCAGGATCAAGAAGACTGGAAGATCCCTCCGCCCATCAGTAATTGGAAGAACCCCAAGGGTTTCACTGTCCCACTCGACAAGAGACTGGCTGCAGACGGCCGAGGTCTTCAAGATGTCGCCATCAACGACAAGTTTGCGCAGGTGTCCGAGGCACTCTACATGGCGGATCGACATGCTCGCGAGGAGGTCAGACAGAGAGCTGTCATGCAGCAACGCCTCGCAGAGAAGGAGAAATCTCAAAAGGAAGAGAACCTCCGCATGCTCGCCCAGCAAGCTCGACAAGACCGTGCTGCGGCGGGCAGGCGGCGAGATTCAAGCGGGTCACGCGACTCTCGGGACTCGCGGTCCCGGTCTCGCAGTTACAGCTATTCAGACTCAGGTTCTGATAGCGAAGACTCCGAGATTCGTGCAAGAGAAAAAGCGCGACGGGAGAGGCAAAAGGAGGAAGAGCGTAAACTGCGGCAGTCCCGTATGGGTACCGAGAGGAGGATTCAAGTCATGGCACGTGAACAGAATCGTGACATATCTGAAAAGATTGCTCTTGGCTTAGCCAAGCCTACGCAGCAAGCCGAAACTATGTACGACTCCCGTCTGTTCAACCAATCGAGTGGTTTCGACAGCGGCATCAATGAGGACAACCCCTACGACAAGCCGCTATTCGCAGCACAAGATGCCATCAGCAGTATCTACCGTCCCCGTCAGAATGACGAGGATTACGAAGATGAAGCCGCCGGCGATCGGGAAATGGCCAAAATTCAGAAGTCCGCCCGCTACGGAGAGGTTCTCGGCAAAGGCACCTTCAAGGGGTCTGCTGACGCAGAGGCTCGTGACGGTCCTGTACAGTTCGAAAAGGACGGCGGTAATGATCCCTTCAACGTGGACAAATTCTTGGAGCAAGTCGACCAAAGCTCATCATCCAAGAGGGGCTACGGTCTTCAGGAAGAAGACTCGAGGCAGTCCAAACGTGCCAGGATGGACGAGGACGAGGACGAGGACGACGCCTAGTCGGCATTTACTTGTATTAAAATAAACCTGGTGATCTGAGAATCTAAAAAGGCCCTGAAAGCGCCAATCCTACCTTCCAATCTACAGACGTGTCTAATCTATTACACCCTAAGTTTGTGAATGGACTAAGTATTCGACTCATTCAATGGCTCCAAAAGTGACCATGCGGTTTACAGTCTTGACCTTTTGTTCGGGCTCCTGCGATGAGAAACTTGAACAAACAAGTATTCTCTGCTCGTCCAAGTTGCACTAGTGTGACGTACGCATGCACCTACAGAAGCATGTGCATATTCAAACATCAAAACAACAGCGCTTTTGCGACTTCGCAAACAGGGTATGAACTTCTTCTTCTTCTTCTTCTTCTGCCTTTTAAATTCGATGTGCCCAACGGTTCGGCTCCCATCTAATCTTTTCGAGCTCCCCGGTCGAGATGAAACACAATAATCAAATTCGGATTGTCGGATCTGGATGCCAAGATCAATGGCATACCCCAATCTCGCTCTGGGACGCGTAGTGTTTCCCCCGTCACCTCTTGCCGAGGGTCAAGGGCTTACCTCAGCTTTCGCTGAACCTGCAGTGGACTGGAGAGCGCAAAAGTGCATACGAATACCATTACGGGACATGACGACGTCCAGTGGATTCTCTCGAATAGTATAATGGAAAAGGTCTAGCGCCGGCTGTTGGTGGGCAGCTTTGAAGCTGGCCCATTGCCGAATCACGACATGAAGATTTGCGGCTCGTCCGACAAGTGATCAACGCTTAACGTTTGCGCTAGCCCTGCTCTGAATTCGTTCTGGAACAATTCAAGGTCCAACTCTCAAATGTCCCGAACCATTTTGTCTCGCAATGTTGCCGTTATGTCTCGACGCGTCGTCACCACAAGCTCTGCGGGTCCGCGGCTCCGTCGGCTAGAATCAAGCTTCTTTCGTGGGCGAACTGTTTCCTACGTTGAGCGGAACAGTTGGCCCAGCAAATGCGCAGACTAAGTCAGCGTCGTCGGATTGAAAAAGACCCCATTCTGCTTCAGTCGATTTCATTGCGAGCAATTGATTCAAGTTGCATTGAGGGCACAGGCTTTCAATCGACATGATGAGATAGTGAAGAGCACCATGTGAGTGGGGGTGTTTGATATTCAGGAGTATCACATTCCAGACACTCAGACATCCAAGGAGAATATCTATAGGCCGCCATACCTCCACAGCAAACAAAACCAATGCTTTCTTTGGATCGCACAACTCATATGATATGATCCTTTTCGTTATACCTTGTGGTTTGCTTGTTTATGCCTTATCAGACCTTTGATCAATTATTTGGCATCCACAAGACGCGTTGCGTATAAGCCCAGCCGGTATCATCGTCCCTCTTCCTTACCGTTCCTGGCAGTAAACGCAACTTACAACGCGTCAGCCTGGCTCCAGTTTTCGCACAAGCGCAACCCACTAACCTGACCAAGAACCTGGAGCTTTTGTAGGCGCAGCCATTGCCAAACAGAGGGTGTTAGTCAAGGGTGGAATAAACTTGATGCAATTGTGGTGTGTTTGAGTTGTCAAAGTCGATAAAATTGGTCGGGTAGCCACCCGCGGCCGTCGACCATAATGTCACTTACACCTTCAAAATCAGCAAGAAGCTCGTATTCCCAGGCAGCAGCATTTCAGAAAGCGAGCCTGCCACGCACCCAGCTCGGTTATACCCCATTTGAGTATTGGAAGGGTCCCAAACCGGTAATACCAGGGTCCAAGCGAACACCCGGTTCGATTAAGACCGGGAGAACTACCACCATTGTGGTTACAGCAGTCAATACTAGCCGCAGCCCTAAGGCACAGCGACTGACAGATGCAGTAGCGTCTGTTTATCCAAACGAAAAAGAGGACCGATACCGAGGTGACGAAGATATTAAAATGGGCTGGACCGATACATATAACAACGGAGCACGGTCGGCTGGTCCCAATTCTTTCCAAGTTCAAGACCAAAACGGTGCTGTCGAACTTGTATCTGGTCGACCACCTTCATACATAAGTGCAGACTTGCCGCCCAGAGACATGAAGGCGCAACACTCGAAATGGGATCCCCGTGGTTGGCGGAAGCGGACATGGGCAGGAATTGCAGCAGTCCTGATCATCGCTATAATTGCCGGAGTGGTCGCAGGAGTGTTGGTCGCCAAGGCCAATCGATACCCCGACTATAGCAAGTTGAGCTACTCGCTAGAGGATACATGTAAGCCAACATCCTGTACGACTTTCACTCGCACCTCGATACTGACACTGCTTTCAGACTCCGGGACGGATTTCTTTGACAACTTCGATTATTTTGAAGGATATGATCCCACCTCTGGTTTCGTGCACTACGTCCCCCAGGCGCGGGCCGAGTCACTCGTGAGCATTTGCCACACTCGCTTGTGCATCGATATCGTAAAACTAATGGTATGCTTTAGAACCTCACATATGCTTCCTCGAGCTCAGCTGTGCTCAGAGTGGATACGTCGGTCGGCAATACATCCAGCCCGGATGCATCGACCGGCCGCTTCTCGGTGCGCGTCACTTCCAAGACGCAATACGACAGTGGGCTCTTCATCTTCGATGTCAAGCACACACCGTACGGCTGCGGAACCTGGCCAGCGCTCTGGCTGTCCGACGTGGATAATTGGCCAACGAACGGCGAGATCGATGTCATGGAGGCCGTCAACCTGGCGACGGACGGTAACCAAATGACGCTGCACACGGACAGCGGTTGCGAAATGAACGTCAAGCGCAAGATGAGCGGCACGGCGCAGTACACGGACTGCAAAAATACGACCAACGACAATGCGGGCTGCGGCGTGTTGGGTTCGACGTCGAGCTACGGCAGCGGATTCAACTCGGACGGCGGCGGCGTCATGGCCATGGAGTGGCGCGACGAGGGCATCCGCATGTGGCAGTTTGCTCGCGACAGCATCCCCTCCGACATCACCAACAAGAGCCCGGATCCAAGCTCTTGGGGCACGGCCTCGGCCGACTTTCCCAACACCGACTGCTCCATTTCGAGCCACTTCACGAACCAGAGCATCATCGCCAACATCGACCTGTGCGGCGACTGGGCCGGCAACGTCTACGCGGACAGCGGGTGCCCGAGCGATTGTGAGACGTATGTGGCCAATTACCCTCAAGCGTTCACCAACGCGTACTGGGAGTTTGGTGCATTCCAGGTGTATAAGGCCTCTTCGTCGTCGAGCAAGAGAAGCTTGATTGCGGATATGCTCAAAATAAGATGAGCTGTGGCAGAGGTTCTCAAAACGGTGTCGGATTACATGTGGCGGTTGGCGATTGTCGTATTTATACCCTGGTAGCGCGGCGTTTTATGGGATTTGCAAGGGTGCTACATACGAACGATGCAGCAAGCCATTGGAGAGATATATAAATATCAAAAATATAGCTAGAGTATAATGATAGAGTATCATGCACGGGCTTTCCCAACAGCAGTAATGATTGAGGTGGGTTGGCTACAGACGCTTCAATCGCTTGAGAGCTTTGTACAAGAGGCCTGAATTAGATATACAATACTATTTCTTGTCGAAACTCTATTGAGTCTCAAGACCGTGGCTTCCACAGCCTTGGTTGGACTAATGCCTAGTGGAGATGTTTGTTGTCCCTCTCTATGTCTGAACCCTGAACGCCACGATGCTATGCAAAATCCATGTCTTGACCAGCGTTCATCCGCTTCCTACCGTTGGTGTGGAGGTCGCTGATCTATTTAAGAAACCCCCCTTACTGTACAATTCATCGTACATCAAACCAGCCCGTGAATCGTGCCAGGGACGTCACTTGAAACGCGCTTTCCGTACACTTCGTTACCATTCCCTGAACCCTCGCCCCTTCCTCCCTCCCTCTAGTCGTCAGTCGGAGGACTCCTCATGTACGCATCGATGGCGGCCGAGAACGCGGCAAACGCTGCACACCCACCGCCGACAGCCATGGGACCGCCTCCCCGCGCCAGGATGCCTCCGGTCAGGCATCCCGCGGCGACGCCGTTCGCCAGGTCGTTCTTGGCCCGGAGGCCCTCGATGCCGCACTCGATGCCGGCGAACAAGGCGCCCACCTTGCCGAAGTTCTTGGCCATGCCGTACGACCGCGTGCCCATGTCCTTGAAGCCGGTCGAGAGCTGCTGGCGGAGCGGCAGGGATGCGATCTCCTTTGGCGCGGCGCCCGGTGCACCGGGGACGTGGTAGGGGGTGTCGTAGGACATCTGGGGGTTGTGCCGACGCGTCAGGAGAGTGCGTCCTGGAAAGATGGGAACTCATGTGAAGGGGGGACGTGTCTGACGTACCGAAGCCATGAACATTCCGAACAGACCACCCATGCCGAAGCCCATCACTCCGGACATGACCGTCTTGCCGAAGCAGGACTCCATCATGTTGTTCATCTGCGAAGCTCACCCCAGTCAGCATCTGCGCGGGCCTCCCACATGGACTGCAGGGCAGGGAGTGGTCCTGGGGGGACGTACCATCTTGATGTTGGGGTCGTTTGGGTCCATACCGCCGCCGGCGGCAGCGCCGATGTTGCCTGGTAACGCGTTCATGATGTCGACGGTGTTTGAAGGAGTGATGCTGATCGTCGCATCCAGAACGCCCCTTCCTTACGCTTGGCCCTTAGAGCTTCCCTTATCGGCAGGGACCGGATGGCGATAATGGGAATTTATTTCTGCCGCATCTTACCGCCCTCTAGTGACGAAACCCGGGCCTCCGGCGCTGCCCCACATCCCTAGGCCGTGCCGGTGTATGCATGTATGTATGTATACATTCACCATATTGTCTTGCAGACGAGAAAGAAGAAACAAGACGAGCATTGCTAACAATCAAGTCCATACAGCAGTCCATCTGGTCATGTCCAATACATGTTATGGCCTACGTGGTGGTTGGTTGAAAAGTGACTCACATGCGACAAGGGGGGGTTTTTTTTTCCTCAAGCGTTTTATTCTTTTCTTATTTCTTTTCCATCATGGTTGGTGTGACGCTTAACATCTAGAAGACATGATGCGCATGACACGAACACATTCATCAAATATGTGCTGTGTAATGGTGATGAAGCATATGTCGTGGTCAGAATGCTCAGTTGTGGCATTCTTATGATCTCCTGTAACGATGCCCATCTTCACAGCAGTCACATGTTGTCAATGCTCTACTGCAGTTTCCAACGAACATCCTGCAGGATAGCAGATATATACGGCCCACGGTGATATGCGGCCAATATGATCCCAGTGGCAAGACACCATGAGGCCGGAGCGTCCGCTCCAAGTCTTCTTGTGATAGAGATCAGTCCACATTTGATATCCCGCCCCTGACCTCCTCCGTTATGTACGTTCTGAGACCAAATAAGGCATCAGTGTTGTTCTTTTTCACTATAGGCCTGTTCACGTTGGTCTCGTCAATGAGCTCGCACCGCGCACTGAACGGAAGACTGAATGAGAATCTTCGGTCACAATCCTCTCCTATATACATTGGCAGTATAATTACATTATTTAGACTGGCCCCCTTTTTCTCTTACAGAGAACTCACTAAAACAAGTCTTGCATACTAAAACTCAGTAAATCACACATCACCAGTGTCTACTGGCTTGGTTATCGCCACCGACTTGATATCAGACTATACGGCTGGTATCCCACTGTCATCACTACTAGAGTCTTGAGATTTTCGAAATTGTTACATATCTTAATATGTTTAAGTTCTGTAGTAAACGGCCAGAGATATCTAGCTATTCCATGTCGCTATTCTTGCATGAACCGTTACCCTGACCACGCCGATTTGCATGTTTGGTTCGTGGCAGAGATCATGGGTAACTGTTTAATTTTTGCTCTTCGACGATCACCACTAATTCTTCAAGCACCATTTGTTCAACGTTAGACATCAAAATCTCTCACAGAACCGCACTTACACAAGAAGCAGCAGAGGCAATATGCCCCCGCCGATCGACCTAAACACGATGCCACAGACGCGTGATGAGCGACCCCACAGCGACCGCATTACTCTCAACGTCGGCGGTCGTCGCTTCGACACTACCCGTGAGACACTCATGGGCGGTTCTACCTACTTCGCCGTCAGGCTATCAGAACAATGGCCGAGCGAGACAGACGAGGACGGATCGTACTTCGTTGACGCAAGCGACGATTTGTTCGAGCACATCCTGAGTTACCTCCGCACAGGAACGTTTCCTATTCTCTTCGACATGGACACGCTGAGATTCGACCTGGTCAAGTATTCGGCTCTGCTGGGCGAGGCTCGCTTCTTCGAGATTGGAGAGTTGGCCAAGTGGATCCAAGATCAGAAGTTCAAGAGCGTCGTTACGGTTACATACCAGGCGCAGTTCTTCGATGAGGTTAGACAGCGCAACGTCGCCAGCGGCAGCTTTACAGAGAAGATGTCAGGTGCCGCCAAGATCGAGACGCACCTCGAGAAGAGTGCCGAACTTGTCTACCGCTGCCCACGGGACCCTATGCACCATGGACAGAACGATTGCACCGAGCGTTGCTTGGAAAACGCGGGGAGGTCGAACGGATGGATGGAGAAACCAATATCCAAAGCGCTGGTGGTTTCAACCAGGGTCAACTTCAATTTCGAAGTTGCTAACAAAAGGTGAACAGCTGAGAGAGCCACCTACGCTGAGAAGGGGAAAAGTTGTTGTGAAAGTTTGACGGAATCGGAGAGAATTGTTTTAGGGGATCTATATTGGTCTGAGCAAGTCAGGCTTGTATAAAGTATCTGAGCTTCTTCACCAGCTCTCAACTATTATAATGACCCTATGGCACACAGTTGCTTTCTCTTGCATATGCTCCAGGGAACTTCATTTAGCCAGTAGTTGTATAGAAAGTCTCCCGCATCGAGCTTCTAGCCAGGGGTATAATGTTCTACCCCAGAGCGGGGGAAAGCCTCAAATGTAGATACCGTCAAGGAGCTGAGTACGATCTTTATATAAAGAGACTCGTTTCATATTCTTTGCTTACTTGGACATATTCACCAACAACATATGGTAATGCATATTCTGTATTAATAAAGCAGGAGGATAACGCGTGGCTTGTCCATGTCATGTCTCACACCTGAAGTTGTAACCAGTAACCACGACACATTGGTATTCCACTCGGGTGTGACTGACATCTTGTCTCGGCGACCTAGAAGTAGTAATTCTGTTTCCCAAGTAAAGAGCTCATAAGCTTCTTTGGGTGTAAGGAGGGGGAGCCGGTTCTCAAGTGATCAGGCAAGTTACAAAATAAAGTAGTTTTGGTGTGCCGGTCCTGAAGCCTACATGCTCTTGAGCACACATTTGCGAATCCGCGTTTACTGGTCGGGCGGATAGCAGGACCAGGAGCCATGGATATGGAGAAGCCAAGCCATGGAAACCACCGCGTTACTCGGAATATCATCATCTCTTCAGAAAAACTAATTATCCTCAATCAACTCCCCAGCCGCCCGCCTGATGACCCTCGCAGTCATGGCCGGCCGACTGACAAAAGGCGTATGGTCCGCGTCGCACTTCACAACCTCAAACCTATGTCCCTTCGCGCCCTCCAACATAGCCTCCTGCCAGGGCACCGAGATAGCATGATCATTCTCGGTTATGAGATATACGCCCGGGATATCCCGCCACGCCGCATACGTAGTCCGGCTCATGAAGGCCTTCCAGGCTTGACTCTGGAGCCTGGAGACGAGGTCCTGCTGCTGCTCGGGCGTGCACTCGTTGTAGAACCACTGCTTGGCGAGCTCTCTCTCGGCATAGCACAGATCGCCCTTGATGATGGTCGTCTTGGGGTTGATGGGCTTCCCGCCGGACTGTTCCCAGCAGTAGGTTCCGACGTCTAGAATGAAGCCCGCCAGGTACACAAGCTTGACTACACCGCCGGCAAGACCGTGTCCTTCCCGGTCTGCCCTGGCGAATCCCTTGCAGGCCTCGGAACCGACAGTCCCGCTGTAGGAGTGTGTGATGAGAACGATGTCGCGGCCCTCGCTGCTGTATTTAGACAGTACATCTCGGACCGCTTGAACATCTTCATCCCAGCTCTGTTGAGGCTGAACGTTTCTCAATTCAGTCCCGATAGTTGGAAAAGAAACCCCTTGAATCGTATAACCCTCTTTCTCAAGAAGAGTGCTCGTAGGTGCAAAGACCTCTGGCGTGTGCCAGCCCCCTGGTAGGAATACAAGAACAGGTTTGGCGCCCGGCATATTGTCTCAGAGCCGATCGTTGTCGAGCTTGCGGATTCTGCTGCATAGAATGCTCGGCGATGTCTCCGGACGAAAGACGGTTTCCATGCTGTCTAACGGCTGAGATGAATTGCCGTATCCCAAGGTTCAAAAAGAAATTGCAGCTCGTGGAGAATCCACAGTGGATGCAGGTTGCTGCACCCCCTCATGAGGCAGCTTGCCAGCGCCGTGATGATTGGTACGCTGTTCTGCACCAACCATGTACATGCATGCAGTACGACTCTCTAGTCATGCAGTTCTTCTATGCGCTACATTGATATCACAATAGTCTGACGATTGCAATCTTCGTGTGTACGTTGTAGTCGACTCACCAGTTCACTGATTGCAAATGTCGGTGGTTTGCTAAGTCATGATTTCTTGTTATTGTAGGATCCTCCTTTCTCTATGGTTACATGCATTCAGGTTGGCTTGCTGACAATGCTTTACTCAAACCCGTCCAGTTCCTGAATAACCATGCAATCCGAAAGCTCAGGTAATCTTCGAGTCGCGTCACGCTTGATTTCATGCTTGCCATTAGACGAGGATTGCGCCCAAACCAATGTGAGGACATGATCTTGTGAACCAAACAGCGTCAATGATAATTCCAGAGGATGCTGATTTGTGGGAGAATGCCGTAGACTCTCTCCTGTTATCCTGTACAATTATCGTAATCCGTGCATCTCAGAACGCCGCGTTTTCGTCGTCTATGCGTTGAACGGTGGAACGAATGTAATGCAGTGAAATGGTAGAGCTGCCACCTCTACTTGAGGAACATTTCCTGTCCATTTCGTATCGTCCTTGTACGATCAACGTGGTCCAACCCGAGTGCGACATCTTCGTCAGCACCGGCTTCTTCGAAAAGAATATCATCTAAGCAAGGTCATCAGCTGTCGTCATCATAGGTGGAGGATATGATAAATGTCTTACCATCGTTCAAATAGGTGGGCTTGCCAAATCTTCTGATCAGGGCAAACTTGATCTTCTCAAAAGCCTTGCCCTTGATACCTGTTCGCTGTTCCAAGCGTTTCTTTGTTTCCGAAAACGGTTCACCCTGTAATATCGTGAGCACTGTCTGTAATGAGGAATGAGAAACAAACATACCTCTTTGAGAAGAAACTTGAACGGCATGCCATGTGTGCGACTGGTATCTTGCTGGAAGTGCTGGACTTTGATGAAATCGCGTTCCTCAGCGTCAAGCTCTTCCTCGGGCACCCGTTCCGCTACCACGTCGCAGTATTCATTGATACTCAGAACAGGATAGGTTGGTGTGAGTTCGCGGAACAGTTTGTTATGGTGGATTTCATAGACACGGATGCGTCCGCCTTCCTGCTCATCCTTAAGCTGGGCCTTCTTGACCAGTGCCTGAATTAGATCCTCGATATGGCCAGCCTTATTGACAAGGACATCGTAGGTATCCTAACACAGTTAGTATCAACGCAGCAACGACAAGCACAAGCAATGCGACTTACAAGCTTGGAGATCCCTTCCGCCAACCAGGTGACCTTGACACTCTTCTTTGTATCCAATTCTGCAAGACTCATATCTAACACCTCAAAGTAGAGCGTGTCCGGTTTCACTTGAGCATTGGCAGGATGGTTGCTTGCCGAGCTGAGGATCTGAGCAAGATTCTGTTGCCCGGCTCTCCTGACAGGGGTTTTAGGGTTCCCATTGGCTGCGTTGATCGTGAAGAACCTAAGATGCGTTGGATCGACGTTCAGTTGTTCTCCAACGCGTTCCGAGAGCTGGTCATAGTTGATCTTGCTAGGCATAGTCAAGATGAAGCTTTCGTACTCCTTGTCACATCGAGGATGCGGCCAGAATCGGACATCCTTCTTCCATACGAGGAAATCGTAGTACTCGCGAGCATCATCGAAGTGATCCCACTTCTTTAACGTGCCATTCGCCGGCTTCTCGCTAGCTCTTGGAATCTTGGCCAGACCAGCCAAGGCTTCACCAGCCTTGCGCTCCGGCACACGCTGGAAACAGATGATATCACCATCCTGAAGCTCGGCAGCTTTCAACGTCTGCCGCGGCTTGAGCTGCTCAATCATTTGCGGCTTGATCTCCTCCCACATAGCTATTTGTTCGCCTGACGGAAGTTTGTCGCCCCACTCCATCTTCTTTGAGATGATGGGAACCAACTCTTCGACCTTCTTCTCTTTGCTGACGTATATGTGGCCTACACCTTGCAAAGTCTGCTTCTCGTGATCAAAGTACTTTAGGAATAGCAGGATAAGGTCAGTCTTCACTACAACGCCATTGCCGTTGGGCTTATCTGATTGCACTTGGTAGGTCGGCCAGACGGCCTCACCTTGATCGTCAACTTCCTCCGCGACCTCGACCCAGACTCGCAAAGAAGCGTCGCGACTGGTGCTGGCCGATCGCGCAAACGTCTCCTCGACAGTTGGCTTCAAATCCATAATGGGCTGGTCGGGTCTCGTTGTCTTGTTCTGTCGATTAACCATGATCCATAAGCGAACTTTACGCGGGTCTTGACCGATATCCTGAGCAATGGTCTCCAGAAGTTGCTTCATCGTGTCTTTCCTCAGCGTCTTGTAAAACCTTGGTGCTGCAGCATCCTCCTTTGAATCGCCATCAAAATTGGTCAGATCTGTTGCTCCATGATTCTTGAAAGTCTCGGGGGTCACAGCCTTGACAGGAAGATAAAGGTGCTGTTCCTCGCGTTCCTTTTGTCTAGCTTTGCGCACTGCAGCCTCTTCTTCGAGTCTTTGGCGCAGGTGTGCGGGGGTGTCATCTTGAGCAACAGGAGTTAAGACCTGGTCCAACCGTGATTCTCTGATGTAGACCAGCATGTATGCGTTCATCTGACGCATCACAGGCTTCTTTGACGTTGGTGTGCGGTAGGGGCCCTGCGAGGTGCGATACTCGCCGCCGTAGTTCTCCTCCAATGTCTCACGGATGGTGGCCTTTGTAACCTTATCGTCATCGAACCGATAAAACCAACCGTCCTGGTTAGGCTTCAGAAATGCATAATAGTGACCCGCATTAAGATCTCCGCTATGGACAAGCACGCCATGGAGCTTATAGGTCCAAGGCTCGGACAGATCAGCCCCCTTTTCAAGGAAGGGTGCGGCATCGAATCTCTCAGGGAACTCGAAACGATCGTTGACCTTCATCATGGCATCACGCTGGATGTCATACTCGAACCGCTTCAGGTGCAGATGAAGAACTTCGGGAAAGCTTTGGAAAATGACGCCCTTGTGTGCATCCTGATACTTGAACTCATCACCAGCCCAGTACTTGTTGTCGCCGTCGAGGGTTTCCTGCTGAATATAGTCCTTGAAACTGTCCTCGAGTGTTGGATTGCCACGCACATTCAACTGGATATCCCAGAAATCCTCAACCCGACTGGACTCGTAATCAACGTTTATGCAAGAAACGTACGTCTTGACTTTGCCGCTAAGCATCTTGGGAAGAGCATCCTCAGCAGCGGTGCCCTTCATGCGCTCTTCCATCCGCTCGATCAGTTTCCGGGACAACTCCTGCACGTCTTGTTGTTCGAAAATGTGTCGCGTGTCCCATCCAAAAGACTTGGTCAGTTCGTTTGTTCCAACAGCATTATTCGATGTCTGTAGCTGATAGAATAGTCTCTGTAGGGTGTACACGCTGTTTGTAATGCTCTCGTCGTCTATGGTGGGTATCTGGTAAACAGCCTTTCGGAAGGCATTGGTAAAGTACAAGGATTGCAGGAGGGAGTTGAGGTAGCAGGTGGCGCCTTGGTTCTTGAGACCAACGTAGCCGGTCTCCTTCTTGGAGTCGTAGTTGTTGAAGTTATGCCACAACACACCAGTTTCGTCTTCAACAATTCGAACATAAGCTGTGAGGATGACGGAGTCGCCTTCGGCAAGTGGGCGCCCCGAGCCCTCGAAATCGGCATTAAACATTCGACGCAGTTCAAGAAATCTTGTGAAGCCCCAATCGCTCTCTTCCTTGGTGAAACGATGATGCGCTTGGTGGTGGACGTAGAGGGAGGGGTCGTTAACATTGGACATGACCAAGCCGAATTGCACACAGCAGCTCCAATCGTCGGGGATTGTGCTGGGATCTTCGAAGCCGTGCTCTAAGTAGATGGAGCATTGGTCGACGTTGTTGCCATATGGGAAGAGCAGAATACGCCTGTTGGCCAGTGTCAGAAAGCAACCAAAGAGGTTTTTTCTTAGGTGCATACTTGGACATACCATGGAAAACCGCCAGCCTGGAATACAGGGCCATGCTCCTTCTTGGCTTGGAAAGCCCTCCAGTCCTCGATGTGCCAGGTGGACACGACGTCTTCTAGTATTCTAGGCTCTTCCAATATAGGAGGCAATACCAGGTCCCTCATGGCCTCATCTGTTGCGAATTGTCAGCCGATGCACACGCGGTTGGAGGTTAGGAACAGAGCTCAGGTTTGTTCACGTACGGTCGGTTGCTAGAATGACATTTTCCCTGTGCTCAGTACCGTTCTCTAGGCCGTCTGGGTTGATATCGATAACCTGTTCCTTCTCGTTCTCAAGAGTGCCGAGCTCTTCGGGGGTGTCGAGCACCATGTCGTTTGGCGAATGCAGCTCGGAATCGTAACTCTTTGGAGGGGAGAGATCAGCTTTGGGTCGGTTGCGCAAGGGGAAGGCACGAAAGGTAGTATTTGGGTGTAGTGGCTGCATCTTGATCTTGATCTCTATCTCGATCGTGGATGAGGTGCAAAGCAGTTGTTGAATGGGGCAGAAGGACAAGCGCATAAACAAGCGAGTTCATGCCAGGCGCCGTGGTAGACACCAGAGCTCAAGGGCTAATCACTGGCAAAGGAAGGTGACGTAGGAAGGCAACGGAGATGGAGAGAGACGCATGGAATGCATGCAGTGTAGAATGATGCAGGTAACAAAGACTTGTTGTTGACTGTGGGTTGCAGTATGGAGCGATCTCACCATGTTGGCTGTCCGTTGTGGGATCTGGATCTCATGTCAGGGGCACAGAGTCGTGCGTTTGCGTCTGCGTCTGCGTCTGCGTCTGTGTCGAGGGTTGAGCGTTGAGACTGACGAGTCGTGATTTCCAATGGCCTTTGGGTCGGCGGGGTCGGATGACGCTCTGGCGATGAGAGGCAGGTGCTTGCCAGAAACTGCTGCTTGTCGGGCAAACCAGCGGCGCAGTCCTGATACGGGAGCGGCGACAGTCAAGGACGGGCGAATATAAAAATAAATACGAAGATGAAGAAATAAAAGATACAGGAGGGAAGTGACCAGACGCCTTTGTCGCGTCAATGGAAGGTGTATCGACGATTGGGGAATGTCGTCAGTTTGTGTGAGGCAAAGAGAGAGAGCTTTCCCATTCACTTTCACCGTGTCGGCGATTACGATTGTCCCAAGCCAAAGACAGAGAGGGAGCATTAAGTGGGCTGTACCAGACTAACTAGCGTCACAGGAGGCGCAGCCTTGAGACCTTTGGGAGAGACCTTTGGGAGACCTTTTGAGACCTTGACTGCTTGTGAGCTGGAGACTTGGATGGGTTGCCAGCTGGAACTGCCCAAACTCAGTTTTCGAGGAATACTAGCTCGGCCAAAATCAAGTCGCTACCAAGCCTGTTGACAAGTAGGCTTTCGAGGGGTTTCCTTCTTGTACGGGGACACGATATTCTTTTGCGTGATTACAGACACACATACATCCATACATACAGACAGACGCTATAGTGTGCAGATACATGGCAGTCTCCATGAACAGGCAGCACTGGACAAACGGAGCTCTTCTTCTTCTTTTCTTTCCTCTTCCTTTTCTTGGTTTTGGCTATGCCTTGTCAGTCAGTACGGACCCGTAGTGCCTACAGTATCAACGGGCTCTAGCTGCGGTTACCCCACCATGGTTTATGTATATCGTGTGTAGTCAATGCATCCATGAACTGTACGGGGACCTCATACCTGTGACATGTTTGACACAAATACTACCATGGATTTGAAGCTATCGGTTGCCTTCTGGACGTACACATATCCAGGCCCTACTGTAGATATGGGCAGGTCTCGAGTATCCACAGAAAAGTCGCATTGAGGTCAGACGTTTTTATGCTTGCGCACTATACATACTGTATGAGACTAACTAGGTACGGATCCGTATATTCATTGACAATATGTAGCTTGCCCCACTGTCGGTGCTTAATGACGTGAGATCCTCGCTCTTCAATGCCAGTCATTTTTTTAATTGGACACGGGAGCTGCTCATCCCAGCATACATACAGTAATCAACTGCCTACCTGCCTGCCTGCCTGCCTTGCTCATTACATGGACATAGAACAAAGCGAGTGCACACATTTCAAGAAAAGAAAAAGAAAAATTCGTCTGCGTACCGAGAATGCGCCCTTCTACATGTGGACGATTCCGTTTAAAGGGGGCGACGTTGCCTTGTTCTGCTCTGCATTGATGGACACCCTGCAGCACACGGTACGTACATATACTAGACTACTGTAACCTAGCCCTTGCAAGTGGTAGCCACCAGAGCTCTCAGCTCCTGGGCTTAGTTAGCACCAAGTAACTCAGAAGAGCTCCAAGAGCTTGCAGAATACTTTTGATCCGGACCAAATCCTGTTTAATTCGTGGCTTGATTCGAACAGAGATATCGGTGATAATGTATCCAGAACCGCCAATCAAATTGAATAATCAAGAGAGAGGCCCCTTGGTGAACATGCCGCGTTGCCAAGCTTTGCTTCACTTGAGTGCCATGCAGATAAAGCCAAAAACGAAACGTGGGGTAATGCAAATGCCACACAACCTGCGCAGACTCGACTCCGTACATACTCACATGTCATGTCATGTCGAAGCGCTAGAGTTCAATTGCGGCAGACCGGTCAAGCCTCGACCGTCACACGTCAAGCATCAGAGCTCCTCGTTAAAGCTCTCTGCGGAACATTGCACCATCTCATATTTCCCACCCATAGTCATACGTTGCGAGACCGGCCGATGCCCAACACCTCGCATGTTGACTGTCTGATACATCTTTTACCGACTTTTCCTAATCCACCACTACATAACCAAAGCAACCCGATAAACCCATTGAACAGGTCTCTTTGGATCGGAGCAAGCCACGCGCACATATGGAATTGTCGCAATGCTGCCATTCGCGGTGCACTATGCCACCAAGACCCTGCGGTTGACGAGGGCTCCTGGCATTGCGATCAGGGCGCTGCACACAGCTTCAAGTTCTTCGTGGGAAACTAAAACAACCAAGGATCAGACCAACTGGCAGAGTCGCAAGATCCAGACAGCGACCAAATGGCGACCTGTCCAGGTCCTAGACGAGTGAGTCTGCGCCCTCCGTATATATATACACAAAACATATGTATATTCACACATGCATCATCTCTCTTCTCCCAGGAAAGCTAACCTCATGCCTCCCCCAGGTGGGTAGCCAAGGAAGCCCGCCCAATATCTCTCCGACAACTTATGGTTTTCGGTCGCCAACTCACCGAATCTCGACTCATCTCCTCCGCCAACTATGTACGCACGGAGCTGCCGACCCGTATCGCCCACCGCCTCCGTGACATGCAACGGCTGCCGTATGTCGTGGTCACCAACCCGCACATTAGCGATGTCTATGATCTGTACTACAAGGCATTCGACACGTTCCGAAGGATCAAGGAGATCAAGTCTCTGGATGACAACGAGCGCTTCTGTCAGGACATTGCCCAAATGCTGAGAGCGCATCTCTCTGTCATCCCCAAGCTCGCCATGGGCATTCTCCAATGCAACGGACTTATGGAACAGGAGGAGCTGGACCAGTTCATGAATACCATTTTAAGATCGGTACGTCTGCACTTGACACCACACGGACGAAGTTGGAAAGCACGATAGATAGCTGACACGTTTTTACCCACCAGCGCATATCCCGTCGCGTCATAGCAGAGCAACATCTAGCTCTGACCGAAACATATAACTCGCCGTGGTTCTCTCCTGGCGCTACACTCTCCGAGTCAGAGTTCATCGGTGAGGTCTTCATCAAATGCGGCGCAGCGGATGTGGTACAGCGCTGTGGAGAGGCCATTCAAGCCCTGGCTCGCAGCGCCAACGGCCCCGACGTAAGGATTCCCGAGATCAAAATTACAGGGCACCTCGAATCGACATTTCCATACATCCTCTCACATCTGGAGTATATCATCGGCGAACTGCTGCGGAACAGCGTACAGGCCGTAATCGATCATCACGCCAAGAGCAAGAACAAAGATCAGCCGCCGCCACCAATCGAGGTCACGCTGTGCGAGGCACAACAACACGTAATCATCAGGGTGTCGGACCAGGGCGGAGGCATTCCGAGAGACATCCTGCCGTATCTCTGGTCTTTTAGCAAAGGACCCCAGAGCGGGCAGCGGCTCAAGAACCTTACCCAAGTCCCGCTGATGGCGGCGACATTACAAGAACTGCGCGTGGACGGCAACTTCAGCGGCCTCCAGGACGGGAAGGCAGGCCATCACATGCACGACGGGTCGCTGACCTCGATGTCGAAACGGCCACCGGACCTGAGGCTAGGCGTGGGCTTGCCCCTGAGCAGGGTGTACGCCGAGTACTGGGCGGGCAGCCTGGAACTGCATAGTCTCGAAGGCTATGGCGTAGATGCCTTTTTGCAGATCTCCAAGCTCGGCAACAAGAACGAGCAACTATCCACGCGGGCTACTATGGACTCGCTATAGGAGAGTTGAGCCGGCCACCATTGGATCTTGCTCTGGTTGACGCGAGTCCCAAGGCCCGTCCTGAGGAGTATCATGGGGATTGTTAGGTGTCGTGTAAGGACGGGATTTTTTTTTATATCTGACAAGACAGCAGCAGTAAAGAGCATTTACATGGAGTACATATTTTGAATTAGGGTTGTGCAGGAATAAATCAAGGATGGGTTATGATATTCGACGGCTGGGATCTGTTCAGCCACATGCAACAGAGACCTCCAGACCTCAGGGCTAGACCTTGAATATGAGCTCTTCATTTTGCCTACAACAATTAAAGCATCAGCGTATTTTGTATTTCGATCTCAGATGTCCTGCCTTCTTGGTAAATGCTGCTGGTTCACGGTTTATCGGGCAAGATGGAAAAGAAGATTCAAAAGAGGGCGTTTGAGGGTTGACTGGTATCAATAAGAAACTCAGAATTACATCGTTCACTAAAAAGCCTAGCCTATCTCATGGAAGAACAGGATGCGGAAAAATAAGCGGCATCCTACTTGAAAGGAGAAATATTTGGGTCTCTCGTCGTCCTCTCCAAAAGCGTCCACAAACAGCCCAGCACCGGGTCGACGTCATGTTTGTTGCATTATTGTCTCCGGGCTCCAACTGAAAAGACATAAATCAGCTCTAAAGCATGTCTCACCATGGCCAACCCCGGAGGTCTTAAGTGTCGATGCTTTTGATCAGTACGCCGATGTTCATTATAACCGAAATGGCTGTTCAAATGCTGGTAATCTCGAATACGCTCGACGTAACAAGAGAAGGAAGCGGGTAGGGGGTATAAAGAAGAATGCGCTTAACGACGACCGCTGCGAGCAACGCTGCCCTGCATTTGCTCGAGCTCGGTCTCGAGCGTCTTGATTTGAGCATGGGTCTGCTCGAGATCCTTGTTGAGGCGGTCTCTCTCGGCGATGAGCTTCTGTTCCCATTGGCGGAAACGCTGCTCCTCGACCTTGACCTGCTCGGTGAAACGCTTGCGCAGCGCTTCCTCCTCCTCCTTGTACTTGGGGTTGTCGAGCTTGCGGGGGCGGGCCTCACCGAACTTGCGCGTCTCCATTTGTTGGGCGCGGTAGGCCTCGTAGTGCAGCTCCTCGGTGGTGTGGATGAGGTCGAGCATGTGAGTTCGGATCAAGATGGATCGTAGCTTCTTGAAGTCGCAGTGGTCCTCGTTCTCAACCTCGGCAACACCCCAAGAGTATTGACGACCCTTGACGATGCGGCCATCGCTGGTCTTAACATCCTTCTCCGAGCCAATGACAGCGAAAGGCATGGCAGCAGCCAGCAGTCTAGCGTGTTGGGCGGCAGCCTCGTCGTCCTCCTCGACAGGGGGCTGGTAGATCTTGATGTTCTGTGCCTCAATGACAGCTCGGATCTTGTGGCAGTGTCAGCGGCATCTAATTCGGGCCACGAAACTTCAAGTACATACCTTGGCCTTGAACTTGGCCAAGTCGGCCGGGCTCAGGGTGTCAGCCTTGGCAATAACGGGGATCAGGTTGACTCTCGAACAGAGCCTCTTCATAACCTCGATATCCAGAGGCTTGAGGGTGTGACCGGTGGGTCTGATGAAGTACAAGCAAGCATGTACACGGAGATCGATCTTGTCATTACGGCGGGGCTGCTGCTCCTGGAGCATGTAGGACTCATGCTGATCGTCGAGGAACTCGATGATGGGCATCCACGAGTCTCTGTTGTTGACATAGTCGCCGAAGCCAGGGGTATCAATAACGGTCAAGCGAACTGATGGGGCAGGTTAGAGTCAATGCATGTCGGAATGTGTCTGGGGCCAATGTGGTGTTCGCATACCCTTGAAGAACTTCTCTTCCAGCTCAGCCTTTGTGATCTCGATCTCGACGGTCTTGTCGACCTGCTTCTGGTGTCGTCGCTTGTGGTCGGCATAGTTCTTGATTGTGGTGGAGAAGAGGGTGTTGATGAAGGTGGTCTTGCCCAATCCAGATTCACCAGCAACCTAGGGTGTGAGTGTAAGCCGTGAGTACGGGGAGGAGTGTGTTATTGTCGGGGGAGGGAGTTGTTTCCTTACCATGATGGTAAAGGCAGCACCTCTCTTTGCGACAATCTTGTGGCGCTCTAGGAAGCAAGTCAGCTAGTCGTCGAACGATGGAGCGAGGTTGCAGGGTGCGTACGGTTTGGCAGGTTGGCAATGCCAATCGCCGTGGCAGTTCCTTGCTGAGCGGATGCCATTTTGGCAAGTGATGACCGAGCGTGACTTGTTTTGGGGGGAGGTATGGACGCGTGAAGTGAATGGGTCGTGATGCAGCTTGCACTCTTGGGAATCGGCGTTCTGAAGGGTCGGATGTTGTTTGGGGATGGGCTTCCACCAGAGCCAAAGCCAGAGCCAAACCAAAGTTTAGGGGATCAAATGTGGGGGCCCAAGGTGCCGTCCAGTCCAAAGTGTCCAGTCCAACGACACCGCTAGACTTGGACGGCCCAAGCGCCATGGGGAAATTTGGCAGAAGTACTGCCCACTGCGACCGCCCCCAACCCCCTTGTCCACGAACATGGGCAGCCCCTGAAACCGACACCTAGTGAGCCTAACGTTTAGGCTAACCCAAGGGTAATAGATTGATTACTGTACCGGTTGTTGCGCAGTATGTGAGGTTAGACAGTAGTCCAACCTAGGTGGTGGAATGGCATTCCTGTGGATTGAAGGCAAGCAAGCGCCAGGCACGAACGGAACTTAAATCACTCTCACTTACTCTTACACAGTGCTTACGTGTGTTGGAAGGAGCCTAGACTATCCTTAGCCATGCACGCCGGCCAAGTTAGGAACACCAGCGAACAGTGAACAGTGACTGCAAGCCCCGAATGCGAACTGTGATCAGTTCACTGCCTCGCCTTTGTTCAGGCTTGTCATTATAAGTCACTTGTTTGTCCCCGAAAACCAGAGACTTTTGTGCTTTGTAGCCACGAACAATGAAGTATTTATTGTTCATACTCTTGGGAAGAGTATATGCCCATCATCCTCATTACATTGCCTACATATACATGCCATTGCAAGGGTTTGACGGCCGTGCCTTCTTTGTATACGCCACTATAACCACCTCAACGCAAGGAGATCTTACCTTGAGCACTGCACGCTAATCTCGTTCACGATGTGCTGCACTCAGAAAACTGCCATTCTTGTACTCATTATCTTTGCGCTAATCAACAGCGGAGTGACGGTGTTTGCATTATCAAAAACAGCATCCTCGTTAGGCTTGCAGCATCGACAACCTGCCGCGCGCGAGCAAACATGCTACGTAGTAGCAATTGTCCTTGTCGTCGGTGTTGCGGTTCTACTGCTATGCGCCGCGTTCTTCATGTGGTGCTGTAAAATGCACATTCCCAGGGCATGAAGAAATACATCAGCATGGTAGGTACAGTAGATACTAGGAACGGCCGCCATCGCTTCAGATCAATTTTATTTACTCTCGTGGGTCCCGTGGAACCCAAACGCCTTTTTACACTCTAAATATCAACAGTCTACAGTCTACACCCTTTGTGTTAGGCATGATCTCCTGTACACTAAATACAAGACCACGGCCTAGCCTACTGGACGTGTAAGACCTTTGACTTGGAGGCCTTTTGTTGTAGCAACGCCTCAACCCACTTGTCCACCTCGTCCAAAGCTTTGAGCGGGTGCTTCTTGCGCTTAAGCAGGTATCCCTGGATCTCAGCCGGCGAAAACCTTCCATCAGGGATCTTCTCTGCAAACCGCGTTGCGATCGCCGGAAGTTCCTCGACGGCTATATCCAGATCGCCTGACTTTATTGCGCTCTCCGTCTCCGGCGCGACAATATGTCCGTTGGTGTCGTTGTCCTCCTTGACGTGTCCATTGGGCATCTGCTTCTGCCGTTGGCGACCTTGGTCGGCCTCGTACATACGGATGAAAAGCTCCTCGGCCTGGGCGCGCGTGGCGTTGGTGAAACCGACCTGCAGGTCGACTCTGCCAGGCCGAATGAGAGCTTCATCGAGAGATTCGGGGATGTTCGTCGTCATGATAAGGACACGGCCTTCATGGGAGGCGACACCATCGATAGCGTTCAGCAGCCCGGATAGAGAAATGCCCTTTTTGTCATCATTTCCTTCTTTCTTGAGGGCCTTGGCCAGATCGCTAACCTTCCAGTCGTTTGGCGTCTCCTTTTGGTCTCCTTTGCTTTCCTCCTTTCTCCCGGCTGCATCCTTTGCCATCTCGTCGGGATGACGCTTCAGGCCAGCCGTGTCTATATCTTCTAGGAGAACAATGCAACGTCTTGGAAGAGTGCTGAAGAGAGCACTGAGGTCTTCTTCAGTGAGAGATGGTTCCAAGAGGGAAATAACGTAAATGTCAAGTCCAAAAACTCCAGCTAGAGCGAAAGACAGAGACGTCTTGCCTGTGCCAGGGGGACCATAGAATAGATAGCCACGACGAAGCGGAATGCCACGGTTGGCATACCAGCGAGGAGTAGTCGGGTGGAGGTACTCGTTGATGTCGGCGAGGACCTGCATCTTCTGCTGCTTGTCGAGAACGACAGTTTTCATGTCTCGAATCGGCCGATCCGCCACCTGTTGCCAGCAATTCCGTCCACCAAAACGGCGTAGATTTTGCGGATTTGGTCGCTTGACAAGCGTTCTGGCGTGATGGTTGTCGTAGTGAAACTCTTTGACATGCCTGAGAAGCCTCTTGATAGGTTCTTTATGAATTTAGTAACAATGCCCACTATAAATATTTACATAGAGCAGTAGGGGAGGCATACCTGGACTACGACCAAAACATGAAATAATCAGATCTTCCCTATCTTTGATTGACGAGAAGCCGCTGTTGGCGCCATCATCGAAGACGGATTCTTGCTTACGGTGTAAGCCGTAACGCGTGCCGCTCCAGCGAAAGTTATGCAGACCAATGGCAGGAATGAAGCGAGGTGGCTATGGATAATCTTAAGCAGCTGTGAGACGTGCAGGAAGTTATGACACTTACAGATCTAGCCTCCTGGTTTGCGAAATTCAAGTAGAGGCCCGACTTGTCTCTCGAGACGTTTGAATCGTCCTCATCTTCCCATGCAGTCTTGCTGACAGTTTCGGCGGTCAACGACCTTGAGTTGGTCAGTCGAGGCTGCTGAGCAAGCCACTTCATGAGGTGAATGTAGATATCATCATTACTGCTAATATGGATGTTGCTCATCAAATTTTCAGTCACGAATCCATAAAGAGTGCCATAGACTTGGCGGCCTAGCTTGTTAAAAGCCCAGACCATACCAAACAAGGTCAGAACCCAGGTCAGATCGAGACCCAGAGAGTTTCCGATGAAGCCGTACATGGGAACGAGGGCGCGCAAACCCAGCAGCGGGAGCAGAGTCTCGACTATATTGCCGTCCATATGATCTGGACTTGACGCATTTTTTGTGGCGCTAGTCGCATTTTCCGCTATCGTAGGCAGAGCCCCGCGGAACATAGAGCTGATGTCCATAGTCACTTCTTTCCGATAACTTCACGTACTCACGTATTGGACTGAAGTTCCAGAGAGTAAGAAATAAGCATACGATCTAGAAATAGTCCCAGATATTCGGAAGAGTGACAAATGATGGCGTGGGAGAGATTCCAGCGAAGGTGGCGAGAGTGTCAAAACTCAGCTTGAGATTGAGTCCGATACTTATAGTCTTTAGTCGGACTGGAGATAGTTGGAAGTCCCTTGCACACTCGACTGGTTTGACTCATATGCATATATATTATTCAAAAAAGAGTAAATAATGGTTTAGGCTACTTGCATTTCAAGTGGCAAACGCCCCGGTACAAGCTGCAAGTGGTGTGGATAAGAGTCAGCTTGTGATTCACACTACAAATAGAAGCAAAGTCACCATTGGTTGAAAACCATGGACTTGATCTGGTCAATCACTGGAAAATATGCGGTAGTGGCCCCGTGTGTGAAGCTCCGTTAGTGGCACTACCTACTGCCTTACCAGACGTCGTCAGCTACCGGTGAACTGGTTAGGTACAGCTCGTGAATTAGAAAGTTATCGAGCCTGTGCGAGAACAATTTACTAGCCGATAGGCCGCTCGACCTGGGAAGCACAAGAGGACGTGATTCCAAAAGCAAGGTACACTGGTCAATTAGTTTGGAGGAAGCATCAACACTGGGAAGAATGTTTGCGTGGTGTAACTAATGGGCGCGGAACATTTCACATCAGATTCTCGCTGCGTAGGCACAACGGAAGGGCTGACGCAGGATACGTTCACATCATGTCGTGGCGAACCTTTCGAGCATCGGTAGGCAAGGCAGAAACAGTCTTACAATATGCACCTGTCTAAGGCAGCAGCATCATGACGCACATGGGGGCCAATATGGATGAAAGGTGGAGAAATATATAGTGGATGCCACGCAATTTACATCTTCTGTTTGGCACATGCAACTGCCCTAGTTCAGCCTGGTCGCTGACACGGAATGCAGTTCATCAGATGATCCATAAGTACAAATGTATATGACTCTAGTATCGATGCTGCATATTCAAAATCAGGCAGTCAGGCAGTTGAGCAGGGTTGTAAACCAACTATGAGTGCGTGAAACATTTAATTCGTCCATTATAATGTTTGTGATCGCAGCCAATGTAACATGCGTACTGCAAAATCCCGGAGGCACTAGGTTAAGTTTAGATGGTGCATATTGTACTCCAACGGCCAACTTCAATTTGTTTCAGGTTTGCCTTATGCTGGTTAGACTTGTTCGCCGGAACAGCACAAGTTAGAAGCGATGAATGGTTTCCGTGTGTAACAAACAATTTTTATACTTCATCTTTGTTTATGATTTACATGCTACTTTAAACGCCATACCCACGCAGACGAAAGACCTCAATCCTCGCTAATTACCCGACTCTTGGTCTGCAACAGGTGCAGCCGCAGGGCTAAGCTGTGTGTTTGTATGTCTTCTGAGGTAAAAGTCCGCCCCCTGATCCTCGGGCCGTATCTCTATGGGCATCACACCTAGACCCTCATGACTTGACGTGACGTATCGTATGCACGATGCTCTTCGAGACGTTTACGGCCCTTGGGTTGGTATGGCGATTTTTGACGCCTCAAATCCGCATGCAAATTTTGCTCCTGTTCGTCGGTCCAGGTCTTCTGCAGTACAAGAACCCCAGACTCTCATTAAGTCGGCGATGGGCCGCCGGTCAGGCGCTCACTCTAGTCCAATCCACTCATTCTCCGATACGTTCTCCTCCTGATTCAAAATATCGGCTAATGTTTCCTCCTTGGCCATCAGGAGGTTGACTGAATCGTTTTGACCATCTGCAAGGGACAGTTGCACCTTTGCGTCTTGACTCCTGTCAGTCGCTTGGCCAAGGAGATAATCCACCATGTAGACGTTCTCATCAGCCAGCCTCCTAATATCATCTCTCATTTTGGATATGGCCCTTGCAACAATACGAAGCTCTACGTCCACCTTGCTTCGGTTAGCTGTGAGCCACTTTCCATGCTTGTCCATGAGTGCCTTGATCCACAGTAGACAGAATTCCATATGTGGAGAATCCTCGGTCTGTGCTGCCACGAAGCGCAAAAGTCTTGAAACGTAAATAGTCGGGAACTGCTCAACAACGAGCGCAATCTCAGTGTATGGGATGGCTTGGAAAACTCTCTTGATCAAACCAGCTTCGTTGAGACGGAAAGCCATAACAAGAGCCTTGAGGTAGTCCTTGTCGTTTTCTAGAACAGCGAGAGTCGAGGCTGGTGTAATTTCAATGTTTAGGTCAAACGGATCGAACTGGAGATTGCTGTCCAGGCTGTAAACAAGCAGACCTTCAGTTGACGCGGCACAGAATGATGTACCGGCAGGCGAGAAGCCGACACCAGTAACTCTGACTTCTGGGTTCTTCTTCCTAGCTGAAGGATCACCTCGTTTCGACCCAGGTAGCAACGTGTCCTTTCGTGCCTCTCGATCGGAGTTTTCACCCTCGTCATCCAACAGACCTTCAGGTCCGGCTTCAGTAAGCAGTTTGCTGTTAAGGAACTCCTGAGTTCCAGACAGCGAGAGATTGACGCTAACAGTATACTTTTTGAGGAGGACCATCGTGCTAACAGAGTACAAGCAGATATATTTGCTTGATCCAGCAGCTAACAGACAACTGCCGTCCGTACTGTACCGAATAGTGTTAAAGCTCTTGTTACCACTAACATTAGCCGCAGTTCGGCGATCTGAGATCTTGCGACCTCCCGACACATCTCGGCGGCCATCAAGACCTGATACTTGTTCGGCGTCCGAGATGGACCAGAAAGTTAATTGGCCATCCAATGTTGATATAGCTAACTGAGCCGAGTCAGGTCGGATGGCAATGTCCAGAACGTCGGCTTGAAGCTGTAGCGGTTCGCTTGTCTGTGTTCGATCGAAGATGGACCATATTCTTGCAGTCTTGTCCCAACTTCCGCTGACTAGTAAACCGCCATTAGGAGCAAATGCCAATGACGAGACAGGTCCTTCGTGACCAGATAGCTGATCGAGCAATTGACCGGTTTGCACAGACCATATGTGAACGTCGAAAGAATCTCGCGACCCAGCAGCTACAACCTCTCCGCTAGGATCCACGGCCATACAGTCCCATTGAAGTCTTGTAGGTGCAGTGAAGGTCCTGAAATTTCGGTATCTTATTAAGTCCCAGGCCCTCACAGAGCCGTCGAAACTTGAGGTAAACAGAACATTACCCTTTTTGGCGAACTCGCAAGCCGTTACACCGCTGGTATGTTCTGTGAAGGTGACAATACAGAACCCGGAGTCAACGTCCCAGACTTTGATCTTGCCGTCGTCGGCAGTTGTGATGATACGCTGGCCGTCTGGTGAGTAGACTAGAGAGTTTATCGAGTCGAAGTGGCCTTGTTGCTTCAGGATGTACGACTCAGACTGCCACTCCCAGACCAGCAGCTGCCCAAGTTTCGAAGCGCCAAAGGCGAGCCACTCTCCGCTTTGGTTGATCGTGACAAAGTCGATATCGTTTTGGGAGATACTCAGCGTATGTATCATGTTGAATTCGGGCATCTCATAAAGGCCAAAGACACCGTTGGAGAATCCTGCCACCAGCAAATTGGACGCTGGATGGTAGGATGCGCAACGAACAGTCGCGCTGCCTTGCATGAAATAGTGTTTCTGTACTATCCTCCAGCGCATGTCGGCTGCCTCGTCATCTTCCATTTCGTCATCAGAGTCTTCCGGCGGGGGGGCATTGGGGTTCCTAGTGTATTGCCAGTCGAAGACGGCTCCGTCTTTGCTCACAGTGTAGATGGTTTCTTGGTCCTTGGAGAACCAGGCACCAATGACGGCTTGTTTGTGACCAGACAGCACTGTAGGCTGGAAGCCGTCTTCGGGGTTTAGGCTCCATACCCTGGCGGTTAGATCCTTGGAAGCAGTAAGAAAGAATCTCGAGTCCGGGGACCATTCTATATGTCGGACGTCATCAAAATGACCAGTGTGGGTATGGTGACGGATGAAAGGTGCAAATTCAAGGTCTCCTTCGGCATTGGCGTCGGGCGTTGAAGGGACTTGCCATACTTCTATCTTCCGACCTAGTCCCACAGCAAAATGACGACCGGAGGGCGAGAAGGCGAGGGCGGTTACCTTGGATCGAAAGGAGAAGTGGTATATGGAGACTCGGCGAGGCACGTTGGTCAAAATGGCATGTCCATCATCGTCAACCGACAGCAACAGATTGCCCCGTGGAGACAGGCCGATCCGAGCGATGTTCTTCCGATGCGCAAACGGCAAAGTGTGCGACTTGTTTCTAGGAACAAGTCAGTCAGCGAGCCTGTGCCAGCGTATGGGTTGGGATCCGTCTTGCGCACTCACTCCACGAGGTTGAAGACGGTGACTCGATTCGAAACTGGAGAGAAAAGGCAGGTGCCATCTGGGCTATAGAGCAGGTTACCCTGGCAGTAAACCGTGCCTAGCAGGTTCGAGAACTAGAGGGCAAGTTAATAAAGTACCTCCAGCATATGGCGCTGCTTCTGACCTTGAAATCTGTCTTCATCGTCGCAATCTCTCCATAACAACCATGAAATCGAAGGTCCGGCGCACGCTCATCTTCAATACAATGCAAGCCTGCGCGCCTTCCTCCCAACTTTTTTCTTATCGCTCTTATCAATGATTAGATTAGCCTGCAAGTGGTTAAGCCGCCTGCTGCAACTGGCTCTGACTGGTGCCAAGCATAGTGGGGTCGACAACCGCCACCTGCGCGTGGAAACCCTTCCAGCCGCTCGGCGGATCTGTATTCAACTAACCTCCTAGTCTACGTTAGTGCTACAGTCGCCCCCCTCCCCCCCGCCTGTAAATAGGTACAGTACCGGTGTAACTACCACAAGTCTCATCTGAATATAAATGTAAATATACTCGAACAGCCAGTTATTTCAATATCACGATTTGTTGAAATCCCATCTTTAGAGACCACCGGGGCCAAATCCACCACCGCTACCCCTGAACAACGCTGCTTCGAGTGTTCATCAGAGCTTCGATAGGTCTCGTTTTAAAGACTAAATGTTGTCTATTCATCGAGTATACCAACACACGAAATGCATGAAGACCAGCCAAGACGAACCACAGCCCATAACGGACCCCCTTGTTTCCGATTGGTTTGTGCCTTCAGTAATGGAACATAGATATAGCACTCAACGAAATAAAGGGGAAGATTTTCTCGAGAAAGAAAAGTATACTGAACATGTAGAGCCGACTTTGCAGTTTGACTTCACAGATGGTTGAATCGAAGTTCACAATTAATATGACGGTATCGAATTTAGCAGCCGCCATAACTATCATCAGCCATTAATCCTAATCTCCGCGCTTACCAAGCTACCAAGTACAAGGTTCACGAACGACGTCGAGGATATAACCCAACCAAATGTTCTAACATGCGGCTTGAAGCGGTCTTTGGTTCTGGGTGTTAGCAATATCCGCAACTTTGGATTTTGATGGTTTGATCGGTGACCTAGCTGGGCCTTTGATGAAAAAGAATACAACCATCACCGACCCACTTGTATTTTGTCCTAGAATCTTGCGGCGAATCAACTGGACGGTGACTATAAATGAAATCAGTTGTGTGGTCTTTCGTCAGGATGTCGACCAGTCCTCGATCTCACATGTTGGGCCGACCCACGCTTGGACAACAGTCAATTTCACTGCAAAGTTGAAGTTAGTGATCGACTAGCTATACGAACTGGCACACATTTGGTATCGGTGGCCGTATCTAACACCAACAGCTTTACCCTCAAGCACACCAACCTTCCTTTTTCCTTTTGAAGTCAGAAGACAGTGTCACACAGATTGTCATTTTAAATCTAATATGGGAATATTGGAGCTAGCGTGGACCGATCAGGGTCAGTGACACACAAATACTGATTCTTAACTTCAAGTCGCGGTGGCTAGTGGAAAGTGATATAGCTCAACTTTGGGACATGATACTTTATTTTTACCTAAGATACGCATCATTGTTGTGTCTGGTGCCACCTGCCGGTGCTTACTTAGGTAGGTCATGTTATAATATACTGCGTTTTACACAGTCAGTACTATACCGGAAAGTTGTAGAAGGCTTGAGGTGAGGCTCTGGATTGATGCCAGCGGAACAGATGCTTCTGTTCCTACATTGCATCCCATTATGTTGCCCAATGCCTTGGCTGCGTAATTGGTATGGATGGCGGACCTGGCAAACAATCCAGGCAAGCCCGCGGCTGCTTGAGCATCATCCGCGGAGCAATTGGATACGCCCGCGGAGCTGGCGCCGGACGATGTATTATCTTCGGAGACATGACGCGGATGTTCCAGACTCGCCGCGCCGCTTCTTCAAACATTTATATATAGTGTCTGTACTGGTTCGAATTTACGGATCGCACTGCAGTTTTAATTCCCGACCGAGCGTGGGTTGTAATCTTCAAGGTTACTGCACCCGACCAGCCTCCAGACCACGACTTTGGGCTTCGCTCACACAGACCGCCAGGAGATCTCCGAGATCAGCCCAAGCAGCAGAATGCCCAGTTCAAAAGAAGTTTCGTCAGATGACATGGCTCCTGAGCCTGAAAGAGGCGAGGACGGACGCCTGTCTGAAGGCATCACAATAATTGACTGGAACGGACCAGATGATGCTGCAAATCCGCAGAACTGGCCCAGCGGCAAACGATGGTCACATATCGTTGTCGTGTCTTTACTGGCTCTTGTGACGTGAGTCTCACCACTTGCTGCGCTTTAATCCGTCCCAGCCTTATGTGCTTGAATACAGAAACATGGCGCCGACAATGTGCGCCCCGGCTATCAATCAGATCAACGAGGAGTTCGGCATACATTCCTCAACTGTCAGCACCCTCTCTGTCACACTCTATGTCCTTGGCCTTGGAGTAGGACCTATGTTCATCTCACCAATTAGTGAGGTGTATGGGCGCTTACCTGTCTATCATATTTCTACGCTCGTTTTCATCGCTTTTCTCATTGGCAATGCGCTGAGCCAGAATATTGCCCAATTTATGCTTTTTCGCTTTCTTTCTGGCTGCGTAGGCGGGACACCTATGGCTCTTGGCGGAGGTAGTATCGCCGACGTTACCTCCCTCCAAACAAGAGCAAGTGCCATGGGATTGTTCAGCTTAGGTCCCTTGACAGGACCGGTAAGTAACTACCCTTTGGCACAAAGATTCGGGCGCGTTTAGATACTCATAGTCCCCAAATCAGGTCTTAGGTCCCGTCATTGGAGGATTCGTGGCGGCCGGCCTCGGATGGCGCTGGGTATTCTGGCTTCTGACCATCCTCGGGGGTGCTACTGAGATCGCGGCCGCCATAGTCATGCGAGAGACGCACGCACGGACTCTCCTGGAGCGCAAGACAAAGCGTGTTCGTGTTGCTACTGACAATACGAAGGTGCACTCCAAATTTGCTACAACGCACCTCACCCCGAGCCGCGTGTTGGCGCAGGCTCTCCTCCGGCCCACCAGACTCCTCATACGCTCGCTTGCAGTATCTGTCATGTCCTTATATGTAGCCATTGTCTTCGGACTACTATACTTGCTGCTTACCACTTTCCCTGACGTGTTTGAGGGAAGCTACGGTTTCACTATATCTACATCCGGGCTGTCCTACCTTGGACTTGGCGTGGCATTGATAGTTGCGATGGTGGTTTTCCGGACTCTCGGTGAGCGTGTACGGGTATCCCATTTGAATTCGGACGGTAGAGATCAACCACGGCCAGAGCTCCGCCTAATCTTGATGATCTGGTTCAGTCCGTTTGTAGGTCTTGGCTTCTTCGTCTATGGCTGGACAGCCGAGAACCAGGTGCACTGGATTGTACCCATTATTGGCACCTCTTTCATCGGATTTGGAGCCTTTTTCGTATTAGTAAGTCTTGTATATGCCGTTAAAGGAGAGATGCAAGGTTCTAATATCACTAGATGCCGACACAGCTCTATCTTGTCGACTTGTTCGGGCCCGAGGCAGCTGCTTCTGCTCTGGGTGCTAATAATTTCCTGCGATTCTTGTCCGGTACGTTTCTGCCACTAATCGGACCGCCCATGTATCGGGCGCTGGGCCTTGGATGGGGAAACACTTTGCTTGGATTTCTAGCGTTAGCTTTCGTTCTAGTTCCAATGTTGTTCTACAAGTACGGGGAGAAGTTGCGGCAAAAGACGATAGAGTTGCTATGATAGGAAGCAAAACCCAAGATTTGGCCGGTTGGCTTTTCGAAAATTCAATATTACTTCGAATGTTTACTTCATTCATTACAGGCAGATTCGGCAACCAAGGATGGTCTGGTCGGTGTGGTGTCCTTTTCTTTGACACATAAAAGCCGTAATATAGTCGGCACAAGTCCAGAATGTAACCAAAGAAATATCAAATAACCATAGCTGACCTGGAAGACCAAGAATATATTCTAATAGAATCCCAGGCTGTTTCATTATTGAAGCTAGAGTTTGCAAGATGGGTGAACAGAAAAAGAAATTAGGTACATATGTATATAGAAATCGCAATGACTCATTTACTATATAACTTACGATTTTGATTACTGTATTTTTTCTTCTTCTTTTCCTCCTTCGTATATGCGTGTTTTCTGTGCGGCCTTCAGAGCGTGAGGCGGAGTGACGGAGTACTTCCGGACATTGCAATTGCATGCTTACCACCGCATGTTCCCTCGACGCCATACGATGTAGCAACCAAAACGCAACGCCCCACCCACCCAACCAGATTCAGAGTGTTATAATACAGTAGATGACATTGCCCTAGCTAGTGAATCCTCCTGCTTGCCCAAGGCTGTCTTTCATGACATTTATTATGCGGTTTTTGTAATTTGCATGCCATCTCTCCTTGCCCGATTCCTACAAATAGTTTGGTTGATCCTTATTCCCGACCCCTCCTGGAACGTGTCAACTTGAAACGCAATTAGATATTGGCAATGTCGTTCGCTTCTTCACCGATTCTCGCCTTGTCGCCATCAATGGGACATCAGGATTCGGGCACACCTCCCCCTGGTGTTGAGTCTTCTGCATCTATTACGCAGCCTCATACGAGTCACGCACGGCGCCGCCGTGATAAACCGCAGCTTTCGTGCGTTGACTGTCGCCGCCGCAAGTGAGGACAATTGCCACCATTTCCTTGTCTTCATCCCTCAAAGCTGATGGGTAAGAAATTGACCTGGCTGTCCCCTCAGATCGCGATGTGACCGCAAGCATCCATGTGCCAATTGTTTTACCCGTGGGCAGATGTGTGTTTATCCAGAGAACCATACGGTGGCCTCAGCACCATCAATTCCACAGCCGTCGCTGGCCGCAACCCCCAACCTACAGGACCGACTGGATCACCTGGAGCGTCTTGTATTATCACTGAAGAACGAGACGTCAGACGTCAAAAATACCATTTCAGGCCCATCCATTGAACCCAGTGGCAGCGTTCAAGATTCAGTCAGAGATGGGAGTTCGGAAGGCGGTAGCATGCATTTTAGTGCTGCGGAACACCGCTACATTAGTGGCGACCATTGGGCTGCTATCCTCAACAGCATTGCTGATCTCAGAGATCACTTTGATCGACAAGAGCACCTTGGACTGGTCTCTGCGTCCGATGGGGTGTCTACCAGGAGTAATGGGGGCCAAAGTGCTGGCGTAAACAAGGGACAACGTGCACTTCTTCTGTATGGCTGTCGACCCGCAACTTCACGTGCTGACATACTTGCTGCGCTGCCCCCTAGAGAAGCCGTGAGCCGCTACGTATCCCGCTATTTCAATCGTATGGATCTTGTATCTTCTGGTGAATGCCCCGTTGCTATATACTCCGATGAAAAATGATTCTGAGGCCTCGTTGGCTGACCTTGGGAAAACTTTAGCTGCTGTTCATGGCCCTACTTTTCTCCAAGAGGTGAGCAAACCCTGTGAAGGGTCGTCAACCAAATGCTAAATTGGTCACAGTACGAAAATTTCTGGCAGGATCCATCCCAAGTCCCAATCATCTGGCTCGGGCTACTCTTCGGCATGATAGCGCTGGCTGTTCTGTCTTCGGAGATGCACGAAGTTGGCAATGGTAACAGTACGGAGCAGCTTTTGCTTCAAGTTCAGTTATATCGCGAAAAGATCACGCAGTGCCTCATCATGAGTGAGTACACAAAGTGCGGGCCATACGTGTTGGAAACGATCATCCACTATGTCTACGTGGAATACCTTTTGAAACCGGACGCCGATCAAGACCTTTGGTTTCTACTAGCACTAGAAGTCAACACAGCCAAGCGCATGGGTTATCATCGTGACCCTCGCCACTTCTCAGACATCTCTATTCTAGAAGGAGAGATGCGGCGTCGCTTATGGGCCACAGTTCTGCAAAGTGATATACTGATATCCAGCCAAATGGGCATGCCGCGCATGACGTCCGACTGTCAAAGTGATACAGCCGAGCCCCGCAACCTGAATGACACGGATTTGGACCAAGACACAACAGAACTGCCGCCGTCACGACCTGAGACTGAACATACAACGACAATAGGAGTCATAGCACGAAGACGATTACTGGTGGTTCTTGGTACTATCTCGGATCTAACAGCTAAAGTCAAGCCTGTCAGTTATAGTGAGTTCCTGAAAGTCGACAATTCTCTCCATGAAGCCGCGGATAGCATTCCCCAACCCCTGAAGATGAAGCCTATCACCTCGAGCATGACCGATTCGCAGCAACTGATTATGGCCCGGCTGTTCCTCAATCATATGTTTTACAAGGGACAGCTTTTACTTCACCAGCGATTTCTTTATATGCCGTCGACGTCTTCTGATAAGGATACATTCGAGTACTCACGGAAAGCCTGCATTGATGCTTCTTTGGGAACCCTTCAAATACAGCAAGTAAGTGTCAAGTTTTATCAAGTTGACTGGAGTGGTTCGTGGGTGATCTTTTGCAAATTCGTCGATCTGATACAGCTGGATGCAATAGACTTTGGATGAGGAGACTTGTCCCGGGGGCCAGCTTGATACGCTGCGTTGGCGAGTGACATCTATCATGAACCATCAGTTCCTCACCGCCACCATGATTCTGTGTTCGCTCTTATACCGTGGGAGAACAATACAGCGGATAGATGAGATCACTGCAGCATTGCTTGCGTCCAGAGCCATCTGGATGAGGAGAAGCGTAAAATCTCGTGAGGCACAGAAGGCTGCTGAAACAGTGAGCATGGTCCTTGCAAGGGCAGGAGCAAGCGACAGATTCGTGCCTGAGGATCCTTCTCCACCGACTAGCACTACTACCACATTGATGAGAGATATTGAGATCAGCCTAGGTTTGGACCAAATCGGCACCTTGACAAATGTAGACCACATGTTATTCCCCCAAGGTCAGTATTTAATCCATCTCCTATATGACAACGCTGACAGTATGATGTAGTCCCAGGACCTACAAATCTTCCATTTGCGGTAACGTTTACGGAATCTGATCTTCAGCAACCCATGGAGTATTCTATGAATATGGACATGATGGATAGAGCTGGCTGGGCATTGCCTCAATGGTTAGCGACAAGTCAGCCTTCAGAGCCAGAAGCGTTGTGATAATGATGGGCACACACAAAACGGGATTTGAATGGACTTGGTAAGAGGATGATCTCAGAGCTCGGCACTGGCAAGTTACTCTATATAGGACAGCTGCACTGCCTATAAGCACCTGTCCATCAGATAACCAATTTGAAGTAATCCTACTGTCACATCGATAAGCTAGGTTTTCATGGTCTTGATCTTCTGCTTAAGGCGTGCTCGGAACAAATCTATTTCAGTATGCTGAGAATACATAGGGATGCCCGCCGACACGGACATAAGTGGACCTTCATGAGTTTCGTGATTCCTAGCATAATCTAGCGTGAAGTCCTTGATTCTACATTCATGGGCTCTGGCTTCCATTAGAAGATTGTAGATCTTTAAAAATGCTATAAACTCTACGATGATCACTGTTTCCCTCCCTCCTTTTTGGGGGGAAGGGGGAGGGAGGAGGTCTACATAGCCTTTCAAACATCCTGAGCTGCGTTCTGTACCTATTGTAGTCTAGCAAACCTGGAATTTGATGCCGTTTATTTACTTGACCACTATTTATTGGCAAAGATGCACGTCATCGCCCCGCTAGACGCTCCGATTATCAGGTTGCCGAATGACCATGCAATAAAACTGGTACCGAAGGATCCAAGACACTATTTGCCGCCTGGTTTCATCCGGGTAATAGCCAACTGTGGTCCTTGTATGTGCCAGTCTCGTCCGACATGGAAGCTACCATGACCAGCAGGCAAGGATCGCCCGTAGGAGCCGCTGCTCACATTGCCGCAGTGGGACAAATTTACTAAAGAAGACGGGGGTTTGTTGGCATCGCGACTGTAGCTCCGGATATCGATACATCCCTTCTCGTGAGTGTTACCGTTGCGCAAGCCGATGATGAATATGTGTCGCTGCTTCGAGAGTCACTAGCCGTTGCAACACACCCACCTGGCGTGCATGCAAATACTCTGGCTATCAACGGTGGAATCACTAGATCTGTGAACATGCTCAGCCAGCGGGTTTCTCATATCATGGGGTCCCGGTTCCTGCGAACTGAAATCTTTCATACCGGACGCAACTTCGCATCTTCAAACATGGCTTCGTCGAAAGGACTCGTCCAAAAAAGAAACATATAATGCCAAATTTCATGAATCGAAGCTTTCGGGGTTTATATTCGATTTACTGATTTTCTCATGAACAACCAAATTTTCTGCTTGCGCGCTAACTCATGCGACGTTGAGCTGTGCTCACACTGGACACCCAGCCCAGCGTCGCAGCAAGCAGCCACAAGGGATGAGCACCACAGGAGCTATTTGAATATTGTCTGCCTATTCATCTGTCAAGTATTAGTCTGCGGTGATCTGGCCATCGGCATAACCAGGATCATGGGTGTGATATGCAGCGCAGCCTCAGTGGGTGACATTTAGTTGAAAGTTACCTGGCTCAGTCACTCTATGAAGCCCCTTAGACTTATCCGTCCTGGTTGTATGGACATTGCCATCAGTAATTGTAGCTGAGCATCGTCAATTTCTACTTATTTGCGCCCAGTATCGCCACCCCACACGTACAGTCGACAGCCCACTTACTAGAAAAAGACTATTCGGAGCCTATTCCGAAGAGCCTCACCCTTTATGTACACCAGCAGGGGTAACACATTCATGAATCGCCTCTGGACTGAGACTATCCAGGCACTGGAGTTCGCTGAGGTGCACGATGCGTTAGAACATCTACGTACGAAAACTGTGATCTAGTTTGATAGATATTCCAAGCCAGTCATAATCGCAAAATGCTGTGAGGAATAACTGGAGCCCGGCGGCAAGACTCAGGACAATAGATGACTCCCAACAAGGTAGGTGGCGAGGCAGTTTGGGCTAAGAGTGATATTAGATACCAGAGGTGGCAACCAAAGTGATACTATCAACCCATCCAAATACAAGAACTCCTTATAAAACATAAGCTAGGGAGGTAACTCGACCACCATTCTTCAAAAGCCTAGGCGATTCTATCCAGTGATTGATTTCTACGTTGTATTTATTTTGGTGGGTCGGTCTCTTCAGCCCAGACTTCCACGGCAGCTATTTCGTTCCCATCAAACCACGAGTTGGATTTGGCATCCCTGATGCTGACTTTTCCGCCAACAGTGGCACCTTCCTAGAAACGACGCCACTTATGTCAGTAAAGTGGCTAATGAGACTGAACAGGAGTTTGTCACCTGTGGGATCGGGAACGAATACATACAGTACTGGAATCAGACGGACAGGCTACCCCATTCACGATCCAGCCTAGTGGGCCAGTGCAGAGGCCCGACTTGATAGAGACAGCCGTGACTTTGTTGACTGCTGCAACCATTCTGAGGTATCTTCCGCCTTGTCTCTCTTCCAGAGTTTCCGCTTCTTTCGTGTCCAAGTCCCGTTTTACGTTGTTGGTATTATCTTGCTGAGGTGGGGATCGCCAAAACCACCTGGTTTAATTCGTTAGCAAATCATTCAACGAAATGAAAGAAAAATACTCATCATGTAGAAAGAACTGGAGTAGAATTTGCCTCACCTTCCCGTTGCAGAAGAAGTGTAATACTCATCCAAGCCTCTACAGATCATTATAGAGCCGATAGTACGCAGAACTGTGAACCCGAGACCCCCAGCACCGTGGCAGTACCACTTCGCTTTGAGCTGATTACCGCTGGAGTCTTCTACTTGGTCGGTGCCGTCCCGTTTGGCCAGAGCGTTGATCTCGTCTTCACTTACGCCGCGCTCAGTAAGGTCTCGACGACGCTTCGCACGCTCATCGGCGATCTCTCGTCTTGCCTTTGCGGCGGCGGCAGCATCTACCTTGGCTACTTCGCCGCCGTCTGGTACCGCTTCCCAGTGTAATTTTCCTTGGGAATCGAGTTGCTTGTAGACTGACTGTAGGTCTACGTCGCGGGGTAGGAGGTCGCGCGTATCCACAGCTCCAAAGTCGGCATCTGCAGGATGCGCATAACCCAAACCTGAAAGGGCAAGGACTGTGGTAAAGGTGCGAATAATCTGCATGATGGCGAAACAGTAGGGGACTACAGTTGAAAAAGATGTTTCTCGTGATATAGAATTCGAAGTTCCTTAGACTTGTGCTATAGTCGTAATTGATATAATGACTTTGATAATTATTGAAAGGACTTTTCTCGGTTCCGTGGTCGATATTTATGCTTAGAATCTAGATGTGAGTAGACGTGGCGATATCATTGCTGAGGCTATGAATACCATAGCGTGAAGCATGATGTGTAGTGGCGGTGCCTAGACTCAAACTGCATTGATCAACACAATATAGAACAATTACGCCCGCATGGGATCATGGGATTCGTGGCCTCCATGTTCTAAACTTAGGAGGATATAGCTTGATCCATTGAGGTGTGTTAATTGTTCCTGATCTTATGCTTATGGCCATGTTATGCGACATCAATCGTAGTAGTTAAATGGGCAATCAACGCCCACTGCAAGGGTCTATCACACACTTGGCAGACTGGTATGGCCCACAGCATCCAACAATCACGCGTGAGAGTCCTCCAGACTCTACGCGTTAAGATATACGTTATGATCCTATGTACTCGGTTCCAGACCGAATAATGAAGCAGTCGAACCCCCAAGCACCACAAATAATCTCATCTAACCTCATACGGATTTGCATTGCCGCAGAATCCTCGAGCACTAAACTGCCATGTGGTATACTTAAGCTAAGAACAGCAATTTTGGGTTGTTGATCAGTCGATCATCCATCATCCTTCGTTGACCGGTAGCGTTGGCCGCTAAGACATCCAATCACAATTTAGGTAGATCCATCGCAGGGATATCAAATTCGCTGTCTCAGCACTCCACCGCTCACCACGAAACAGACGTTACTAGAGTTTGAAATGGTTGGAGTTTATACCACTGAAGCTCATTTGATCGACAATTATATCGAAGCATTCGTTAGTAAAGCCTTGTGATTTCTAGCCTGACTAATATCTCGGACGTGCTAGTATGTCTGTCGCTTTTGATCATACGGTTCCAAACAGGAGTATACATGCTTCTTGACCAAACATCACTGCTAATTCGGTTCTTAGTTCATATCACATCAAGACAAACCTGTATTACAACCAAATACTCCTAAAATCCCACTCCGAAAGATGAGGTCATCTAACAACCTGAAAGGATTGATCGCCTTTTATCATATCATATGACAATTGTGCTGTGCCATAAGCTCGGACCTTTCGCTGAGTTCATGATCTACCAAGTGGGTTTAGCCTTACCAAATGATAGCAAACGTAGCATTGATTTGGCTTAGATCTGGATGCCCGGGACGTTGGAATTACGTATGAGGCGCTTCCAATCGTCGAGATTGGCTAACAGCTTTGGGGCTGAGATGCTTATAGTCTTGAAGATCTTCGTCATATTCTCATCCGTCTCTCTTTTCATCCATCTATATTTCCAATTATCTCTATTTTTATAAAAATGCCTAATCATATCAGATCGATCCTCCATCCTGAGGTGTTTGTGAACTACATCGATGTGCGTCCCACTTGAGATACGCTGAGTACTGCGACTGTATGTAGGGGTTGAGACATGGCGTCATGAGGATTTTGGTTACCAAAGAAAGCAGAAAGAAAAAAGGCACACACAGACTCGTGCAACATATCGACGCCATGTGTAATGACGGACGCTTGTCTCATTCAACTATAAAACCACAGTCATCGCACCTGAATAAACCCTCAGAATTATCACAACAATTCATCCAAACAAGAATCAAGCCTCAAATTAATTCAGAACCAAGCAATACGTGAGTGCTGCGAAAAGAATTAGCAATACTCATTTTTATATATATTTCCCCCCTAGACGTCAACCGCACTCTCATCATGTACAAGATCACAGCCGCCTCTATCCTCCTCGCTGGACTATTTGCGGGCCTCTCTCAAGCAGATCCAAAGTGCTATACTGGACCGACTCACCGAGAGAAAGATAATACTGCTCTGTGGCAGTGTGTAGACAGTGAGGAGAAAAACCGTATGTGACAAAATGGCAATTACCTTCCTCTTTATGGTATTATACGCAGGCCACTGACTCGATACCTGTTAGCACAATGGCATGACTGGACTTGCGAGCAGAAGCACTTTCAGTACTGGAGTAATGGTCATTGGGGAAGTCCTGGTGATTGCCTTGGTGGTTGTGTTCCCTGCCTCGAGGGGGCAGCCGAGCTCGGCGCTGAATGGGTGAAATGTGACCAGGAGGTGAGCTCTGCTCACTGCGCGGTGGGATGGTCCCCCAGTGGACTTTCGTTCTGCTCGAATGGAGATTGGGGTCCTTGCTAAGTACCAAAGAATTCAAGCTTTGCAGAGTTTTTTGTCTTACGAGGCTGGATATGATAGTGCATTCCTTTGGTCGTTGACGTGATAGCGGGTGGATTTTTGGTTATAGGGAATGACTTAGGCATACTTGTATCGCATCAATAACAGTCACGCTCTCTATAAAACAGGGACAATTTCATGCTTGAATAGAAACTTCCCAAGGTCTTGGGAGCCACGAGATCGGATTACACGCAGTCTGAACTTAATAATTCATCAACCAGAACATGGAATACCTGGGATGAAGCAAGGTAGGATACGTTTATTAAGCTTTTAGAAGGGATATTTATCAGTGAAGAGTCTACAAAAGATAAAGAGGGTTGGCTTGAGCTATTCGTTGCTTCTAGTACTGGGGTCGGACCTTACCTGATGGCGTCAATTATCATTTCAATGCTCTCTTACCTGCTTATTTTTGCTAGCGCACGCCATTCTAACTCCTCATCACTCTCATACCAGTGTGATATATTAAACAACGATCGGTACTGACCAGTGCTACTATAACTGGGAAGATCACATGCTTTGGTTCAATGGCGAACACGGTCCGACGTTTGACTGAAGCCATTCTATTGAATTTATTGAGCCACCGGCTTGAGCATACAGGTTTGAAGCATATCAAAGTACCGGACTTAATAGCCCAAGCTCTGCACGAACAGTTGTGTCCTTGGGCTAGTGAGAATGATATGCATCATAGTGTGACTGTTGCAGGGTCTATCAAACAACTCGTCCGGGCAACGAGTGAGAAAATTATGTAAAGGGCATCATGGGATCGAAGTATTAGCATCGTTATACGTACTAACGCAGGGAACGAACCAATTCTATCCATATTTTCATGCCATGATAACACTGCTTGGATAAATCTGCGGGAGCGAATATGATTGCAATGTTGACAGGAAGAAACCGATATGGGTTAGGTTTTTTTTTTCAAGCATACCAGGGTTTCGTGGAAGAGCTAGGACCGGCCGTGGATCTTGGTAATGAGACGGACCATACCCTCTACTTTTTCCGTCGTCGAAGATGTTTTCACGTAAACGCTACCCGGGTACCGAGTTTGGAGTAAATTCTCCATAGAGAAGCCGGTAGTAAGATCTGCATAAACGGACGATCGGAAATATGCTACATCTAAGTACAGTCAAATCATTGAACCTGAAGAAACCTCATATTCTGTTTGATGCGACGCAAAGCCTGAGACTGACTTGATATCCTCTCGTGTGGGTTTGTCTCATCAAATTCCTCGAGAGCCCTCCACGCAATTCCATAGAGATCAAGGGGGCTCTCCAAAGCATCAAATATACAAGCTGGGTAGATATCCAACTTTGGAAAATATCTACTTAGATCATACGAAGAACCTGGATTTCTGTAAAGGATGGCTTGGAACCGCTGGTCGAAGTCGTATATCTTGGTTTGCCTCCGCATATTATGGGCGATATGTTGGGCAGTCATCTAAAATCTACCTATTGTCTATTGTTTCAAATCTGACAAGAACTTACGCGTGGTAAGGCTGGGGAAGGTGACATGGACCATGAGCGCTATAGTATCTTGTTCAATTATGCAATTACCAGCAGTAATTTTTGGACAAGCCGTATCCAGAAAGTTTTCGACAGAGTGAGAAGTGCCATCCACTAACGATTTACGGAAGTCCCATAATGGTTGTCATACACGCACCTAATTACACTAATGTAACAGTTTATCAAAAGAGATCATGTCGAAGCGGATGTCCAGGCGCCCAGTTTGCCACCATGCAGGTATTTCTGAATACACTATCGAACGCCCATAATGTTACGCAGGTCATGCATCCGAGCGTGTGATCAATCGTGTGCGGTCTCGTTGTATAAACGAGTCGTCTAACCGATATTGCAGATCTCGAGCGTTTATAGGTAAAGAAATTATGGAGGGTCGTTTGGAGAATACCACCTCGATAACGGATGATAGGTGTCTAAGACGGTGTTATTAATCACAGGGGACCACACGCACGCGGCGATTCGGAAAGAGTCGACTCATGACAATTTATTTCCAAGCAGAAGATATCAGATCATCGTACTCAGCCCTCCCAACTTTAATATGTTCCCCGAGCCCGCGATGATGCGGCTCTACGAATGCAGATGCTGAGCAACCGTGTCATTGGCGGAAATACTGTGATTGTCGGCAAGTTCCTTCTTCTCCGTCTTGGCACGCTGCAATGGAGGAACCGGGGCCGTCGCAGATAAAGATTTAGAGTGGGAATCAGCGAGAAACAGTGGCGCCAACATGGATTAACAGAACGCCTGCAGGGGAAAAGGGCCAAAAACAAAATGAAATGCAGGAACACCAAATATTTCATTCGGGATAGCTCTGGCCATGTAGTCCTTGGCATCGCTCTTGGCACCCCTGATGTTTGCATCCAATTCAACCCAAGCTTTGGGTTCTTATAAAGCCGCCTCACTTGGCGATCTCTTGTTTTCTTCTTTCTCGCGGCTCAGAAGTCAATCGCCAAGTTTCGCCAGGACGCCGATATTCCAACTAGAGCCACTCCTTACGACTCGACACTTCCCAAGCTAATCATAATGCGATCCTCTACTGTTGCCATGGCTGCCCTGCCGGTTGCTGCCCGCGCTGTTTGCAACCCGAGGTATACAAACGATACCACGTCTGCAGCTTGCATTGTTACCGAGTACTCGGCTATCGCTGCGGCCGTCGCCAACTGCACAGACATCGTTCTCCAGGACATCTTTGCCCCTGCAAACTCGAGCATCAATCTCACCAAGTTGCAGGCTGGCAGCAGAGTCACCTTTGCTGGTAACACCGTGAGTCGCAACACCGCGAATTATGCCTCCGGCGCAATGTTTAACTAACATCTCAAAAGACTTTCGGTGACACACCTGACCATGACTTCATCCCAATTCAGGTCTCGGGAACAAACCTGACCATCACTGGAGCCGAGGGCCACGTGATTGAGGGTAACGGAGCTGCGTACTGGGATGGTCTGGGTTCCAACGGCGGCGGTTCCAAGCCCAACTGGATGTTAAAGCTCTCCAAGGTGTACAGCTCCACCGTCAGCGACCTGCACATCGTCAACTGGCCTGTACACAACATCCAGATCACGGGCAGCAGTGGTGTGACCATCGACGGCCTGAACCTGGACAACAGCGCCGGTTTCGCGCCCAACGACATCTCCGACGGCTTGGCCGCTGCCCACAACAGTGACGGCTTTGGCGTCGCGAGCAGTGACAGCATCTCCATCATCAACACCAGGGTTATCAACCAGGACGACTGCGTTGCCGTCACTAGCGGTACCAACGTGCTGGTAGACAACGTCTACTGTGAGGGAGGACACGGCCTCTCGATCGGCTCCATCGGCGGCAAGAGCAACAACACCGTCAACGGAGTGGTGTTCAGCAACAGCCGGCTCGTCGACTCGAGCAACGGTGCCCGCATCAAGTCCAACTCCAACACTACCGGTGAGGTCTACAACATCACTTACAAGAACATCACCATGTCTGGCATCACCGACTACGGTCTCGATGTGCAGCAGGATTACCTCAACGGCGGCCCGACCGGTGAGCCCACCAACGGTGTCAAGATTGCCAACATTACCTTCATTGACGTTACGGGTACCGTCACTGGAGATGATGCTTACAACTACTACATTCTTTGTGGTGATGGCAGCTGCACCAACTTCTCCTACACGAACGTTCAGATCACGGGAGGCAACGAGAGTTGCAACTACCCTGCCTCTGGTTGCCCCAGCTAAAGGATCCAAGTTGCAGAGAAACTGTATAAAATTTTTATAGACTGTATATAAATTGTTCACCACCAAAATAGTATTACTTTCATCCCGCAGTGACGATACGCGCTTGACAAGTCGTCGCTCTACTGCAATCAGCATATCACATAATCCAATTCTTGAACCAGATTGGTTCAAGAAGCTGTAGAGCTACCTACCACATTCCCAAGGTCCAGTGCATCCGGTGACTGGGTAAATAATCAGGAACGCCGGCTTTCCTATTGTTCTTAATCTGGTCATGTGATACTAGCTCAAGGGCTTCGCTGCAGACAAGAATGCGCTCGTCGCACTGCTTGCGATCCCTGTATGTTAGCTCTAGTTGACCCTTTCCCCTCTTTCTTTTTGCCCCGTATCATAAACTAGTAATTCAGGCAAGGTCAAACTGCTGGAGTAACACAGACATGTGGAGTTTTTTATTTTACTGACGTTGTATGAGCTTTATAAATCATCTTAACTGTATGAAAGAGGTCGCTGGATTCGTTGTGACATCTGTATTCATACAGAATTAGGGACTCCAACAGTAGCGACAACAAAATTCTCGCTGGAACCATAAGAGTAACGAGTGTAGATCTAGATTAGCCAATACAAAGAAACCAGATCATGTATCTATTCGTCTAATCCAATTATTCTTTTTGGAAGATAATCAAGATACCTATCAATAACGACCATCGAAACACACATCGGTATAACTATCGCAGTTAATCAATAGTGCTCTCCCATTTCATTTCACGAGTAGGACTGATGAGGCCCTATTATCCTGGCGGTGTCTTTTGCTGGTGCTAATCGTCTCTGTAGCAGCGTAGTATCGCTCGCATATTTGACTCACGACAGTTGCGAGTGACGGGACAGGCCGTATACGAATTTTCCGACGCGAACTCGCCGTGGCCGATTCTTCTGTCATCGGAATCATAGAGCCCAATGTTGCGATCCTTTTGAAAGGCTACAACACCATGTACGTCGCGCCAGGATCATGAAAGAAGAAACTTGAAAAAGACGAAGAAGAAGAAAAAAGAAGGCGAAGGAGCAATCGAGAGAGACTTGATGAACTTACTGCTGTGAGGTAACCAGCTTGCATAAGCACTATATTCAAAGTTCCACTCAGCGATTTCCGGTCCATCCGGTCTGTATGAATGACCGACAAGTCGAAGCCCTGTATCCACCGCTCACGTTACGGCCGTTTTGAATCTCAAATCCCGTTGCGGTGCCCGTAGACCGACACGGGGGTAAGTTTGTGGGCTTCTCCCTAGAAGCGAAGAAGTACTCCCAAATAATGAGACCTAAGGGGTTACATTTCCAGATGGTGAAATGGCGGGGAAGACTGAAGAGGGCTTCTTTATAGAAGATTTGTGTAAAGTGATGTAGAGCTTATATATTTGGGCTTGTGTGGTAAGGCTGTTTGCGGTGAAGAATTTCCAGAGACGAAATAAAAATCGTGTTTTGGGAGGAGTGATGTTTCTTCTTGTAGTTAGTCCCAATGCTGAGAAGATTAGTGTTCCGCATTTGCAGTGAGTAGAATATAGAGCATATCAGCAGAGACTTGTACATATATTAGAGCATATTTTCTCTCTCTGGTTGAAACGACTGAAGAATCGTGCAAACTTTGATAACGCCGCATTTTCATGCCAAAATCTATCGGACTTGTGGCATAAAGTAGCGGGTGTCTCCGTTTTGGTGCTCATTCACGCACATACTGATGGCGTAGCCGGCTAAGACGACCAGTGTCAGGAGGGTGGTAAATGTTCTCTGGTTCCGAGGTGAGTCAACTCTCTGGTATTTCCAAGCGATGTGAACTCATGATGCGACGGCACTCAAGGTTTTGCCCGGTTTTATATCCTTAGCCAAAATCGATTGTTTTCTTCCCCGTCCTCAACCCTCGTTTTTCCTCTTGTTTGTCGCCACAGGTACCACGAACATATATCCCACATTTGGAATAAAATATCGCACAGCTGCGGCATACTATCGAGAGGACCAGCGTTTTCATCTACCGCCTCCAACAACATCAACAAATTAGTATGGACATGACGATGAAGTCGAGCATGATGCTAATGCTTGCGAGTCTTTGCATTGCCGGACAGGCCGGAGCTATGGGACCACTTGTCGTGGGGTTCGAAGTTGACTCGTTTGAGGGTATTGGGTCATGAGTTTTCCGATGCGGTCGCCGGAAACACCGACGAAGAAACGGCTTCGAAAGTAGGGAGTTGAAGTAAAATGTGTAAAGCTTCTGAAAGCGGCAAGTAGGTCGCAATCAAACTTCCAAATGGCGGGCACGTGAAGTAGAGATAGGCAGAAAACAAATCCAAACCTCATGGCAAGGGGGGTGTGGGTGGCAAGTAATTTAGATCTAGCAGAAGTAGTGATGCGAATCCATGCATTATTCATTAGTTTGAACGCTTCTATTGGCCCTCAAATGTTGGGCCTTTCTCCTCGACCTTCACAACCAGGTCATGTTGAACACGGAGGTATTGACTACTCGACAACGCTCTGGCCACAGTGGTCTCGTTCTTCTCAACGACCATTCTCCTAAGCGCCCTGACCAGGAAGCCTGCAACCAAGTCAACACTCCATGAGTCTGGTATCAGGCTTAAGACTTCATCAACGTCGAACCAGCCACCAAAACGTTCGAGTAGCATGCCTGTTTGCTCTACACGGTCGCTGACATCTTCAATCTCGAAGAACTCGCCGAGTAGAGCACGGAAGAGTCGTGCCTGTTCATTCTCAGTGGGTGGTGCGCTCTCCCGTCTCTTTGGCGCTTTGGTAGTTGCCGGGGCTGTTGGATGCGGGGATACCGGAGTGGCTTGGTAGATACTGTAGATACTAGCACCACCACGCAAGCAATAAGCTACAGCGGTATCGTAATCACCGAGGCGATGGACTAGCAACCGTAAAGCGTCTTCGTGTTTGCGCTCCCGTCCATCCAGTATGATGGTCTCCGGCACTAACAGATCCGGAGCAGTTGCCCCAAGACTAGTAATGCGATCTCTAATCGCAGCTGAGTTATAATCGTACTGTCCGCCTAGTAGCTGCAGCAGACGAAGTCTGCTTTGCCAAACTTCGTCATCTGGCGGTGCATTTTCTGACAAGAATTGACGGTAGGTGGGTTTCATCGGCCGCAACGCGCGATAGGCAGCGTACGTCGCGGCGAACATATCGCGACCCTCTGAGGAGGTCTCAAGATAGGATATCACAATATCCAAGTAGTATGTGATGAGCTCGTTCACGTGTATGGTGTGGCCTTGACCGAAGACCAAATACTCTAGGTAGTACTTGACAGCGTCAGGAGCTTCTTGGCGCAAAAGCTCAACCACTTGTGTCGGCTCAAACCTTGGCGCACGCCCCTTTTCTTCGGCGAAGACTTGCACGCCAAGTTTAGGGTTCCGATTTGCGAGCCATACACCATACTCACGTACTAAGGCCTGGTTGCTGATTTTTGCAAGATAGTCACGAATGCGTTGTTCGCCGTCACGGAATTCTCCACCGTCATCTCGCTCTCCCTCAACAATTCGGCGCCATGTGGTAAGCACCTCTTCAGCCATTCTGCGGCTTTGGTACAAACGGCTGAGCACGAACAATCGATGATAGGATTCAATCAAAGTCTCAGCTCTTTCAAAGCAGTCAACGCCATTGTCCACGAACTCGTTCAGCTCGGAACGGATCGTCTTCCCTCTTGGTGAGCCTGGGGGTGAGTATTTATCAAGCTCCAAAAGGACCGCTAGAAGCGCAGCGTCCACCGTCCGGAAGACCTCATTCTCGTCTGGGATGCTGCCAAATCCTTTCTTCCGCCTCCATGCGGTAAGAAAACGCTTCAAGAACTGAAGTGTCGGTGGTGGCAGAACATTCACACCCGACCTGCCTTTATCGAAGGCATCCGTGGAAATGTAGTCCTCGGCTGTTTTCTTCACGCCACCAAATATCCAAATACCCCTTCGGGTTTCTATTACTTCGTTGCGGACGCCTGGCATGAGTGACAAGACAACTCGAGGGTCTAGTAAGCTATCGATCAAGACTTCTTCGAGAGCTCGTAGTTCTGGTTCACTGAATGGTTCTTTGTCTGGATGTAAGAAGCTCGTCAGTAAGAGCACACCGGCTCTCTGTCTGATGTAATTAAATGTCAAGAACTCAAGTTCCGACTTGGCATCGCGGCCACGGAACGAGTTAAGAACACTAAAAAGCTCTCGTCGCTGGGCGACTGTAACAATCTTCGAGGTCGAAGCTTTTTCGAGCTGTGCATCTAGCTGGAGGATGAGAGGGTTGCGTAAAGCCCACCATATCTGATTGCCAGACCATACAGCAACACGCCCCGTAGTCCCCGCTAGTCTCCGGGCGAATTCCTTTTCTTCGACTTTGCGACTGCTTTCCCAGCCCTCAGGCAGGGAGTCGTCGTCTGGAGAGTCATTATCCCTTTCGAACAACTCCTTTTCTTTTGATACCTGCTCCATGGACGACGCAGTTCTGGAGTCTAGGCTCCGGAGAGACAAAGTCGACATTTCTGGGCCACCAGAAAATGGCTTGAACCGCTGCTGACAGAGTCTGTTCACGATGTCTTGAAAGTGAGTTTCATCTGAGCCTATCAAAGATCGGACGCCTATGGGCTGCGAAGGCTCGACAGTATGCGAGCCAGCCCTGGGCGGTTCAAGCCAATACTTGCTAGTCTCGGGTTGAGACCCGTCAGTATCCCATCTCTGGATCTCCAGGCCGTTATGGATACCATCCCCGAACTCTCTGCCCATTGAGGCCAAGACATATCCTTCCTCCTCCTCGTCCAGAGTGGGCCGGGAAGACGATAAGTCCGAGACACCACCGTCGACGACAATCTCCTTAGGATATCGATCGAACTCGATGGTGGGCCTCGTGGGATCTCCGTCAAGGTTCACAAACATACCTATGCCCGGTTCCAGAGGGCCGGTTCCCGTGACCAAAAGAAACTCCTCTGGCGTCGGCGACACAATGTGGGGCTTCAAAAAGACGTGGCGCGACTTTGGGGTTGCGGTCGGTTGAGGCAACCCTTCTGCTTGGGGCTGTGGTGTGCCATCCCTGCTTTGGGGCTGCTCTGGTGGTTTTGGACTGGCGGTCGGCTCTGGTGGTTCCTGGAAGACGGAATCCTCCTGATCCTTGGGAGGCTGCTCCTGCTTTCTGTTCCCAGAGAGCAGGTTTCCCAAGCTCGCTCCTCGTCGATGGGATTGAACCCCGTGGCGCTCGTTGTCGGGACGGGCTCGGCCGGCTGAAGATGAGCTACGGGCTATGCCTCCACCTTCACTCCCCGAGACATCCTGGGTTTGTCCTACGGCTAGCTGATCATCATCGAGTGATGATATTGACATCAAGGGGATCCTCAGTTGTCGTTCAATTTCCAGGAGGGAGTAATTCCGAGAGTCGGCGACGCAAGCAATCGTATCTCGTCTCACTGTGAGGGACGTTGCAGGAACATCGATCTTCTTCAAGCCGCGAGCATCTTCGCCTATCTTGACGACTTGTATCCTGCGGTTCAGAGAAAGCAATATGGTGACACCTGTGCCTTCAGCATGTTGGTAGTCGTCGCGTAGCTCGTTAAGATCGAGGCCACCGATCCAGTTGCAGTTCTTTACCTGGGTGTTGTTGAAGACGGGGCTGAGCTCTGGCAGCGAATAGAAGGTGACGGTCCAGTTGCACAGTATGCATGCCTTTCCCACTCGGGGCAACAGCAAGATCTGTTGCACACCAGGCTTGGAGCTGCTCGAGGACCCTGGGGTCTCTGCGTACGCGGGCTGGAGTCGCGAGGCCTGGACGAAGACGGGGACGGCAGATGGGTCGGAGGGATCAGGAGGGATCTTGACGAAGTGAATGAGCTCCGAGGCAGAAGTTCCGACATATAAGTTGCCATCTGTTCAAGAATGGGGCAGGCAAGTTAGGATTCATGTTTGAGTACGTGGGCGACGGTGTGAATGCTGCGAACCTAGGTAATCGACGCAATTGATCTTGACATCGTCATCCGTCGCGCCGTCGGCTGAAAGCGGGACGTCGTTTAACAGACTGCGGAGGACGAAAGGCCCAGATTCAAGATTTGGCTGGATTGGATCTCCCTGAGTGCGCTCGTCATCTTGCGCATCGGAAGCCATTATATTGTCGCAACACCATTATGAAAGAGAGTTGCAGTTGATAGTTATCACGGCGGCGACAAAGAGGTGAACAACTAAATCTAGCCTGTGACCTGGGGGGGGGGGCTGTAAAGTACGTGAGTTAGTGGCCTGGCGTTTGCCGTGTAAGGGCGAGGCTGGACGTTAAATGTTACCTCATCCCACTAAAGATGCTGCGGGAGGGCTGCCAATGTCACTAATTATAGCGTTATCTTATCACCGACAGGCACCACAGAGGCTCATACAGCACATAGCTCACCGTACAGAAGTGGATTGCATAGAGCTTATTGGGAGCTCTGGTTACGCAAGCACCAGCAACCCTAGAGTGTAGGTCCAGTCATTACGTATCCCATCAGAGCTTTCAATCTTCTTGGCCTCAAGCTGCTGCATACACCGGAAGCTCCTTCTTCCAAGAACGACGACGACCAAATCCGAACACTTTACCTCGGAAAACCTATTGCAATATCTCAGTCGACGAAGGCTCGTCGCCTCCACATACAGACGCACCTTCTCATTGTATACCATCTTTTGGTTTCGCTGAGCTGAAGCAGCTCACAGGTTGCTGAGATGAGTGGCGGATGGAACACCAGTTAGTAATGCGCACTGCATGATACTTTTATTGCCCTGCTGACCCCATCTCCTAGTTGAGTCGGATGCTGTATGCCCAGCTTGTTCGAATGCGCTCGAGGTACATACTAACAACTGCATTTAGGGCGTCTTCACCTATCTGCTCGACAACCTCGGGGTCAAGGATGTCCAGTTCGAAGAGCTATTAACCCTCGAGCCCGATGCCCTGGCATCTCTGTACCCAGTCTATGGTGTCATTTTCCTCTTCAAATATCCCACCGACAAGCCCTACACGTCAACCGACAAGCCCCTCGACGGCGACTTTGATCGCGATGCTGCCGAGAGCAACTTCTTCGCCGCCCAGACCATACAGAATGCCTGCGGCACCCAGGCTCTCCTATCCTGCCTTCTAAACAAGGAAGGCGAAGTGGACATCGGCTCCTCCTTGCGCGACTTCAAGGAGTTCACCATGATGCTCCCACCTGAGTTCCGCGGTGAAGCCCTCAGTAACTCGGAGCTCATCCGCGACGTTCACAACAGCTTTGCCAAGAGCAGCCCTTTTGTCGACGAGACACAGCGCACCGGCGGCGAGACGGAGGATGCCTTCCACTTCATCGCCTACACACCTATCAACGGCACACTATACGAGCTGGACGGTCTACAACCAGCACCCATCACCCACGGCGCATGTACATCCGAGGAGTTCCCAACCAAGGTTATGGATGTGCTACAGAAGAGAATAAACCGCTACGACACCACCGAGATCAGGTTCAACCTCATGGCTATGGTGCGGGACCTGCGGATAAAAGCACGCGAGATTGGGGACGTGGACATGTTGGAGCGGGAAGAGCGCAAGCGCAGGGATTGGCAATTCGAGAATGCCCTAAGGAGACACAACTTCGTCGGCTTCGCTGGTGCCCTCATGAAAGGCGTCGTCGAGAAGAAACTCAAGCAGGGCGACGGCGCATATGAGAAGTGGATCGAGGATGCCAAGGAGTCAACCAAGAGGCGTCTTGAGAGCAAGAGAAAGGGCGGTGCTGAAGATGTTGAGATGGAGGGCTGATACTCGAAACCGCAAAACCCACATCCCGCCAAAGCCAGCGCTTGTCAAGGTCCATCGACAAGACAGCAATGAAAGATACCCTTAACTAGCTTGCGATTGAGCCACTATTCTGGCATTTAGCCCAATCTTATCGGAGCCATGATGCCGTATGCTTTGCGCAGACGCTGAGTGCAGTATTTAGCCCACACGAGCTATACTAACTTCCAATCTATTGGGCAACAGGCGCGGTGCAGGCTCGATGGTCGCGCTTGTTTCGATACTGCAACCCAGCATGTTCTGCTATCTGACAATTCCCATATGCACTCCAGAAGTGTTTGATCCATACAGCTGGAATCACCATTAGACATGCTGCTGCCATGTGGTTACGATTGTGTATACGGCTCGGCGAACAGCAGCCGAAGGATTTCTGTGCATGTCCAGTTGACAGGCATCCTGAAACATGAGGGCCAACCACCAAATCAAACAAGATCGTACCACCTTTTGGCGTGCCCTTCCATCGCTCAGACTAGTCTAGGTTTGAAAATAACCTTTGAGAAGATCACATCTTTTTTACTTAGCCACCTGGGCCATCGAGAGCTCCTGCAGCAGCTCAAACGGTGTAAGTGTATTGGCTAGTTGTTTCCAATGTTTCAGCTTCCTCCTGGCGGGCAGGGGATGCATGGACGCCACAACGCGAGAGGCTAACAGGAAGGGACCCGACGTTCTGGAGCGAAGGATTTCTGACGAAACGACTGCCTTGACCTAGTTATCGGATGCCCAGTGCGGGATCCCCATGGGATCTTCGACGGGTTGTTGTTTATTGTCAGGGATCGAGGTCTCTTTGAACTGACAGTCGCACTTTTAGGCTGCGATGGTACCATAGTTACATAGTAATAGTGATTATATTTGACCCCACTTCAACATGCCAGACCTGAAAAGAAATTTGGTTTCCCCTTGGAAAGATTTGTTTCTTCTTCTTCTCGGGACGAACGAGAAATCAGGAATTTGATAGTCTCTCAAGTCGATATCGTGCTATTACCTATGAGTATAGCAGTCTGAACCAACGTCGCGACACTGCTGAAGTCGGGGCTCGCTTTCCCCATATCTCCAGCCCGGAGCCCGAATGCGACCCGGCCCGCCGCGTCTATACCATGAATGTTTCCGCCGGTACTTGAGTCCTGTGATGAGTTCAGACGGGGTTTCAGGTCCTCTCCATTTGCATGCACGGCCCAATCCTTCCTGAAACATGGCCGTGCTCTCTTGGCCTTGGGGATAAAGTGTCCCCCGTTGTCAGCTTGCCTAGGAAGGTCGGCGTATACTAGGATCCACAATAGGCTAAGTCTAAAATTCCACCTCGGCTGGGGAGGTGCATAGTGTTTCAGTCCGCCAGTCACGACGATCTGTGCACTACCATCCCGCTGGGACGAACACGGTATGCGAAATGAACCAAATCGGAAAGGGCTCGCGTTTCAGAGCCTGTGATCGGATCTCGTCAGCCCAAGACAGGCCGCTGTGGGAATTGGGTTTTGCAGAGCTGACTGCGTCTGGGCAGGGCCGGTCGTACACAGAACAAGGCTTCATGAATCTGATCACCTCATCTGCACCCCTGGGATCATATCCAGCCAGGCGGTATAGTCCGAGTTTCTGTGCGTGGTTGAGAGGTCGGCCATGTCCCTGAACATGTGTCTGGATCGTCGACAATGCATGTGAAATAAGAAAAGATCTGTGCCCAGGACCAGAGAACATACTGCTCGTCAGCTTCGGCGCAAGGCAGCAGAACCTCTCGCACCCCTCTCATGGGACAAGGGATAGTCAAAGCCCGATAGTCGGCTTGCCGAAGTGTGACGGGTTTGCCGATATGCAGGAACCAATGTGATGTCTCAGAGCGCATGCTTCTCTGACAGAAGACAGCCAGCAATGGGATGAAGACTCCCGGTTGCGCCTAGTCTAGTATATCCGGGAATAAAGTTGACAGGGGGCCTGAAGAAGTGGTCGTCGGGGTGCCCAGGAACCAACGGCGCAGTCCCAATGTCTCAAAAATGGGTGGTTGATTTCCGGGGGAGGGGGGAAACCTCGTCATCGTTGTTCATAGGTTACATGTTAGTAACTACTCCAAAGACATAGCGTAGACTTCCAAAAAGCTATATTGGTGTGTGCTATAGATGTCGAGAGGCAGGTGTGTAATAAAAGGCTGCTTCGGGACTATGGCGTGCATGGGGGCGATCTTCGCCAGGTAAGAAGGGGCTGCCGCTGCTACCCACACCCAGAAGGGCCCTGTTTCGAGATCAGCTTCAGATTTCTCTCAATCGGAACCAACAGCTGGCTGACTTGCAGACGAACTACTCTGGCCATGCTGCATGCAGCTTTCTGGGTCTTGGCCGACTCTGACAATGGCGAAGTTGAAGCGACAATGCAAGCAGACAATCATAAACGAAGCAAATACGAGGTTGTTGGAATGATTTCTTAGTATTATCGAGTCGATCTTTTGAAAACAAGATCTTGTCTTGTCACACTGGACCTTCGCATCGTCAACCCAAGCAGAAGCAGAATATAGTTCCAGCCTTTAGAGCACTAAAAGTAATATGTTTCGTTTCCTCCACAATACTGACGGCTTCCCATACTTGCTTCGGGAAAGCCTCAAAACACCTGAACGCCAGGCGCGTAAAAGGAAATAGTTTATAGAAATTCCATGGCGCACCACCCATGCACAATACCCTTTTGCCGTATCTTACACTTCGATAGAAGCTTGTCCCCAATATTTTGCCCTCTGGTCGCGATTGCCGGCGACTTTATGTAGGCTTGGGACCCGCGAAGAAGAAGTATCTGTACCATTCATTAGTGTCACGGTCCTTGTGAGAAACTGGATACGAGCAGGTGATGACTTACTGTGCCGAGTATTGCACCTCAAACGTAGCAGTCTTGCCTGCACAGGTCGCTGGTGCACTGCCTCCTGCCGTCTCAACACGGTAGACCTCCTGTAGGTCACCAGTGGCGCCATTGCGAGTCGACAGCTTCAGCCATGGAACTGCTGCAGCGCCATCAGGTCCCTTGGCGGCATCGGAGGGTGCATTGGTCGCGTTGAGCTTCTGCGTGGGAGCCTCACCGAGCTGCAGGTTGGGTCGGTCCAGATTGAAGAAGGGCGTTGTGGCGTTGGTAAAGTAGTGCTGTCCCGAGATGAGGAGATTGCTAGGCCCAAGTCTCGATTCCTCTGCGGTGAGGGTGAACTGCAGCGCCATCTTCGTGATCATGTTGGCCAGATCAGGATAGCTGGATACGATGCAGCTGGCGTTGAACAGGGTTGCCAAGGCTCCGGCTGCTACGGGGACCGCTGTCGAGTTGGTGGTGTCGCATGTGTAGTTTTGTGTGCCGCGGCCAACGGCGACGTGCTTCAATGTCAAGCCCGCACTCACGGATGGTAGAGGTACGGGAGCTATAAGATGTTAATACTTCGTTCTCGCCACAAGGTGAGAGGACGTTGCTGACCTTCCGGTAACTTCACCGTCGAGAGGTCGCAGACTGGTGCTACTGCCATCTGTCGACCTTCCTGGACTTTCGTCGCAAGCATATTGAAGTAGGCCGAGACGGTGTCAAGCGAGCCTGGCTGGGCAGCGTTGGTGTTCAGGGACGGCCACGTGGGAGCAGCGATGGTCGTGATTGCACCCAGTGCCGCGGCCAGCAGTGTCGAAGGACGCATTTTGATGTGTCTGGGATGTGTCGTGGAGGTGTAGAAGGTGTATCTTATTTCGATCCCCGCAGATAAAGCCTTCGAGAAGTCTCGAGGTTGAAGCGAGTCTGGTTATTCGGATTGAAGAACGGGTCGAATAACTGCTAGTCGTTTTTGTTTCCTCTTGCTGTGATAATCGAGGGCAAGAATCTCCAAGCAACCTGCTGCACTAAAAGACTCGATGATTAAAGAAAACCGAAATCACAAGACGAAATCAAGAGTAAGGAAATCGAAAAGGAAATGATTCACCACCTGGGTATATGAGGTAAATCGTATCAGAAGGGTAATACTGAAATTCAGCATTGATCGCAGGAGGGGTGGGACGAGATATCTTTATTATACAATGGATGCAAGAATGCCAGCGGCACGGCGTTGAACCACCCACACCTGCAGGGACCCAAATCGGTCTTGCAATAGAGTCTGTCAGGTATACATGTACCTACCAGCCTTTTCTGGTATGTGTGGTACACCAGCTGATCGAGAAGCCAATCTTCTGCAGCCGCCCTGGGCAACGTCGCCATGGGAGGACAAGCCGGCGAGAGTACCTAGACGCAGCGGGAGTGGATTATTGGATGCTGGATTTAGACCCCCCTGTCATGGAGAAACGGGTAGCCGACATGGATGATTGTCTGGAAGAGCCAAGCGATCTGCAGCTAGGGGTCCGCGACATGGGCTAATAGGCTGATGATAGCCCATGAGTGGTCGACACCACCACCCATCCCCGTCATGCAAGCGCCAGGGCCGCCTCTCCCTAGACCGCCCAATTTATTACCAGTCAGCCACTTCTTGGAGCATACACAATCTTTCCTCGTCTAGTCTGCCAGGAGGGCGTGCAGCGGCAAAACGCTTGGTGTTTTAAAAGCTTGGGTCTGGTTGCCCGTACGCTGAATGCCAGCTACCAGATCACGACAGCTGAAGGCTTCCGCCGGCCCGGCAAAGCAGGCGGATTATAACGCTTGCCAGTCTGTCAAAGCGAAGGAGTTTGTTTACTAGACTAGTCTAACCCACCTAAACGCCCGTCGCTCGCTTAAGCAAATGCGCAACGCAAAGCATCAGGTCGTGTTGATGATTGGGAGGGACTGAACTGCAGTAGTCACAAAAAGCCATGCAGTGGTCAGAGTTCATGGAAGGTATTGCGCGCCAGCAATCGGCTGTCAGCAGCATCGGGTAGACTTTGCTCGAATTCTGCATGCATATAGTGCGTGGTCGTGTCGAAAAAGTCTTTAGCCACCTTCTCTTGATAACGTGCATGTCGACATTTGTCCGCCGCTCCAATGCTACAGCGGGAAGAGCCAGCATCTCCGCTGCAAGGACCACGAAAAAAACCGGATCTTGCAATAGTTTGGGGAGCACAAAAAGCATTTCTTCACCAGATGTTGACCAACCAGGACGCGCAGATGCCAGGTCCGAAGATCTAGAAGGTGGGTTAATATGGAAGACATGCTTTCCGCGTGCCAGCCCATCGTGAAATTTGCCCGGATTATTGACCATTCTCCTGCAAGAAGATGGAGCAGTGGGTCTCAACGGGCGTTGGGCCGGGCGCTTACGAGCTGAGAATAGCAACAAGCGCGCAACCCTGTCAACTCTATATTAACCTGGACTTGATGGCACCAAGCCTGGTTCAGTCAATTTGCCCGTTCATTGGCTGGCCAATCAAGAGAGCGGCCCCGGATATCTTGGCTCTGCATCTTGATTTCTTCAGCAGACCTTGCTTGTGCTACGAAGCGGGAGCCTGGTATATCGATTTTGGCTTTCCTATGTAGGCAGGTCTCGCAAGCGTCTCGCTCGTTCTACCTTATTTTCCCCCGAGGACCCCCCGCTTGATTGATGTCGTGCGCGTGAGAGCCTCATGGCCCTTTCCGCGCCGTCGAGGGCTGCTGATAGGCCACCGCTCAGGCGAGACAGTCTTCCCCCGGCTAGCAGTCCCTACTAAGCGTCTATCGAGGACATTGAGAGCGTTAGAGTGCTTCTTCGGCGGAGAACCATTTGTGGGAACTGCTTATGCTTTTCGTAAATTCCTGGAGAAACCAAGATAAATACGCCGCGTGGCAATCTGAGATGCAGAGAGGGCTGCTCGCGGTTCGCTACGAGTCGTTGAGAGCCAATGGATTCCGCCTCTGCACCAGAAATGTCGTTTACGAATTTACAGAGCAGCATACAATTATCAACGGCAACGTTAAGATTCCAATCCATTAATAGTACATCGAGTGTCCACCCACAAGTGCGCTCCTGGGAGATTTGATATAGCCGCATAGCAAGAGTCATGATAGACTGAACTCTAGTCAAAATGATGTACGTATCATGTTCTAAGCCTCAGCCCGTGTGCATAGTTGCCATTAGACCAAACACTCGGAATCATCCTCGTTATTCTGCGTCAATATAGACCGTCATCTACCAAGAAATCGTGTCCTAGAAGTCAGTCGACTCTTCACCCCATTTCCCATGGCCTGAACCGGTGTCAACACCTTGGCCACCAGCCGTTCCTGCCAGTGCTGCAGCACCTGCAATGCCTTGACTCAGATTGCTTGCGTGTTGCTCGGCTTCTGTAGTGCCCATCCAATACAGCGACAAAAAGACGAGCAAATGCAGCGCCACGCAGTACGCCGCAAACAGATTCCGGCTCGTCCTGGTGGCGAGCACCATCCGCGTGACCGAGTAAACCACACGCTCGGGGAAGCTCATACGCTTGTATGCCCTTGCCGATTCCCGGCCCCTGAAGGCCGCAAACGGTGATATGTTGGACTCGTAGGCCTTCTTGTATCTATCTAGCGACATACCAGGGTTACCTGTGCCACCTATCGCTACTGTCGAGGGGTTAGGATTCGAAGAATACGCAGAGGACGAGGAGGCCGACGGGGTTCCGCGATTATATGTCGAAACGTATCGAGTCTTTTCGTACAGCTGCAGATTATCTTTCTGTAATGCCGCTGTCTCCGATCGCAACTGTGATATCGTGCGATGCGATTCGGATAACTCGTTCTCGAGTTGTGTAATTCTCTGCTTGAACCGATCTCGCTGGGCAGTGATCATTGGTAGCATGCCCGATCCGCCTCCGTATGCTTCCCCGCCACCGTCGCGAGGGTTGAACCCGGATATGATGGAAGAGGTTGGCGAGGTCCGGCCTCCTCGCCTGCCCGGCGCCAAGGAAGGCGCATAACGGGCATATGTGCCAGCTATGGAAGCTCCTGACGGGAATGCATTCTGACCTTCTGCTTGGAGGTTGGCCAAATCGTTCTCAAGCTGTGTATTGAGGTTTTGTGATCTCTCCAGATCGGCATTCGTCCTCGACATGTCCTCTTGGAGGGTTTCCAGACGGGCCTGAAGATCGTGGTGAGATACGCGCAGAATGGTCAGCTCGTCGCTAAGCTTCTTGTTTCGAGCCAATAGCAGCTGCTCGAGAGTATCTCCTTTGCCCTTGACAGCTGTCCCGTTGGAATCCGCGTCAGCGACCAAGGCGTCGTCATCGTCCCCTGTGGCAAACTCGATGCTCTTCAGGACCTCCAACTCTTGCTTCACATCATCATAGTCGTGCCATTTTTGTACTTTTGCTTTCAGGTTATCTCGGTCTTCTTTGAGCAGACCCACTTCTCTCTCCAGGCCTCTGAGTCTGGAGTTCATGTCTCGCTTGAAAGCTTCCTTCTCCAACCTCGCCGAGTCCAATTTTCGGATGAGAGATGAGTTTTCGGAGCGCATTCGCATGTAGCTTGGGTCATCCTCGAGTGCTGGTGCCTGAGTAGTTACCTGTGACTTGGCTTGCGCCAGCTCCAATCGCATTTGCTCATTCCGGGCTTCGACCTCGGCAAGTCTCGCGCTCGTTCGCTCGAGATCAGCGTGGACCATTTCGAGCTCGGCGTTGGTGACGTGGCCTCGTTGTCCTTCAGATTCAGCATCTCCCGAACCCTTGAGGCGTTGGTTGACTTCGTAGCTGGCCTTGATCTCCGTCATTAGTCTCTCCTGGTTCTCAACCTTCTCCTCCAACGCTTTCTCCTTGGCTTCCCAGTTGTCCTTCTTCTCTTCCAGGACTGCGCTCCACGATGCCTCGACCTCCTTGACTTTGCCTTCCAAATTGGTTTCCAGCTCCTTCCGTGCCGCGCTTTCGGATTGCCATTTCGACTCTGTCTCTTCCAGCTGTGAGGTGAGTTTGGAGATGTTCTTCTGGAGATGTTGGTTCTCCTCGGTAAGTTTGGGTAAGGTGTCCTCCGAAACCAGCATGGAGTCTACCGAAGCCTCTAGTAACGGATATGGATCTGGCGCGTCGGATAAAGCTGAATAGACTTGGAGGAAAGACGAATTGGTGGCCTTCGAATGGTTGGTCAAAAGATCGATAAAGGTTTGGTAGGCTGAACAAGAGTTGAGTCAGCTGAAGTTCAGCATGCTGGAGGAATGTAGTGTATGCCAGATTAGTAGCCGCCTACCCTTGAGAAGAGCCTTGATCTCGGTCAACTTGTTGGCATCATCTAGTTTCCTGAAGTCCTTTGTTTTCTGAGCAAGGTCCTTGCGCTGGACTGTCGAGTCTCGCTGGTAGGCGACAATTTCAGATGCTGTGTTGTCTAGGGTCGAGACCAGAGTGGTCAAGTCGATGTCTAGATGTTTGTTAGTCCCCCAGGACCGACCCAAGCTTGGGTTTACTCGTGGTGCTTACTCCTCCATGCTGATATGGCATGTTGAAATTTGTTGGCACTCTCAGCGACAGCAGCGGACGTAGCAGACGGCTTCTCCGCGGATGCAGCTTGAGCTTCCGAGGCCTCGAGCCCGGCTGTATATTCGGACACGTCGGCCATGATGGCTTCTCAACGCAGATGTCGCCGCCTCTACGACGGATGCATGAGCAATAGACCGACTCGGATTCGCAGCCAAAGACGGATGTCGCGGTCGAAGCGTCTTCTTCAGGGTCGTAGCGCGTGGTTGGTGGTCGGGTCATAAACTTTCGTCAGCTTGTTGAGGTACGAATTGAACCTTGAACGTGTTCGTATGGATACTTGGTGCCCAGAAATGGAGCTGAAGCCAGCCGGGCTGGAGGCTGCTGCAGGGGAGGGTTTGCAGGGCCCACCATCACTAGCTACAGTAGCAACTTGCACTAGGTTAGGCGGTTTAGCACCAATGGTGGAGGTGTCTGACAGCCTGGTTGGTGCTTGTGCCTGTGTCGGGTGCCTTGCCTGTGGCCCTGCATGTGCCCAGGCACACCTCAAGTAAAGTCAAGTCCAGTAAGTTAGTAGTAATAAAAAACCACCCAACTTGCATGCTCATCAAGCACAACAGTTCCCACACGCAGAAGCTACACCTATACAAATGACTCTGCCGGAAACACTCCATGGTCCCTGACTCATGATAGCCGTATGGTCATGAAGTTTACCTGCTTATCTATTGTTCGAAGGGCCATTCACTCGAGCCATCATGTATCAAGTACTGCTGCCTCGATCGAATACTCACGTCATTAACCTAGATCAGCACCGTCGCGAATGATTTTCTCAGTGTGTGTATTGTTTCACGTCATACTATTTATTGCCTTGCCAACAACCCAGCAATATGCAGCCTCATCCGTCGCGCTCAAAGTTTCCAAGCAGAGAGTACCCTACATGTCAAAACACATCCCCATGATCTGCCTCAGTTGATTCTCTCAATCCACACGCTGTCTCCCAGTGCAGGTCTCTTCATCGAGTCTACAGCATTCACATCTTCCGGTCATACACACACCCACCCCTCTACCAATACATAATAGCGCTGCTGCTGCTGCTAAAGACTACACCGGCATGCATCAGCCCGGGAAACCCTTAGGCAAACGACAGGTCTCCTTTGGTTGCTGATACATGGAGTCGTGCTCTTCGCGTTGCTGTTGAGGATACGGGTACGGCTCAAGCATGATGCCATCTTTGTCCGCCTCCGTCCCATTATGCGAGCTGTTGCGGATAGTGCTGCCTGAATCAACCGTCTCGGGCAACTCGTCGCGGATAAAGCCGGACTTGTCACTACCCGAGATCTTGTCTACGATTCGGCGCATCCATTGCGGCATATCTCTTTTGCCCATGGCCCAGCTGTATACTATCTTGTCCTCGTAGTTGGTCGGCGTGATTTTGCCGTTGCTGAAGTGGACTACGGTCCATATCATAGTATTGAGGGTAACATAGATGAACATACCACTGGAAATTCCGGGTTAGTCGGAGAACAACGAGTTGATGCTGGGGAACCACTTACGCGATCATGCCGTATGCTACGCTGTAGCTCATCGGCATGTAGACTAGTGTGACAAAAGAAGGTACAGAGTCACCAATGTACTTCCAATTGATGTTGCAGACCTGACGAATCATCATGCAGCCTACCTAATCGTGATTGTCAGTTACCATTCTGGAATAGCTTGGAATGATCATGTCGGAAATATTACCAGGATGAGCGTGGATCCTGTGGCCCATGGCGGGATGGATGCGAATATTGGTGCCAGGAAGAGAGAGAGCAAGAAGCAGAGACCTGTCGTAATTGCAGTCAATCCAGTCCGGCCACCTTCTGCGATTCCGGCACCGCTTTCAATGAATGTCGTCACTGGAGAGCATCCAAAAAGTGAGCCGATAGATATACAAGCTGCATCGGTGCAATATGCCAGTGTCGACCGAGGGAAATTTCCCTCTTCGTCCACCACACCGGACATGTTTGCCATCGCATATAACGTTGCGGTACAGTCGATCAAATCAACATATAGAAACGTGATGAGTGCAAGCGCGAATTCAGAGCCAGTGGCACCGCTTAGACCCCAATCTTGGACAAACAGGGTGCTCTGAATCGGATGAAAAGAAACAACCTGCTTGAAGAAATCGTAACGCGCGTTTCCTTCTATAGTGTATGGGAAATAGGTGTAGCTCGTATCACGTCTGTGAAGAAAGTTAGCCAGATTTCGTGTTTTTTTTTCCGGCCCAACTCACGGCCATGACAGTACTGATACGAGAGCAATGCCAATGATAATTGCGCTCTTGACCCTGAAAGCCATTAGGAAAGCAACAAGAATACCTCCGAGGGTAACACCAATCCAGAGCTAGATTGTCCAGTCAGTAACCACTTCAACAAGTTCAGACGGTTTAGGACTCACCGCTGCGTTGGTCATAAGATTTCCAACACATTCACCTTTTGCGTTGAGGTCCTTGACGGGGCAGCCACCAAGGGCCACTGGCGTCGAGTTTCCAGCAGTGATGGCGCCAATGCCAGCAGAGTAGGACAAGCCAACCATGGTCAAGAAAAGCCCTATGCCGACGCCTGAAGCCGTTTTGATCGTCGAAGGTATCATTTTCACCAGCCATTGTCGTAACCCTGCCAGAGCGAGAAACATGAAGATTAAACCCTCTACGAAGACAGCTGTCAGAGCTATGCGGTATGAGACCATGCCTCGGCCTTGGGCACCGACAACCTGGTACGTGAAATATGCGTTGAGCCCCATTCCGGGACTGAATACGTTAGCAGCTTGTAACTTGTAACTGGGACTTTGGTACTAAAGGTGACTTACCCCAAAGCAACAGGCAGGTTTGTTAGAAATCCAAAGAGGATACTAGACAAGCCTGCTATAGCAGCAGTAGCGGTTACCAAATCTTGTTTCAGGACTTTGGTATCCAGATCAGCTAATGAACTGAATCTTCTCGCGAAGTACTCACCTATCTGGCATTCCAACCAGCCAGGAGCGTTCCTGCAATCGTCGAAAAGGTTGACGTCGCATTCGCATGTGCCTCCAGTTTCAGCAAGCACTTGTGACTAGCAAAGTAACCGTTAACCTTTCAACTTGTGATACACCTTCGTTAGTCCTCATGTGACATACATTGACGGCGATGATATATGCCATAGTAGCAAATGTTGTCAACCCGGCCCGAAGTTCTCTGAAGAAGGATGCGCCTCTGATTTGCTTTGGCTGTTGCACATCAGCATATTGTTGCTCCATCTTTAGTTCATCTCTCCAAACCCAAAGCATATCTTAAATACGTTGGATATTCTAGATCAGCTGGTGATGGGTGAGGTGGAAAGAAAAGAGGGAGAAAGAGAGAAAGTAGTGATTGAAACATACGTGACCAGAGCCATCGAGGCGGAAGACCCGTCCGAATGTTGATCGGTTGATGCATTCCTCAATAGCTTTGAACCTGTCAAAGACCGACTGCATCTTACTTGCGAAACCCATGGTGGATGCTGAGCCAGTGATTTGGGGTGGCGGTTTGCTGCCAATGGCTGTACGTTGATTGATGGTGTTCTTCTCGAGTCGAGGCAGAGAACTTTATCAACGTTGTATGTTGCGCATTGTCTGCTTCACAGAATGTTTATCGTCAATGCATTGGCGATAAACAAAGTTTATACAGTGATGGGGGATGGAGGTTATCGCGGACGAAAAATGGAAGGAATGTTTTGTGTTTGCTGAATTTCTGGCCCAAAGTATTGGATATCTGTAACGACGAACTCGAATGATGAATCAAATTCAAAGGTGAGACATGTCAGCACCGGTAATGGGCGGGAAATCAATTCCTTGTAACGAAGGGAATTGGATTTTGTTTTGCGCGTTTGAGTTGGAATCACAACTCTCAACTGTGGGGGAAATTGATGCACTATGCGAAAGTTGGGAAGGATCGTGGTTGTCCAGTTAGAATAAGATAGACAAGACCTTAACCCAGATTGGATCCGGTTCAGCACGACTTCTTGCATTAAAGGTGGAACCGTCTATTAACAAAATCATCCTTGAGTCTTCACACACCTCTTTCATGCGCTGGCTGTTGCACAAGTCAAGGGGCTGGCAGATGTGTGTTTACGGCTCTGCAGGAGTCTTGCAGGATGGACGAAAAGTTGAAAGTATGTTGCCATCCCTTGATCCTTGTTATTATTCCGATCTTTCGCATGTCCACATTGGTCCTGCAGGACAGCAAGTTCATTGAATCAGTTTGAGGGCGTGGTGACTACTCTACTATCCCAAGGATCATAACTACATAGGCAATTATTGTAGTCTATCCCGGCAACGGATTCTTGCAGCAGCCCACCATCGACAACACTAACTGACCTTCACGTGCATTCAAAATCGAAGATTCTTTGGCATTTCAAGGCGGTATTCAGACTTATCAGTTGATCATGAAACTATGAAAGAAGGCGGCCATGATATTCAATACCACACAATGACACCTCATATATGAATTAGAGAAGGTAATTCTGCTATGGCTTAAGAGAACCTGAGCTCTCCCATTTCTATTGAGCTTAGTAGGGCCACTGAGTAGGCTCCTCAGCTAAACAGCTCATATCGTCGATGCCGATCATCACTGAATACATGTACGAAGATACATATGCAAAGAGCACATGACTACATCAGTATGTATGTGTTGTATTTACACGAGTATCATCAGTGCCCAGTTGGCGATCTAGGTCATCGTAACGTAGGCTTTCAGCTTTTCTTTCCCCATTCAAGCATAACATTACGCATAGTAAACCTGGAGTCAGACGAATGTGTATCTGCAAATTCCCCTACTGCTTGATCTTTCTTGGTTTGTACTATTAGCACTAAAGGTACCGCCAAAATCTGGTTGTCGTGGACCCGGATAGGACAAGCCTGACCTCGTAACGGATAGTCACATGAGACAGGTAGCACATTCGTTATCTACTGATGCTGATATCGCGCCCGACGCAGCTTCGTGGTTCACAAAGGCCACTTTGTAGGTCCTCAACTCATCACATATCCTTTTTGTGTATCTCGGGTCGTTTATGTCGTGCGTAGCGGAAGATCTGTCGTCCCAGCAGGGATGATATTGGCCTGATCTGGAGCTAGTATCAACAATCCTAAATAATTTTTCTGGAGCTGGAGCTTCATTATCTTTATGCTCTACAGGAACCCATCCCAGACCATCAGGGATCTGCAAGGACATAATAATGGCCTGACCAGGATCTTTTCGGGAGAACCAATTCTAACACAAAGAGTACTGGGTCGTGATCAACTTACAACATTGTCTTCTGACTTATTCATAAATAAGTTGTGTAAGAACGGCTATACTTGTCAGGGAGAAGACTTAATTTCAGTGGTACCGCGCTACGGGCGTAAAGGTTTTTGTGGGAATATCCTTAATATGACAACACGCAATGGTGGATTTCCAATTCTTGCGCGGATATCTAGAATTGCACGGAGATTTTATGGTACCACTGGCGCATTATCGATTCAATAGTTTTGAATTTATTTCAACTGATCGAAAATCGGCGCTGCTGCCTACGTTCTTCGTTCTATTGGATACTCTTCATGCCCACCCCGTGGATCATGCCACGACACTCAAACGACCGAGCTGAGTCTGTCCCCTAAGCTATTATCAGTTCCCAGTGACGTAAATTGGGGAATTCAGTCTTCCATAGCCAAATTTGGCAGCGAATGAAATTCCAGCGATGACCTCAATACCTTGACGGGCTTGTTTTGGGCAATGGCACCAAGTGTATACTCATGGTCTCAGATGTTTTCTCCAGTCGAACATTCGTGTACTACGAACGAGATGCTCGCTTGTCCGTAAGGACCAACCGGAAGGGCGAACTTCAGAATCGTCAGCAGACACAATTTCTAGCCGTCAGATAGGTTTTATGAGGCATAATCATTCAATCGTTACGCTCAGGGAGAGAAATCAATAGCTTAGCTTTCGGGTGTACACAAATAATCAAGTACATACAGCTTCCATCCTATGCGATTTCATGTTGGTGGACGAAAGTCTCGGGTTTAAACGGCTCAACAAAGTAGGTGAGTTGAGATTCTAGGGGTTTCCAAATTCAAAAGGGGTAAAAAGAGCGTGTTGATATCGGACACTCTAAGCGCGTCATCGCGATAGTGAGTGACTGCACTTTTACGATATTCATGCTGAAAGATCCGTTTTCCAAGGCATTATTGACCCGCCGTAGAACTTATAAATATGGCAATTCCTGTGCTATTCTTCTACACTCATCTAATATTCTTTCCGCTAATGTCTAGGTAGGACTGGATCTAAATGCACCCGATGGTTGTGAAGAGGATATCGCAAATGATCTGATGATTTCAAAATATGAATGCATAAGCCTAGATTCTATTTAGAAGAAATCCAGTCTTGTTAATATGAACAAAATATTTGTAGTATCCACAAGTAAATATTTAAGGTTTGATTATAGTCGATGAACGGAGTAACAACATCCGAGGAGGTTACTATAGATCGTAAGATGACAATGTACTTGGGAATCGGTATTTTGCTGGGAAAGATTGTTGGATCGAGTACCTGTCGTATTGATAGGTAATATTATTGTCAGCCCTTTGCTGTGACACCTGTCAAGCTGAGTTGCATTGTCAGTCCCAACCAGAGAGTAGCCCGTGGGCGGGTGCGCATCTTTGATATCTCAGGCACGCTTTCCTCTGCAGCATTCCATGAGGACTCAAAGTTCAGGTGTTTGAAGCAACATTCGGAACAAAAATCCCTTCTGGACCGTGGGCGAATTTTCATTCCTACTCTACCGTGCATCGATTCTTACATTTTTAGTTTGCCGGTTGCCGAATTTTGTACGTTCGAAGAAAAGATTTCTTGGTCCGTACAGACATTATAGATTCCGCAGTCGCCCACCACACTTCTTTGGACCAACAGCCGGTTTATTCGAGAATAAATCGCACTTTGCGCGTCGCGGCTGCTGGTGGCCCGTTTGAGTACTGCGCCGACAAACCCCACTGTATCACAGCATATCGATCAGCACCAGCTCTTAAGGAGCCGAACTGCTTGAAACAGACCTCAACATTGAAGCTTGCATTTTCCCTCTCTCACTGCCCGATCAAACACAAGCTACCGTCGGGTTCGCCCGGCCGCATCCGAACCCTCACCGGTGAAAGCTTGCCTTCAACACACCTCATTATATTTTGATCAATCAGTCCATCAGCCACCATGCTCGACATATATTGGGCTGACCACAAAAGGGAGCGCGTTGGTGATAGGAAAATTAGAAAGGAGCGCGAGGAGCAGGAGGCCAAGGCGAAGGTGAACGAGGGGGACGGGAAGAAGCATGAAAGCTTGCGCAGTTCGGTTTCCATCACCAGCTCCGCCTCGAGTGAAAAAGCCTTTGGGCTCTTTTCAAACAAGGGCCGGAGAAAACTTGCGGCGTCATCAAGCTTCGACTATACCACTGGCCCACCATTGTCACCGACTGAGAGCCCCAGAGGTAGGAGCGAGGCCGCGCATGGCGTAAACAGGCTTCTCTCACACAAGGGTACTTCAGAAACCTCTAAACCACATGGTGATGGGGCCTGTCTACCTGTTCAACAACCTCAATCTGTCGATGTCCATTCCAGTCCTTCACCAAGAGGTCTGTCGTCCGTAGCCCTCCCTAGATGGAATAGCGGCTGATGCTTATCTCTAGATTCTATATTTTCAAAACGAACTCAGCTGTCGCTTGCTACTGCAAGTACACTGGACGGCTCTCCACCTAGAAACTCCGTTTCAGGCAAGTCAGAACACGTCATGCAGACTTTGGGCCCCTCATCTTTTGTGGTGAAGACAACCCAAGTTATGGTTGCGCCTCGAAGCATGGACTGCGATATTGATCACTTGGTGTCGGAAGTAAACATATCTTCGGATCGTATCAAAGCTCCTATGCCCCCATCGGAAAGTATTCCTGAAGAAGGGTATGTTGCCAGCCGTGGATTTATATATGAATGAGAAACTTATCGCTTGCAGAACACCAATGCCATTTGATGGTTCGGATTCGGCTCTTCTTCTCACTAGACTTTCGCAAACGCCACCACCTCTGGAAGCCCTTGGTGTCGCTGACAGATCCATAGCGGCGGAGGGAATTCTTGAACTATCCAATCTCGATCCTTGGAAACCTCATCATCAATGGGATCGTGCTCAGCCCCAAGATATTCCAGGGTCTTTCTTCGAAAAGAAAACTCAGAGCCCTGCAGCATCCAATCATTACATATCGCCGAACCTCTCAGCACTACAACGAGAGATTCACATGATGGCAGCAGCGAGCCCTGAACTCATGCTTGCCAACCTCAGGTCGGAAATGTTTGAAGCGTCTGACTCTAGGGTATATAAGGAGCTAGAGATGACGAAAAAGAGATGGATGTTCTCCGCTCTACATTACGGTGCGAAACTTGACCAAGGAAGCTTCATCCCAGGGTTCCAAAAATCATCTCGAGTGGCTAGAGTTCTAGCAATATACGAGACTCATGGTCAGTGAATATTGGCCTAAATTGACTATAAAAGAAATTTGCTGGCTAACATTTGGCTTCACAGCGTCGGCTACATTCCTCGCGGCACTCTATCCAGCAATCAAGATATATCATCTGTCGCCAAGTCCCATCTCCCCAAATCTTTTCCCAAATATCCAACCGATCCTAGTCCCCGCGATCACAGTAACGGCTGCCTCGCGACCGCTTCCACCTCAGCTATTCTCATCAGTCATATGTTTGTCGATGCCATCGTTGTTTTCTTCTATGGATATTCCCCCGCTCCTGCGAAATGTTCACCGTTGCTTGTCGGGAGGTGGAGCGCTCCACTTGATGATTGTAGACCCGGAACCAGTCCCCAGTTCAATGGGACCCAAGTTGCGACAATGGCTAATTGAAAACCTACTGACAAACCTCGAACAAACATTCCGTACAACGTTGCCAAGCCGGACTCTCCCTACCTGGTTAGCAGTGAGTCGACTACGCGGAAAGGGCAGCACGATTATGTCTCTATCCATCCCAGCGGTTTCGGAGAGCTTTGCCAAGATCAGGGGTGTTAAAGACCCTGGTCCAGTGAAGGCAGAGTTGCGATGCGAGACCATAAGGATGCTTTGGAGAGAGGTTTGGGGCAGTTTTGTACATGCTAAAAGATGGTGGTGGGAAGAGGAAGAAATTCTTGAGGAGTGTGCCATATTCGGCACATACTGGGTGTACTCGCATGTCATCGCAGTCAAGGAGGACTGACAAGCACTGCTTTTATATCACTGATGAACCTCTGTCCTCGAGCACAACGCGCGTTCCTTCTCCAGCTTTCTTGTATTTCGGATGCACAAAATGATGGATTGTCTTCATGGTCGTTGTCAATTGCCCTACATCCCTAGTTAATAGACACTCGATCGGAAATTTATAGCATTTTCCTATATCATGAGTATTTTCGAAAGGGCTCTAACGCTTCCTATAGCACAACTCAGGAGAAGGCGAGGACTCAAAGTATTTAAGTCATAGCATGTTACAGGATGGCTGGATCTGCCATGACGTTCTTGTAAGCTTAAACCTGAATTACCTGCACGGTGATGCCTTTTCATTTTGATCCACATCTCGTATCTTTACAGGCATACATCATAGCATAGACTGTGAAATATGAGGGGGATGTAGCATCCAATGCCCGAGCGCTAATTACTGTATGTCTGGTATCCCAACCCTTACTTCAGATCATATCTGTTCCTGCTGTAGTCAGTGGCGACAGGTTACGTCAAATTGTCGCTTGTGGCTCTCAGAGGCTGAATTTTTTTTTTTTTTTTTTTTGGTTACAGACAGTAACCGAGTCAGCATCCTTGATCACTCACCTTCCTAGTGCACCTCATTGCGTACTCTTTGCTACTTTTTCCATCACCTCCTTTGACCAGCTTCTCCGTATGAGCTTATTGAGTCGATCTTTCGCTCCTAGGTTCCAGTTAATGAATCAGGAATTGATCTCAAAATTCCAAACCGTCGCTTTCTCCTCTTCTGTGAGCCAAGACTGGGATACATGTCGTGACGCTGTCGGCGTCTGCAGATAGCGTGAGGACAAGGATGTGCGTAGACCCAGCGAACTTCCCCGGACCCATCTGAATCAGACCCCTGAATGCTACAGCGTCCGGGTCTTCCGGTGCCTGACATGACCAGTGCTGATGCAACATTCGCAAGAACGGCGGCGAAAGCTGCCTGCATTAAGATCCCCGCAAACAAATAGGTGCTGATTTTTTGGAACATAATCTGATTGACAGTAGCGTCGAAAAACATCCTAGTCCAACAGGTGAACCACAATTTTGCCTGATACCACATTCCTGCGTCTTGTGGTTCAAGGAACACGGGATAGATCATAGTTGTAGCTCCTAAGACAAGGGGATACACTCCGTATTGAAGCGCACATTTCCTCGTTACCATTCAGGGACCATGTACGGGTAATATTTCTCGTCCTCGCTAAGGCTTTCGAGGTTTTCATACCCCATGCTGCCTTTGGACCAGCCACATGATTCCGACGTCACGGACAACATAGGCGAGTCGGCCGCCAAGGCCGCTGGCAAAAGCTCACCGGTCCGCTACATATCTGAGAGGATATCTTCGTGCCAGGGCGTATCATCGGCGACATTCTGACACGCGGAGGGCGCTGGTCTGGACAGTGACTGCTGCGTTCTATCAACGTTCGCTTATCACAACATTCAAATCTACGCACATGCAAGCCCCCACTACGCAGGAAGCCAGGCATAGCGAGTAGAAATGGCAGGTAATATACATATCAGGCACCATTGGACTCATGACGCTGGCCTGTCGGCCCCTGAGAGAAGTGAGACGGCTTATTCGATATGGTTCATAGCTTGTGCATAAGCGATCATCTCGTTCCTTGCTGGGCGAACTTATCAACCGTACAATCTCGCGATTTTATCCAATCAAACATCGGACCTAAAAACTTAAAATCATGCCAAAGTGGTGCCCCATTGTCTGGAACCGAGGGATGAAAAATATTCCATGATCCTTGCACGTACAGCTTGGCCTCCCTCAGTTTACCATAGTACACAGATGATGTCGGGCCGAACTTGATTCGATTGCACACATTCTAAACGATGTTTAGCTGCAGAACAGTATCTCAACTGCGGAGTATGAACAGTATGAACTTCGGCAGATACTTTGTCCCCGTGGAGAAATGTGATAGTGCGATCATTTGCATGGAAATGTCACGGGGATCTTTAATCGTTGAAATGATCGCAGCTCCACCGCTGGGGAGATCTCTTGCATTCCGTTAAGCCCCTATGCTGATATGTGTGAAGTCTTTCTCAAATGGGCTTGAGTGGAATCAAGTGCATATCCAGCAGGGCTACTTCACGGAGAATATCCCCTCTCTCCACTTTGCATACCATTGGGTTGTTGGGGTAGAGACCAGGGTAGAGACCAGGGTCTTTACGGTGGACACGTGGAGTCATACCAAACTGGGGGTGGGGGGTACTTCTAATTCTCCAAAGGTACATGGAGTGTCTTGGACTCAAGTCACAGAAGTTCTCAGTACCCTGGCGTAGAGACGGCATGCATGGCCATCACCGGTCTCGACTGGAGAAGCAGCAAAACTTTCCAAGTGCTTTTACAGCTGGGCTGCTGAGTGGCGGTCTCAAGACCCTTCCTTCAGTAGTTGCGCGGCGGTCTAAGAATGGTATTTCTGTAGATGCGCATCGTAAGACAAATCATTGATGGTTCAAACGAAGCCCGCATACTCAGGAATCGGCGATTTCACAAAGCCATAACGATCCACTGGCTACATATTACTGAACAACGGATAACCAACAATTATCTGGAGGAAAAGGCTTACTTGGAGCATTTTACGCCACAATCTCAAGATTGCCTGGGGCTTTCAGAAACGACACAGTTTGATTGCAAAATGATGTATGTATTGCCGGCGCAAAACTCGGTGACGGACTACCCGCCTGCGCCATAAGGCTGTAGAGCCCCCAGCCCATTTCAACATCGACGAGAATAATAAGCTTATGGCTGAGCCTATGCTGCTGTGTAATTCACATCAGAACATGTAGTCAAAGCTGCGAAGCTGTTTTAGATCCCGCCTTGTCCCATGAGCGCATTTGGACTGCTTTGTGTAACACGTTCAATGCAGAACATTTCCAAATACACTAGACTAGTATCATCATACTCTGTTGGGAAATATTGGAAAATGAACATTGAATGCAAAAGATCGTTCATGACGCAATAACACCAAGCCACAAGAACGAGGTATATGAATGGGCTGAGGCTCAACTGCGATCGAGTTTGAAATGGTAGTATTCAACGACCTTGAAGGCGTTGTACGACTGCTTTTCCAAGTTGACGGATCTTGGCCCATTTAGATGACATCGAGGTCCTGTAGCTCGACACCAGCGTTCCGCAGTATATCCGGTCGTACATGTGATAGATGTAGTTCTCTTTGATACCCTAGACGTTGATTACCCATTCGTCCAAGATAAACACGGGATCCCGTTGGTAGATCCAGACCAATGGTCAAGCATTGCAAGAGCCCGCCCATCGATCATTTCTCTATTTTCAGAACAGTCAATAGGTTTCTAATGACTAGGTAAAGCGCCATGTGCAGCTTCGCCAGACATCAACCCATGAGCGTAACAAGTACCAAAAATTTGGCATCTGCGCATACCAGCCTCGACAAGACGGTATAGGATGGAGGATGTCCGGCAACCCAGCAGTATACAAACACGACCACCAATTGCAATACCAAGTGGCGCGAAGCCGGAAAACCTATTCGAAGCCTGGAACCAGCAACGGCCGCTCAACAATTCATGAGAGAAGCATAGATAGCGGCTTAGAGTTGCCCCTCCCCCTTTCCTCCCTGTGGAAGTTGACAGTTCTCCATAGTCCGCTTGGATGGCCATATCGACTGCAGGCACTCGTTGCGAACGACCCTTTTATTCATAGCCTGGCAGAACGTTTTCATGGTATGTGGTCGAATCTTTCTGCTGCTAGCTTCCTTGAAAGCTCCCTGAGTCGGTCGTAATTGCCCTACAAAATTGATCATATTGTCCATTGCCAGGTCATTCTTATCGTATTAGCTTATATTGACGTGTTGCACCATGGATTGGAACAATTTGAACGCATAGCTAATATCGTCCGTTTCAGGTCCGAGCCAGACGAGAATGCATCTTGTGAGCTGGTAAATATAACCCATGAGTGGAACTTGTTCAATCTTTACTTCATCTTTCTAGTCGAACCAAACGACATCAACCCACGTCAGGCGTTGTTCACTCTCGTACCGCATATATTTTAGGGTAATATCTAGTAAGGTTTTGCGCAATCATGAACTATTTGCTAGAGCTTGGACCATTGCAAGTAAATTCGCTTCTGGCCCAGTCCTTTGTGCGACCCCATGCGTACATGGCGGAGAAGTCCACCCTACCTCAATCAAGGTGCACGTCACGTCATCAACTAGTCAACCCTGTCTCGAACGAAACAAGCAGTTCGTCTTGCCAGCCCCCAGGGTGAATCTTGGCTAGCCTGATCTCATATGACTGCTCCTCCAAGGCCCCAGACATGTCGAAATTGATCAGACATGTCTTAGGGCTCTATGGCTTGCAAGCCTGTTTTGCCATAGCAGTGCATACATAAGACAGTGCGGTCTATCAAAAGCCCCATACATTGGCCCAGACTTGTGGCCGCGATACCCACCTCATTACGGAGCTGGATTTGGGCGGATCGGGAGCCATTACTGTATGCGGCGCTCGTGGCCGTTGCGCCGAGCAAGCCACAACGATGCATGCTTTGAAAATGTGACCGGTCAGCCGGTGTAAGATCGCTGGTGATACAGATCGCAGGAAAGAATTACAGCAATACATGACAACTTTGCGTTCGTAATCACTAAAGATATGGTTGCTCCGAGATTGGCATTTTTCGTCTCCAAATCTCCAAGTGCATCGTGAAAATAGGGCCATGCAAGACGTACTTTAAGTTTGCTCGTCTTGTGCTCCTTTATGTAGGTATCCCCATTTGTGATTGACCTCTCAGGCACAGGACCATTGATTCACTACAGCAGACCAAATTCGGATGGGTAGACCATGCCAATCAAACATTATATAAGCGATGAGATCTGATGCTAATGGATGACGCTACTAAGTATGCTGGAGCACGAAATGGCAGTTTTGAACGAATGTGTCTGACTCGACTTGGTTCTACCCGCTGTGACGGACAACATGTATTTATCTTGAACCCATGCCTGCGCCAGACCTCGAGGACTTAGTCTGAAGTGCAATAAATTGACAGCAAGAGTAATAGCGTAAGCGAGCATATCACTTGTGATGGGCCCAAAAGGCAGATTTAGAATCCGGGGTATGTCTTGGAATCCAAGAGCCAAGAGTATCATGACACTGGGCAAATTTCATTTTGACGGTATGATAGCAACCTTTATGAGCATGGAGGAGTTGTTCTTTTCCTGGACTGCGTCGGATGTTAGTAGAACGGTCTCGACTTCTTGGACGCAATGGAGCTTCCTTCGCCTTGGACGCTAATTAGTGCGCCAAGCTGCCTTACCCCGGACCCAGAAATTTGAAAACGTCCAGGGACCCACCAGCTTGGGTGGTCATCAGCTTGACATGTGCTCATGTCTAATACTCGAAGCAATCTGGCTAGAAGGCGTCACTTTTATCTCCCAACAATAAATCTAATCATCCTTATACACGGTCTGCCCTGAGACAATCACGAATCTGTCGGCAACTAGTCGATAGGTATTTGGGCGACTAGACTAGTAGGTTAATGTGGCCAGAGAATGTAACCAACTCCTATCCCTAGCCAACTTTGGAAGTAAGTTTGTTGATCCGACGCTTATTCCTATTGGATAAAGTTGTGAATGCCATCGTGCATGTTCACCATCTGTAACCCATTACTTCTCGCCTGTTAGTGACGGGCGAAAGGGGCCAATCTCGCCAAAAGCATCAGAGCAGGAAGAAAGTGCAGACGCTTAGGTATGGTCTGTCTCGTCCCTGCACAAACGCTGCCTGCTGCTGCAGGTGCGCAAGCGAGCTTCAACAACGGTGGGTCGTACACACCCAAATAATTTGACAAGCTCCATGCCATAGGACGGCACGACTGAAATATATTAATCATCTCTGGTTTAATGCGACGTTGGGTATCATAAACTTTAGCCTCACAGATGGCTCGGCGAAGATTCGATTTGAGCCGCGTCGGCTTAGCTAAATTGCAGGCGGGCCGATTGAATCGGTCTGATATTCATTGTCAAATTTATACACTTGATATCTTGATGTACAATCAATCGTTCTTGATGGATGAACTTGTTCGTTTTCTGCTGCTATATGTCTGCTCCGCCAGAAGACTTAGCAATGAGAGCTACCGTATGAAATAGATCGTTGGAAGCACATTGAACCGATAGAGAAAGATCTCCGACGACACAACCCCATGCAGAGTGAACTACCTGGACAAGATTTCCAAGACTTGCGTCCATACCCGTGCCTGGAGCAGCGTTTTGACATTGAATAGAGGCGTGGTGCTTGTTGGCTCTTGCCAGATCCGAGGGAATGGAACTCGAACATCTCGCTTATATGATTTGAGCATCGTTATTGGCCGCTACGCGTAATTGCAAAATGCTACATCGGGCAGCCGAGGCTGTAAAGGCATCCATCATGAGTGTAGCACCAGAACGAAAAGGATGACAGCTTTCTTTCTTTCTTTTCTTCTGGTGTTACCCGCAGGTTTGTAACCTCGACGGCTACCAGATTCTCGACTTCCGATGATTAATTATCTATTGTAGGGCAATACCGCATGCCCGCGCTATTTCGTGGGCTTATTTATTAAGCAAGCATCGTAACAGCAAGCATAACAACATGGCAATATTTGGGTAGAAAGTAGATACATAAAACATATGTTAGGTTCTTGTTCAATTAAACGGCCTATGACTAAACTCTTTTTGTATATACTATCCAACGCTCCGTTTCATGTTAATCTAAGTCAACAGTAGTATTAGTCTCGTTGCTTGGGTTCGTCGTTGGAATTCGGCCGCGTGGCAATAGCCAACTCCGTCATGCTTTCCGTCTCGTAATTCTGTTTAGGCCTGCGGCTGGTAATCTTGAAACCTGAATTCCTCCCAGCGAATTCGCCTGGATAATTGGATGTCGTTTGTTCGGAGCGTTTTGACCGATCTTTCATCTCTGAAATGAAATATTTGCACGCTGACCATGAGGTTGAGATATAAATCACGGCGTTCCAAAAGCCTTGGAGTGGTAGGACAACCGCACTCATAAACTCCAGTGGAACCGAGGCAAAGCCTGGGTGGACCACACTGTAAACTCGATTGGCTGAAGACGGCAGCCAAGTGATGCAAATAGCCGTAAAGAAGAGAATAGCGCAGCGTGCGTAAGACCATGCGGCGTTGTTAGCCTCCATGTTTGCTCTTCGTCGCGTACGACCGGGTCGGGCTGTAGATGGATCACGCATCTGAGTGTTGCTCTGAGCTGGAAGCACAAACCCAGGGCGTGAGTTACGGTCTGGCCGTACTTCCGAAGAGATTGTCACCGAGTACTGTTGAGAAGCCTGTGCTGTTCCCGCGCTTATTACAATAGGACCGAGTGTGGACAGGTCGATATCATCGTTGCCGTTGCCGTTTCTGATATCCTCTGTAGTAACAGATACCTCCGTAGTCTTGTGGGAATAGGGGTCGTCCATTGTGACAAGAGGGTCGGTGCGATCATGGCTGCTGCTGAAATACCGTAGTTGCCTCCGCTTGTTGTAGATATCTCGCCCAGCTCTGAGATATATAGCGAACGTGACTATGATCACGACCCTGCAGATACCGTTAGGAAAAAGAATGGGAATCATGATTCAAGTCCGACCACTTACCAGACTGGGCCGTAGAACATTGCAATGCGCATGACGTCCCATTCTGCTGCTATCCAACACCATAACGCTGCATTTCCATACATTCGGCCCCGCCCAGCCTCCGTTACGAAGATAAAGACGAGCGCTGGAATGAATGGAATTCCGTAGCAGAACAAAAAATACCAGACTTCCATCTTGCGCAACCTTTCGGCGTCAAACTTGTGATAAAAGGTCAGATAGACATTGACGGCCATTGCCAAAGTCCAAAGCGCATCAGCCGGCATAAACCTAAAGCCCAGATAAGTCTCTCAACATCATGCAATTCGTGTATTTGTCTCTCACATTTGTATGAGGGCGGCCTGAAACTGGCAGCCCACTGAATCTTGAGAATACACGAAGTCCCGAGCCATGAGGGTGGCGACGTTGGTCATCAGGTTTCCGAAAGATGCATAGAAGACGAGTCGGTTGATTGGTTTGTGAAAAGCCTTTGATACTGAGAATGTGACAATGATAATGACACATCCTAATATTGACAACACTGATCCGGCACGCTCGATTGCATCAATGGCAACCTGCTGATCCTTTGTCAAGTTCCCATAGTTGGTTCCTGCTGCCGTCATCCTGGCTACAGAAGGTCTGTATCGGCACGGTAGTCGATAAAGCAATAGTCGGCTAAAGTCGTAAGAATCTGAACATGCCAACACTCCTTTTGAAGTAGCGCAGGTCACGATGACGAGATCCGCGGAATCATCGGAAAGCAACGAAGTGATAGTCAGGAGTATCTTGTAGTAACTGAACGAGCAACAATAAACGACTTGTTCCCGTAGCAGCAAATTCTAGCGGGGTTGATGTAGAGATCAAATCGTTACCCCGTTTCGCAGCCACCGTTCGAACTGTCAAAATATCAAGTGCCGATGATAGTCTGAATGAAGACGGTCTTGTCAGATTCAGCTTGCAGATCACAGCTGATAAGCAACAGTGAATCTAATTCGAAAGCGTACTGATGGGTGGGACGACGCGGTTCAAGTATCCACCACGCTCCGGAATGATGTGCAAGGGAAGAATACTTGTCAAAAGCCAACCGAGCCGGAAGAAGTAACGAAGTAGGTTTCGAAATGTCAAGCACCGCCCTTAAGGAACTATGTAGTTAAGGAACTATGTAGCTTTAACAGTAAACCAACTCCTTCCAGAGCAAGGGATTTCATCGTAGGCGACGGGGAGCAATGTAACCATAAAAGGACAAGGAAACGCGACAGGTGAAGACTTCTGGCCCAGTCTACATAGCAAAGCCCTGAGATGGCACGACGCATGGCAGAAACAGTGTGCAAGGGTGCATGGAGTATGAGCAGGGGGGCTCATAGTCCCGGATTGGCTGGCGTCTTCCATCGATGCGTGCTGACATTTACCATTTGAAGACCTCGCGTGTCGATGGCTACTCAGGAATACAACTAGTCAAAGTGACCCGTGTACCTTCGGTCCAGAAGGAGTACATTCCCGCTCGGACGCTGGAGCACCGCCTATTAGGGTCAACGCGGGGAACAGGATGAACCACTGAGAATATCCAGGCTCGGCCGAACAGGGGCCTGTGGGTCCAATCACAGGGGTCCGGCAACCTACCCCAGCTTGGCATTTGGGGAAAGTCACAACCCCTTGCTGGAAAGACAGAGTAGGTAAAGTGCGAGTACTATCTATCCAACAGGAACACTCCCAAGTACTACGAGGAGTTGGCGTTGAAACATCTCAAGAAGCCCCATGAAATCCATTGCTTGTCGTCTCCAATGTCAGGTTGACGTGAACAATTATGAACCTTCACGCATGGCACGGTCGTCACGTCACACTGGACATGCTTCTGAACGGTGCTTGATGTAGGGAAGACAGATATGTAAACCTCAGAAGACAAAGCGTATGTTGCATATTCAAGAGCATGGCTAGCCTAAGGTTAGATCGACGTGTGAGGCGTCGGCGGGTAGCGCAATCACTCCTCAGTGCTGTGCCCACAATATCTGTAGGTTAGGGCAGTCTGGACGCGTACTGTAGTATGTCGTCAAATGGGCTATGTGGGACCGTTCTGATGTATGAATCTGTCACGCACGGTCCGTGTTACATAGAAATTCTCGCCTTGCAACGCAAGTGAGGTACGTGTGTTGAGTATAGACACAAAAACAAAACACAACACGCAATAAACATCGTCATCCGATCTATGCCGTCTCTGAGCTTTTGCCAAATATCTTCGAGATCAGCCGGACGTAAATGACAACAAAAACAGCTCCAAAGAAGCCCCTGCTTCCACCAAAAGACTGACTTGAAAGTTCTGCTTTCGAGCAACGACAAGCACCAGCATTTACATGCCTCGCGAACAGGTTTTCGGCATATTCAGCCTTTGTCAAGTGCACTTCATAGTCTCGTCCTTAAGCTAGTGGTACTTGCAGTCCTAGCCCCTATTCCGCTGGCGATGCTAAGTATCAACATCTCCACGAAAGATAACGGCTTATGCCAGCCCTGCAGCCGTCTATTGCTGATCGACATCCTCTGTCTTTCCCACGAGACGCTAATACTAGTGCTTCCTCCTGTCGAAACGTGCATTTGACACACGCCACCTACCAACGATAATCTTTAGAATGAGATTGCTTCATTGTCTTCGTTACTTGATCGGACTTGCAGCAAACTACTCACTTTAGAGTTTGGTACTGAGTACAATTTGTTCGGGAGACTGCAACGCTAAATACCTAGTCATCATATGTCGACTGTCCCAAAGGACTGGTTACTAATGATTCAGGTTGCAACTCGTGTTTGCATACCCACACAGTAATGTCGGTTGTTCAAATACGACCTGATGGGGAAAAAAGAATCATGATCCTGCTGGGAAAGCGTCCGTGCTGCAACACGCCAGCCTATCATATCCTAATAGACACTACTCCTTACCGATATAGGATCAATACCTATAGGTCTACAGCAGTGGCAAGGACCAGACGCTTTTCGGGCACTTATCCAGCTATCCAAGGATATGATGTCCATGCTTGCTTTTAAACGTGGCAACTAGTCTAGACTAGCGGAAACAGATCAGACCACTTCAGCGTACTCAAGACTCTGCAGCATTGGCTCTAATTCCCGAACTGGTTCAAATATATACCCGAACAGCAAACAGCGCGCTTGAGGGTGGGAGCTTTCCTTAACAAGTCCAGTGGTTGTCTGTGCTCAAATCATTACTGGATTATTAGATCATGTCAATGCGCTGCATAAATCATACCAGGCTTTCTGGCAGCGAGATCCTTCGACAATACGAGCTGTATGAGCGTGCATCACACTGAAAGCCTTGAGTTGCCAATGTCACAAATATGGCGATATCGGGAGAAGCTCCGTATAGCACAAGTAGGAATGTACTAGGCCAATATCAAACACAGCATATCATGTTGATGCCATTCCTCATTCTCTGGTTTCATCAGTCCATCCCCGCCAGGGAGCGTTTCACAATACCAACACGTGGGAGAAAACATCTCAAACCAATTATGGCGCCGATCGTGGTAAGGATAACTATAGACCCTCTGATGAGTCTAGAACACACTGTTACGGTTAATGACTGACCGAAACCCAGCATGTCCAGGCAACTAGTGGGATGAATTCGTGTACAGATGCATCGAGAAATCACACCAAACCTGAACATTGCTCTGTTTCTGTTAATCTTGGGCATTACGACGCCTATAGCAGCTAACGGAGACCTTGAGAGTGAAGCGGGATAGCATTCCGATTTTTCTCTACAACAATTCTATCAGGCCTAGCCCAATACACAGTATAGACTTGACACACATGACCTGGCACAAGTACGAAGTTTACCTTATGCAATGATGTAGTTAAGTGATTAGAATAAGAGACCAATGTAGTAAATGGATCGAACTTTCATTTGCGAGAGGGCTATAGCCGTTTAAGAGTTCATCTTGATTTAACAACCGTGGTAGACTTACATCAGTACCGGGAAAGCACATCGGTAAAAGCCTGCCATGCTTTTCAAAGCATTCCTTCCACCCTTTCCTTGTCTCATATCAATTGACCAGATAAGCTATTTGTCACGAATACAAGCCAGTCCATATCGCCTAAAACATTGTCCCGTGTGTCTTGTGGGCCATTGGCAAAATCTCAAGCCGAATTGTGGTGAAGATGTCAATGAACGTCGCAAGTACAGCCTTTGTGGAAATAGCCTGCTTTAAACAGCGAGACATTCTTTGTGCTATAGCGTGTCCAAGAACCTAACGCGACCTTCTAGAATATATTCTTATATCATCAGGTAGGATGGTAGCCGCGTTACATCTTGCCTCATAGTCTCGCCTCCTGGAGCCAATTACCAGCAGAAGACTCATGCTCCTTGAATCAATCAGCCATTGTCCATTCACTCTAATACAAAACCTGCTAAAGAGCTAGGCTTCTACCGCTTCAGAAATGTTTTTACAAGACTCCCTTGTGGAATAGAAAGGAAGGCTCAAAGCCGCATAGTCCTGGACGTCTAAACCATGTAGCAGCAAGTCTGGGATACCACAACTTGTAGTTATATATTGTGGCACTGGTCCTTAGAACTCTATGAACTTTTAGTCCCAATCCCTTGCACTCGACTGTATCCCTCGTGTAAAATAGTGTAGTGTGAATACCCTATGTTAGCTCTACTCGGAAGTAAAAGCATCAACTCTAGCTCATCCGTCAAACACTCTATCCGAGCTCCAGGCATCCAAACAAAACTATGCCTCGTAACAGAGGCCGCGTTCGGGGCGATAATCAGGGAGGCCAGCCAAACTTCAATAATAACAACAATGATGATGACGACTGGTCACCTCGAGGTAGTCACAACCCCAAAGGCGCCCGCGTATGGAAGTCTGCTGGCCATGGTGGGCGCAGCCAGCATCACCGACCACAGCAACAACAGCACCACCAGCGTCACAACAGCAATAAGACCCCCCGGTGGAAATGGCCTCGTCACCACCAACACAACCACGGCGACGCCGACAGCACAGATCCAGACTCGGACTCGGATGTGTCAGACCTCGACCAGGAGCAGCTCCCAGCGGCGGAGAACAACGTCTTCTCGCTCCTCCTCCCGCCCTCCACCGCCAAGGGGAGAGGGCTGCCGCCACGGACCTGCTGGCGACCAGACTGCGAGCGCGCCAAGAAGGACCTGACCTCGGTCCGCCGGCGGGACAGGCGGCTGCACCGAGCCCTGGTGCACGGCCTGCAGGGCATCGGACAAGGGCTGGTGGACTTCATCTACGGCGGGGAGGACGGGCACCTGGGGTACAACGACGCCGAGAGCATGGACTGGACGCCCGAGCCGACGGTGACCTTGATCGTGGCGGCCGCGTCGTGCCCGGAGCCAGCTACGCCGCCGCTGCGGTCAGGGCTAGGGCTGGGTGTTCATCACAGTGTCTCGCCGGCGGCACAGCAGCAGTTGCCGACGGTGCAGGTGGGAGCGCAGCATGGTTGGGTGCCGAATCTTGGAATCGATGGCTGTGGCCAGTGGCAGGGTCTAGGTCATGGTCACGCCGTTGCTGCTGGCGAGTCGCACGGCCCGCAGGCAGGTGTGCATGTCATAAACAGTATTCCCCTACAGCCTGGTGAGGAGTAGCAGGCACGACTGTATACAGATATCACCAGACTTCGACCGTGTTGCCTGACACGTCCTCCGTCTTGTGCTTGCCTAAATTATGCACGGGTGCCTACAGTTACCAGCTCGGGCATTTGGCAGTTATCTACGGTGATGAAGTATCGCTGTGGCCATCGCCCAAGAGAAGGTAGTCTGGTTGCAAGAGGCCGTAGAGTGCAATCGCTTCAGATACAGACCAGCAGCAGCGGAGCTGCGGCATGGGGTGACGTGTGTACAACGTAGATGGGGCAACACCGCACTTTACATACAAATCAAACAGCTCAAAATACAGGTCTGGTCCATTCCCCAAAACACGCTCGTTACGAGCTAGTTGCGCTGGCAAGAGGCCATATCGGTATCGTCCTTTGGCGAGAACAGTCTCGTTGCGTGGTAGTGAGGAAGTTACGATGGCTTGGATAAGTAGTAACATATTTTGATTACGCCATACAGCCTTTGAAAAACATCGGCAGGATATGGTCACTTTGGGGATTGGTGTCAGACACTGCTGAAATTGTTTCATTGGATACCCCTCCTGATGATGCGGTTTGCCTGTGGTAGCTGGGACAGGTGACTTGTTAAGGTGTGATAAGAAAACCCACGCGGCTCCGTATTTGGCTGTTCATTGATCAACGAATTACTCGCGTGATTTAACACTGGAATTTGGGTAAACTCCTCTCCCTGAAGGCCATGCTTTGGGTGGAGTATCATGGACCAACCATTGGTCGTTGGTAGAAAATATCACGGGGTAAACATTCATCAAGACATTGGTAGATGGTATCAGCCTTTTTATACGCCTTGCCGATGAGAAATGCATACAAAAATCAGCAAAAGTATGACCAGTTTTCCCCAACGCCAATTTCGCCAATGCCTGATGAATATAGGCTCGAACCACAAAACCCCCACGGAGTATTCACACATTAGAGACTCTAACACAACGCATCGCTGCCTCGTTCTCTATTTACTTTGCCTCCTGGTATTGTCCGATGACGATACAGTGATCTCTGCTCGGTAGTCAGTAACAAGTTCAGGTGGAATTAAAGATACGCAAAATGACTAACCTCTCGTAGGGCTCAAGGGTAAGTTGTTCTTGAGGCTTGATGCGCTCCGCCCTCAGCTTTTGGACTTCTTGAGCGAAGACGGCTTCGGCAGGGGCTGTGCTGTCGATACAGTTGGCCTTGATGGAGATGACAACACCACCACCAATCTTCAGGAACATGTGGGCGTTGAGGGCAACGATACGGGCTTGATCGGGCTGGGCAACGTCGGCGAAGATGCAGTCGACCATGGGTACGAGCATTCTGTAGCGGAGAGGGTGACGGGCGTCCTCGACGATGGGGATGACGTTGGTACGGTTCTGGGCCATGTTGACCAAGTCACGACCAGATCTGTGAGAGAACTCGACGGCGTAGACGTTTCCGGTAGGGCCAACAAGATCGGAAACGTGGGATACAGAGGTACCAGAGGCGGCACCGAGGTAGAGAACCTTGGCACCGGGGTGCATGTAAATCTTCTCAATACCACCTGATGGTCTGTTAGCGAGCGAGCTTGAGCACTGAAACGAGCGAGGTGTAATGCTTACCAATGATACCAGCAGCCAACTTGCTTCGGAAAGGGTTCCACACTCGGTACTCGACCTTGGTAGAAACAGGAGCGCCGTCCTCGCCCTTCTCGGAGTTCTCAACAGTGATGCGCTTCTCGCCATAGACCTCGATACCGGGGGCGAAGCTGCGGGTGAGCAAGTGATCCTCCTTTCCTCTCGAAACGAAGACACCTTGGTGACGATGGGGCTCCTAGAACGAGTTGTTGTTAGTAGGGGACTTGAAAGCACACATCTGAGACTGAGGGAACTCACAACCACGACTCTGGCACCTCCTCGGGCGCCTCCACGACCACCACGGTCGCCGAAACCTCCACGACCGCCGCGACCAGGAGGACCACCACGTCCACGACCGCCGCCACGACCGCCACGGTCACCGAAGCCACCTCTGCCTCCGCCGCGACCGCCACGGTCACCACCGCCGCGTCCACCGCGGAAGCCACCGCCGCCACGATCACCGCCGCCGCGTCCGCGGAAGCCACCACCACCGCGACCACCGCCGCCGCGACCTCCTCTCTCGAAACCCATTGTGATTATAGTGTGTGGTAAATGGTCGATGGTTAACGACGTGGTATCGACTGTTGGAATGGCAAGACTGGAATCGTTGCGATCAATTGGTGGGCGGGGGTTAATTGGTTGTCAGGAAAGATACCAAGTTATCCTGTCTTCGCCTCAAGTGCTGGAGCAGGACCTTGTGCAAAGCTTGACAAGAAAAAAAAGTTTCTGGCGAGCTACAGGTCGGCTGATAAGATAATCCGTGGTGGGGGGTGCAGATAAGAGAAGTCTTCTGGAGCTAGTGGCTTATCTCGGGCCTGCCCCAATCAAACAAGTGCTGGCGGGGGCCCATCCTCAGCGGGGGGTCTGTGCACGGTGAAGCGAGGCAGCAAGCAAGGCAAAGCAGAGCAGAGCAGCGGCAACTGCCATCCCTCCAAAAAAAGTTGGTAGGGTTGTCCCACTGCTAGCCCGGCTAAACCACGGCCACCAATATTTTCATCCGGGAAAACTTCAATTCTCTATGTTTGGTATCGCCCGTCAATTGAGCCTTCACACCAGACCCGAACATTTTCGACGACAACTCCGGCCACCATCTCCATACTAACCACACAGCAAAGATGGTATGTGCATCTCGAATCCCACCAATTGTCGGCAAGAGGAGGAAAGGATGCTGCGCTTGAAGACGTGCTGTCCGATTGTGCATTTCCAACGGGGGACTTGTGCCAAAACACAGAAGCTAGAGACAAGACAAGAAAGAAGACAAAAAATATTGGGGCGATACTTTGAAATCACGATGGCGGAGGGCTGACGATGGCTTCACCTACAGGTTCGATACGCCGCCACAGAGATCGCACCCGCGAAGTCGGCCCGCGCCCGCGGTGCCTACCTCCGTGTCTCTTTCAAGAACACCCGCGAGACCGCCCAGGCCATCAACGGCTGGAAGTTGACCCGTGCTGTCAAGTTCCTCGAGAACGTCCAGACCAAGACTGAGGCTGTCCCCATGCGCCGATACGCCGGCTCTACCGGCCGCACCGCCCAAGGTACGATTTTGCCTCCTCACTTTCGCTGCCACGGGACATGGGCATGCACGCCGAAACCAATCGCCGGGCGACCCATGGCAGAAATCTTGATACGATAGTTTGGCTGCCAGCTACAGATTGCTGACAAAACCTTGACGTGCAGGCAAGCAGTTCGGTGTTTCCCGCGCTCGATGGCCCACCAAGTCCGCCGAGTTCCTCCTCGGTCTCCTCAAGAACGCCGAGTCCAACGCTGATGCCAAGGGTCTCGACACCTCCAACCTCATTGTCAAGCACATCCAGGTCAACCAGGCCCCCAAGCAGCGCAGACGTACATACCGTGCTCACGGTCGTGTATGTACCACCCATAATTCACCTTGAGAGGGGCAGCGAACGCCGTACTGACAGAGCTCTAGATCAACCCTTACATGTCCAACCCCTGCCACATCGAGCTTATCCTTACCGAGGGTGAGGAGGTTATCCAGAAGTCCGAGTCCGTCGCCGACCGCGAGCACCTGAGCTCGAGACAGCGTGGTGTTCTCCGCCGCAAGGCTATCACCGCCGCATAAACGCGGTGGTCGGACAGGTGATGGTTTAAACGCATGGGCGAAGGTCTCGTTTGAGGGTTGTATTGCTTTCACGGCTGGTGTCAAGGCGGTCAATCGTAAAGCATGGGTTTGGTTCAGGCATTGCGATTTGCGAAATGGTATAATCGCAAATTTCCCCAAAATAAAAGAGAACTTCTGAACATCTGCGGATGAGGGTACGATAAATGGGCATTTGCATTACGTGACGATTCCTACGGCAGCTAATCAAGACGATCCTACGATTTCATTACATGCCTACGTTGCCATCGAGTTTCTCCCCCTAGAGTCCTATTGCATTGACCATATTTGACGGAGTTTGTGGCAGTACTGCTTCCGGCCATGTCCATTTGCACCAGGCGATTGATGTGGGCGGAAGAAGTATTTTCGACAAATTCCATCGCTGGAACATCAACGTCAACCTGTCAAGCATTACCAACGAACTTCTGAGCGTCCTCCCAAAGCCTGTCCCATCTGTAGAAATTAAGTATAACGTAGATCGCCAAACTTTCGCAGTCATGTTCATCATCAGAAACTCCATTAATACATCAATGAGTCGTAAAGGGACTGGGAAAACCAAACCGTCAAGACCTACATCGAACTATAGGGCCTTTCCCTCTTCTGCTACTCGACAGATCTGAGGGTTGACACATAATTTCAATTTGGAAACCCCGGTTTATTTTATTTTATGTAACGTTAAAATCAAAAAGAAAAACCACAAGGTCGTCGTTAAATAGATTCCATGGTTAGAATCAAAACCAAATGGTATTGTATTTCGCCATTTGCTGGACCGTACAGCTCCTGTATGATCTTTACAACCCGGATGACGTAGCATGGCGGTATTCTCAATGATGTCTGAGACGGCCAGTATCGTATCCTCCATACATCACCACAGCATAACCGCAACACCATATTGCAAATCTTGTCTTGTCACAAGTCTAATTATGTTCGTTGGTTGCCGGTCTTCATGTTACTGCCCAAAGACGCAACGAGCTCGAGCGCATATGAAACCCCCTTGTGCTTGTTTAAGCGTCCAATGCGGCTGTAGTCGGCTATTGCCATTCGTAGACCGGGATTCCGGTACTGAATCCTGATGAATGTTCAAGGTCGTCAAGGAGCCCCTCTGCGCCGCTGTCCAGCAACAACGCTTCGGGCACAGTGATCCGGTATATTGATGCATGGGCATATCGACCACCCTGTCCTCCATGTCCGGATGTGGAAGTAGTTCCCATGACTCGTCTCTGAACTCATCTCTTTGCGGGGCTCCCTCCAGAGCTCCGAAAAGACAGTAGACGATGTCAGTGCCATTTCTACTTAAGCCGTGGTACTGCAAAGATGGAGTAGGTTCTGACAAAAGAATGTTCGCTGCTGTGGGAGGCTACGGCAGTTAGAAGTGGGGTATGGTAAAAACAGCGGCCACATACTCAAGGCGGGCTTTTCCTTGAAAGACACCATTCCAGGACGACCGGCCTGCTAGGCGAATGTAGAAGGATCAATTCTGCCTGTATTCACGGAGATGGTGGGTACCGAACCGTGCCGGTCTTTCATAGGTTGAAAGAATGGTACAACATGATGTCCCATCAGCAAGTGGAAAAGATCATGTCACCCCCAGCTTCTATAGAGAACGGAGGCTTGATATCGTGCCCGGGAGCACACTTGGTTACTGTTCATCGCGTTGTGCGTTCGGATCCCTGTTATCCACCATGTAATAATTGTTTTATTACCTTCACGAATGTCGTTGGTTCTTGTATTGGATTACACGAACTATTTTGATTTCTCCGATTTGCGATCAGTATTCCGACTCCCACGCATTTTATCTCGTTGTGTTGGTTGACGAGGTCATTCCTGTTTGGATTATTGGCCATGAAAGCATCGATCTGCAGTATTAATGAAATCCACAGCGTAGCCATGGATGACGAGAGGTATATACAAATGATTCGTTCTGGCAGTGATGCAAGAAATGATATGAAATTGTTTAGTATATAAACAGAGTTTATAACTAACTTCACTTTTTATTTGGAATGGTGGATATCTGGCGGCACAATTGTTTTGCAGACCACTCATTTTGAATAGCAAGCAAAGCATTTCTCTTTGTCTATGATCTCATGGTTTGACTAACAAATCCTCGGCAGGCATCTTAACGTCGGGCGGCCACTTGACCCCATATCGTTAATCGTTGGGCTTTTCTATAATATCCCGGCAGTCATCTGGTTCAACATTGGTCTGTTCGGTACAACAGACCGAATCTGTAGTGTCGCGCGGTCGTATCTCACTACCGGGGTGCAATACGTCATCTGAACCATTGATCGTATACACTAGGCATCTTGGCAATAACACAAGCTTTGTCATGTTCTCACTTAATTCCAAGCAACATATATGATTCAAGAGAAGCGAATTTCAGAAGATTCGAGAGTCTGTCCGGTCCCGACTGAGGTATTGGCTTCCCATAAGCTATATTGCACAGCTTCCTTTTTCTCATCTACTGAATTAATCATCAGAGCATGCTCTCGTCAATTTCATGTGCACGGCAGGGACCATATGTCCCGACCCCAAGGCAATCAGTGTGCTGGGACATCTTTGATATCGTTGTGCAATATTCTTGATGTTGAAATCCAAGACTTGAGTCGCGTCTCTAAAGTCCCTCGATGAAAGCTCATAAAATAACCGATAAATATCACGCGTTTGCTGTTATTTCGTAGTCTTGTAAGCGGGCCGTTTGCGCCCTCTCGGCTTTCATAGAGGGCATACAAACCGGGCGCACTCCACTTCCGGCCACCCAACATCCATCTCAGCACACTCTAGTCGGGCGTGATCCTGCTGCGCCATTGTGTTCTCAAAATAAGAACTTCGGCACGAACCGCTGTGGGTATTTGACTTTCAGTAATTACCGATGGTCTGGCACTCGGAACGTGCCTTGCAGATGATCTGTCGCTTGCATAAACTGTTTTCTACACATTCGATATTGACTAGGCCAAACAAACGATGTTTGACAGTGGTGGAGCTTTGATTGAGAGGGACACTCAGATAAGCAGTCGACAAACTAAAAATAAAAATAAAAATAAAAATACGAAGATGAGTTCCAATAACGGCACGCACACATAGAAATGTTTGGAGTAGGCAGCGCACTAAAACGATGCACCCGCATGGGTTTGCCTTATGATTTGATTGTTTCATAATTAAATTATGTGATTCTAACCGGTGAGCAGCAACAATGCCTGTGGCTAGTCTGGCCAGTCCCATGGACGTTATCATATCGAGTAATATCCTCAACCGAAATAATGCGGCCGGCATAGAAGTTACACATGTTCCATGCATTCTTTTCAGCTGAGGTCGCTTCGTGGTGCCGTCTCCAAGCAGGCTCTGGCATTCTAATCTGCATATCATACACAATGCAGTCCGAGATAAGTTGGCCTCCTGCCAGAGCCCTATGGTATGAGATTTGGCTGTACCGCTGATCCCCAGCACCATGATAACGATATACTGGTGCAAGCAGCAACATAGCGAGACTTATTGCACTTTATCGCAGTGCCTAGGCGCGAGCCTTGGGAGGAGCCGTTGAAGAGCATGTTAGTATTGTCGATCAGCAGTGGTTACGCGGCGGAGAAGCTGCCGGGTAGTACTGAGATATCTTAGGCAGATGTGGTCCTATGCTTGGGTTAGGGCTGTCGCGTTGTGGACTCCCAGTGCGAATGGCCCCGCTTTCCGTCACTACGTACCTCCCGTCAAAAGTACTTCGTGCAACCCTCAAACAGGGTTTGGGACTGCCTTCCTGTCTAGGACAATTCGCCTGACGACTCAGAGTCTCCTCCACGGGCCACTCTCAGATTACCGTGGCATATGAGAAATGAGTCATCATATGGACGAGCACAATGAAGCATCTCGCGGCAGGGACGGGCCGTCGAGCGTTCATGACAATACAGAATCGACTGCCGAGTAGAGCACTTCTGCTGAATGGCCGAGGCAAGTGAAGCCAATAACAAAACATGGTTGACCTATGATACAGTCTGTCAGGGTAGCTTCGTGCTGTCAATCTGTGGTTAGATTTATTTTGATCAGATAACGCACACTAGAGCAAGGCACTTTTGGCAACACGCAGCTACTCTCTCGCGATGAGTTGTATTTTTCTACCTAGTATAGCTGATTTAGTATACTCCAAGTCATGAGAATATCTCTCCAGTGTTTGGCTAATACCGGTGTTGGTACGCACTTGAGAAGATTTAACTCGCCGCGGTTGGTGGAATCTTTTGTGTCTGGCATTTCATGTCGTTCCAGTGGGCAGCCGGTTATCACATCATTGTTCATATCTCCCGGTAAGGCTGTGATTCTTGCAATATAAAATGTGACATATTACGGACTGTTCGCTAGCAGACCGCCCGGTTGTTAGTCGAACTTGATGTTTAGTCGGACTACCAGAAACTTAAGACATCATGCTGCCATTTATCTATGTCGAAACCTTTGAAAATTGTGCAAAATGTGCCGAAAAGCACTTCAACCTCCAAAGGCGACAACCGCAGTTTCTGGAGAAGCCATCGATTGATGTAGTCCTCCTTACTTTCATTTTCGGAGATTGCAAGTAAATGTTCTATTCCAAATTCTTTCTTTGCTTCTTCAACAAACTTGTCTTTTTGTTTGACGGCTGATGGAAGAGAAGCTGCCATCCGCAGAGACTCCTTGGCCGTACGAGGTATCGGATCCTGAAGTAGATGCTTGGGGTTGGAGAGGAGATATGGGTAGAGCGGGTGAGCAAGTGACTTGGGGCCGGGCTTTTGTGAGTATTCCGGGGGTTCTGGCTGCTCCAGAAAGATCTCGTCCGGGGGGGTAGGGTTACGCCAGTATCCTTCTTGCTGGAAGGGAGATGCTTCCGGAATAACTTGCTTCAGTCGGCACTCCTGCTCAAGCCTTGTAGAAGTGGCAAACCAGTGGTTGACATCATCTTGGGCCTTCCGCTCATACAGTTCATAGTCCCGTAAGAAATGACTGTCATCTTCGGTCAAGTCCTTCGGCAGCATAGATTCTAGTAACTGCTTCTTTGATTTAACATAATTCTGCCATTCGATCTGATTTCGAAGCTCCATCAAGGCATTCTCAAACCTTTCAAATAAGGGATGCACAAGGCGTGACCTTACGCCCTCGATTCCGCGAAGCGAAGCCACGGAAGGCGAGCGCGGTATTGACTGGTTCGTGAAAAATTGATGCTCTTCCAGCTCGACTTGTAATTCCCCCTCGTGGTAATCGTCGATAAGCTCGTATAAAGTTGCTTCTTCCGCCTGTAGGTTAAGATCGCTACGTTGTGCTTCCTTGAATAGCTGGTCCAGTTGAGGATTTTGAGGTAAGAGTTTCTGTATGGCCATGCGCAAGTCACTATTTGCTTGAGTACGTCTCTGACGGATATCAAATAGAACAGCACGTTGGTTGTCGACCTGCGTCCAAGCGGACCGTTGCGCGCTTCTCTGCTCTTGTAACCTCCTAAATCGCCTCCGAAACAGCGACAGCTCGATCGTCCCAGTAGACCCTCCTTCGTCTGTATCTGGGTCAGACTCACTTGTCACATCTAAGTCTGATGCTTCCTCCTCGAGGTCTGTCAACGAAACAAGTCTTCGTATACTATAGTCTCGATTTTCTGACATAGAAAAAATATGCCGCCTCTCATATACTGAATCGTTATCTATCGAGCTATTTTCGGAATCTACCGAAGCTTGGTCCTGATCGAAGCCAGTAGAAAGAGCAACAGCACTACTACGTGGCTTGGTTGCGCTATGTTGACGCCCTCTAACCTCTCTATTGACTCCTGAGCTAAGACTACCAGGGCGATCCGCTGCTGCATGACGCTCACTGTACGCGGCATAAAGTTTGTCCATATTTACTGCGATGTGTTTGATGTGTGCTGAAGAGCGTCCCGACGGAAGTGGCGGTGCATGAGTAAAGTCAATGAAGCCCACACCAGTTGCAATAGATGATGTGCAAGACGTTGTTTGCAGATTACTGAAGTGATCGCCAGCGCTGGAGTCATCAAGCTCGCCATCTTCCTCCACAGCCACGGCGGACCACTGCCTGTCGACCGTATGCCATCCTTTAGATCTCTCAGTGCACCCATCTTGTTTAGAAAATGACGATAAAGACCTAGCCTGAGGACCAGGTTTAAGTCCGTCGATGGCAGAAGCACTATATGGATCGTCGCGGTTGGACATTGTGTTATTGAAGTGCTATATCGCGCGCAGTACACAAAAACCGAGAATTATTGAGATTATAAAGGCCAACTATGCCGGTCCATTTATCATCCTGATTATTTGTGTTTTCTTCTTTCAAAACAATAAATGTGGCAGGAAATAAGGCTGGCACAAGGTGCACACCGACTGTCTCATGTAGCACGGGGGCCGGCCTTCACACCGGTAGACTGTAACCTTGACATCCCGCGCACGGGTGTGGCATTCCCGTGTTTGCGCGCTGACCCCCCAGCCTTGCAACTTCCCGACACAAATATGTAAGTAACACTTGTACTAATACTTGGGCAGATTCGCAGAGCCTCATCAGTCAATAGATAACAGCTTGTCATCTCAAGCCTCGGGCTTTCATATCCATCCGTACGGTATCTGTTGTGATAAGAGAAAGTAGATTCATCCTAATTGGGCACCAGCTTCAATGTGGCAATGGCTGATCGGGACTTCCAGGCCTAACATTGAAAGCCAGGATTTAATCACCTCCGTGGTTTTTTTTTGTCGTAACGTACTCCCTGTGTTTTCCAGATAAATAACAATGTACGCCAGGTTCATACCTCAAAAGGCAACCCTCATGACTAGAGCAAGAGGGCCGAGATCTTAGACTATTTTCACTTACATTCATACTTTATACTACTCAACGTATTACGGACACGAGTAATAGCACCCGCCTCAGCCATGATACTTCTCAAAAATATACTTGATGCTGCACTTGGAAACCCTTCGCTCTCCGGTTCGCCTTGGCACTTTCCTACCATTTTGCTAGATGATATGCATAAGCACCCCCATGCGTATTCAACAGGCCAATGAATATTAGTTGGATTGATCACAAGCCCTTAATTCACGATGAAGCGCCAATCAGAACCTCTTTGCATAGATCCAATCATATCGTACCCACTGCGGCTTGCATACTCCGTGTTCCCTACCGTGCATAAACCCATAAGAACAGTCTCGGGGCTCCTAATATGGACTGACACCACACTTGGTGATTATTTGCAAGGATGAGCAGAGCCGCAAGACCAATCTAGTTGAAAAGGCTGTCTTCCCGGATTGAGAAATTCTTGAAACAGTCGTTTCGAGGTAATTCACCATCATTCTGTAGGACTGACTGACAGACGTCCCTATTCATTCAGTAGGCCCATCTAAACACAAATCGTCGTAATGGGTCACGGATCCAAGAAGACAAACAAGGTGCCACGCAAAAAGAAGGTGACTTTTGGCATCGATGATGGTAACCCATGGAAGGGCCCTTACCTGCATCAAGAGTACCAGCAGTTATACTACTATCGACTGGGTGCAGATGGTAGGTGGTTCTCATGCGCTTTTTACTCACATAAACTAATGCTTCCGACAACTATAGGTGAGACAGAGTTCGATTGGATCGTTGAATCAGAGGACCAGCAGCTAGATTCAGCCATCCCAAGAGACGAGTCTCTCGACGTGGCGGGAAGCTTTGACAACCTCGACATCAATGACATTCCTGGTAACGATGGTGATGCCGTGGACTGTAAGTAGATGGTAAGAATGATCCTGTTACATGGACTGGGCTAACGTTGGGCCTAAAAGCTGCCGATGCGAGTTCCTTGCCCGGTTTCACACTATCCACAACGCAAGCAAATAAGTCTCAAACACACGCACAAGGGCTAGATAGCACCGACGACTATATTGAGCTTGGGCAGACCCACTATGGTGACAATAAGGTAGTGTCGGGATCATACAGGAGAGAAAAGGAGCTAGCGCATCCCGAAAGCTGGGAGACTTTCCAGAACCCTGGCTTGAACGTGAACGTTGCGTTTCCATTAGACCCAAAAGGTAAAGGGGTTGCCGGCTGGGATGATGATGATGATGTCGAAGGAAGCGAGTCTCAGTCTAACATGGTACCAATAGCTGAGGACCCATATCTTCAGCGTATGGTTGCATGACATCTATGTGGTTGGATTGGTACTGATTGCCGAAGTCTACCAGAACGATGATGATTACTCGGAAGATATCCAAGACCATGACCTACAGTATGGCATGGACCAAAGTCGGCAAGAAAGCCGCCACCCTCGTCGCCATGGAGAGCCCTCGAGTTCTAACAGTAATACTCGCAATGCGGCTGGTTCTGGCCGGCTGGGTAAGTACTCACGGTAAAGCATTTGTTATGGGATGCCGTCGATGATATGTCCTCTATACTAAGTATCATTCAAGTCAATCGGGCCCCTGGGGGCATTGGGAGAGACACTCAACAAGTCGTCATTGAAGAGAGCAAGTTTCAGTTACCCGCAACATATGTTTACCCAGTGATTGATCAGTGATACAGCTTACCGAAAAGAAAAATCTTACAAATTCCAACCTGGAGAGGTCAGTCATAACTCTGTATCTTCCGTTTAACCGCGTTACAATCGACTAACTCCTTTGACAGGTTTTCAAGTGCGAATGGGCTGAGCCGCTTGGTGACATGGGCCCAGTGACCGAAATACAAAGTAAAGACCCAAGGGATGGTTTTTACATCGGCCCCCGACGATGGATCATCATCGCGACAGACCACGGCAACAGTTCTTGCGTGTAAGTACTTCATATGCCTAAATAACCGACTGACTGACACACATAGTCCAATTTTAACGTACGAACGAAGAGCATGCACAAAGCCGGGCATACGTCCTGAGTCGCACGGTATCGCTCACAGCTCCACAGACTACCCTCAGTTAATCTCAGGGGAACAATCGCTTGGCTTTGAGCCCGTGTCAATCCTTATGACGAACAATGAAAAGTTGTCCATTGAATCTCGAGTCAATTACTCCAAGCTTCAGACAATAGAACACAACGCACGGGTCAAATTCATCGGTTCTGTCGCGAGTGAATCTTTGCGGGTCGTACAGGACGCGGTCGATGAATGTTGGAGGAGGAAACAGATGACCCCATCGCAGAAACGCCACACATCAAAGGATAAACGCAAGGATAAATACCGCAAGAGATAATGGTCCACTCTCGAACGCAAACGGGACATTGACCGTAACGTTCGTCCGCGCCACGTTGGACAATCGCGGGCTTGCCATCAAGGCTACCGATCAGAATTACGTTAAACGGGGACGCTGTGCAGCTGGATCAATGTCAGCACAGTGTCCGCACAACAGTCTATTTTTGGGGAGGAGTTAATTGCTCGTTCCCCGGGGGGCTTACATAGGGACTTTTAAGCCGCTTTCGGATGAGGGTTGCTAGGTCTTTACCTTCAGGAACAAGATTGACATGATAGGCGAAGGACACATTGGGCTCGAGGTGGTGGTATGAAGCCTCAATGTCTCCTATATTAGGTATACGCCGCTGCTGCTGATTGCGGCTTCGGGGGCTTTTCGGCACACCTTCGTTATGGATGTTGATTGCGGCACTTACGATGTAAACGAACCTTGAGTTCGTACGATTTTCTTTTATATATTTTTTAATTTCTTTTTTAATTTCTTAGTACAGTATACCACTTTCGTTACCGCCTCCTAGTACCACGTGTTATTGTCTCTGTGCTCGATGTCATTCCGCTCGTGTTTCCTCCTTTCAAGGTTGGTGAGATGCCCACAGGCGGGGCCAATATATAGGCCAGCAAGTATAACCTCTGCTCATCACATTGAGGACTATTTATGGATATTAGGCATACTGCCGGCTTGCATGAAGCAAGACTGGTAAGTTAGAGATTTCTTGAGCTGCCACGCTAGCAAAAACCATAGCCATAGACTTTTAAGAAGTGTGTCCGCTCATGTATCGTGCCCACTTGTGCACTCTGCCATATGGAGCAAAAGGCGTATGGTGAAAATACTCAAAAACTGTTAATTCAGTGCCACAGGTGATAACTGGCATGCCAGTTGCAGCAGGTAATCCGTTGTATCTGCAAATATCTGTGAATTGAGAAGCTCATTGTATCTCATAAAATTAGTCCCTAGTTGCGCGATCATGACGTCTATCCCCAAGAGCTACGTCATAAGTGTGACAGTAGTGATCATCACCACCAACGCGGCTCTTCGCATGTGAGGAAGCAGAATGACAGATTACTTCCCGAGTCTGGGCAAGCATATCAATATGTGCGGGTAAAACACCAACATACATCAACCTACTTACCAAAATCGTGCCTTGCAGTACTCCAATAATAACAAGTATACCAGCCTCGACATGCCTTCCGGAACCGAAGCTGCACAGCAGAAGATGCAAGAGGGCATCGACAAGACCCGCCGGGCAGCTGACCGTAAGTTATACTCGACACACATCAACACGTTTTTCATCGTGCCATCATCACGTCCCGAATACTCTGGGCTGACACATTATCGTCACCGTTTAGCCAACGCCGGACCTGCTGGGACGAACCCCAAGCTCGGCAACACTGTATCGAAGCTCGCGACGGGCGACACGGAAGCATCAAATTGGACAGCCAAGGGCGGGCCTTTGGGCAACGGTACCTCGAGGGAGAAGGAGCCCGGCGGTCTATAGGAGACTGTGTCCGGGATGCAGCCTACACTGGGACGGCGGACATGGAACTGAATTAAAGACCAGCAATGTTCCAGATAGGGCAACTCATTCCTTGTCCGTTTCTGTCTAAAGTGGGTGGATTTGTACACTACATACAGGCGACGTGTGCATTATGATCGCTATAACCTAAAGCAGGAAAAAAGAAAAACAAAACAAAAAACGCCTGTTTGCTACAAAATTTCCTTTCGACGCTTCCCATTGATGTGACCATAACAGACTTCGTGTGTGCGCGGGTGTGCGCGCGGGTGTTGGCATCGTTCCTCATGTTTTATGTTCCATACAGTTCCCATTTCTCATCGTAGATCAAGCCGTAACCTGTGCCTCGTAGCTCTATCGCTCCCTCCGGTATCCAGCACCTCTCGACCCGGCACCCCTTCTCTTCCTCCTCTCCTCCGCATAGTCGACCACATCCGTACCGCCAGCCTGACTGCTCGACAAGCCTGGGATATGGTGGGTGTACGACTTGGTGCCGAGATCACTCTCTTCGTTGTCCTGGATCAGGGGCAGAGTGCTGCTGGAGATATCGCTGCGGTTCACGCCTTCCTCCACGATGGAGTCGCCATGTCTGAAACTGAAATCGCGACGGCTAGAAGCAGCCTGGCGACCCTTGGCCTGCAATCGTCGTGCCTCGGCCCTGATGCGCTCTTGCTCCTGTGCCGCGTTGCGATCCGCGACACTGTAGACCTTCCTAATACCGCCCTTCTTCTTGTCGGGCGTGTTGGTTGGCGTGCTCTGGCGACCGCTCAACAGGGAATCGGAGCCGACGGTTGAGTTGCTGGGGTTTGTCGAGCCATCCCACTGACTGCCCTCGGACTCCTTGTTCAGACCGCCGACCCTGGCCGGCTTCTCGTGGCGGTAGTGACGCATGGCTTCCTTAGCCTCCAACTCGGCCTCCTCGTCGATCAGAGCGCCGTCCTCGCCCACCTTGCGGCCACTCCGGTCCTTGCGCTGCTTCTTCTTTTCCTTTTCGCGGTCGCGCTTCTCCTTCTCCTGAACCTTTCTCCGCTTCTTGGCCTCTCGCTTTTCTCTTGCCCCAATGTCGCTGGGCCCGGCCGTGATACCTGACAGAGTAGAGCTTGTGTCGCCGCTGAGGTGACTCATGGTCAGCCCGCCAGTGTACTCAGTCCTGCCGTCATCGATATCCTTGTAGACGCTTCCGCCGCCTAGCTTGGTGCTCTTGGTGGCGTTACTCAAGATGGTGCCGTTCGGACCAGTGCGACGCAGGACGGTGGACTTGTAGTCGTCCCAATCGTTTTCTCTGAACTGGAAGCCGCCGTTCTTGGCCCAGAAGAAGAACCAGATACCTGTCACGACGAAGGCGACACCGATCAGGGCGAACAGGGCGAACATGGCATTGTTGTTGATGTTGTGCGGATCGATACTGCCCCTGGAGGGATCGATGTCGGACGTGGTGTCATCACGTGCAACCAGCAGCGAGCGTGCTGCTAGAGGTCCGAGCTGGTTGATGGAGGGCGTCGCGGGTGATCGTTGTTGGAGCTGCTCGCCATCGGGGTTGGAGACTATGGCACGCGACAACAAGGTGCGGGCACCGGCTGCTAGCGTTGGCAGCAGTGGTGCCATCTTTGCTGGATGCTGAGAATGCTCGTCCTTCTCTGCGGAACTTTGATCGAGGACTTTCCGGTATAACGGCTGGGTATGGACGATCACAACTGACCGGTGGTGGTCACGGATTACCTATCAATCGGATCCGAGGAGATGAGATGGTGATGTTGCTTGGGAGTGACTAGTCTAGACTACACAAGCGACTGCTGTAATAGCTGCTGAAAATACCAGGAATTCTGTCAGACTGCCCTTTTTCGCTGTGTCGTGCAGGTGTTTGTCGGTTGTTGACGCAGGAATGGATGAATGAGGAAAAGCAGAATCTAGTCAGGCTGAAGCAGCTCGTTGTCCAGTGGTCTCCTATGGTGACATGCAAGGGCACCTGTGCAATTGACGAGGTTGGGCTGGCACATGCTGATTTAGAGACGAGGTTGGGAGATTCGATTCGATTAGCAGGCGTTCAGGTGTGGGGGTGGAACGTCATCAGTAAACAACCTCTAGCGTTGCCAGGCAACTGTATTCACACCTATATTAGTTAGTGCTCTGTTATAGCATCTACAGACCCGTACCTATTGTCCAAGGTTAGACTGCCGGCGCCCAGCTTTTGAGTGCTTGCGTTAGCGCCCCAGCGACCGTCCCCACCTCCACACCTTCTCTCTGGCTTTCCTGAGTGAGCTCTAATTTACATACAACCCATCACCACAGGCTTAGACTGATAGTAGCATTGCATTGAGGGTACATATTGGCGGACTGTATAAAAAACACACGTTATAAACGTGTTTTTCATTTTCTTTCCTTCCAAGATTCGTCCACCCTGGGATCGCATCCAGTCCCGATTTGTCTGGCCGTCCCCCCAGGCCTGGTTTGAAACACCACCCGTATCGCTAGCCGCTCTCGGGCTTGCCGGCGTGTCCTCGACCTGGCAAACACTTGGGCCGACAGGACGCTTCGTGGAGGACTCGGCGGCTGCTAGTTATTCCTGGGAATGCATCTGGTTTCAAATAGCCCTCATGGCATGTGAGCTCCCCTCACAGGGCGGCCAATGTACCAATTGTACATCCAAGTCGCACAAGCATAAGCGCATCCCTGTTATAGCCATGACATAGTCAACCAATTAACATTATTGGCCGTATCTAGGCAGTAGGTACTCGTCGGTAGGAGACAACAGAAAGATATCTTCTAGACTTGGCGGATTTTCTATAGGAACAAGTCGCACAATAAGACCACGGGTACATGTGTAGAAAACGTGGTAGCACAGACAATGTTACATTGTATAGGGGTTGGGTATCATATATGGTCCACAAACGACAACACTTCAAAGAGCTGGCTGTCGTCTCAATTCCATTGAGGAGGGAGTAGCCCCCAAGCACCATGTATCTATATTGAATCATGGCATTTGTGTCCAAAAGAGAAATGCCATCCGAAGGTCGCCCCCAATTTCATCGCCATCCCGACGTCGTCCCATTATGCTCATCATCATCATCATGTTCATGATTCGGTTTTCGAACGCTCACGCTACAGGATACCAGTCTTTCTCCCAGATTGAAACTCTCCACTCCGCTAGGGAGCACTCATCATCAATCCCATCAAAGTGACAAGTTCCCACGACTTCAGGTCACTTTCCCGACCAGTGAATAAAATCCAGAACCAAAGTGAGATGGCAAGTCTCTTTGTCGGGGATGTATCCCAGCCAACAGAAGTGTGAACTTCAATGCCCTTGCAGTCTATCAGTCCAAAACAAACACTGGACGCCATGCAAATGCGAACGACTTGGCTGTAAAGCACATGGTATCGCAATGGGTAGCATGGCACAGCCATATCTTGCACAGTGTTTCAACGACAAAACCAGAACAGACTTCCTTTCCCACGGATCCAAAACCCAGAATTAGTCCGTGCCAGGCCACCTCGACAATGTGCTCTTAAAGCCGTGGCCAGTCGTCTCGTAAATCATGTCTCATATACAAAAGCGCCAATGCGATATCCTTAGCCAAGAAAACAACATGAATTATTCCCCCTTTGCCCTAGCCGTTTGTCGTCCATTTCAAAGGGGTATCAACTTTTTTTCCTTTCCGCGCGAGGAAAGACAACGGAGCAACAACAAGCAGATTTGACTAGGATATAAGGGGATATAACGGGGTAGAGAAAAATACAAGCAATGTTGTATGAAAACTGGAAAGAAATATGAAGAAAGAAGAGGAAAACCCTCAAAAGCTGTATCAAATTGGAGATTGACGTGGTTCGAATCAACAGCCACGGACTCAATCGTCATAGTCGGATTCGTCATAATGTGTCCCCGGGTAAGCAACAGGATACCGCGGAGCATAGGTGTAATCATGAAAGGGATAAGATGGCGCGTGGTGTTCGGAATACGTGGGTCCATGTCGCTCGGGATATTGCGCATGGTCCTCAGGATGAGCACCAAGAAGAGCTCGTGGGCGTCGGGAATGCACACTCTGAGAACTCGTCCGGGTCCGGTTTGACGGCCTCTCTGATTTCGGCGCCCGGCTTCTGCCATCGTCATCATAAACGGTGCCCCGTTCACTGCCGCCGCCACCACGGCCAATATTAATTTCTCCGCCGTTGGTGCAGTTTATCTTGGCATTGCCGACCTCAACTACAGCACCGCTAGGTACCTTGATGGTGATGTCATCGTCGTTGCTGCTTGACCTGGTGGTTCTCGTCGCCGCAGATTGCTTGAAACTGCTCTCATCGCGGCTGGCGGTGCTTCGTGTCGAACGGCTGCTTCCCCCATTTTTGATACGGCGCAGGTTTTCGTTTGTCAAAGCCGTGCTAGTGCCGCCAGTCGCCTCCAGGTATCGGCTGGCATTCTTGACCTGATCGTCGAGCTGGTATGAGGCAGAGCGTCGGTTCTCGCGTCGTGACGACTTTGAAGCGGCAGGCTCAATAGAATAATCGTCATCCTCGAAATATTCTGGACCTAAACTGTGGCGTTTTGATCTAATGGGCATTTTTGTGAAATCAATGGAGCCGCGTCGATCAACGTCCCGGTATAGCCTCGCATCTGCTTCGCTAAAATCGTCCTCGTCGAAGCCAACAGATTTCCGAGGATGGGAATGCTGTTGTTGTTGTTGTTGTTGTTGTGGTGGTGGTGGCGGTTTGAAGGCCTGACGGGGCTGTGTCGTCTGGGAACGAACAGGCGGCGGCGGCGGCATCAGGCCACGATCTTTCTGTTCCTTACTAGGCCTCGTTGACAACGAAGGCTTCCGTGCAACGAGCTTTTGTGGCGGCGGTGGCGCATCATAGTCATATATGCTCCCATGGGAGCCGACGTGGTGTCCCATGGCAGAAGATGGGCGGTGATGCTGTTCTCCCCGCGCGAACCGGGAAGCTAATGCGTCTGAGCCCCGGGCAAAGTAGTCCTCGGGGTGGGCCATGGGGGACGATGCCAAAGGAGACGAACCCAACAGCGGCCCTCCTAGCCATGGCGGCGGTGGATATGAAGTGGGAGGCGCTTGGGGTCCTGGAGGATAATATGCCGATTGCGACAGAGGCGGTCGCTGGCCATAGTAGGTTTGAGGACGGGAGGTCAGAGCGCGCGGCCGCGACGATGCTGGAATGGTATGGTGATCTGCCATTCCATAGTACGAGGCTTCATCATGGTGTCGTACAGTCCGGCTGGGTGCTGTCTTGGAAGATCGTACGATGGGTCGTTGTTTCTCTGGCTCTTTGCCCTTGCTCCTACTGACAGAGTGTCTCTTGTCCTTACTCTTGTGCCGGCTAGAGCCCGAGGCATGTTCGGTTGAGTCTGATTCTTCTGGTGAACTCAATTCGGTCCGTCGCGATGCCTTCTTCTTGCCCGTGTTCATTTGCTGCTTCACCGGACTGCCTGGGGCAGATGCAATTGTAGACTTGGCATATCTTCGAGAATCTGCCATTACGTTGCCGTCCTCGTCCGCGTCCTCGAAGAATGCAGCGCTGGGCTGGGGCCTGGGCATTTTGTAACGTCGAAGCTTGGTCGACCTTTACAGTTGCATGTGAGCGAAATCGATCGTGGTAGGATGCAAAAACCCTATAAGCCTCAAAAGAGGGCGGGTCCTCGATTTGAGGTGTACGCCCCAGTTTTGTTCGATCGGTCGTGTATGTCCTTGAAGAGTCTTGAATGAACAAGCGAGTTTGGGTTATAGGACGCAGAAGTATCTAGCAAGCGGTGAACGGGAATGAATGCATGCGAAGAAATTCTGTGATTCTGGAAAAAGAATCGCTCAAGGTGGGCGGGACTATGGTTTGGGAAACCTCCAAAGGTGTTTTGACAGGCCAGCAGGCGAGGGGGGGGGAAGAAAAATAAAATGCCTGCGACAGTCGATGGGTTTTGTTTTTGGCCCTTGGGCCTTGCGGGTGGGCAGAAGGATATTGGATGGTCTGGCTGCGACAGCGGGTTGCCAGGTAGGGATGGTGGCAGACAGTACAGTATGTACTCGTCGCCTTTCGTCAGTCGAAATGCTGTGACACCGTCCAAAAGAGGGGAGACAGTGTGGCAGAGGCGGCGGAATGAGTGCGACTTTGACCGAAGGAGCGCAGCTGGGGGAGAATGCTGGTTGGTCTTCCGGAGCAGGGGTCCAGGTCAAGAAATGCAACTTTCACAGGGAACCGTTTTTTATCGATAGTGGTCACAACGGAGACCGGGGGGGAGATCCTTGGTGATCGTCCTTTGGGGCGGGTGTCACTCAAAGACCAAGACCCAGAGACGATTGATTGACAACGGGTTGAACGGGGTAGCGGATTGACGGCTGGGCTTTCTAGCGAGAAACGGTGGCTACCCAAAGGTGGATCGGATACCCGAACTATGGGCCTGATAAATGTCGCTGCCCACAAATATGGTAGCCGTTGGAATGGCTCTGTCGCCTTATGGACCTCTCGTTGATCGCCTTCGTTGCTGAGCTGTTTTCCGGATTCTAGATTCCTTCCGAAACTGGGGTCTGCCGGCTTTTGGGTGACGATTACGGAGTCAACGTGAGCCAGAAATCGGGTTCCTTGAACCCAATCAAGTAGGGTCGACGAGTGTCGACGATAGTTATTGCGACAGTTGGCAGGATGTCTCCCAGAAAATCTGATACAAGACAATGTCAAACGTTGGCTAGCGCTGAGTTAAATCTTCTTGCGCGGCCTCACTTCAACTGAATTAGTCGAACCCTGTTCATCAGGCACACGGTGCGCTTGGGTCCGAGTGTGGTTGACTGATCTAAGTGGCCAGCAGAATTGATGCCAACCGTGATTGCAGGATTGGAAGAAACAGAGCAGGAGGCGAAAAAGGAGACACGCAGTCCACTGAGAGGACGGAACGGCGCCGGAGAAAAGCTCAAAGCTGACTTTGTGTTCAGAGCCTGGGGTTAGGTAGATGCCCGACTGCGAGCTTTGGGTACCAATACTGCGATCGAGTGACTGTAAATTCAAAGCGAGCCTCTCAGACTGTGTTGCCAGGCTCATAGAGTCATGTGAAGTAATGCCTCTTGCCTCGTATTTTCTCCAAGATTTCAGGATGCGAGTGAAGGAAATGGTTCGCCTGAAGAGAAGTTGGCAATACCAGGAATCACCCGGAGTTTCTCGTCGACAGTTTACGATGATGCTGGTCTGCGTCCACTCGGCGGCAGCCTTGAGTTTCCATTTGCCAGCAAGCCCGGTAGGCAGAAGATTGTGCCAGCGCACACCATTCCATGCTTTCATGCTTCCCCAGCCGTGAGGCCCGGGTCTCATTGGATTTGGGTGCTGCCTTTGCAGCAATCATGCATAAGTCCAAGTCACCATGGACTTCTGTCGCTGGGGTTGGGCACGGAAGCAACGCCAATCGCGGGGTTCGAAATATACTAAAAATTCATCGTAGGTTCTCTTTCTGACTCCACAGCCAGTGCGTGCTGTGCAATACTAATGTAAATCATGCATTGGCTTCGTCATAGGTGTTCCTGAATAGAACAGAGCGCGAAAGTTTCGTTCTCAACTATGATCATGTTGCAGCATACTCGTCTGAACGTGGTGAGTATAATCCGCACGGAGTTACTGGTTATATGTCCAGGGATAACCATGCATGAACCGCATTGAAAGAGGAAATTCGTGTTCCGCCTCAGTAAAGCGCCGTCTGGCATTGCGACATCTTTCTTTTCCACATGGTTGAGACTAAAATTTTAGCTCTTCACTATGCATGATGCTATGCGATGGCTAAATCTGACTGGCATCGGCGGGATGGACCCAGTCACGGGAAATGCCAAATGGATGTCCAACCGTGAAACAAGCATAATGTCAATTTATTTCACCGCAATGGGCCAAATGGCTACATGGGAGTATCAGACGTCGTAGAGTGCCTCAATTACTGCGAATTGGTTGGTCTGGATGTGATCGAGAACAGAACAGACAGTCGAGACTATCCTGGCATTGCATATCTGCGTGTCAATCGTGTCAATCTGAGCAAATGAGTAAGCCGCGATTAAGCAGCCACCCATTCCAACGGCTCGTCAGCAGGCCCATGCTTATGGATGTCCTGGATACCTCGAACCGACTTTGACTCGGAGGTTAGATAGACGACGGGATGACTCAAGCCGCAGAAAGAAAGGTAGTTGCAGCATAGAGCATGGAGGTAGCTGCAAGAAGCCGAATGTAGTCTGGACCAAGTGACAATCATTGGCACTTCGGGATCAATCAATATGGTATAGATAGTACAATTGCGACGATTATCAGTATATGCATGAATCGAGCCTGAAGAGTGGATCCGATGGTCGAATGTGAATAGGATCGAATAAGACCTCAAGCCACGGGACGGGACAGTACTCCAAAAGTGAGGCTGAAAAGCAACCGAGGGCGACGATACGAGCGTCCAGCAGTAAGCCGACTCGCATCGAACCTCTCGCGATTCTGATAAGTCGCTAACCTATAGAGAATACAGAAGCAGGCACGTATATAATACACAACCTGTCCAATTGTCTGGTGGCGATTCGACAGCGAGAAAAGAGCGGTGAAGACTCGGATGGTATCGAAATCCAAGGCGATTTTTGGTTTCGACGCAACAGTGTGGGATCCATTCGTTGAGGAGACCCCGCCGAGATGCAGCGAGCATTTATCAGCTGCCATACAACCCAGAATGCTTCTAGGTTAGTCTACTGTAGTAATCTAGCTGATGAAGTGCCCAGGTAGCAATTCTGCATTATTGATAACCCAGAGGATGTGCTGTCGAGGAAATCGCAATCTTGGATATTTTCCCTCGATGCAACCGGCAATCACCTTTGCCCCAAATTGGCGCTGATAAGTATGAACCTCTACTTCCCAAGATATAGTATCATCACAGCAGATGCCAAGTGAGATCAGATTTGGGTTTGCGTGGCAGCATGCGATGCATTGTCGGCGTCTTCGCACAAGGTTTGACCTTCCCGGAAAGCCAGCGCAGCCTCCACTATGGTGTAAGCGACTTGACGTGCAGCATTTGAGCCAGTTCACGCAGCAAGAAGATATGATATCATCATACCTCCTCATAATCTGGATTCTGGATTGCGATATGGTCGAGATGTGACTGCCATCAGTGCTGTCGTCGCGTAGCCGCTACTCTCAGGTCTTCAGGTTCTTTCGCCTCTCTTGTCGCAACACCTCGCGCTGCATAAACCTCGAATGAATCTGCGCCAACTAAGAAGCTGTCTTCTGGATAGAGAGACCGAAATCATTGCCTGGATAAGACTTGATCGTTCAATCAGTCTGTGTACCAGGTTTAGTCCGTATCGACGGAAGGGCCAAATCTTCTTGAAAGATTTCAAAGTGATCTTCTCTCGTTGTCCAGCATGCAACCGTCGCCTCAGATTCTTACGCTCATCACATCTTGGCATGATGCACGCTGGGAACTTGACTAATTTCCGTGGAAGCGTTCCAGTGTGCGTGCTGGTATTCGCCCATAGATAGAGTCCAACAAGCCAGTCCCTTCATTATAGCATCTACATCTAGTGATATGGTATTTGTAACACACGACGGCCAGTCTAGGTAATGGTTAGAGATTTATACAAGATAGAGGATGTTCTTGACTTACACCGTATGTGTGGATGGGCCGCGAGCCATAGAAACAGACCAAAGCCATATAGCCCTGGAGCAAGCTTGTCTTTACCAAATCTCAAACCTCCGGATTGGCGCTTTTAAGTAAAATCTTCGCAGACCCATATGCATTAAACACGCTGAAAGCTAGTGAGCCACACGAGCAGGGGTTTTGTCAGGCGTGTAGCTGTAAAAACAGTGCCTCACGATGGTTGGACAGCTCGGTAAGAACATGCCAAAGATAATGTCATAGTGATACAGCCGGATCAAGTTTACCAGATCAAAGCCGCTCATGTTTGGCGAAGGAATGACATTGGGCAGCAGGGAATAGTAGACCTTCAATATCTCTTGAAACGCGTTATAAGAGGCAGCGTGTCATGACCAATGCTGCTTATCCAATACCTATTGACGCTACCGCGTGATCCACTCAGCCCTATTTAGTATAGGTAGGATCAAAGCGAAAATCAAGCTTCCAGCATATGCGGCTCTGGTGTTTTAGTTCGTAATGGACCAGTTTGGTCCCATCTTTCACGACCCAGCGGTGTGGTTGAGATGTCAAATTAGAGCCAAAATGCGTGATTGCAGCCGCAGGAACTTCAGCAGGACCCGCACGCGTTGGGCATTATTTCGACGCGCATAAAAGAGTCGATCCCGGCGTGTGCTGGTGTTGGGTGGCTGTTTTACCATACCCATGACTCCTCAGCTTGCAGACCGATAAAGCACAATTCATTTTTAGCACGAGAGAAATGTCAAATCGAGCTGAAGTCATACTGTAGTACAATCTCGATGCACGACTCAATAGCCTTCACTGTTCCTATTCTTCCACGAGTAAGTGTTGGCGCTGACAATCAATACAACAATACCTGGGTACGGTCCAGCAACCTGTGATTTCGAAGTGATGACGTTCTAAATACGGGTAGAACCATATCACGACCTGTAGCACTCGTGCAAACGAATTTGAAAGCCCCCGGTCGATTGAACACACAAACTAATTGGATAGGGACTAGCAAATATCGACTTCATACTAGCATTAGCCTTGCGCCAGCACGACTATCACCGCCCAGCCAGTAGTAAGCTTTGAATGGCCCATTCAGATACAGCCAGACATAATCTAGGTTTGATCGACCCGCAAGATCTGGCGCGCATACGATCAGCATCAATGACCCTGAGATCTATCTAACCATGCAAAGAACGGGCTGTAGTTGCATACACAAGTCCTGTTCGGGACATGTTTACGAAAGCGACTTTCACATTGAGAAGAAGTCCACCAAAATATCGCATGCCTCGCTATCCAGCACCAATGGTCAGTATTGTATGCTGTCAACTTATCATGATGACGATGAATGCCTCGGAACCACAGACAGTTGCGGTGCTCCCATGTTGTCATAGCAGATGGAAATGCCAGAGATAAAGGTTTTCGCGAGTGTCATCTGATAACGAATGAGGTAGGATTTCCAACACTAAACCCCAATCTCCACAAAAGAAGCGCGAAAAGCCGGATTGTAGATAAACTATTCCTATTTCTCAGCCCCACTAGTTTGCGGTCTGGTCGGGTGGCTTTCTGACCGAGAACCAAGCGATCATTTGCCCAGCAAATAGATGCTACCACACAGCCTCTCCATGTTCGAGCTACTGTCTTACGCATAATCGTATTGCGAATCATGGCGGCTGTACCACGCGTCGAGCACTGAGGCCGGCTTTGCAATGATTCCTTTGAGGGTCTCAGGGCACCCTTGAGGCACAGCCCAGGCTACGAATTCCTTCCCATGCAAAGGTTACGGCCAGATCTCGTCTTCATTCAATCATGAGAACTTCGCGTTCACTTGGCCAGTCGGCAACTGCATACCCGACAGGGCATATGCAAGGTACTGTGCATACGCGTCTGTCGATCGGCAAGGCATAGCATTCCGGTTGTATCATCACTGGCCACAGAGCATGACTGCCTCTCCGAGCCGCGTGCATGCAAGTGTAACAATGACTCCTCCCGTGTTCACGGCAAGTTCGGCTGGCAGAGCGCGGGCAAAGCAGTCAGATGCTCCCTTCTGCCCAAGAGGTGGTGGCCTCATGTCTTAGCTTAGTGAGCTATCTCCCCGTGTGTTGGAGGGCGTCCACAAATTAACATCCTCTCGCAGCTAAATGCCATGGTAATCACCACACTACCACCGAAACCCACCGTATCTCACCCACCACCTGAGACGCGTGATTCCGCATAAGGGAATCATTACTTGGAAATTCACCGCTCCCGCGCACCTTGGCGCAGGCTTTGGCCGCTTCACTGCCATTATAGTAGCCATGAGGCCCCGCATGCGGCAATGTCCTAAATGCGATGGCGCAGGATGACCACCCAATAATCAGGCTGCCTGCTCACAAGGCAACCCATTCAGATTGGGCAATGACTGGACACATCTCGCCGGGATGCGTCCTGCAGGTTGTCCTTCTTTCTGCCTAGTGGCGGTATATAAGAAGGGCGTCGCCGCTGCTGAGCACCGTGGATACGACTTTTGTGCCTCCCGACTGATCACTTACAAAGTCGAGCATTTCTGGTCTCCTCTATCCTCTCATCTGGGCACATAGGTTTGAGCCGGCTTCAGCCCGGCGAATGTCGTTGACTGCGGTTGATACTTCTGTCGCAAGATCAATATAAATGAGCGGGATGCCACTTGGTTCTTTCCGTCACTTCCAACTCTAAACCTTCTAAGGGAACACCCCCTCTAATTATCGGTGTCATGCCTTTCCTCCCAAGTGGGACATTCCCACAAACACGGCCTGAATCATGGCCGCCGGCAACTGGCCGGAACACTCCAGTGCTGGACGACGACACATTGACGGACGATGACGATCTGGACCTGCCTCTCTTACAGCAACATCCCTTGAAATACTTTCTCACACCGCCTACACCCGACGGCGACGAAGAGTTTGACTTTCAATTTGACTTTGATGCCGGTATCGAAGATGCAAACAATCCGCAGGAGATGGTCCGCAGTATAAGCCCTTCTACACTAGATGGCCTCAAGAAGTACAAGCCGCGTGGAAGGGGTAACGGCAACGACTGTGCCATTCTTGACGATGATTCAGACGACGAAGATGACTATATCCGCTTCAAGCCAAGCAAGTCATTCCCGTTGGGATTGCCTGACTTTGGGTTCGATCGGCCCCAATTAGCTGGTCCGACAGCACAGACGAAGATTGGCAACAGCGATGTTTCATCTACGGCGTCCTTCCATATAGGATCACCACGTGGTCGGCCCGAAAAGAAGTTCTCGCCACCTCGACGTACGTTCCGGGGCAGATCTCGCAGCGTAATACTTCAGCGGAGACACTCTTATTGCGAGCCTAGCCCGAATGTTTGGTCTATCGAGGAGGAGCCCGAGAAAGAGACGCTGAGTGAGCGGGGCTTGAGTACTGAGGACCTGGAAGCGTACTTCCAGGAGCAGAAGACGCCACCCATGGACATTCCGGCGTCCAAGCCCAAGAAGAGGGTTCGATTTCTGCTTCCGGGCAGGGACTCGTTTCATTAGCCATAACACAGGCTGCGTAGGACAACCATGACACTCGGGCTATCTACATTGCATTCGAAAGGAGTTGGGGGAAACAGCTTTTCTGATTCATAGCATCATGGCAACGGCACATCATTGGACATTGCATTTAAGTCGGTTTTATACACAGATATCCCTGGCGCAGCTTCACCTAGATTGGCAGAATGGCAACATTCTTCGCAAGGAAGCATTACACATTCCATAGTTCCTTAATCAAATACATGACACTTCTAAGAAAACTATGACTAGGGATACCTCAAACACAATTTGGTCTCTAGTTCAGGCCCACGCAGGCTGCGGCGATACATCCAAGAGTGCAGCTAGGCCTGCCAATTCTGGGATGACTTGAGCAAACGGTAGTGCTCTTGATACCTCACTCTTTCTCCAGATGTTTTAGTCACTGTGCCACCATCATGCCACCGAATTTCATCTAGTACCCCCACCCAAGGGAAAAGAAAACCTGCTCATAAAGTCAGGGCCATAGGGGCACTTTGCTGACCAAAACGCCATTACAGCTTGATAGCAGGGGAATGGCGCGATTATCCACCGTTTTCTCAAGCGTCAAGCGACGCAGATTTGGGTTTGGACTTGTCGTATCAGAGCATCTCAATGCGGCTCTTGGAAACCTGAGGATGGTGGTCAGCATCGTTAGCTTAGGTGATACCGAGCCACCAGATTGGGATGGAAGCGGTCTGGAGCATTCTGCTTTTGATCGATGCAAAAATAAGCCATGACTGACATAAGCTGTTATAAGAAAGCAAGGAAGTGGCTCATGAGCAAACCAAAATGGTAACAATTATGATATATGACTGCGCTAGATAACAATCACATCTTCCACCCGAGGACTGAGTAGGCCAACCCACGGCCATCCCGGTCATCTCCGCCCCAAGGGCAACACAAGGTAGACGGACGTGATACTTTCCGGGTGTTGTATTAACCGTGGCTTTGTCAGAAATAGTAGGTATTGGCCGTATTACTTTGTGGCAAGTCCGACATTTTGGCATGAGGTGGCGACGAGACCTATCTCCGAAGAGTAGATCACTTTTATAAAGACACATGACAAACATAGATGGATTCGGCTAGGTCTAAGAGATCTCGGATGGCTGCGAAGCTGCTCATGGTCACCACGGCAAATAGCATCGAAGCTTCTATAATTATATAGTCCAACCTAGTCTAGCAAGTGACGTCGGGCTATTGTTAACTGCATGCACGCCCACCAAGAAAATATCAGAGAAGATTTTCGAAACCGAGCTGTATGTTCCGCCGGAACCAACTTGGTGAGGATTTACTGGTAGTGATCGCGTCCCGGCAAATGGTTGTTATAAGCGAAGGTGAGGAGGGCTCCTCCGAGTTCGTCAATGTCCGAAGTACGATGGCTGGAGGCAGAAACAATCCCTGCAGCCAAGGGTTTGCATGCAGGTGCCCATAGCGGGCTTGTTCCCCACAGAATGGCCTGTGCGAATGGACTTGCCGGCGGCATCGGCGGGAACCCTACGGGGCCCTGGGGGCTTCACAAGCTCGGAACGGTGCACTGCAGTAGGTTAAGTCACTACATGCGGAATTGTATGTACAGCAGAGCTCTGGCCCACAATTTTTGGGGACCAAATCAAGGTTAATCGTCATTTATCTGCAACTCCTGACTATCTCCAGCGGATCTCCAAGTCGCTATTCTCTTTCTTTTTCTTCGCCAAATCTCCCTTCTGGCATTCACTTCGCGGTGTGCATCTACTGCATTACTTCTTTCGTTTTGAGTCTGCACCATTCACTCTGAGTGTCGGACTGCACGATCATTCCTAGCGTCGTAATTGACACCCGTTCCAACGCTTTCAAACCCAGCCACGCCAGACTCTGTGGTGAGCACGTGCCTCATCGATACAGGCTTTGAATACCAATTTGGAGCCATGCCAGCGCTCGCATTGGGTTCAACATAATCGAATCAGCTCGCCTGTGCATCATGGGATTTCGTCGCGCACGGCTTGTCCTTGCAGTCGTCATCTTCTGGGTTCTTGCGTCATGGTACTATATATGGTCTCCAGTGGAGGGGCCTTCGCAATCCTCTCCTCTCGCGCCCTTGGCTGATGGATCAATAACGTATGGAGACGCCCTGGAAAATATACACTGGAAGCCGCTGCCCGCGAAGTACCCAGTGAAGAAGCTCACGCCGCTACCGACAAACACACCAACTGCGGTCATACCGAAAGTCCAGACTACTAGACCGAAAGAGGATGACGCCGCAAAGAACACGAGATTAAAGCGCCTTGCTGCTGTCAAGGCTAGCTTTCAACACAGCTGGGCTGGCTATAAGAAGTATGGCTGGCTGAAGGATGAAGTAACCCCGATCACCGGGAACTACAAAAACCCCTTCGGCGGGTGGGCCGCCACACTGGTGGACTCGCTGGATACCCTGTGGATCATGGGTCTGGAAACTGATTTCCTGATGGCGGTAAAAGCTGTTGACTATATCGATTTCACAACAACCCAGGCCAAAGATATAAATGTTTTCGAAACAACAATCCGATACCTAGGCGGGTTTTTGGCTGCCTATGAGCTAAGCGGGAGGAAGCATGCAAATCTTCTGGCCAAAGCGCAGCAGGTAGGACAGTTACTGATAGCGGCTTTCGACACTCCAAATCGAATGCCAGTCTCACGCTGGAATTGGCGCAAGTATTTGGTGGGCGAAGAGCAGACAGCACCTCGCACGGCACTCGTCTCCGAAATTGGCTCTTTGAGTATGGAGTTTTCCAAGCTTTCACAATTGACCGGAGATATGACATGGCATGATGCTGCTCAGAGAATATCTGATCAGGTTGAGATGGGTCAGAAGGAGACCTACCTCCCGGGCATGTGGCCCGTTACGCTCGACGCTTCCAAAACACCACTAGCTTTCACAGGCGAGACTTTCACTTTGGGCGGCATGTCCGACTCCTTGTACGAATACTTTCCGAAACAATACATCTTACTTGGTGGTGCGTTGGACCAGCCGCGCAGGCTTTATGAAGGCTTTATCGACGTGGCCAAGAAACACCTTTTCCGTCGCGCCCTCAATCCTGACAACATACCCATACTCTTCCCAGGAGATGCTAGGGTCAAAGATCCTATAGGCGAGACTAGGGAAGTGGTCTTCACGGCTCGTGCACAGCACCTGACCTGTTTTGCTGGGGGGATGGTAGGATTAGCTGCAAAGATTTTTGACCGGCCTGCTGATATGGACGTTGCTATACAGCTCACAGATGGCTGCGTGTGGTCCTACTCAGCCACACAATCGGGTATCGGCCCCGAGGTCTTCAGCTTTGTGGCATGCGACCCTGATTCCGCACAAGATGACTGTAAATGGTCAGAGAGGCGCTGGTTAGACACCTTGAAGAAGCACTGGCGTAAAGGTCAGAAAGGCGTCGAGGATGACGCGATGCAAAAAATCGTGGAAGGACGCAAGCTTCCGAAGGGCATGCTGGATATTAGTGACCGGAAATATATCTTGAGACCCGAAGCTATCGAGTCTGTCTTCCTCATGTATCGAATGACGGGAGATCCCGTCTGGATGGACAAGGCTTGGAAAATGTTCACAGCCATCGAGAAGTTCACCAAGACCAGTGTGGCAGCGGCATCGCTGGACGATGTTACGAAGGACAAGCCACAACAGGTCGATAGCATGGAGAGTTTCTGGCTCGCGGAAACGCTAAAGTATTTCTACCTGGTATTCAGCGATTGGGATGTGGTGGATCTGGATAAGTGGGTGCTGAATACAGAGGCGCACCCTCTCAGACGTGCAGATGCGGAATCATAACCAAGGCGGAAAGACCACGATGGGTCCAAGATATTGAAACATTGTGACATGGCTAATTAATATGGTATATTGCACATAGACTAAGAGCCATAAAAGCACCATGGAATGCTAAACCTACCATGGTAGCTTCTACACCAAAGAAAACTATATCGAAAGAGACAAGTCAAGACTTATAGAGCCTCATTAGCAGTCTATACGTTGACCTTATTGTTAAGTCAGTATTCAAACTGGCCCGCCATCCAGGTTCTCTCTACGATCCTGGAGCTCGACATACCGGGCATGGGCTAGATTCGGCTATTGGGCATGGAACCACCCGCTTGGACAAGCATGTTTCCGATTTCCACCGAAAATGAAACGCTTAAAACCATTCGGATCGACGCCCCGTCCTAGGGACCGCACAGTACATTAAGTTCAAATACCCTCTTGTTTCTGGACTCCAAACTCTGCACGTAAAGCCTTTCCACGACTCCTCTCGGTTGATATCTCTCATGATGCCGTTCGGTGTGAGCTTGCCCGCCGCCCACGGGCCACATAGCTCAGAGAATGAGCTGCCCCTCACTGGTTTGCGTTAGCGGCTTGGATATCATGCATTTTCCCTTCCGAAGCTCTATCTGGGCAATACATGTGGTCCTCTCGACGAATCGATTTGCATATTCTCTGGCTCCCCCGCCGGTTTACATCGCGTTGCTAGATGGCACAGAGCCTCTGGCATCTGGTAATGATGATCCCGCAAATGCTACACGATCATAAATGGGTATGGGTAGTAGAGCAATCATTCACCAGCCGTAGCTAATCCACGCGGCGGCTTGGCTTCGGAGGCAACGACCCACCAATATTGGCTGCCTCCTTGTTTGCTGGGCAGGAATATTTGGGAATGTGCCGGCAAAAACACAAGCCAAGATACAGATCTTCGTCCTGCTTGTCTGACCTTACTATAGTAACATTGGCGTAATCTCCAGTCACCTTTTGCAAAGCGGTGTCCAAAGTCGCGCACCCCGCCCACGGTAATTGCGGAATATCACTTCACTGCACTTCACTTGGAATCTTTAGCTTCTCCGTCATTTCGTCTTGTCCTATTGAAAACGCACACCGATTCACTTACGCAGGGCGTCAGTTGCGACACCCTATTTTTCAAATTCTACAGTGGATTGAAGATCAAGCATTCACGGAAACCATGGAGCCGGACTTGTCGGCTAGCATTACAATGCATCCACATCCTTTCCACCTGCATCATGAGTCTAGCCACCACTCCCGAACGTCGACTCCCAGACTCGTATCAGAGACCACGGCTCCCGCACACCGCGGCGGTATCAGCACTGGCGTTGAGGCAGTAGATGACGAGGGCGAGCAGCCTCATGCGCGCCATCTTCATCATGGACCGGATGTTGAGATGCAAGTTGTTCGACGATACTCTGACGGCGACCCTTACAACCTGCAGTCAGCATTCAAGTCCGAGGCGCAGTTGAACGAGATCAAGGCCAACACATCACGCAAGCGAACAGGTGGCAATGCGAGTGCCAACGCGGGACTGCGCGGATGCGTGCCTGCACGAGACGCATTAAAGGCTCGGAAGATTGAGGGTTTCTACAAGGCGCAGAACGAAACGATCGAGCGACTGCTGAAATCCGTAGAGGAGCATCGCGCTGAAGCGCAGCAGGCCCAAGGCGATGACCATCTTCGACACCAGATTGCGGTATATGGCAGTTTCGCGGCAAACATAATCCTCTCTGTCTTACAGATGTATGGTGCTATCTCTTCGGGTTCGCTTTCACTCTTCACGACTATGGCCGACTCCGTCTTCGACCCTATGAGCAATCTGCTACTTATCTTGTCAAACCGCGCAGTCAAGCGAGTCGACCCGAACAAATTCCCTAGTGGCAAGGCGCGTCTGGAGACTGTGGGAAATATATTCTTCTGCTTCATGATGACAGCCGTGTCCCTGATCCTGATCGCCTTTTCAGCCCAGGAGCTAGCCGATCATTCGAACGAGGGAACTACTAACTTCCACCTACCCTCGATCATTGCCGTAGCCATTGCGTTCATCACGAAATTCGCTTTGTTCCTCTACTGCTGGGGTATCAAGGACAAGTACAGCCAAGTCGATATCCTGTGGCAAGACCACCGCAACGACCTCCTCATCAACGGCTTCGGTATCCTGACTTCTGTTGGCGGCTCCAAGCTTGCGTGGTGGATCGATCCCATGGGTGCCATTATTCTATCCGTTCTGATTTCTGGCATCTGGCTGCGCACTGCCTTTCAAGAATTCATGCTTCTCGTTGGGGTGGTCGCTTCAGTCGAGACCCAGCAGCTCATCACGTATGTGTGCGTAACGCACTCCCCTCTGATCCAAGGCATCGACACCGTCCGTGTTTACCATTCAGGCCCACGCCTCATCGCCGAGGTCGACATTGTCATGGACCCTAACGCTTCGCTGCGGGATACCCACGATGTGGCTGAAGAGCTACAGTTTAAGCTTGAGGATCTACCAGATATTGAGAGAGCGTACGTCCACGTCGACTACGAGACAACGCACAAGCCCGAACACTTTGTCAAGAAAGACCTTTAGAAGAGGTAGTGTATTAGCAGACTAGACCGATTGCGTAAGTTTTCATTTCACGCCGTAAAATGTTTGTGCTCTTATCATTTTTGATAGATTATGGGAAATACGCCTAGCAAACCCCAATCATGGATGGACCTCGCCTTGATATGCATCGTTTGCACAGATAAGTCAGCCGTAACTATTGTAATAGAGACCAATGTTTCGACATGATATGTACTCAGTATTTTACTTCAACGACAGGACTGTAGTGGGATAAGGCGCAGTGGGTGTTTGCACCCCATTGGTGAGATGCAACAGTGACGCTGCAGATTTGATTTGTTGCACCGAGCAAACCAATAATGATAAGTCAGAGCTGATGCTACGTTGAGTTGATTGGCACGGTTTTGAGTGTATGATAAGGAGGCTCGGCCTTGCTCGTCCAAGTTAATGATGACTCCGGGATTTCCCTGCCATGAAATCACCAGCTCGCACTGCATCTGCAGTCTGTCTCTAGCGCGAATCCTTCGCGTTGCCATTGTTTAGTTACGGTTCCAGATGGAAGCTGGGCTCATATCAAAATAGCCTGTAAACATACCATGGCGGGTGTTCATATTCTATGTCGGCGCACAGGTATTAGATTGGCTGTTACAGATTCTAAGTTATGCAACTATTTGTAGACTTTTTGCAGTAAAGGTTGAAATTCTATAGTCGACATAAGGTAGAGGTTTCTCCATAATTATGGCCCCCAAAAGCCCCCCGGCCAGCAAGTAACCTGCCTAATTAGTGGGGGCCCCGGATATTAGTGTGGTGCGGCCCGGTGCTATGTACTCCTTACTATGTAGACCAGCTAACCAAAGTACCTGACGTCCAACATATCGAGACATACACATGAAGTGAGACATTTCAAGTCTTTGACTTGAGGTCAGGGAAGCAAGTTAATTCATTTTACCTCGCAAACCCCAGCGTTCACGCGGCCCGCATCGTTCAGAGCTGCCAGACAGATGATCACTGAAGTGCGCGTCTGTGGACTTGTGTGACCTTGGTAATGAGGTCACTCATTTTGTCCAAATCTTCTCTGCGCCGTCTGAGCCACGCGAGCAACGTCGTCTTAGAGAGGGGACCTGGAACTTTGATTGGAAACACGACTTTGGAAGTAAATGCCTGGACTAATGAGTAATGAGTACTTGGAGACTCCTCACATTAGCTACTCCACCCAGCATAGCCTTACGGACCTCGCATGCAAGATCCCTTGCTCGCTTGGACATGTTTCCCACTACGGCGTGGAGCATCTTTTAGGTAGTATGGAATGCTTGTCACTTGTCAGCAACTACTTCACCTAGCCAACCTTTTTGTGGCCGACGTAGCCATTGAATCCTTCGAGTATGCATGCGGGGATCCTCGAAATTCTTCGAAATACAGTCTCGGTCCCGCGGCAAAGTAAGCATTCAACAGCCTTGCATGTGGTACCGCGAGAAGCTCATTTGGCAGTCGGACGTATAAGAGGTCAATGGCTTGACGCGTAAGGGTAAGCTGTGCAGCGTGGCTGCAGAGAAACTTGCTTTGATCGCCCGGCAGGATACTCTTTGTATATATTGAAACCAGTTACAACCAAAATCCGACTGAAAAACTTCTTGTTCATACTCTGTTCAGCGATCCACCCGACCTATTATCTCTCGCGCACTCGGACAGTTTATGATAAGCAAGCGCTCGATACAATTAGATGCATTCTTTTGCCGGACTGCTGGGCCGCGGCCTGGTGGTCGCTCTTGGCCTGGCGTCCGCTGCACCTACAAACGTATTGACATCGCGCCTTACAAATGGCGTCGAGATTAGCTACAATGAGGTGAGCTCCATGCGCGTGGCTGCTTATCCGGCCGCACAATTTCTTTCACTTTTCTAAGGCCTAATGAAATCTCCTCATGTAGCCTGGAATCTGTGAAACCACACCAGGTGTCAAATCCTACAGCGGGTATCTCACCCTTCCCTCAACGCCTTACCAGCCTTACTCGCAGAAGCTCTTTTTCTGGTTCTTCGAGGCACGTAACTCTCCCGAGACGGCGCCGCTGAGCATCTGGCTGCAAGGCGGCCCCGGTGCTCCTTCCGTCGATCAGGCGCTTGGCGAAAACGGCCCTTGCATTGCGCAGTCGGACTCGAATTCTACTGTCCTGAACCCTTGGTCGTGGAACAACTATGCCAATCTTCTCTACATTGACCAGCCTACGCAGACGGGCTTCAGCTACGATGTCGCGACACCGGGTGTGATCGACGCGGTGACGGGTGACATCACGCTGGAGGATCAATGGTCAGGACCGCTTAACTATGTAGCTGTTGAGGGCACGTTCTCGAGTCAGGATGAGAGAAAGGTCGTCAACACCACGGCTGTAGCTGCCGAGGCCATCTGGGAGTTCCTGCAGGTCTGGATGGAAGAGCATGTTCGCCCCCACTATTTGACTAAGGTTGCCACGGGCTGACTTGCGACACACAGGTTCGACCAGTATCGTCGGGAAAAGATCAGCGTCTGGTCTCAATCATAGTGAGTCACAGAGCATATACAGGATATATCTATTGCTTCATGGTCGCATGGGATCTGACCAAAGAAAACCGTGCAGTGGTGGACATTACGCTCCGGCAATAGCAAATCTGCTGCAGACGCGGGCCAAATCGTGCTCCGCTAATGCTCTGCCCGTCACTGTCGATAGTGTCGGCATCATCAGCGGTTTCATCGATTTCCTGACCCAGGGTGAATATTATCCCAGCTTCGCCATCAACAACACGTACGGGATTCAAGCGTACGATATCGAAGTCTCGGAGTCTGCCGCGGCGAACTGGTCAATGCCGGGCGGCTGCAAGGAGCAGGTCGAGGCTTGCCACGCTCTAACACCCAATGGCTACCGAGATCAATACGGAACAAACGATACCGTCTCCGAGATCTGTGGTACTGCATTTGGAGTGTGTTGGATAACCGTGTATTATGCATATGACGCGCTCTCCGGCGTAAGTGGTGCTTTGGAATTCTTGGCGACACCTGGAAAAACGGTGTAGCTAACATCATTCGGCAGCGAGACCCCTTCGATATCGCGCATTTTAACCCACCTTCCTTCCCTCCGCCTTACGCATACGGTTTCCTCGCACAGGAATGGGTACAGAAGGCCCTAGGCGCCGAAGTCAACTACACGCAGAACCACAACCCGACGGCCAACCGTAAGTCGCTTTTGGTGGATCCGCACGGGCTGGCTAACTCCAATCAGAATTCAGCGCGTCTGGCGATTTCATATTCGGTGGCTTCAGCGACGATCTCGGCTCACTCCTCGACGATGGTGTAAAGGTGGCTCTGATCAACGGAGACCGCGACTTCAGATGCAACTGTGAGTCTGCCTGCGTCTTGCAGGCTTTGCTGCGGTACCGCCGAACTAACTTGTACTTAGGGGTTGGTGGCGAAGCAGTCAGCCTGTCCATCGACTACGAAAACAAGGACGACTTCGCCGCGGCAGGCTATGCCGACATCCAGACGAGCTCGTCCTACGTCGGCGGTGTGGTGAGACAGTACGGAAGCTTCTCCTTCTCGCGAGTGTTCGAGGCTGGGCATCAGAGTACGTTCAACTACCCTTGATATCACCCATATCCACTATGACGGGAACTCCAGCTCATGATTAACTTGTTTTAAATTACACAGTCGGCTACTACCAGCCCGAGACAGCCTACCAGATATTCACCCGTACCATCTTGGGCAAGGACGTTGCTACCGACGAGATATCTTTAAAGGAACATCCGAATTACGCCACCGAGGGGCCGGCAACGGTGTTCGATATTACAAATGAGACGCCAGCACAGCCTGCCTCGGAGTGTTATGTTTTGGCCTACCCATTGTTTCCTTATTGCACTGATGAGCAGCAACAGGCATTGGTAGACGGCACGGCTGTGGTGGAGGATAACATTGTAGTGAGCCCGTCGGGTAGAGCTGCCTCGTGATGTCTAGAGCACAATATACGAGAGGACTGAATTCGGTTTCGCAACAACTAAGTAGGGGTCTACTAATTTGCATTATAGAAAACTTTCAAGTATATAGTGACGAAAGTAATAAACCTGCCCTGCAAGTGTGTCTGTTTGTAACACGAACCGCGAGGACAAATGGTGCGCAAGTACTATCATAGGAGAATACAGGCTTGTGCTATGTTTTTGATTGTGGCAGAATGAATGTGTTCTGCCAAGAGACACATGTAGTATCGAAAATTCGGACTGATGGATGCCTTAGGTACACATCTAGGGCAACCACTTTAGGTAGCGTCCAGTGGAGCAGAGGATAACTCTGCTCCTCATCGTTACATCACACTTCCTATCAATAGAGTACTGCTACTTACAACCGATGGGAGTAGCTTGCGTCGCTAGACTCGATGGACCCTCACCTCACCAGTCAGCAACACAGCCAAGTTGGAATATTGGTTGAGTCCTACTGCCAATGGAAGCTTGGTCGATGGCGAGCATGCTCTGAACATCTGAATTGGATTTCTCGTCGAAGAATCTCTCGGAACCTTGGGCGTCAGTCTTACCGTGAACCGAGACGTCCCTCCTATACATGTAGTATATCTAGATGGGATATGGCAAGCCCACAGAATTTTAGTGAAACTGTACAACCTAGCACATATATATTGTCCCCGGAGACAAGCCTGTTCGATCTCGAACAGATGTAGACTACCGATGCAGAATAATCCGACCAGCTCTAATGGGGAGTATAATATGGAAGCAACGTCGTCTCAACTGTCACGAATGCCGTAGAGTTGTGACAACATGTACAAGCATTTACTAACACAAATAAGGGCACTTCAAAGGCGCACAGGGCTGATAGAGTGATAATCTATGACGTGGTCATTCATGCATAGCTATGGAGTTATGGAGGTATATCCTTGTCGTCATGCGATATTCCATGTACATCCATTATCATCTGTGATCAATTCAAAACAAAGGAAGGGATATCAAACATAAAAAAAATTTGAAGATGTATCAGTAATGTGATCATATCGCATCCATCCGCTATTTTTCAAGCGATGCTCCTTCGGATCCGCATCTATCCAGAAGCACGTTCCGCCAAAGAATGCTCGCTCGCTCACTTCCGCGGAGCTACCGATTTTCGATCAGTTCAAAGGGGATTTCGATTGCCCTTTGGAGAGTTCTCTAACTCAGCAAATTTCAAAATAAGAAACGCCGACTATGCCCTATCTTACAGGCAGGTTCTGTAAATTTTTGTTCGTAAAAGGTCGTGTCGGCAATACAAAAATATTTATCGTACATAATAGCATCGCGGTGATCTTGTCCAGATACCGTCGTGTCATGAAGTGGGTAGCCAGGCCAAGGCGCGAATATGGTTGAAGCTCAAATTTCTCAGAGGAATCCGCCCTCGCCTCCTCCGAAGACCCCAACACTACCGCGCCAATTGCACTTTTCCTGTTCTCTTTGGGAGGGCCGCGGGGTGCTCCGGGGGTCTCGCGCGTTGCGAGGAGTACTCTGTTGAGCTTCAAACTCGCCGCTTCCTCGGTTGCTACCGTTACTCTGGTTGGTTTGCACGAGCAGGAGGCTGCTGGTGCTACTAAGTCGTCTACTAAATTCATTGAAGCTTAAGCGTTTCACACTCGAGGTGGAGTGCCGTTTTTCGTGATGTGGTCGGAGACTGTCTTCTTCCCGGCTTACCGCAGCCGGGATTTGAAGAGGGGACAAAGGTACTTGGGGTTGACTGGTTGTCCGCGGTGACATGATGGGTCTCATCTTGGAATGGGCTGTATGTGGGCGCAGTATTGATGCACCACCATCGTAGGCCCGTGATTCTGCATGAAAACTCAAGGATGCCCTCCCAGTCTGCGATACTGAACTGTGTCGATTTGAGATGTAGTGGAGCGCACGCTGGGTAGATGGGCCGATCGCAGTCCTTTGGCCAGTAGTTTCTTCTTCAAAGGCATCATCATCAGTTGAATCTTCATCAGGCTCATCATTGAGGTCGTCCCCTTCAGAATCTTCATCTTCCTCCCAATGGCTTGTCATCGGTGGAGACGTGAGCACCATATCTTGTTTCTCCTTCTTGCGCCGCTCCTCGGCCTCCCGCATCAACGCCTCGAATCTTGCCAGAGAGCTGAGCTTCTCCTCGCCAGGCAGAGTTTCACGCTCCGACCCGGGAATGCGACGCAATTGGAAGGCCCTGTCCAGAATGGTTTCCCTTGGCAATGGCGGCGAGCTCGATATCGGGCCGGCTGGTTGCCCCTGCGAGCCGACGCTTCCTCTGCCTCTGACAGGAGAACTCAGGGTTGATGAGCGGCCCTGGGCAGCAGTCCAGCCAAGCATATACTCTCCTTGGTATTCACCAATCGTTGTTGCTGGCGATGGGAGATCTGCTGGGAAATCTGTCGGGAGGACTGTTGTGTAATGTTGATTCGGTACTACATATCCCATGCCCATCGCACTCACGGAGCTGGCATGCGAAGAGAGATCGCTCTTTCTTGACCTCAAGCTAGGGGATTCGGCCGAGAATGTCACAGGACGGTCGCGACTCGATCTGGATATTCCGGATTGGCTATGCGGCAACGGCGGTCGGGTGTTCCCACTAGACGGCCGGGCCGGGTATTCGGAGGCGTCCCGCGATTTGGCGGCGAAAGGGTTGATAAAACTAGGGGTGACAGGCGTGATCGGGCTCATGGGCAAGGTGCCCGGGATCCCAGGCTGGATCAAGGACCTGATACAATGCGCCCAGTCATTCAGAGTATACAGATCATCCCCAGGCCTGAAGTGTAAGGTGGTAGGGCCGGAATCTTTCGTCGTCGTCAACCCTGCGGTACGGCTTGATCTTCGCTTTCGCAGCTTATCCGTAGCTGGGTCGGGAGACACCTGTAATATGAGCGTGGGCAAAACTGGGCCTTGTTTTCGATGGGCCATCATTTGGATCTCGCAGGCCGTAATCGAGGCGATTGAATGTTGCTGAACGGCTTCCCAGTCATCCTTCGTCTTGTATATTGACAGGTATATGGCATCCGGCGCGGGAATATTCTTTATTTTGGAACTCTGGCCGCGTGCATCCTTGATGCGATTCGTCGACAATATTTGGGAATTACTGGGATTCGTCTGTGCAATATCTCTGAGGGGGCTTCCAACAACGACAAAGCGAGACTATACTCGGGTCAGTTTCTTTTTTTTTTTTTTTTTTTTTTGTCTTGGACTAGTGGTGAACAGATCAAGTACCTTCCAAACAGCCCGTCCCAAAATCGTTCCCCGATCCGGGGGAATCTGCAATACTCCTTCCATACTTTTCTCGGGGTGGTTGTCGGACTTTGCGCAGCTTGCGCAACGGTTCCTGGAAGAACCTGAAGTCAGGTGTTATATTGTTGCGCCAAGTTTTGGGCAACGATCGTTGGTAGTGCGTTCGTGGTGTATTAGTGATTAAAGAGACATATCAACAGCTGGAAGAGGAGAGCCCGGTTTTTTTTTTCTTCTTCTCCTCTTGAGTGAGTATCGTATCAGGACAAAGTCCAAGCCAACCCGCCCGTCGAGGAAAAGCGAACCGAGAGTGAGAATTCGGCTCGTCCCGAAGACTCCGTCACGAGGAAGCACAAGCACAAGCAAAGATATGGCATGGAGTCCTGAGAAGTTCAGACCGTCGACAAGTACCCGCGAACCCACCCAGAGAAGGCGGAAAGAATTGGCAGAGAAGGATTTGGACCCCAAGGGAGATTAACGGCGGATACTACAGCGTAGCTGCACGAGGCGCACAGTACATATGTAATATAAGGAAGAATGCAGCAGGCATGAAATTTCCTATTCCTCGTCCGAATGGAGACTTGCCAGGATTGCTTTGCAGTCCGTCTTGGAGACCCTGCTGAGAACCTGCTGGGGACCAGGACAAAGACCGGGGGTCAAAAGACCACTCTTTAAAACAGAAAACGACAGGCCGAACGTCCGGGTGCAGAAGGGCTCAAGGATGCTGGTCGTAATGGGTATGGGTATGGGATGGGATGGGACGGTAGTGTACAAGTATTGCAGGGTGTACCTACAACCCACTGGGTCGCACCCAACGGAAAATATACCTGCAGGACAAACGCAGCTCTGGTAATTGGGTTTATTGTTCCTCCGCGCAATCTCACTGGCCACATGGCCATTCCCCAATTGTTTAGCGGGCACGCCCCCTAGCCTTTCCTCTTCGAGTTAATTACATAGTACCAAGTAAGGTCCTAGGGCCTGCCTGTTGCACGGTTTCAGGGAAATGGTACGGATTACTGTAGGAAGGAAGTTGGAGGGTACAAGAGTTCAAGGTACATTCTGCCTCGAAACTCCAGCCTCTAGACTAGCCCTTCTCAGAAAAAGCGAGGATTGGGTAACTGGGTACAAAACATGATTATGATTAGCATGGTTAGGATGTTGAGTCAAACAAACCTGCAAGGCCCAAAATCCTGCTGACGGTCTGTCTGGCTGGCTTCACACACGCAATGCCCAACCATACAATCCGTTCACGCGCAAACTCGTCCTTCTACATACCTAAATACTGGTTTACTGCCCAAGGCTCGTCGTCTCTTTCTCTAGCATACTAATATCAGGCCATTCTTTCGCTGCGGTCCCCATATACAATCCACAAAGTGCCCTTGCGGCGCAATCGGTTGGTGCCAAGAGGCCGCTACACACCCACCACGATTTTATCATCAAATCCCTCCGGCTCCGCTGACCGTGGTGTTCAGCTTCAGGTCCGTCCAACATCTCCGTAGATGCTAACTCTAGCGCAGTGCCTGGATCGATGATGGGCATGTGGCTTGCTTGTCGACCATTGCATCTTCGGACTACGGCCGGAGTCTCACGCTAACCTTAGTCCATAGTGGTCGGTAGGCATGGTTTAGTCACGACAAAGTTCAACTAGAAACCCAGCGTGAGTAAGGAGGCAATCTCGCCTGTCAACATCATGACAGGGCAATTTCTACGTGGACGGACGTCAATAGACATGACTATCTGGGGGGTTATTGCTCAGCGGATTGAAACTTGATCACAAGCTATGCGTTTCGAGCCATGAACTAACTACATACATACCTTAGACGGTCTTGATTGTACTTTCTGAGCTTTACGCAAGTGCTCAGACTTCATTTCACCCTCTGGATATCCGTGGTGCAAATTTACTCTCACGATGGTTGGGTTTCTGGTTTCCCCCCCTTCGTCGTTCTTGCCTGCATGAGATTTGCTTTAGCTGCTTGTCTTGGACGGGTCTGATCCTTCAATCACCGCAATGCCCATGTGTCACTCCTGTAGGCCTGGTGGGGCCTTGGAATTGCGAAATCTTCTTCAACTGCAGATGTGTTGCATGGCATAATGCACTCAAGCGGACAAGGAATATTCATGCGCAATGCAGGTTGCTCAATGAGAACAAATTTGTTCGTCGTTGCCACGGTGGTATGAAATATCCTGAAATGCCTCGTGATGGCAGTTTGAGTTTAATCAGCTGCAGACAAGAAGGGTCTAATGTGGCTACTGTAAGGAGCCTCTTCTCCGTGTCTCCCCCAGCCTACAGATCCGTAACGGCAATAAACTTGCGGTTAACAGACTGGGGACACTTTAAGTTTTAGCGACTTGGCATCAGCCAGCGATTTCTTTGGCATCGGAAAATCTAATCTGACGACCGTCAGGATTACAAACCCGGGAACACTCATAGCGACTGGTGAGTGTCTGATCGCCGTGCCTGTGCGGGTGCAATCCAGTGTGCTGGAATTTATGATCCAGAACAAGGACAGGGGGCTGCTGGTGTGAGCGCACAGTTGCCCTGGTGCAACTTCACATCTGCAACACATAATGCCCTCAGCTACAACCAACCGACCAATACCCGCTTGGAAAGGCGGCAATCTTTCGATACCCGAAAGCATTCTCCACATGAGCCCGCAGTCAAAGGAGAAATAGTCAGCCCATCGTCCCACCAGCCTCGTTTATATCAAACCTTCGAGGTATGGTATTTGGGGGATAATCTTCTATATCGGGACTGGTCTTCAAAGTTGCGTTCTACTGTACGCCTGCTACGGTTGTGGGTAAAGCAATGTCAAAAGCACCTGAACCCTGTGATTTGTTGGACCCTTGCCTTACCCGCACATCTCTTGATAACCTGCATCGGCTGCTGGCAAACCGAGAATGCCCAGCGTCACATGGAAAACGGATGCCCATCTTCTTCTCGTGCGGGCGCAGACGGCACTGGAATGTAAAGAACGCGCGGCTGAGAGCAACAAACGTTGCGCATGAGGAGCAGATGAACTGGCTGAGGTGCCATACAATAATTCAACAAATGTTTCAGGGGCTACATAGGTAAGTCACTCGTCTCCAACTACATATCGAAATTGTGGTCACATCCGCTGCAGCTTCGAACGGCCCATGAGCCCCCATTCACCTGCATTGCCATGATGTGCCAGAAACCCAATTGGTGCAACAGTCCTCAAGAAGCTAGGTCCTGCATGCCACCGCGGCGACGAGTCCTACTTGTCAGAGCGTCCCAATTCGACGGCTATTGGTCTATCTTCCATCGCCGTGAATTTGCCCCTGCATGATAGCGGAAGCAAACAGACCCAGAAGCTGTTCTAGAATGGTGAGCGCCAAAGTAGACTTTGCGAAGTCGGGTCTAGCTCGCCATGCAAGCAGTTGCTTCTTCAATCGTAAAAGGGGAGGCCGTTTCGCACTCTAGACTACATAAAAGTGATTAATCACATATTTGCTTCTGCGGCGTGAAGGACCGAGGATGTTCACACCATGTTCGGCATTAATGGTTGCACGTTGAGGTCGCGCGTTGAGACTAACGTGCTACTGTGTGATTGATGATTTCATTGAACTGTCCAGGGCGACTCTCAAGAGGCAGACCAGGCGGGCATGACTGGCGTTTCCAGCAACCCGGGACTTTGACGGGGTGCCCAATCCGGTTGGAGCCGAGCTCGAAGCAATAACAGTGGGACCTAATGGCAGGGCTCACCGCATATTGTGCCGCGATATTGGTAACAATCACCCAAGCGTCCGGTGTCATGATCACCTTGAAGAAGCCCCATCCCATATCCATGGCCCGAGGGCCCAAGACGGAGCTGACTCTGCTAGCGTTGATGACCTAGATGACCTGGACTGACCCTCGAAAAGATCGTACACAGACCTGCGCTAAGTTGTTAGCCTCCCTTAAAGCACGTGGCTAGTTACATGGCTGCCGAAGTTCACGATCTTTACCGGCAAAAGACAAAAAAGCAAGAAAAAGAAAAGAGTATGCAGCTTACGATTTGTACCTCAAAACTCGCCTTGAACAGGAAATTTTCTATCTCCTAAGCCCTAGATTTGACGGAGTATATCCAAACTCGATTGATAGTACGTGATCCGTCTGCCAAGGAGTGTACATAAGCCCGATGTTTGTCAGAGACACATTCTTACGAACATTATCATTATAATTTCGGGTAACGGGAGCATAGTCTCATAACCACATCACAAGCGCCGTGTCAATGCGGGTGATCAGCTTTGTCCCCATCGCTTTGGCTGAAATTTATCAAATTATGATTTCAATTATCCTCCTTGGCTGCTCAGAACATTTGTGCAGCTTGTTAGCCTGCCGGAAGGAGCTGCCAGAACTCTACTAGTTGTGACCAGATCACCATGGTGTTACCAGCGTCGTACAAACCACCCGACTTATATCGTATTACATTATTGGCTGCCTTCACGATATTTCAGATTACCACCGGTTTCGAGACACTTTCCTGTAGATTCTTGCTGGCCACAGATGCAATATTGGATCGTGATTGACATGTAAGACTCATTGTCAAAACTGCCAACATGCATTGCTTCACGGCCGAGAACACTCGAAAGCGGAAATGATACGGCTCCATTCCAAAACTGATGTAGCATCAGCTCTTCTTGGACACACTAGGTTGCGTGACATCAAATGTCCATCATGAGAAGCCCTCCCTGAGACGTGGATCATGCAAGCTTCGCCCTGACAGAGGAGCTCGGTTAGACTCGATGCTGATCATCAATGCCGGCGTCGTAGATCAGCGGACTGATTGCGCTCTTCTGCATCGTCGGCTCTCAATGACACCCGTATCTGAGCTTCAGGAAGGGGAGGGCACGGTCCCCTTCCATACCTACGCTACTGCCAGATTAACGAGATCCAATAGTCCCAATAGTTTGTCCCGTCGATGACCAGAAATCAGGTTTCCTATTGATGCGCTCGGACGAATATAGAAAGAGTGTCCGTTGTCATTTGAGTCTATTATGGCGCTATTCGGAACACCGTTTGGGAAATCCTCATGAAGGTTGGGTTATCGTATTCCCGTTACATACTAGACTAGTGAGTCTTCAGGGTTGGCCTTTTGCAATGAGCGCCTCCCGAGCACCTAAAAAAAACCAAGCCGTTGTCTGCTGATCACCAAGGGGAAAATGCAAGTAAGATTCTCCCCTACATGCCCTTGGATCTTCCACGCACTTTCCCCGAGTGAGCTCTAGCATCCAGCCGTACCCCCGTACCACTCACCTGCTTCCGTCGTTACTCCCTGAGCACCCTTAACCGAGGCTCAAGACTCTACTTACATAGTTATATCTGTTTCACTGAGAGGGAGAGTGAATAGAAAGAACTATGGGGCCCCCACGCTCGCTTGCCGATATCTACCGCAAATCAGGGGTCCCTGTGGCATTCCATCCGTTAGGTCTCGACCAAACCGCCGCGTAATATCTTCGCCCGTCATCTACCTGAATGTCTGAGGCCATTGGAACGGCAAGAGCCATTTTCTCGCTCGTCAGTATGTATGTCCATGGCAACAATGTCGGGACGTGTCACAACACCACCCCCACTCCCATACCACTACGATACATACGCCAAAACCCCAGAATCTCATCTAGTAGCTGGCATTTTAGCTCCCAAACCATGTGAGAATGAATGGGATGTTCAGCAAGCGCACGGCATAAGTCGTATTTGGATGAATCAAATCTCGTGGCCAGAGGCGGGCCGCGAGTCAGAAGGTTGCCGATCGTGCTAAAAGGTCGAGACGGCGTCGTCTATCAGGCAAGCCACGTTACTTGGTTGGGGATGGGGGTGAAACGTCCGCCCTAACCAGGTGGTGGTGAACTTCTTTCTGGATTAACTTCACCACCGTCTCCGGTTTCCCACCCTTGCCATTACCTATGTGCTTGGTGAGGGCAGTTAAATTATGCCTGCATGTATTGCTTGACAAACTCCGCCGGCGGTGGGTCAACAGCACGGCTGGTAATGCAACAGTATCCCACAAGAAGCCAAGCCTTTGCTGTGGATCTCGCCAGCCGAGGAGCGTGCTGACTACCGCACGACTATTACAGTACCTGCATGATGGATGCCATCTCGTTTTCGTTCTCGCAGGACCATTTAATGCTGAGCATGGCTCACACTGTCACAAAAGACATGGTGCCAATGGCGTCCTCGATTACGACAGCTACTTGGATAATGTGACAAACAGTCCCTGGAAAACCGCACGCTCCTTTCAATATTGTATGTCATTAATCGTCATTCCGTGTCGTTGAGGCTGAGAGTGACGGTCCTAGTCCTGTCTTTTCCCAGCATCGTCTGCTCCTTGCAATATTCATATGCGAATGACTACCAAACTCCCTAGATATGCACATAGACGCCTGCTGACTAATCCGCACCGTCTTCACTCTATTGCGTCCATCTCGACGTCATCCGACAATGGAGCACCGCCCATGATCCTCATTCTGTTCCTGTCGTAGAAGGAAACTCCCTTTCCCTTCTCCTTCGGTCTAGACTGACGCGGTTGCTTCGGACCTCGAATCTTTTCAAATTCCCTTTCAAACGCTCCGAGTGCTTCGTCTTGCGCCTCACCAACTAGTGGTTCCAGTCCTGCGGCCTCCTCGAGAGCTTTGTTGAGTAGCTCCGTCGCAATTGGATCCTGCGGGTTCATGGCCAAAGTTTGGTGCAGAGCCGCGATCGCCTCCTCTGGTTGCCCTAGCTCCATGAGGAGTAGCCCTTTCGAAGAGAAGACAGCTGCGTCTTTCCCACCAAGGCGAAGAACCTCGTCGAACTGCTCCATTGCTTCAGGGTACTTTTTAGCGCGGCGGTATGCGTGTGCGAGGTTTGTGCGCGCAGCTAGCCATGCGGTAGGTTCAGAGTCTATGTCCTCGGCGACTTCCAGTGCTCGAATGAAGAGCTTCACCGCATCGAGCGGCCGGTCCTGGTGATAGTAAACAACCCCCATCTCATTTAGTAACAGCGGGTCCGTCTTGCATAGGCCATAGGCCGTCTTTAGGAACTCGTCGGCAAGCGTCATGTTGTTAAGAGCGTGATTTTGCATGCCAAGGAACACTTGAGGCAAGTGCGTGCCCATGAACAAGCGTGCTGCTGTTGAATATGCCGAGATAGCCTGGTCGTGCTCGCCCTCCGCTGCGAATGTGTGCGCGAAGCCGATCCATGCTGGCCCGAAATGAGCGTCCATCATGCTGGCCTTGCTAAAGTAACGGCGTGCCTCGGCGATTTTGTCTATAGTAAAGTAGTAGATGCCCACCGCAAGCCATGTAGACGGTTCCTCCGGATGACTGTCGGCGAGGTCATGGGCGATGAGAAACAAGACATTCTTCCTTTTGAGCTCGTAGAGACAAGCCAAGTGCAGCGGATAAACGTTGAAGTTGTACTTGTCCTCTTGCAGGATCGAATCCGTTATGGCCAACGCATCCTTGTAGCGGCACTGTGTATATAGCAAGTCTGCTCTCGCGAGCAACAAATCAGGATTGGCCGCGAGATTGTAGTGAGTCGACAGAGTTTCGCAGGCGGTTGTGAAGGATCCCGGGTTCCTATACTTGGATAACCTTGTCGTGTACAGCATCCTTGTGAACTCGGCTGCTTCCTGTGATGATGAAGCATCCCCGGCAACACTGATGGAGTCAAAGTCAAGTGATTCCAGAAACTGCCATTCCTCGTCGGGTGACATGAGTGAGTTCTTCATCAGCTGCTGGAAAGCCTCGAAGCACTGCACGTCTATCCTTACGGCATCTTTGTAACACTCCTTTGCACGATCGAATGCGTTCTGTTTCGCGTAGCATATACCGCGTAAGAAGCACATGGCCGCTTCGAAGCGTCTGTTAGCTGCTTCCTCGTCTGAGCCGTCTGCCATGCGGTTCGACTTGTCCAACTTCCCGGCACTCTTCTGAGCCTTCCGCTTGTTCGTCGAGCTCGCAATCAGATGGGTAGGGTTTCGATCGCCGAGGACAGCGAGGGCCTCGTCATATCGCGACTGCTTGATGAAGCAGTGTCCGGCAAGATATCTGCAAGAAGGGTTCCGGGTTATGAGGTCTGACTTGGAAAGAAAGGCTTGAGCTCGAGTGTAATTGCCGGTTGCAAAATGAACCTGTGCCAGCCAGAACGCATCATTATCGTTGTCTACACGGTGAGATAAGGTTAGCGGCGTCGTTTTTGGTCCTCAAGTCCACGGGGTTGATGTACTGGTGAGCGCTAAAAGCTTGTCGCCGATGAATATGGCCGAGTCATACTGGGCCTTGTTGTAGGCATCCTGCCTCCATTCTCTCAAGAACCTCTCCATTTCGGAGACTTGAGTCTGGCAGGCCAGATGGGTGGCATTGGGGCCGGCCTTTTCCAATGTAGTCGCAGTGTGATGTCAAGCTGAGAAACGCGTCTGGGGGGAGTGCCTTTGAGACGTGGGGCAATTACAGGCAGTTGCGGCCCACTCCGGTCCGAAGAGATTGGGCTTTTATTTATGTGCTTAACTAACCTAACCTTAGTTGCTACTGAGAATCGTCCACTAAACATTGTGAAAGCAGTACCTACTGTGTAGCGGTCCGATGTATTATCATATATGCTCTGCAGCTTTTCGCCTTCAACGTTGTGCCCCGATGCTGTGAGACAACGAGAAAGCGGCCCTGCGAGACTTCCTTCAGTTGGATCTCTTCAAACCCCCAACGCGTAACCGTGACTCTGGCGAGCACTTCCCTTCGCTCATCGAGCAGCAGGGCGAGCACGCAGATACCAAATACGTCGAAAGGAATTAAAAACAATACATAAGTAGTCATCAGCTCCATAGTCTAAACTACACTCCCAGGATCTTCCTCTTCACGCTTTCAGGGTATCGTTCCGTGTGCCCCCCGTCACTTTCCAAACACAGAGTGAAGATCGCCGACAATATTCGGCTTTTCCCAGGCAGCACAACGAACGCCATTCTCATGCTCATGCTCATCACGATAAGTCCCAGCCGTCGATTCCGTACGGCGGGTGTACTGAGAATCTCCTTCCGGAGGTGGGAGCCCCACTTTAAACAAGGCAATCACCAGTGCCATGCCATATGAATGGTTGGAAATAACGGTTTTCGGAATTGACACGCTTATGAATTTCACCCAGTCACCGAAAGGCCGGCTCTAGTTTGCCATCGCCCCTATAATCCTCATGATAAATCGCCATGCTGGCAGCTGGTTCATCACGACTAAACCAGTACTAGCTCACCCACTCACAAGCTTCCTGCGCTGTCCAAGTATAAATGTCTGTCTATGGAATCAACTTGTCGTGTATCCAAACCAGTAATCCAACCAGGTTTTCTGCAAGCGCCACGCGGATGGTGTTGGGTCTCGTCGCCTGAATCTGAGAATGGCCAGAGCCTCGTTCTTGGCAGCTACGGGCCGCCTTCAGACCCTCACTCTCCTTAGCAGTATAAAAGTCGAAGAAATGCGTGACAAGGAAACGCATCGCTGCCAATGGAGATATCATAGCCAGCGGACTTCCTGCGGTCAAGTTGAGGTGGTTTACTCGTAATGATTCGGGGTGGAAGGTACCGATAGAAAGCGAGATGAAAGTCCCCCACGTTGCGGTTGGCTTTATGGAGAGCCTCTTCATTCTAACCTACTGGTCTATCTTACCCAGTCTCCACCTTGTGAAGCATGTTGATGGTATCCAGGGAGCTACCTGGGATGGTGGCAAGTCTCGACTCGTTATCGAAGCCCAAAGCCAGGACTATCAAGATCCAGCTCGAGAAGCCGAAGTTATGGAATGATAGCACAACATGGAAAGCAGGTCCTCCATTATGTTCGCTCTCTGCAAGTATCGGTAGTCCTCGGGATACCTCGTAAAAGCTGCCTGGGCCGACATATATATGTATTTAGCATTCATCTCCTACCTAGAGACTAGATGTTGTGCGCGCATCTACGAATGAACAGTAGTGAAATTGTTTCATGCGACTCGCTATCTAATAGATGTATTAAAGCGTTTTTCGCAATAGTGGCCGAATCACTCCCCCCAATATCCAGAGATATGTTTGATTTTCCTCAGTCGTGGAACATCGATTTATTGTAGGGCAACAGGCCCGTGCTAATTAAACCATAGAATCAATGAGCTAGGTAAGCAGCACCCTCAATGCAGTAGAAAGATATGCGTATACGAATTTGCTGGACTTCTGAGAAGTTTCGGCAAGAATGTTTCCCGACCAATACCTCGCCATGGACATCGCTGAATAAGCAGACTGCTGTTCACCCTGGACAGGCATAGCAGTGTAACACGATGCGTAATGGAGGTGACAAAGAGCTCACGCATCCACAACCAGCGTGTAACCAGCGGCACCGGATTCCCTCTTTGACTCGCTTGCTTACCTCCATCATGCCGCATCTGATAGGTCAATATTGGAATCCGTTTATTTAATATTCGTAGGTCGGGTTTTTACGGATCGGCTTTCGGCATTTTGTACCAAAACTGAAGAGGTGGTCTCCATCAATGCAACGTCTTCCCACCGCACATGTAGATAGGCCGCAATGTACAGTGCGAAATACTGACCCTGGGTGATCAGGGGTCAACATGAACTCCAGAGTCGTTGGATCTCAAGATTGCCTCTTCGTAAGGAGTTGTATCAGCATCTAACTAGCTGACAGTCACTCCCATCGCCCATGAATGAGGTGGTTTGTCCTCTACAAAGTTGTCTCAGTGGTTAAAATCAACGCACGATTATGCAACCTCGTTTCGAAAATATGGCAACTCATCCTTTAACACTGTCAGAATCGTTCCCGACTAGATATGGTTCATTCGAAATAAAAACCTCTCAGATCCTGCTGAGCGTTAGCGAAGCAAATACTTATCGGTTGTAGGCTTATCTTACTATACAATATCTTGATTGTAGCCATGATGTCAAAAAACTACTCTAACTTTTCGAAGAGGACGATCATTTCCAGACTCACACAGGCGAAAGAGATCCCAACTACAGTGCCAATTGCAGCGTGATCATATTTTTCTTGACGTTGAGTAACCCAAAAAGGCATGCTCACGCAATAAAGGCGATTAGGCTCATCTGACAATAATAATTAATTTCAGGCAGCATTCTCCAAGCATTGGTATTTTCCTTTTTGTTTTCTTTTTTTCCCCAATCAACTCACTGACTACAATAGTGCATGTTAATTCACTTCTCTTGGAGCAGACCTCTATAACCTCCCTACCTATAGTATCCTGGGTTCTTAACTCCTAGGGGCGGGATTGGCCATGGGGCGGGATTTCCGAAACCTCAGCTCATGTAGTCCTAATGCTATCATCATTGCTACATTATCATTGGATAGAATCAAATTTGCAAAACTACAGTCATGCGAGGATCCAGCATGAGAAATCGCTGGTCAAGACCCACCACAGTCAATAGAGAAACGCTCGAGAGCCTTGCTGTCCTCAAAGACACGATGATACTCACGACGTTGAACTATCAAATCGACGGGTACATAGAAGCTGTAGTGGAGCAGAACTTCACTGGGGACCTTCGTCCAGTCCGGAATCTGATATAGAGTCTCTATTGTGAGCAGCGTCCAGCACTTAAAGCAGATAATCCTGCGGATGAATAGGTGCCGGCGTCTCAGAAATGTGTTGCCAACGGGAACAAAATTGTTCCTGGCGACATCAAGCTCGTTTTAGCGCGTTACATCTAATACATTTTGCAGTACCAGATCATTTTGTTTAGCCTGTCTGATTTACAGCTATGGCTTGCACGCGAGATTCAGATGCCAATGATCACGCCCGAGCTGATGGAAGTCGCAGAATACAAGCGTCGGACGCTATCCCAGGCAGTTTAGGAGCTGGAAGAAACGGTAAGAAGTCGCAAACTTATCAGTTCTTTGAAGCGACTCATTGATATAATAGGCTTGTATGGGCAGATCTAGGGGTAGAGAGCTATCGCTACGCCGACAAATTTGACTGAATAGGAAGGCATAAAGGGTCACTCCTAATTGCCAAGGCCATAAAATTCAGTTTGAAATGGAATCATATCGTCGATCAGACGTTCATATGGATTCTGAGAAAGTTTCGGTAGCCTTATCCTGTCTTTAGTGGAACTGAATCTGACGTAACGGGCAAGCATGGTAAGTACAATCTGGGACGAAAAGGTACAGCGGAGCTAGATACGAATCGGCCACGATGCGCTGGGGATCATCGCCGCGCGTAAGAACAATAAGTCTTCACGCTAACAAAAAGAAATTGCAATGAAAAAGCAGCACACAGCCGAATAAAGGTCCCGGTCACGGCGAAGTGAGCTGGCTGCGCAGTTCCGTAGGTTTACGTAACGCACCTCCGCCTGGCAACTCATGAAAGAAGGATAGAAATCTAAAGACCGGGGTTAATGGATATGGGAAAACGGAGGTATAAGAGGCCGTAAAAGCACGAGGCTAGTACCGAGAGAAGTTGCATAGGTTGAGATCCAGCGAGCCCCATTATACCGTTAGCACTCCGGATCGCACGATGAAAGTCTATACGCTGCTCCACTCCTAAAAAAGGCGGATCGCCCACTATCTTTTGAATAAGGAGCCCTTCGTAGGGCTGATCTTGAAGCCACGGGTTTGACAAAGTTGGACAACCTTGGCTCCAAAAGGGAGGCATCGCAGCCGAATATCTGGCATAGCGGATGTTGGCTTGTATTTTACGGATCTCCTACACGGATAACAACGGAGCAGAATAAACTTTACATTCTCATGTATATTACCCCACCCACGGGCTTACGGGGCAAATAAATTATCTTATAATCTAAAAGATATCCTAATTTTGTTGTCTGGGATCTGTACACAGCAGAGTTTCGCTGAATTCCATCCTGGTTGCATTGTATCACCTCTGCCGCTGGATGGCATGGTTTGACAATTTTTCTCGATTGTTATGGCAACGGATATATACCATGACAACTACTGCTCGAAATAACGGTGGTGTCAATGTTTTTACAGTGCCATAGAAGTATAATACAGCCTGCGAGGAGCGGCTGACGGACTGGTGTCGACACTCCACGAAGGTCGCCTAGCTTGCAGACTAGTTACGTATAAGTGTGACGATAGTCGTAGCGCCTAAAACATGAATTACAAAGTAGTATTTGACAAGTAGGAGAAGTGGATGGTTCGCTTCCCTATGGTAGAAAAGATCATAAATCCTGACAAAGAGGTGCAGATTAAAGTAGCCACGATTAAACTCATCCGTTAGCAAACGAATATACATATTCCCGATACCAATGCTTAATATTTGGCCCTTGACAATCCACTTAGGATTGGTCCCTTTATTATAATGGAGTTTAAAGCTTTGATAGCACGTCAGATCTTGCCCGGCCGAGACAAAGGCCCGTTCAAATTCTCAAGGAGGGAAAAAAGCAAAGTGCTAGGTGCTGATGGCCCCGAGGACGAGAAACCATCCGCATTACTGAGGATATACCAAAAGCAGGGGCGTTATGACACGTTGATCGAGTCGGCCTGGGCTGGTGAGACCCGTTATCTCATACGGCTGATCTTTGAAAAAGGCACCCCGTAGTCGGTCTTCATGGGGCAGCACAGCTCCCTGTGAATTCTTCCTATTAGCTCTGGACTGCTGGGCCAGTGGAAGAACTCTGCCTTATCGATGGCTGGCTGGGAGGTTATCCGTTACTTCTAGAGACTTACAATGAGAATACGGGGCCAGGACTACATACTGTCCAAGGCTCCGCCCAAGAGACAAGGGAGCGCAAGGGACTCGCGAAAGTAATTGGGATCTGTACAAGGATGACTGGATAGGGTGCCACATGGCTGAGAGGATTTCAAAGATACCTAACCTAGTAATGTGATGACGACTCGTTTTTAAAATAAACTGCGACCGTGGAACGATATGATTTCTAAGGAGGTGACCAGAGAAACATGGCGGGACACGAACATCCGGTAAGCCACTCTGGATCATGATAGTACGGCATGAGCTATCACCTCTTGAAAGGCTCAGGGATTTTGGTAGAGGTGCAGGACCTCGTAAGCCTCCGGGCATAATCGGGCAGCAGCCTTTTTGGGAGTTCGATGTCTGGTTATGGGGATCAGATAGTTGGCTATGAAAACTTCGGCTTCGGATTTCTTAAGAAGGACAAGGGCTAAACTGTGAGTGATATATAACCAGATTCTGCACCTTTATATTCTGCAGTATTTTCTTCCTTTCTTTTTGTCATACTGGTTGAAGCCTAGAAACTTATTCTCTAATATTGCACTTATTCGTCACTCTCACCGTGTCGCTGAAAGGCGTAGAGCATGTCTTGAGCAATCTCTTCCCCTGTTCAGAACGGTCCGGACGCAAAACCGACCGCGCCTCGGTTACGTCTGGGAAACCTGCTCTACAAGATAATCCAGGATCCCGACAATTAAACGAAGGGTTTTGTTCATTCCTCGTTGCCAGCAAGTATCAATAAGACGTAGTGGAATACAATACGGACGCTTGGACTGGCCTTGATATCAACAACACGCCGCCAACACATTCGCAGGATTACTAGCATATCTTCGACAGTAACCTTTTTCTTTCCCAACGTTTATTCGCGTCCCAGGCCTAACTCCGCCATTGTTTGTCGGTTGTTTGGCCTTCTCACATGTTTACTACCCATAGATAGGCGACTTGACCGGGAATCTTGGCCATTCGTATACTAGATGTGTGCTCGATTAGTATCCTACCTTTTTTTCTTTGGAAGTCTCTCTAGTTCTGCCGACCTGGACAGAATTTTCTCGACACCTAAAACACTTTCTTCTTTATAAACATAGAATTAAACTATATTGAAATAATAAAGTTAAGAAGAATACTCATATTGACTAAATAGTATAGTGTCGATTTCACGCCTTTTATGTTTTTTTGTCTTATAAAGCCTTGTTATCGAGCAGTTTAATGGTGTATTATCGGTTGTAGGCCTCTCTTTTCATCTTGTCTAGGGCAGAGCGGTCGGGATGCCGAGTTTTCTAGTTTGGTCGTGTGTGCTAGTTTACAGGAGATTTCTCAACATAACCAAGTTGCAGGAACCCAGAAACCCTTCCACAGCCATTGATTAAATATTGGCCATAACTCAGGCCCGCAGCTATTCGATCGATCGAGGTCAGTGATGTAATGATAGGATAGCAAGATTGTTGCCTCGTTATTTATTTGTTGGGTTCGAGACTTTTACTTGGCTACGCGTTAAGGTGTTTTCAAAAGCGATACCTCTGGATTCGAGTGTGGTCGCTGGCTTTTGTCAAAACAGAAACTTATTCAACCACATTTATCGGATAGCGATGCTCGTAGCTAATTGAGTAGGAGCAGGCAGGCATACAATTGACTTGTCTTCTGCCGAGCACTGCCTACAGTAACTTCCAACGCAGTTCATTGGATGCAAGCTCCGATCTATCGGGTAGGAAAGTCTCAACGCTACGATGACGTACTATGAGATAATCGGAGTCGCGAAACACTGTGAAGGATTAGTTCAATTTTCTTATTATTGTGTTACAGATAAGGTTTAACTGTAGCCAGGAGTTGGCATAAATTTAACTCCGAGTGGTCATGATGACTGCTCAGATGGGACAATCTGCGACAACGATATTACATTCTATTTTTCGCCTTTGTCGACGGTACCGATGCGTGCCAAGCGTTTGTGATGACATCTCATGGCTAATGGGTGGTGCGTAGCGATGATGCCGTGCCCACTTGTTGAGGGAGATCGTGTCCGATGCGCGACCTGGCTTGAGATCTACCCGATTCTCTGACGTTTTTCTTCTTCTTCTAATCAGAACATAACCCGGAGGCTGCCTGAATAAGCCTGCAGATCATGAAAGCGGAACATCAGGCTTCCCCTGAGACAAATCACGAAAGGGATATGTCACAGTTATGCATGGACCAGAAATAGGATAGACATGCTATCCGGAAATGAAACGCGAGCCTCATGCGAGATATGGAGAGATCACCTCAACCCATAACCTTCTTGCAGAGCCCCCAGCAGAGATGATAATCCACAGGCACATGTACATGCACATGAAGCTAATGTTGACCGATTAACAACCCACAACCATCTCCGAGAATGCATCTCGCCACCTGAACCCCTCTCGCGGGGGAATCATTATGGACCCTGAATTAGGAGTTGACAGCCAACCCGCCATTCTGACTGTCGAGCATGTTGCAAGGGCAAGCATTAGAGCATCTCCTGTCAAGTTTGTGAAGAGGGTTTAACGCATCGCTTTGTTCAACTTGGGATCTGCATGGTACGCACCCAAAAGCATAACCCAAAATGTTAAAATTGCTTGTGCATCCCACTCAATGATCTAGTTTGACGAAGCGATGACAGCAGGAACGGTCTTTAATGTCCCCTTACTTCGTCATCACGTGGAATTTGAGTGTGCGTGCGTGTGCGTGTGCGTGTGCGTGTGTGTGAGCGTGTGTGTGAGATCAAAGTCATTCAGCATGGGGTCCCAACACGTCGTCAGCGGCGAAGTCATGTTCGAGTATGCATCCAACCGACCCTTGTCATCCTGTAGAATAGTAGGCTTAGCGAAACGGTCATTGCAAAAATCTGCCCATTCTCTTGGCTTCAAATGTGCATGTAATGGTGGACAGCAAAATTGTCCTTGGCACGAGCTGATGCAAATGATTCGCTGAGGTTAGTCTTTTGTCGATATATCTGCAAAGTCAATACTGAAACATTTGAACGCCTAAAACAAATTGCTGTTAAGAAACAAACGCGCACTTGCACAGTCCAATGCCGTTGAGAACAACTGGCAAATACAGTATATTGCCGGGGCGGTGGTGGAACTCAGCAGCCGTGACCTCATTGAGAATCCCCGTCAGAAATTAATCCCGAGCTTGTAACCCCAACGAACCCCTGCCACTCTGCATCACAAACGCAATGCTTGGGCTTGGCACAGAAATCTTATGTCATTCTGCTTGCTTGCAACCTGCTTATTAGAACCCCTGTAAGACCCTGATCTTCATATTGGGCTGCTTGCGTACATACTGTAGGAAGAAGCGCGGAACACTAAACGAAAATGTATGTTTGATGTCAATACTACCGTCGGATGAGTTCCCATCTCGTTGTGACACTTCCGGAATTCATGGTCGTTATCTAGCCAGGCCAGCAATGCTGAAGACCAAAGTAGGCCGTTCTGAAGGACGTGGGACATTTGAAATTTAAGCATCGTAACGTTGTCCAACCCCGACAACGGGAAAGTAAAGCTTGTCAAGGACCGGCAAACCTAAGGGCAAATAGTGAACATTGTCCGGACCGCCCTCTGAGCAAAACTATATTCATTATGTCAACTTGGATATTCCCACCGAGTGAATGATATTGTATCAGAGCGTTTTAGGGTTGAACGTGTGCTGTTCTAGATCGTTTCACGAAAGCGATTTTCATTGGACTGTGCCCCTGATCGATTGAGCCAACAAACGGGCTAAGACGATATCGAGCCAATTGACATGGCTGCCGAATCTGGGGAGCATGTCATCGTTGAAAGAGGATGGAGGATACTGAATCAATATTGAGCTCTGAAGTGCTATGGTACCCTCTTGATTGCGGACCTTTGGAGTGCTACCGTTATACACTAATGCAATGGCCCGGGTCATGCTTCGCAAAAGGATGAAGATCTCCAAGTCGCAGAACAGCAAGGATTGGGAAAGCAAGAGAGCATCCCAATCTCCACTTACTACTGCGGTACTATAATCAAAATAAGCGAACCAATCGCCAGCTGGTGCGGGCTTGGCACTACGAAGATGACCTCAATGGCTCTCAATCTGCCGGTGATACTCTTCCTACAACTACATGGCTTGCCAATTGTGTCGACAGCCCGGGACAGCTGGAGTACCATGCATTTCGTTAAAAGTGATCTGCCAAAATTTCGGAACATTACTTCCCACGGCCTTGTTGCGAGGCTTAGAAAAGCTTGTATTTGTAGTAGCTAGCATGACGTCAGATATTCTATTGAATTTAGTTTCACGTTCAGCTGCAACAGAATCTACCGTGATGAGGCTCAACAATCGTTCCTACTGCAGAGTCCACCATACCGGCGTGTATTTGGATACCGTAAGTCTTGGCTTACACCCTTTGTCTACTTGGTACTTTGTGTACTTGGTAGTATCCATCCGACACCGAGGAGCTTTGGCCAATGGCATGACATAAGGGCATGACCTCAAGATCTGCAGGGTCTTTCCTCTTCCGTTCGCCTCGTTCCTCATCTCTCCAACCCCCAGCCCGCCATCTCCTGGACAACAGTCATCATTGGCTTGAGAGGCACGTAAAGGCTGTATGTACACAGTACCTACACAAGAGTGCGACCGGGAAATGCTCCAGCCAATCTTTGGCCGGCGTTCTACATAGTAATAGTGCTGTGTATGGACCCGCACTCTGCATCACTGCATCATTAGCTTGCTCGTGGCGACCCCCTAAAGGCCGCATTCTGGCTGATTGGCTTGCTGGCCGACACACATACGCCATAGCGTGCAAGGGTAGGCTCCAACTATGATACCGAAACGGCTATGATGATTGTCGATCTTCGCAAATTCTCTCGACAGGACATGGGAATTTACGGGCGACATGCCAACGCTAGTCTTGCGCCTTTGGTTAGTGTATCCCAGCCGAGATAGACGTCGAGGAGAAGGTAGAGAGACTTGGGTGGGCTCTGGAGTCAGAGCCGCCTCAAACGCCGCCGGTGCATCATAGAAACCTTTGTGCGCTGCCTTGTCGGCCTTGTCTGGCTTTGTCGTTGAATATAAGTTCAGGCTCCTCTTCGCATCGAGATCGATCTGTTAACTCATCAGTATCAAGCTTCACAATTTGCTTATCCACTATCACACACATATAAGTGATCACTTCATCTTCCAACGTGAATCTTCACACAAACTCATCCATCCACTTTCCACCTACCAACAAACAAACATACAAACAAACATACAAACAAATCATGTCTTCTCGCAGCACATACTCTGCTTCGGCCATGCCCATGACGCCTGCTCCTCCTAGCGACTTGCCTTCCTATGCCCGGCTCATGCACCAGCATACAAAGAAACAGATGGAGAATGCTTCCAGGTCGTCACACCGTCGAGGTCATCGATCAAACCACAGGTCAAACCCCAGCCTGCCTGATGGCGATTCGCAGTCGTCGGGTGACCGTAGCCCTGATGGGATCGAGTACCACGACTAAAAGTTTCAATCCAACATCAAACAATTTTAAACGATTAACATTCCATAATGAATGAAACATAATCGAATTTTATCGCATCCAGACTAGTAGCACCGCTACAGTTATCGGAGCAAATAACGACTCTACGAATTGGCATTCTGGCGCATAGAATGGGATACTGTACAACATAAACATGAGCGACAAGGCGCAGGGCGTCACTGCATTACAAGGAATGGGGAAAAAACATACGCGGCGTTGTGGTTGCTTGGATCGACGTTATCTATTATCGATTCGTCAGAACACATATTCAAATTTCAATTCAGATTTTGAAACTTACTACATTATTTCGTCGGAACGTCTCAAGTGAATGTTTGCTATCGTTAATAACTGTTTCGCAGTGTGAACTTAATCATATATCAACATTACTGCTTGACATTATGAAATGGCTACTGCCTAGGATTCCTGGGTCACAAAATTGAGTACTATTTCCATCCTACGGGATGATTTTTAAGGAAAGGTTCCCACGATAGTGTCCTGGTCGTCGCATAGTTGTGTAGTTTTGCTAATACACACCTTGTCGAGAGGTCCGTGTTATCCATCGTTTGCCATGTGTATAACACGAATCGGAAAAAAATGCTGTGTGACATTTTACTCTCGCCAGGTCCATCGAAGCCGTCCGCAACCTGTTTTCCGCTTCGGCTCTTGTTTCTACCATACGCATGTCGAAACCAAGTTTTCGACATCTGATACCTGAAGTCCCGATAGTAAAAGTGAGGCTTGAACTCCATCCTGAAAGGAGAGAGCGTCCTCGAACTTGACTGACAACCCCATCTTTAACCGCTTGGCGGCGGAGACATTGGTGGCACGAGCCTTGAGTGGACCCTCTCGCGCAAAATCGCCCATAAGCAGGGAAAATGGGAGAAATTAAGGTTTGGGGGGTTTGATTTCATTTCCAGGATGCGGAACTTGTCCATTTTCGCAATACCTGGACATGGAATTTCTTGAAACACCGGTCCTGATCCATGGGGGGAGGCCATCGAGGAAGAATCAAGAACCGGCTGACGCAAGACAAAAATGCATAACCAGGGTACCAAGGAAATTGGACGAACCGAGACCCACCCCACCCAACGTATAAACGCCGAGATGCCCGGAATCGCTGCACAGCTCCCAAAGTTCAGGGTCCTCTTCCCGGATTTGCTTTCGTCCGGCGTGGTCTTTCTAAGTCAAAAGAAGGAAGGGTCCGGCGCACTCGCCAGGGAAATACTGCGCTTCTCTTCTGGCGTATTACATGTGGATGTGGAAGATTACACCCCCCCCTGCCCCACCCCAGTCCTGGTTGACAAGTGAACCCTGATTTTGAAGATGTCCGTGCTAGGTGGGGAGACTCCATAGGAACGTCCAAGGCTGCCAGGGCTGACATATCTTACGATCTTTAAAGTAATTCTAACCTATTCGAATTCCTGGGATCCTCAGCATTGGTCACATTTCAGGGAGATACTAGGTAGACTTGTTCCGATCAGGGAGCTTCGAATAGAACAGACCGAACGAAAAGGAAATCGAAATTACCTTTTTTTAAAAAAGGTTTCAAAAAATTTCATGTATACTGTGAATTTATTGCGTAACGGCCCCTAACCACGCGTGCGTGTGATGTATTTCGGTAACTATCATGACATGGAAAGTAATGTGGTATCTTCCAAACTCGTAAAGCAACACCAGTTGCGAATATCAATCCTGAACGCCTATAACCTATGCTGTGCACTGAACTCCGTTAACATGAACCAAGTCGCGCGCTGCCGTGCCTTGTAGTCTGCACTACATTGGACACCCGCTTAATCCGAGTCCGAATCATAGCTGACCAGACTGGCAACTGCCTTCTTCTCTGGCTGCTTGGTACTCTGCAGTTGGGGCTGTGATTGTGGGTGCGGCTCCTTCTTCTTGATGCCTAACAACATCGGCCCAGTCTTCTTCTTGGGCGGCGGCGCCTTTCTGGCACTCGGCAGCGGTGGAGGCAGCATGTCCCCATCCGCAACAACATCCTCTAGGACTTCGTCCACGATCGCATCATCCAGTTGCCTGGCATTTTTGAACGCGGCTTTAGCAGCCTCCTCATCCTCCCTGTCCTGCCGGGCCACGTCGTCATCCTCCGGCTCGGCAACTGTGAACTCCACACCGTCCCTTTCTGACCTTTCCAACCTCGCATTCCTCGTCCTGATCTCATCCAGCGCATCTGCGACGGCCATCTCCCTCTTGGCATCCACCGTCTTCGCTTCTAGTTCTACCATGGCGTTCCTCTCTTCCTCCTCCTTCTCGAGCCTCTCGAGGCGCTCCTCGTCCGTCTCGTCGGCGGTGTTCTGCCTCCAGGGCTCGACATTGCGTTTCGCGCCGCGCTCGCACGCGTAGTCTCCGTTCTTCGGGTCGGTCTTGAAGGTGATCTCCGCCGAGCAGCGGGTGCAGCGGATGTAGAAGCGGAAGATCTGGATCCCCAGGTATTTCTCGTTTTCCGGGGTCTCCTTCCGCGCGTTGAACTTGCGTCCCTTGTATATGTACTCTCCACACGTGGTGCAGCGCATGCTGAAGGGCGCCATGAGGCGCACCGTCTGGACTTTGGGGCCGACTTGCTTGGGACCGCGCGAGCGCGTGAGCTGGCGCGGGTCGAAGTCCTACACGAAAGGTCGGAGGTCAGTATTGCTCTGCTTGGATAAATACAACCAACCAAGCAGCTGAGAAGGGCGCTGGAGGGCTTACCGGCGGATAGTATTTGCTGAGGACTTTTCGCTCAGACATGATGGGCTATGATGTCGCTGGGCCCAAGTACTGTCAGAGCGTTGAAATAAACACGCGAGGAATCGAATCCACTGCTCCAGAACAATGCGCGACGATGAACAACCCTGGCTGTGTAGTTCACGATGTTTTGAGGATGATTTGGAGATTGATCTAGAGGCTGCCAACTGTCTAGGCTAGGTGAAGCTTGGTCCGTTCTTCCGCCGGGGATAAGCGGAGCTTGAGGATTGTGGCGCTTTCAGCCTCAACTCAACCCCCGAAGCTCTTCTGAGGCTGCAGATGCAGAACGCAGCCTCCGCCATCTGCCAGCACTTGAGATCTTTACACTGATGTCACCTTAACTTTTGGCCCTGATGCTTCACAAATCAACGTCAACGTGATGCAATCATTACTGTTATGGTGCTTCTGCCTGAATCGACATGATGAATAAATCGTCACGCAAATAGTGAGATAGCGTCTCGCAGTTACTGTGTGGGTAAAAGCATTTGAACAATCTAGACTAGCGGCTCGGGCGACCTGCCGAACGTGAAGCAACTTCGCCCAGGAACTCAAGAGTCTCGAGTACCTTCGAACTCTGACTGCTCAGCAGTCTGAGTCTAGATCACCAGAGCCTAGAACACCAGAGCCTAGAACACCAGACCCTCACGGGAATAATAATCTCTGGCTTCCGGCTACGTGCAAACGCTTCCCCCGTCGCTGGGACGTGGGGAAAGCAGCCGCCAGTATGGGCCCGCCAGCCTCCAAACATCTCGATGAACTGGTGGAAGGCGAAGGGATCTCGATCCCCTTCGCCATATGACGCAACATCGGCTCACAATCACTTTTTTGTCGATAATTCCTTTTGCTTCAGTATGCCAAGACAATTGTTTCAAATCTGATCGCTCAGTCTTATCTCGATTCAGGATGCTATCTTCGTGAGCCGTTGGAGGCCCTAGTAATATGATGTCAGAGGATCTTCCGCAGGGAGTCAAGACGCTGCAACAATACATAATGGTATCGTCCGAACCCACATATATACGGACAAGGGGGTAGACACGCCGTCGTGTGTGTTCCCACACCCTTGTAGCGACTTGGGGGCGCATGTCAAACATGTAGGCTCTCACACAGGTTGACATTTCGAGCATAACCGAAGGACGTCGTATCAACGGCAGAAAGGCCGGACCACACGACATCATCAATACCTGCCTGATCCGTTTTCCTTCGAAATAGTTGGGGTCGGAACATGTCGACATTGTTGCTAATAAACCTGAGTGCAGATCTGTGTTTTCTGGCCCGGGCTAGTTTGAGGATACTTACTTGGGACGCTCTGAACGTGTAGCTGATCTGCTGTTCCATCCGTGACGACACAGAGGTGTGTATCACCAAGAACTCTGTTCCACACCAACCTCTAGAATTTCTGCTAGCATATCCCAGTGACCGGCAACAACATCCTTGCTTGCTCTCGCGGCTCCTCGCAGCCCCCCACAAATGAACCTCAGCTGTCTATCGAAGTGTCTTTGAATTTCTGAGAGCGTATCTTCGTACATGACATTCACGGGAGCAGGAACATATTTTTCTCGCTCTTCTAGAAAAGAGTGATCCTCCTCGTCACTAACACTTGTGTATCTTTCAGACATCCCTTTTGAAGTTCCGAGTGGTGCGGACACAGACAACCGGGAGATTTCTTGAGTTTCTTTGTGGCGCACAGCTTCCGCATGACGCGCGTCTTCAAGTCGTATGGCAAGGTCCATGATCTCGAGCATCGACTCTCGGATGGGGTCAAGCTTGCTACCGAGACACGCAGCATCCCGTATGCGCTTTACGAACGTCGAATGCACCAGTGCCATTGCGTCAACATCCTCCGATATGCGCATACCCTCTCGAAGCTGTGTGACGAGCGGCGCGATTACCAGGGTCGACACGTATGACTTTAAGGAGGTAAGGAACCATAAGAGCCTCGAGCGTAGGCCGTAGTATAGTGCCTCGCCGCTTGTAAGGTCGTAGAGGCCGTCTATTATGAGTCGTCGTTTCTGTATCATTTGGCTGGCGCGGTTGAGCTGGAGAAGTAGTGTAAATACAGCTTGATAATGTGCCATGCTTTCATCGGACACAATGATGCGGATGGGCCAGGGCATCCGGTAGTTCACTGTCACCATGGGAAGACATTTCCGAACGGATGTGCGCGCCAATGTGATATCTTCTTCGTCTTTACCAACTGCGGAAATGACAACGCAATGAGCGGCTACCACAGGTCCAAAAGCGTCTTGGAAAGACTGCGTCAGAAGGAAACGATCGTGCCAGTTGACGTTGAGAAGATCAAGATTACTGAAAAGGGCGTGGGAAAATTCATCCATACGTGACCCGTCTGCCATGAGATAGATGTGGTGAATATCTGAAAGGCTAGACCATAATCCGTAACGATCAAACAGCACTTGTCGGAGTCTAGTAGATGCTGAATGGTGTTTACTTTGCATCCATGCTTCGAAAACAGAGTTGAACAGCTCAGGAAAGGGAGTAAATGTACCAATGCTAGTTGCCACGAGACCCTCGAAGTCGACGAGGGGTTCCGTGACTGTATTGGGTGCATCATCCATAACGTATATGCCAAGGTGCTTCAGCAGTACAACGCTCTTTCCCGTTCTGAAGATCTTCTCGGCAGTTGGTTGAAGGAAGTCTGGGGCATGCAAGACGCCAGATACCGACTTGCGTAGGGCAAATTGACCTTCCCATATTTGACTTAATGGTAAGCCAGGTTGCACCTCGGCAATGAAAAATGTTCTATCGCCTGCTAGAATGTCCCCATTCTGCATCCATTGACGTATTGGTCGAAGGTAAACCTCGAAACATTGGAAGAACACGGTGCCGAGAAACTTGTAGAGAACATCGTCGCCCTCGAGTTGAGCAATGCCGGCTGAGTCAAAAAGCAATTCGAGATAGCGGAAAGCGTGCGGATAATTCTCCCTCTCGAGTTGTCGAACAACGCGGGACAGTGAGCGAAGTGCTTGCAGATGTGTTCTTAGCTGTTCAGCTACCTTGACAAGGCTGACCACAGTATCCACAGTGATATCTACAAGTGAGATCTCGATTGCAGAGATTCTGTTGTCGAGTTGTCGCAACCGCTCCTGTACAGCATTGCGGAATACCTGTAGCAATGGTATTTGCTGGTCCTTCTGGACAAACCTCCTCAAGACATAGATGTCCCTGCCAGACTCGCCTAATGCGTTCAACAACACCTGAAATGATTTCCACGAGGCGTGCTGCAACTTGCATCTCACTGCAGGTCTATAATCCGAGTTGAAGAGATCGTTTGGAAGACCCCTGAGCATGAACAAAACCTCCCGCACCGCCTGAAGCTCTGATATGATTGTTTTATCACTTTCCTCGAGCGGGAGGTCTGAAGAGGTAGGTCTCCATGATTGGCTATCACGTACCTGATCGAGTCTCAGAATGTCTTGAGTCTCAACGACCAAGTCAGCAGGCCGCCGAGAATGCTGAGGTTGAGTGCTGGAAAGTGATGTATCCTCTGATCCCAGTGACGCATTTGACTGGTTCTCAAGAGATGTGTCTTCGGAGCTATCATCTCTGAAATCGACGCTGCGCCAGAGACTAGGATCAGTGTCCAAATCATCGTCATCGGCAGTCTCTTCCCATTCGAGACCAAGGGTGGGATCACAGTCAGTTTGTCGCAGAAGCTCCAGGGTTTCCAGCTTTGTCTTCTGCACAGGCTGATCCGCCAACTCGAGCAGAAAATGCAAAGCGTCGGGGGTAAACTTGTTTGAAAGGTTAGGCAGTGCATCTAAGTTGTCTCTGAGCGCATCGGCCAACCCATCTCGACCGAGGACTCGGAATCTCTCCTCGAGTCCGTTGAACTGGTTCTCAACGTCAAATTGGTTGGTACGCAGGTAATTGTGATGGCGCAGACTATGGAGACTTGTGTCTTTCAAAGCTCTGGATTTCTCTGGAGACGTCTGGCCACTTGTCAGTCAGAGAACGGCCGTACAAGCAGAAATATTGCTGTTGTACCTCAGCTATGATAAGTTGGATAAGCTCCTCAGTCAATGCACTCAATGTTGCTGCGTGAGCCATCGTAGATCGGGGACTTGCAAACCGGAGTGCTCGCGCGAGTGGGGTTGTTTGCGGTGTTGCTACTTTTCGTCTATAACAGTCTTCCGGTAACAGCTGGTCCTCATTTTTCCTTTTCTTGTTGTTTTCCTCTCTGTCTAGTACGTGGCCCTTTTACGCAATGGAACTTTCCATGTTGCTATGGGATTCTCGTCGCAGTAACATGGAGAACGTCGTTGAAGCGGGACGTGCTAATGTTGATGATATATTGTGTAGTACACTGCGTTTGTGCAAGGTGCAGCCAATGGTTTACAGGGGTGGCGCCAAAAGGGCAATCTACAGCATGCATCTCTGTACGCGTTACAGCCTTAAGCGTATGTACGGACCGCAGCCTACAGCCATTAGGAGGTCCTGCATTTTAAAGTTAGGCATGGGTAGCGCGGCATTCCTCACAGTGCATCCGTGGATAATTGCGGCGCTTCTGCAGCCACATGCGCCGTTTTACACAGTGGGCGCCCCTTTTCTCCTCGCTCTTCTCCTCTGACGAATGCCGCGTCAAATGAAATGCGACGTGGGATTTTCCGATCAACCCAAGCCAGAGAGGGAGAGAGAGAGACAGCCGCCAAAGAAAAAAGTTCGAGAGCCCACGTCTGATCTGATAGTCGAGACGACACCATCACCCATCTCCTTGGCCCAGTAGCTGTTCACCTCGACTTTCATCTTTGCCGAGTTGTCATTTTCGAATGGCCACCAGCACTTTGCTGCACAACTGAGACACGCCAAACGGGGTGCATTGCACAAATACCTTATCTTTAACCTTTCCGTTCCGGACCAGTCGCACAGGCTAGCACCCCTTCCCTTCAGAGCTTCGCCATACGACACGACCGACATCATCTCATTGATGCGCCGCCAGCAATAGCCCACATCATGGCAATCGCGAGGCCAGTCCGCGCCTTAGGGCTCGCCGCAATCCTCATGTGGTGTTTCTTCCTATATACCATATGGAGACCATCGACACCCCTGGGACCCGGCGACTCCATAAAGAACCTCGAGAGAGACCCCAACCTGGATCGTAAGCTTTGATCCATCCCAGGCTCGCCATCATGACCACCCTTCTGAACTAACACCCATCGATAGCTACAGGAGAGCCCGAAGGCATCCTTGTACGGGAGTCCGCCGCATACGCGCCTGACGCGAACCCCTCGGCGCGAATCAATGCGACTCTGTTGGCGTTGGTACGAAACGAGGAATTAGAGGGCATGCTGCAGGCCATGGGCGATCTCGAGAGGACCTGGAACCACAAGTTCAACTACCCGTGGACTTTCTTCAACGAGGTGCCCTTTAGCGACGAGTTCAAGAAGAAGACACAGGCTGCCACAAAGGCAAAGTGTAACTATGGTAAGCGGCGAGACAGACCACATTGTTGAATGGGTGAGAGTGGCCAGAACTGACCCTTGCCTTGCAGAGGTTATTCCTTCCGAACATTGGGACAAGCCGTCGTGGATCAATGATGACCTATATGCCGAGTCCATGAAGATCCTGAAGGAGAACGACATTCAATATGCCGACAAACTATCCTACCACCAAATGTGCCGATGGAACAGCGGTCTCTTCTACAAGCACCCCGCTCTTCAGAACACCCAATTCTACTGGCGCGTCGAGCCTAAAGTCCACTTCTTCTGCGATGTCGATTACGATGTATTCCGTTACATGCAAGACCAGAACAAGACCTACGGCTTCACCATCAACCTGTACGATGCCCCCAAGTCTATCCCGACACTGTGGCCAGAGACCACCAAGTTCATTGCGCAGCACCCTGAATACCTGCACAAGAACAACGCCTTGGAGTGGGTTACCGACAAGTCTCGCCGCCCGAGCCACAACGAGCAGGCAAACGGCTACTCGACCTGTCATTTCTGGAGCAACTTTGAAATTGCCGATATGAACTTTTGGCGCAGCCAGGTCTATGAGGATTATTTCAACCACCTGGATAGAGCCGGCGGCTTCTTCTACGAGAGATGGGGCGATGCGCCAGTCCACAGCATCGCACTTGGTCTGTTTGAGGATAAGAGCAAGATCCACTGGTGAGTCTCATTTATCATATTTATTACTACTGCGGGGTTTCACGTAACTAACAAGCCACCCAAAGGTTCCGAGATATCGGCTACCAGCATATTCCCTTCTTCAACTGCCCCAACTCTCCAAAGTGCAGAGGCTGTGTGACGGGCCGCTTTACCGATGGCGAGGCCTGGCTGAACAAAGAAGATTGTCGCCCGAACTGGTTCAAGTATGTCGGTATGGGCTAAGACGATGTAATGTCATGTATGAAGACCAGCGAATGCAATCAACGCACGGGTATATTAATTTCTGGGTGATCTTGAAAAGGATATAGGCTGATGCATCTTTGGGGCACTGGGTGTTACTGGCGTAGATGGTGGCATTTATAGAGTCATTTTTTTTTTTTCCCCCTCTCGCCAATTTTGGCGATATGATAAATTGTATAAAAATGTTCAAGATATGATGAGGCACACTTGTCCTTGGTACTTATATTGATAGTCATTGCCAAACCTGTCTGGAGACCTAATGGTATCCGAGCACGGTCACAACCCCTGATGTTCCGCCTACACAATACTGATCCCCGAAGCCGTTTTCTCTCCATGCCACGCAACTGATGACATTACTGCGCTCCTTCTCCTTCCCGTCCTTCCCGATGAGTTTCTTTCTCGGCTCTGAGCCGGCAGGACCCCATGGGATACCAACTTTGGCAACGACATCCCCCGTTACAGTGTCCCAGGCCCACAACCGACCATCTCCATTCTGATTAGGCTCGCCGGTCATCTCATCGCCAGCAAGCACATATTGTTCCTTGCCGCCGAGAATGCTCTGGATTCGCAACCCGTCGTTTCGGAATTCAGGACCCGTATATGTCTTCAGACAAGTCCCATCCCTCCGATCCATAAACCGCACCTTGTTATCCAATGCACCGACCAAGACAGCCTTCCCGTCCTTGGAGAGACACAGCGACGTCACGGGCGGCCCGATAACATCCGACACGCAGCGTCCCATGCGTACGTCGTAGGTCCGGACGCGCCCATCCACGCACCCCGCGATGATCTCGGCGTCCCGCACCACGACGGCGGACACGCTGTCCCGGGCCTCGGTCAGCGTCTGGACGGGCTTGAACGAACCGGACTTGAGGTCCCAGATCCGCACGCTGGTGTCCAGGGATCCGGAGACCAGGAGCGTGTCGTCCTCGCCCGCGAACGCACAGGTGTTGATCCGCGCCGTGTGCGACTGCTGGTTGCCGCCTAGCCGCCTGATTGTCTGCGCCGTCGACACGTCCCAGAGGAACAGCGTCCGGTCGCCGCCCGACGAGGCGAAGCGCGCGTTGTCGCTGCTGATGGACAGCGAGAGCACCTCATAGCCGTGTGCGCTGTAGGTCTGGATTAGGCGGCCTTGGGGGGTGGGGGGCTGGGACTGTGACTGCTGCTGGGTGATGTATGAGGACTGGGGGTGCACAGCTGTCGTGGGCGCGGGGTTGTAGAGACGGATTGACCTGTCCGAAGATCCAGCCAAGATGTATGTTCCTGGCGAGGCCGAGTAGGCCAACGCGTGTACGGGGCCTATGATGGGGTTAGTCGTGATCTCAAGAAGGCAGGGGTAGAGCACGTGTATCAATCAGATCTGTCTACCCGAGCGCGTAGATTCAGGGACGCCACCAACCAACCCCGATGCTCATGCAATGTCACGTACCATTGGACCCTAGCAGGTGAGCTACGGGTTTGTCAGGGAAAGGCATTTCTCTTCACTGATGGCTCATCCATGACCGGGTGGCATGGACAAAGATGGGATGGGCACGAGCTCGGTCGCTGCTGGAAATTTGCTCAAGGCAGCAACATCGAAACACCCTCTTTCTTCTTTTTCCTCTTCTGCGCAATTCATCGCCCGAGGACTGGCACCAACGATCACAGACAATGTTCAGACTATGCAAGTCTGCGGACCGAGGTGGTTTACAGCATGAGTGAAGAGCGCGGCCTCACACATGTTTGCTATACGGATTAACCATTGTACCGTTTAATTGGCTGACGCGTGCGCTAATCCGAGCCATGCCCGACGCAGATCGCGGCGATAAGACGCGAAGCGACCCACCAAAAAAAGTTCCCGGTCTACGGTAGGTTGGAGCTTCGAGCGCCAGTGTCTGCTCTGGCGAAGTCGCCAGCATCACCAGTTTCTTCTGCGGCCCCCATAGGTGCAATTTGTCCCCAGCAAGTCGCACAAATGCTTCGGTTGAGAAGTCAGGCCCTCCGTCACCTCGGGACGATCTGTACCTGCTCGCCATGTCTCGCGACGGCAACCCGCACCCCTGCCCCGTCCGGGCTGCAATCCAGCATCGCAGCAAGACGGCGCATAGATGACGACAGGAGCAGAGCATTTCACACTGTATCCTCGAGGAGATCCGAGCGCACCACCGAGCCGGCTGCGCCCACCGAGTCGCTACAGGATGCGGGAAATCCCCAGACCGAGACACAGCTGAGCGAGAAGCAAAAGCGCAGGTTAAAACACAAGGCTGCGCTGACAGAGAAGCGTGTTGCTGCTGCTCGCTCGAGGGCAGAGAACCGTGCTCCTGGCTCTGGCCCACCCGAAAATGCTGCGCAGCAGTTGGTCGTACTTCAAGGCGCACTGGCCGCTCTCAAGAATGTCCTCGGCCAGCAGAACATCAACATCGATAACATCAAAAAGCCAAAGAACAAGAAAAAGAAGAAGGCTGGCAAGTCACAAATCGAACAGTCACAGCCTTCGACCGCTGAAGACAAGCCCGCGTCGTCGACTGCCGAACAGAAGACAGAGTCGGCATCCCCAGAGAAGGAGTCCACAAAATCAACCGTCCAGAAAGCGCAGCCAGATGACATAAAGGCAAGCAAGTCCAAGGGAGACCCGGAACCCGAGCCTGCACCGCCCATTAGCGAAGCCGACAGAGAGGAACTGGAATTAAGAAAGCGACAGCTTGCGGACATGAAAGAGAAGTTGGACCGATACAAGAAATCCTCCTCTAGAATTAAACACCCATTGCAGAGGGGCGACACGGGTTCAAAAAAGCAGTCCGAGACCAAGTCGGGAAATTTCGTCAAGAATACCATCACCGGAGCTGCCTCGAGTCCTGCCAACAAGGCACCGTTGGCGGAGCGTCTCAATGCCCTCAAACCCAAGCGGGAGGGGCATCCAAAAGCGCAGAAAAGCAAAGTAAAAACGCAAAAGCAGAAGCCTGCACAGGCTAAGCCAAAGAAGTCCAAGCCTGTCGAGGAGCCTGACGTTCACAAGAAATCCCCGCTGCATATATCAAAGCTCAGCCCCGAAGAGCTTGAACTCGTTCCGATCGAGAAATCACAGCCGCCTGTAGCAGTCCTTGCCCACGGGCTGGAGCGGGCTCTCTTCAACCCAGGCGTCTACCACCTTCAAGATCCTCGTTCCAAAGTTTACAACTTCGACCCCTATCTGGCGAACATCATGCCCATCCAAGAATTCGACTTTGATGCCTTACAGCAGTATGTGACATCATCTAAAGACACGGCTCTTATCGATGTCGCCCGCGAGAACGGGAAGAAGTACACTGGGTCAACATCAAGCATGACGAGCATGCTTTCCCATTTTCACTATCTCCTGTCGGCTTGGCGAGAGATCAACTCATCGATGATGTCGAGAGATTTCGAGGTGCCTTCTCAGCAGTTTACCCGTCTTCTGAGGGCACCTGCTGCCGTCTTCCTGCACTGGAAGGATGGTGTTTATGCCATCGATGCGGACAAGGAGTTCGACTCGGCCAGCATTCTCAGCATGCTGGGCAAATCCATGGAAAAGCTTTTGACGCTACCGGTTGACGGATTTGAGAAATATCGCCGAGGGAAATCTCATCAAATCTCTGAACAAGAACGTAACGCACCCGAGGCCTACCACTATACGGGACTCCGCGACTTCATGATGAGGTCACAACTAGATGCTTATGATCCCAGGGTACCCGGTTCTGGTATGTTTGATATCAAGACCCGGGCGGTTGTCTCCATTCGCATGGACTCGCAGGGCTTCACCAAGGGTCTTGGGTACGAGCTTCGCCATCGCCACGGCAACTGGGAGTCCTTTGAGCGCGAATATCATGACATGATCCGAGCCGCGTTCCTGAAGTATTCCCTTCAGGTCCGCATGGGCAGAATGGATGGTATCTTCGTTGCTTTTCACAACACTGAACGCATCTTCGGTTTCCAATACATTCCTCTCGAAGAAATGGACCTGTCGTTGCACGGCACAAGCGACCTGACGACCGGCGACAAAGAGTTCAAGCTTAGTCTCGCTCTCCTAAACGAGCTGCTCGACCGCGCATCGAAGAAATTCCCCGAAAAGTCGCTGCGCCTGTTTGTCGAGACGCGAACCTCCGTCAACACTCCTTTCATGTATGCCTTCGTGAAGCCGGTTGAGCGTGGTGAGATAGAAGCAGTTCAAGATGCTGGCAAGGAATCGGTGGCAGAGTTTGAGAGAGAAATTCTCGGCCTCAAACGTGCTATCGAGTCCGAGTCCGAGACATCACCAGACGCCGAGAACGAGGCAGAGGAGACTGCTGTAGCGGACGGCGAAGAGAACAATATCTCCGAGACTCCAGAAGAGCTTGAGGTCGAGGAGGAAGAAGATACCACTGCGTCTTGGGACGAAATCCAGGCGATGGTTGAAGATGCCATGGAAGACGAGGAGCTTGGCGTCGACGCTGTTCGACAGGCCATCGAGGACGCTCTCGAAGAGAGCGGTCTGCTAGAGGAACAAACCCCCGAGGAGGTTCGGGGTTACGTCGATGCTCTCCTCAGCGCATTGACCGACGGATCTGGCGATCCTGCGACCGCGTCTGTCGAGGAGAGCGAAGGCAGTCAGCTGGTTGACTCGGAGACCAGGGACGTATCAGTATCAGCCCAAAACGAAAACCAAGACCTGGATGATTTATCAGAGCCCGCTCAGATGGACGGATCTGATGAGGCACGCGTGCAGACTGAAGAGCAGACTGACGAGGAGTCCGAGCTTGAAAAGGACGACTCTCAAGACGATTCTTCAAGTCCGAATATGACGACACTCAGTAACCTCATCCTGCGCATGACTCGCAGGCTAGACGAGAGCGGCGTTGCGGAAAAGCAAGCGGAGGACGCCGTCTCTTCGAAGCTGCAGGTGTTTGAACGAATTCTAGGCAAGATCATCTCTGAATCTCGGGAGGACGAGCAGGATTCTGGCGATTCTGGCGCTGTCAACAGGGCTTCTGAACCAAAGAACGTCACGGAACGGACTGGATCATCCTCTGCAGACATCGAGGACACCACCACGCCCGCATCAAACGACGCTCCAGAAGCAGCCGCAGGGGCCGGCGCCGAACCGGAGGACCGTGGCCCCATACTAGGAATGGTTTTGACAGTCAGAAACAAGGTCAACGACCAATTCGTGCCAAGACCAGAGAATCTCACCAAGGAAGATACCTGGGAAGTGGAGTACAACATTGAAGAGTTACCCGAGGAGAGAGCCCACAGACTGTTTGACATGTGCAAGAAACGACGAGAAACGGCCTACTCAAAAGGCGGCCAAAGAAGCCACGGGTGGAACGAAATGTTTGACGGGGCACTTCCCCGATACACCCGTCAAGGCCGCAAATTCCGCAGCGAGGAGAATGCGGAAGCCAAGCAACGGCCGGTTTACGTTCTTGGCGAGAGCCAGCCCAAGTCCTACCAGGAGGTTTTCGGCGAGCAGAACGAGGATTAATATGGTTTATGGATGTGTGAGATTAGAGCCTCGTACGGCCACATCTCCCTTGTCTATGTGTTTTATATCTGTACATTATGTATCAAATCTCGGAGACCAATAGAAGCATGATGGCTGGCATATGGACGAGAAAAATTTAGCGATCTGAAAAGCCATGGGTCTATTCTGTAATGTTTATAGCGTCATCGTGTAACTTCATAGTACACAGCGGGAAGAGTCAAAAAGGGGGCCAATAGAGCACCACATTATGGACATGAAATTGTCGTTCGATGGCACTTCACTCAAAAACAGGTCACCGATGTGGCATTTTCTTTCTTCAAAAAATTTTTTGTGCCGAAATATGTTTACGGCTCTGATACAGATCACATCATCGAGCCGTAACCCCCACTGAAAGGGCGAGGGCTTTCTCCAGGCTTCCTGAATTTCTCAAAGAGCCCGTCGAGCTTGCAACTCCATTCCGTGGGCAGGTTCTTGTGGATGCCCCTGATCTGATTCTCGCCAGCCTTGCCAATTAACCACATGTGTTCGATTTCCAGGAACAAGGACATCAGATGGGCCGTGACCACCATGGCTCGAGGTCTCCGCTCCGTCAAGAACTGCGTGAACTCCGCAGGAACCCAGTAGGCGAACCCGCCTAGGCGTCTACAAACCACGAACTCGGGTTCCCGGCGGTCCAGCGCCCTCTGCACGCCGCAGACGTAAGCGATGGCTTTGTCGTAGACGGACTTGGTCGCCACGTCGTCCAGCTCTGTGTCGACCTGCGCATCGGCGCCAGGTGGGGTCTCCAGTATCCAGTCGAGCGCGCTGTGGTCGCCGAGGATCGTCTCGCTGGGATCGTTGACCGCGGGGGGGTTCTGCACGAACGTCAATATCCTGCTCACGTCCCCGCCGCCCTCTCTAGCCACGGCCCAGGCCGACCTGAAGACGTGCCCCGCGCCGTGTCCCATCTGCAGGAAGTCGATCGGGGGCTGCCACGGCTCCAGCGGCAGCGTCTGGATCAGCGCCAAGGCATGCGTCAGGATCTTGAGGCTCGAGAGACATATGGAGTCGGCATTGGACGGGCTCAGCTCTGCGATGTCCTTGCGCTGCTGCCGTAGCAGCATGCTCAGATACGTGCGCTGCAGCCGCAGCAGCGTCTCTCGCTCCTGCGGATCGGTGCTCCTGGTCCACATGTTCAGGGCCGAATGCGCCATGATGCCGTAGAGGAGGGCGTCTCGGCCCTCGTTCAGCGCCATGTTCGGCACCTCGAGGGCAAACAGGTCTTGTATCTGTTGCGGCTGCGGCGTGGGGAACGGCTTTGCCTGTGTCAGGCTGTTGTGCAGTAAGCGCAGCTCCCACAGTCGACGCTCCCGGCTTTCGGGGAAGTCGAGCTCGGTTTCCTCCGCACCAGGCGGCGTTTCCAAACCTGGTGTTTTAGAGGGTTCCTGCGGGGTTTGGCATTTCATGCCGTTCTCCTTGCATTGAAAGCTCAGCTTGGTCTTCGACGGTGGCACATTCAGATCGTGTAGTTCCGCGCCCATCGCGGAAAGATTCATCACATCGGGCTGCGCTGTTGCCTTGCCATGTGACCGTGTTGGTGGTGTTGGAACAGCCGGTGCGGCAGCAGTGGGCTGCACAGGGTAGACGCAGCCTACACCGTGACGAGAACATCCACGGCAACCTGGCCGAGTCTCGTCGCACTTGACGCGACGTTGTTTACACCGAACACACCCTGTCCGGGACTTCTTGTGGTATAGACGAGGACCCTTGGACCTAGGCCTAAGTATTGCTTGATCCATCGAGGCCATGATTGATGTTTTGAAGCTATGAAGTATAAGTACACGAGGTCGAGGACGAAGTTCACTTTGCATAAGTCAGGAAGTAGATGCTCGGAGAGTGGTTCAAGATAAGCACAGAATTATCGCATCGGCCAAGCCGAGCGTTCACGCTTTTACCTTGAATGCTGACTTGTATACCAATGGCACAGCAGCGGATATGATTGGTTAAGCCTTAGCGGCCCGAGGACGAGCTCAGTGATAGGGTTAGATCGACGAGCCTCAGTTTGAAAAGCCGCTCATCGCTGGATTAAATAGTTCTCTTAGACTAAGTGCATTCAAAGGGATTGCGCGGCGATGGGCCTAACTTTCACTGAGGCTGTGCTACCGATAACATCAGTTCTGTGCTGTGCCACCGCTAGTACGTTTGCCCTTCTAAGTCTAAATCCTACATGAACACCGCAACAAGACCAATCATACAAGTAGGCTAGTGCGGTCCTAGCGAAAGAACGGTGAAAGTTAACACTAGAAACAAGAAGATTCGTATATCCAAACACTGATAAGAACAGAAGTTTTAGGTATTCTCTTACCCCGATACTACCGTGTTGATTCCCTGGTTTAGGCCCAGACGCCAGCCCTATAAAGTTACACCAAGAAACATTGGCTCCTTGGCATTGATACCTTACTCATATTGATGTATTTAAGCGGCTAAGGACACAGGAACTTGTTTTGTCGATTTTTCTTGTAACTCCCACATTTCTTGGCAAATGCGGACTTCGGAAGCAAGCACTCAGAGATGTCCATCAATGGCCAGCATGCTATCAAAGTCGAGACCCAGGGCGTGCTGTATACCACTGTCCAGCTATAGCTTCATTTCTAGTATATTGCACTTGGGCCGCCAAATAAGATAACACCAGTTACCAGGAGGAAGAATGCTCCGCTCACTACCTGCCCAGTGGTCAATGCTCTAGCGATGATTGCGATTGATTGACTCGGGCTCAGCAAAATGTGATGTGCTTGTTATACTCGCCAATGGCAATGACATATCCCCGCCGGCTCCCATGCACTTGTAAGTGATACCCTGCTGCCGTTGGGTGCTTAGTAACGCTTACTAAATAAATGGTACAAAAAACAGCTCAGTATATAAGATGTCAAGCTGAACACACAGGTTTTTTTTTTGTCGTCTATTTGTCTTTGCTTGCGATTTACCACTGAAGTTGGTACCCCCAAATTACAATCCCTGGCGGCCATATTTGTTCACTTCTGTGTCGTCAACTTCTCGGAATGTTTCAGTCTGGCTGCTGAATTTAGAATATCTCATCTTTCGAGTATTGAAACGATTTATCTACGGACACCTGTATAGTAACATGCTTCTAGGCTCTCTAGAAGGCTACCCGCACTCGCTCAACATCTGTTTAGCATGAGTGGTTCTCCGTGCCCAGTAAATATATCGGGATCATTGTGTTCTTTTCATACGTGGATGACACTAGTAACCTCTACAACTTTCTGTTTCATTCATCAGTCATGGATGTTACTGAGTTATTTTTGCGGAGAGTAACTTACTGGACGGCCTGACACGTTTGAATCTGTTTCGAACGATTTGCTTTCATACCGTACTGCACCCGGCTGACCACTACCACCACCCTTGACATACTGCAGATAATCTGGAGCACCGGGGAAATCGGTGTTATCCGCCATGATAACAGAGCCCTTGTGGAATACCTGCAGCTCCTCACAGACTTGAAGATCTGGTACATAGAGCTTTTCCCAGTGGTCGATGAAAACTGCATCCACGCCGCCAACTTTCACTGCCCCTTCCGCTACCAATTTCCGTAATGATTCGGCACCAGGACCATCAATGACGGTGACTACATCGTCGAGTCCAGCCAATTTGATGAGATCTCTAGCAACTTGTGCTAATTCAGGATCCAGCTCAAAGCCGTACACGTGAACATGGGCGCCTGCTGTCTCCTCGTTCGATTCTCTCAATAATTGGCCCCATCCAATAGCTGAGCAGCCAACGAATGTGCCGAACTCGACCAACACTTTCGGCTTCGGATCTTGATTGCGAAGGACCTGGCGTGCGATTCTCATCTTTTCTTCACGAAAAATCATGGGGAGTCTCTGCGAATCGGCAAACTTTTCGATCTCTTGGGCAACGGCCAACGGCTTTCCCTGAAGCTGTTCGGTTGGTAGAGCGAATATGTGCTCTCGAAGGGCTTTAGCACGGGCTTTCGCCATTGCTTCGAACTGTGGTCATAGTGAGCAAAAGTCTTAGTGATAATAACCCGATAATTGTCTGTTTTATCATTTCCTAGGGGCAGGTACGACATACATCTTTAGCTGAATGCGGTGGCGGCATTCTGTTTTAATCAGTGCTACTTGCTTTGAGTATCCGATAGTATTGAGCATCTCAATCAATCCGAAGACCGATCTTGCAGTTCAAAGCCTCTTATGCATCTCAGCTCGTTGCCAAGACGTCACAAGCTTGCGCGTCAAATGGTCTGCTCGGAGTTACCATGATTGACACGGATAGGCGACCCGCCAATATGACTACTGTGACGCTACATAGTATGCCGTATGACACTAACTTTGTCCACTATAAAAATGACCCTATGATCATGCTGTCAGTGTGTTTACACTCACCATAAAACCTAATCATGTATCCTTTATCACAACAAGCAGTCACGTGTTTTGTTTCAGTAGAAGTTTCGCCACACGAATTCACAACGACTCGAATATTCTAGATAACCTTCCATGTCTTTACAAGAACAAACTGAGGCGCTAAGTGGCAGCCGCGATGGCGCAAACTATTACTCCGGCCCGCTTTTGGTGAGTTGGTGGATCTCCGACAGCTGTTCATGGGCGGAGCTCGGAGACCGAGCGGATACACGGCCGGCTGAATCTGGGTTCAGTGCATCTCTTCAGTCCCGAACCCAGGTCATGGAGCTTGTGGTAATATGCCGGTCTTGATAATACACATATGAAGCGATCAATATTGCGTGACGATCAATTCCGGCGCCAAACATGTCCACAAAGCAGATGTGTGCCAAATTCCAAAGACGAAGCAAAAATAATTGATTGATGGAGCGGTCGGTGATTCCTCACTGCTATGTAGTGTTCCAATATCCTCGCTTTCAATGCCAGCAATAACCTGATCTATGCCATGTTCGCTAGTCTCGAGCATACTCACCAAGCAGCAGAACTTGTGGTCACTCTAGCCTTGCCAAGCAGCTGGACACCCCCCCTTTCGCCTCTTCGAATAAGTATGGGCGTGATCATCATATCCACGATCGTGTCAGTACTATCGGATGAATATCGCGAGTGCCGTATCATGGTGTCTACATCGAACCAAAATCCATGAGTGTCTGAATTTCCTGGCTGATTCGACATCAACGGATATGCGGTTGTTGTTGCGAATACAGAGCACAGTCTCGCAGCTGAACGGACAACACTCTGCAGCTTCTCCTTAATCTCGCGGCTCTCAACCTCGTGGATCGGATTCGCGTATTTGGCTAGTGCTGCATAGATCTTCTCCGTCTGTGTTGCAATAGTCTTGTCGTTAATCTGCAAGCTACCGTCGAGTAGTCTCGCCGTGAACAACCTCCAAGCAGAGTAGGCCTCGGAAGGATCCTTATCTTGCAGCTTCGCGCTGAATACCTTGGACTTTCGATGTATATCCTCTCCCAAACATCGCCAGGGTCTTTCGAAGAACCGATGCTGCAGGTGTCGCCATATCGCCGCCTGGAAAAGCGTAGATGGAGAGCATCTCTGAGCGCCGATCAGATAAGATTGACTATCGCTAGAAAGTGCTACCAGTTCCTTGAGTGCCATTTTGTCTTGGACTTTCTGCCTGACAGGTTGGTCAAAGTGGCTGTGACATAGTTGGTCGATTGCCATCTGAAGCATGCGCCACTGATGACACACCTCTGCGTCGTCCACCGAGCAATGCAGGAAATAACGCGAGTTGCTCATAACAGCCAGCTCAGTCGACAGCTCGTCACATTGGTGCTGTTTTGCCTCAAGCTGAGCTTCGAGTTCGCTGTATCTCTTCTCGGCAGCTTCGAGTGTGAACTTTGGTAGGATCTCAGTGGCGATCGCTCCTTGCTTATCGTGTGAAGTTGATGAATCAAAACAGTTAACATTCTTGCTTCTGTTAACTTTTTTTTTGCGTTTCGACAACCTTTCCCACAGTAAGTCGTTCTCGTCCTCCAAGCCGCGGACGCGCGCTTCGAGCGCGGAATTTTCTTTCACCCAGTCAGCTTTCTGGCTTACCTTAAGCTTCGATTTGAGCGACCGGATCTTCTCTTCCGCGGCCAATAATTTAAGGAAGTTGTTTGACATCTTCGTTTGGAAATAGTGTTCGTCTTTATGGTGCAGTTTGACAACAAACTCAGCGGTGCAGGTCAGGTAACTCGTAGCTCAATTCTATTTGCTATTCTTCAACTTCTTTTTCCTGAGAAGAGATGCAACCTAAAACAAGTATATGAGTACAATATAAGAATACGAAAAACTTGAGGTGTATTATAATCTGTTTTGAGAAGAATACAAACTTGGTCAGCGGTACAACATTTCTTTGACATCGTCTTTGTACAAGGTATTGTCTCGTCTCTACGCATTGAAACCACATCTTTTGTTCCAGAGGCTTTGCATTATGTCATATATTCGAATGTTCCGATAAACCCCGTTCCATTGTCTCAAGTAAATTCCACAAGCCACTTTCGTAAACTAGTCTCCATGTAGTGACAATAATGCTGAGTCTCAGAGCGGAGGTATTTATCATGTAATAGACTTCTAACCTAGTCAGCTTGTGATGTAAAAGCTATCGGTCTTGATAGAATTATTTTTCCGAGAATTGAAGTCTACTTACCCCATCCATCAATTATCGAGATGATATTTCTGTTATGACTTTAAGGTACTAATTGCTTAGAAAGTATCATGATAGGACTTTCTCTGGTAGCTCTTTGGTAGCATTCTCAAGACAAAATGCAGCACAACATGAGGCAGTGGTGGCTTCACCGAGACGGGAAACACCGAAGCCGAGGTGACTAGAATGCATTGTCTTGATAGACGATCATCTCGACCAAAAACAACTGCCGAGTATTTGACAATTCGATATACTTTCATGGATGCCTCAGGTCTCCGCCTGTTGCCTCAGGCACACACCTAGGGCAACCACATTCAGTAGCCTTCAGTGGAACAGAGGATAGCTCTGTTGCTCACCGTTAAATCACACTCCATATAAATAGACTACTATTGATCACCATATGTGACGTGTCTATCAAAGTTATGAGCCTCTCTTCTTGAGGTTTTACTACCAAAAACCCCTATCAGCTTCCGCTGACCCCTTTGCCTGCTTCACAGCAAAGCAAAATCAATCGAGATCTTCTCTCAGATCATACCACCTCGTTTCGATACTACTGATTAGCAACTACCCATGATAGTTATATAGAATACCAACACTATCGGAAAGAGGATACCTTTCTTCTACTCAGAATTTCTTAGTTGCCAAGCCAACCGCTTACAGCTTGAAGCGAAGCAGGCGCCGCACTGACAGAATTCTGCCCCCTGTTCCTCTCGTTACATCACACTCTATCAATAGACTACTATTGGTCACCATACATGACGTTTCTATCTAACCTTCACAGACTCTTCCATTGTTTCTAGTTTTGGGGGAGTTTAATTTAGTTTCAACGTGAATTTTCTAGATCTTGTATACCGTTTTATTTTACGTAACTTATAACTGCACTAGATCTCATGATTGATATGTGACTAAGACAGACTGCTACTGATCGTTTTTCCTCAAAGCCAGTCTTTTGCCACCGAGTCAGGATCGAGGTTTTTGAAGAAATATCAAAGATGAAACAACGTTGCAACCGCTACTAAGAATACATTAATTATAGAGAACAAATAGCCTTGTTGGTAGCAACTTCATGTTTGTCTAGACCTGGAAGAACGGAATTGAGCTTCAACGAATGCTTGTGCGTAGTTAGTCGCTCCTTCCTTGTGACTATTCTACTAAACATCGAACGGGAAAGAGTATACAACGAACTTAGCAGCGTCTGTGAATCCAGGTCAATCACTCTCCTGACCACTCTGGCATGACAAGAACATAACAGGCCTTCATCTTGTACGGGATAACTGAATGCCAGTACTGGAACATGAAGATAGTAGACAGAATTCTCCACAGAATAAAATCTCGATAGTGCCCAATAATTGCAGTAGCAAGCACGATAGAAATGAACGAGACTTTTACCCATAATAAGTAGAGCAATAAGAACTATCAGACTAGTCTAGCGTAGATCCTTCGTCTATTGCCTCTATCTAATCTGTCTCACCACTCGTATAGGTGTAAGTAAATCTCCCTTTCACGACTAAATCATTCTCCAATGGCTGTTTAGCAACAGACATCTGCTGGGACAAGAACAAGAGTTTTGTCATATTCCTCTCCCTTCGAGTTTCCACGCTTCATGAGAACTGGTGAGGCTATGAGTTTGACGTCATTGTGCCGAGCATTACCTGAAACAATCTGCGTCCAAGGCTTGACTGCCTGAAAACCGTAGAAAATTTCTGTGTCATTTTTGCCAATTCGAACATTGGCGCATCGAAATTCTGATCTAGACTTCACAAAGATGACTGCTAGCTCGATGGCCTTGCTCATGATTGTCTTCAGATCCTTCTTGATTTCATCGTGACACAAAACGGAGACATGGCCCAGGAAGCCTTCCCTACACAGTTTTTCGGTAAGTTTATCATCTAGTTGACCCTTTATACCACGATGTTTGTGCAAAAATTGACAATTCATTGCTCGTAGTTGCTGTGCGTCTTTCTTCGCGTCACCGTGCTTGGATGTATCTGAAATGTGATTAGTTCATTGGGTAGCTTCGTACACAGAATAGATATAATGCCTTACCAATCAAGCATCTGAGCTGATCAACATTATCCATGGCACCAGTGCCGAAGATTCTGAGGGGACATCCGAACAGATTCTTGCAAAGAAAGTGCCAAATGTATGCCTGAAAAAGATACGGCGCAAGATACTTATCGCCAAGGAAAGTCGCATAGGTTGGACATATCCGAACGAAGTGGTTGTGATCACGAGCTCTAACTCTTCTAAATATCTTTATGCTGAAATGTAACGACGTCAAGTTTCGGATATCATCATGGAGAGATCTGAATTTTGACGTCACAGTGTCATCGTCGACGGTGAACTTATGGTCGGTGGGCTGGAGTGCTTGTGCCTCTTCAATTGCTTTCTGCCAGGCTTCAAGGAGCTGTGCGCACTCTTCTTCTTTTTCGGTGAGGTCCTTTCGAAGTGTCTCTAGCTTCCTCTTGTAGTTGTGGCTTTGCAATGCCATATCCTTGGGCACAGCGAAATGATAAGTTGGTAAGCGCTGGGGAGGGCTGTGATCGACCTTGACTCGCAAATCGTTGACTGTTGCCTTGAGATTCAAGATCTGTGCTTCATGACCTTTGGTTTGATCAACTAGATGGTCCATCTGATTTTGCGAATATACGTCACCTCTAGAGGCCTTTTTGTCCATGTACTTCTGTACTCGTGCATCCTGTAAAATGGTTTCTAGGTCAATCATACCTAGGAAATCTAGTAACTCACTCTGAGTGCACTCAGAAATGCCAATCAACTTCTCTTGTGAGGTTGTGGAGAAGGTGGATGTCGGCACTCCATCTGTTGCCATAGTGAATTGAGTGGAAGATGTTGTGGACTCGACGCCTGTCAGATCTATGGCATCTTGATGATAAGGCTCTCGTTTAGCACTGAGTTTGTGCATGACTTTCGCTGCTTCGTAGGAATTCGCCATTTTCTGTGGGTGGAAAGAATAGGCCATCTTTTAGTTGGTGGGTTGATGATGAGAAATGGTAGGCGAGGGATTGGTTGTTTTGCCTTAATGACAATGATTGAAGTGGGAAATAGAAGGGAAGGTTACCTGGTTGATTATCATTAAAAGAATGGTGAAAATGTGCCGAGAAGAAACTGTGAAGCTTCTATAATGATAATGAAATTGGAAAGTTGTTATGGAGATAGACAGAACGTGTTCTTTCCATAAAATAGTCTTAATAATCCTAATTTGGATAACAAACAAACGTTCCTGCCTTTTCACTCAAATATAACAACAATTAAGAATCTCCACAATCTCCTCATTGCTAAGTGCACAACAGGTTTTTCTACGACTCAAGCTTATTTACCTCTCAATTGTTGAAACCTGATCAACATCAATTCCGGAAGTTCTGACCAATATGAAAAGAGTCACCGATCTTGCGTGTTGTGGCACTACTTACTTCTTCCATTATCCTCCTATGAGTTTCTGACAGCCAGCATAACTGGTACTCAATCACCGATCACCATCATGGAGTCCGTATTGAAGAAGCAGACTACTCTAATAATTAGCATCGACTTCGATACAATTTAAGTGAAGCCTCGGAAATCTATTCAGCTAGAACAGGTACTCACACGCTACCTATCTACTCTTGCTCAGAACAGTAATCGACACAAGGTTTCGTCGAAGATCTACTACGACAACAATATCGGCAAAACTTGGTGGTTTATAATATCCCTGAGGATGTTGAGCCTTTGCAGTGGTTCAAACTCCTTTTAATCGACAATGCTGATGTGATATCGCATTGCGGGAGGCACCTCGTGTCAAGACAGCTCGTGATATTAACTTGGAGGTCAAGAAAACAGCCATTGAGATCGTTGCATCAGGCTGCTGAACGAGCTGGTGTCTCAAGAAGCGCCTCGCTAGCAAAACCATTCTTTTATTCGCCTCCGAGCCCGAAGCAGGTGCAATGGCCAAACTTTTTGGATTTGAGAAGAGAGGCAAACTCCATGTCCATAATTCATTGTCTTGAATGATTGTGACGGTGGCACAGTTGCAAGTTGTGGCTTAGATCACTATCGTAGTCACCGTGACCGTACAGGAGACTGAGTTGTGATACAGGACCCATCAGCGACAAGTTCGAGAGTGTGGCGCCGTTAGTCATCTCAGAATGTGTTAAAGGCGATGGTGAGTTTTCAGTCATCAATGACTGTTATTCTTCTCGCTTATCAGTCAATGAGTGTTTTGCGTGGCGCATCCTTTATCGACGAAGCTTTCTCATAATTCATGAAAAAGTCCATGGGAGCCAAAGTATGGCATAATATGGATCGTACAGATATTGCGAAGATGGTCCGTGGATACTGGGAATATTCCATTGAAAAGGTTTTTACGCCCCGGATTTTCAGCTATCAAAAGAATTATCGCACTCAAGAATCTGGCTTGTTGACACACACGAAGCATTTTTACACTTACAGTCTAGACAGACCGCCCACTCGTCTAGGTGGCGATAGCTGGCAGCGACTTGGGGAGAACAAGTTTAAAATGCCCGACTCCGGCGAAAACTCTTCCGATTGAACCACCAATGGTGTATCATTTCACCGCTTCCTATATGAGACCAAGATTAATGTTTCAGGAGCTCTCGCGAACTTGAGTATCATGGCTAGTGGAAAAGAGCTTGGTGCCGAGGGCTTTACGTTGCAATGCACTTGGGAGATTGACCAGTGGGAAGGGAGTATTCCCATTGTACCATGTACTGGGGACATTGAAAGAACCATCTAGGAGATTTGTATGAACAAGGAACAAATAATGATATTGAGCTCTGCCTGGATCAGTCTGACATGATCTAACTGGCATTACTATAAGAAAGTACCGACGTCATAGGCTGAGCAGTGATGCTTATGGCAATGCGAGATCTGGCGAAGACTGGCAAGAAATTTAGCTAGCACAGCAACATAAACACTGAAACAAGGTAACCTGGCTTCCGGCTGCCTGCTATAGTAATGTTAATCCTCTCTCAATTGATCAGACCGCCACGTTGCCCCCGTCAATGCTCGCAGAATGATCTTCACGCTTGTACGCCAACCGACCCGTGAACCATGGACACAAATGTGTAAACACCATATTGAAAATTAGAAGCATATTTGAGCTTCATGTAATTGTGGCGTTTTGGGAACCTTCACTGAGCTATACAGTGTGATAATCGTGACCACCAGAATAGAGAGCATGTGTCTGCATATGAACATCCACATCCGAAAGGCTTCATGCCGGCCACTTCACCAGTCCCATCGGTCCGAGCTGGCGATGGCAATGAACCCTTGCAAAATTCCTTGACTCTTTGGAGAGATATACTGGTCAGCGATGGTGGTGCGCGTCCTCTCCATTTCACTATCCCCCCTCAACGATGTGATTTCTTTATTTTGACAATCAACGAGAAAGCGATAAAATGGGTTAAACTGATCTCAAGTTGGGACGAACAGAAGGAATACTATCGTTGGGTTGACTGGCTCGTCGGTGTTTGTGTTGATGGTGAAAGTCTTTTTGTGCGGTTACAAATGATCAGCATGGTAAAGAGCATAGGCGAAAACTCCAACCAATTCATCTCTTGTTGATTAACTTCCATTTACTCATAGATAGACATATTTGAAATAGTGGCAGCGGCGTCATCATATTAATGCCACCACGAAGTACTTGCGTGTAGAGATGGCGTTATCAACAATCTTCGCAATGTTTCCCCTCGAATCCTATATTAAGTCTGCTGGAGATAAAATGCACTATATATAACACTACCTCCATTTTTTGTCATTGGTCATTCTATACTTACTCACTTTATCAATGGCTCTAGATCAACAGGGAGCGAAACATATGGTTTAGTTTGAGTCCCTGATATCAATTCATGGGCGATTGTCTCACACTGGTGACATATAACAGCTAAATGCCAGACAGAGGGGCTACTAACTTATACCGAGTGCCTTGGTAATGGCATCTGGTAAGACATTGTGACCCAGGACCTCTTAAGTACTCCATACTCCCCTAGTAATTCTAAGGCCACTGTCGTGTTGTCTATCACCACTGAAATTCCCTGACGCGTCTGTTAAGCCTTTTGTGAGCGTGAGCATCAGGGCTTTCCTAAGGATAGCTAGAAGGGATCTTTGCATCTCAACAAATGACGGCGGGCTGGTCGACAGTGGCAAGCTTGTAACAATTGGTACGAGTGCGGCCACGTAGCCTGCTTCCGCCCCTTTGTCAAAATTGAAACAGGCCAGGTCATTTTCAAGTGTCTTCATGCGGCGGTGATCACTACTACACAGTCAACGGTCGACCAGTAATTTGTGGGAAAGGAGCTCACAAACCAGAGTGGCCAGAACCATCCCCACGACCCTTTGGCCGTTCTGACACATTTGGAGAAATGTGTGCAATTTGCACATCGTCTAGGAACTAAGTCCAAAGGAACAGCTGCTATCAAGGTTGTGGCTTCTTTGCTTGGAGGTACAAATACCGGAATAAGACAATGGCTTACCATGTATGCCTTGATACTGTGCTTCACAGTGCTGCCTAGGTTGTGTGAGCGTAACTGAAAGATGCCGTCTAAGTACTACTCAGTTATGTAATCACACTGTATATAAGTAAAAGTCCAACCTGCTCAGAGAGCTATTAAAAAATACTGTCGATACCATGGAAGGACTGGCTGCTTCGGGAAGTTGGTTACATGGCTTCAAGGAGATTATTAAGCATCCTCTCAAACATTGAAAAAGCTTCAGCAAAATTTCAAAGTGCATCACATCGCCAACCCTTACAAATGATGAAAAAAGGCCAGAAGCCAATCTGCAATGTCGCGATGAGGCAATCATCATCATATTGGTAATTCGTGACACAGAGCAAATGTGTCAGGATGACACGTCTATTCATGTTTCCACAAGAGCGCAGAGGTTGATTCGCTCAAGCAAAAGGCCTCATTCTTCCAACAGGCAACGTTGGAAATGTGTAAAAAATCACATGACGACGATCCAAGGAAAGAGCTAGACAAAGAAATCAACAGGCTCTCGACTGAGGCTTTTACTCGGATATCTAATTTAAGTTATAAGTTATATGCATTGGTAGGGAACAAGCAGATGATCAAGCGACGATATTAAAAGCGGCACTATCTTCAGAATCTTTAGACTGACAGACTTCTTATATGGTATAAAAAATATTTATTAGCACTACGGGTGCACTCTCGATTTAGTGCTTGATTATATCCCTAATCGGAATCGTATACTAATGATATATCTACAAGTTATAGACGTTTATAGCACATACAACTATAGCTCTTAGAAAACTCGGCATCCCGTCCGCTTTGCCCTAGTCTAGATTAACTGAGAAGCGCCAGGTACCTAGATGGAGCTCCAAGTCGCAGGTCCGGCCCCAAAAATAGGTGCTTGCCCCGCTTTCCCGGCCTTCAACTTACCGTTTCACAGGACGCGTTCCGTAAGTGACTACTGGATCACCTCGGCCGATCCAAAATTGAGGGATACTTGGGCTCTGCGAACGCAAGGCTACACACCGTGTGCTTCATCACGACCGACGATAGGGTATGCTGCTGCATATTCCGGTCGCCTTGTAAAGCTCTGCGTGGGAGTACTTGGCTACTTAGACACGGTAGCCGAGGAATTGGACTGTGTGTGTATACAAGAGCCAGGGTAGGTCGCCTGCTGTAGATACAACCAAATGTCGCCTCCTTTCAAACTCCATACATCTTTTCTGACGCATCACGGTTGAACCTATTTCTTCAAGCGATAATGCCCCCCCCACCCCCTTTTCTTTTTTCTGTTATTATTGAACTTTAAGCCATGACGCCCGCTTATAGCGAGAAGTAAACACGTTGTCTGCTTGGTATGCTCATTCGAGGATTACTATGGACGTTTCACCGAATATCTTGCGCCATATCACACATTGGCTCCTACGCGATGCGACTGCTATACTCTTCAGAAATTAAACATGGTCGCCAAATTCGCTCCATCAATTGGGCCATCTGTGACTAGGTTGCTCTGCTTTGCCTGGTTGCATGCCATGTTATCCACTACTTCCGCTTCAACGTTCTCGGATTGTACTGTAATGAAGTTCTTTTGCTGGGCTTCATGGGTCGCTTTGTTACGGCCTACTATACGAGAAGCTTCAACCATATTCAGCCAAATCTGCCACGCTCAATGGAGATTTGTTGGCCATCACTCACGTATCTTGGCCTCACTCTGCCCCTGCTTCGAATTGTTCGGATTGTTGCGCGTTTCGAGATATACTTTTCCTCCCCCGGGAAAGTACTTCCGCATTGGCTCATTGCCCTGCAACTCTGCCTGTGGTGCATTTTGATTTAGTCTGTCGATTCTGACTAAGATAATCTGCACATCTGGACTAAAGCCGCGCTGGGCTCGGATCTTGTCGTAGACATCACCCACGGTCTCACTGGTATGGTATTGGAGAATATTCTCCATTTGACTACTGTTCCCTGGCAACATTAGCTCATGGCCTGGGCTGTCGGCAATCTGTTACAACATAGGCGTGGTATTATATCCTGACGAATAGTTGGTAGGACTCACTGTTAATGATCTGAAGTTCTTCCATGACGAGCGTGTACGTGGTCGGGTGCTGTTCTGTGTAATTACCACGTTGGAGAAAAACGCCCAGTTGGCCCAGCGTGGTTAACGTAGGCAGATTGCGAGGAAGGCTCGATATATATAGACAAGGCTCAACAGCCAAGGCGGCAGGACCAAAGCAGGCTACCCGTCTCTCGTCGTATCGGTCCGCTCACTATCGCGGGCTTTATGACAGATTCATCATTATGCATAAATATATCCGGGTATTGGAGCAGGGGGTACGCCTCGTCATGTGGCAGTACAAATATGCAATTGGTTCGGCTAATGTCCAGTGCGTGATCACACCATCAGTCAGCCTGAGGAGGAATCAAAAGAAGCAGGCTGTCTTAATTCAAGTAATGGAGGTGGGGATGCTCTGTCCCGGAACAAACAACTAGTACCAAGTCATGCTGCTGTCAAAAACGAGGCTCTGCTCTGCTCTAGCTTGGGAAAACAATCTATATGTCACGATACGCGCAGTCTTGGACATGATGAACGTGTGGCATAAGGGTCTATCATGTCTATGACTGGATACATGTCTGAAGCCATAAGTAGCACATATACTCATCTCCATAGCAGATTCAGGATCTCTGTAGTTCCTTGAAGAGGCTCCCAGATTTGAAAGCATCCAACACTCCGTAGTTGAGAATATTAGCTAGAACCACTCCAGAGAAACACACACAGTCCACTATAATGATTCATGAGCCCGGTTCCCGAGATGTAATCTATATCATGCCATGTCCAACAATCGTCATTCCCGAAAAGGTGCGGCAAGTGTGTAGAGACCAGAGCGGCAAGGCACTGACCGGCTTGCAGTACAAGAATTGGTGTTATTTCTAGAATCTTAATACACTCCCGTGTCTGTTCATTCCATAGTTATTCCACGTGGATGCTCGGTCGAAAGCAACGCATGCTACGCCTCAACGAAGACGCTTTGTAGTAGTTTCATGGACCCAGGTCCACCCAAGATCAGGTTGCTTTGTCTACTGCTGTCCAGCGCTGTGTTGTCGGTCACCGATGCAGTTACCCGCATCTTGAAATCCTCTAGGCCGACTATTCCATTGACTTGGTCGGCTGCGCCCTCTGTGTGGTTAAGATCCACTGTCATGCTTGATGAGGATTTGAAACTTTCCTTGCGAGCCTCCAAGTCGATTCTTTGGATCCCTTCTGAGATATCTCCAGTTTTTTCGATATGTATGATATTCATCTGGATCAATAGTTCGAATTTTGCCCTTTCAAGCCGCAAAAGCACGTCATTCAGTCTCGACTCGTCTCGACTTCTGCGCCTTAGAGCGTGTAGACTCTGCTGTAACAGACTTTTGCGGTTCAAGATAGCCATGTTCATGAGGATCTTCTGGAGCTCCAACGCGATAGAACATATGTATTCTAGCTGGTTATGGATGGCGTGCGTATGCAGCTCAGTTGAGCTCTGAATATCGTGCAATATGTTTTGGAGGTTGGTAGACTGCACCATCAGATCGTTGAGCAACTTCGGCGCCGCGCTGATAGTCTGCCGTACCGAATCGATCTGCTGCCATAAGTTTATTGCCTGGCCGAGCAGCTGGGCTATTACTGCTGCCGAACCGAGAACCTCCTGACGGTGAAGTTCGTTAGCCTGCAGTGTCACAAGATGAGGGGGAACCGGACCCCACCATCGTATTCCAAGAGGTGCATATATATTCCAGTGTGGCAGGCTGAGCGATACCCAGTAATATTTGTTCACCTTGATATGAAAGGTGCGAAAAAGAACCAGGAAGCTGGTTATTTTGGTTTGAGGAAAAGAACTTGCTTAGGTAGTGATACTCGTTAGGCTGCAGTAGCGAGGTTATATGAAAGGACTGGTGTAGATAAAAAGGCCCTGCTTTTCCGTGGTATTTGTCAAGCTAGCTTTGGGTATAAACGAAGGCAAAATGAGCCTAATTTACAGTTTGAAACCTTGAGGGCTATCAAAATACAGGAATTTGTTATTCGGGCAGACTTATCTGGATAATCCCTGCAAATCATACGGTCGAACCGCTAGGATTCGCTGCCTTGCATTTCTCGTGGTTTTACCGGACATCAGGCGGGTCGCGCGCATCCCCGCGTACGGCCATTAAGGTCGATGTTCAACAAGACCTAGTCACATGACAGGAGGTGAGCATTCCCAGTCAAAAATCCACGTCTTTAAGATTTTGCTTGGTGGCAGTACGACTTTGTTGATTCGCCTCGTAACCACCTTGGAATTAGAATTGGAAGCGAATGTCATGATTTATCTCTCTGGTACCACGGAGCGTGACGCGTCAGATCTCTGTTCAATATTCGATTATACTGGATCTTTGACTGAGGCTGGAAAAAGAAAATGCAGCGTATATCACAAGAATATCAAGACAGGATTATGTTGCTTTTGATAATGAGAATAAATCAACACAGACAGGGACTGCAGCTGGTGCATTCTGAGTGCCTTCGATCCAGCCACACAGAATCTTGCAACGCTGGACATATACAAATTCCTGGGCCTTTTTATCCTTGGAAGTAATATCGAGTTTCTCCGGTACATCAACGTGCGCTATTGACATCCCACAGTGGCCGATGTGACCACATATTCCAAAGTAATGTCAGACCCCAGTATCAATGTCATTATTGCAAGACTAACGTGTCACACTGCTTGCAGGAAAGATCTGAAAGGTCTGACTCGCCAAATTGGAGTATGAGCCTCGTCCCGCAGGAATCCTGAAAAGTCTACGATGGGGAGGGATGTATGCGAAAGCCGATGTGGGTAGACAAACTATCTCTCCGAACTGTTCAACATTGGCGCGATGGATGGTGAAAGGACACTTGGGTAGTAATCTGGCACGGAGACCTTATGCAAGCAACGAAAAAGATTTTTACAACCTCCACCTTCAATATTAATGAAGGGCTCGGCTTCGTTTCTATCTTCCGGAGGAACGGCTGCAGAGACAGCTCAACCTGCAGCAGAACCATGAGGAGATGCGCATCAAGGTGCAGCATGGGTTATACCACCCAATAGCCTTGCCTTATCGCATCACATATTGGATCCTGACTACACCAAATAGGGTGAGTCCGGGCTACAGATGCAGGCCTCAATAAACCGCGGGTTTCGACTGGCTGATATTCTGCAAGATGTCAGACGCCCTTGGCCCCATGAGCCCATGGTGTGCAGTTTCAAAGCATCCTGATAGGATACCAGAGGACCCTATCAGATTTTGTGGCAATCCGAGCGGTGAAGCCCTTTCACAGGAATCGCCGTCGCTACATGGCAGGAGACCCCAAATTGCTCCGGAAAATTTGTTCGAAACATGTAGTGTGGGGGGGGGGGGGAGGAATGTTTCTATATGAGGGCGAGGCATGCGTCCCAAATGGTCTCGATGGTTTCTGTAGATTCCATGATAAATCACTCGTGGTTCACTACCCCGTGTCAACAAAGAAAGTCGTCGTTTTGGTACCCTTACCGTTGCTCCAAGCTATTCGGAATCGGGAAGCATCATGGGCAAAATATTTTCAAAACCAGTGAGCAGTGTATCATCTGCGCAACACGCTTCGGAAAGTCACAATACGCCGGTCATGTTGACAGAGCCTTCTATGCAGGGTGATGCGCCTTTCGAGGCAACTCTGGACCATCAGGCTGCAGACCCACATCGTAATAGGACGATCGACAATATAGAGCCACATGGCTCAGCATCAGGACACTATCTCGAGCGAATGCCGACAAACCCGCCATTCAATGAGCATGAACAGGATGCGACAACATGGGGAAGATCTGGCGATAGCCCAGTCAGTCCGAAACTCAATACAAAAGGGGCAAGTTCAACAGACTCTTGACTTATGTCTTTTAGTAGGATCCATGTCCATTCTAACTTGTGCTCTAGCTCCAAGGCGGCTATAGCCCGCGCTTTTCGATCGATTCGACACCTTGTGAGTTGCACCCCGACACTCGAAAGAAAGTATTCCGAAGGAGCTGGTTTGGAGAGAAGCGAGCAGTGCAAGTTGTTTGCGAGGATCTCTGCCAGATCCTCGAGCGAGCTGCGATCGCTCTTCCATGGAGTGAAGAAAATGAGAAGCTATTTTCTCCTTCCAGTTGGATTACTGAGCCATTCGAGGTGATTGTACATAACAGAAGCGAGATAGTGAAGCATCATTCAGAGCTCGATGATGGGGATGCCAAGAAGCACCTTGGGTGGTTTCTAGAGCGCTTAGAAGCTCACCAACCTGGTTTGTGGCAGAAGCAAGACGAAATATTGTCAGGGAGCTGTCGGCAAGTCCTATTCGAGCATCTCTGGCTCCTCTATCCTCCAGGTAGCACAGTTTTCAGCATCGATGATAGCGCGTGGCGGGCATATATTATCGAAAGGACCGAAACTGTCACGTTGGAGCATGCGGCAATCTTGCAGATTCATGTCTGTTATCTCGACTTCGACGGGACCGGCCGGCGCTTGATACCACATAGAACAGTGATCGAGGTGACTTCTTACACCTCAGAGCGAAAGATGAGCGCTTTAAGACTGAAGCCGGAGTGGTACATTGAACGGACCACTCCACTCATTGTCGCAAACCTGGTTAAGCGAGGAAACGAGTACTCTGGTTTGGGCGGTAAACCACACTACAGGGAATACGAAGGGGATGCCTGGCCAAAGGCGTCACATGATGTAACAGAAACTCTTAAATTGTTATTGCATACAATTCCGTGCTGATGAGTTCTAGTCCAAAACCAAGGTCATTGTGGACTACTCGACGAGCAGCAAGTACACTGCCGCTGGTGATACAGCCAGAAATCAAGACGGGATGTCTTCGTGTCCTGTGTGCATTGGTGAGTCTCTCGGCTTGTTCTCGTACTCGGAACACGCTGATGATGACCCGCAAATTTGTGTCAACGGCGTGTCTCATTCAACCCACTGGTCAAAGGCATCTCAGGAGCTTCATATTGGCGACAAGGCACTTCTCTTCTGTCCGCCACGACTATGGGCCTTCTCGTTGAATTTCAAGACCTGGAAATCTGTATCACACGAGGAATTGCACGTTGTTGAATCACAAAACACATCTTTCGAGCAGGACCTATGCATGAAGCAAAGTCGAAAGCAATCTCTCAGGCACATCGTGTCTGGCTACATGAAGGATACAGAGGATGTTAAGCTGATCAGCAGTAAAGAGACAGTTGGCCGGAAGGGCCGGGGTCTAAATATACTACTCAGTGGTAGCTCAGGGACTGGGAAGACGTGGACAGCCGGTACGTACATATTTGCGATTAGAACGCTGCTTCGTGTTTCTCTGTTCTCTGTTCTCTGTTTTCTGTTTTCTGACGGTTGATAGAATGTCTCTCGGAGAAGTTTAATGTCCCCCTATATTCAATGACTTGTGGCGACCTAGGGGTTCACTCCGGTGTGTTGGATCAGAAGCTACAAGAAACCTTCACACGCGCCAAAAACTGGAACTCGATGGTCCTCCTGGATGATGCTGATATATATGTTTATGAAAGGGACATATACAGCTTGAATCGCAACGCCCTGCTGCCGATCTTTCTTAGGCACCTGGAATATTCAGATTGCCTTACCTTCATCAGCATATCTCAGTTTGAACCTGTCGATGCAGCGTTTGCATCCCGCATCCACGTCGGGGTACCATTCCCTAAATTTGACTTCGGTACTCAGCAGGAAGTATGGCACCTGGTCATTGACCGTCTCCCTCATGACTACCTGGAGAAGGATGAGTTACAGTACTTCATCACACATGAGCTAGGAGAGCTTGACAGTGGCGGGTATAGAGAGATGAACGGAAGACAAATTAGGAACTGCATCGATGTTGCCCTAGTTCTCGCTCGAAATGAGGCTTCCAGCAAACTGCAACATCACCATATAGTGAGGATATTGAAGCTTGGGAAAGATTTCAAGGACCACGTCTTGCAAGTGGCGAACGAATCGACAGAATTCAGAGCACGAAACTTTTTCATCGACTAAAGTATTAGTCTTTCTTTGTATCACAACGAAGTCACGAAACATATTTCCTTATTGTAATAATAGATATCTTTTGCACTGTTTTAATGGTCAATTGCGTTTGAAGATACCCTCTTGTGACTCCCAAGCTCTACATTATGCACAACCATAGGGAAATATCTGCTCCATGTTCCAGCATCCCACTCAAATCTTGAACCTAGCAGTAGCGGACACGATATCCTGGAAATCATCCATAATTGTGGTCGGCTTCCTCATGGCTCGTTTAGAGAACTGCAACCCAGGTCAGCATTCTTTTATCAGTATTGGTGTCGTAATCGGTCAAACCACCAACCTCTGTTTGTCGCGTTGGATATTTTGTGGGGCGTGTGTTTGGGATATCACCACTGTCTATCAGTCAACTTTCAGGAGTTGGCTAACCATGCAGGGTCAATACGGCAGTCGTCGTTGAGGTGGGTAGTCGAGTTTAATATAACCGACACTGAGGCCAAAATTTCGAAAATATGCCTTCGTTCTATCTAATCTACTAGTCACCAACAGCTTCACCGGAATTGATTTCTCTTGGCAAGTTACAAGCAAAGTTCGAAGATTGGCGGTGAAGTCTTCAAACTTAGAACTGCTGGATCTGTCGTGAATAGAGTCAACGTTGTCGAGCAGCACATAAAGGGTTTTGATGCCGGCCGCGGTGACGCAACTTTGGAATAAGTGCCACAACTCAGAAGTCCCAGTCGGTCTTTTGTGGAAAATCTCCTGAGTTTGCTGGAGTGCACCGCAATCGTGGTGAGCTTGCAAAAAATCGTTGCGAGCTCTGCAAAGTTGAATAAGGAAATCTTGTACTACGATATCTTGTCTCCATTGTCCTGCGCGAAGACGTTCATCGCAAAAGTATGTCACCACAGCGCTGGGCCTTTGGCTTGCGTCAATACTGCCATTTGAATGCGTAATGCGACCTATCACCTCTAACGTGAAGTCTGTGGTCCAGCATGATCCAGATTTTGTAACGATGTACCGATCTAACAATAAGACCGCACTTTCCTTGGATTTGATCCAGCTGGAGAGGACCTGGACTTGTGTGTTATTGAGTATGTCCATCACCTGTTTGGCAGATCTGGAGGTTGGATAATGAGCGAGACATTTATCTAGATCCACGTCGAAGTAACAAGTCTCGGAGAAGCAGCCGTCTTTCAGGAAACAAAACACAGGGTTCGAACTGCTACCCTTCCCTTGGGATATTGAGCTACGGCGATCCACAACTTGGCCATATAAGAATTGCTGTGCTGATCTATCGTCAGTCATGCATTTTAATTATGTAAGGCTATGTTTGTGACGTTTGGCGTACCAGCAGAACCCAGTTCTTCGACTTCGTGATGATCTCTTGTAAACATTTCCAAAGCAATATCCGGTGCAAAAGGCGACCAGGGACGATACAATTGTAAATTGAAAATCTGATTGAATTGACGAGCACCGTTGTCGGCATAGTTGCTACTGTTCGAGTTGTGAGAGTTAGGGGCCATGGTTTGCAGGCATCAGTAATCGATCCCACGCAAACCGCATTTACATTGGAGTAAACAATATCGCTGGATGAAACGCTGAGACGTCTCGTGAATTGAAAGAGGAGTTCGGTACACGTTTGCGCGCATTTCTGTCGTTGATCGTTGAGTCCTCAGCCCGTTAGAAGTGCTTTCGAGGAGTTGATCGAAAGAGAAAGAGGATGCCTGGACCCGACAATTGCGAAGGGATGGTTCGCTGTCACTAGACCGTAGCCTCGCTCTCGCAGCGCACCGTGTCGCGGGCTTAGCTTCACCGACGTGTTGGGTCGCTACCTAACGCAGTACCACTCCTCGTAACCAGAGAATGAAACACACAGCTATGCGGAACTTGTGCTGGCTGATCCAGCCTGGAGAGTACAAATGTACCAGAATGTTGTTATGTTAAGCCGGAACCTCAGAACCCCTTAGTTTCAGCTTTCTCCGGATTGCCATCATCGAGAGGAGGGCATCATCCAGATAGGCAGCCTTGCAGCCCCCACCGCAGTACCTGCGCCATTATGACATACCTAGGTTAGGCAGTCTGGCCGCGGAACCAAAACCAGATATCATGGCTTGGGAGACCGTAGGTAACTTACAGATTGAAGATAAGCGACAAGAAAGTCATTCGCCAAGGAAAGGTCGTTGGGTGCCCCACAGTGGCCGCAATCCCCGTGCAGTCGTTCCCGGACGATAATGTCGCGCTAGCCCCGGTCTCCAAGTAAACGACAGCCTGGTGCGCTTCTATATGCATCCCCAATTACTACCAGTCCCCGTGGGTGCCCATCATCCGGACTGCCCGCCACTTTGGCATATAATGATTGCCGGCAATAGAAAATAAAGTTTCAGGTTGTCGCGTACTATAGTACTCACTGATAGTCTATGCAGGCTCTTGCAGATATACTAACTACACACGCCTGGTCCAACATGATATCAACGCAAGTTCACCGTCGTTCCCACGCAACTCGTGGAATCACACAGTTTTATTTTATTTTTTCCCGACAAAGCTGCATTGTGAGCTACAAATATCTTGGACTAGCCTCGTCAACTGATCCCACAACAGATCTAGTTGGATTAAAGCAGTAAATTTATTAGAGCCGAACTCAAATAAGACTAAGGAGTAATAAAAGCATACTATATAAGAGTATTTTCAAAAAGTCAGCACTGAAAATAGAGTTAGTGCTCCATTGCTATCCGTTTGAAATGTGCTCTTTTAACAAACAGCATCTGTGCATATTATATCTTAGATGCGATACCTCCTTTTCTAGAGACAGAGTTGCTCAAAACAAGCAATATTATATCGCCTAGGTTAGCCCTTATACCGCTGGATTAGTACTCAGGTGGGTGATCCCCGGTGTTGTATGTTTTTTGCATTTTTGTGTTTCTGTCTAGACTAGACTACACCAAGGTTAGTGGATTATATTTTCCGAGAGCAAATGGAAGAGAGCGTGATGGTCGCCTGGGGCCACCAGTTAGGTAGATGCCTGAGGTGCACAGTTCACCCTTGATAGATGGCCTTCAGGAATCCCTCAGAATAGCCGAGGAACTTCACAACGCAACAACACTCTACAGAGGATCAATACACATACTTGATCGGTATCATGACCCTACAAAGTAGTGACGCCCTTCAGAGCGCTGTTGCATCGCATAATACTTCACACTCTCAAAAAGTATCGAGATCCCCAAGAATGATTCGCAACGATAATGACATGATCAATGTCGTATCATGTGTCGCTCTTGTTTTGTTGCCGTGACGCTCGCTGTCATGCTCCATATCGGACTTGACCAGTCCACGCAATGCAAAGCATTGCCGACCGCGCGTTCGCACTTAACCTGCGCTGAACGGAGCATTGAGTGGCCGAAGCAGCGCTTAAGTAATTTTTGTGCGGAACCTCCGATTTCATGCTTGGTCACGTCCATCAATTGGCCATGTAGCTCCGGAGCTTTCAGAGAGGCAAACCGGCGTTCTCGGTGTCGTAGAGGCCCCGATGGGATATGCACCATATATTCATCGGTGAGTCGCTCCCCGGGTCTGCTCATAAATGGATAGAAAACTTCTGGAAGTTCTTCTTTTTGGCGATCGCGTGACTCCTAGCTTGTACTAAAATCCAGCATCCACAAGTCATGCTGACGCTTGTGCATGTCTAGGTTAGTGGACGATCTAGTGTCTACTGGCCTCTGACCGAATCGGTTGAGGCACCGAACGGGTCATGAACAATGCACGACGGGAGGATCAACGCCACAAACGTTGCAGAACTTTTTCGATGGCACTAAAATGTGACCTATTCACTTGAGGCTGAAGTTGTTGCACTACACATCACTATATGTATGTTGCGGCCTAGAGAAATTAGCTGCTCATGGGCTAGTATACGTGAATCATTCACGGAGCTTGGCAATTCGAACCATTCATGCCAAATGTAACAGTCGTCGGACCGCTCGGAAGCAACGGCAAAAACATTGGACCCAAGAGACGCGAACGGATAACGTGTGTATCCCGGCTCCGTCATGGTTTTTCTATAGCGTACCTTGGCAAAAATGGTTTGATCGCCTTCTGCAACGAGAGTCGTCGGACTGTCCACAGTCCTTGTTGGTCTCTCGGGTTCACATGAGTGATCAAGTCTCCGAGGCACTCGGCGATAGCATGGACAGCACAAGTGGGCACTCGACCAAGGCAAATTGCATTGCTTTATACCATCGTTGTGGGGCAAACTTGAGCTGCCAGCATTAGTTTCCAAGACCTCGCAATGACCCGAGAGGGAAAGTGGGTTGCGATGGGTACAAGGCAATTTATGATGGCGCGTCGTTGACGTCAAAATATCGGGATGTTGAAAATTCGATGGGAAAGAACAAAACACTCATGGTTCCCACTTGACATAGGAGGCAGCTATACGTTAATTCCTTAAGTGATCGACCTGATTTTGAGTTAGCACTTCCAGTTCGTGAACGTGTCAAGCCGGGGCGGTATCGCTGAAGACCTCTAATTTTTATTCTATTCATTGTCCGTGATACGGTGACCTGCTCTCCACAGCTATCATGGGTGTGGGCGCTTTTGCAGAGCCACTCGTGGTGGTAACATTGCTTTTTGGTGGCGTGTACATAAATCGCAACACAACATACAAACTCTTCTCGAAGCGTGGCAGCAACTGGCAAGAGAAGTCATTCGACAAACGTCGAGATTCTGTGTCTGATGATCCCGAAACGTCACTCTCTCGCAGTTCCGACGAGACACTACTCGAAGACGGCGGACTGTTAGCCCAAGCAGAGTCGACATGGAGGAAAAGAGAAGTCGGCCTCTGGAAGTACCGGCTTAATGTCACCTCTCCGAATACCGCCGTCTTTGAGGAGTATTTCTTGAGCAGACTATTGCGCAAACTCCCTTTCCTGGTGGAGTGTTGGTATTGGGCCTTGATTTACTGGGTAAGGGTCTACTTCTTCTGTTGCTCAAACCAGACTAATCAGATATAGGTCTACCAACTTGGCAGAGCAGTTTCCGCCCTCACGCTTGACAAGAGTACCGTAGATGTCGCTCGACACCATGCGCTACAAGTCATTGCCCTCGAGAAGCGACTCCAGATCTTCTGGGAGCCCTACATTCAACATGCATTCATGCAGCACGAGACCATGATGCACTGGATCAACCGTATTTATTCTTATATTCATATACCGGGAACAATTTTCTTCCTCGTCTTCTTGTTTTACTACACCATTACGCGCAACCGAACGAACGAGAGACAATCAGGCAAGGATATTGGTGAGAGGGCTGGATCACCCGCTGGTTCCGCATTATATCAGGCTCGCAGAAGAACCATGGCCATGTGCAACTTGCTGGCTTTCATTGTTTTCACGCTGTGGCCTTGCATGCCGCCTCGACTTCTCAGCGACCCCAATGCTTCGGGTCCGGAGGCTACACTCGGCAGAACATATGGATTCGTGGACACCGTACACGGAAAGGGAGGCGAGAGCAGTGTATGGACACAAAACAAGTTCTGCAACCAATATGGTAAGCAACATCACAGACTGTTATATTTTTCCGAGCAGTAAAGACTAACTATTAGACAGCTGCCATGCCCTCGCTTCACTTCGGATACTCTCTCATGATTGGCCTAACAATCGCTATGCTGCCGCTGGCGCCTCAGCACTGCCGCCCATTGATCCTCAGAGTCGCTGGTCTGCGCCTGAGATTCCCTTCAATACGCCGTATCGCATGTATCACCGCTGGCTTCGCCTACCCATTCATCATTCTGATTGCTATCGTCTCAACAGCAAACCACTTCATTCTTGACGCTGTCGCTGGATCCTGTGTCTGCGCTCTCGGCTGGTGGGGAAACAGATTCTTGCTCAACTTGTTGCCTGTCGAGGATTACTTCCTGTGGTGTCTGCGCCTGCACAAGCCTTAGGGAATAGGGCCATTCTTGGAGCACATTATTCGATACCACTTGCTTAATACATTAATGAAAGATAGGCGCCAGTCAGCGTGGCTAATCACCGCGCGATTACGTCTGATGACAACCTGGAGTTCACTATTTAAACTCATCTCCTCCCACCTACCGTCGCTATATTCCATAGGCTCATCTACTGGCTATGAAACTTGACATACAACATAAAATTAATAGAACTTTTTTTTATCTTTATAGTCGACAACCAGTGTGCTTATTTGACCTATTTTCATGTGAGTGCTAATTTGTGCTATCTGTCCTCGGGGTTGTTCCCATATCCTAGTCTCCGAGCTCGTAAAACTTCGCATCGATAAAGAGGAATTTCGTTTTTATAAATCTGGATAGTGATGAATATACTTGTACTGGCGTAAGTGCTAGAAAATAATGCCCACTTGGCTGCAGAGAATGTACAGATTGTCCTACTCTTTTGTTCTTCATACATACTCGGGCGTTAACTTATCACATGTTCGGCTCTATAATTCTATACATATGATGCTATGAATCCTTGCTGTATTAACGAGGGAAAATAGCCACTAGCTAAAGCATTTAGTTAGTTACAAAGCGTGAGGATGTCGATTGCCGTGAGAAGCATTTTCTCTACGTGAGTTCGGCATCGCTAAACCAGTAGTGCCGATCACGTTTCAGAGTTAAGCTGCTCATTTTTCGTCTATAACTAACTAGTAGCTAGCAACATTTTAACAGTAAGATGACCGAGATAACGCGACTATAAGTTGTTCCGCGCTTGTTCGGTCAACAGACTAGGTTAAGTCAAATCGACAGCGTAGTATAGACTAGCACACATGTGTCTCGACAAGAAAGATTTCCACCAATATTTATGAATTGTCTGCAGGAAATGTTCTAAACGCAACGAATTTTACACGTGTCGGCTAGGTCTGTAGAATTTAGTGCTTGTAGACGTTGAGGTGACATCCGGCGTGTTACCAAGGGCGTGAATTGGGGTTTCAGCACCGGATCGACACGGACTGCGAGCGGTGCGGCTAATGCATGAGCCCCGCCCTGCAGCTGCCACAGGCGAGCTAGAAGCTTGCCTGCAGCTGTCTCAGGAAACATTGAGGCTTGCCGACGTGGCATGCATGCACGGTTGGGATGCCGTCAGTGCTCTTGTCCGATGATCATACTCCCAGATTGCCGGACATTCGTCATCAAACATCCAAATCTGTTCCTGACATTGTAAATTGTTCCATGATGATGTTCCGAGATGGATGAAGTTTTAATCCAACCTCTATCGTGCGAGGACCCGCCACAGTACTATAGTCTTCCCCGCACAGTTATTGGGTCGTAAGTATCCTCAGTCCAGCCCCCCCGGCATGTGAATGAGGGATATCTAACATCAGAGCAGACTATTATGGATCACCATTATCGGCGCCTATGTTCCACAAATCCGGCGTATACGCAAGGAAGGCACCTTCGGAATATCGCCATACTATATTCTCAATCACGGCCTATTTTCGACCACCACGCTGGGGCTACGCTTCAGTCATAGCGTTTTCTATGTGACCTACAATTGCGTAGCTAGCGGCGAGCTTGTCGGATGGAAAGGGTATTCAGCATCCCTCGACTTTCTTGCCGTGTTCGTGCAATGGGCCTGCGCCATGGTACTGTACGGCCACACACACTCCTGCAAGCAATCCTTGAACGTCGCTGATCGCTGATCATAGATTCGTAACGTATGTACGCCACCGGACGCCTGCTGTGTCACCAGATCAGGCGCCCGCGCGTCGACTGTCAGATTGGCAACCAGACGATCCGCATGAGCACAAGCTCACCTCGGACAGTATGAGAATGCTGCTTCTTGCATACTCTGTCGTAATTCTGCCCATATCATTCTTGTTACTAATCTTCAACGGCCACCCCTACTTCCAGCAGGAACGCGCTCACACAGTGCTCTACGTGATCTTCTGGTCCGTATGGATTGCGTTCCTGTGCGCCATGGACGCATTCCTCGTTGCGTTCAAGTTCATCAAGCAGTTAAAGACCATCGGCCGTCTGAGGACTCGAGGCTCTCTGAGCGTCATCTCGGTCTTTTTGTTGTCGGTTGTTCTCATCTTGCTTGCTTTGACCCAATTCTTTAGATCGCGAGCCAACATCTCCCTGCCACGACAACGTCACGTCAGCTTTGGACGCTTCCTACAGGTATTCGGGTACGTTTACGGATGCGTTAGTGTGGATGTAATGTACCTGGTCGCAGGTCTGGGATATTTGGTACTCTTTCAGCTGTGTCTTGTGTTCGACTGGAACTCTCTGTTTGGCACACGATTTGGCAGAATTCAGCTTGCATGAGGGACGACATGGGATGAGGGCCCATGTTACCCGCCTTGCCACTGCAACTTATACAAGAGTCGTCAAAATGTTATATCGGGTGGTATATGAGAATACATTAACGGCAGCCTCACTGTACAGCATACTCAAACAGTCTACGAACTTTGGATATTATCTTCCGGTGTGCGTGTCACTTACATTCACAACTTTTTCCGTGGTGAAACCTTTAGTACTGGCGCATTTATCTACGCCTGGTACTTTCTCTTGCCAAGCTCAAAGCCATGGCCGCCAGTAAGCGGAATCTTTTCAAACCAGATACGAAAATCAGTTACCCTTCCACAAAGTGCAGCACCTCCTTTAGCCAACCTGTCAGTCCACTTGGGAGTATTTTCAAAATTTGGCCGTAAGCCTCATGTAGTTTCTCAAGGCCTACACCACCATACTCTGAATGGTTTTCATGCACGCTGGTTTCACACAGTCTATCATGGATACTCCAAGGATGGCTACACAGCACTCGAATCTGTCAGGGGTGGCCGTTTCCTTAAAAGCGCCGAACTGCCGAGATTCGGGCTACATGAATAACACCCTGCCGAGGATGACCTGAATGTGGTTGTCATGTGTTTTATCTGATGGAAATATGTTCGCTGTCGTTGAGCTCAAGACTACACTGCGTCTTCGATTCTCTGCCGCACGTCATAGTGCTACGCTCGCGATTCCTTCCGCGCAGCCTGTCTAATGGTCGCAACGGTGCCTTTTGTCGATGTTCGCTACATTGAAGTTGGCACTTGTACGCTGAACTTGAACACGATTAGATGCCGCTGCAGGAAACGATCATGTATAAATGGCTCCAACGAGTCCGGAGTCTCGATCACCGAGTGCCTGGCCCATTTGACGCTATTATACCATGGAATCAAGTAACCTGGATGGTAGAAGAGTCATGTCATAACAATGAGAGATTATGTGGACTCTCTAGATAGCAACATGCTTCGAAAAGGCTAGGTACATTTGGCTTAATTTATAGAAGCCAATGGTAGTATTTCTTTCGCGCATTGGGCTCTTCCAGTGCGCCAAATACCGGTAAATCTTTCTCTCATACCGTGGGTGGTCCGCTTCAAAGTTTGCTTTGTATCTTAATCCGGCGGGGTTGAAGATTGAGCGTACCGGCTTATCTCGTACTAGAACAAAATCAAGATCACTCAAAATAGATACGCAGACATCGCCATAGATGTTCGTGCCATTTCCATTTTAGACATATTGCCTCCAGAGTCGTACATCGAGATTTTTGAGCTCTGATAATAGAGAAGTGAGGTTGACATGCTGACTGAAGTCAATGAAGCGAAGAACAGAGCTTGTTTACGCTTTGGACATCGGATTTGCCGTCAAATGAAATCAACTGTAGCTATAGTCATAATGATAACTCGTCATTTTATAGACAGAGAGCTTACATCTATGTACATGAAGCCATCCCCGTTGCCCTTCCTGCTTTCCCAGAGCGTCCCCTAGCTCTAAAGGTTTACCCTACCAACAACTGCTGCCTAAACGGCTTGGGGCTGGAATTTTAAAAATGAAGCTCTGATTAGTAGAGTATATTTCGACCGTGTACTTTAGTCAGTTGCAGAAGTTACTCGGCGTTAAGTTTCACAGAATCAATCTTCAGACAACGACCGAGTTACAGAGGACTGTTTCGACCGGGTTGTCCCATGTCCGTCACATCAATGAACATGCATTGATGGTAGAGGTGGAGAACAGTTTCTGGCGTGGTGATGAATATTTCTGGAGATGGTTCTACAATATGGCTCAGACGAACAGTGTGCCTGACCTTGCAGAATTCATACACACCCAATTAGCAACCGATACTCGTGAGTTGAAGCTCCAACACGACGACTAGTGGAGAGATATGTCCGACTTCTTATAAGACGTCCCGAACATTTCGCTTATTGCACCCCCTCTTTTCCACCCAGATAATCCCTACACAATCAGGAATCTTCTCGGACATCTGGGCCAATAGGTCAATTTACCATTCCATAAGGATCTGAACCAGCGGTTCAACCCGGTAATCGTGGCGTGCGCAACAGCAACCAATCTCGGAAACGCAACAGTCGTGCATCATCTCTAATATGTTTACAATTGGGCAAGGTTGCCAGAATCTCACAAAGCCATCTTTCGGCGAAATGCTCCGGAAGTCTAAGAATGATGGACAGGACACTAATTTCTTCACTAACAATTTTTCGGATTAGCAGGAGAAGACCCTCCAGCTGCTTGCATATTGGGTCGAAGGCGGGTTCTAGAGTACAGGAGCAGTCGTCAGGAGGCTGGATACGTTGTTCCTTTGGACCACTGATCTGTTTTCAAGATGAGCAGAGAATGGACCACCGCCAGGCGTATTATTCGCATTATGGTGGCCCGTCTCGCGCCATCGAACGAGGACGCCGACGAGGTTCGTCTGGCATATTCCCGTTAAGAGGACGTTTGGCTTGCAAAACCTAAGGACAAGCCCTTGGGAGATTCTAAGGCCAGTACCAAAAAAGACACCTGCGCCCGTGCCTGCCATGACTCCTCTGCCTCCTCTTGATTTGAGACTGAGGAAGATCGGGTCACAGCTGTGAAGAGCAAAGCTTCTTGTCAGAAGCTCATTACTCCTGCCATAATCGGAGAGAATAAGAAGCAAAGTGGTTCATCTGGTCAAGTGGTAGCCACTGCTGAGGAACGTCAGTCTGAGTCGTCTGGATAGGCGACCGACGATAGCGCGGAGGATGACGCTGAGTCGTGTGGACAGACGAACGACGGCACCGTGGAGAAAAACACCTACTCGTCTGGATAGACGACTGTCAGTTAAGTCAAAATCTTTCTCCCTCCTCCTTCCCTACCAAAGGCACCTCGGCGTAACCATACACCCTCTTTTTGGAGAGAAAAATTTAATTTAGATTCAATCTTACTATTGTTCTCTTCGCTAACTGACCACATGCTTGTGATGAATGTTCTTATTGTGTAAATGCTTGATTTCAAATGGTGTATACTCACTATAGGATATCGACATAGCTATAATCTCGCCTGAGCTTGTAAAATGTGGCGAAGGACTAAGAGAGGGGTGACAACGAGCGGTATTCCTATTTCCCCTGTGATATAGAGGTTCTGCCACCACGGAATTCAGGGACATCATTCTGTAACCACGTCTGGCTCAGTTTCGGAAATTTTGAATTGAAAAACTGCAACACATGGGTCAACAGCTCCGGCTGACGAGATGTATCCTGTGATAGCCATAGATCAGCCATTGATGTGGCGCATAGTTCCATAGCCACAAAGCGGTAGGTGGGGATACTGGTGGCGCGGTTGCAGACGCGAACACGTCGACCATCTTTGAGGTCATCAAAACCAAACGAGAGGATGAACAAAAATAGTATGCCGCGATGTGCGCTGGCTAGATTGTATATGAACGTAGGCGCACAGGACAAATTAGCAGTGATCTCTGAACTCAGGGCTCTTGATTACCGTGACAACTCTATGGAGGTAGTATGCATAACGTCAGTTCCAAAACGCCTTTCGCCGATTCCTTTTCGTTCCCTGTCCCCGATGTGCCCTGTTACGTTCATACATATCGAGTAAAGCATACTGTATCTCTGAGTCCTAACGCCGTGCAAGACTATACGCGTGGATACCGACAGCGTTGCCCATATTCCTTCACTTCCTCTCATGCTTACACGTGTCAGCGGTAATTGTCCGCCCCATACCCTATCCGACAATAGCAATGATATGTTTCAGTCGATTTTGCGTAACGTGGAATAGCCATCTCCAACAGAAATCAAATCGACATGCTTTAGTCCTTATCTAAAGCATGTTCCGGACGCAGTACCCAAACCTTGGCGGACTTCTTTGCTCCCGGTAGAGATGATCGTTCGGCAACATAATCCAGCGTGGCTCTGACCTGGTTCTTGGTCACGGACGAAAACGTCTTCGAAAGCATGTCCACTATACCGACCTTCGTAAGGAAATTTATGTCCTTGCTAACAACCGCGCGTTTAAAGTCACCCAGCAATGACTTGGGCACTAAAGTGTTCCAATCGGGCTGCGCCTGTGTTGAAGAACCAGGTGCTGGTGGTGGCGCCATGCCGGCCTTTACAGACTTGGTGGATGACGAAATCTTGGATTGTGCGCAAGATGTTCCAGGAGTGGCCTTGGGTTGCCAGTAGTCGGAGGAAAAAGGGTCTATCGAGTGATGATGCTCTAGCGGCTCTGTGGTTTTTGTTAGCATATAGTTTGTGGGATATGGATGGCAACTGCGACTGACCTAGCAGGAACTCCATCCTGTACTTGTAGACTGTGGCGCAGTCCTCACCGCTCGCGTTGTGAGATAGTCGCTTGCGGTCCTCGTAGCAGATTCCGGTGCTCACAGGCTCCGAGTCACCCAAGAATGCCGGGCGCGCAGCGGCAACATCTTCGGCATCATCCAAGAAGTCGTCCATCTCCTCCTCTCCATCATTCTCTTCGTCGTCGGCTTCCTCGTCATCCAGATCCTCGCCTTCCTCTTCTTCCCACTCGGCTTCTGAATCGTATTCGTAGTTCAGCTTTAGGAGGCGCCTGTTGGGCTGTCTTCCCAGCTTGCGAAGCTTGACGTCCGGCTTCGACGTGACGGTCCCAATATAAGGGGGGCGCACATCCTCCCAGAACGACAGCACTTTGACGGGAATGGAGTTTAGCTGATCCTGCACGCTGGCGAATCGAACTTGTTGAGATTCAGTCCTGTTATTCGGAGCACTGTCAAGAGGGTCGCCGAAGATCTCAGCCATAACCTTCTTGACTGCCAAATGCTGCTTGCCCCGTGGCACAGGGAGACCATTGAACTGGAAGGTAGAGATGGGATCGAAGGGCTTGACATTGGCATCCCCTCGCTGACCGCCAATGTACTCATCCAGGATTTTGGACTTGGTGAGCCTCGTCTCGTCGTCCATCTGGAAAGGTGTAGGCGCCATCTTGACATCGGATTTGATGTAGAACTCTTGGAACATCTTTTGGTACGCTGACTTCTCTGACTTGGGCTCCCCGAGCTCCTTCGTGGTTGAGGGACTAGCTATCACTGAAGAAGTGAGAGGAGCCTTCAGGCGGATTGGGGAGCTGTCGACAGCCTTGGGAGGAGAAGAAGAAGAAGATTGCTTGTTGGGCGAGACATCTCCCAGTACTGCCGGCTTCGTCTTCAAGAACCCAAACAGCGTAGGTTGGGCTCGCTTCTTCTTGTCTTCCTCCTCTCTTTTCCTGCGCTCCTTCTCCTCCTTTTCTGCGATGGCCTTCGCCTTCTCGGCAGCCTTGACCGCCTTTACAGCTTCCTTTTCTTCCCTTTCCTTTGCTTTGGCGGCCTCTTTCTCCTCTTTCTCCTTAGCCTTCTCCGCTGCCTCCTCGTCCCTCTTAGCCTTCTTCATGGCGCGCTCTTTCTCCTCGGCCTCTTTCTCAGCCGCTGTTTTCCGCTTCTTCTTGGCGGGCGCAGAGCTGGAGGCTGCAGCAGAAGAGGACATTGTGGCAGTCTGTGGCTGTACGGAAGCTGATAATGTTGAGGATCCAGGGACTTGCGTTGCCAGAGTATCTGTAGGTGCGGGTGCCGTTGGGGATGTGGATGGCGTAAATTCGTCCATCTGCATAGGCGAGGGTGAGTCTCTTACGGAGAGTTCCGAGTCAGACGAGATACTAGCACTTCTTTCTCGCTTGATGTCGTGATTCGTTCTGGAAACAGAGGGTACGTCTGGTTCGGGACATGTCAGAAAAGAATGAGCAGGAGATAGAGCTACAAAAACCTGCAAGGGTCAAAGACTCACCCTGCAAGGAACCATTTATGGCTGAGGCATCCTCCGCTGTGATGTGCGGATTCACAATTGAAGATGTCTCAACTTCTACTGCAGCCTCGGTGAAGTGATCGTGACTTCTCTTCCTCGATGGCGACTCTGGTACCTGAATATTCGTCGACATCTCCAACAAAGGCATTGGGATGCTTGTGTCTGTCCAGAGCACCAGGCTCTAGAAATGATCAATGATTTGTCTTTGCACAGGACCCAACAGTAGTGTACACAATATCTCTGACTATAGAAAGCCTGCAGGCGACGTGGTAATAGGAAAACTCGGCAGGGAAGTGCACGAAATGTAGTCAAATCAACAAGATCAAAAAGACAGGCGCAATCGCTCTTCAATGGGGGCGTGGGATGTCAAAGTCACGTTGCTTGTGATGAAGTTGGAGAATGACGGGAAACGCGATGGAAACGCGATAGAAACGCGATTTCCACACGTCAAAGGGAATAAGGTCCTATTCGGGCCTAAGTGGTCTGTGCGTTGATTTGGAGGAATTAAACTCTTTCAGGGTCCGCCAGATTTCGCGTTTAGAGGGACCCCTATAATAAGTTTATTCAAGCTGATAATTTACGGTAACACTTATTTGTACGGAAATTTTACCATTAGATCTGAAACCAGTTTGATTATCAAGATCAATAAAAACTTCGAAAGAAACCAGAGGAGAACAAGAGGTTGCCTATGGCGTGCATCGTTACATGTTCCAGTCATCAATCGAGTTTCGTGCATAGTGATTGACGTCAAGTTCCAGGAAGTAACGGAGTGGATCTCTTGGATATCAAGGAAAGTTGGCCAATTAGCCCCTCATATGAATGCTCCACACACTACTGACAATCGGCACGAGGTATAAGTGCTCGACCCGCGAGGCATACGGGTTCATCTTGTGCAATGTTGGTTGGTCCGTAAATCACAATAGGAAAGATGCAGGCAGCCGATCACTAGAGCAACAAGGGCGAGGACCGAGTTTCCCCAGGCCGAAAACCAGCGTCTTGTACAGATATGGTGTGAATAGAGGAAAGAGAAAGGCAAAAGGCGCCCTCAGAAAGGTCGCGGCGGTGCTCGCCGAAGCAGAATAGGTCTGGTCGACGTCTAAGACGTAGAGCTAGGTGCTTTACATCCTGAACTGAACACCAGAGGCAAATACAGATGCCCTAACGTCTGGCACGATCCATAGCAGGTGGTTTTGCGCATTCCAGCCGTAAGTGAGAGATAGTTGAGGACGCCTATGGCAATGAAGTAGTGGTAATGGTCTGTCTAGAGACTCAGGAAAGTCGACAGTACAGTATATACAAGCCTAATGAGGCAGGCGACGTAAAGTGCCAGAACCTGGATGATTGGCTAGGTCCCGAGTGAGTAGAATAAAATGCCCAATCAAGGCAGCCTTTCCAAGCTCCGGGAATGTATGATCAGGCTCGTCCCATTTCGTACGGCAAGCTTGGTTTTCACTCTCTAGGCGGAGCTTTTTGCTCTATGCCCAAGATTTAGCGGATGTTATGTCTCTCGAAAATAGATGATGGTTGTGCCTTGGAAAGCCACATCGGCAATACTCATGGCACGAAATGTCTAGCACCAGGAACTACACGACTAACAATGCGGATGAGATATCAAGCACGCATAGATGCCATGTGATCGTAGCTGATGTTTCTTCAGGCTAGCAGAAGAGTTGTATTAGATTAGTGATACCTCCCAACTCGGATTAGGTATGAGAAGGACCAACACACAAGCGATGTACGTCTATAAACGCGCGCTGTAGTGGTAGAATTGAGCCCGGTCCAAGACTCCAAAGCAAAGTTGTTTAGGGTCGTATGTTGTAATGGTATTCGCCATACGTCAGGGGCGTAACCAGCAAACACTTAAACAGTCATCTCATACAACAGAGCTTCGGCCCAGACTTGGGAGATTTGAAACTAGTTAGAGACAAACTGTAAACAAGAACAGTATGTTCATGCCTGGACGTTTACGCGCTTGCCATCCCGAGCTCTTTGGGCAGTATCTCCATAGTTCTAAGCCCGAAATTACCAAAGCTGAATCCACCTATGCGGAAGCACCAGGGGGCCGTGCAGTGGTGCCTGAGGCTGCATAACCCCACCTTCTGCCACCAATCACCGCCTAAACGTCCGGCTGAGCCTGTATAAATACCTGGTCTCCCTCCCAGCATTTCATCAAGTTTTTCTCTTCTTCTTCATACTTACCTTCCGGGAAGATGGCGAGATCAAGCATTCGCTGTCTTACCGCGCTGACAACTGCATAGCACAGCGCGGCTTGTCGTGCGGTCTTCTATCCTTCGGGATCGTAGTCCGGGGAATTTTTGATTTCACCCACACTTTTTTTCGTTGTGAGCGGTAGCTTCGAGCACCGCCATGAGGAAGACATGGTTTTGTGATTTTGCGTAGCTTAGCCTGAAGTGCATTCCACTACGGCTATGTCCATTTCTACTTTAACTTCCATTCTTCAGTCAGTAAACAGCATAGTAATTCCATCGATGTACTGCTCGACATCGAATGTCTAGTAGAAGGTAAATATGACAAGCAAATTGGAAGGGAGTTTGCTAGTTTCCAATCATGTGTGCGGTCCAGAATGATTGAGCCGCGTATGGTCCAAGTGGCAGCGCATGTCGTAAATGGGATAGCTCAGCTCACGTCACGATACTTGCGTGCTCAATAAGTGTCTGTCCAATGTGGAGCATTGTCGTCGCCCTGACCAGAAGTGATCCACTCTCAGTTGGGCGTCTTGAATCAAACAGTATCCCCGAATTGGACTGTTGTGTATCAGCTGGTGCGGTTTTTGTAGAAGTGTTCTGGACCAAGTCAACGGGTTGTGAAACCGCACGACTTGGACAGCTAACCACCATGACTGCGATGTTTATTCTCATCCGAAACTATCCCGTTTACCTCCCACTCGTAAAGGCTTACAAGGTGCGGTCATGTACGAAGCTATTCCATCCCAGCTCAGCGAAAATGACGACGTCACGGGTTTGAGGTATCATTCCTCAGGTCCTCTCATCCATAAAATACGCCATGAATTTCACTTGCAACTCCGTATTCCTGAAAGCTTCTTACACCATACTTCCAGCAGAAATAGACTGCGTCCGTTCCTGCTTAATAAATAACGAGACTGATGTCGATCTGCCATTGCCATCTGTGTGGTTGGACAGATCAATGATTTGTTTCATAAGTGGGTGCAAATGAGATACGCAAGTAGAGCGACATGATCGAACTTGGACCTGGGAGACGCCTGTCATGAAACAATTCAAGAACGATTCACGTCTAACTACTTCTTACCCTCGTCCTCGCCCGTCAGTCCATTGTGCTCCTTCCGCTATCCTGGCAGCCGGTGCCGGAAACTGCCGGGCCGAGAACTGCCCTGCTGCGAATTTTTGGGGAACGCAGCTCTCCTAGCTTCCAGATCGTGTGCCAAATCACACGACGACGACAGGCAGTTCAATCCGTGAGAAAGACGTCGCAGACAGCCAATACAGCTGTGCCTTGTCTCCATTTCTCGAATCTATCTGCCTGCCAAGTTTCGCGGCGTAGTGGCGTCGTCACACATATACCATGCGCGCCTTCACCTCCTCGCCCATTACGGCTCTATGCCGAGCATCCAGGGCCGTCTCACAAGCCCAGTGCCTGGTCTCCAGGAGGCAAGCTCTTCCCCGAAATGCCCTCTACTGCTCTCCGACTTACTGACTGTCGCTCAGGACGTTCACATCCCTCCCCACCCTCCGACCGTCCCTCGCGCGACCAGCGGGCACCGTGTTCCGGTCCTCCACGCCCACCGTCTCCCTGGCACCTTCCGGCGTCACCACCGCATCGGAGGAGGTTGCAGACATCGTGGCCAAGAGCGCCATCTCCTCCAGTCCCATGTTCGGCGCCACGCAGATCCGCTGCGGACCCCGAGCCACCCTGGCGCGCTCGAGTAGGCTGGTGCGAAAGCGCAGACACGGGTTCCTGAGCCGCGTGCAGACGAGGACGGGGCGACGGACGCTGCAGAGGAGGCGGACCAAGGGACGACACACGCTGTCGAACTAGATCGGGGCGTTCTTTTTTGTTTTCCCCCGCGTCGAGAGGGCCATGGGAGCCCCTGCAGGCTGGAGCGGCAACAATACGGCAGCACACTTGCCAGGATCGGGAGCTGAGATGAAATGTACGATTACCCAGACATTGTACATATAAGAGTATTCGGGAGGAATTACGAATAAGACTGGATGAGAGCCGCAACAAAGAGAGGGGCAACGGACGTGTAAAATATCAAAAGCATAGATCTGTATGTATAATGCGGCAATCCTGGCAATTTTAAGGAGTACGCTGCACTTCGCTTTTCTCAACCGCCCAGCTAGGTTTGGGGATCGTACGGCCTGGAAATGGCTCCTGTCTATCATCCGTCGGCGTCACGTCCCTCTGGACTCATTCATTGTACGCATCAAATCATGGCATCCGGTCTAGTACAGCTCCGTTCGCGATTGGGTACCCTAATTCAAAATTCATCTCGTCTTCGCACTCCAAAGGTCACCTTTCCGATGACGAGTTATCTACTTCTAGGTGGAAATTCTTTGCTATTTTCCTCAAGGGAATCATCCCCGTCGTATCAACAATCATTAGAAAGATAGACAGAGCACAAAGTATCAGGCCAGGTTTGATATTTACTGCTTGATGCGGTCATCTGCTTATACCATATGCCCATTCCATAATGCAAATTTTCTCCAGAATGCCACATTCCTCCAAAAACCGGGTATTTCCTCTTGCTGTAACATTCATGTGCACTATTGACGCATCTCATCTCGCTATCATTGTCATCACTTAGCCCTCCCCGCTTCGATGATCTTCTGGTTGGCCTTCTCAAGTTTTTGCTTAGCCTTCTCATCCATCAAACCGTACCAATCCCTCAGATACGCAGCAAACGTTGTCTCAGCATCCCCATACTCGACAGGCGGACCCTTAATCTGAGCGGGCTCATCTTCTTGGTCAAAGACGGCCCAGCTCGACCCGTCATTGGTACGCAGGCCGTAGCCCTTGCCCTTGAGTGAAACCACCGTAAAGCTTCGAAGCAGCACAATGTCACCAGCCTTAACAATGGGCAGTGACTCCTTGTGTGGACGATAGAGCTGCACTTCAGCTACACCACCAGGGCTTATGCTGTGATCAGTGACAGTAAAAGACATCATGTACTCCCGGGGCCCACCCTTGGCGCGCTGAGGATCATTAGGAGTCATCATAGCTACCGCCATGACTTCTACCGATTTACCAATTGAATGACGTAGCACTTTAAGCGTAGTGCATTCGGAGAGTTCATCTCTTAGATGGCGAACTAGCTTGAGTCTCGAGGCTGCTAACGGGTCATTTCCTTCCTCTACCTTTGAGGACACGGGCGAGCTGGCTGGGACTTGAATCTTCGCTTTTACTGTTTTGGTTGGTGTGTCAAGAGAAGCCTTGGCGATCTCAACATCTTCGTTGAAAGCCTCTGGGGTTTGACTCTTCTGGTGGATTTGGGATCGTGCTAGAGATCGTGCTTGCGACCGCACAGTCTCGGGCGTGGCACCGCGTTGGCGGCGTCCATGTTTTGATGCGATCGCAGCTCTTGCTAGGTCCAAGCTTGGATCTGACGGTGTAAGATCTCGTAGATCTAAAGACCCTGATCTTCGTTTCGCTGTCTTTTCTGGACTTCCCATAAAAATCTCAGAGATGATTTTGTTTTTCACTGGAGTTGACTCATCAGAACGCGCTAGTCTCTTGACGGCACTTTTTCCGTGATCATGCTGGTGTCTTTCAATGGCTGCTCTTTCGGGACTTCCGATGAAGCTCTCTGAATTTACCTGGCTCCTTGATGGCGTCGACCTTCGAGAAGTGGAAGCTCGCGATTTTCTTGAAGCAGACTCATCATGCTCATGTCGATGTCTTTCGATAGCTGCTTGTACTGGGCTGTCCATAGGGACATCAGAGTCAACTTCGGTATCGAATGGCTTCGATTCAATGGGAATGACGATCTCAGGCCCAGGATTCTTCTCGAGGCCCAGCTGTTCGTCCTCCTTCTTGTCCTGGTGTCTTTCAATGGCCGCTTGTTCAGGACTGCCGACCATGATGTCTGCTGCAATCTCTTGTACGGCTGGAGCGGCAGTTTCCGCAGACGGGGTGTCATCAACAACTGATTTTTCGTGTTCATGTCGTTCTATAGCCGTCCATTCCGGACTGCCTACAATAATGCCAGCTTCGTTCACGTGTTGTGGTGATGTTGTTCCTAGATCAGGCGATGAGGCACGAGTTTCCGTTGCCCCTGCTTGAGTAGGTGCTGCTGTAGTTGGAACTGCTTCCTGATCCTCGAGAGGTGACGAATGCATATGACTTGCCTGATCTCGATCTGTACCATCACCTTGTTCATCGTCGCTTTGACTCTGGACATCTTCGTCTTCTGCAACCAAAGATCCCTGGAAATCCTCGTCAAAATTTTTGGAGTCTTCCTCGCGAAGAGCAGCTTGTAATGCATCGTCGCCATCTAACTGAGAAATAAAGGAGCTTGCTTCGCTGATGTCATCCCTGATCTCCGCTACTGGACCTTCCGTTGTCTGGGTGACGGGCTGTGATGCCACATCAGGAGCTCTCAGAGCATCCTGGCTCCCGGCCTGACTCTCAAAAGTCAAATCGGGTTCGACTATAGTGTGGTCTGGGCTCATCTCTGAGGTTTCCATAGTGATGTCTTCATGGGATGCCGGCTCTAAAGGTGGCGGAGGGCTTCTGGCTCGCGTTCCAGCTGCGGTTTCTGCTGAAATGTGGGATACTTGCTCGAGCTCCACGATTATGGAATGTACTGCTTCAGATATAGCGGGTGTGATCAAGGGCTTTCTTGGTTCAGGAGACTGGCGAGGACCTTCGACCTGAGCAGCTTCATCGATCTGCATCGCCGCATCGTCCAGGATCTGCAACTCTTGTGGCTTTGTATCCGAAGGAGTCAATAGATGTTCTCCTGAAGGCTCCACAGCGATAGACATTGGCGAAGACTCTTCCATAACCACATCTTCCTCATCATAAAATATCTGAGACTGGAATGACTGGGTGAGTGGTGGTGATGGATCAAATGTCTCCGGTTCCGGTTCCGGTTGCGCTTCTTCCAGAGCATCTGTCGGTTGCTTGTTGGCTTCTTGCTCACTACCGACTGCTTGATTTGCCTCTTCTTGAGCAACGACACTACTGTGTCTACTGGCCGTTACTTGGTCGGCTTGTGTGAGCTGACTCTCCTTTGCGGGAGCCGTGCTTGTCTGCCGTTCTTGTTGCGACGGTATCTTTTCAAGAGGACTACTCTCACCAACGACATATTGCATGTCATCGTCCTTATCGGTCTCAACGGCATCTTCTGAGATGGGCTTGGGCGATGGCGAACGAGCTTTCGCAGAACCTCGCTCAGTAGGAGCCCGTATACTCTCTATATTCAAATCTCGATGACGCTCAGTAGGAACCGTTAAATCATGCTCTTCGTCAATTTGGTCGTCTTCTTCGGTATCCCCAACAAGTTTATCTTCCACGTCAGACCCTTCACCGTTGTTGTTTTCGTCACCTTCGTCGCTATAGTCATCTTCGACTAGAATTTGCGGACCATGAGAATCGTTACCCTCTTCGCTAACCTCCGAAGCTCGCTCTTCTTCATCCTCTTCCGCCTGGTGGAGCACCTCTTCATCCCCGCCACTCTCCTCAACATCACTTCCAGGGCCGTAATCGGGCGACTTCCTTGTCGCCTGAGAAGGAATGGGCAGAGGCCGACTCAACGGCACAGTGTTTGGTGGAGGCCGAGACGGCGGCTCTTCATTGTCATCGTCCGAATCGGACAGCAGATCAATTACAACAGGGGCAGAAGACGAGGGTCGCATGACTTGCCGTTGTTGCGGCTGCGGTGTGTCCGCATCCATTTCTGAGTCATCTTCGTATCTCTCTTCGTCCTCTTCTTCGCCATATTCTTCTTCTCCCTCCTCTCCAGACTCGTCGTAGCTGTCCCCTGCGCCATCATTGAACTCAGGCTCTAATCTGTGTTGTCGAAGATCCATGTCATCATCGTCGTCTTCGTCATCTTGTGGTACAAGGTAGGTACTTGTATTGTAGTCTCCTCCTTCCTCGTCTTCATCATACTCGTCGTCGTAACGGTCAGGAGAGTGATCGGCATATACGTGTTCCTCCTCCTCGGTCGCTTGATGACCAGGCAATGGGCCATCAACAAACAAATTGTGGGCAACTTGAGCAGAAGTACGGCCCGCATGCTCAGGATTCAATGCAGGAGCACCGACAAAGTGGGCATCAGCTGCATCCACTGTTGGAACTTCGTCTTCTTCCTCTTCCTCCTCTTCCTCCTCCTCTTCTTCTTCCTCCTCTTCTTCTTTCTCTTCCTCTTCCTCTTCCTCTTCCTCTTCTTCTTCGGAATCACTTTCGTCAATAACCATAGCAGATTGTGGCGTTTGACCATCACCACTACCTACGCGGCTTGATGTTGGGCGCGAAAGGGATCGGCTAGTCGTGCGATTATTGACTGCCGTATAAGACAAAGTACCTGCGTTCATTGCTGCCCGCTCTGCTGGAGCACTAGTCTCTCGAGCGAACGGACCTGAGGGAGCTGTACTACTGTGCTCGGCAAGAGGCATACTTGACTCGGTAGATAACAAGTCTGTCGGGCCGTCATGTGTTGGGGCATGCTGAATATGCTCGTCCTTCTCCAAATCTGGGTAAACTGAAGTGGCATGATCAAGGAGCATGGGCATGTCCTCTTGATCACTGGAAGTATCATGAGTGCTTCCTCCCACTGTTCCAACCGTCCCGAAGTGAACCGGTTGGGCAAATGAACCATGTGTCATGCCCGGTGTATCTCCAAACCCGTCGTTCGGCCGAGTATTCAATGATTGCTCGATATTTGGCGCAAATACATCGTGCGGCATATTTAAGGTCAGGTCATGGTATGTAGCTGTCTGCTCTGGTAACGGTTGCGTATTCCATGCTTGGTGATCACCCTCGATCCCTACGCCAGCTGCAGCACCAGAACTGAATGAAGCGGCTGCTTGGCTGATAGCGAAAAGCCCAGAGTTGGAGAAAGGCTGTTGCGATTCGGCTAAAGGTGCTGCCCAGCCACCCAAAGGAAATGTTTGATGACCCTGATCGATATACTCTTCGGTATTCAGCAACGGTTTGGGTTGGTGCACTGCTCCACCAAGACTAGGGGGCTGTCCCATAAGCGAATCTCTGAAAGGAGGTCCGGGAAAATCGAGTTCCGTAGTCTGGCAAGCACTATCTGTCATAGTCGGCTGAAGCGGTGGGCTGGATTGCACCTCTTCGTCACCGGAACCCCTATCATCTTTTGCGTCTGATAGCTGTGGGCTAGGCGATCGACTGTTGTACCTCCAAGTTCCGGGGTTGAGCGAGAATCGAGATCGCTTACGACTTTTTGGCTTGACGTTATCATCTTCGTCAAAGATATCGTCGTGGAACAACGATCCGTAGGAGATTCTAGCTCGCTTCACGAAAGCAGGCGAGTCGAACTCCCCATCCTTAAGTCTCTTCGAGGATCCATTCTTGACAGGGGTAGCGGTTGCGAGGTCTGGCAGTGTCGACGGTTCCAAAGAGACGGGATCAAGCCAAGGCTCTTGTACCGGTGCTGGTGTTGGAGGAGCAGGCTCGGGGTGTGCTGGGTGGTCGACATCGATGGTCTTCGTTTCTCCTGTCTCGCCCAACTTGACCTGTAGATTCAATCGCTCGGTGTAGTTGACTTGCCAATCCGACATGCCAGGGATTCGTGGTCTGGCATCGTTGGGCGTGAAGTCAGCACCGTTCAAGCTCAGCTGAATGCGGTCGCTACTTCCAAGTCCACATTCTGATATCGCTTTGGCGCTGGAACCCACAAAGTTCACCCTAACCTGGCCTTTATTCCGGCGCAGGCGGAACTCGGGTTCAGCTAGAATGAATGCAACGGAGTTGTTGATTTTGTTGTACGGCCACAAAATGGTGATCACACCATCCACTGTGCCATCCTGAGAGGTATCGGGGGCCAACTGGGCAATTGGAATCGCCGTCGTTGCAGCCTTAGCGGCCTCGGTATTGTCGTCGGACATTGTTGTGTTTGTGAAGACACATTGTCGGCGCACTCGTCAGAAATGCCAACCTAGATACGTGTCGTGCCGAGCTAACGTTATGCCATTGGCGCGTCAGATTCGAATATCAGGTTCGAAATTAATGAGGAAGCTATGCCACAGGCCGGGACTACGTGATGTGTCACTTCGTCAATGATGACAAGGTTCCAGAGTGGGCGTGGCGTGAGAATGCGTCGTGAGAATGGACTGTTGGGCTAACTTAACCTAGTCTATTGGTCTAAAGCCCAATGCAGTGAATTGGTGATTGTGAATAATGGTGGTTCAAGGACGAGCAAGTTTGGAAAACGCGCCAGGACGGTAAGCTCCTTATCGATATAGCCCGCCGGTGGTATGTACTGTAACCTAACCTTAGGCTAGGTTACTAACCATGTAGAACTGACCTAACCTACAGCAACTGACCTAACCTAACCTTAGTCTAGAGCGGCATATGCAGGCGGCGCGCTGAGCTATCACCTCACCGTGCGGGGTTCTAGTTGAAGTAATGATGGAGTCCCCGATCGGCCCCTATAGTACGCGCGTAGACAGACGTATCCAGTCTTCATTTGCCCACAACCGCTTCCTTTCCCCTCTGCGGCCATGATTTCCTGAAACCACGGGTATAGTATCAGATACTTGTCTTACTCACCATTGAGTTCCTCTGTTCGGGTTGTCCACCAGTCCGTGCGAGTGCGGTGGGGCGTCGCGGGCCGGGAGTTCTGGGTATCGTGAAAGGGCTGCCTCATGTAGCAAGAACAGCATTGATATCTGCATACATGAGAGCTCCAGTTGGAAGCCTGCTCTGAACGAGACGGGTTTCCGCTGCCAAGGACATCGTCCAACACAAAGTCGTGTTACTGCGGGCCCTGTTACGCCCGGCCACGGTTAACCGTGCAGTCAAATTATGCCTTTCCGGGCAAGCCTTGCAGAATGGGCGAAGGGACATGGCCACAGTGCCGATCACCAAGTACTACTGCAGGCCATATACATATGCGGCATGCTCTTGAGGCTGATGGTCTCGGAGCAAGGGTCATGGTGCGGAGACTTGCCGGCTGCTGTTGGTTGGTACTTGTCAGAATTCACTCCAGACACACGATTCGGTAGCCTCATTATCAGACAACGTGGGGTTTCTTAAGGTGAACAGCTCGCTCACCGCTCCGATGAGTCAGCTGTAGCTTCGTTCGAGCGCCTCCAAGCAAGACGTTTCGTTTCAGATACAACACGCTATCAAACAACGTCTGGAGGGAGTTACAGATTCTCAATATTTGGGTCACTGGTTTGCAAACAGATCTGAGGGTTCGGACCCAAAAGTCCCTTCAGCTGCTCATTCCTTGCGGTCTGCGGGCACCCCTGCATTTGGCTTTTCCTGCGTTGTTGTTGCTGGGCCGAAGATCGTCTTCCAATTTTGAGCCTCATTCAGACTAGGCATTCACGCAGTTTTAGTGCCGACAAGGTTCAATTCTGCCATGGTCCGTGAGCTGGCAACGAACACAGCGGGGGAATACCGATCACGAGGTCTTTTAGACTCGATATTCGTTATATATGTATAGCTAAGAGGTTGGCGAAGTGCTCCGTCGAGGCATCAGATATGTCCTCGTGACAAGTCTGGACCACTCATTGTTTCCTCCGATTCCAGGCGTGTTTAGGGGCCAGTCCTCAGAACGTGTGATGAGGACTCTATGCCCAGATTTTCAGTGAAGCAAGTGAATCAAAACGCCAACTGGATTGCATGTATGCTGTGGTAGCACCTACACACCCCAGGATCCTGCAGACTACCCCAACCAAAAACCAGATTACACAGATGTCGGTGGGTACTGGCCAATCGATTATTGTCAGACTGGAGAATTCAAAACATAGTCTTTAGATTTGGTGGCTTAGAGGACCCTTGCTGCTGAAGTGCCTGCCACGGGGTTGAAATTTTACACCCGTCCGTAACATGAACTTCGCAGAGACCCTGGCCTGACCTTGTTAGCTTATTTCCCGCCTGTTCATCGGACCAGGTACAGGAATGTTGTCTATGCCTTTCGCGCTCGAGAATGCAACAGTTTTGTATAACTATTCAGAAGCAACAGTATTTCTATTTTTGGCACTGAACAACCTACATAAAATGTTCACAATGCTATACTGAATTGTGCACGCGGACCACCCCTGTAGAGGAAAACAGGCAGACATGAGTAGATCATTCATCGCTTATTTCTAATTCCCAAGCTTGCCAAAACCGTCATCGCCGCAACTCCCCGCTATGCTCTTCGTACCGCAACAGCAATAAAAGTCGGTCTAGTATTTTACAGGTCAGTAAAAGTACGTACGGTTTGACAGATTGACGCGCAGTATACGTACCGGCTTCTGGATCGCCATTCGGCAGACTTCGATCTCTCTTGGCCCGAACGGACATCCGCAACTGGCCTAGATATTTGGTAAGTTCCAGGACGAAAAGGATAACAAGCACATCACATACGGGGTACTAGGTCTAGGGACAACCTCTTGCATCGTGTCCGTCGATTTCTTTGAATCCTTTGCATCCATTGAGTACTCCTGAAGTTTTCAATCCCCACGATAAGATCTCGCACGGGCGCTCACTGCTAGAACCCGTGAGACAATACCAGGAAACAAGTGAATAAGATGATCAGATGTAGCGAGAGAAGCACTGCGATGAATGAGGGACTGAACGAGTGACAAACTCGTACCATGTCCATATTTATATCACAGAAGACTCAACAAAAGAATATCCTTATAACGCCTCAAGATTTTGCTTTTGATATATGACAAGCCAGCACACGATAGTCAGCATGCAAAGACACGATCGCGTTGTAGCAGTGGGACTTACTATCCCTGTCGTCAACCAAACTTTAATCAATCTACGAAAGACTTGGTCTGCGGATACCTCCAGCGCCAGGCGCCCGGGATAGCACACAGAACGAACCGGCCCTTTCGTTTGAGGTCCACTCAATGCATAGTGCCCAGGTCAACAATCCACCCCGGCGAGTATATGTACTTCGTGGGAAGCCTCGTGTGCGCCAGCGAAGGTCTGTCAAAGCAGTTAGTCGATGGCGCAGAGCCCGTGCTCAGAGACCTTGCCTCGCTCCATTATACAAGCAGCGAACCAGCCTGTACCAGTCTTGCCATGCCATTTCGTGCAATCCAGGACTTTCCGTCGTGACGAGCTTGCTCGCCAGTGCAGAACCGGCACGGCAGCGGGGTTTGAGGCGCTAGAACAAGACCGACATACCCTGGTCAACTTTTTGTTATGTCGCTCGCCAGTGCACGATAGATGTAGTCAGAGGACGTCATCTTCGGCATAACGGTTTACACAAAAATGAACAACTCTGCCGGGGTCCGACGACATTAATCTCCGCGCTTGCCGATGAATGCGAAATAAGGAGCACTGAGGACTTTGCTTTGACTCTCCAGGCATTGTGGGCGGTGTCACCAAAGCTAGCTGCAACGGTCTCGCACAGCGCAGGACCAAGAAGGATAATTTGGGCGATCGGTGCCGTCGCATGCAGGTATTGCCGCTCTACATCGAAATTGCGTTCTGAGAGGACTCTTCTTTGGAGGAAGGGAGATTGTCCCTTCACTACCGCTTCCCAAAGCACATGGCACCTCGATTCGACAGGCGCTGGACGAGATTTTGTCTTACCCGGCCCGAGGCCCCCATGGCCAACTCTAATCCCCGAGCTGCGGCCCGGACCGCTCATCTGCCGTGGGTGCTCAGAGTCGCTACTATCCGTTCACAACCAGGGCCGTGATCTTCCCTCTTCCCAACCCACAGGTCTCATCACGATGCCACGAGAAGACTGTGCTTTTGATGGATTAACCACCCAGCGGTCATGACGGTTGCCATCTTTATCCTTGACAGTGCTTAGGTTTCCATCAAAAAAGAGCACAACGGAATTGTTGCAGCGCAAGAGTACATGCACTCCGAGGTATGTGCAAAAGCATATAGGGATCGATCTTTGAGATCTCCCGTAACTTCACCTAAATATTGGCTCCATGCAAGTCAGAGCGGGCAGCAGGCCGTGGTGCAGGAATACGAGATGTCACGTGATAGGTATTTCGGGGCGTTGCATACTGCAACCACAAACATATGGTAAGTGCACTGAGGTGACCCGGTTGGAACGGAACCGGCCGTTGACAGTATCGACGTATGTAAGTATGTCTTACAGTATGCTTTATGCTTAGGGCTATCAAAGGTGCCGGCGCACTGGGACGTAGAAAGTGGATCAGGGGTCGCGCGTATTCGCTCTTTCTCCACTAGTTCCCCCAACCTTGAATGTCGGGTGAGGTCGGGCAGATCTGGGAAGATCTAAGCCTCCATTCGGCCCGCTAGGCATCATTGAGGATTTTTGGTATCAAGTATGGTTGCACTGTAGGCCAGCACGCGGGGGCTTGTCAGAAGTGATTGGGCCCTCTTCATGTATGACGGCATGACACTCGTGGCTTTTGACAAGCTCTGCCATGGCCCCGATCCTCGACGCATGGAATGTGAAGCTTGGTACCTTTCCACAAATAAGGTGGTTAATTTAGACAGTGTCAAAGCGGCTAACCTACTTGCTTGCTTACTTGCTGCAGCAGAATGAAGTTGCCCCAAAGATAGCAAAGGGTAGGAATAGAATAGACCATGGGGTAAAAGGATTAACACTCCCTTCGTTCTTAGTACTTCACGCATTTGTGAGTAACAACCCTCCAAGTCTCAATAGACCGCCCTGGAGTCGGATGCCGCACAATTGTAGACAAAGCTGCAAGACTTGCTGATCCAATAGGGGCTTGACACAATGCTGATCGCGGTCGCAAAGAATGCTCCAATGGTATCGAATGCGAGCCCACCATCATTATTTTATCGCTTTACAGCGGCCAGTGAAGCATCCAACAGAGCAAGGCGTTTACAATTAATTCCTAATGGGCTTCCTAATATTCCATGAAATAACCTCGAAAGTGGTGAGATTCATCACGTTCTCTTAACAGACAGCCAGTAGAACGTGAAACAAGATGGGCTATTGCAAGTGAGACCGACAAATACTCGAGCTTATGTGACTTGGTAAATTCCCGTGTCGATGGCTTATGGGGCTACAATGCTACGTTGCTCACCTCTAAAAGCCAACAGGCATCCTCGGTTTATCCAGCCTTTAGCACAGAAGGCTGTGAAGACAAGAATATACAAAGTCATTGTGGTCAGCCCATCATTATCGTCTGTTCCTCAAGAAGAGCTCTTTCAAATTTCTTACGGCCGGGATGGGAAGTACGCCAAGCACATCGTGGTTTTGCGTGGAGTACAACTGGACGTGTTGTATATAGGCTGCCACCCACAAGCCGCCCAGCGACGATCTGCAACTCTTCGCCTTCTGTCCCAACTCTGACACTTCAACGCATGTCTCATTGGCGCAGAGGCCTGATGATTTATCTTTCCTCTGCACAGAACAAGCCGCTTATGCATGGATCGATCTTGCAACAGTCGAGCGCCGCATTTACACCTGACTTTCCAGAGCCTGGCTCATTGCGACCTGACATTGGGTTTCCTTCGCGATACACATGCTGTGAATGTTCGATCAAGAAGCCCATACTGACCGCTCTCGATGCTGGCAGCCTTTTCACCAACACCATCAAGTGACTGTCTTCGCGTTCCCGCCCCTACATCCTTTATTTCTACGTTGCATTGGGGGCTTAATCGAACATCAGCACACCACCTGTTGAAGACAAAAGATGGCTATTAGTGTATATCAGGAATGGCCTACATGTAGCAGCTCGGTAGTCAACTGGAATTGGTCTGCCATAATTGAATGACGAGGCTACACCGACATGAATCGCACAACGATCTTCACATCCTACGGGGCAGATTGATACTGGCCTCGTTAGGAGCAGAATCATCACACCATCTTCCATCTACACTCATCAACAAGAACCACTCATGGGCTCAGAATATTCCGGAGCCTCTGGAGCCTGCCTACAGGCGGACCGCTTTTTAGTTGATACCGCGAGCGTGTGCACTCCGAGTCGGCGCCACGAATCGAATATAAAAGGGGATCATATGAACCGACTTGCTAGATCAATTGGGCAACTGAAAAGAGATAAATACAAAAAAAAAAGTATCAAGTGGTTTAATTTTCTCACGGGCAATATTGGCCTAGCATGGACTCGCTACGAGAAGCTGAACTAGGCGAAATGCCTGCTCCTCCTACTACAGAAGATCAAACAGCGACACAAAATCTTCCTGCCGCCCGAACCGACGATGTTGCTGGTGGGGTCACACCAGGAGTAACTCATCCCATGGACCGGTTCCTGGTCGAGCTCAGATCCTCGCTACTGGGGCTGAAGCGCTTGATAAACTTCTCTGGGCCAAAGCTACATGATGGTCCTTTTCTGGAACCAGGTAACCCAAATCTCACTCTGTCTCCTGGCGCAATGTTCAAACCGGTTATCTGACACTCCTTCATAGATGTGAACGATCTGCGTGGGCTGCCATCGATCGCTCGTAAGCACACCCGCTATCACAACACGGCAATGTACCCGAAGTACGACGAGATCACCCACAGAATCCTGCTCGACCACCAGATGAAGATAGGGGCCTTGCGACAGATGCTGCAGGAAGATGATAGCAAATATCAGAAGTCAGACACATCTGGAATGGATTTCACCTTCGATAAAGAGTGGCTAGTTCCGCCATGTCCATTATCTAATGTGACACAGGACCAGACAGAGTGCACTCGCACCTACGAGGAGTGTGACATGGTCAACTGCTTGGCACATGATCGCAGAGATCGCATATTAAAGGTTTTGTCTTCCAGGATTAAAGACTTCTGTATGAATCAGTGTTCCCATATTCACCCGAGGTTGAAAGTACTGACCTGGCGCCGCGCAGATGACTTGATTGATGTCTACGTCCGAATGAATGGAAGGGTCAAGGTCGATCATCTCAACTACGAGAACCATAGGAAACTGATCGAATCCGAGTTTCCACCAGACAGTCAAGCATGGCAAGCGCTTTTCGCAGAGGACGATGAGTTCATCGCTACACGAACTTCCCATGGTCCCTTCGAGCGTTTGGTCCTTAGCGAGCGGCTTCCGTTCTTGAAGGCAAGTCGAACCCCATTCATGCTTGCGCATGCTTCTTTTCGGACCCTGATGCCCCGCTGCCATTATGTTCGTTGTTATTGTTTGTTATTTTTCGCCTTCTGTTCCTATTGGATATTCGCTCCGTCATTCCTCATTAATATCATTGGCTTCCTGACCAGATATGTGCTAACATCCCGAAGACGTTATTCGTGAAACTTTTCCCATGGAAAGGCGAAGCTGTCGAAGGCTCTGACGCTTTGTACATCGATACAGATGATCTGATTGCTTTCAAGAGATTGCTCGTCGGCTTCTCATGGTGTATCATGCTACTCGTGCCAGTGGTCATCTTGTTCCTTGTCACGTCTTCGTCGGCAGCTTCCCTTGCCGTCGTGGTCATCTTTCCCTCATTCCTGGTAATGATGATGTGTCGAAGCGGGGTCGATTTGGATGGTGTTATGCTGAGTTCCTGCGCTTATATCGCAGTGCTCGTTGTCTTTCTGGCCAACTTGCATTAGGTCTCTGGGATTTCGTTGGTTTGTCGCAACTATACCTTCAAGCCTATTGCCTGACAGTCGAAAGAGCACCTACACGATCCCGTACGAGGTGTGCCAACGCGTCCGGCTGCAACGATAATACATACGCCTGACACTTTGCCTCGCAGGCATCCTATAGCAATAGCTTCAACCCGGCACGGAAAGCTCACACAGACCAAGGCGACAACAGGCACTGGTTGGCGATTCACATAGCTACTACAACAGCAAGTTGGCCAACAGTCACGCACGTGCCTGTACCACGACTAGCAGCCAAGTAGGAATATATAACCAAGGATTCAAGGATATCTTGTGGTTTTCGCACTCTTTTCTTACGCAGCACCTCACCTCCATATTGTTACACATCTATCACGTCATTTAGTCTATTGGGTAAAAAGAAATTATAAAAAAAAAAAGACATATTAGCATTTATTAGAAGGAAGTTGATTCAATTATGAGGACCATCTAATTGAGTTAGAAACCCCCGTCCCCTATAGGGTTTATCGTGGTATGTCGTTGGATATCGGTGTAATATCAATTCTATGCGATATTGTCTCGGATTCGGAGGCATGCCTGGTTGATGAACACAGGACTCGCAAGTGGGCTGCTGCCAAAAAGGCGCCATCCGGCACCAATTCCTGCTCCTCATATGCTCCCGTTGGCTCACGGTGTACATCATCTTATGCAAAACATTCCCCGAGATGCCAATAGTTTGGCCACCATACGGTTACAGCTCTATCATCACATTCATGATTGCCGCCGCCAGACTATTGTCTGGTAGTTGGTCACGGAGTGATTTCATCGTCTTCACCACCTCCGAGGTACTGAGAGGCTGGTTTTCGGTTGGTAGTTTGGTCGCCACGCCTTTGAGTGACTCAGCTAAAATCGAAACAACGGCTACAAGTGCAGGAAGCACTTCAATCATGCCTTGCGTCATCCTTGTTACTGCGTCCGCGGTAACCTCGCCACTTGTAGGGGATCAGTTCGAGGTAAGGTTCTCCACTTATGAGATGGCGAATCCTTGCCCTAGTCGAATGACTCCCAGTATTATCTTGGTCTTTTGGCTTGATTGCCCCTACCCTTCTGATGGACTGTTCTATCAAGCCTGCGCGGGGAGGCGGGATCAAGCATGCTCAGGAGATCTATTACAGACACAAGCTCAGCCGATATTGGAACCGTTCAACAAGGGATTGCCATCCGATCTCTACATCATGGTCAAATCTAACGGGCAAAGACGTCCTATGATATGGGATAGGCATATAGTACAAGTAACAAAAACTCCTATTCATTGGGTATAACACCTCATCAACATCTACCTTGGCCAATTCATCATATGAAGAAATTATACGGACCCTCGCCTGAACCTGCTCAAGTTCGATGAATCTAGTAGCGTAGAGACTCTGCTAGGGAAATTTCTTCACAGATAACGTACAGCGCATCCTATTCGTAGCCCCAATCTTGCCTCATATCTTCGTCCCCCCATGGATGACCGCCTAGTATCACCGTCGAGACATTTGCGTCGCTCTTGCCCAACGACAACGACAATGCAGTCGCCGTTTATCGCCACATATCCTTGTCACCCTTGATCTTCCCCGAGCTGCTCATGGGTCTTGGCCACTCATCAGAGCCCGTCCCCTCGCTTCTCCGCCTAGGAAAAGGGCCTTCGTTACCTTGCGGCACGGCCAGGAACCCGCCGGCTCCGTTGCCTATCATGATGCTTTTTCTTGCGCCACCTGTGCCCTCCCTCCAACCGGCCCCGACATCTGACAACCCGTAACTGCTCAGGGGCCGCTCCAAAGTATGTGTCGAGCTGCTTCTGCCATGTCGGGGGCCACTACCTACACCTCGGCCCCCCGCATAACCCGGGTTATCATAGGGATCCATCTTGATTAGGCCCCAATCATTGTCATCGTCGCCCTTGGTAAACACTTCTAGCGGCTGGTTCAGGCTCAACATGGGCGGACCAAGACCATTGCCAGCGGATCCAAAGTTGCGTTGTACATTTGCAAACGGGTTGTTGCTGCTGAATCTGTTGGTGTTGCCGCCGGGTGCTACGAGACCGTGATTGGGCGCAGTAAAGCCACCAGTGTTGGTAGGGCTGAGCGAGCCGCTGCTCCCCAAGGAGAACATGCCCATCGAACCGGAACTTCCAGGGCGCTGCTGACTACCCGCATAACCGGGCACTGGCGGCGGCAGTCCGAGCAGAAGATCAGGGAAGTTCGGATCTCGCACATACAAAGATGTAAGGCACGGGAAGCCGCCAGCGAAGAGTGACTGCGCCAAGTAATTGTAATAGCCTTGCGTCATGCCGAGGTACGGATTGACGTTCGGAGAGGCTGAAACCTCGTATCGCAGTGTCTTGAGGGCAAAATTTGCGAGGGGCGGGATCGTATTGCTCATTGGGAATGCCGTGTCCACCTCATGAATCAGCGAAAGGGTCTGTAAATTGGGCGCATTCGCCAAGACGTCTTGCAAGGCTTGAGGATGAACACCAGCATCGTGCAGGGAGAGGACCTTGAGGCGATACTGCACATCTTGTCGCGACAGGTATGCGACCAAACCGCTCGCCGTCACACGAGGCGTTTCTATAAGGATCAGCTCCTCGAGCGCGGGCAACGGCGGCAAGACGTCGTTATGCTTGAAGATGTCGTCATCCATGACTCTGCTCTCGGACACCTTCAGAGCTCTCAGATACTGCATCGCCGACAGGACATGCCGCAGCACCTGAGGATCCATGTTGATCTTGCCGAGCTCCAACACCTCGAGCTTCTGCCAGACGGTGCCTGAACCCAAGGCCTGCAGATTGTGTTCGCTGCCACCAATGTACGACATCTTTCTAAGATCCGGACACCGGGCCTGCACCTCCATGGTGAGGGTTGCATATTGCGGGTCGCCGAGGAAGACACCTTCGGGCAGGTCGAGATACTTCAGGTTTGGCAGGACAGCAATCGTCCTCGCCAGATCCGCCGTCTTGGATTCTCGCAGCATGTAGGGCGTCTTGAAGTACTGCACCATCTTGCCTAGCCTTGTGGGATCATCCCGAAGGGTGCGGCATAAAAGCTGTAGCCGTGCGCTTGCCGTGTCTTCGGGGAGGCCATTCCGATCGAATTTGGTCTTGCGCTTTCGTTTTTCCGAGAGGTAGATTTCGCGCTCGCAGTAGTGAACCGCGTCGATGCGTATGCTATGGTACCTACGCCGCGCACTATTAGCGTCCTGCAATCCTGATTTAACTTTTATGTCCGAGTTGGCTGCCCCTTGCGGAGACCTATACCAATGCCTGGGCCACGACCTTTGGGGTAGGCCATGCTGTGCTTTGTTTTGTTCCGCCCGGGGCCCCAGTGCACAAACGCTGGATCGAACAAGAGAAGGTGGACGCAGGCAGCTCAACTTACATCATAGGCACAGCAACTTTCCTCCAACCGCGACAGACCATACCGGCATGGGATATGTCCCTGAGATCGCACAGCATGCACGCATCTTCAATGGCGCTCTGCTCGCAGGTCTCATAGCTCTCGTCGCGAGAGTGAGGGCACACGAACGATAAAACCCTCTGCAGTATGGGTGCTGGCAATTCCAGCCAGGGCGCGAAGACGCCGTTGTTTATGGGCGTGGCGGCAAAGCGGTTGTCCTTCTGGTGGGGGTAACCTCCCGCGCTGCCGAGGCTGTAACCGTTCTTCTTGTGGCCGTTGCCGTATTGCGGGCCGTGGCCGCTGGGACCGCCAGAAGCATATCGGGAATCGTCGTCGTAGTTTGAGTTTGACTGTGTCTTTTCGGATTTGGACTTCTTGCTCCGGCGGAACAGCTTCATCATGGTGAATTTCATGGTCGACTGGGGGAGATGAGGGGAGGAGACAGAGACGTTGGCGTGCTGTGCTCTCTTCCTCTCTTGAATTACATTAACTAAGTGGTAAGGGAAATAAATGTAAGCAAGCTGCAAAGCTGGGGCAGCACAAAGAGTTGGGAAATCCCGGGGTTTGTGCAGAGGGAGATTTGAACGAGCTCGCGGTGATGCCGGTGCTGATGCTGGCGCTGGTGTTGGTCAAAGAACTGTTGCTTGTGACGTTGGGTAAAGTGCGACAAGTCGGCGCAAGGTACATACGCAAGCGATATGTTCAGATATCTTCCCCCCTGCTTGGGTTGTTGGGTAGGTTGACACTCAGTCTGATTGTTGGTCGGACAAGGTGACTACTGTAAATGATCGACTGTGATTCCTTCTTGCGCCGTGCCCCTGCTTGCTGCTGATCTCGGTCTGGCAGGAGTAATTAAAAGAGCTGATCCGACCTGTCCTGGCTTGTCCTGTCCTTTGTCCTTTCGGCTACGTACTTAACTTAGTTTGCTGCTGGAATTAGGGACTTTTCAGGGACCCGGGGTAGCAGATTGGTGTGCGATGGTGTAGTGGAGCAGCCCTGTTGGGTGGTATCTTTCCTGCAGCTTGCACCACTATGAGTTGGGCTTGTTCTTTGGAATCTAATACTGCCTTTCGGAATTCCCTTGGCGCTCCGGCAAATGACAATGAAATTCCAGGTTGATAGGCTGCAACTCGGAGCCAAGACCAGTTTTGACAACAGAGATGAAAAAGAAAGGTTAATAATAGCTGTCAGCTGCTTGGGGCCCTGTTGAAAAATGTCCAAGTTGGTGGGCCCTTCATTCGCGCCCATTCATTCCCTTCCATTCCATCCCCGATCAAAAGATCAAAAATCAAAGCTTCAAGCTTTCGCTTTTTGGCCGCTAAAGTTTAGCCTCGACAGACCTGAGCGAATCCAGCAACACGCGCCCGTCATTTGCAAGCGAGGGGGCCTAATAAAAGTCCCAAGGAAGGGTTGCCCCCGCATCTTTTTGGCGTGGCACTTCACCACATCTGGATTTGTTTCTCCGTTTCTATAGATGATCTGCACCCAGCATGAAAGGGGCGCTATGTTTCAGGAATGTTTGTTGGAGCAAGAGGGACGACGGAGGCACTCCCTCTAGTGCAAGCCGGATCCTGCGCCTTGGCTCAGCTGTTGGCTATCGTTGACGGCTCGAGCGTTGATCCTAATTAGTTTTGCTTGAGTTGTATCTGCACGAGCATCCTGCTACTCGGTACCGTAGCAATTGGGTCCCAATTGGCTTTTTTCACCATGTGAGTAGGGCATAACTACTATGAGCTATGTACAAGTAGTATCAATTCAGCCCCCCTGAAGATTGGACTTGGCGTGACTTGGGGGCCCCCTGTCCACTAACGGTCGCTTACCTCCCCCTGTCGAGTCCCAAAATCCGAGGGGGGGCCCGCCCAAGGAGCTGAAAACGAGCTCTCCTGCCAGACCCAATGCGGGCCGCTATCAATCAAGCTGCACTCCGTGGAACCCGCCGTCTCGCTGACGTTCAAATCTCTTTGTACGAGACCGACTCCTGCTTCGGCTAGCTTCGATACCTGCAAATATCATTTCGAAAAGTGACTTGCAAATAACACTTGTGTTTGAACATTTCAGCTATCATGCAGCCTCCACGAGTGCCTGCCTCTTATCCCCAGGCCGCTGGTCTTACATGCTTCTGTGGTGTGTAATTAATTCATCTAGTGTTCCCGGGGGCCGGATCCCTGGGAACGGTCCTCTTATATATCCCAGAATTGTTGAATAGTCTTCGCTGTGTTAGCTAACCTAGTGCCAAGGACATCACATGCTCCATCCAACGTCATCCCCAAGCTTCATGACACAACAGCAGCCCCTTTGAAAGCATTTACTATCCTCTATAAACGTCAAGCCGGCAACGACAATCGACACGTTATGTACACGCTTTTAGACGACTATGATGTTTATTTATGCATTCTGTGAGGATATTTGTCATTCATGTGACATATGAAATTTTCAAACGACAGTGAAAGGCCTTCAGCTGTTCGTTAATGCGATTGCTATGCAGTATTGACTTCCGCTTTCCAGTACATTCGTTCATCTTACACCCGGTCCAATCTATCCTTTATAAAGCATTAAACTTCAAATCAACCGTCCAAACCCATAAGGAAAGCCATCCTGGCAAGCCTCGATTGTATAAGTAATAACTGCCGCTCAACACCACTAGTTGCCGTTCAGCTTGATCCCATCCAAGGGGCTAGCAGATCCCGAGGTGGATGGCTTCTTTTGCCGCAGCGTCAGAGGGAACGGGTACTCATCGGGGTCCTCTTCCTCACTGTTCTTCTGGTTAGCGTGACACGGCCATTCATTCTGGCACGTTTCGACTTACGGGAGCTTCCAAGCAACATAGTCCTCGGTGCTGAGACCTTCTCTGCCTTCCTGCAGACTAGCAAAATCGCCGGGAGTCATCATGCCACTGCGGTCACGAGGAGATCCGGGCACCGAGAACGGCCGCGAGATCTTGTGTTCACCGACACCTGGGATGAAGTCCTCCTCGTCCTCACCGTCACCAGCGAACGATCCAGGGTAGGCGCGACGCAGAGCCAGTTGCCTGGCTTTGACATACTCCATGCCCATCCTCTTCCAGTCCAGAAGATCACTGAGGCGCTCGGTTCGGTTGCGCTGGTTAATACGTTGACGGCGACTCTTCTGGCAGAAGTCGAACATGCTCGACGTAAGTTGGTTGACAGAGTCGTCCACTCCCTTGTTTCGGCGGTCGACAATGTAGATACCGTAGTCGCTCGAGTTCTCAATCAGCTCTTCCATGTAACATCCGAAGCCAGAGAGGTTGGTGGTGATGCTGGGAACGCCCATGACGGTACACTCGGCGGGCGTGTAACCCCAGGGTTCGTAGTACGACGCGAAGACACCCAAGTGAGTTCCTCGGACGAAGTCGTCGTAGTCGAGAGGCAGGACTGGGTTAGCTGAGTTTAAGAACTCCGGGTGAAAGACGACCTTGACGCGGTCGTTGGGGTGGTTGAAGAGTTGCACACGACGAATCTGGTTGAGAATAGGATCCTCGTGATCATTCACCATGTTGTGGGTCACGATCGGGGGCAAACTGTGCCTCTTCATGGCAAACAGACGTCGCCGGAGCAGCACACGGTCTGCACTGGTGATAAGCTCCTTCTCATCTGGCAAAGGGTCGCCCTCATGCCACTTGAGCGAACGCTCGAAAACACGACGACCAATGCCACGCTCAATGACATCGACCGTATCCCGGAGAGACTTGATGACAGCCTGGCCCTTGAGCGCCTCAACCGTAAGGGACGTCGTCTGGGCAGGCATGATAATAAAGGCAACTACGGTTGTCTTGCTGCCAGATGTCTTCAGTCGGTGGTTCAAACGAGCCAGTGACTCGATGAACATGTCGACACCCTTATTCCTATACTCGTAGCGACCGGCTGTGAAGAAGTAAAGGGTGTCCTCGGGGACGAAATCGTAGTGGCCATAAAAGTGTCCCCTGACAAAGTCGTGGATCTTTTCCTTGGACTGCTGGTGCAGGTTTTGGAACTCGTGCATGGCGGAGAATTTTGTAACGTTGAGACCGTTGGGCAAGACACCGTCGGGTTTCCGCTTTAGTAAGTGCTCACTTTCGAAAGCCGTGATGTGGGAAACAGTAGTGAAGACGTCGCAAGAATGAGCAGCGGCGCGCTCAATACAGTATCTGTGGTAGATACCGCGCTTTCCTGCCTCGGCATCGACATCAAACCATTGGAGGTTATTGTAGAAATCGACAGAGCCAGCGCAAAGGTAGCGACCGAGGAGTGTAGCATGAGTGGTGAAGATGGTGGTAACATCAATCCGGCGCCTCTTGCACAGGGGTAGAGCTACACCTGCCAACCACTCGTGGAAATGAGCAATGACAGCTCGGGTCTTCTCGTGGCAGACATACTACGCGGAGGCTGTCAGTATCCATTTTGGATATGTAGGTAAAAACTCGAGCAACTCACCTCTCCAAGGAACCATGCGACCAAGTACCCGAATACGATGGCCTCGTTCGTCTCATCGTCATTGGGTGGGGCGGGGATGCTGGCACTGTTCCACAGGTCGGTCTTCCACTCGTCCATGTATTTGTATGCTGTCTTGGTGTCAATGAGCAAAACACGCGGCGCGCCCTCGATAAGCCATCGTCCGTAGAGGATGCCGATACCCCGACTTCTCATCGCCTCGATGCTCTTAGCAAGCTCTTCGTTGACCGGTTCCAGCTCTTCGACCTCGACGGCAGCCTGAAAAAGTTAGGGTGATGGGCATGAGTGAAGATACTGTAGCATACCGATTGGTGGTTGAGAGGACCGATGAGAGTGTACCGATCGCCATATTCTGCGGTTGTGACGGGCGCCTTCGACTTGATGACAGAGTAGATACCGCCGACTGTTGTATTGTAAGTCGTTGCTCAGCTTTGCCGTGTTTCACAACTCGCAGGCTTCGATTGAAGCATTGTGACTTACCTCGATGCGCAACTTCAGTTGCGATCTCGAAGAGAACGTGGTTCTTGACCTCGCGGGCCGGTCGTTCCTCTTCGCTCATGTTGTTGGCTGCCTTGAGGGTAACAGGGCAGATAGTCTAGAGCAGAGCAGAGCGATTAGTTGAGGATCCAGCTGTGGCTATAATAGGAATACCGAAGCGGCGGCAGAAAACTTGAGGCACGGATGGCTTTTTGGGAGGACAATAGTAAGGCGAAAGAGCTCGTTTAAAGTTTGGCTGTCTCAAAAGCTTCCAAAGTTTCTTCTCCAATTGTTCATGAATAACAAAGTGTACGGTATGGTGTAGTGCTCGTGACGAAGGAAAGCTTACTCAGTGTGTCAGGTGTAGGTGTATGTGGGAAAGCGGCAACAATCCTACGTACGGTCCAACACAGCGCCACAAGATCAATTGAGGTCGTATCGTTCTACTAATAAGAGGGATGAAGACGTGATGATTGCCCGAGAAGTGAGGAGAACGGAATTGGATCGGAAAAGTTGGAAGCAGCACTGAGAGGTGAGGGATGGCAGAAAATCACCCCAGAAGCAGATCATCCAGCAACCGCGACCTGGAGCTCGCTGGAGCGACCATGAGGAGATGGCATCACACTGCAGTCGAGCTCCCCCCCGGCATGCCCCACTTGGTGTTGTGCGAATGCTGGTGGTTGGCCAGATGTCGCTCCTCGGTACTATGTAGCTGCGCTACTAAGTACTACGTACCACAGTAGAGCTCATGGGACGAGCTTTCATGCGCTAGGCAGTCTAGTCCCAAATTTCCCCAAGGGGTCAAATCCCGCATTAGATCGAGATAGTTTCGTGGATGCAATTGGTCCGACTGCTTGCCATTGTGACCTGTTTTCCTGGACCCTTCTTGCTGCCGTTCTCCTCGCTAGGGCTATACGTTTTATTTTTCGGGAGGAAAACGGTGAACTGTTTGAATACACAGCAGAGCCTAGTACCAAGCAAGTCCTGTAGATTGATTGAGAACACGCACAACAAAAAGGCTCACTTCAACGCTGTGATATTCTCGCTGTTATACCCCTGTCTCGCGGCAGCTAGCCGGCATCTCGATGACCTACAAGCACAATCCAGACCCATTGGCCGTGTTGGCGAAAGAGTTGCCGTTAAATTGCAACCCATCCCGCATTCAGACCTTTCATAGTTTCCGCCGAGCATTACTCAAGGCGCATGCGCAATGCGACAGGTTTTATTTTTTATTTTTTTAAACATGCTGCAGGAAAACGTGAAGCCACTGCGTGCACAATATGATTAAGCTTCCGGATTCTGGCGACGCCGCACCTTAAGAGCTTGTTCTCTCTGAAGTCTCTAAAGCCATCTACGATGATCGCGACGTTCGTATTTGTCTGACCCCTGCTAGTCTCGGTTGCTTTGGGCTGCTGCGAAGGGGGGCCAGACTCCAAGAATTCGCTTTAATTGCAGCAGAAATTCCATCGTGAAAAAGCCATTGCGACCCCCAACAGCGCGGCAACTCCGTCTTTTTCTTCTTTCCATTTCTTTCTCCCTCTAGAATGTCCCGCTACTCCCGAATTCAGCCGCTGCATGCGTCGTTGACACTCGCCGTTAATACCACCGAATTAAAAGGATCTCGACTCGACAGATCGTCATGGGGTGCATTGCTATGTACTGTATGACCGAAAGCTTTTTCGCGGGGCACCGCAAACTTGTCTTCGATTCTGTGGAGCATCAGCTGATCCGCCTCGAGCTGATCTCCAGTTTCGTGGATGAGCGGGTTGCGACCTGGCAACTTGCAAGTGCTACGAATATTGAATGACATCATATCAAGAAAGCTCCAGTGGGGGGCCACCCAGTAATGTCAGGGGTACCGAGGTCGTCGGGGCCACCCCCCCAACCGTGCTGACCAACCTGCCAACCTCACGCTTTGAACCTGGTGATTGTTGGAACATAAGATGGTGGACGGGTAGAGGACCCGGTGGAGCGAAAAGCATTCGGTAGCATGCTCGCTGAATTGCGTAATCATGACTGGCCGCGCTTTGAGGCTCAAGTTGCAACCCTGGCCCGTGCTGAACAAGTTGAAAGCTCATAAAGGTTACAAGGTGGATTCCTGATGGACAACATCAACCCGCATTCAGACTTTCCAAGAATATGGAATTAGCCTTTGAGGGTTACTAAACTTAGCATCTGCTTCTAACTATAATACGGGACAGGGTGAACTGTTATGTCAAGCCCATCGATGTTTGGTTGTATGCGACTTCGTTGAACTTTCGTGCCGACAGCTTGACTGCTTTACTGTGTAGTGAACATTCTTGCCCATTGTATAAACTGCGGAGCGGAATGCACCCGTAGCCGCGTACACTCCCAACTTGAAACAAAAGAACTCTGAGGGGTATTTGCCACAGCTACAATACGCTATGTACAAATAGGTTCGTTAAATGACCAAAATCGAAAATAAGGAAAACCATGATGATGCAGCTGGTTGACGAACCAAACCCCCAAACGCCAAGCAATGCGATACTTTAGTTCGGAACAATGCAGAGCCTCCGCATGTGCATTAGATCCCTTGAACCTTTCTGTACGATGGCGGCTTCATTGCCCTTCTGATCAGTTTGCCCGCATACGGTGGTATAAGTGAAATCGCCCCAATGGCAAACACGCGCCATACGAAGCCCCTGTCCTGCGGTTAGCGGTTTATCACAAAATCGTGACTGTCAAGTACTTACCAAGTGAGAATGAAGTCTAGATCGAAATAACCACCGAGGAAAGGAACTGATCCCGCATAGAGCAAGAACGTGCCCACGATGGTTATGATCATCACCGGGTGCCAAGTCGTGATTTCCATGGCGACCATGATCAGTTCGTTCAGGACCAGGACTGTATAACTGACTGCAACCATTCTTGGCCCGTCGACCTCGGTCAGGATTTGTGATAGGCCTTGTATCATGCCGCCTTGGTAGATGGAGACAAACACCCAAACAAAAAAGGTGCGGTAAGACAGAGATTGCCCCGAGGTTAGCTCCTTGTAGAGTTCTGGATATAGATTTGCTAGGTTCTCGTCGACATCCTTATCCAGGACCAGGGATAGCACGGGAGCTGCAGTGTAGACAGTGGCATAGCCGACCATGAGCCAATCCTACGGAATGTGTTAGCTGATATAGGCTCAAGATGTGGAAAAGAACGGCTTACAATGTATAATCCTTCGGGTTCGAACTTGATCGCAATACTGTACATTGTCTGGCACACGGCAACGATAAGACCACGGTGAATAACGAACTGAGCAAGCTTGGCGCTTCGTTTGTAGCTGTTCCGGCCATGCCAGACGAGGAGCTTGGTCAGATGGCAGAACTGCTCGATCGAGAAATCCGCAGCCAGACTGGCTTGTCGTCCCTCTTTTCCAACGATACCGACACCGACATCTGCTGCTTGGATCATGGACACATCATTTCCACCATCACCGATACAGCAGACACGCTTCTTAGTATATTCACGGATGAGTTTGGCAACCTCGGCCTTTTGCGTAGGCGAGCATCGACATGCAACAACGGTTGGAAGATGCACAGCCACTGAGATGAACTCGGTCCTGAAGTGGGTAAGGAACAGAGCGAGACTTTCGCCGTCAATCAGTAGACAAGAATCAGTCTTGCTCCTGAGGAAGTCGAGATGATCCTGGGCGTTATCCTTCCTCTTCAACTTCGTGATGGTGTAGATGTACTGGCCACGTGCGACCAATTTTGAGCTGACGGCAACACAGCGGGCAGTCTCGACTTTGTCGCCAGTCAACATCCAAATCTTGATGCCCGCGTTGCGAAGGAGCTCCAGAGATGGCTTGACGTCTCTTTGAAGCTTATCCTCGACACCAGTGACGCCCAGAAGCTCAAGATCACGCTCCAGATACTCGGAGACAACCTTTTGCATCCCTGCATCGCGGCCATTAATGGCAAGAGAAGCGTCTTGGTAGCTGCTGGAAAACTCTTGATACTGCACAGCGGATAATTTCTTGCGGCCGACTACCAGAGTTCGCAGACCTTCGCGAGCCATGTTGGCAGTTTCCTCATCAAGCCAGTCATTGGCGGCGACGATAGAGGACATGACCGTGTCGGCGCCCTTTTGGTAGAACCAGATCTCAGAATTGTCCATTTGCGGCGCGTTGTGAGCTTGCTCCCAGAATTGAACGACGATTCCCATACGTTTGCCTTCCGAAGTGAAAGGAAAGACATCCAAGATCTTGACCTTGACGACTATCTTGCCAGTGTCGGTCGACTCGAGGGTCATGCTCTGTCTGTCGCGATATGCCAAACGAAGTCCAACTAATTCGGTCCACCGCACAATAGCAATTTCATCGGGCGAAGAAGCTTGGTAAGATGTCACAGTTTGGCCGTCTTCCTCTTCCGTGGTTGGAGTGACGTTATGACACAAGGCCAATGCTAGAACGACGTCACGCACTCTTGATCCGATCTCGCGTCTTGTACGGGTCGCGGTGACTCCAGCTGTTGTACTGTAAGACGACGATGGAGAGACCAGTGTGGACTCGGTAGCTGTACTGGCGAAAACATGCTTAACATATGCAGATACTTCATCCATGGCCTCATTGGCATACGACACGGTACCAACATGGATTTTCTTCATCTCCATCTCATTTTGAGTCAGTGTTCCTGTTTTGTCGCTGAGAAGATACTCGATTCTTCCTAGGTCTTCCGGAATGGTACTTGTCCGCACAACCGCCCCAGGGATACCTGGATCGCGTTGAATAAACCACGAGTACACACTCTTGCCCATATCCAGATTGACTCGCAAACTGATCGGGACGATTGTCGAGAACAAGACCAAGAATCGCATGATCTTGACGTACCACACGTTTCCTTCGGTATTGCCGAAGCCTTCCAACGCTACCAGAACGATAGATATGCCCAAAGTCAAGGCGCAGAGGATCTTGGTCAAAGCGTTGATTTCGTACTCTAGAAGACCTGTTTTCGATCGTGAGGGAGATGTCGACAGTGCGGAACGAGTCTGAGGACCGGTGTAGACGATGACTGCGAGAGTAATGGCCTGGGAAGCAATGACAGTGTTGGCCCACGCTGTATTGTCGATTGATAGTGGGGCTGAGTTGCTCCTATCATTTTGGGTGCCCTCATCCGGGTACGGGTCAAGTGCCTGCTGTCTCGATGGCATCAATTCGACAGTGCCGATGAATTCGTTCACTTTCTTATCTGGCTTGCCCCCGGTGACTCTTAACCTGACCAACTCCTCGATGGGTAGTTTCTGCGTCAGGGTAGAGGTCAATCGTAATTTCCAGTCTGTCTCACCATCCAGCTGATCGGTTCTGATAAAAGTCTCTCCATTCGAGTTACCTTCGCTGGGTGTTTGGACCTGTTCAGCCTCTTTGCCCTTGCCGGAAGCCTGATTGTCCTCGTCCGTGTCGACAAGAAGCGACTCCTCTTGGACCGTTTCGAGGTGATCAATAGGCACCGTTGAGACTTCCGTGGTCAGGCACTTGAGAATCACGACGTCTGCGGGTACGCGTTGCCCCTTGCTGAGCTTCAAAACATCACCAACGCGTAGATCTTTGGACTTTTTGCTGATCTCCTCTACATAAGACGATGGTTGACCGAGGCCATATCCCTCTGCCTGCTCCTCCTCTTCCTGGATGTCGGACAGCCTGTCGCGGTTCGAAGACCGTTTTTGGCTTTTACGCATCGACGATGACTTCAAGTTCCGCGGCGAGCGCGAGGCAGGGTAGCTCTGGCTCCCTGGTTCATCGAAGCGCAGCACTGCATATTCCTCCGAGTTGGCCTCGTTATCTCGTCTCCGCCGCGCGATATCGTCAAAAGCCTCTTTGCCCATAGTAATCATAAGCACAAAAGCTAGAGGTGCAATATATGTGCTTAGATAGCCTATCCTCAGCTGTGGAATAGCTTGGGACAAGGCTACTAGCAGGAAGTACATGTTGAAGAAGAAAGAGAACTCGTTGTATAGGGTGACGGGGAGGAAGGTGAAAGCCGTGTATTTGGCGTTGGACACGACGTTCGGGGGATAACGAGTCAACTGCGAGGATCCAACTGCTACAATTCGAGACGCCGACGGATCATCTTCCTCCTGCTCGACCGCATCTTCGTTGTCGTCTCGCGTCGTGCTGGCATTTGACATGAAGCTCGGTAGCCGGAGAGAGGCGCCCAACTTTTGCATGCTGTCACCGGCAAAGGACAGGGACCTCTTCCGTCGGGAGCCATGGGCGCCTTCGTTCAGTAAAGGGGCGTCATCGCCGGCGCTCCGGCTCCCGTCGGAATAGCGCTGTGGCTGGTCGTCTCCGTCGTCCAGCAGGCCCATGGCATCCTCGTCTCCGTCCCTGTTGTGTCCGAGGTCGCCATAGGCTCGTCTTGTCCTACCACTGGTCCGCCTCAACCCGCCCATACGAAGGTTCCGCAGCGCAATGCGCGGGGCGCGTTGTTCGGGGCTCGAGTTGCGTCCTAGGAGGTTGCTGCTCGTGCTGTGCGACGAGGTGGTGGGATCGAGCTCTTGCAGGTCTAAATCGGCATCTGAATCGGAGTCGTGGACCGGCGAATCTGGCGGTTCCGTTGCTCGATAAGGGCTTGAGGACGGCATTCCCGCGTCGGGGTCATCCCCCAGAGGAAGCACGAAGATGCTGCCTGCAGGTATGGTAGTGCTGGTGTTTCGCAAGGAAGGTTCGACGGAGGCCTATCCGAGACTAACGGGTCAGAAACGTAGACGGTCACCTCTGGGCCGGGCGGCTGTGAAGAGGCGGAGGCCGGCTGCAGAGAAAATGGGCTATGCGAAAGTAAGAGGGAGAAGGAAGAAAAGGGACTGCTGGTTTTGGTGTTTGCGATATGGTCTCTAATGTCGTGGTATTCGCCTATCGAAGGCAGTGATGTTGCATGCCTGCATGTGAGGACACTTTGGAGCTGACGAAACATTAAACTAACTGCTTTGCTAGGTGGGTGCACTGGGACATTTCGGAATCCTAGTACCCAACTTGGACTGACCAGGGGCTGTTTTCGGGGGTCCTTGCAGAGCCACGTACCACGCCCAACTACAACTACCCACGCACCACGTACTGCCTCGCTCATACATACATAACAAAGGTACATCCGTCCCACCCTCTCCTATGTATGCATGGAAGGTTGCAGGTGTCGCTACTCTAGGTTAGTGAAAGCCCCCCGCTAGACTAAGCTTAGCTAAGCTCGCTGTGGGCCACAGCTGCCATTTGTGGGTTGGTCATGCTCAATTGAATTTACTATACCGACTATACATATACAGGTAATCATCCCGTTCAAGTGCCATTTTGGTATACTTGGCGGGATTGAACGGCTGCGTTTGAGCTTCCGGGTTCGTCACATAGCAATGGAGGACAACTAGATTCTTACATCCACTCGTGGGACATTCGTCAATAGCAGGTAGCTGGCATTCAAATACCATCATGGCAGTGCTACCTTAAGAGACTTGCGCTATAATACATACAAACTTTTCCTTGTGTACAGCATTCAATGATGTGACATTTCCATACCGACCATTCGCGTGCATCGTTCTCTTCTTGAACATCGATCAACGGCGAATAATGAATAATATCGTCATCGTCAAATCGACCGTGCCTAACGCCTTGCTTCCTGAGTGAAACAAATGCACCGCAACCCCCTGCAACCGAGCAAAACAAATATGCAGATATAGGTCCAATCAAACATGAAACAAATCCGACCACATTATAGATAAGGCATCCAGAGTGCATCGCACTGTGCCAAGTTCATGGGGTTGACCGCTCTGCTGATGAGGTCAATCACCGTCTGGTTAGCCGGCAGATTGCCCACCGGACTGGCTGCCAAGCTGACCGCGCGCTTGACAATCATGTCGCAGTTGGTCTGCACCGTATCGCGAAGCTGGTTCTCGTTAAGATGCATAGCGCGATGGCTTGATGTGAACCAGAAGATCATCTCATCGCGGACGAAGAGGGTGAGGGCGTGCTCCAGCTGGAACTCGGGCTCCGTGAGGCAACGGGCAATGGCCATGATCGCGCAGCTAAAGATACCCTCGGTTGCGAGGGGACCCATCAAGGTCTGGAGGTTGGGTGTCAATCGGAACGGCACCGGCTCGGGGTTGTGGAAGAACGGCTTGGCTGGCGCCATGAAGCTCATGAGCTCAGAGCCCCAGATCTTGCCCGAGCCACGGGCGATGTTGAACTTGTGAGGATAGCGACCAGTCATGTACAAAATGTAGGTCATGAAGGTGAGAGAAGACAGCTGGTACGAGAAGCGGCGGCGGAACAACCAAAACTCCGAGAACTCGGGATATGTGGATTGGAAGAAATCCAAGGCGACGTTATGGGGAACCCACTTCTCTTGAATAGCGGTGAAGACCTCAAGACGAGCAGTGGCTGTTTGCTCCGGCTGTTTCTGATACACATTAGTGTTTGTCATCTTGTCTGAGAAACCACGTGTATAACTTACAGTTCCCTTGGGCTCGATTAGACCATGCAGCTTATCCATTGTGAAGAGCACAGGCTCATCCTTCTGCATGCTGTTGCGGCGACAGTGATCCTCGTATATGCCCTGAAGCGTGATATATGAGGTATCCTCTTGCACAATTCTTATGTGCGGGGCAAGAGGGACCATGAGAGGTAAGGTAAATTGCAAGTCGCGACGTCTGGACTCCTTGCGCTTGGCCAAGGTCTGGTTGAGATGGCGGAATAGCTGGAGGATTCTCTCCTCACGCCGACAGTGTCTAGCTGCTGGATGCTGGATGGCGAAGCAGTGGATGCTACCATCGTGGCCTCGGATCTTGATGCGCCGGTGAGAAACACCAATCGTGCGGACCAGATCAACATCGGGAAGGAAACGCTCAATGCGGATGAAGTCTTGGTTCTTGTCCTTGTGCTGCAAATACTGCCCGGGTACTTCGACGTCGTCAAACTTCTGGTATCGGAACTCACTAAGATCTCGAGAGTACTTCTCCAGTGGTTCCTTCGGGCTTCTTCGATCTAACTTCTCCTCAAACTTGTCACGCCACTTGCGTAGCTTGTGGATGTATTCGAACATCGTGGGCTTGACCGCCACAAAGTCTGCCTCGAACGATTTCTTAATATGGGCCGGGAGAACGGTCTCCGCGAAACGGGTGATATTAGTCTCCGTACCACCAGGTAACTTGACATCTTTAGCATACGATGCCGGCATTCGTGAAACATAAGCTAGTCCATCATTGAGCAAGGCCACAATCAACCGATAAGCATCCTCATCTGGTGGACATTTAAAGTACTTCTGGATTTGGTCGACCATTTTTTCCATAGACAATGCAAGTAATGGGAAAGCAGTTTTGAGGGTTGACATGATCTCGTCTGTGAGCTCCCAAGGAGGTCGCTTCTGGGGAGCGCTCGCAGCAGCACCTACATCGGCCTTTTGCTCGCCGTTTGCTACGGTAGTCGCGGTGGCGGTAGCAACAGCGGGCGCCGAAGCAGCCTTTTCATCAGCGCCTTCTGTCTTGGGCTGCACGTTGTTCTCGCCATTTGCAGTCTGAGGACGAGAAGACGACTCCGACTTTGGTTGCTGGTTCTCCTGTTTCGGTTGCGAGGGTGAGCCCGCAGGCTTGTTACCGCTAGAAGCTGCGGACTGAGCTCGTTGTCGTTGTCGCTCCTTTGCTTCTTGGTTCTTCTTGATAGCCAACATATCTTCTCTGTTTGTACGTGCTTGGAAGAACAAGGATTGTGGGTAAGACTTGGCAATCTTCAGCAGGATTGTGTGCACTCGAGGAGCCTCCTTGTGTCCTAGGCCCGTCAGAAGCTGTGGGATGAAAGTGATCCAGAACCACACTGGGGTATCGCCCTTGTAGTCCTCGAAGCCAGAGGCAATCGTGCCGTTGGCGTCATCGAGGCTGAGGAGCCAAAGGATTCTCGCAATGAGCTTGCGAGACTTGCCATCCTTGTAACTGCCGATTGCCTGAAGGTACGAGGTGAGGGCCTGCTTGGCAGAGTTGAGGTCTGATGGATCCTCCTTGAACTTGCGATCATTGAAATAACCCCATTCGGCCCATGCCTTGGCTTTGCCGATGTCGTAATACAAAGCAGTGCCGTAGGCGGCGTCTGCCTCGTCCTTTTGCTTGAGCTTTTCGAGGAACATGCCCTTGAGTGTGTAGAACTCTGCTTTCTGTTGAGCATTGAAGTAGTTGAGATTCGTGTTGTTAATAACGTCTAGTCCACTAGATAATTCGTCGGGATTCTCGTAATGGCATTTGGCTTGCTCACGCAGCTTCAAGAAAGCCTCCTGGATCTCTATGTTCGGCAAAGTGTAGATCCGGCTGAGTTGTGCAATGCAAACGTCGGGAAGATTGTGCTTCCGTGCCACGTGCGCGAACCTGTTGATGATCCAGGCAGTCTCGTGGTAGCCACGGTAGGCGAAGGAAGCACCATTAGCATTTTGACCTTGTGTCGGCAATAGGTTGAGGTACGTGCTGTTAATCAGACCGAAGATATGCTGGCGCCATGTAACAAGATCTTGCCAATCGATGATGTCGTCCCAAACATTAGGAAGCCGGTCGCGCCATGAACCCAGAAGGAGCTTAAGCTCGCCAGACTTGACGTCCAAGTTGGCCGCGGTGGTTGTTGACAAGCTGGTGCATATGATGCTTGCGTCGTGAAGCTCAACAAGCTGTTGGAAGTTGTGAAGCATGGGAATATGAGCTGCAGTTAGGCGTCCCGGCAGCTGATGCCACTTTCGGATTGAAAGCTGCACAGCTTCATCACAAACCTTGCTGAACTCTTGTTGTGTTTCCGGGGTCCTGCTGGTGTGCAGCTTCAATAAAGACATGAAGCCCTGGAAGAAAGAGCGACGAGCAGTTGGTGCATCCATGACGCCCTTGATGAGGACATCCAAGCTCTCGCGGTGGGCCAAATCCTGCCACATTTCGACGTTGCGCCAGGCACACTCGAGCAACAGATCCTGCAAATTCTCGTGCTTTGAAAAGTCTTGGAGTATGTCCCATTGCTGGAGCTTTTCAGCACACAAGACCCAATGGTCTTCCCATAGCATGTATTCGCCCTGCGAGAAGGGGATGACGCCAGTTCGAGCTTTTATCTGTGCTGCTTCGTACATTTTCTGAGCTTTGTCCCACATGCCGTTCTGCTCATACGACAGAGCAGCATTGGTCTCGACGAACTGACAACGACGGCGCCAGGTGCCATAGAACATATCATCTTCCTTGAGGTTTGAATACAGCTCAACCAAGGCGTCCAGGTTGCTCTCGCGAACGGCAGGTGACTCGACATCAGGCTTGATAGCAGCATTCTCTAGCTGGACTAATGCTGTGTACCATGCATCAAACGTCTTGGCCTCAAACTTCAGTACGTGAGGAGGGATCTTGCACTCGGGCCATGATTTAGCTGCTCCTGCCAACAAGGACTGAACTACATTCGGTCGTTTGTCGATTTGGCGAGAGTGGAAATCCTTTGTAAGAAGTGCAACCAAGCCTTTCTCGAGGTCCATCTTTTCTTCCTTCAGTGTAGCAGACCAGAACATGGGAAACAGCGTGACCCACAACTCGTTAGCCAGACTTGACTCGATGTGCTGAAGCTGAATGATAGGCTCGATGATATCGCGGACCTTGACATCTCCTACCTCGGCAACAAATCGGCGGTGATTGGTCATGAATGTGTCATACTTGTCGTCAGCCATGGCAGAGGGTTCCCGACTGTCTTTGGCATAAACACCGAAGACTGCAGAGGCGGGAACTGTCCTGAAGTCTTCATGGTGCAGCTGAATATTGGCATTTACTTCCACCGCACCCAGGAGCAGCTGAGATGCCTGGGCTAACCAGAATGAGTCCGCGAGCGTGTCCCAGTTCTGGGATGTGACGATATACGCAAGTCTAGCCGTTGCGGTCTTCGAAAGACTTCTGTCGAATATAGTCATGAACCTGTTTCTCATCTCGACATCTTGAGCTCGAGTTCCGATCAAGAAAGCATGCTCCATGCGGACTGTGAGCTCGGTACGAGTGATCTTGGGATCTTCGTAAATACGAATCACGAGCTCTAGGAACTTGGTCAGCATTGTGGTATCGCTACGATGTTCAAATGACAACATCTTGTGCAGCACAGCTGTCTTTTCCTTGAGCGTTGGCCATGTGCCCTCAGATCGGAAGACCCAGTCCTCGACCATCTCCAGAATCTTAGTGCATAAAGGAATGTGCAATGACTTCTCGACAAGAGTGGCCAGAACACTGAGGAACGGGCGGCGGTTGTCACCAAGAACCTCCATTCGCATAGCTGTAACTTCGATCGCCTTGATCATCAGCGCGGTCTGGATCTCAAGATCATATTGAGACATCTCTCCTTCCCGGGGACCTTGGTCGGCAGGTCGAACGTGCATATTCATTTGGTGAGCTTGTACATTGGTGTAATGCTGAACATGCTCTCTGGCCAGTTTCTGCTGTAGGGCCTTCATCAGAGCAGGAATATGCGGCTCGATAACTGATGGCTTCCGCTGGCCTAGTGACCACAAAACATTGACACCAGAGACATAATTGGTCGCATTGAGGGTTTCCGTGGCAATACCTGATAAGAAGGTTACAATCTCTGAGGTTTGCCCTTCAGGTTCTCCATCGGCATCGGCATCCTCCATCGGCACGTCCTCTGGCACAGCCTCAAGAACTCTTTGGACAATAGATTTCATGTCCCGCCCATCGTCGTACTCCTTGTCTGCAAAGTGTAAACAATCCTGCAGCTCGGGATTTTCGGATTTGAGGCACTTCTCGAGGACTTTCTGTACTGATGGCATGTTTTTGACGATCCACTCATCTTTCTTGGAGTTCAGGATGATTCGGACAACTTGCAACGTGTTGACAATGTTGGTAATAAACTTCTCGTCATAATTCTCCTTATCGCTTGGGTCTGCGTTGAGAATCTTCTGGGTCTTCTCGCTGGCCAAAACAACTTCGGTAACATTTGGAAACAGGTCGACTTCGAGATCGGCCCAGTATTGTTCTTGAAGCAGGTTAAACAAAAGCGTCATAGCCTTCTTGCAAAGATCAGTAGACAGGGGCGGAAGTGCTGGACCGTTTCCAGCAGCCGCATCTCTTGGCTTCGCCGAAGGTAGTGCATAACGCTCGTTGAGCTGCGCGATGAACTCGACCAGATACTTCAGCATCTTAAGTCGGAACCCGTCGGGGATCTGGAACTCTTTCACGGGAGCATTTTGTCTGGCTGTGGGAGGAGAAGAAGTCGGGCCATCAGCATCTAAACGCCGCTTTCTTGAGTTTGGCGATTCGGATAGAGCTCTGTTGGGGCTGGCGTGTTTTCCCTCTACCCGCCTCTGCTCCCACTCCCAGATGAGACTCATCATATTCAGCACCAACTTCTTACTTTCGTTGGATGAAGTTTGAGGGGCTGAGATCTTGCGCAACGACTGAATGATGAGCAGTGTAAACTTGTCACGCGACTCGTAGAAAAGACCTGGATGTCTGACGAGGAAATGGAAAATACTCGTCATTTGTTGAACATTCTGACCCTCTTCTGCAAGGATACGACGCGGAGCAATAGCCCAGACTGCATTGCGATCGCTTGGCAGTGTATTGCAGCGTTTCGGCAACACAGGCGCCATCAACTCCAAGGCTTGGGTAACTAGCGCGCGCCCTTCATTCTGGTTTGTCCTCAGCAACGAATAATATACTTGAGTAACGATCTTGGCGGGCGTGTCATAGTGTGCAATGAAGTACCCGATAACAACATAGGCAGCATGCTTGTTGATGACGTCGTCAAGACGGATGTAAGTCCAGCCAAACTTGATGATATCCTTGCGAGCATCTTGAAGAATGGCGTGATGGTATTTAACCAGCATGGCCGACAGTTGAAGCAGTTCCATGCGAGTGTGGTCAATCCCCGGTTGGGCAAGATCCTCTTGAGGGTCACCAAGGTTGATTTTCCAAATCTTTGCACTGATTGTCTCGATGATAGACTTGTCCATCAATCTTTGGGGCTTCTTGTCTTCGACTTGGTACCCATTTCTCATGATATCCATTGCAACAATCGGGTTGACAATGTTGCGCAGCAGGAACCATTTTGTCTTCTGAGTCGCTTGTTTGCTGGCATAGACGTCCAAACAGCGTAGGATGACTGATTTCCAGTAGTCGATGGAGTCGTTGCAGATGACGTATTGGTAGATGTATGAGAATAAGGAGGGTGTCGCGCGGAACTCTTCAGAAGTGACCGAGTCAACCAAGCTAAATAAAGAATCCAAGTCGGTCGGGTTCAGAGATAAGGCTTTGGTGAACATGCCCATCAGCTGGTCAGCTGCTTGGTCAGCGGGAAGCCTCAGGCCAGGCGGCAATTGATTGGTTCGGAGCTGGCGTTCGAGTTCCTTGCCAGCTTTGGCCAACCAGCTCATGGTCTCCTTGCGTTCCATCCAGCCAAGGTTGCTAGAGGCCTGGGTCAAAGAGTCAAGAATGTTGACTGTGTTCACGACAGCAACGAATCTAGTCTCCTTATTGGCATTGATAGCGCTATTGCAGAGGTTGATAAGTCCTTCTACATTGGTGGCTGCGTGGTCCCGAAGAGGCTGGCTGTCCGGATCCATCAATACCTGTGCCAAGAACCTGCCATACTTGATATCTTCGATCTTGCCAGCCAGGTTGGCCCAGACTTCCTGCGGGTACCGATTCAGGTATTTGTACAACGGAGGTCGGAAGGGACTGTATTGTGTCCTCCTGAGCTTGTCCTCTAGTTCCAGTACCGTATCGATGAGGCGCTCTTTGAATTGCTCAGCCGCTGGTGGAAGCAGGTGGAAGATGTTGAACACTGCAGCAATGACCTTCATTGCAGTATGCTGCTCGAAAAATGTGAAGGAGATTTGCTGAAGGAGGTTGCCATCAGCCAAGACTTTGATGTGATCCAGAAGACGAGCACCTATCTCCACCTTGAAGTACGTCGTCAGTAATCGTAAGAGTCTGGCTAGATTCTCGAGACCATGAGTAGTCAAGCGCTTGGGATCTTGTAAGTTAGCAAGGACAGGCCTCAACCCTTGCTGGAGGAGATCTTTAGGCAGCTTGTTAGTGTGGGACAATACTGCTTTGAGAGATTCATTCGCAGCTTCGATTGTGGGTTTTGACTCGGAGTACAGGCACTTGAAGAAAACGGACACTATCTTCGTCCGCGTGGGGTTGTTTTGACCCTTTGAGAAATCGTCAAAGCCCATAGCTTTGCTGAGAATCTTGATGCAAGCAACACGAAGGTTCACTATCGACTCGTGCGTTCTGAACTCGGCGGGCTTACCAGCCAATGATTCGTCCGTAGCATCCGCCAGAGCTAGTGACTCCATGAGAAGGCGGTTGAGGGAATCATCAAAAACGACAAAATCATTTTTGAGGCCCATGTAGTATGTTACTGCATCAATATAGCCGATTTGCGTAGAGAAAGGCAAGGCTCTGAGTGGCTTAGGATAGATTGAACCCAACAATCGATCCTTGTAGGGCATAAGGATCTCCCACAACTCGGAGTTGGTCGCTTTGGCGATGATTTCCAATGCCCGCCGTGCTGTCTCGCGTACATGCCTGTTCATATGGGCAAGTTCATCGTTGAAAAGTATGCAGATCTGTGCCATATGGTGCTGTGGCTTTTGCTGAGGCTGACCTGGGGTTGGGACTGCAGGCTTGCAATCCTCTTTCGTAATATTCTTGGTGAGACGTCGCAGAAGCAATTCGAGGGTGTCCTGGGCCGAGCACCTGGTGTTTTCAGGAAGGTCTTGAGGCATATCTTTGATCACGTACATGAGAGCGCGGATGAGCTCGATTCGTCTTGCACTGACCCAAGTATCCCCAAGGTCAAATTCTGTCAGGATATACTTGATACCCAAGCTTCCACCCGTCTTTGTGAACCACTCCTCTTCATAGCATCCATGGCAGAAGACTTGGCAGAGATGAGTGAAGAGTGGGAGCCGCCAAACATGATTTTCGGAACCGAAGATCGTGACCGTCGAATCATAGATCGCTCGGATCGCCCGGAAACCGGCGTCTCGTACTTCGGTCAGATCTGAGGCAAGCGATTCGAGGATTGCATCGCACAGAGTCCGTGTTTCGATGAACAATGGACCTTCGCCGTTGGTGACGTCGAAGGGGCTATTGGCTCGCTTCCAGTCAACTAGACCACGACCAACCTCGATGATGGTGAAGTGCTGACATATGTTAATCAAGAAGAGATCTGCCTCATCCTGAAATTCCGGGATGGATTCAGCAAATATTATCGCCTTCAAGAGCCGCTTCATAATATTGTCCTCTTCGTCCTTCTTGATGACAGACCTCTCGCGCTCCGAGATGTTGAATGGTGAAAAGTCGTGGTCAGATTTCCTAGCCACGAGGTCTTGGGCTTGGAGTCGAACAAGTCTTGGGAGGTCCTCTGGCAGGTTGTCTAGGCCGACGCGCAACTTGATCTGAGATTTGATCAGTTGAAGTGCCTGCTTCTTATAGTACGCCTCCTGCTGCTTGTTGGCGGCCTTGGACGGCTTTGGTATTTCGGTAAGCTTGCGAATGGCGCAGTCGATGCCAAGATCGGATCGAAACGCGCGATCTTTCTTTGAGCCGATCAGTCGCATATCAAAGCTCGAAGGATCATCGGCGTAGCGCTGGTAGGTGACCGGTAGTGCATCGGTCATGAACTTTCGGTTTCTGCCGCCAAGCTTTCCCAGGATGCGCATCGTTGTGTGTGCGTGGAAATGGCTGTAAGGATGAGGCTTGAGGTGCTCAAACAGAGCATTCATGAGCTCCTCGATAACAGGGGCCATGATGGGGTCCAGATAGTCCGCTGTGAGATTATCAACACACAATTCCAATGTGCGAAGCCCCTGACCGACAAGGTCGGTGCCAGCTCGCAGCGCTACTACCAAAGGTCTCATGAGGAAGCTTAGATGTGGTAGGAGATTGCTCAGCCGTGCTGGGACGGTCAAACATAGCTCAACGTAAAGATCACGTTCCGTAGATTTGCGCGCAGCCATGAGCAGAGTGTTGAGTACGTCGAGCAACATCTCAAGCAAAGGCAATATCTGCTTGTAGAGGTGCTCAAATTTGCCTCCTCCAATACTTCTGAACAAAGACCGCAGCAGCAGGAAGTAGTTCAGCGGCTCCTCGGCTCTGGTGGATAGCTCAATCGACTTGGTAACAATGTCAACTACGTGTGGCAGGAGTACCCGCTCGTTCTGATCCGCGAAGAGCGTGACGGCCATAAAAGCCAACTTGAACAGACGAAGAAGGATACTAGACTTTCTGACATCGGCTGACCCAACATCGTCGATATGTTCCATCAAGAACTTCAGGAGCATACCACAGAAGCTAGGCGATGTCGCCTCGCTTGCAAGGAAGAATTGCGGGATATGCAGAAGCGCGGTATGCTCGAAGATCATCTCGTAGAGACGCGGAATTTCCTGCTGAAAGACTTCGTGGAAGGTCGCAGGGTCGATGCAGTGGAAGACTGTGGCGAACGTTTCTAACAGGTCTTTCTCCTCCTTACTGCTCGAAACCATGTAGAAGTTGGCCATGTACTCGACTGGTGATGCATATGTTGATTCAGAAGCGGGTTTCTCAATCTCGTAGTACCGAAATACATATGCTCCCTCGCGGAAGAGCTTGACGATCACCTTGACCTCTTCGGCAGAGAACCCATACGACACCTCTTGCCAGTGTGCTGGTGCGTTGTCCGGGTTAATTTGATTCGGCCCATTGCATGCCTTTAGCTGATAGAATGTATTCTTAAGACCATTCATAAGGTTCTTGAAGAGGAATTTGTTGTCAACAACTGGATCGGCACCCCTGTCCCTCGGGTTGGATGTCTTGATCGGCATGGCAGTGAAGATGTCCGTCTCATCCCACTCGGGAGCGGACTCCTTATCCGCCAGGTAGGAGTCTGCAACCTGATCCTGGGCCTGTTGCTGATAAAGCTTGGACAATTTGACCGCATTCGGATACTGCCTGTTCATCGCTGCAAATTTATCGCCGATGGCATTCAATATGGTCAGCAGATAGTGCCTAGCATCGACCTTGTTCTGCATCTTGGCAATGCATTCTGCCATGTTCAGAAGGAGCTTCGCACTCATGGTTTGGAAACTGGTACCAGGGAAATTGTCCTGCAAATTCCTGGTGTAGACCTCGACGGTCTTTCGAATCTGCTCGGGGGACAAAGCTTCTCGCACATGGTGAATGAGATCTGCCAGCATACTGTATGCTAAAGGCCTCATGGTATCGTAGACAGTCAAACCGTCGCCTATCAAGGTCTTCTCCTCCAAGAGCTCGTCGATCTTGGGCAGGAAGATCTTCCTAAAGTTGAAGTTGATGATGTGGCGAATGGCAACCAGGAGCTCCTTGCGAGCAGCCGACTTTTCTCTGGGGCAGTCTTGGAGCAGCCGGACCACGATATCCGGCAGGGTGGGAAGAAAATCAGTCAAGTGACTTGAATATTGCCTAAGTAGATAAGCCAGAAAGCTCATGGTCTTGACCTGTGCTGTGATGAACTCTCCGAACGCGGCTCGATTTTTTATATTTGGGCTGACTCCGGCGAAGGTCTGTGCCTTGGCCTTGGCTTCGGCATGCGCCTGCTCTTGAGCTTTCGCCTGAAGCAGCAAGACGGTTTTGATCAGAGGCACAAATAACTTGACGTTCTGTGGTATTATGCTTCGATAGGTCTGGAAAACGGAGACGACAATGATTGGACATTCTGAGAGAACCTTGAACGACTGTATGCCTTTCAGCAGGGGTCGAGTCTGCTGTTGTAGGTCTTGACCAAGGTCCGTGACAGAAGCCACAGGCGAGCCTGGTCTTGGCGACTGGAAGTTGGTTTGTGTGCTACCGGGGGTGGAGGGTGCCCCCGTTGCGTTGGGCGGACCAACGCTGCTGTCGAGTTGTTCCCGGACATTGCGCTCTGTCTGCTCGAACAGGTCCTGTATCAAGGTGAGAAACGGTTGAACCTTGCTCTGGAGGACCTTGTGCTGGTGGCGCATTATGTCCGATATGATCTTGACACATAGTGTCGCATTGTCTTCGTTGTCGTTCTTGACAAGACCCATGAGCAGTTCGACGACCTCCTCGGCGTACGATTCGAAAGGTTCGGGCGAGCTCTGGTGTGTGGGCAGGCGATGCAGGATCTCGAGCACGCAGTTTCGGAGCTTCTGCTCGACCGATGTGCTTTGAAAGACGCACTGCCCCCGTAAGATGTTCAAGAACGGGGGCATGGTCTTCTTGAGGAACGTCGAGTATGCCGGGCTGTTGGTGTAATGGTCGAGGGTATCGCGCAGACTGGTGGCGGCATCGAGCTTTGTCTTCAGTTCTGGGGGGGAGAGTATTGTGGTCAGCACCTTTGCAGGGCACATCAAGGTGTGCAATGCGCCAATGGGCATTGGAGACAGGTCGGTCGAATTGGGGGAGGTGCAACACCAGTCTTACCTGTATCCGCTATGCTCAACCGCCTGACGATATCTTCAAATACGGCGGCGGCCATGATCGCGACTACTGCGCAATGGCAGTGACGTACTTATTTCAGACCATGCACCAAGCACCACGCATCAATCAAACAATGATACTACCTCCCAGGCATCAGCAGTCTCTATAACACCACGGAGTCGTCGGGCGGAGAATGAATGTGCCCCCGATGGTGGGGGTGGGCTGGCTGGTGTGCGGTGTGCGGTGCGCGGTGCAGGGAAGGCAGCTTCGGTTTCGCGACAAGATTCGGGAGGATGGTCGATTCGATGGAGCCCAGATTAAAGAATAAATATAGCAGGTCCGAAATGTGCCTTCTACAGCGTCTAAAGCGTGCCAAATGCCGAACGAAAGAAAGGCGAAAGTTGGGGTATCATAAATGCATGAACTGTAGGAAAGGCGACCTGGACGAGGCTCGAGGCTGTCGAGACTTGTACAGCAGAGCGAGTGTGTAGATAAGTTAGAACGCGAACTGCAAAGAGAATCGAGCTCGCATCCAGGGCGTGGGCGTTGCAGCTCAATATTCTTTTGCCGCCAGTCCCATACCGGCCTAGCGTTGTCTACTGGGCATGTTTTTCCGTTCCGAAGGCACATCTACCGGGTATACATCATGTATACAAACCACAGCATGTACGCATCCGTTGCAGATGCACGTTGTGGTTGATCCATATAGAACTAAAGTAGCCCTGTGCGCTCAGCACCTGTTTGTCCAGCCATACTTGGCGGCTCGTCGCCAGGACGGACGTCTCACTTGCCCGTTTTCTAGGGTAATGCTGACCAGAACTACTCGACAAGTTTTGATACTGTAAAAGGTTACGTGCTGTACTTGGCTACCCCGGATTCTCCACTCGGCCTTATCTTATCAGATCGATCAAGTGCTTAACCTCTCAGCTACTGTAGCTAGCCAATTGAGAGCGTTCCATCACAAACTTTCTTTCCTATTCACTCACTGTTATCTTTATTCAGCAAATCCGACCGAACGGATAGCAGCAGTAGAAACTCAGTTGTTAGAATTCCAGGGAAGCTGTTTGCCAGTGAATTGGAGGGAAACCGTTTGAGACTCCGCTGCGCTCCTGTCGTCCACTTGCGTGCAATGACTCTTGCGGTTGTTTGCCAGAAGCTGCCAGCCGCTTGTCACCCATGCTTAGGACTACTTAGATAGGAGACAAACACCGGATGCTTTTGGCTGCCATCAATTGTCCATCACTTTCTCTCGAGGTATTTAAAGGCAAGGATAATAATCTACCTCTTACTACCCACGCCCTCGCTGTCCGTAAACATTGATTCCCAACCTACGCCCAAATTTGTTTTCAGTTGTCCATCGCACCTTGACCATACAGCTATTGAACTCCGAGATCGCGGGAGTCAAATTAGAACGGCTACCCCACGAACTTGACCCCAAACCCTCGCGAACAACATGACCATCGACGTCGCATCCGACACCGCGGATGGCACTGCATTTTTCTATGGTAAGCTCGCTCTCGGTCATGCAACAGAAAAAGAAAATTCATTACTTCGAGCGGTGACTGACGTCATAACAGGCACATTGGTATTTGAGCTCTCTCAGAGGGCAACAAATCGTCCATGCGGCTAACCACCAATGCAGATGGCGCCAGAAGTATTCTTCACAGTTTGTTATCGCAATTCGCCCATAGATTCCAAATTTCTCAAGTCGCTTCATGAGTTCAAGCCTGCACTCCTCCATGGCTACTGTCGTCGGCGCGTCCGCCATGCTGACTACCCCGGCATCATTCCTGACGCTGACCACGAAGTTCGGGGCACGCTTGTCACCGGTTTGACCTCGGCCAACATCCACCATCTCGATTTCTTCGAAGGTTCAGAGTACACCCGCGAGAAAGTCAAAGTCAAGCTCCTGACCAAGGTTGGCGATGATGAGGGCCAAGGCAATGTAGAGGGTGGCGAGGTTGAGACAAACGTCTACGTCTTCAAGCATCCCGAGTATCTTGAGGAGCGCGAATGGGACTTCCACGAGTTCCGCACTCAGAAAATGAAACGATGGACCAGAGAGGATTATGGTTTTGATGACTCGGACGACTTCGCTCCCGTTCAAACTGACGTGGAAGAGAAAATGGGTGCCGCTGTCTAAGTACAACTTTCGCGAGACCGAACTGTCTGCCGATGGCAATTCATGTCCGAATGACTTGAAGATATGATGTCGCTTGAGACTATCGTTGCATCTTGGCTCTACATGTAGAAAAATGGCATGTCACACATAAGTATAGAAAAGGCTATGGCACTACTACACTCTTACTTCGATAACAATTGCTGCAATTCATGTCCCAATCACGTACTCATGTGCGCTTCACTTCTGCGTTGTTCCGCACTCAGTCAACGTGGCCCGGGCGAATAGTTTCAGTTATACTCTTAGACTCATTAATCTAACTGAACTCTTAAGATAATTACGCGATGTGTCCGAAATGCGAAGAGAGGGCACAGTCCTGTTGGAATGGCTAACGTCATATCCCCAATAATTAGTACAGGTCGAAGCAACAACTTTGTTGGCGCCGCCTACCGAACTAATAAGAACTCCAATCCTTCTCGTGACAAGCAAACTTTTCATACTTGTCGCAGCCTCTACATATCGTTATATTGAACTTCTCGGGTTGGCTTCAATTCAAGTGATAAACAAAAACGTCTGTGTGCGCTTCGATCAATTCTCGGTGGTGCTACGAATACGCTGTATCGTTGGATATTGTACCGAGGTAAAATGATGAGGCACTATTGATATAAACCTTGAAGGCATAACATAGACCTAGTTTGCGATTCATGTCAATCGCGCCACGATTGTGCGATGGTCCCAGCTCTTCTGGTACGCTTCTGCTGCTGATCTATACTTTGGTATTATTTCCAGGTATTGTCAATATATCAAGCAAATTCAAGCCAAAAACAACCAAACTAGCTTGGTATCCTTTACAGTCACTACTGAGGGAGCACATCAAGTGTGACGATTGACGATTGACAATTGGCGTTCACGGGTCGTCGATCGTGACCTTCACAGCCGCCATGATTGCAGCTTTTGTTGATTGAACGAACTGAATTTCATATTTCTTTATCCTGTTCGAAGAACGATAAGGCGTAAATGCGGGACTGGCCATCATTATCTATCTATATGGACCACAATCCCGACGGCCCATTTGATAAGGTACCCGGTTTTATGTGCCTGCGGGTACGATTATGCAGAGTCGTAACATCGTAGTCTAGACAACCAAAGTTCTCAAAAAAAAAAATTTATTCAACCCTTAATACGCACCATTTGCGATTAGTAGCAGATGATCTGTTTTTGCAGGGCTGTTGTAGCAGTACGAAGATACTCTCCTACAAGCCACACTAAGAAACTGTTCAGACAATGCCCGTAATACTCTCCATTCCTTGCCTCGGAAACGTCAAGTCCATATATTAATCTGTTCACTTCTATTCTGCATTGCGCATGAAATAAAGCTGGTACCGAAAAAGTCTTGTATATTTCCCATGCGTGTTTGGGATCATTACACTGTGGATATGGTAGAATCATGATAGAAGACGATCCTCTCGACATACCAGAATCAAAAGCCGCGATGTGCGAAAACTTGTGGGTGTGACAAGCTCGTGATCAGGCGCCCGGTGCGCGCTCCGGCTAAGCGAACATCTGACCATTGCTCTTATGCCAGGTTTACAGCGTTGCGCACGAATGAGGTGTCCCGCCGAGAACGAGATACGGAGATCATGATGAAGCTGCATGTGGCCTGCAAGATACGCTGTCTCATCCTTGGTCGCTTCACCTGAGACTTGGGTGCCAAGGCACACGACTTCAAGTATGCTTGAATGCAATAAGCATCTGATCCATGGGACTAACCCCCGCGGCATTTCAAGGTTAAAACAAACATTACTGGAAAGACATGGATATATTCGTAGGAAATACAGGATCAACTTGCAGAACAACTGCAGGTACAGCGGTTCGTGTTCCTTTTCTGGAAGGGTGATGACGCGGCCAATAGCGCGACTATTGACCGCTCGGCCGAGCCCGATTGGCTGCACTCGCCGAATTAGACGCAAGCTGTATACCCATGAATATTAGTCATCCGAGTTCCGGGGACTAGGCCGCGAAGCGGATAGTACAATAATAGACTTTGCAGAGGACGCGCTGTCTCGTTAATCTGGTAGCCTTTCCGAGTTGACGAAACCCGTCTCAATGCTCAATATCACTTGTGCCCGAAACAGCATTACTCACAGGAGCCGCATTGGATCTGTTGAGCTGAAGAGTAACGTCGTTGCCGTAAGTTTTAGGTTAACAACGCACGGCTGCAATGCTTCTTACAAGAGCCTCGTCTTGGCTTACCCGTTCCATGGTAAAGTGGTCCGCAGCGTTTACCTACTATGTACAGATGGTACCCACTCGTGGTGTCATGGGGCTCGGTACATGTCCTTTAAAATAACAGGGCCCGCAACCTATTAGGCAAGTCTCAACTTCTCATTATCTGACATATCATGCGAGTTTGCAGTCAATTGCTGACTCGTTTACCGGGCTATGCGTTAACAAAATAAAACATGTGCCGGCCCAAAGTTGACCAACCCAGGTTACTAACAGAATACGAGGCTCCAGCCATCTGGGCATGGCTGCCATCGGGTTTCATTGCTTGTCCATGCTGCTGAGATCCAGCATCTTCAACTAGTCTACGGGCTGCATGCAAGTAAGAGGGTCTCTTTGGTTATAGCGTTATGGCCACGCCTCTTTGATATACCAAGCGAACAAACGATAAGCTGTGGTAGTATTTTTGGCGCTTGGCACATCGCATGGTTACATCTCAGGCATTCCCAATGGAACTCTAATTCGGGACTTGTGTATGGCGCTCGCTTGCGGCTCTTATTCAATATTGACGATCTACCCCGGGCTTTATGTGAAGCCATTTCCTTTTCGAGTTTAGCTATGCTATACCAGATTACGAGGTGGTCCACACGATTTCTTCGCCAAAGTCTCGATACTGTTTCCAGAAGCGTTGAGTTGCTTCTACATTGAGCTGATGTAGTGCTAGCAGCGGGTAACTTGCATTTCCTAAGCAAATTAATAGTCATTCCTTAATCACCACCTTCGACGTAAGTGGACGAATGCTGCAGGTTTTTAGATGTGTCAATAATCTGCGGGACTTTGACGAATATTGGTGTCTGATTTCATCCTCCCCACTGTATTCCCTTATCAACATGGGCTGACAACCTACGCGCAATGTCTCACCACTCAATGAAAGTCTTCGAGTCCACCGGCCCCGTCAGGCCGAGTTATTGCAAAAGACGGGGATAAACGACCAATTGCAGATCGAGGCCGCCGCGCAAGCTATCGGATCTGCCTGCAAGGCTAGGCACACTATGTTCAACTCACGATACATCTGTGCACCGCTCACACTGAACAACCCCGGCACGAGCTTGCAGGAGAGACTTGGCACCTAGACGCCCAATGCAGACCGCGTCATCAATATGGCCTTCATGGTATTATGAAGGCGGTATGACTGCGTTCGTGATATCACGAGCGTTGCGGACATACGACGACGATCTCGGACGCCGACAACATGTGAATTCCGTTTCCGGACGAATAAGCCGAGAACTATATAAGAGAGCAGTCCTTCTGGCAGGAGAACGGAATCAGGTTCATTAAACAGCAATCGACCCAGGAGCTCCCTCTCTGTCCACTATTCATCCTCTCGTTCTTTGACAGTCCAGTTCGATCACTGCAGAATGCATCGAACGGCCATTCTTTCGAGCCTTTGTGCTTTTTTCTCGACTGTCGTTCTCGGCACTCCTGCTACGTATGTCTCGCCTCGCCAGACGTGTGAGTTTGACTCGGCCAACAACCCTAGCTGCTGGGGAGAATACTCCCTGTCCACCAATTGGTATGATGAAGCACCGGACACTGGTGTTGTAAGGGAGTTTTGGTGGGAGATCACTGAGACTACTCTGGCTCCTGATGGCTTCGCCCGCCCAGTTCAGACTATCAACGGAACGATTCCCGGACCCCAAATCACTGCTGATTGGGGCGATACTATCGGTGATTAGCTGAAATTATTCACACTTGTAACAGCTTGATGCTAACAGCATACAGTTGTCCATGTGAAAAACTCCGTCTCCAACAACGGATCAAGCATCCACTGGCATGGTATCAGGCAGATGTAGGATACCTACCACAATGTCGTGACTGGATGAGTGCTCACCGACTTCTTATTTAGGGGTTCAAACCTTTTTGACGGTGTTTCCGGTATTACCCAATGTCCCACTGCTCCTGGTGACTCTTTTACATACACTTGGAAGGCCACGCAGGCAAGTCCATGTCAAGATCACTTACTAAATTAGTACACTATTAACATGAGGCTACAGTACGGTTCAACCTGGTATCACTCGCATTTTAGTTTGCAAGCTTGGTAAAGAACACCCAATTTTGCGAAGACTCGAGCCCTGCTGACAATAGAAAGGAATGGTGTTTTTGGCGGTGTCGTCATTAATGGTCCAGCATCTGCCCCTTACGATGTGGACAAGGGTACTTTGCTGCTCTCTGACTGGTACCACAAGACTGCCGATGCTCTCTACCAGCAAGCTCAAACCGCTGGTCCGCCGCCTGCTCAGAACGGTCTGATCAATGGAACTAACACCTGGACTGATGGGGGTGGTTCCAAGTTCCAGACTTCGGTCACTGCCGGCTCTCGTACTCTTCTTCGCCTGGTCAACACTGCCCTGGATACGCACTTCAGATTCAGTATCGACAACCACACCCTGACCGTTATTGCTGCTGATCTTGTCCCCGTCACACCATACACTGCTGAGACTGTGAGCGTTGGCATTGGTCAACGATACGATGTTATTGTTGAAGCCAACCAAGCTCCCGGTAACTACTGGCTGAGATCTATTCCCCAAACCTCATGTTCGAGCACCAATGAGAATACTCTGGATATTACCGGAATCTTCAACTATGACAGTGTTGATGTTGACACGCCCACCACCACTGGCTGGACTTATGTTGATAGCTGCAACGATGAGACTGCCAACCTTGTTCCTTTTGTTGCACTAGACGCGGCAACAGGTGGCCTGGAGAAGGATTTCGAAATTGGTATTGCAGGTCAGTATTCAAAGCCATCAGAGCTTTTTTTTTTTTTCCCTCTTCTCCCGTCTGCCTCGTTGAAGCTTGCCCGAGACTAGCCATTTGAAGGCTCAACACAACATGAAATGTTCAAGCATAATCCCCGGTCTTCCGATACAAGAAATAACTAACCTGTGTGGCTGACGCAGTCAACGGTGTATTCCGCTGGACAATCAATGAACAACAGTTTTACACGCATTGGGAATACCCAAGTAAGTGAAACCCTGAACGTCCAGACTACGAGCGAAGCTAACATTCAAACAGCTCTACTACAGGTTACCGATAGCAACAGCACCTGGGCCGCTGAGCAGCAAATCAACACCTTCGACGAGACCAATGAATGGGTCTACTTTGTGATTGAATCCCAAGTCGGCATCGTAAGTCGTTTTCTATGGCAATGACGTGGTGGTTGTGTGCGCGCTGACCAGACCGAAGACGCACCCAATCCACCTTCACGGCCACGACTTCTATGTCCTTGGCCAGGCGGCAGCAGCCACTTATACGGGCAGCGATCAGCTGAACTTCATCAACCCACCTCGCAGAGACGTTGCTATGCTACCGGCTGCTGGGTATCTTGTGATGGGTTTCCAGACTGATAACCCCGGTGTCTGGCTACTTCACTGTCACGTAAGAGTCTTCATCTTTGGAAATTCAACCTGCACAGTACACTAACAGTGAATTCAGATTGGTTGGCACACTGTTGAAGGCCTGGCACTCCAGCTCGTTGAGCGCGAGTCCGAGATTGCACCACTCATCGACACCAGTATTTTGCAAGAAGGGTGCTCCAACTGGGTTGACTATGCTACTGAGAGCGAGAAGATCCAGGACGACACTGGTATCTAAGAAATGCGACGCATTGCTGTAAGGCTTACAGTTGCTTCGCGACTCATCACAACACACGGAGTGGTGAACGCTTTTCTTTCGTCAGACTCTCAACGATTTGATGCTCTTCTGTTCTTTTCTTCTTCTTTTTTTTCTTTTTTCTTTTTTCGTCGCCCTCTTGATCTGTGCGACTGGTGGCTGTTGTTATGTGGGCGATCAATTTGTGACATGATTGTCATGATCATCATGCTTCTTGTGGATATTTTTGGGGTTTAATTTTATTACTGTTCATAGGTCTCTAATCATGTACATACTTTCGCATAATACAATGTCATTGTCTTTCGCCGTCTTCAAACACCAGCATGCGTATATATATTGGATTGCAGCTGTTGAATGAACTTACCTGATTGACAAATTCAGCGTTTAGCTTGATTCTGCCAAAACCTGGAGGAGGATTCACGCACACGGCTTGTCGTACGCCTTGTGACAACTCATACACTGAGCTCGGCTGCCTCAGATTAGAGCACACGAGAACGGATTGTCGAGCCCAGAAGCATCACATGCCTGTCCCCTTCTGAAGCTTTGTCCAGATAATGCTCAGCTCGAAGCTATTTAGGGGCCCCCCAGATGGGTTGTCAAGTGCCGGTGTAGACTCCACGATTAACTACAGCGCGGCATTGACTGTGGCGAGAACTTATACAAAGCTTGTGATGAATTACGAAGCCGCTTCGAAAATGCCTTGAATAATCATGTGAATTCGACCGTGCCACGCGCGAATTCGTGGCCTCAACGGACCAGCTGCCCGTTAATGTTGCCAAGATTCATGCAAAGATTTCGTCCGAACTTCCCCCTTGGAAACCCGAAATTCAGCTCTCTTCATCAGATTGACCCCTTGCCGATCCACCAAAGGCCCGGCGTCGATCCTCTGGGATTAATTCCCGAATATCCCTGTAGCTCCGCCTCGGCCCTTGCAAGAAAAGCAAGCCAGGGTTCTTACCGGATTTCACACGTTTCTGCGCCACTCTCCCTTCATGTCTATCATTCAACGATAAAACTCGGCTTCAATTTTGTAACCACGTCACGCAGCAAAAACCACGCTGTGACTATCATATCTTGACCAGAAACATTACGGCCCTGTTTGCTAGGCTACGGCGGGTGGATGCTGCAAGTGCTTTGCCAGATCACGCAATCTTGCTCAACATGATCTAGTGTCACGGCTGCACAGGGCCGTATGATGCATTGCTGATGGCGCAGGGGAAACCCCCGGAAGGGAGACGATTATGAAGTATGGTTTTTAAGACTCATCTTTCTCCACTGACAGCTATAATGACCCGTGGGTAAGGGCTGGAGCGATGAATTAGGCATAGCGAAACAAACGCTTGCTTGTGAGGCTTAATGGTGGCTGAGGCCTTCTCTAACCTAGTCTAGGTTGTTCTCGCTTCTACAATTTGACTGGAGATTTTGGCGTGCATCTTGTATGATCGAGAGGCAAGCGATCCAATACGGGCAATCCACGAACAGCCGAACGATTGCTAGATTAGCGTCTACACTTATGGGCACTAGATTTTTCAAGTACGAGGGATCTACAATTGCACAGGCTGGAACTTGCCCGTACGTCTGTCCAGCCGTGCTTTTTGCTCAGGTCCCTCACCCATGAAGCAGCGATGCAGCATACTCGATTAGTTAATCGAGGATAGTGACGCATACGTGCAGCTCCGTAGGCGAATTGTTCCGCACGACGGTCTGTGCTTCGTCTCCCGCTGACAGATGTGCAGCCTCAATGGTGGTTATTTTATCCTCAACTCCACGTTAACCAGTCAGGCCAGATTGATGTATTCATCACGAGAGTCAGGAGTTTTGGATTTGGCAGAATGCGATGGGATCTCGCAAATGTGAACGGTCAGCACAGCTCGTGAAACTGGGCTGTGTTTCACCATTGGACGGAGTTCTCCAGTAGGCTTCTGTTAGTCTGTACCCCACATGCTGACAACGAGATCTCGTTCGCTGAGGGGGCCCTGTCTTTGCCATTTCAGGGGTATTGCCAGGGGTCAACGATGCCCTGTAAAAATGCAAGATGCCCCTGTGGAGATGCACATGGCGTGGTCTAAACCCAGGCGAGAGGTTGTGAGGGCTCCCTCGGTACTAAAAAAAAAAAAAGTCAATCTGACTGATCCCATCGTGAAAGGCTGAGAAGTGCCCAGTTCCACACGGGAATCCGTCTCAAGTAGCAAAACGCCTCAGCGGTTCAGTTATTCATCGCAGGAGATTGGCTGGCTCACGATTTTGCCCCTGACAAGGTTTCTTCTGGCGCCGCTTGCGTTCCCCTCAAGAAACAGCGACGACAATAAGAAGTAATGTCATCAATTTCTCGACATCCTTCCAGAAATTCTATGGGCTACCAAATATGCGGCCGAGTGGCCAGGTACAGTGTCTGCAGCGTTACCCGGAAACTTGGGTCACTGCGACCTCATTGGCGGCCTTCATTGGCTGAAAAAGGCAATTGTCACTCATACTCCTTATGTAAAACCCACTCTATATGTGAACTCAGCAGCGACGAAAAGACTATGAAAACCGGTAGATCGTGGCCAATGTTTCTGCCCATATTGCGGTACTTGTTTGCACCTGGGCATATACCATTCTTTGAGACACGTTCTCCGGGGTATGCTCATGAGCGGTCAAGGCGTTGCTACTGTGGGTAGCCTCTCAAGTCCTCTCTATTACACAGGACTTCTTCATCGCTCAATACGCATCTCGAAACACCTTCTGGTAGTGGTATAATTGAAGCTAACAATCTATTGGCAAGCCTTCCAAGCCAGACGGCGCCTGCAAACGAATCTTGCACTCATATCCAGTCAAGGAGGAATGTTTAGTTCATCTCGTGCCAAGACGAAACAAGCTATAGTAAGCCAATCAAGACACAGATCCAGATGCCCTTTCCGGACCCCTGTCTCTCCAACGCAACCCTCCGTCGATCTCCACAGGCTTTGAAACCGACCGGACCATGATTATGGCTGAGCTCAACTGGTCTATGGACAACTTCGGCTCACGATGCCTGTTCTGTGTGGGTTCAGACTTACGCTGGTCTCCGTGACCAAGTGGACATCAGCGCTGTCAGTCTGAGGAATGAAAGGGTGTCCATGTTCTACCCCGTTTTCCTAGTATCCAATCAACCTAAAAGTAGCTCGCGTTCCTGCATCATGGCTTTCCTTCGCGTTGATCTAGACTCCATCAAGTCGTATTTGCTAGGTTATTGGGCAGCTTGCGCTCTATTTGTCGCCTTCCATTCTTTTCGCCTCCATAGAGACGTATAAGTCGTTCGTTTCGTCCTACCGTCTACCTTCATTTCGGCTCTCTCACTCAGCAGCAGCACAATCTTCCGCAGCGACACCTTCAGGTCTTTCCTTCACTCCTTTCGAGGCTAGGCCCCTTATCTTCAACTTCTGTTTTTCAACGCAAAACCCGCCTGGAGCATTACTTTCCCTTGAGAGCTTTCTCAACGTGTCGAACTATATCAGTCATATTCGCTATTGTTATCTTGACGATACAAAGCGATATCTCGGTAAGTTCTTTCAGAAACTTTTACGTGCCCTGGGATTACCTCTATCCATATACAAACAAATGGTCCTGCCTCATGACGCGGCTTTGTCCATGGTTTCTTCGACTAGACAATAGTCTCGTTATGTCAATCATTGTCAAACCGTCAAAACATTCTCGTAGCATCTGCTCGAGGCTTTATGACGTCTCGACTAGTACAAGACAAGGTGCCTTTGTAATATAGATAGCAAAGAGAACCAGGTCTCGGGCTATAAATCAGGACCTTGAAAGTCGTGGCTAACTGATTTATGTTATTTGTACAGATCAACATAACATACAACAAATAAGCAACTTGCTTGAGCACAGAAGCTATACAATCATTTTCAGAATATCATATTCGTCTGGCACGAATTATAGACTCGATCATTTCAAGATGTTCAACGCAAAGACTATTGTCGCAGCCACTGCCCTCCTCGCCGCTTCTGCTGTTGAGGCCCACATGCAACTAGTCAGTCCTCAAGGACATACATTTCTCACCACCGATGGTCAGAACAGCCCCGGTCGTCCCCTAGATGCGACCGGCAGCGATTTCCCCTGCCGCAACCCAAGCCTAGGCTTGGCTTGGTCCGGTCCAACCAACTCCTACGCCCTCGGCTCTAAGCAACAACTCGCCCTAAAGGGATCAGCTGTCCATGGTGGTGGTTCGTGTCAACTGAGCATCTCCTACGATACAGCCCCGACCAAGGACAGCGTGTTCAAGGTTATCCATACAGTCCAGGGTGGTTGCCCAGCCCGCAGCACTACAGGCAACCTTGGTAACGATGCCGAGATGACAGATCCCTTCACTTACGACTATACCATCCCATCAGACATCCCTGCCGGAAATGCCACAATTGCTTGGTCCTGGATTAACAGAGTTGGAAACCGAGAGTTCTACATGAACTGTGGAGTTTTGGAATTGACTGGTACCAGCGGTGACAAGGCCAACTTCGACAAACTTCCCGATCTATTTGTCGCCAACATCGACGGCGTCAGTGCTGGCTGCAGCACTAGCCCCAGTGGTGCACAGGGTGATACTTCATCAGACTTCGACCCAGTCATTCCTAACGCCGGCGACTCAGTAGAGGACAACCTCAGCCTTGCAGTCGCCGGCGGATGGGGAACCAGAGTCTTCGGTGCCACCTGTGCTTCCGCAGCTTCGGGCTACACCGCAACGACTGGTTCAGGCTCGGGGGCTACCTCTGTTGCCGCTTCCGCGACCAGTACAGCAGTCACCACCTCAGCTGCTGTTTCAGTCACTGCTTCGGTCACTGCTTCGGTGCCCGGTGGTGTCTTCATCACCAAGACGACTCAGGCTGCTACTACCGTCGCGCCTGTCACTTCAGCCACTTCTGTCATCAGCTCCGTACCAGCCACCTCTGCCACCGCTTCGGCTGGAAGTGGAAGTGCGAGCGGACAAACTAAGTCGGGAAGCTGTACTACGGAAGGCATGTTTTCATGCTCCTCTGATGGCAAGAGCTTCCAACAGTGCGCTAGTGGTTCTTGGTCCGCTGTCACCCAAATGGCTGCCGGCACTGTCTGCACCCCAGGTGACTCAACAGACATGAAGATCGCGGCAGCCGGCCGTAGAATGGCCATGAGAGCGCTCAAGGCATAGAGCGAGACTTTCGTATAGTCGATTCTTTGACACGAAATCATGTTGGATACTCGGGCGACATCATGGGGCTGGCGTTTTTTGGTGATACCATACTTCATTCATTCTTAACCTGTACATATTTATTTATCTTGGCGTGAGGACTGGTGTAACAACTTGTTGGATATAGCAACCAATTGACAGTCGTTCAATCAACAGTTTCATTCTGTTCTCGTCTTGGTGATTAAAGCAGCCCACTGCGACTACACTCTAACACGGGGCAAGAAAGAAAATGAGTTTTCAAAGTGTTCACGGTGAGGCGCTTGATAAGCCAAAATTCTGATCGCATGTAATTTTGACTTATATAGAGCTTTGGAACATATCTCAAACCCAGTCTGGTAAGTCAGGGCCATCCTTCCTAAACGGACTGCGTTTGTTCCGTATGTCTAGTGGCAGCACGTACGGGTCTAATTCAATACCCACGTGGGGCTCACCATCCTGCCCGATGAACTTCCCAAATGTAAAGGTTTGTGTCTGATTGACTCCCTCGGTAGTCATTTCGTCAGGTTCTGTATATTCTTTGACGGCCCGGCTGGCAGCGACATAACCCAAGATAGATCCAATTGTCGAGGGCAATCTGGGCAGGATAACACCTAACCCCCTAGTATACACAACCAATACCATGGTTATATTGATGCCCAAGATTGCGAGACTTACAGACAGTGCCCAATCCGACATGAAAATGCGGGTTTCTGTTCGGACGAGAAACCCATCAACGAATGTCTCGTCATTCGTAGCATTGAAAAAATCCGGGTTTAACCCGAATAAAACCGCAACTATTTCCTGCATAATCGTCTCGAATGCCGGGAGTACAGCATTAGGATCCGGCAATTGTAGCTCTGGGTCAATGAGGGACGTCGTGTTCAGGTATAGCTTGAGGAAGCTATTCATCCAATCTCCGGCATTTGTAGTATTCTGCCATTTATTCCTTTGAGCGCCGGTGAGTGGATCGAGCTCCGTACCCACGATTTTCGATGTGTTTGTACCAGATAAGAAGATGTCATTGAGAGCGCCGACTCTCCTTTGTTCCACGACATAACCTTTACTATCCACCGTTACCTCGTAAGATCCCGTACGGACGACAGGCACGCATTGTAAAAACATGGACTGAGGTTGTTCCTGTATGTCGCCATTCGAGGTGGCATTCACGTGGAGCCACCCAGCAAATAGCCTCTGTTGACACCAGTCGACATGTTTGGGATTATCATCCAATGAGGACATCCTCATATATATCTCCAACGAAGATTGACCTATCGGCGCCCCATTGTATACATCCGGTATTATATCATCGTGACTATCAGAGACTGTTGAGTTGTACTTGAAAACCCCGATACCGCACTGTATTGATGAGTTGTCTTCATTGATCGTGTAAACGGACATCTGCTGATGCGTCGAGTTAAAAACTGAGTGAACATAAGTCCCGGACGTGCTATTGGCTGATAAAACGGAACATCGTGGCTCAATTGTAATTCCTGTTGTGTTTGCCTTCAATCGATCTGATGACAGAGCTGTTTTCGTAGTATCAGTAAAGGGAAGAAAATACGCCTCGGGGCTAGTCCAAGGAGGCAGCGCTGTGTGTGCTGATAAATTGCTCAGCACGACTTGTAAGTTGTCGCTATACCCGACAAGGGATGTGCCTCTATCTTTTACAACTGTCTTTCGTGTGGTTGATAGGGAACGCTGTAGCTGGTATCGGTTATCGTATTCCATTTCCACTACTGTCTCTTCAAATACACCACTGAGCCCAACGGCAAGAACGTTTGCAAGTAAAGCGACAGTGCAGACCGAGGACAAAAAGTAATGGGACGATTTGATACTTCGCAATGCATTGAGCTGAGGCATCAGACTGGTGTACTTTGCCTCGATAGAGTGCTTAGCGATTGAATTGCCTTTCTGTAACGATCTGAAAGGTTGCACTAAGCAATAAACGCGGTTGATCAGAACCCAAACTGGCTCCAAGAACGTTGCGAAGACCGTAGGAATATAATTTTCAAGCAGTTGCAGAACTTCAAAATTCTCGGAAGGCCGTGGGAGTCCTAGAGCCGAGCGTTTGTCAGCAATAACAATGACGACTATATGTTTACGTACTGACCTCCTAACTTAATCTCTTGGTACTTGAGATAGGCGAGTATCGTAGTACCCGCGAATAATAGAGAAATGACCAAAACTCCTATCCTGATACGGAGTATCATAGGCTGTATAGGCACTGCTTGCGTGATGCCCCCCTGTTGTTGAATTACCCCCCCGCGCGACGTCACTGGCTGGTTGTTTTCCGAAATGCATGACAAGCTTGTCTAAGTGGAATAAATTAGCATTTCCGTTTCCTCATTTCAAATGAAGTATCCTCGAATGACGCACGAGGTTCCTTCTTTGGGGGTTGGACCTCCTTTGAACTGTCGTGAAAACTCCAGGAATAGTGAAAGAAACCGAAGGCCCCTATTTCCCCATCATACTCACAATAGTGTTGTCATATTCTGTTTTGAATTGCATGGGCTCGAATGCTTTTATTAGATCTTCGTCATTCATTTGATCCATCCGAGAGAATTGAGCGGTTAAAGCAGAGTTCCGTTGCGCAATTTTCATTACTTTGGCAAGCGTTGAAGGATCTTCCGAAAGCTTCGTTTGCATCTTGCGGCAATGAAGCCATGTCAAGCCGACTAGTGTTGCAGTTACAACTAACAGTATTTCAACAACTGCGGAAATAGGTCTACTGACCAGGATGCCGTGAACGGTATAAGTGATCGTGCCTGGCTGAGTGCCAGAGCCATTCGAAAGTAGCTTCGCTACAGCCACAGAGAACATGGCTTTCTGTGCTGCAGAACAGGCGTCTATGAGAGCAGCGGAATCTAACAATTCCTCTCCAGTATAGTTACGGGAGCCGATCACTAATCCAGACATAGCTTGAATCGGCCAAGATATCCGTTCGTCGCGACGCTTGACCTGATAATAAGGTTCAATGTTCTCCGAGTCAGTAATATCCCTTGGTAGATCGACAGAGGGAACACCAGTGCCAATCAGATACTCGAATGCTGTTCTATTAAACTCATCGTCGGACAGCACAAGCTTAGGTCCTTGCGATGTTATCATCGAGAAATCTGGCTTCAGAGTTTCCTGGGAGATAGATACCGTAATATTGCGTTTGTAGTATGTTGGTTCGCAGAACAGTGCATTTATCTTAGCATCTTTTGGAGTGCCTCCGGTTGTTGAATTGAAAGCATTGACAGCAAAGAACTGATGCTTGAAATTCGAACCACATGTTTTGCTCCCAAGCGAGAAGTCTACCAGCGCATTGTCATAATAGCCAATATACCGGTTAGTAATCATATTAAGCGTTCCTTCCATGGACACAGCGAAGGAGCGAGACACAGAGCATCCTTGCCCATTATCCCAAGTAAGATTTCCCTCGATAGCTGGCCAGCAATTCAACTCCGTTGTCAGTTGCCACGTCCAGCCTGTCGCACTGATGTTTGTTCCACCATCTGGGCTCTGTATTGCATGGATCGGAAGTGTGGCCGAGTCTGCTGTGGTAGAAGATGGATATATCTGACTTAACCATGTAGTAGCGAAAGCGCCGTTGAATATAGAAACATCCATGACCGCCGCTTGCTGCCGGATAGGAATGAGCATCTCTGGATATGAAATAGTTGCTGAGTGGGTTAAAGTTGTAGAGCCAGGGCCAAAAATTGAGCTTTGCAGCGGTGTGATAGCCCAAAAGATGATCATCATAACGGTCCCGGCGTAGAAAACAGGCCAGTGACTTCAATGTATTAGTAGATTATCCTCAATTGAACCATTAGGTAGTATGACTATGCTTACCGTCGTCTTGCGGCCGTGAAAGGCACAAAGGCCACAAAGTCAAAAGCGTAGTCCAGGAGCAAGGAGTTTGTAGCCGTCGTTCCTTCAGATTTCGCCAGTTCAACCCATGGCTGTATTCGTTTGAGGTCTAGGTCGACACACGCAAAGAAAAAGCCGTATAGAACAGCAGCAACTGTGGGTAGATATAAGGCTGCGAGCCTAGCGAGATCGGATATATCGTCGACGGATGATGAACGAGCAAGAGCGCCATACCTCTGGCCCTTTTGCGCAAGGATCTCTAGCGTGATGGCCAACCCAAGTGAGAAAACTATAAAACCAATCAGAGCGGGGGAGCGTATTCTCCATGGTTTCCAGTTATGCTCCTTTGAAATGGTGTATTGTGGCTCTCTGCTCCCTTTTCGCCCATGACGAGTGTTTTCAAGCCCACTCAATCCTATCCGATCGTTGAGGTCGAGTGATTCGTATTGGGGAGGGCTTGCCGCCACATCGTTTTGAAGTCGTGCCGGGTCGTGCTGAATGCCAAGTTGTGAACTATTTATGTTGCTAGCCGAATGATCTGAATGGGAACAGTTCATCTTCAGCAGAACAATCAAGACCGAGAAGAAAAGAAATGAAACGAAACGAAAGGGAAAATAGGACGAGCCCAACTCGCTATTATAACCTGAGACCGACTCTTTGCTTCTTCACGATAAGCGAAATAATTATAGGAAAAGTTGGAGAAAGATCCAAGAGGGAACCGAGACTCGGGATAAGGAACAATTCTATTATCCATATAGGAACTTTACCAAATCACCAACACAATCTGGTACACTCCCCTGCCAATACCTAAGCGCGGGCGCGTATGCACTTCGAACAGGCCCATGAAGATTTCGTCGGCCTTAAGCCGTGACCAGAACCAGAAAAATACACCTGAACGGATACATCACGACTTAAGACAGGGAAATGATTTATATAAATGTCTAAGATTCAATTAATATGGAGAAAATGGAGAAGTACGCTTGAGACATCAAATATATACGAACTCAAGATGTTGGAAGACGAATACCCCAAGAAGACGCAACCTGAATATCGGTTGCCGGCTTCGAATAGTCAGTGTCTAGCTGGCGACCATGCGGCGCTTAAAGACCCCACCTGCTGCCTAGCTGCATAGTAGCCCCACCATTGCCTTCAATTATTGTCCGTGACGCCAGGAATAGCACCCTCGAGACACCTTGAATTTTGTTATCCACCAACATTGAGCACGTCCAACGCCATCACCATCGTCATCATGGAGTCGCAAGGCGCGCAGTCCTCTGCGCTCGTACGCAAGAGGACCGATCTGGAGCTCATGCCTCCACCACCACCAACAAAACGGATCAAGCGCCCCAAGAAGGTGCTCGACGAAGACACATACACGGATGCCTTGTCACAGATCATCGCCCGGGACTTCTTTCCCGGACTGCTCGAAAGCGAGACGCAACAAGAATATCTAGACGCAGTAGAGTCAAAAGACCAAGCATGGATCAATAGCGCAGGCAGGCGTCTACACCAAGTTATGACTCCGGGGCGGCAGAGGGCCAGAAAAGGTACATCATTACCACCGGGCGCGCAAACGCCGAGAGGCTTTGTTGGCGATACACCACTATCTGTTTTTGGAGAGTCGACGGTTTCGGTGGCACCTGAGAAGGCGAATGTTGATATGAACATGAGCCTCGGAGCTTTCCAATCGAAATACACCAGCGAAGATAACGAGAGCTTCTACAAATTACTCGACAAACAGAACAGCAAGCGAGCGGAGAAATATGCCTGGCTATGGACAGGAAACAAGCTGCCGTCAAAAATGCAATTGAAACAAAAGCAGATTGAAGCAAAACTATCGGAAACCAGAAGCCTGACGGATGATGGCTGGAAGAAGGACCGATTAGCCATTAAAGATAAAGACGAAAGACCAGCGCAGCCTGATAGCTGGAAGGTTATGCCAAACAACGCTTTCATGTTCGCGCCAGATGGGGTCGAAGACTCCCTGGAGACGGTCGCGCAGAGAGCAGAAGCCAGTTCCAAAGCAGCGCCGAAGGCTGTCGACTATCAGAATACCAGATTGCCGCCGCTGAAGATTGGCGACGATGAGTCAGATCCAGGGTCGCCATCGCTGTTAGCCGTCAGGGATGCTATAGCAGGGAAGAGGACCGGCACCGTCGCAAGCTCGAGCATGGTCGGCAGTGAGACACCTAGGGTCAACGGCTATGCGTTTGTAGACGACGAAGAACCTGAGTACGAAGCACCAAGAGCGCCCCAAATCGATCTTGGACCGGGAGATGCCTCACCAAATCCGTTCAACATCAAGGAGCAGAGCAGCAGAGAATCCCTCCACCATCGAATGGTAGATAAAATATCGCAATCCAAGAGGACGTCGCAGAAGGCCGGCATGACTGGCAAGGTCGACAGCACCCCTGTGCCCAAGTTTCCGAGTAGTCCCCGGGTGGGAGGTGGACTTACGCCGGCAGCCCAAAGGCTCTGGGGTAAGATAGGCGGAAGTGGTGGCATGACACCGCAGACGCCATTTGGACAGCCGACTCCGGCACGAAAGGTGTCGAAGTTGAGGCAAGTTACGAAATAAAGAAGTGCTAGACACTCACGAGATATGATAGATTGATACCCCAAAGAAGCCATAGATTGAAACTCACAGTTCATAAGGTAAAACGTTTCTAAATGTCGTGATAAATTTTGGAAAAGTTGGGCATGTCCCGTGGTTTCTTGACCATGGAGAAAGTCCTCTAATGACTGTAGCACGTTGCAGCCATAATCGTGTCCGAGGAACGCATGTCACAATGCACAACATTCGAGGATTTCGGCATGATTGCAAATGAAGATCCGACTTATTCTTTCAACTTTGTATTATGTTATCAAAGCTAGTCATAGAAGCTATAGTGGTACCAATAACAACAGTGGTGGGGTCGCTCTAGGCAAAACAGTGCTGCTTGGCTCTTGAAGCTTTCCAACTTTTGAATCTTTGCCATGTGCGACAATACTTTTGCCCAATCCAGCACAACCACAATGTCTAAGCGGCCAGCATCTGAAGCTCTAGAAGAGCCCCTAGGAGTCGGCTCGCCAGCTTCCAAGAAGTCGAGAATCGACGATGGACCCACAGAATTTCTCAATGGCGGACTGAACGGCGACGGCGCTTCGCCGTCGCAACGCGACGAGGCTGAAGACGACGACGATTTCGAAGACGAAGTCGAACAGAAGGCGCCTATACGGCAAGCGGCACCCACTACCGGCTACGACGACCTGTACCTCGACACGATAGACCGGAACGTGCTCGATTTCGATTTCGAGAAGTTGTGTTCCATCAGCTTGTCCAACATCAACGTCTACGCCTGCCTGGTCTGCGGAAAGTACTTCCAAGGCCGAGGTACCAAGTCGCACGCCTATTTCCACGCACTGGACGAGGGGCACCATGTCTTCATCAACATGGAAACACAAAAGGTGTACGTGCTGCCGGAGGGCTACGAGGTCAAGAGCAAGTCGCTCGAGGACATCAAGTACGTCTCGGATCCGCGGTACACGAAACAGGAGGTCATGGAGCTGGACCGCAAGCCCGTGAGCGCGTGGGCACTTGGTGGGAAGCAATACGCGCCGGGCTACGTGGGCATGAACAACATCAAGGAGAACGACTACCTGAACGTGGTGGTGCAGGCGCTGTCGCACGTGGCGCCGCTGAGGAACTTCTTCCTGCTGGAAGACATGTCGTCGAGGACGGAGCTGGTGAAGCGATGCAGTATTCTGTTCAGAAAGATATGGAACCCGCGGGCGTTCAAGAACCACGTGTCGCCGCACGAGCTGTTGCAGGAGATCTCGCTACGATCCAACAAGCGATTCACGCTGTCGGTGCAGTCGGATCCCGTTGAGTTCTTGTCGTGGTTCTTGAACAATCTGCATCTAGGTCTAGGAGGAAGCAAGACGAAGCCCGGAAGCAGCATGATACAAAGAATATTCCAAGGAAAGCTCAAAGTCGAGTCACAAAACATCACGGCAAGAGCAGATGTTGGTGATCGGCTACGATTTGAAGAGGCGGGAGAAGTCAAGGTGGACATCAACCGGTTCATGCTGCTGACGCTGGACTTACCGGCGGCGCCGCTTTTCCAGGACGAGCTGGAGCAGAACATGATTCCACAGGTCCCTCTGACGACCATCTTGTCCAAGTACGACGGCATGAAGGCACAGGAGCATCTCGCCCAGAGGAAGCGTTACAGATTGATGCACCCGCTACCGCCGTATCTCGTCTTCCACATTAAGCGTTTCTCCTCGAACAAGTTCGTGTCGGAACGCAACCCCACTATTGTAACCTTCGATGCACAAAATCTGGATGTGTCGCCGTACGTCGAGCCGAATCCGGCGGAGCACCCCCGGGAGAGCCCATCTGGTACGACTTGGTAGCCAACGTGGTGCACGAGGCGGTGCGAGCGAAGGAGGACGTAGCGGATATAGCCGAGGAGAGGAAAGCGTGGAAGGTGCAATTGAGAGACAAGGGGAGAGACGAGTGGGTGACCTGTCAGGACCTGTTTGTGGAAAACACACAGAAGGAGCTGCTGTATCTGAGCGAATCGTATCTCCAGATATGGGAGAGACGGCGTGAACCCAAAGGAAAAGGAAAGGGCAAGGCATAGAGTGCTGATGCCCAAATGTCGCTTGCCCAGATGAACGCCATACTGACTGATCTGAAGCTCTTCTAGTCGTTGCTGTAGCATGTGTGTCAATCATAGCGGAGCAGTCCACAACAAGCTTTCGAGATCTCTATAGAAGAATAAACTATTATATGTACAATATAGCCATACCCAGGTCTCGCTCTTATAATTGCCCATAACAATGTTATCAGTACTGGTGTCACGAGATTGCGATTTTGCATAGGTATTGTGACTTGAACCTCGACTTTGGGGCCGAAGGGAAACACCTATATAATTGCAGTACCATGACGCTCACACCCTTACTTCAAGTAAGCCAACTTGGCACCCGTACTGGCATAACCATAGCGAAGTTCAATAACGTTGACGTCATTACTGGGAATATCGCTGCTTCCCAGACGGAGCTAGAAAAGCAGAGCATCGGCTGTCTACTATCAAACGAGGTAGAGTGTAGCTTGAGCTTTACGTGAACCCATACAGAGAGGCTCCGTAAAATGTTTAAACATATGAGGGGCTATGAGCTGCCAATGGCGGCTGTCATACAAGTCTTCCGGCCGGGCGGAAAGTTGTCATTCGCGTCTTTGCTTGGGAGGATAGTCCTTACAGGTGGAGTACTACACGAACATTCACTTCATTGCTTATGGTATGATGCCATCCGCGGAGCTGGACCTGTACTCTTCAAGAAGATCTCGGTCCCGACCAGCTACGGCACCTCAGGACTTCTCAAGTCGATGGTTTCGGCGGACTCGGCCATGGGATCCCGTGTTAACAGAGAGCTTGGGTATGGTCCTTCCGAACGCTCCGCAAGAAGCTGATTTGGCCGAGTGTCGTTGGAGACATGATTCCGCAGCTGTCGACATGTGGAATTGGTGTAGGGGTGGAAGTTTCGCATTGTCCAACAAACTCGGAAGATCTTAACGTGATATCTTTTGCGGGGCTTATATACAAGGACAGCGTAGGCTTATGATCACAAGACCTATTCGGACTTATATGGATTCTCCCATGCTTGCGCCTCGTGATTGCGGCCAGAACCGTCGGAGATGGTCTATAGCTCGATCTTCACCCCACCATCAATCATGTCCCTGGGCGCGTCACCGCCTCCGCATCGCTTCCATTTCGTCGATCGAACCGTCTAGTGGTCCCAAGGGTGCTTCCAGCCCATGAGAACGGGACCTGTAAGGTAGGTGAGAAATTGTGGTCTTTTTTTCGTGTGGGCATTACTTTTAGGGTCAATTACCATCCTTCTTCGCGCGGTACATCAACTACACTGCATGTCAGCATCTACACCCATTCTCTCGACGAACTCTCGATTATGCTCACGAAGAACCACATGCTTGCGCCCAGAGCGGTGGCGGTGAATCTGTAGATGGGAGCGACGTGAGGTCGAATGCCGGGACCGCCTGCCATTGTGTCGGATTGCTGTTCGACGTCAGCCTGTGTGTCGGTCAAAGAGAATGAGCGAGGGTGGGAAGCGTACTGTCGAGACTCTCGCAGGAGGCTGATGTGTTATAGGAGTGAATTGATTTGCCAATCGAAGCTCTGCTATTAGCAAGTGAGGTCGTCTTTGAGACTGGGACCTCAACTCAATTCCAACTCGACTCTGGAAGGCGGGCTAACGTACTTTAGCGTCTTGAGCCTAGCGGCTACTATATAAGGCTTAGCGTCTTCGGTCTAGCGTTCAATTTATCAATGGCGCGAGACTGTTGCTGCGTCAAGATATCGCACGGACCATTCCCGACCCTTGGAGGTTCGCTCTTTCCGTTCGGAGTGCTGCAGCAATTTGATTTTGGCGTTGTCATCGCGACCTCTCAAACCCTCACCCATTCTCTGAAAAGGCGCTTTATATTTCTCACTTGCGATTCTAATGTTGGCGCTTCGTTCTGGAAGTGCTGACACCGACGCAAGTTCTCCCATGACTTGAAGACTTCTCGCATTTGTATTTCCACTTCCGACTATAGTCCATCACTATCGCGTCACATCACATCACGTCAAGACGGAACGAGACGAGACGAGACAACTCGCGCTCTGCGCTCTGCCCTTGCAAACATGGCCGCCCACGGCACTGGCAATGGTGCCCTTTCGCCTCGATCCTTTGCCCGCCAGCACCAACGACCGAAGGACAACTTTGCCGGTTGTGCAAAAATCACCGACTTTGAGCTTCTCCATAAGCTTGGTGAAGGTACCTTCGGCGAGGTACACAAAGCTCGCGCAAAGAGCAATGGTACTCTGGTCGCCTTGAAGAAGATCATCATGCATAATGAGAAAGATGGCTTCCCAATCACCGCACTGCGAGAGATTAAGCTTCTCAAGCTGCTATCCCATAAGAACGTCCTCCGCCTCGAAGACATGGCCGTCGAGCACCACAACAGGGCCACCGACAAGCGCAAACGACCAATCATGTACATGGTCATGCGCTACATGGACCACGACTTGTCTGGTCTGCTCGAGAACCCGAATGTCACCTTTACCGTCCCCCAGATCAAGTGCTACCTGAAGCAGCTGCTTCAAGGTCTGCAATACCTCCACGAGAACCACATCCTCCACAGAGATATGAAGGCCGCCAACTTGCTCATCAGCAACAAGGGTATTCTGCAAATCGCCGATTTCGGCCTCGCGAGACACTACGATGGCCAAGTGCCCGTACCGGGAGGAGGTGGAGGTGAAGGCAAGAGGGAGTACACAGCACTGGTCGTGACGAGATGGTATCGGCCTCCGGAGCTGCTCATGAACCTCAGGAAATACACCACAGCTATTGACATGTGGGGTGTTGGGTACGTTCTTCTACCCTATCCTCATTGATCATGACTACTAACCGTTGACCAGTTGCGTGTTTGGAGAGATGCTTGTCGGTAAGCCCATCCTGTCCGGCGAAAGCGACAGCCACCAACTGGATATCATCTTCGATCTGTGTGGGACGCCGACGGACCAGAATATGCCGGGCTGGAGACAATTGCCAGGCGCCGAAGTAATAAGCCCACGACCTCGGACCGGCAATCTGTCGAGTCGTTTCAGAGAACATGGTGGAACTGCTATTTCTCTATTGAAAGAACTTCTGAAGCTTGACTGGAGGGGTCGCGTCAATGCAGTAGACGCTCTGGAGCATCCTTACTTCACTTCTGCCCCGCTACCTGCGCGACCCGAGGATATCCCATCCTATGAAGACAGCCACGAACTGGACCGTAGGAAGTTCCAGGCTCAAAAAGCTGCTCTACCGCCGGCTCCTAGAGGTGGCACAGTCGGTGTAGGACCATACGAAGGTCCTCAAGGGTACGCAAACGGTGACGGATATGGAAATCCCCGCATGAATGGAAGACATCCGAATCAGCACGGTCACAGAAACGGTGGTCATAATGACAGAAGGGCAGCCTGGAACAACAGAGATCGCGATCACCCACCTCCGGACACCAGATTACCACCTAGGCCAGACACCAGGTTGCCGCCTCGGCCGCCACCGCCTGTAAATGGGTATGACGACTTTCCTGATCATCGCGACAGGGATCGAGCACCCAGGACTCGCGGTCCAGTCGGCGGCGGCGGCGGCGGCGGCGCTGGTGCTGGTGGCGGTAGCGGTGGTGTCATTGTTGACACATATATTCCTACTTACGACCCAAGCTTTAGTCGGGATAGGCCACCGAGAGACGAGCGCCCACCTAGAGATGATCGCCCACCTAGAGACGACCGTCGAAGGCGCGACGATCGCATGAGGGATTATGATGAGCGAGTCCGCTCAAGCAGAACTCGCAGCAGAAGTCGTTCTCCGCCCATTCGTGAAAGAGAGAGGGACTCATACCGTCGATAGGACCACGGACGAGCTACAAACTCAAGTCACACTAATGCTATCAGGGGTCATTGGGGCAATCGGGGCTCTCGGCTGCGCGAAGATGGAAGACCACAAGCTGAGGCATCCCATGGGTCACGCCACAGCGACAACCCAATAGTTGATGAAAATGATACCCCGGATCCTTGGACAACCCGATTCCCACCACCTTGGAGGACTGGAGGCAATGTGCGGTGGTCTTGGTCGCCTGACCACTCGTTACAATAGCAGAGTATGCATGGCAGGCTTGGCAGTTGGAATTGGAACAACTTGCGCGGGCGTTGATGGTTTGTTTGAACTACATGGATGATCACGCGTCTATCTGGGGGGTCTTGAGGTCAAGCTTTTCTTTCCTCGTTTTCGATTGATGTGTAGAGTTAGGGCGAGGCTGAGTAAGGAGTTCTAGGTCATATGGCGTTCTTGCAAGAGCAAAACTTCTGGGTTTCAACCATGAGAAGTAACATGCACAATACCTCTTTGCACCGAGATGGACTCGGCAGAAAGATACGCACAAGCATAGGTGTTTACGGCTCTTTTCGCTGCATAGCAGTAGGCGTCGCTGGAGTTACACCCAGTCTAGGTGGCTGAATTGATATCTGCTGCTTACTCTCCAGGAACCCCCCTTGATGATCTACTACGTGACATGTCAGCATGAAATACTGCTATCCAGTGTCTTAACGGTATCATGATGCCACATGCTTTGCTCACCTGTGCCTTACGATCAGCCGGACTCACTACTTTCCTCGTGAATCGTTTGAGCGAGAAGCCCCCTAAATCTCCGGCTCGGCTTAATAGGACTGAGTCGCGTACTCTTGGCCTGCCGGTACGCCTGCTCGAACTCTCTGTTTGTCAACTAGATACAAGTCGTCAGTGGTCGCTTTTGAATTATATTGTGACCCACGACAACGTACGACGGGCTTGTTACTTCGGCGCTGCGGCTGTCCCAGTCTAGGAGGAAAGTCATCAGAATCGCTAGAAGATGACGAGGTTCGGTCCTGTTCGTCTCCATCACCCCATGGCGACTGCTCTTGCAACTCGTATCTGCTGTTAGACGACTGCGGCCCACCCTGCGTCTGCCGACGGGCGGGGTGTGATGATGGCGAGATTCCGAGCAGGGAGAAGACTATGCTGCTTGTTCCGTAAAGCATGCAGGCGGAGAAGATACCTATCAAAGCCGCCACGGAGAACTGCGGTAGCAAGCATTAGTTCTCGTGAGCACCACAGAAAATCTCAATGAGCAAAATGCCTCTTATCGTGGCACATACATAAATATACAGATACTATACAAGCATATTAGCCACCTTGACGCATAGATATGGCGCCTGAATCTGTGACTCTCTCACCTTGAACTTAACAATGACGCCTACGACCCAGCTTCCCATGCCCGATACCATCCTTCCTAGAGCCCACACCGGCGAGAGAATGAAGGCTACGGCCCTCCATATGTAGTATAGTGGATATGTCAGGGGGGTCGCGACGATAGACACAGTCTTGTACAAGTAAGCCGGCGCCTTTGCGACGACTTGAAGTGCGAGCCAAACGACAGCCCAGTACAAAGCCGTTAGCGAATACCCGATTGAGGTCAATACGAGCCCCAAGGTCGAGGACAACGGCGTCTGCCAGTCAACGCTAGACATGGCCAAACACAGCAACAGGTACTACTAGTCGTTCTGCAAACGTGGCATTGTGGAGGGTGCTTGGAATTAAATGGCCGCGAGGTAGAAATTAAGTTGAAATTTAGTCAGAGTGCATGCATGCAACCCCAGAATGCGGAAACCAAATTCAGGGGAGGTTTTCCCTATCAGCGCTGCGAGGCTGTACGATGTATGCTATATCCAGGGACAGGTTGGTTACAGCATAACAATGTTTTTAGGCTGGAGCTTGGCGCATTGTTCGGGAACAACTGACGTTATTGTTGACAGGTTTACCGAACAAGGGACAGGAAGGGGGGGTCGATTGGCTGTCGGGCCCATTGCCCCAGCTCTCCCAGCTTCTGCCCAGCTTCTGCCCAGCTTTCTACGGATCCGTGCTCCGTACGCAGCACATTTTAGTGGGTTGGGTGATTCCGGCGGGGCTTTTGTGATGAATTGGAGGGGCTTCCCCGCCAAATTGGCCGGATCTGACTGGGCAAGCTGTGGGAGGTGGGAAGCTCAACTCAACTCAACTTGAACCAGCTCGATTTCGATTGAATTCAGTCCAGTCCAGTCCCTTTCAGCCCAGTCCAGCCCAGTTCAGCTTATCGATCGCTCTTTCTGTTCTTATTCTCTCTTGGCCGATCAGTTGCCGGTTCAGAAACTTCTAAAAAGACAAGCCAGAACGGTGACCTCTTGTCTGACTGGGCGCTCTCTGCTGTGTGTCCTGTCCTATAAAAGGTTTCGGCCTGGGGGGTTTTTTGAATTTGAATTTGATGCTTCCCGTCAATCAGAGTCGCACGATCCCTCACCGCAGATTGTCCCTGCATCGAGTCCCAGGGTCTCATGACCTCGACCATAGGGCCACATGAGCTCCGAGTCAACCTTTGACTTCCTAAACCATCCAACCACCGGCCCCCTCCAAACTCTTGCAGTCACCCGAGACAAGCACAAGCACAGGCACAACCAGAAGCACAAGTAGTTTCGACGCAACACGACGCAACGCAACGGTGATTCAGGCCGTTTCCCGTTACGAAGGCAATTCCATACCGTCAGGGTAGCCGTAGAATAGCCTTGGTCCCTCCCCCCCCACTCGCCAGTCTTGTCGCAAAGGTAGATCCTGCGTTGATCGCTACGGTACGGTACGTTGCGGTAGCTTAAAGCACGGTTTCGCGTGCCATTGCTTGGCTTCCTTGATCCTTGATACCCCCAGCTTGCCGTATGTGCGGGATCCGTAGCTCAGCTGCTGTTTCCGAACTGCCACCATCCTCGTCACTCAACCTAGTGCTACGATAGGCACCACCAGCTCGACCAACCCCCCACGTCGCACCTTGACGGCCTTAGTCGCTTCATCTCCTCCCAGAGGTTTATGTAAGGCGCACGCCCTCAGAGCTTCTTCCCCCTCGACAGGATCAAAATGGGCAACAGTCCCTCTACCTCGAAGCCGGCCACCCCCACTCAGCGTCATCACGTCGAGCATGCCGAGCGGGTGGACCGTCCCTCCGGTCACGACTCTCCCCGGGCAAATAAGAAGCAGGAGCCAAAGCATCTGATATCTCCCGCCCAGAATCAACATCAACACAGGTCAGCCGCCTCATCCGCAGAAGCAAGCGTGGTCTCTGCTCAGGGCTCTACCATAGGACCCAGGGCTACTGGGAACTCGAAACCCTTGTCGATACTCGGCGGGCAGTCCGCACAGAACTCGCCCAGCTCGCGCTCTTCAGTCTCAAAACCTTTCCAGCATTTAGAATATCAGCATGAGCCGAGCAAGCCAGTAGACGTACCTGCGCCTCAGACGTCCCAGCACAGTACCAACTCGTCCGTCCGGTCACCTTCACATTTCATCGATCCCGACCCTAGCCTGATCAACAATCCTGCTTCGGCGAGCGTCACAGACATGTCGTACCAAATGCCAAGGCCGCCTAGGCTGCCTCTGCCCATAGAAGAGGAGGTCCATACTCCTGGGTCGCCTGTCATCGCGCCAGCAATGGGTTTTCCCATCGAAGTTCTGGAAAGCGGCCTGGATAGAGACGGAGAATCGACCAGCGCAGATCTGACGAGGAAGTCTTCGGGCCTCAGTAATGCCACTGATGACGAGGATGCCGAGGAATTGAGAGTCGACAAGTCGAGAACGGTCAAGACGAAGGTTGAATGGTTACAAGGCGGACAAAAGGTCTATGTCACAGGAACCCCGTTCCAGTGGAGTCGCAAGCAGAGATTACATCCCGCGTAAGTCGTCATCCTAGAATCGAGCACATCACGGCAGTTACGACGGATAGAACATCAGCATGAGAAACGTGTTGCGCACATGTTCGGGCTGTGCTACTTTGCGTCATGAGTTTACTGACTGATCATCCTCGATATGCAGCAAGGGGCGAGATGGAGTCCTTGAAGCGATTATACCAGTATTCCCAGGAACACACCACATCAAGTTCCTGGTGGATGGGCGTATGGAAACCTCAATGCATCTGCCCACGACAGTGGATTTCGGCAATAATCTGGTAAATTACATCGAAGTGAGCGGAGATGCTCAAGCTCGCACCATCATGCTGGGTGCAACGCCCCCAAAGTCAGCCACAGAAGCCGAAAACCTGCCTTCGAGGCAACCATCCAAGACAGATATTGACACCGGAGTGAAGCTACCAGCAAAGAAGGCGATCGATCCACTAGATGCTTTCAGCGGCGTTATACCACAATATCTGGCCGACTTTGATCAGCCTGAAGATTCCAGAGCATATCAACTGTCAGTAGGAGCTCTCGACAAGCTACCGAACCCTCCTGCACTACCAGGCTTCTTGGCCAAGCCAATCATGAACGCGAACGCGCTCATCAAAGACGACAATAGTGTCCTGAACATGCCGAATCACACGGTTTTAAACCATCTTGCTACTAGCAGTATAAAAAACAACGTGCTGGCAGTATCAGCAACCACTAGATATAGAAATAAGGTAGGTCATCAGGGTTTTAGTATACAAATCGTGCCTCTGAATTGGAATGCTGACGCTAAGAACAGTACGTAACGACCATCGTATATAAGCCAACATCCGAAGAAAGTTAGATGTTTGTGGATCTAGTCGGTTGACAAACCGACTATCGATGGCTCTGAGCTAGGGCTCTGGCGAAACATGTTTGTTGAAGTTCTTGACGTATTGCATGGGCTCCAGTATTGCATTGGCATATTCTCAAGTAGAAGAGAGATTGAGACAATACTTCCCTGAAATGTCAGTGGACACAAATAGTCCCAGAGACCACGAAACATTGAAGGTATTATAATACAAGTTCTTGGATACTGGTACCCGATCCGGGACAAGCGAAACGACTGCCAACCGAACAGGTCAATCTGGAGAAGTCGGAAGCTTTCATACCCAATTCGAAATACTGTGTTCCCAGCAGTTCATGTGAAACGCGGGGGGCGATACTTTGCAACCTGGATACGTTTCAACCCACAAGATATACAAGGCTCTGCTATTGTTCATTAATTCATTCGATATTCACTCGTCTCTCCATGCAATGTGTACCTCGTCTGTCCTAAATCGTTGAGCACATGCACTGTCCTCCAGCTTGGTCTCATAGCCCGTCTCCCAGGCAAGCAGGCCCGCCAGCGCGATCATGTTGCCGTTGTCGATACAAAACCTCTCGTCCGTTGAGTAGACGCTCCCTCCCCGATCCGCGGCCATCTGGCCCATCATCTCCTGTAACCTCTCGTTACAGCCCACGCCGCCGACGACGAGCACCTGCCGCGAGCCGACGTGCGCCATGGCCCTCTCCGTGATCTCGACCAGCATGGCAAACACCGTCTCCTGCAGCGTGAAGCACAGATCCCCCGGCGTGATCCTCGTCTCCCCGTCCTTCAGCCGCCCCCCGGCCTCCAGGATCTTGTCCTGCGCGAACATCTGCGCCGCCATGATGTCAGCCGCCGTCAGGATCCCGCTGAAGCTGCAGTCCATGCCCTTGACCGCGTACGGCAGGTCGAGCAGCACGGGCGTCCGGCCCCCCCGGCTCGCAACCTTGGCCAGCTGCTCGACGTTGTAGCCGGGGAAGGGGTCGTTGGGGATGGCGAGGGTGCGGGCAAAGCGGTCGATGCAGTTGCCGACGGCGATGTCCAGGGTCTCGCCGAAGATGCGGTACCGCTGCGACGCGTAGGCGATGACCTGCGTGTTGCCCCCGCTCACGTACAGCACCACCGGGTCCGACGCCCCCGTGATCACCCGCCCCATCTCGATGTGCCCCACGCAGTGGTTCACCCCGACCAGCGGCACCCCCCAGAGCTGCGACAGCGTCCGCGCCCCCACCGCCACCGAGGTCAGAGGCGCACCCATCCCGGGCCCCTGCGTGAAGCAGATGCAGGACAGCTGGCCGGGCGCGACGCCCGCGTCCCGCAGCGCCGCCAGCGTCACCGAGACGAAGTGCCGCCGGTGGTGCAGCGCCGTGTCCTTGGGCAGGAACCCCGTCCCCGGCGGCGAGACGAAGGTGTGTCGGACGTTGGAGAGGATCGTGGTGGTGTTGGCGACGGGGTCGTGGGACAGCACGCCGATGCCGAGCTTGTTGGCGCTGCCTTCGAGGCCGAGGGCGTAGAGGGGGCCGGTGGCCGTGGTTCTGCGCGGCTTGGGGGACATTGTGATGTGATGGTGGTATGGGTGCCGATGCTATGTCGACTGAAAAGCAGGGCCGTGGCGTGGGATATACAGCCTCCCGTTTGCGTGGTTGCGCGACGCAGAAAGGTTGCTGCGCGCCGCCGTCTGCAGACTTGCTGGAACTGTTTGCGCCGAGGGAGAGTTCGATGCTCGGCTTGCCCCCACTCTCTCTAGTGGCGGTTCAGCTTCTGAGGGCTGTGAGATCGATCTACAGTATCTATGTAGTCTCGAGGGAATATGTTCTCTCAGGCTCTTCAGGGCTTAGTAGGGATTTGATCAAAGGGCCTAGATGTTTAGACGTCGAGCATGTATACTAACTACTACAGTACTACCATATTGATCTTCGTCAAAATCTCGCCTTGACTTTTCTTGAAGTCATGGCGGGGTTGCAAGCCGTTCGAGATGGCTTATCGCAAATGCGGATACGGGATAAGTTCAGTTACAGTACATGTATACGAGCTTATCAAGTCGCGGCGACCGCACAGCCAGGACGGGCAAGCCTGGGGCAGATACTTTGGGCAGCGGTATCTTATCAGTCCGTTGGGCTTTTCTGGTCCTGAGACTGAAAAGCGCAGACCCTGAAAACGGACCCAGTCTTCCGCTAGACTAGCTAAATATCACGTAGGACCCGCGTACTGCTGCGTTGCTTAGCGTTGCGTTTCGATGTATTGTGGGCCCACCACCACAAAGAAAGGTGAGTTTCTGTTTCTTCCAATACTTACACAAGCGATACAATGCGGGTACGGTAGAGAATATCCCGTCTCTCCGCCGAGGATTCTCTTCGGCCTCTTTCCCACCAACCTCTCTTTTTCACTCTGCCTTGCGCATCTTTTGCTATTCAGAAACATGTTTTGCTTATTTCTTTGGAGACCCTGAGCGTCGCCAACAGATACGCAAAGTTCCTGTCCGTCAGACTTTGTCCCACATCCAATGTCGTTATCCCGGAGAGGAGTAGGCATTCCCTAAATCTCAGCCTCCATCTCCGCCTCTTACAACTCATACCACGCCTGCTTGTCACTGTGCTCCTCCATCTATCTTTCGTCCTCGCACAATTCTGAAGACATGAACACGGTCACAAGATTCGTTTCGCCCGTGGCCTCGCACTGCGCGTATTGCTTCGTCGTGCTGGCAAAGACGGGCCACTTCGAAAGCCGGTCCGACTGAGCCTTCTCCGCTCTGCTTCGTCTGCTGCCACAACTTCAGCGGTCAGATTTAGACCTTCTGATACTACAACCGACTAGATGTGTCCCTCGCCTGGCAAGATACGGGGAATCGCGCGGCACATGACAATCCCAGAAAAGTGGCATGGCGGTTTGAGCGTAAGCGCCGCAGGAGCGGAGTAATACGACTCGAATTCTGTTAAATTTTATTATTTTCTTCCCCTTCTTCTCTCTCACAACCATTGAGAAGCGATATGAAAACTCCGCAGCACCATCGCAACTCACAAGACCATCCTCAGAAACCGGAAGTCAAGAATTCTGCGGCTTTCAGTGACGATGGGTCCTCTCGATGTCGCCGACGCCCCCTTGACAATAGCACGATGCTTTCGGAGCATTTGCGGTGTCGACATGACAGACCCGCACCCGTCGATTGCACCTCGGCCGGCACAGCTATATCTTACTTTTTCGTGTGAGGGTATTTCTGCTGTCTACAATTCCGGACGATCACAATGCGTCTCCGCCGTGTTAAAGTCAGCCTCAACAGCGCATTACACCGTCACCTTCTGGGGACATTGAGATGCGGCGTCTTTCGGTCGAACCGACCTTTGATATATGCGCCGATCCGTCAGATGTGATGTACGAAAGCACGGCATGATGCGGAATGAAGGCCAAACAAGTTTTAATTTCTTCGTTCCTCTGCTGCCCACAAGCATCAGAACGCGACGCTCCCGAAATCCGACCAACTCCTGGCTATGCATTCATCGTCTCAGCAAATGATATATATCGTACAAAATATCAGCCCCATCAGGGCTGTCAACCGCCTCGCCCTCTTATCTTGGAGAAGACACTCCTCTATGCGACATTGCAGCGATGCAACAGAGGTCTTTCTATCTATGTACAGACCACCCCGTCCGGCGGCGACGTGGGAGCTCTACCAGGCGAGCAATATTATAATAATGTATATGGGGGGGGAAAAGAGGTGGAGAGGAAGAAGAGCTTGGGCATCGAAGCAAGCGTTCAAGGATCATCGCAGGCGATGCATTTGATTTCTAGCCTCCATCGCCAGAATGTCGAGGTCATGCTTATCCCACCCGTTCCGGAAATCGCCCTACGATGCCGAGATCTGTGGTTTTTGCAACGGAGCCTGAGCTGGAGCCTGGGCAGGAGCTGGAGTAAGAGCTTGAGCAGCCGCTTGGCCAGGAGTTTGAACAGGCGCTTGACCAGGGGCTTGAACAGGAGCTTGACTGGGCGCGTGCACTTGAGGCTGCGATGGTGTTTGTGACGGGCTTGCTGCTGCAGTCTGTGATGCCGGGCTGGGTCCTTGACGACCTGATGGCCCCCCCTGAGCACCATTGGCACCTTCAGGCAATTGCCTATAATATCCGCGAGGTGCCGAAGGCATGGGTGGCGGGATCAGTGCGCGGAATTTGAGTGCGCGCTGGTCATAGGGATCGATGTGGTAGACCTGCTCCTCATCACTATCGCTGTCCTGGTCATATTTCATGCGGTCAAACTGTCGAGCTTCATCGATGTCCATATCACTTGGGGGGCTGGCCAATCGACTGACGGGGTCCCGGCGGTCAATTCTGCGACGATCGACCCACAAACGGCCACCTCTGCCATGACGACGGCGGAAACTGAATGTGGGGTTTTCATCAAGCAATGGCGATTTTTGCCCAGTGTTGTACTGGAAAAGAGCAGCAGATATCGGAGCGGCATCAGCATTTGCGGGTTCCTCGTCCAGATCCATTTGGTCCGATGCACTAGATGGTGGAGTTGGGAGAAACACAGGTTTAGCAAGCCGAAAGCTCGTATTCTGTTCCTGTTTGACAGGCCGAAGAGACCCGTCGGTAACGTCGATGTGGTTCGAGTTCCAGAGCTTATATATGGTCGCCTTATGTTGGACATCAGAACGCAACTCTTCCCATTTCTCCTCAATCTTATCGCAGAGAAGCGGAAGTTCCTGCTCGGCAGGTTTGCCGTCCATACGGACAGCCAGACGCACCTGTGTGTTCGATCCTGGGGTAGCACGAACGGGCGGTTGCACTTCTTGGATCTTGCGCTTGGGTGGCTTGGTGTGGATGAGCAAGTCCTCGTCCTCGGCTTTAATGCCAAGACGAGTCTTCTTCTCCTTGAGGATGGCGCGGTGGTCAAACAATCTCTTCTCAACGGCAAGAAGTTCTTGTTTCAGCACCTCGCGCTGGTGTGACATGACCACCAAAAGACGACCATCTTCAAGCTCCTTTCGCAGCTTCTTGAGTTTGTCGGCCACTTGGACGTCCTTTTGTCTAGTCTTCCTCGTCTGTCGCACTTCACGTCTTCGGAAACACACGTAGGCGTCCAGGTCATCCTTCTCTGTATGTGTTTCGAACTTGACAGAAGGATGTAACCTGCCCTTCTCCTGACGTTGCGACTTCCAGTGTTCATACACCATCTTTGCATGGTTCTGCAGCCTCTGGATGGAAGAATGGACCATCTGTTGACTCATTATCTCATAAGGGATGACAGTATTGTCGAGGGCAGCGTAAGGGGCTTGTTCGGCTGCCGTGTCCTCGAAGAGCTCCATGATCTTTTCGAAGTCATCTTCAGACAGCTGGTCCTTGGCCGGCCTCTTTGCATTGTAAGTCTTCAAGTAATCATCGTCCTCAGTTGTCATGTCATAGAGACATCCTAGGGTCTCTTCGACAGTCTCGGAGAACTTGATATAGTTACGAGGCTCATGATATACTCTGGGGTAAATCTCGTCGTAGTCGACCTCCTCACTCTTTTGCGGTGGTGGCACTGGAATCTCATTGTCTTCCTTGGTGCCACCTGCACCTTTCACGGCAAGTTGTAAATGATATTCCTGGTCAAGTTAGTGATATGTCCGATATGTCCGAAAAGCGCCAAGCCTTTCGTGCTTAGTAAGGGGGAGTGGGACACGAACATTTGATTCTCCGGAGTCAACCCCAGCAGTTGAAGAGATGTCCGTCGTGAGAGACTCATATTCGCTCGGGTCGATTTGGCCCTCTATGAGAACCTGGAGGGCTGTCTTGGGGTTTAACTTCTTGATGCGAACTTTTCTCGATGATATCAAAGACATGATGAATGCGAAAGTGGGAGGTGGGTACGGCTTCCTGGGCACTTAGGCCTGGGACGCCGAAGAGATGAATTTTGGCCCAGAAAAATCAGTAGATCAATCGTCTAGACCATGGGAATGATGAAAAATGAGTTTGTTTGATGAAATAGTCGCGTTTTGGTCGTTGTTTGTTGATATCAAATTGTCGTTTGGGCTTTGTCGTTGGCCGATGCAGAGTTTTCGTTGAGTGATGGGAGTGATTTAGCGGGTTCCCGCACTGCTTGCTTTGCCTGTGTTGCTCTAACCGCCCGCTACAGGCCAGAAACCGGAAACAGCCACAGCTAAAACCATGCCCCTTTAATGGAATAACTCCGCATAACTATCTCAACCCACTGTTCATACCAACGGACTACTGTGTGGAACAGCCACTGAAATAGGGATCACATAGGGGGAGCATTAGCAGTAGCATCAGCATCAGCATTAGATAGTCACATCTTCAGGCGTGATAACGTGGAATAGCAAGTAGCATTGTTAGACAGTAATGTGTCGAAATGATTCAATTTAATTCATCCATCTTTAGGTTTGGCTTTCGTAAGTGTGCTTGCTAAGGCTTTGGGTTGGTTACTTTGACGTTGTTCTTAATGCTACAACAAGTCGGTCATACACAACGCCGGTCCTCCTCCTTTACACTTGTATGTACTGTACTGTAGCAGCTTTTAAGATAGTGGGGGTTTGTGTTCCCCAGATTGGGGAGGGGCTCTTTCCACTCACCTTTGTCTCTCAGCCTCGCCTCCCCAATTACTTAATACACCTGCCCTTGTTTTCTTTCTCAAGACGATAGTGGAACACACCACGACCAAACATTCTACGACACAAGCCACTAGTCTAGGAAAGCCGTAGTACACCTTCGACAAACGATATACATCGAGGTCCTCACGGCACAGCAAGAGCGACCACGGAGCGTACTCAGAAAGCGGTCGGGAAGCTCCCACAACGGAGCAGCATCAAAGATGGGTAACTCGACGAGTGTGCTGGACAACATTGTCCAAGGATCGAACTGTAGGACACACGATGCACCTAGGAACCTTGTGCGCATATGGCTGACATGATGCGACAGTCGATCGAGAGGAGGTGGATAGGCTCAGGAAGCGTTTCATGAAGTTGGACAAGGTACATACACAAACCTCTTACCATGTCTCCCTCTCTCCCCCCTCCCCCCTTTCTCTCTCTCTCTCTCTCCCAGGTCGAGACAAGAAACGATTATGCGCACGACGAGGCCCGGGATATACAACCCGAAAGGACAGGCGCTAACACCTCGGTTTCTTTCGCACAGGACAACTCCGGCACAATCGAGCGCGACGAGTTCCTGTCCCTCCCCCAGATCTCCTCGAACCCGCTCGCGACCCGCATGATCGCCATCTTCGACGAGGACGGCGGCGGCGACGTCGACTTCCAGGAGTTTGTCTCCGGTCTGTCGGCCTTCAGCTCCAAGGGCAACAAGGAGCAGAAGCTGCGCTTCGCCTTCAAGGTCTACGACATCGACAGGGACGGCTACATCAGCAACGGCGAGCTGTTCATCGTGCTCAAGATGATGGTCGGGTCCAACCTCAAGGACCAGCAGCTGCAGCAGATCGTCGACAAGACCATCATGGAGGCCGACCTGGACAAGGACGGCAAGATCAGCTTTGAGGAGTTCACCAAGATGGTCGAGAGTACGGATGTGAGCATGAGCATGACCTTAGGTGAGTGCCGGCTTCTTTCCTGCGGGTTATATGTCAAAGAAACGAGTGCAGGGGGGGCTCTCGGTAGGAGGGCATCGCAAACTCCTCGTGAGGCTACTTTTTATCCACGGAGAGATGCTAACTTGCGGCTACAGATCAGTTCTAGATACCTAGAAAGCGTGCGATTAGAACACGTGGTAATGAGATACGAAGGATTTACAATCTTGCACAGACCTTTCCCAGAACAAATGACGTGTGCGTATGTTACCAATCTCCAGCAACCAGTATTGTAGACTTGAATACTCCGCTGCCATCATTCACTAAACCACAACCCTGGTTCAAGTATAAAGCACTTAGCTGCTAGAAGAGTTGCCAAGAGCTGACAACACAACTTTATATGAAAGGTTGATAGCCGAGGTCAAAAACTGAAGCAGAACATACATGAGTTCGAGACTGGCTCGCGTAGATGGACAACGCAGATGGATTGTTCAGGGTCTGCTAATCTCAAGTCGGAAAGCGCCGCTCGCGGGTCTATGAGCAATGCCGAGTATTCACACTTTCTGCAGGCTGAGATGGTCGGGTCAGATATGTCTCGAACAGACATGGTGTTGATGACAGCTAGTTAGAAACACCGGGCACTTGGCCAACAATCGACTGCTAGGTATAGCATTGAGTGAATGCCCCATTTTCTTACCTTTTAAGCTCCGAATAGAGTCTTTGTTCCTGGCCTGCCACAACCTTTGTCTTTTGATCGCCACGACGAATACGGTCATGCTTATCGACAAAGTGATGGGGGGAATAGATATCCGCCTCCAGATCTTTGAACTCTATACTTCCCTATGCTGATGCATGCAGTATACTAACATGCCACCCACCGAAACTGGCAGCATAGCCTCCTTCGGTTCACGGGGGCGAGAAATCGTAGCATAATTTTTTATCAGCGCAGTCGAGGTGCTCCCCTATAGAGTTCTATCCTCACGCTACGCCTTGTCGTTCATCTGTCGATGGGATTCTGTCCGGGCCGCGAAGCGCAGCCGCTCAACAGCGCGATCGCTTTGTTTATAACTGAGCCCTTGGCCCCGGAGCTTCTGCCCCTGGCATCACATCTTCCATCGTCGTTTCCAAATATATACGGAGCCCTCGGGTGCCAAACTACATGGCGACACCCACCACCGGGCAGCAATGCTGCTGTGCAATTATATGGAGATGGGGACCCATTGTGCGTCCTCTCCAGCAGGACGGGGGACGTGATTCCTCTTTAGATCATATTATTGTCTGGTATCAAGCAAACGCTAAAAACTAACTTAATCGTCACAAATGGCCCGGGTTTAGACGATGTGAGATCTGCATGACATGTGACTCGGCTCGTATGAGGTATGAGCAAAGGCGATGCAAATAAAAGAAATAATACAACGACCATTGGTCCTGGCTCGAAACCATCACATGCGATCTTTTCAAACAGAACGTGCCCGCCGCATTGCCAAGCAGGCATTGCCGTTTCGACTTGGTTCGGATGAACTAGTTGAGATGACTCATCCTTTGCTCCATTGTCTCGTCCCAGGAATGGCGGTGTCGTCCTTCACAGCTTTTACCATACATCTTGACGAATGGGAGCATTTGTTTCTAGGACAAGTGAGAAGCCATTTCTCTTGAGAATTCTGTGGATCAGACCTCAGAAGAGACCATTGATGCTGGCTTAGCAAATAATCAATTTGACTTTTTACGTCGGTATATCTGCTCTATCAAGGGATGATTTGGAACTCCTTCAGGAGTCCTTATTTAGTTTTTATTCCACCAATGTACCGTGACTCATCAAGACATGATCATGAACAACCGATTTCATCGTCGTCATTACTTTCACTAGCTTATTTGAAGACCTTGCCCTGGGTGTGCTCGTAAGTCTTGCCGTCAACGACGACAGGCTTGTCCCACGAGAACATGGACTCAACGTAGGCCTTGTCCTCAGGGTTCTCGGGGTCGAGCTTCTTGAACTCGTAGCTCTCCCAGTCGGGGGCGACGTCGAAGGCGTGCTCGTAGTTGTCACCACGGATGAGGAAGGCACCCTCGATGACGGAGTCGTTGTCCTGTCCGTAGACGGAGGCGGCACCGAAGATGTACTTGCGGGAACCCTCGAGACGGGTGAAGAAACCGCCAATCAAGTTGGAGGACATGAAGACCTTGGTGAGCTCATCGTTGTACTTGTACTTGACGCTCCACAGGGTGTACTCGCCGGTGGGGATGACCTTCTCCCACAGGTACTTCATGGCGACGGGCTCGTCGTTGTTGGAGTAGAATCGCTTCCACTCATCGATGGGGTATGTGGCACGGGGAAGGAGCTCAATGGGGTGCTTGGCCTTGGGCTCCTGGGGGATGTCATCCTCCTCCTCCTCGACGGGCTTAGCCTTGGGCTTGGGGGCGGCCTTGGGCTTCTCGGCCTTGGGGGCAGCCTCCTTCTTGGGAGCCTTGTTCTCGAGGGCGGGCTTGTCCAAGAGCTCGAAGGGGTGGGCAACGTCAGAGTAGATCTTCTGGTTGTAGACGGTCTCGTACCAACGGGAAACGTTGGGGTTCTGGGCACGCCACTCCTTGCCGAAGAAGAACTGGAAGCCGCGGGAGATGATGCCGACAGCGAACAGGTCAGCGAGGGTGATACGCTCGCCGACGAGGAAGGTGTTGTTCAGGAGGTGGTTCTCAACAACCTCGATGGCCTTGGCGGCACCCTTCTGGGCATCATCAATGGCCTTCTTGTTGTACTGGTCCCATCCCAGAAGAGGGCGGTACCAGGCACCGAGGTTGGGGAGGACCTCGGTGTTGAAGAAGGACATCCACTTCAGGATGGAAGCATAGCTGGAAAACGGTTAGTGAGTGCAATACAAGGGTGTGCTTGAATGTGGTAACTTGTCAGACTTACTCTTGCTTGGTCTTGCCGAGGAGGGTGGTCTTCTCGTTTTGGGAGGTGACTAATCTTGTTGTTAGCTATGCCGCTTCATCCACGCGTATTTGCTCCATGTTTGTTAGATGGGTGGGGTAGGTCGTGGGTCAAATGTAGGACTGGTATCTCCAAGAGAAAAAGAAAAATACGATTCAGATAGGGATGGCTATTAGAAGGGTTTTCGTGGTCTTCACTCCCCATGTCCCGCACTGGGAGCGGAAGCGGGTGGGCTGCGGCGGGGCAAGTATCCTAAACAAAGGCCAAAGGGGAGTTTCTTACGGTAGATGGCAACGGCGATGGACTCGGTCAGGACGTAACCATCTTGTCCGACGAAGACGGGGACCTTGGAGAGAGGGTTGTACTTGAGGAAGTCGGCCTCAGGCTTGGTGGTGTCGACGGTGACGGTCTCGATATCCAGACCGTTGGCCTTCGCGACGGCGAGGATGGCCGTGGTGCGGGGGTTGCGCTGGACGAGGGATGGCGAGTTAGAACATATGCAGCATGAAAACATAGGCAATCCAGTATGTATGAGCAGGTTGTGCTTACCTCCTTGGTGAAAACCTTTCCGAAAGACATCTTTGCGATTGATGTGTATGGACTGGATGGTGTGAAGGAAAAAGACAAGTGAACTAACCGTACCAACTTTTGGAGGGGAATAAAAATATTCGACTCGAAGGCGCGGGGCAATCACACACAAACGGCAGGGTCGTTGCTGCCCATTTGCACACTTGCACACTTGCCAACTCCCCACCAACACTTTGCAGGTGAATCACGCCAGCGAGAAAGTGGCCACTAACCTAGACTAGTCTAACGTTGGACTCAAAACCCAAGGTGTGGCTCAAGCGGCTGGCGTAGAAGAGCTCCAGCCACAACATCTGGGTCGTGGGTCGGATGTCGGAGCCAATTCTCCTTTAGTTTGTCAAATATCAAATACAAATCGACATTCCAAGTTATTCCTGCTCCGTATTCGCGATCCCACTGCACCTCGAGCGATAGCCCGCCCCCCCGGAGGACAACTCGAGCCAATTGATGCGGTGAGAGCTCGTTCATCGATATGTCGACTCTACGATACACAGCCCGCTGTCTTCGCGACTTACGGCCCGCAGCAAAAACACAATGGGGCTCGACACTCGTCCTGAGACCCAAGAAACAGAGCTCCCATATCTCGAGGACTATTTCCACCACGTCGCCGAAAGCAGCCGTCACGACTGACAACAACATCACCCGCGACCCCCCCGCTGGATTTACAGAGCTCGAGGTAGCCGCTCGACAGCAAGAAGGCACCTCTTTGGTCAGTGCGAATGCGACCGCCCACACCCCATTTGCTCGCGCCGTCCCCGTCTCGCCCTCGTACTTCTCTCGACAACCCATTTTCAACGACAGCTTCGTCGTCGTGCAGGACCTGGCACGGAAGTACGCGCGTCTGCCCATCCTGCCAAAGGACAAGGTGGCGCTGACGGCATGGAGGACAAAGGAGCAGTACAGACTGGTCACGGGTGAACATGTCAAGGGACGAGACTATGCCGCCTGTCTGAAGCTGGTGAAACGCCTGCATCAGATCCACCCGGACCTGGTCCCGGACGAAGTTACCAAGGGTGTGCAGTCGTTCAAGCGTGATGTCAACCATTACCTGAACAAGCCGAGCCCAATTCCCGTCGACAAGTTTGGGCGTTCATTAGGCGTGGGCAAGAGAAAGAGCTCGGTTGCCAGGGCTTTCGTGGTGGAAGGAACAGGAGAAGTCTTCGTCAACGGAAAGCCATTGAGCGAAGCTTTTGGACGGCTCCACGATCGCGAATCTGCCGTGTGGGCTCTCAAGTCTACGGAACGCCTGGACAAGTACAATGTCTGGGCATTAGTGCAAGGCGGTGGCACTACAGGACAAGCCGAGGCCATGACTCTGGCCGTTGCAAAGGCGCTATGCGCTCATGAGCCCGCGTTGAAGAATCCCTTGAGACGAGGTGAGTTGAACCCAGTGATTTCCTTGCAGATTGTATGCCCGAATAGCAGGATGGGGAATAGCGAACTCCCCATCCTGCACTTCCAGAGCTTCAGCCATGTTCTGGCGCCCGCCAGGTTTGTTTCTTGAAAAGTTCTACTGCTAATCCTGCATTAGCCGGCTGTATCACCCGTGATCCAAGAGTGGTGGAAAGAAAGAAGCCAGGTCATGTCAAGGCCAGAAAGATGCCCACATGGGTCAAGAGATAGTCGGAGCAACCTCGGTCTCACGGCGTACCGACCACGTGTTCATTGTGTTTGTTCACCCAACGACGCCACACTTGGTGTACCAGCATTGGCGGAGATTGCTTTTCTTTGCGCGGTCTTGCTCCAAACTTTCGAGAACAATCAATCGATCATCATCAGCCCTACCATCTTACGATCCGGGCTTTGGTCAATAGAGGAATGTAGATTTGCATCCGAAGCCAGGGTGTCTACGTGAGGGAGTTTCAGAGCTTCGCACAAGAGAACAGCCTCACCGGTTTGATCCGTGCTTGTTAGAGGAATCGGTTTTCCAGTTGTATATTCATGTAGCAATATGTAACGCCATGTATCGAATGAAGATTAGTGATCAAACCCTTATCGACCCCCCCCCCCCCTCCCTTTTGACCTGCTTGGTATACAGAGTTGGAGATTGGGGACCAAATGCTGTAGACTTTAAGTCATCATAAGGCCGCAGACCCCAGAAGATCAAAGGACCACGACGGTTAGCATAACAACTAGCAGAGAAGACCAGAAACAGGTGCGGGATCACTTGCGGTCTCCGTCTAGCTGCCGGCATTCCCGGTGAGGACATCCAAACCGTGGCAAGGTGTATAGCGCGCTACCTGAGGCAATTCTAGTTAGCAAACAATTAGTAGCAACGGCTTTATAGCGTGTGGAATGGCAGACTGCTGAGATATCAACCAGTCCAGCTGACCAGTAACCTGGGACGGTTGCGTAAAGGTCGGTGAGATGACTAACTAGGATGTATCAGGTAGTCGATTGAATACGAGTATGGAAGGGGTGGTCCCTGGGGAGACTATGCGGGTACCTCATGTTCAGCATTGGGCGCGTGCTTTCTTGCGAGTCTAAGAATAAGCTGGCAGTGCCCATTTGATGTCAGTCTACGCAACCTACTCAGAAGGGAGACCATTCGGCTTCTCCGTGTCTTCAGACTGCACTGGATAGCATGAACAATGCAATGCTCCATACTGCTGATACTATCGAGTGACGTTTCTTAAAGCAACGGAATATCATACTGGCAATGTGACGTGCCTTTCCGTCTTCTGTGAACAAGCATGCAATCGATGCAGCCAAGCAGACGGGATCGGAATGGCAGGCGATAACGTGGTGAATGTGACAGCGGTCTTCCCTGGAATTCTTAAATCTTCCTTTGAGACCATGTAGAAGATCTCGCCCTTCGGATCTAGCATCCCTCACGTCGTCTGAAGCACCCCGTATGTTACAGGGTCATGGATCTATCATCTCCCGGTTCTAAGATTGTACAAGCAGCGCCAAGCACGTTTGATAGCTTCGAGTCGGGAATTTGGCCTGTACCAAAGACACTGCAAACATTCCGACTTTCTGAGAATGATAACGAACATGACGGGGGAGGCCAAAGTTGCGTGAGATTGGAGTAAGAGCCGGCGTAAACGCTATAAAAACGTGTCCGGTTTGGACTGATGTTCGATACCTGATCAAGTATAGAGGTGGAACTCAAGAAATAAGGCTGGTGCAGATTGTTTCGTTTTGGATCGCTGTAACTGGCAAGGGGTGCGAAGATTACAACAAATGCACAGACGAAAGCGCGTCTTTGTAATGAATCTAATCCACCAATTCATGCAATTCTCACCTTTCGGGTTGGCGTGGAACTTTTCTAGAAGGACTAGAAGGATCATTGGTGGTTTCACAACGTTCGCGTCGCGCTAGGGAGGGGTTGGCTGCATCAGCTTCACAACCGCAAGCAATCCTTGATTTGACACAGCTGGACTGACATTCCAGAATAGCGTGGAACGATGCGTCTTGTCTCCCCGGTTGAGGTTTGCGTTGAAGCACAGGCTTCAGCGGCGACCGTGGATAATCTTGACGACCACGGCGACAAGCGCCACACATGTTCGACTAGCGACACGCCTCTGAGTAGATATTGTTGTTCAAAAGGCTCAGTTTACATAACAAATAAATACCTGCTCTAGGTTTAATAAGAGTCAAAGTAGCAAATTGATGACCAGCATACATTAAATTATAGTTGTGTCAGACGGAGAACACAGCCAATATAACAGCGGTGTAATGTACTTCGTGGTGTCTGAGCGGAGCACATTTGCATCGGTTTCTGCGGGCTCTTTGCTTTTCTTGACAGGTACCTAAGTGCCCGTGTTCGTATCTCGAGATTTTGTGTTCGGGATACGCACGTAATATTCTCATCCATCTCATCACGCTCTCATTTCTTGAGAGGGCTTTTTTTTTGTTGGCCATATAGTCATGGAAGGCAAATCTCACAAATCGTCCAGTAATCATGCTGGAGCCAGCTTGTGGGTCCTGCAGCCTCGTTGATCTTAGCTAGTGAAGCAACTGGCTGCCACTGCTTGTTTAGATGAGGCTGGCTAAGTATGCATGTGAGAAGTCATCCGCGGCTTAGAAACCTAATCAGGTGGATGCTGAAAGCCATGACCGCAGTATCCTTCCTCGAAAGTAAAAAGAAACGAAAGAAAGAAAAAATTAAGAACAGCTGTGTACATAGTGCGCATGAGCCAGTGCCCGATCAAGTGCAGTTGGGGACGGCCATTTTCAAGATAGCTTTAGGTTGTCGTATACTTCACCTGAGAAAGGGAGAGAAGGAGAAGGAGAGAGAGACATCGAAGCATCCGCCATAACTTTATCAACGGACGTTACAAGCGCAGTGCTTATTTCTCAAGCGGTGTCGCCGACGTGACAGAGACCGACGCACCAATCTGCGGCAGGAAAAGTTATTGTACTTTTGACAGATTTGCGTTGCTCGAATATGTCGGTAGATGATACGTAGCTTGCCTACCTAACTTAGCACAAGTTGGGCGCTTTGTTCCGTGGGCGCATCTTGTAGGGTGCGGCGGCAGCGTCAGCTCGCGGCTTGGCTTGTCGTTCATATGAGACACCTGGTTCGGTAGCCAAGTGATTATGTCTTCAAGCAGAAGACGGCGACACGGGATTCTCTCAGTATGCTGTCGTACGAGAAATTGTCAGGTGCCCAGGACAGTTGTGCAAAAGCTACTGCATCTAGTAAGCCTGTAACGATGACTTATTTAACATAATGAGGCCATTGGAATCGGCGTTGTGTGAAGCAGCGGCAGGTCGACTTTCTTCAGGTGGAAACTAGCTTGGTGAAAATGTAGATCGACAGCTTCTGGTACCTGGCTTGCCAGGTTTACTCCATCAACGCTTATACTCATCAAGTATAGTGCCAGTACGATGGGTTTGATCTGAGGTCCACTAGTCAAAAAAAATGATGAATTATCGTTGCAGCGTGCTGCATTGCTTGCATTCGCAATGCAGCAGGGGTGAGCAAAGTGGATAAGCTGGCTGCACAGCATCACAAAGACTTTGCCTATTTTTTTTGCGGGGAATGGCGACAAATGGGATGTAACCTCACCCAGGTACAGTGTAGAACAGTTCTCGTCTTCATACTATACCTTGTCGCAAGCTTGGCCATTCACCAGATGCTCGTGCCGTGTATGATAATGTGCGGGAGTGGCCTACCGAACCATGATCTGATAAAGATCGGTTAGGTGATGCGGCTCTTGCTTCGTCCGAGAGTTGGTGTGTGAGAGCCCCCCGAAAGGATCGGCGACATGTTCGCTGCAGATGTCCTTGATGGTGTCAATGTGGTTCGGATAAACTGCAAGATGAAGCAGAAAAAAGAAAGTATAAAAAAAAAAGTTGCAGTAACATCGTTCTTTTTCTGACGAGTTCCGAGTGCTGTCAATTTTAGTCCTAGACACTGCTTGGGTTTGTAGCTGGGGGGGATCTGGGTTGGTATGTTGTAGTGGTCAAAATCTGTGTTGGGCTGCCCCCGGTCAACTAATGAGTGGATGAGGGTGATCTAAACTTGAGGCTTGACCCATGCCGCCCCATGACATTTGACGACATGCCTCGTGATTGCCCCTGGCTTGCTTTCAACTACAGACATGGAACAAGGTTCTTGTGTTTTCTCACCCTCAGCAAACCAACGCACTGAGGTCATTCGAAACAGTTGCACCACCTGGCAAGCTCGGAAATGCGGTACTTGCATTTCTGCTGGAAATTGGCTCTCCATTCAAGTACACTCTCAAAAGCGTCGGAGTACAGAGCAAAATTTTCCCCGATGGCCAGATAAAGCTCCCACCTGGGAAGATAGGGCAGCCAGATAATGGTTGGGCATCATCTAATACATTACTATTGAGCAGTATCTGTCCACACGGCAAGGACAATCTGTCCTCAAGTCGATTTCGTCAACTGCGGTAGCTGTTATGAATGCCGCCTAACCGTCAATACCGAAGGGGAATTCGGGGCTAATTTGGGCCGGATTTGACTCGGTGAAGCTCCTGCGACGGAAGGGATTGGAAGGCTTTATTTTAGAGTCGTCTTTGGTCCCTTATTCGTCGACCAATAGTCGTGCCGTAACGCCAAATTCATGGCCGACCGATTTCTTAGCATTGCTTCGGCGCGAGATCCGATCACAACTTATGCCGAGTATCAGTTACTCCTCTTAGCATTGCTAGCGGTCATTGCATGAAGGACCCCTCTGTGTGGCCTACTAAAAGAAAGCACCATATGTTACTACTGAATGGCGGAAGGGCATGGTAGCAGGCTTATCGTTCGTGAATCATTCTCTGATTACGTAGTGTGTGCGTATGCACATACCGAACTCCCAAGTTCTGATGTCCTTCAAGCATGCTCAGGCTTGAGTTCGGCAATGCGCTAAGAGAAGCCGCAGTAGGTGAGATAGCAGTATTCGGATTTTCAATCGAGGAAAGCATAAATTCCGGGAGTCTTATGAATATGGTACGCGGCTGGCGAGCGGTCCAGCTTTCTATTCAATCTGGAAATGTATGGCGGGCCGGATGTCAAACACAGTAAGCCCTCCTGGCACGAAGGCATAATAAACAGTGCCCGATAGCATCCACGTAGCTTGTAGTGGCCAAGCTCATAAGTCTTTCGACTTTGCACAAGTTGTCCTGTCGAAGTGCTGTCGAAACGCATCATACATTCTCGTCAGCATGTGAGCAGACTGGCGTGATTTAACCTTTAACCGTCGCTCCCAACGACGGGCCACTCATTTTTCAAATATCATAATGATGCACGCGAAACTCTGAGTCCGGATACGGAGACTTCTCTCTTGGAGCTGAGTAGGCTTTTGGCGTGACGCCGCTTATCAACCTTGTTCGAGCTACACCTTCTGTAAGCCGTCTTCCCAGTCGATCGTCTTCAAGGTTACCTCTGCTTGTCACCTTTCACGATAGTACCTGCCGGCCCTCCGGGGCACGGGTAGCGCAGCTTCGCTCGGATTGTCGAAAACAGCGACCGAACCCATAAATTATACTACGCGCTCGGGGAAAAACAAAGCAAAGATTCATGTTGAAAATATTGAAACTTGGCTCACAGACTTCGAATACCATTCTTGTCAGCAAAAGCGCTCGGAGGGTGTCCACTCCGTCGGGTCTGTCGCACACTAGAACTTCATCTGATGTATGTCTCCTGCCCATAGGATCTCCAAGAAACCGCAGTTTCTCGCAAGCTCTTCCCAGATCTTTGTGTTGCACCAATCTACGGCGTGTTGATCACTTCTACCAACCTAATCCGCCTTCAGGGTGGTGACGTCGCTTTGTGATTCCCAGCCGTACGGGTTCACTCACCTTGGGAGCTCAATTATCAATTCGTTCATCTAGCAGCCCTACTCGAAGATCGTTCATCCCACGGCTTCCCGTCCGTGGAATTGCAAGCCTCCGAAAAAGCACACGGAGGAAAGTCTAATGACACCCTGGCGTGGGAAGTTTAGTTACTTAGGTACCATGCCAAGAAACTAGCCCATAGCTCAGGTTTAGTTTGGCATCCACTGCCTGTGCACGCACGCCATCTCGCTCACCCCGTCACCAAAAAACAGATCACCCAGCTTTCAACTATCCAAACTAGTCGACTTCCCAATTTTTTCCAGATCATGGCGCAGGGCGTTAATCATCGTCGTATGCTTTGAACAGACCAACCTGCTTTCCGTTTTCAGTATCAGTCAATGTTTTCCATGTTCTACCCACAGCCCCAATGAACGTGCGAAAGCAAGAACAAACCACCGAAACCTGGGATATTGCATCTAGTTTAGCTGGGACCCCGAGTCGATCCACACTCTGCCATGGCACATCGCCCTGCATATCTCTCATCTGCCACTGCCTAATATATTACCGAGAAGGAAGTACCTTCTCGAACACTTTTACTTACATAGCGTTTTTATCTTGACTATGTCAAAGGAGATCACCGATGGACTAAAAAAATATCCTCCGACATTCAACCATCGTCAACATACCCACTTACTTGTATCACACAACCATCTCATTATCATCAGGCTCAGATCTTGCACGCTTTTGTATTTGCGTGCCAAATAGTTGCCGCGCACTGATTCCTTTTGTTGTTATCGGAGATTTCCAGCATCCTCGGGTTCATCGAGTTTAGATCCATTGCACACCCACTTACTCTCAAGTCTGTATCCAACGACGCTTGTCAAACATCCAAAGGAAGACGTGACCTTGATAGGTTCACGATTGTCCACCAATTTCAGCTACATCAGGCGAATCGGGTTGCTGTAACGGCTGGACGGAGCAACTGCCTACTCGTGAGACCTTGGTGCGGATTTCTCTTTTGACGACTACGCAAGGACACTGCTTGTTCCGCCCAAGTACATCTGCAGTGTCTCCCGGGATAGTCCCAGTACCAGTAGTGACAACCGTTAACAAGTCGGATACACTACTCCTCTCCACTCGGGCTTTTTTTGTTTACGATTCCCGCCCAAGGATCTCAAAGGCAAGGCCAAATCTTGGAGTAGCGGCGGAGACATCGTCATCCCTACTCTGTTATTAAGGCATAAATCAAAGCCTCTAGGCGGTTGGCGCGTTCGCATCGAGGGCGGTCCAAAAAATCAAAGCTTTGGAGTGGTTGATACATATTCGGTCTGCTCCTTGAGGGTGCAACAACTGCTTCTTCCGCCTTCCTTGCAATAAGCAAAGAAAGAAAAAGCACGTCCTTCCGTATCACCACCTATACTTCGGTGCTTACACCATATATTATCGCCGCCTCTCAGGGAAATTTTTTTTTCTTCCCGCAGGCACATTCGTCCCATCCCGATCTGACGCCTGCACAACCAAGGTGATCCTTCCCGCCGCTCAAGCTACAACGATTTGCTTTGCCAGGCACCCTCGTACCCCTGTGCCCGGCCACATTGTGTGGGAGAAGTTATATTGCCATCTGGTCGCGGCGCCGCCCTATCGGACAATCGTCAGGTGTACGTACGCCTTGTCACGCGCTCAAGTCGGCAAAGTCGGTCACGCGGCCGGCCATTGAAGCAAACTGGCCTTAATCTACTCAACGCCCACTCCTTTGCCGGAGGTGCATCGGCTTGGATCGCCTCTTCAGGCATCAGGCGACCCTTTTGACCGTGGCATGGATGACAACGCGCGAAGGAGGAGGCAGAACGAACCGCCTATAAATGCCACCTCGAACTCAAGATATCCGGTTCACGACCCAAATGCGCAAAGGAGACCCTACGGCGCGAGTGCAGGCGCGACTGACAGGTATCGCCCTGCGCCTCTGAATACATCACCGTCGACGGCACGAGGCATGGGAGGAACGGCTGCCTACAGTGGCTACTATCAGGAACCGGCCGCGGCGTTCTCTACAACCATGCCACAGAACACAATGCCCTACCAGTCCGAATATGGACAAGATACGAGGCAAACACAACAAAACTTCGGTGCTTACAACGCTTCAATGATGTACAACGTACCGCAAGCGGGCGCGCAAAATGCTGTTTACGATGCGACTCAACAGTTTCCATCTCGGCAACCTGCAGCAATGCAGATGATGCCCGCGGATGTAGCCGCGCCCTATTTCCCGAGCGAACCAACGAACTCGTCTACTGCGCCTGGTCTGCAAGCACAGGCGGGATCCTCAGGCACGTCTGCAGTATATCAACAAAGTCCTGCAGACCAGCGTGCCATGATTCACAATTACCCCAGCAATATGGCGTCAATGAGCGGAATGTCACAGACGAGTGCGCCGGACCAGCCCATGGCAGAGGAGCAGGAATATACTGCTTCGGCAGAGATGGGCGAGGCCTACGAACAGTACCAATCGGCTCTCAAGGAGATCTTCACAAATGTGCGCAATGGATCGTTGGTGGCAGCGAGTGAGTCGTTATTGAACGTGTCTGACTGGCTGCTCTCCAAGGTTTCCGAGTTGGGTAAGTGCCACTTGTTTTTCTGTGTCACGACGCCGGAATACTAAACATGCTATTTACAGGTCTTGTTGTCGACAACCCAGATCTTCACAGCGATCGCATCAAACTTTGGCACGACTTCAACCATGCGTGGCTTGCATTATTTCAGAAGCAGAAGGAGTTGGCTGAGTCTGGTGTTCCGCCTCAACGAGGCCAAAGCGTCATCTCAGAGGAGGGCTTGAAAAAGATGGGCAAAGAACTGGTGCGGCTGTGTGACGGAATTGAGCGGCATGGACTGGTCGATTACGAGTACGGTGTGTGGGAGGAGCATATTGTGGCGAGTAAGTGGCTAAATCTGGCACCTGTTTCGGAATACAAACTAATGTCATTCGTAGTCATCGAAGAATGCCTGGACCTATACGAGAACGACGACGAGGCCGGTCCGAGTTCACAATCCCACGCAAACCCTGCTGGCAGCAGCAGTCACCACGGCTCTCGATAGGCAAATATCTCGTCACCTCACACAAAGCGAACATGGCGGGAGAATCTGGCTGCAACGCTACGATTTCATTCCCTTGTACTATACTGTCGCGGTCAAATTGGATTTCGCAGACATGGATTTTCATTAGGCAACAATTCCTCTGCAGCTGGGCACTACTTTTGGACGGATCCTCTCGGGTCCACCACGTCGATTCATGTCAAGAGGGGCACTGGAGTTTGAGGGATTATGTGGCATCGCATTACGTGGGGGACCAAACGATTGCAACGAGGCAGTAATTTTGCCTCCCGTCTGATCGGGTATGCGTTTGATTTCTAAGAGCAGGGCAGGGGCTAGTTGACAAACAATGAGAGCGACGCGGAAATGACGGAAATGTGACTGGACGGGCAGCGGAGTAGAAGACTTCAAATGGCAAGGCTTGGAAAAACCAGCAGGGAGTAGTTGTGATTTATTGCATCTGTGTACAATGGTTTCAGGGGATACACTGGTGATCGGACGAAAGCCAACGGTCAAAAAGGGTTATAGAGGAAAGAAAGACTACAGCTCTCACGGGCGCAATACTCGGCAAAATGTTGTCGAGGTCACTCTAATGGCTGGGTACATAGCGGGTAGTAGCTGGCGATACACCGCACGGGCTTGTACATGTATTTGTCTCATTTTGCGATTGTATTCTTTCATGAATTTTTTGCCCGGCCTGGGCAAAGAGAAAAGGAAAAAAGAAATGTTATTCAATCATATGTTTCTCGCATGAGCAATTATCTCCGAAAACGTGAAGCGGATTTAGACGAGACGACGTTGTCTGAGGTCAATAATGGGTGGCGCTGATTGGGCACTATTCCTGCCCAATTGGCGAATAGCCTTACTGGAAGATCTTGACCATGTTCGTCAAGCTGCTGCAGTTTCCAGGTTCTTCATCAGGGTCCTACAGCCCCAAGCTTGACCCCTGAAGCCACCTCTGCCACCGCTGCTACCCCAAGCTTATTTCAACCTGGATGATAACATTCAACCCTCGGCATTATCGGGCATCAACTCCAAGGCTGACCTGCCTTACCTTGGAATCGAGGATCACACGTGTACTAGGTGAAGCGATCTACAGTCAGGCTTTCGCGAACAGCCCATGTCACTTCGCCAGAACAGTCCTCGCCGGTAGTCATGCGCGCACCATGGCTTGCTTCCCTGCTGATATTGCCCGAATGGTGCTGCTACCGAGCACCGGATTGGTAGGCCCTGGACAGCTCCCTCTAGCCCCCAGCTCGAACCGAAAAGCAACATCAACCCACACCACCCCACGTTCATACAACCAATAAATCTATCGATGCTGGCAGCATGACCTACTGCACGATCGCCTCCCAAGGCGCTGGAACCGTGGCTACCCAATGATCAAGCATGTTTTACGCCCTTCTTTTGCGTTCGGGGACTCCACCTCCCCCGATGCGTGCCGCTGCTCAGCTTTTGTGATCTTCATTCTACTTTCCTACCGTGGTCTTCGAGGCTGAACCCAACAATCGACGGCGAACTACGAAGCAATTCATTGTAGCCCAAGTTGCAATGGGGGGGGGGGGGGTTTGGCTGAACCCATACGATCGCTAAATAGTGCACGACTCAAGCTTCTGCGCCTCGTGAAAGCGACTATTGCTGTGAGTCGTATGCATCGGTCCTTTGTCATACTCAGCAGCCGGGGCCGGTCATCACTATGTATGCTGAGATACGAGTCATTTGACCACTTGGCCGCACAGCTGTGCGAGGAACTAATGATACCGGATGGCCCATTTCGCGGTTTCTGGGGTGCCGACCTTCCTGATATGCCGCCTTCGTGGCGGACCGACAGCTCGGTGAATCACGTTGTACAATCGACAACGTTTTATGATCGATTTAGCATCGACGCGGCGCCATCGATTGGTCATGTAAGCATGGAAGAAGTGCCGAATCGCTTGCAGGTCGAGACCAGCCGAATCAGCTGATATGAGAGGACCCATCTATCGGGGCGTCAGCTGCAGGCTCTTGCATGGGTATAGACTACTATGTGTTTCGTGACGGAGATTAAGTCCCAGCACGAACATTCGAGCCTGAACGAATCACCCAAAATCTCAATGCATTAGAGTTTGGGGCATTTGCTTTTGGTAGTGTAGTCACACAATATGTAGAGGGCACGCTTGTTATGTGCCCCTTGTCGCCTGTCAATTCTCATCCAAGACTAGTCAAGATGAGTTATCATATTATACGCAAACCCCTCTGTTCCAAGATCCGCCCTAAATCAGCCATTGAACATGGGTTACGGAGATCGCCTTCCCACAGGCTACAAATGATGGATCAAGGTGAGTGGATCAGGTAAATACCCTGATGTTTCGAAAGTCCTTTGTGCAGCCATCAATTTATGAAGACGGCAGGGAAGCCACTTCATTTTGTGGACATTTGTTTGCTGTTGGATTGTCTTGGGAACATTGACTCTAAGACCATGCTCCAATGATATATTGGTTCCGCAGCGTGCCAATCAATTTCTTATGGTAAGACCCTTTCCCAAAAGTCGCACACAACCGTGTCTATGGATCTCAAATAGAAACGTTCAACAAGATACTATCATCCAAAAGCCATACACTAGTTAGCCGCCAGCCTCCCGAGCTCTAGTGCCCGCCCTCTGGTGCGTAACCCAACCTTATTACCAAACTATTGGGGTTCTGCGGCTGATGACTTGGCCCCCCGGACTCTGCGCCAGTAATCATCGCGCAGAACCCCTGTCTACGGCAAGTGCCTCAACCTTCTTTTGCTTTACTCTGTCAATAGGTTGGGCCGGTGAGCCTCTCGACATTGGCTTCCTGCGCCTTTGTGGCTTGTCCCGAAGACCCGGAAAGATCTCAAGCCTCCTTGCAACTAAATATGCTCCCGACGATCCCCAGCCAACAAGCAGCTGCCAGCTTCTCGTCTAACTGCGGCCCCTGCGGAACTCGCCTGCGAGATCTGATGTGGCATATGCTATGTCGTCTTGATACACACCGTTTGAAGCAATCCTCAGCTGACTAAGAACTGCCCTATGCATCTTCCCGTGCAGCTCATCCCAGCCGATGCAGGCGCCAGGTGCGCGCGAAGCCGCAGGTTTGCAGCCTTGGAATGTTCGCCGCCAACACGATGACCACCTCCCGGTGGGTATTTGGGGAACACCTGACACATACTTCATGACCGAATGTAACCGACATCTCTCGAATAAGCAAGGCGGACTGCATCTGTAGGACGATATCGCAAAAGAATGTGATCGGCCCCCTGAAGCTACAATAGGATCTCGTCCGCACTCCGCCACCAAGGTTGGCGGTCGCTGGGCCAAAATTTTGCCAAGTCGTACTTATGACATATTACCACGCATCCGTTTGACGAGCTGATTTCCGAATGCGGTTGGTTTTGATGTGTTGCAGATTGTGGTGAGACATTGGTTGAGCTTAAACATATCAATCAAGGCGTTTCCCGCATAGCCGAGATCTCAGATTTGAAGATAGCTCCCGCGGCAGTAGTCTAGGCGCAATATGTACAAATAACTAATCACATGGTCGACAAAGAAACCAGGCCGTCCAGAAATGACTCAGACTAGCTGGAGTGCCATCTCATGGCAGTAACTACAGCGTCAAGTGGACCAACACGGAACCCCAACAGAGGTTGCGGTTAATTCCTTAAAGGTTATTAGAATTCAGTATCTGTTTCAAGTAGAAATCCAGCAGCACAGTACATGATAAGATGGGCTACCACGGCGGCGGCACTGGTTAATGCTCGATTCATGCGACCTTGTGAGTTATCTGGTTATAGGGTAAGCATTAATCCACAGGCAAGTCGTAGATGTAATTAGTTGACAAGAAGCGTCATCATGGGTCAAATACACACCAGCGAGGGCGTCTGAATGGCCAATTTGTACTGTCTTCAAATTTCAAATCATGGCAATGTTGGCCGTGTTGGTACACCTTTCAGGCAGCTTTGTGATTAGTTACAGTTTATCCAGGTATGCGTCTTACGCGATGCTTCCATGCTGTGCCAATGGTGCCATGGCGGTTGGCAGATACATATTCAGAATTAGACTATGGAAGTGATAAATTTGTAGATGTGTAGGATGATGGGAGCTTTTCCCTCATGGACTTGGCAACGCATATATGACCAAGTGGGATTTCAATACCTCCTTATTCGACTGCGGAAGTCTTCGGTGACTAGGCCTTGTCTCGAACTACGCCGTCCGTCTTCATATAGGAACTGCACACGAAATAGAAAGAACAAACCTGTTCCTTCGAGATAGTAATTAGTGGCTACCTAGCTATCGTAGCCGAGCAGGCTGTGATTCTCATAGAGCCCTCCGTGGCTTGTTTTGCAGCCTCATATTATCTCTACATAATTCTTGAAGAGTGCTACGGGGTTGATCTTTAAGAGCGAACATGGCACTGGTAAATCCCAATTCGAGAAATTATCAGAATAAGCGACTCCCAGGACATGTGAGCACTCTTTCCGCCTGGGATCACCTATTGCCAACCCGGTGACTCTATGTTCGACACGCGTGTCTGCCAATCCGCTTGAGAAGTCCTTCATCTGTTCGTAATTAGAACGCAAGCCTCGGAAGGGTATGAAGGCGAATGCATGATACTGGCACTCCAAGTGTAAAGTGGGATGGACCTAAAGCATATCGCGACAATTGATATAGTGAGAAAGGAGATGCCACCTAACCGCCGAAAACTGGTGGTTGACTTAGGTGGAGGGCGCCACCAAAGATGCAAGAAAATACGGAGGACTAAGACGTACTAGAAGTTCATGAGATATTAAGCAATTAGTTGGGTTGACTAACCAGCGATATAAAGTTATATTTATGCATCTTTCACCAATCCTATGATCTTCCTTGGTTCCTCCTCTATAGACCCCTACCACGGTCTGTCCGGAATTCAAAGCCATTTCCTGTTGCTAGGCTGCTGCACACCCTCTTGGCCACAGACTTGGAAGTCAGACCTCTTTCGCTGTGTCGCTTGTGATCATTCATAATCGGTTTGAAGCTTACCTCCCCCCAAGAAAATATTAGCCTGGACGATTGACGGACGGTTCTTCGAAGAATATATATGCTGTCTGTCGCAGGCTGAAAGGCATTGCCTTTACTGCTCTGATTTAAAGCAAGTATGTCGTGTATCCATTAGTATATTTTGGCTACAGAGCACATATCAGATATCCTCACACACAAAAGGACCCTCAAATCCGTTCATCCTCTTCAACTAGGTCGTGTATGTCTCATACACGTGTGAGCCGTCGATTGTATGGTCTATCAACGATTTGTTGTGTTATTCAGGTCTGCCAATGCCGCACCCTTCGGCTCAAGAAGGAAGGCAGGATCAAATCTAAATGGATTCTCACGAATGAAAGAACTAATGTCTCTTTGATGTGCGCATTCGTTTAGATAATCATGCACTTGCGGTAGAACGTAGCCCGGCTCAGTAACATCGCCCTCAAACTCAGGCAGTAGGATGATGTTGAATGGTTGCGAACGAGCCTTCTCCTTCGAGTCATCGATGAGAACGGTGTTGGTCTGGTCCCAACGCTTCCCATCGCACGCCTCCGGGTGGCTGGCCGCTACCTTGGGATCATTCCAAACTGACTCTAGTCGTTTGTAAACTTGTACGCGCTGGTTGTAATCCGCTGGGCTGAGACCGAGGGTGTCTCGACCCCAAATCGTGACGAGCTTGGCCTGCTCCTGGGGTGAAAGGAGCTGTGGCATCATCCCGCGTACATTGTCAGGTTTTGCCGAGGACCATACACCCACAGTGAATGTACGAAGACAATAGTCCAGGAAGTTTCTTGCAAAAGGTCGCTCGACGAATGTTTTTGTCTTTTTGTGGTTAGGGCGGTGAAGAAGGGTGCCATTCAGATCGATTATGACTAGAATATTGCGTGGGACGTCCAGCCGAGAAGGTGCCAATGCGGACTGTCTGATATAGTTCTTGCTCGGATTGGGAACACCGCCAGAAGCTTTGGAAGGAACAATGTAAGGTCTCTTCTTGGTCTGAAGTTTAGCCTTCTTGTTGGCAGACTTGCCCAATATGGGAATTGTGACTGTTTTGATCTGATGAGGCGTCAGCTGAGGCAGCGGCTCTCCAACACTGGGATTGCTAGATGCATCAGAATCAACATCAGGATCGAAGTCAGGATTATTATTTGACTGTGTTAAAGGACGAGCTCCGTGTCCGACGCCTCTTGACGGTGGTGTGCCTGCTGCTAATGGAGTCGGACTCTGAGCTTGCTGACGAAACACAGGGTGATTACCAAGCATCCCCTGCGGTGGTATATCTGGATTATATCGCAGATGGCTTTGGCTCCCGGAGTGATAGATTGGTCCCAGCTGTTGTTGCCATCCAGGCGGGGGTACAGGTACGAAAGCTGTGGCGGTTGGATCAAATGCAGGTGCAGCTGCATGCGATCGCGTGGGTCGCCTGTGAAAGTCTTGCGAGCTCATGATTTCTATAGGAGCCGCTGTCGACTTCTCAAACTGCTCCTTGCCGTTTTTGGATGGTGTTGATGATGCAGATGAGCTGTAGGGTTCCGAGAAGTGGGTAGATGGGGCGCGCCACGGTCGTGGTTGATGTGGAAGATGGTGATTTCCGAGGAGGACCCTTGGGCGGGCGAACTCACGGGGTGGAAAAGACTGCGAAAGTCTGCTACGGGCAGCGAACAGTTTCATCTGCCTATATAGTAGATACAGACCAGGAAGTGATGTGTCGTGTTGTCTTGAAAATCCGCTTGCGAAACCAAGAGCAAGAATCGCTCATGATTCCATCCATGGGACGAACAGACTTTGGGCCCCACTTAGTAGTGTGACAGCAAAAGTGGATACAACTGCGCTAGATCACTGCCACGAATTTGAGATAAACGGAATAGGAACAATACAACATTGAACAGCATGTGAAAGGTTCGATATATGGTAGAGTTACGAAGTGGTCCCCACGGTGCCTGTTATTTTAGAGTCTTCTGTATAGTAATCGGACTGGGAGCCCCTGAAACGCTATCCAAGTTGTGCGTGCACATCGTCAAGAACAATGGCCTTTTTCTTATTCTTTGCTCTCTTACCTTCTTGCAAAGTTTTTCAAGACGGACTGTTTGAAAGAAGAAGAGATTTTGTGTAAACAGGCGTAGTAATTTAAGCCGTCTACTGGAGAGAAGACCCTTTTCATAGATCTATTCTCGTTTGTCTATCGGGTAAACAGAACCTCAGATATACCCGTGTTAGTCACTAGGCTCTACGCATCGCAAATCAACTACTGTAATCTTTTCCTGGTACATTCTTTTGTTATGTGTCACTTCCAGGCATGCTTACTCTGTTTTTCGCGTCACAGGAGGGTTGACTGGAGATTTCCCAAAAAGCTTATCGATATTCCAAAAGTTGATACATGTTTTCTTGCCACAATAATAATACGGTCCGTATCACCTTTGCTTCAAGGATAACTCCCCTTTTTACGTTTTCCCATCATGGGCGAGTGGTTTCACGTCCTTTGAACTAAGCTGCCATACGGCACAGTTCAACACCAATAATACTTAACATATTCCCAACCTCAACACTCGGAACAAACGAGTTATCTGGATGCCGAAATGCTCATTTCGAGACTGCATTACTCCAGGTAAGATCCCAAGATTCAATTTCGCCTTCTGTTTCCTTGACCTTCTCCTTCAAGGATACGATCTTGCCAGAGCCAGTGGCAAGGTGCTCCGTTGGAGTTGTCTGACCTGCTGTGAGGTAGTGTCTTAATGCCCAAGGCTGTTGAGTCCCAGTTTTTGACTTCCTGTTAATTGATGTCAGTTCGGACTTCGTGATATCGTCGATACCAGAGCGGGTACGGTAAACCGCGTACAGACTTACCCACTGTGAGAGGAGCATACAGCACACGCGTGGGACTGAGGAGCCATCATTCTCTACGTACAACAAGGCGAGTCCGAGTGTGTGAGAGTGATGGTGTGAGAGGGATCGGACACAATGGCCGTTCGTCGGTACGACTTCAATTTGATGGAGGAGCCGAGCACGACTTTCTGGCAGCGGTCGCCGATATTGTGTGGAGCAACCTGGGGAAATTCGGGAGCGAAGGGGTGAAGTAGTATCCTTTATGATCACCGGATGATATGTTGATGCCATAAACTTCAACACCCATTGTGACTTCCATAGTCTGCTCTTAGCTATCATGTGCTCAAGTGTCAGTGAGTCACACCATTTGTGCTTTCCACTGCCACGAAGTGTTATAGTGACGCCATCACCCAACCGATCGTTTGATAAGTGTACTTGTGAACGACGGGGCTGCCGCGCGTATGGCTAACTTGATCTCCAAAAAGTGGCGTTGCTATTGGCACATCTGTGCTAGAGCTTTGAAGTGTGCGTGGGCCCCCATTTCCAGGAGCCGCGTGTGAGACTTGTGGGCTTCAGCACATCTGTGCAATCTGTTGACGTTATCGAGGAATCAATTCCTGTTGTTCCTTAATATGTAAAGGAAATAGTTTCCTCGATGATGGCGGTCTCAGTAGATCAGTAGTCAGAATGTGAATACCAGGTGTCGTCGTGAAGTTACGGCTGTTCTAAAACTGATGACGAGGTAGCTTCGTTGTCCTTTTGGGCTCGTCGTAAGTATATTTTTATTGGTTCAAAATTCAAGAGCTTCGGACAACTCGAATCGATGAGAGATCCGAGAAGCCCGATTGGATGGCAAATTTTAGTCTCAATTTTAATGATTCAATGAATCCATGGCTGTTAAATGCATATAAATTTTCGCTGACCTCAGCCTCGACTAGCCACAGTAATTCTATCCTCATCTGAGTCAAGTGTGCGTAGCTCTAAGTCGATTGTAGAAGCATCCATGTGATCGTCATGACAATCATGGTCTTCAGGATAATCAGGCGGCTTGTAGAGTTGTGGTTTCGAGAGACTCCGTCGTCTTTTGGAAACTGGCTCCTCGTCTGCCAGATTGTCCATAGCCTCCTGATTTCGCCCAAATAGCGATATTGAGTATTTCCTTAATATCCAAGGAAGGTACTCGTATAGCTGATACCTCCAAAACTTACTTTTGGGCACCGAATAAATGAAATCGAGATCTTCGAGTGATATCCGCCTCGTCTCTTCGACGAAGAGAAACACAAGGACCCACGCGACTAAGTTGAAACAAGAGAATAAGCCCAAAGTTCCTGGGGAGCTAAGTCCAGATATAAGACTGTCGAAGTCAGGTGACCATTCATATGTTGGAGCATCGGGCATACCTTGGGAAGAACAACGACAGACAACCAGCGAAAAGAAGATTCACTGCAACGGCAAAAGCACAACCCTGCATCCCGGTTGGTATCGAAACCGTTAATACGATTGGAATTAGTCGGATTCACTTACTATCTCGCGGTGTGACAATGGAAAACTGCGAGCTGTTAGTTGAACGTGCCTCCAAGAGTGTTTATCCAGCTCCTAAAACATACCTTTCGGCTGCTAGCACAAACGGGATAGGTCCTGTTTACCGATCAACATTCCGGATCTTATAAGTTACTATTGCGATTTCTTACCAAGTCCCGGGGAATAAAATATCGTATGTACTAGATAGGTCAGCAAATCCTGCTCGTGAAATGTCCATGTTGTCCTGCACTCACAGTATAGAAATATGGCAACCAGAGCGCAGGTCAGCTGAGACGCTGTGCTGGGTGTTAGAGAAGTATTGTATAGCCCCAAAAAGGACAAAGCCGCAGCTGCCATCATAAGAGACATGAGGGGCAAGGTAATGAGCAGCCATCTGCGCCTTCCCACTGTATCGATTCTTCTGATAGCTGGAAGCGCGAATGTAAAGTTCAAGAAGCCTTGGTTTCTTTGTTCAGCGAGCACGATACAAATTGTGCAGGAAAGGAGCTACTTACCAAACCCAATACTAAAATACATAGCAGCATCCTTATTGTTTGTTACGGTATTGAAAAATGTCCCTGAACTGGTTAGAGATATGCCCACAAATTTGCGGAGATTACCTGAAATACCTGAGTAGAATGCTAATATGTTGACTGCATAGAGTTAGGTTCAGGTTTCTAGAATTGGGCAAGCAAGACTGCACTTACTGCCACACAGCTGCTGTGCTAAAGCAGTGATAGAGCTGCTGATCAACGGATTCCGATTGCGCCTGTTGGTAAACAATTCTCGGAGCTGACTGGTAAAGTCTCCTATGTAAAAGTACCTTTTAGGCCGCATAAAGCCAACGAAATCTCTCAGATTCCAGCGCATGTCATACTGTAGTTCTACCTCTTGTTGAATGGCTTTGTGAAGGAGGTAGATATCTCGCATAGCTATCAACTAAAGATGGAGAATTATTAGACTAGAAACATGAATACTACACGTGCTAAAGATCATTTACCTCACATCTCCTCAGAGTTTTGATAATGGCATAGGCTTTCTCAGGACTGTATTTTGGGCCGCGCCTTAAGTAGTATCGAGGACTCTCAGGGCAGACAGCGAGTGCGAGGAGTAGTACTATTGACGGAACGACGGGTGCTCCAAGAATCAAAGCAAGAGCGAAGTTGTCGTCGGTAGCTTTCGAAAAGAGGAGGTTAAGTATAAATCCAACAAAAATACCACAGGCAACCCTAGAACAAAAGATTAGCCAAGGCATGATCTTATTTGGGGTCGCAAGGTGCTGCTAGCTCACCAAAGTTGCCAGGCGAGAATCGATGTGCCTCTCCAGTAACCCACAGCGGTCTCCGAAGCAAGCACTGGTGTATTGACAGCCTTGATACCCATGCCTATGAGACAATGTTAATTACGACTCGGCAAGCTACAGAACTGCGCCGCTTACCAATGCCGTTAATGATTCTTATCCCGAGGAGGATCTGCCATTTCGGAGTGGATGTTTTGATGACAGGGACTATGGCCAAAAGTACCGAGGTCACCATTACAACAGCTGCAGCAATGACCATTGATCCCCTACGGCCGAAACGATCGCTAAATGGCAAAGCCATCCAGCAGCCTAGAGCCGCAGCAGCAAAGAACGGGGCAGCATTCGTTATTCCCAAGTACCAGTCATCCTTGCTCGGCTGGGATGGATATAACACGGCCTGTTTGATCGAAATTGTGGTGGGATCGTTAAGGACGGAGGACATGTTGACTGGAAGGCCGATAGCATCCCGGTACAATGAAGCGCCGTTAATGGATGTCTGGACATGGCCTTGAAGGAAAGCGGCCAGCGATACGGTTAGGATGACTATCAGCATGCCTCGCTCCGGCATAGCCGAGTCATGTTCGGCAATCAGTGCCTGTTTTTCTTCACCATCCAGCTCGACCAAGCCTTCGGTGCTTCCTGGCCAGTTACCGCGACTAATATCCTCATACGTTTTTGGATGTTTTGCAACTCTTGCAGCACGCTTCAAGCGGTCACAGTTGACGTTTGGAAGACATTGTTGATGGAATGCCTCAACATCTGCTGCAAGGTCTTCATCACGTATATGACCTAGCAATGGCTCAGCTCGGATCGGAAACACACGACTAAAAATACTACAAATCAACAGAATGAGAGGGAGTTGGACTCACTGAGAGCGTCACCAAGATATGCATCGTTGTTTGTAAGGCGGTGGCTCATTTTCTGAGGCACAGCCGGTTAGAACGTTCCGTTCACATGGTCGGTGGGCCACATGGCACCACACAGTATAGTAGGAGCGGTGGGAATTATACGGTGCAATGGGGGAACAGCTGGTTTGACCAGGTTTGGGGGAGTGTCGTCGGCCAACAAGACGCACCGATGACTTCAATCGTATGCCTTGACCCGCTGAATGCCTAAAGAAAGGGCAATACCTTTGATCTGAAAGCCGCGAGTGGAGACATGTCGCGGCTCCGCGACTGCGATTGTCGACGCGGCTCGCCTATTTCGAGTGTCGCGCCGTCATTTCGATAATTGCCTTGCCTGCGAATAGCCTTGCGACCCGAGAGTTGCTATGGCAAGGTAGAAGGGTCGATCTATGGATATCGTAAAGTCACAGCGGTGCTCTGGTCAATTTGTGTGCACGAAGAGGGGAAAGGTTGAGTTGACCGGCAGCAAGTCAGCCTCACAAGGGTAACAAGATCATGCCGATGTCTTCGATGAATTGCGATTGCACGTTGAGACTAGCGCAGCCACAGGGACGGGTAACCGGAGGGCCGCCGTGCGTTGGCAGTTTTAAACGCACAACAACAGCAGCAGGTTGTTAGAAAATATGACCTCTGCTGATTGTGGCAGGACCCAAGGCCTGGTCAAAGGTCGTGAGGTCTGATGGAACAGGGACGAGGCCGAAAATTATTCACAGACGGACGACACAGAATTACAATATGGGGTTGTTCAGTACACATGAAATGGCAGCTTCACGCCTTGCACCAAGAGCCTGGGTTGCCATGATTGCCCCTAAGTTGAAGCTAATAACGCGCAACGCACCCCGCCTAGACTAGGCTAACCTAGGTCATTTCAATGCTAAGCCATGTCGTTAAACGGAGCTAGAAAACTCGATCCCATCCCTTCCAGAGAGTGAAGTGGCCAGTGGGCTTTCGTTAAACAGGCATAAGCGTTGAAAGCTTGGAAGCCTCTTGAGAGATGTCGAGGCCCATGAGATACCTATACCTTAGGAAGATTCTCAACTGGTGGTATCGCAACAATCTTGTGACGAGGTACATAAGGTACTGGCTTGGTGTTACCTTGTCCAAAAGTCCCTGGACACAGAAAGTGACGTTTGCTCCATCGGATGCGACCAAACATCTGCAAGATCGTCCAGCTCCAGGTGGTACCAAACCCTCGGTGAAGAACTAGAACACCGCAGGCATACACAACCACGGAGTACGTACATAGCCCATGAAAGGACGGTTGCGGGGTACGTTCAGCTTCCTGTCGCCCTCGAGCCCATGGTTTGTACACCCTTGTACCCGACTTAAAGGCCGTCCGTCGGTACTGTACTGGACAGGCACAGCACAATGGCAGAATCTTGTAACCTTACAGCGAGTTACCGCATTGAATATGCGATGAGTACTTTCCCACATTCGCAGCTCCGCGACTTACAGGTCAAAGGTTCCGCCACAAGATGGCGGGCGACGGGGGCTCTCCATGGGGTATTCACAAGCGTGGTGCCACGTTCTGCGGAGTAGCAAGACTGAGACAGATCCTTTTGCTTCGCCCAGCCCGCCATACCCCAATTTATCTCTCAGCACGACCGCTTGAAATTGCTTGGAGTCTTGGGAACTCATTCCCTCGCAATACGCGCATGATGGTCGTCGGGCGCCTGGTGGTTTGCCTGCCACTTCAGAAGTCCTGTTTCTGGCGACGTTTACGAAACACGTCGATCGCAGCATCACACCGCCTTGAATTAAGCTGATGATGTGGCGTTTGCGCTGACCATTCATCCGTTGGCCATTCTGTTAACAATCTTTTTTCCGCCCAGGTGTTATCTGGGGGCATTGAGTTTTGGACACCAGTCCTACTTTAAGGGCTGTGACTAATTTAGCACCATTTCAATTCATAGTGGCAACGACCTCAACACCGGGGTAATCCTGCGTTTACTGTCTTCCCGGCACAGCCCCTCACGTCCTCAGCTCTTCTCACCTTCCATCGCCTTTTCTTCGCCACACCGAAGTCCAACTTCTGAAGCAGGTAGCGCTGGAACAGGTTGACACAAACCAATTTCACTGTGATTCTACGGGTTTTCTTCCGATTTATCGGTTTTTCGTATCCGTGGAACAGCTAAACCTTCCACGAAGCTTCCATACCATCGCACAACACGCATTCATCTTGTCGCCCAAGTAGAGACTTGATCCTGTACATCACGTATATCTTGTACGGGATTGCTGAGTCCAGAGCCTCCTTCTTGAACTGAATTCGTAGCCGGCGGCAGTATTGTTGGGCGATTTGATGGCGAGTCCAGGCAATGGGCGCGCATTGATTTGACCGGCATTAAGCAAGCATAATCATTTGTGCTTCACCCAAGATGGCAACCAAACGACCTGAACATGTTCAGCGACATGGGGTTTCAGAGGGCTCCCCTTCGTCAGTCTCCGCAAGCCCCGAACATAGACCGAGTAGCATGCGACACGACTTTGCGCCCATGAAATCCGACTTCGAATTATGCCAGAAAAACTTCAAGGATGCTTGTTGTAGCAGGCAGTTTGAAGAAGCGGCTGTCCACCACAAGAAACTTGTCGATCTCCGCAGGGATCTCTCCTCCCTCCGCCCATTCCCTCTTGCCGCACAAATTGACGCAAACTTGAGGCAAGCAACCATTTTGCTGATGTGCAAGGATTTCGATGGCATCGATCGGTCCTTATTTCCTGATATCGAACATTTGTCTCGGCAACGGGACCGCCACCATGGGTCGGATGCTATGGCTTGGGGCGTGCTATGTGCAAAAGTTGGGTTTTTGTACATGAGGTCACTTGACAAGGCAGATTTGAAGACCGCTACGACGTTTTTTGACCAATCTCTCAAAAGTCTTCTTGGGATAAAACCTGTTCCTACTGAGCACATACTTCCGATTGCGCAATGTTTGGCTGACCTGTACGATTTTATGGCAGGAGACGCTCTAGGTGCCGAAGAATTGGTGAAGTGGCTGGGAGAAGAAATTGGGCACGATGAGACTAAGGATATTGTCGTCGGTCGTGTCTCGAGAGCTATAAATTGGATCAAGACGACTGGGTCCGGCTTCGATGGGCAGCGATTTGATATATCAGCAATGGAGTATGCTCTCAAGCAAAACGAATCAGTACATCTGGAAACGATGTTGATCTGGACCCAACGAACTCGCCCTTCGAGCACAATTTCTTCTAAACTCCTTCTTACTGCGGCAGACGCTCGGAGCATGGCAATGTGTCAGCTCTTGTTTAGATATCAAGCAAATGTTGACGCCGTTGACGTTGCTGGAAGGACAGTATTACATCGCTGCGTGTCCCAAGGTCCAGCCAAAGACCAGGGTTCCAGGAAGGACGTATTGAGGATGACCAATCTCTTCTTGAACAAAGATGCCACCCTTCTGAATAAGCAAGACTTTTCAGGGAAAACCGCTCTATACGCGGCCTGTGAGGTTGGCTATGCCGACATGGTCTCGTTTCTGGTTGGCGTTGATGCCAACGCCAACCTGGCTGAGAACAATGCCCAGTCCCCTCTGTACATGGCATGCGAGCATGGTCTTAGACATATCGTGAAATCCCTGGTCGAAAAAGCTAGAGATCTCGACATCAACGCTAAGGGTCCTGGTGGACAAACACCTCTGACAGCTGCCGTCCAGTACGCCGCAGCGCATGCCGAGGGACGACTCGTCGTTGAAATGCTGATCAAGAAAGGCGCTGATCCCTCGATCGAAGACAACACGGGGAAAACTGCCCTCAATTATGTCGGCGGTATTTGGGCCTCTGATTTGAAGACCGCGCTGAAGAATGCCAAACACAGAGCGACTGCGTCTTCGTCTAAACCTCCAGATCACATTAGTACCTCTTCCCCGAGTACCAGCCATCCAGGCAGTACACAAAGATCGAGCCGACCTCCAAGTACACGATCGTCAGTATTCGCCAAGATAATTCAACCTCGCATTCGAAGTAGCGCCTCAAGCTTCTTTAGTCCCAGTAGGACTTCCCTAGACACAGCTTCGATTGCCCCCGGCTCTGTCTTCTCGAATGACATGTCTTCCCGTCGAACAAGTATTACTGTACCGAGCATTTACGAGTCAGAAAACGATGCACAGTTGGCGAGCATTGAAGCCGACACAACGGGCCAGGCAATTGCACAGAAAGGGATATTTGTACCAGTAAACTCAACGAGCAGCAGGAATGCTTCCAACGATGACGAGCCCAGAATTTCCAAGGAAGCAATATCGCTATCGGAATCAACTCTGTCTGCGCCGAGAGTGTCTGGGTTTGGCAGTGACTTGAAAGGGATGCCCATTGTTTCGAGCCCACCAGCTTCTAACGGCCTTTCAGCGGCTATTCGTGGTAACGGATCCCAGTCTACCAGTGGCTACCACCATGTCCGAAGCTCGGTAGAGTCAAATCGATCTAGTACTGATTCCACATGGGATACTCCATCGGACAGTGAAGAGGCCAGCCATGACGGCGACCGAAGCCCGCTCGAAGTTCGAACCCACAACTTGCCTATTCGTTCTCACCCGGAGGGGATTAGGGATCGCCCAGCAGGTCACCAGGGCCAACGTGACGGTTCATTTGACGGCGCTTCCTCGATACCAACACCACCATCGGACCATCCTTCAGGAGCTGGTTCACAAAAGGCAAATGCTAGACAGGGCAGCAGCAGTGGGTCTCAAGGAGCCCGAGTCAGTGACGCCACACAAGTTCCTGGGTCTGAGCAGAAGCGCCAAGTTCTTCTGGCGTGTCCTTTCGCAAAGAAAGACCCAATCACTTACGAGCATTGTCACAAGTACGAGCTCAAGGAAATCAAGCACGTAAAACAGCACCTGAAACGTTGTCATCTAATTTCTTACTGTGCTCGTTGTAGAGTCAGTTTCCCGAACCAGCTTGCTCTAGAAAGACACCACCGTGACGACGATGCATGCGCAAGAAGCGACCGTCCCGTCCCGGAAGGCATGACACTTGAACAGCACGAGATACTGAAACCGCGTACGAACCACAAACTCTCGCTGGAAGAGCAATGGTATTTCATATGGGACGTTCTCTTTCCAGGACGAGAACGTCCTGCTACGCCATATAAAGACGAATTTGTCAATCTCACGGAGTTCCACAGAATCTATCGGGACTTCCGGGATAACCAAATCCCGACATTGGCTGGCAACGTCCTGCGCGAGATGGGGATGGCTACGGCCATCACACAGGACCAAGCTGTTGCCCTGATGCGCAGGAGTTTGATGGGATTTGCCGGCATGCTTCAAGGCTCGGGCTTGATCACGCAACATGATACTTCTTCCGATCATGGAAACCAATCACGGTCTACTAGCGTTACTGATGGAGCTGAGCATAGCCCTGCACCACGACTGAACAGTCTGGACAGCATGCAGGGTCAGCTGACGCCTGATTCGAGTGGCCACCCAGCCCACCAGAGCAGCCCCCAAAGCACTAGATTTTCTGACGACTGTTACGATCCACTCCAACGAATTGAAGAAGTATCAACCACGTCGTCGGATATGCGACAGGACTCTGTGGGAGTTTCTCAGGAATCAGCTCACATGCTCAACCCAGCATACCCGGGCTCGTCTCAGCCTTCTCTGCCATCGCAACAGGGAGTGCCATTCCAAGCACCAGAATGGAACAACGGCTCCTACAACATACCGTCCACGGGCGCGACTTATGGACCGTTGAGTGGCATGACGGCCTGGGGGGAGGATGCAGCTGTAGGCTCTTCTGCGACCAACCCACTCTATTCGGCTGACGAGCTATTCAACATGGGGCCCGCTTCAATGGAGCATATCATAAACTTCGACGTGGATATGGATCTGGATATGGGTAATGCGCCTGCTATGGCTCAGACGTCCACCAGCCCGGACTATTTCCCCATGCAGCAACACTTCCAGGGGCAGCAAATGGCTAGTGGTCCCTACATGAGCAGTGGGCACTTATCCAGTCAATACCCGCATGTTCCACAAAATGGCCCTGGACAAACCATGTTTTCTCCAACATCCCAGCAGCCTGGAAATGGGCAGCAGCACACCTGGAACATGCGATAAATTTGGTTAGGCGTTGGTGCTGCGACGGCGGCACAAAGACTTTGTATATTTACTGTTGGAAAACTGGTCGATACCCACATCTTGGACGTTCGGGGTTATTTTGAGGGTTAGCGGGGTGTTTTGGTGTCTTGAAAATGGATCTGCGTATTGTTGAACTCGTCGATAGTGGCAAGCTATATGTGACATTGGTGACCTGTGTCATTATCACGGAACGGAACATATTATACTATGCCGCCCATGGTTTTCAATTCTGTGATTGACCGCTGTATGTCAAGCCAAGCCGGAGAGCCTGAGTGTTATCGTTTACGGAATATGATACAACGAACTGCAACACACTACAGCACCTACACTGCAGCACCTACACTGCAGCACCTACACTACAGCACCTACACTACAGCACATATGTCCACTACGGTAAAGACTCGCTGCGCTTGAGGACCCCCACGTTTTAGCTTTTAGCGTGGTGGGTGGGGTTATCGATAGCGACCATCAAGAAAATAATTGATCCAGCATCTCTTAGCATTGGCCGTGATCATACACAGCCATATATTCTCTTCTGGAACTAGACTCCTAAAAAGCCACAAGCCCTGAGTCGCCACTGCCACGACAGACCAGGGAAATTACAGCATTCACTCCACATGATGGAGCGATCAAAGTCGGCAAAGCGCAAGTTACCATCCGCCGGCTTGCAGAGACGAGTGCGAGCAAGAAAGAATGAGCCAGAGCCCGATTTCGAACAAGACCATGATAGTCAGTCATCAGTAGAAGAGAGCGATGGCGAGGACGTATCTCAACTAGGTTCCGAGGGCAGCGAGGAGGAGGACGACGACGAAGAAGAAGAAGACGAAGAAGAGCCCGCCAACCCCGGGCTCGCAGCAACCCAAATCTCCTTTGGCGCCCTGGCAAAAGCCCAAGCCTCCCTGCCCAGCGCGCGCAAGAAACACCAAAAGGGCACATCCCAGGACGGCTCGGGAGATGAGGACGACGACTCCGGACCCGAAGAGGTCGATCGAAATGGCAACACCAAGCTCAAGCCCATCGCCGGCAGGTCGAGCAAGCACGCGCCCGCCGAGATGACCTCGAAGCGCCAGGTCACGCGCAAGCGCCAGGTCGTCGACACAAACACAATACATTCCCGCGACCCGCGCTTCGGACCCCCGCTGGGCGGCATCGACGCGAGGACGAACGACGAGGCCCTGCGGAAGAATTACTCGTTCCTCAACGACTACCGCGACACGGAGATGAAGGAGCTGCGGGCCAAGATCAAGAAGACGAAGGACCCCTTCGAGAAGCAGCGGCTGGAGAGGGAGCTCCTCATCATGCAGAGCAAGAAGCAGACGCAGGAGCGCAAGGACGCGGCGAGCCGGGTCATCGAGGAGCACAGGCAGAAGGAGAAGGAACTGGTCAAGCAGGGCAAGACTCCCTTCTACCTGAAGAAGAGCGAGCAGAAGAAGAGGGTCCTGGTTGAGAGGTTCCAGGGCATGAAGAAGAGGCAGGTCGACAAGGCTATCGTCCGGAGGAGGAAGAAGGAGACTGCCAAGGAAAAGAAAGAATTGCCCATGGAGAGACGTGCCAGGTGATGGTGTTTCGGGCAGACCGGCGAGGAGCCTCCTTCATATTAGTCTTGCAGGACTTCGCAGAATAAGTTTACAATTGATGATACCAACGAGGCTCTAGTATGCCTTCTCTGTCTATGATGGGATCTTTCGTATATACACAAAGTGGTGATACAATCCTCTCTTCCCCGTTTCCCAAGTATGATACACATTACCTCTGGACATCCAGAGCGGTTTTCTCCAAAGCCCTTTCAAACATCTCCTTGCATCTAACCTTGCTGCCCAGTTTGGCGCAAAGCAGGAAAGCACCACTCAGCTTACGGTGAAGACTATATGTCTCCTCCGGCGGTGGCGCCAGTCTCTCCCGAATCATGACGGGGATCAGCGCCTTCACCCTCTCCGTGATGGTCTGGTCCTCGAAATCGTACACGTCGGGGGCGCTTTGCAGGAACGGTTCCGCCAGGGTCAGAACGCTGGCCAGGTGAGCGTCCACCATGGCTCTGCTCTCGTGTCCGGTCAAGTAGCCCAGCTTCTCGCTTAGGTCCTTGACCGTCACGCGATCTGTTCGGGCCGCGGCGGCTAGGAGGTTGACATACTGCGTGACGAACTCCTCGGGATACTCTCTCGACGCCCCGAAGTCGAGGAGCTCGAGCTTCTCCGTCTCCGCGTTGTACAGGAAATTCGTCCAGTTCGGATCCGTCTGCATGAACTTGAACTCGGTGATCTCCCGCAGGCACAATCTGAGTATCTGCGTGCCGATCCAGTCGCGCTGTTCCTGGGTGAACGACGTGACCCTTGTCACGCCGATGCCCTCCATGAACTCCATGGTCAGGACGTGCTTCCCGCAGGCTTCGGGGTAGACTCTGGGGACGACAAAGACGTCCTCTTCGCTGGCCAAGAGCTCGCGATACTGCTGTGCGCACTTGGCCTCGCGCTCGTAGTCACATTCCCAGCCGAGCTCCGTGCGCGCGTTGTCGATGGTCTTGTTGAGGTACAGGCCACGGGGCAGCATCTTGGTCGCCATCAGGAGCATCGACAGGTTGTCCAGATCCGAGTTGATGGAGTCGGCGACGCCGGGGAACTGGATCTTGACGGCCACCTTTTCGCCCGACTTGAGCGTGGCACGGTGCACCTGTCCGATCGAGGCCGCGGCGATCGGCGTCTCTTCAAAATCGGAGTACAGGTCCCGCCACTCGGCACCCAAGCTTGCGGTAAGCACGCGATCGCGCTGCCATGCCGGCATGTAATCGGCACGGTCTTGGACCCGCTGCAGGACCTCCTGAATCGGCGCGGGTAACATCTTGGAATCCTGGAAGGACATCATCTGGCCCAGCTTCAGGGCCGCGCCACGCATGCGGGACAGCTTGGCCACGAGGCGTTCCATGTTCCCGGAGCTGAGCAGAACGGAGCCTTGGCTAGAGCCTCCTCCAAACCCGCGGCTGAGTCCTTCAGTAATGGCGCCGCCGAGCATTCCTGCGGCGAGACCGCCATAGTTCCACATTCGGCCGAGACGAGTCGACGGCACCTTTGATTCTCGCAGGACGTATGCGGGCTTTGATGCGGGCTCTGTAGGATTGATGGCAGATGTGACGTCTGCTTCTGGGGCAGACGTAGCTTCGGCTTGGGCTAGGACGTCTTTCACCATATCGGTGTGCTCTAGCTCCTCCCCCTGACCTTTTGGTTCGGGGATATATTCTACCTTGGGCGTCTCCAGCGAAGTGACCGTAGGTACTGCTGCATCTTTTTCGATATTGACTGGACTAGAACTTTCTTCCAATTTCGTGTCCACCGACTCAAAAGTACTCTCAACCGGTTTGATGTCCTCTTTGACCAGACGAGCTTCTGTGTGTGCTTCGTATGGTGGTGTCGCTGGTTCCGCTGGTACGGAAGGCACCGGTTGGTTATCCTTCTTGTCATGACCAAAATCCTTGAACCAGCTTGGCTTTGACGTTGGGGCTGTAGGGCGGATTTTCCCTAGGTAGTCCTTGTGTCCATCCAGCAGCGAAGCCGCACGCTTCGAATGAAAAATGTTATCAACGTCTACCCCTTCCGGAACACCGTCAACTGCTATCGAAGGCCTTGGCGATTCCGGTTGATGGCTGCTGCTAAATGATTCATTCAGACTTGCATGCAATGCGGCATCCTTAGGGCTTGCCGGCTGAAACCCTGGTCGTCCTTGGTCAGACTGCGTAAGCGGTACTTCAGGTATGGGTTGTTTCGACGATCCCTGGACCAGCTCCCTGTATCTGTCGCTTCTTTCTGATAATGGCGTCTCATGGATCGGTTTTGGAAACCCGGGGTCATATCCGGGAGGTTGAGCTGCCGGCACTTCTGTGTTGGCCGCTGCAGCTTGCGACGGATTTACACCTGGTTGTGTAGCTCCCGGTGATGGTGCTGTGGCTCCAGCATGTCCTGACCCCGAGGGATCTTGGCCCTTCAGCGACCGCACTATGCTTGACGTCCTGCCATACCGATCCAGCTGCCTCCCTCGCAGTTCCACATGTCTAGACGCGACGTTGCGGGAAGCTTTGAAGACAGCCGCCAAATCGATGAGAAGATCACCGTAACGCATCGCCGCAACTTCTGATTACCCCTGGACGTTTATTTCATCTCTTTGCAACTAATTAATTGCACCTTGATCGCCAGGGAACTCGAGTTTGAGATGTTGGTACTTACAGAAATACTGATATCATCATTCACGAAGGACCCAGTGGAAATTTGAAGACCCAAAGGCGGCTGGAGCCGATTGGACGGTGCCTTCTGTGTGGGGCGCCCCGGCTGCGTCTCAACACGTCCAAGCAATCACTCAGAATGTTTTCACTAGTCTACCTAAACCGTTAAACATTGATATTATTTGGCGAAACGCGTTATGCAACTTGATGTTCCTTCATATCATCCTATAAGCGCTTGAACTACGACATACTATCGGTTCCTATCATTCGACGCTGCAGCGTAACTCTACTAGTTTCTAGGATACCAGGCCGTGATAATGTCAGTGGTCTAGCATTACACTAGCCTTTGTCCTTTGATGAGTGACATGGGGTATATGCTTATATATCTAGCCATATACATTCCAAACCCCCATGAATCTTCTGCATCAGATTATGAAAGGAGCAGCCCGGAAGATCACTTCCCCAGCTAACCACAATACGAGTGGCTGACAAATGATTAAGAAGGCAGGTAGTTGCATTCGCTATACCAGCTTGCCACAAGCCTTTAGTATCTTGTAAACCTAACCATAATTATTCTATATTGTTGTATATTACCGTATTCTCTAACTTCAAAGCACCAGGTTTGGTTAACGGCCGCCAGTGGGACCGCATTGTCGGCCGTGCACATTCAAGCCAGACTGTGGTTGGAAGAGCATTTTGCCCTACAGTGTTTCTGCCATGTTTCTGACTGAGCAGACCCCTATCTGAGCCAGGTTGCTTGTTGGTGTTAGCAGCGAGAAGAGAAACTCTGTGTAATCTACGAACTCATGGTTCGTAGCAGTCATTCTTTTGCCACGTAGAGAAGGCTGCCTTCTTACGAGTTGGAACGCTGGAGGTGGAACTATTCAGAGCCACTACATTTACTTCGGCAGCAATACATAAAAGAGGCATTATGAGATGTTCGTTGGTCTCGCAAATCCGGTAGAAGTATTTGCTAACAAGGTTCTATAAGGCCTGTTAGACCAAAATCCACCTACACTACATTAAACACAGATGAAGACCTTTATAAGTAGAGCAGTCGAGCAGTGTCTTTAATTTCAGCACATTGGTGTATAATATACCTTAAATGTTTGTTGTTCATCGCAGCTGAATATACAATTCTGGCAAACGGATGTAGTTCCGCAGTGTCACTTCTTATTGCATCCATCCGGAGAAGAACTATTTGATGTCTCTCTCTACGGCCCGAAACTGCCGGTAGATTCATTCGTTCCATCTTAATTCATATCTAGGAATTTTAGGATCGTAAGTACCCTGTCGGACAAGGTTGTCTTTTTGGACACATGGTGTTCAAAACCATAAGCAGCCACAAGGAAGCTATTATGCAATCTGACACGGTGCATAATTTTCAAGATCAGGTGCACAATGCTACAGGAGCTATCAACTTAATTAAATGTCCCATTTGACAGCTTATTGGTTACCAGCTACGCGAACTTCACGGTTATGACTAAAATTTTGGTGTTTTAACGGTACGTGCGACTGATTATAATGGTAAGCCTGTTGTTGAAGGATCATACGACGAGGAAAACTAGATGACGCCGAATAGGGGTATATAATTCCTCAACAATATAAGCAATAATGCGTGATTTCTATAGCAAGGGCTCACTTGGATATCGTGAACTTCTATAAAAGCTTGTCAAGTAACCGTGCATTCCCATTACTAACAGACATCTGCCTCATCTCCATTCCACTTCTAAAGATGAGACCGCTCCTCCCATTTGTCGCCTTTACTGGCGCTGTGTTTGCAAGGGTAAACATCATGCTCCCGTTCTATGTATATCCCACACAGCCAGACTGGCAAGCGACTATCGATACAGTCAACGCGCATCCAAACCTTCACTTTTACTTGGTCGTAAATCCTTCCAACGGCCCTACCAATAGCACCCCCGATCCGTACTTCAATTATACACACGGCTATAATACGGACTGGACCACCGGTGTCGCAAAGCTCAACAACTTGGCTAATGCGCAGACAATCGGGTATGTCTCGACGTCATACAACAACGGCAAGAACAACCGCACGAGAGAGGCAGTAATCGCCGACATCGACAACTGGTCCCAGTGGAAAGAACAGCAGAGCGACAACAGCCCAAACGCTAACATATCCATACACGGGATCTGGTTCGACGAGACCAGCGTTGATAGAGAGAACTACGAATTTTATCAAAATCTGACAGCACATGCCAGACAAGCATTCAACGCCTCCGAGGCGCCCCAGTATACCTCTGTGCTGAACACGGGCGTGGCACCAGATCCAGCATACGAGCGCGAGCTGTTCGACCTTGCGGATGTCGTCGTCACACGAGAAACATGCTGGCAGTACAATTCGACAGAAAATGCCGCGGAATGCCCCATGCCTTATGTGCACTACGACGTGGCTACTTTGAAGAATAGCAGCGGCCTGCCAAACCATACAGACCTGTACCCAAAGGCATCTGTCATCGTGCACTACGTCCGCCCGGAGCCGGCGGTGGATGCGACGATACTGGCAGACCAGATCAAGAGGACCGTCGAGTTGGGAATCCACAGTTTATACTTTACGAGTGCCAAGCTCTGGAACATGACCACGATCGGGCCAGCTACAGTGGGTGCCGTGGCAGATGCGGTTGATGCTGCTCAACCGTAAATGATGACTAGCATCGCCGGCGCTCCGAGAGCTGGAACTATGGAGTTGACATGCGAACTGATCTAGCAGTGAGGCCCTGACATTAGAACAGCCATGGTCTGTAGATTAAAGCTCGGAAGTAGGTGAAGCTGAGTTATACTGGACACTTAGTGGAGATATTGAAACCAAGATTGGGAGCTACATAGGGTTGATAGTCACTGTTCGCAATGATACTTCTGGACTAGAGCTCTCCATGTTACTAAAAAGGCTTTCACAAGCTGGGTTTGCTGCTTGAACAAGAGATTACACATAGGCCTGCCAAGGAAAGATGTTTGTTTGGCTGATTAACTTCGACCAACCGTATTATTGCATGAGGCAACAACCGTCGCTATGCATGTGAATAACGTTATAGGCTTTTGCACAAGGTCTGATCACTCAATGCCAATTCTGATTTTCAATGAAGCCTGTAACAGGGACAACGTCACAGTCAATACTGAAGAGCGTCAAATTCACTGACCAGAATGATAGTTCGAATCATACGGAGAGCACTGAGACTATTGAACCACCCACGACACCGTGTCGGTCTGAGCACAATGAGGAACGCCAACGGCAGGATTCCAACCCATACCGTACATATAATCCCCTGTTGAATCGAAAGTGGTTTTGTTCCTGTTATGTTAAGACATCCCAGCTTTGAGTCAATTAAAGTAAATGAGTTGTTTCTTTCACCCTTTCCTTCTTCTGCTTCTCTCGAGTGTCTCGTTTCTTTGTAAATAGAGAGACATTATATGCGTTGCTAATGATCTCATGCTTATAAGAGTATAATCTTAACAAGTTCTTCGAAGCATGCCCCATAGCCGCCAAGCTTTACTCCCGACGGGGTATAGCTAACCCTGTTCAATGCCGAACGCCGATAATAATAGAAAGCAATCCGACTCATACGTGACTGTCAATCGCATCTCGTACTTGAATTGATAGCATTCGCGTACCTCATCTATTCCAGCAACACACCCGCGCATTTGATCGCGAGCGTCTCGTTGGAAGCCATGGTTTTCCACAAGTATTTACACCTTGCGGCCTCGCTTTTTGTCAGTTCGCAGGTAGCGGGCGCGGTCCCTTACCAACAGCCCTTGACAGGAGGATTCGCAACCGCTCCGCCGTCCACCTCGTCGCCGGGTTTCAGTCGCGTTCGCCAAAACGACAGCCTATGCGACGCAGGATCTGCTCAATGGACGGGTACGGTTCGGGTAGGAAAGGACAGGAACCTGTTCTACTGTAAGCGCTGTTCCGTAACGAGATGCACAGATGTTAACCTTTCAGGGTACTTCGAGAGTCGCCATGATCCCGAGAATGCGCCACTAGTACTTTGGATGAATGGGCGAGTGTTCCCATCATTGGCTGTTACGGGGTATAGGCTGACGTAGAGATGCAGCGGACCTGGCGCTTCCTCCATGCTTGGTGCACTTTTCGAGGTCGGCCCCTGTAGCGTGAACGACAATGGGACCGGTACCAGGAGGAACGAGTACAGCTGGACCGAATTCGCCAATGTAGTCTTCATAGAGTAAGTGATTGTGCCTAACGTGAGGTGAGATTGTTGGGCAGCTTACCCAAGTTTCAGTCAACCAGTCGGTGTTGGTCTGTCTGCGACCAACGACAGCGAACTATGGGCAAGAGACCTTGCTGAGGCCGGGGTAGACTTTTCGCGCTTCCTCGATACGTTTGTGGAGGAGGTTTTCCCGGAGCTCGAAAACCGACCAATTCACATTACGGCTGAGTCATACGGCGGTCATTATGGCCCATCGTATACTGCAATGCTCCGACGGAAGATCGCGTCTCTGATCCTCGTAGATCCATTTATTGATTGGAATCTACTTGTTTTGGGAGCCTATGAGCATTTGTGTGTTCCAGGACCACTCGTTCGCAACGGACGACAGTTCAATGCGACAGCCTGCGAGGAGATGGAGCAGTTTTATCCCAGCTGCGAAAAAAGCGCGAAGCTGTGCCTCGCGACAAACGACGGCGATACATGTTGGGCGGCTTTCGAAGTTTGCGACCACATATGGACACAATTTTACCAGACGGTCATTGCCGGAGGTTGGAACCCCTACGACGACAGACGGGTGTGCGACGAACCTCCTCTCTGTGGCGGCCAAGGTGAGTTCTAATCAGCCATCACAGCCATGTCGAACCCAAAGTCTAATGCAATTGTTACCTAGGAATGACGCAGGTTGATGCATTTCTCAACCTGGACATCGTTAAAAGGGCATTGGAACTGCCAAGCGAATTCGTATTCAGTTCTGTCGCTTGGGAGTTCAACGAGAAGTGGTCCAACACGACGGAAACGTATGTGCCCACGACCAGAGAGGTCGCTAAGATCTTGGATGTGAAACAAACGTCGGTTCTGGTGATCAACGGCATGAACGACATTGGCATGTAGGTGTTCTTGTGTGGAACTTGACGAAACCCTACTGATAAGCATCCAGTAATTGGGAAGGCATGACTGAAGTTTTAAACTCGGTATCTTGGAGCGGGCAAGCTCGATTCAAGACGCAGGCGTTGAGAGCATGGACCTTGCACGACGACAGTGCTGAGGAAATTGCCAGAGGAAATTTTAAATGGCACGACCGACTAGCGATCGTCAATGTTGACGAGGCCGGGCACATGAGCCCACATGACCAACCGGCTGCTACATCTTTCGTTATGAAGAAGTGGTTAGAAAAGCACACGCTGGAAGATTTGGAGGCCTGATGTCTTCCCGTTGTTCTGAAGATGCAATGAGACCATGGCAGGCGCCAGCAAGGCTGCAAAGACGAGTGCACTGATAACTGTTAAGCAGCATCTGCGTCCCAACTCTGACTTGTCCGATTACTGATATTTTATATTCCAAAACGGAGCGACGCATCTGCAAAGGTGACAGATGGAAGAGCCCAAACTTATATGCTCATTCAACTGTTGGCATGATATTTTCACCTTTACAAGACTATTACAAAGTAGAGAGTTTCTGGGATTTCGTGGTGATATGGAAACACTAAGTGGGAACAGCCACATCATATAGAATAAAAAGAGCCAAGGATGTCTCGGTGATTTAAAGAACGACTATGCGAACTCTTCTGTCCACAGCAAGCCATAGAGCAGAGATTCGGAAAAGTCTCATAGACTTGGACATCGACTGATTTGATCATATGACCCCATTTTATCCCATATGCTACAGTTGTTTTAAACAAGGCACCTACTGACGTAAACAATTTTTGAGATTATACTATATTATATAATCAGAATACTGTATGGGAACTAATGAGATCTTTTGTACGCGCCACTTGCCACAGGTTGGGTTGCTCGTATAAAGATTTATACTCATGGCTTCTCGTAAAAACCTATATAAAGGCACTGTAGGTTATCCGGCACACCGTACCGCATATCTTTACCTTTTCAGACAAGCGCGTGGCTTTCAATGCATAAGCTGAAGGCTGAGGGGACCGAAGGATTACAGATCGCTCTTGTCGATACGTCATAGTGGAAGCACACTGATCAGCTGGTCAAACTGCGCCGCTGAGACTCAACCTTCTCCACAACCTACGGGATTAATAAACCTGGGTGTTTACATGCATAGGTCCCGCCTGGAAATCCCAATGTTATAGTGGTCTTAACAACTATCAACATTTAAATATACTCAATCATATCTGTATACTTCACTTTCGAGTACCTGTGACAACCTCAAAACAATGTCTTCACAAAAGGAACAAGCGCAAACGACAACGACATCGGCGGCATCAGAGCGGAGTTCGTTGCCAACAAGGCCAGTCGGTGAGCGATGCGGTTATGCACACATGGGCACCGACTGGGATCTCAAAAACACAGAATCCGCCAACAAGGAGAAGCCAGAGGGAAGCACAAAGAAGTCATGGAAGAGCCGGCTGTTCAAGGGACCTGGCCTTGGAATTTATGGTTAAAGGCGCAAACCTCAAGCAAGCATGGTGGTACAATTTTGGCACACCCAAACCCAGCATGAACACAACAAAGCTCGTGTTCCCACCAACGACACCGCCGGGCCTTTTTACACATGCTACAGCACAACGGTGGCATTGAACGGGAATAATAAATGGATGTACCTTCATATGTACCAGTAAATGTTATGTACAAACAATAAGGCCTCTGCACAATGCTTGTGCAAGAGAATAAAAAAAAGAATATAGACATGGTAGAATCGAACTCCTCGCTTTCACCGAACCAACGCTCAGTCCCAGTCCCATGAACCTAGTGGTTCCTCTCTTCTTTTACATCAAGCGGTACGGGGTTGGGTTACCGCTCTTGAGGTAACTCTTCAAAGATGTGGTCCCGTTCATCGCCGTATTGATCGCCTCCGCAAAGGCCTGAGCACTCAGATCCGCGCCCGTAGGGCTCGTGTGCGTGTGGTCATTGGGGTAGAGGGCGTTGGTGGCCGTGTTGCCGAGCTTGGCGTATGTGTTGGCGACGGCCTGGAAGTGGTCGACGAAGGTGACGCTGGAGCTGCCGATGGCCTGCTGCGCCGTCTTTTGATAACCGACGAAGCGCGGAGCCGAGTAAACGTACGAGCCAGTCTCCCAGAGGTTGTTCGGCGTCTGCGACGACAGGATGACGGTGGCACCCTTGGCTGTCATCAGCTTGGCGGCCTGTATGACGTAGAAGACAAAGGTGTAGACAGTCGCGCCCGTGGAGTCCGACACGCATGTCTCAGTGCCGGAGCCGGGGCAGTCGGAGCGTCCGTTGTCGCTTGATTCGGGCGAACCGCCATCGTTGTGGCCGAACTCGATGACGACGATGTCACCAGATGTGACTGATGCGGCTGTGGATGCAAAGCGGCCCTCGTCCCAGTACGATCGTGCAGACCGGCCACCAATGGCGTTATTGACGGTTGTGATGGACACATATTTGTTAATATATTGACCCCAACCGTCCGTGTCACCGTCATTGGCACCGTTCTTGGCCATGGTGCTGTCACCGCATAGGTAAAGAGTTGGTGTGGCCCGGGCGGCCAGTTCTTTATCGACAGGAGTAGGCGAGGCCGTGGCTTGGAAGGCACTCAGCGCCAGGGCCAGTAGTGGAGTTGCGAATTTCATGATTGGAAATATAGAAGATGCGGGCATATAGTTCAGGATCTGGTATAAGCTTAAAAATAAGGACCGGCCTGTGCGAATGGCAATGTGAGAAGCGAACGACTAAGTTGATTATATAGTGACGATCGTCACCCAGACATACATCAGGGAGTTTTTAAGTCAATTTGTATGATCCTGTGCATGTGGCTGCGCATCTGCCGGCATCTATTCCCCTTTTGGGAATCTGGGGTGCAGCTCCGTTGGACCGCCGGAATTTTCTTGGCTCCAGTGCGAAGGCCCCGGTCATGGTGTTTTCCACCAGTCAATAAGAGATGAACCAGGAGCCAGGGGTGATTCCAACTCCACTAAGTCAAAACCAGTACGGGCCAACACCACTCCTGATTAAAATTTCACCATAAGCCGTACCCAATCCTTGACTGCGCTTAAGGAGAATTGTACCACTACAAGTGGGTTTTCTCTTGGCAGCAACTGGTGTTCGTCCCATCATTGACCGATGTTTATTGAGGAGTTCGGAAGGGGCTCATGAGAGTATAGACGTCTGAGGCTTCACCTGGCCTGGTTTTCATTGCTTTGCCACGTGGAAGTGAGAAAAGCGTAGGGAGAATTTTCGCGTAGTGCATTGGCATTGATTCGAATGGTGCGCTTAACTCGGTGACCAGGAAATCTATGTCGCCATAATAACGTCGCCATCCGCGCCATCCGCAATGGCCATACCACCTAAGCTAGGTGCAAGACTATCCATCTCTTGCAGGGTATACTCAACCAGGTAGCTTTCGTCTACCAATTCCTCCATCCTCTTGTAGTGTCTCTCGGTATATACTTTTAGCGCATTCAGAACCTCCTTCAAGCTCTTTTGCCCACGTGCTCCCTTGACGGATAAATTAGAGAACTTGGATGCGGGATAGCTCCTCACGAGCGTCCATAGAATACGCTGCGCTATAGGCGCGGTCCTCGCGTTTGTGTTCCAGTCACGCAACCTCAAAAGTAGCATGAAGAGCTGCTCGTCTGACAAGTTAGCAAGAACCTTGTCTACAGCCAACAGGCCGGTCAAGCTGCCTGACTCTGGTGTCTTTGAGTTGATGACATTGGTAAAAAGCGATAGCAGGCGGCCCGGGTGGTTGAGCTGCAGTGCTAGCACGATCGCTTCTCGATAAGAACCATGATGGATGTGATTCTGGAGTTCTTGTTCCTGCTCGATCAGCTTTAATTGCTCCTGGCTCGCGGCGACTTGCGTTTCCGAGGAAGTGTCCTTCCAGAACGTGACGGTCGAATCTCCGCTTCCCGACACGATCATGTTGGTTTGTGGTTGAACTGCTAGCGCCCAAACCCGATCTTCGTGGTTGTCCAGAGTGCACTCAGCCTCGCCACTATTGGCATCCCAAACCTTCACAAGACCATCTCCAGCCGCGCTAGCGAACAGAGTGGGCTTCTTCCCGCGGTCTTCATTTGACGGAATATTCAGCCAAATAACTTTGAGAACGCTGTTGGTATGACCCTCAAACGTCCTCAGGCATGTATAGTCGTTAAGACTCCACAGCTTGACGGTCTTATCACCACTTCCAGTGACAATCGCCCCCTTCCCGGCGACAGGGCCTTGTTCACCTTGAATGATGGGAGTATTCGAAGGCGCAAAGCTGACTGACCAAACGCCTCGGCGATGGCCACGAAGAATGCCCTGAACTTCGCCCTCTTGCAAATCCCAGATTTTCACGGTCTTGTCTTGGGAGGCAGAGGCGAACAGCTTTGACAGTGGGTCCACGTCAATAGCATTGATGTCTTTGTCGTGTGACTTGCGGGTGTATGCAGCTCGTAAGCCCTTGTTCGTCGCATCCTGCGGTTCCCGAGGGATCTCCCATTTCTTGATAGTTTGATCTTGTGAGCCAGTTATCAGGAAGGCCGGGGGGTGGTTCAGAGGGTCGGCAAACGCTTTTGATCCCTCTTGCGGCCTGGTCCTAGGTAGTGCAACAGCTCCAATTGATTCAGCATGTCCAGAGAAAACAGCGTGACAGGTATAAGAGTTGTTGGCAGGATCGATACGCCACACGCGTGCAGTATTGTCCTTAGCTCCTGTGGCAACCCAGTGTCCTGACCAGTCCACATCCAGTGAGATGATAATCTCCTCGTGACCTTTTAGAAGCGCGATATCTTGCCCGAAGTACTCGGAGGAAACCAAAGCCCCAGACCCAGGCTCCGTGACGGAAACCAACCGTATATCTTCCGAGTTTGTGGCCAATGCCATCATGGACGAATCAGGTAGGAGATACCGTAGGTCGATGATTTCATCGTGCGTTCCGGATATCCTCTTGAAGGGTTCCGGTGCTTGTGTGGCTGTTTCTTTGGTGGGGATGTCATACATGGTCAAAGTGTGGTCAACCTGAACACAAACTATGAAAGGTAATTCAGGTCTTGAGATGGCACGGACGAATGCTTCGGGCTCGGCCTTGGCATCTTGCTCTCTGGTGAGTTCTCGACCGGTTTCCGTGTTCCAATACCGAAGGCATCCGTTGGATCCTGCGGTGTATGTGATGCTCCCTCCGGCGACGAAACCTACGGCTTCAACCAGCTCGAAACTTGGCACAACCTTGCGGACTTTCCAGGACCTCACATCCCACCAGATGATTGTCTTGTCACGACTAGCTGATACCAAGACGTCTTGTTCAGACGAGTAGTCCAAGCCTTGGACATCCGAGACGTGGGATTCCAGGTTGGCCACAACATTTCGCTTCTGCAAGTCCCACACACGAATCTTTCCATCCTGGCTTCCGGAAGCAAGGCGGAATCTGGCAGTCACGGACTGGTCCTCGTCGGGCTCATCTGCCGCTGTCCTCGACTTCCTTCTCTTCTTGTTGTCTTCTTTCGCACCGTTGGCTTCGGATGTCTTTTTCGCGCTTGCCGCAACTTCAAAGAAGTGCAGAGCAGACACGAGCACACTCGGTCCCCGGAATGTGTGAGTAACGTAGCCGCCAGCGATATCCCAGACCTTTATGCCGCCGTCGGTTCCTCCAGTGGCGACCAAGGTTCCGGTGCGGTCCACGGCAAGGACCATAACAGGGGTCGCATGAGGCTTGAGGGTCCTCAGTAGTTGATGGGTGATGGCGTCGGTGGCGTCGGTGGACTTCAGAGAGTATATGCGCATGGACAGCGAGCGGGAGCACACAATGAGATGTGACCCAGACGGGGTGATTGTCAGGGTTGAAATTTGCTCGCCATCGCCCTCGACTTTTCCAAGATGCTGTCCGGTCTTCACATCAGTGAAGATGACATCCTCGCCCAAGGTAGTCGCGAGGATGCGGGCGCCATTGTCTAGGCCGATCGCACCTCCAGTAAAGATAGGTCTGATGACCTCGGTCGCCTCGAAGGTGGTCTTGAAAGGCGACTTGCTAGCCATGATGGGAAATGAAAAGACGAACAGTCAGAATGTGGTGCAGACGACTTGCTCGAATTCTCCCACTTGCACGGGCGAAGCTACCAAAGACTTTACGCAGGCGGGATGCGGATGCGACTTTCTGGAATTTTTTTGCTTATCTTATCGGATCACAGCGTATTGTAGCGTCGCGTAGCGTAGCGTAAAGGGCAGAAGGGCCGCGTACATGGCGGGCGGTTGTCATGCTCCAGGGCTCTCAAGACCCCTGTTGATGCTTTGCAGGTGCTCCGTTGGTGGGGAGGCAGAGGGCCCCAGCCTGTACTGTAGGTACCAGCGTAGCAGGCGTCTGGCGTAACTTAGCTTGCTTGCCTGGGTGCACTTGCATAGTTTCCCTCCCGAGGCTAACCTAGGTTAGTCCAGCCTAAGGTTAGTCCAGTCCAACTTGGCGTCTCATTGCGTTCAATCCATCATCAAGCTCAATCAAGACATCGACCTCTGCTCGAGATACAGCGGAAACGATGACTTAGCACCACTCGCTTGTCAACTCCAATCCCGGCATCTTGACCTCCCGACGTGTGCAAGAGTTCTTGAGGACTTGAAAAGACCCGCCCTTGGCTGCAGCAACCTATCTTAGCCCCCTCATGTCCATGTGCGCCTTCGGGGCACTTCTTTAGCATGGGCAGGCTCGGGCCCTTGACTTCCCAGGCATTGGTACACGCAAACTTGATCTCTCAACTCACTGCACCGTGTCGCTTACATTCATACCCAGGGCCGCTCACCCTACGATGACGTCGTAGAGGGTACGGGTCAAGATGATCCTCATGAGCCCGAACGGCAATATGATGAGAAAGGTCGTGTCATAAACCCAGAGACTAGGCAGAGGACCAAGAACGTCATCCGTGCTCACAATGAAGTAATGGAAGTCATTGGTGTGGCGGAGCCAGAGAACTCAAGCGATTCGCTCGAACTTGTCATGGCCAGGGACCATCAAGCATACGAGTCGGGAGCCGGCAGAAACTTGCTCAATATTGGACGGACGCTTGGTGTCCTCGGCATATGGGGTGTCCATGGCGTGCGGCAAAGAATCATGGTATTTTGAACCTCTCATTGTCAACCCCTTGGAAACCACACACGCTGACTTTCACAAAGCTCTACAGGCCATACTCCAATGTAGAGTTCAAGCGTCTATGGGAATACGAACGCGAGCGACGTTCCCTGAACCAGTTGATGCTTGTTGGACTACCATCCTTTGTGGTCATGCATGTCATTCACTGGACGCGCTTGTCAGTCGACTGGGTACTCGACAAGCCATTGTTGAGAGTCGCTCTCGGATGGTGCCAATTCCATCTCCACTTGTTTCTGACTATGCAGAGACTTGGGTTGATACCAAGCTCGAAGTGGCTTCCCGGGCCCAAGTTCTTCATTCCCTTCACCGAGAAATCTCCCCTACCCGCCCCGCCACCCATTGACAAGTTGAGTGCCGCGTCCATTGGAGGCTGGATCAGCCATCTTGCTGTCAACATGGCTCCGTATGCCGCATTCTTCCTTTGCGGTCGCATTTGGAATTATGTTCACATCAACCTGTGGCCACACGTACACGCACAGCTGCCAAAGCCTTCTAAGAATGAGCACTATGTGCTAAGACCGTTGCCGATCGAGCCAAGACGGACAATAGAAGAGGATGAATGGCACACCGTCCCTGAATCCCCCACCCTTGGAGATGCCGACCACGAGATACGACACGGTAGGAGCCCAGAGCGAGACGTCCCTACTCTGCAAGCTCTGGAAGGCCAGGGGGCAAACACCGATAATGGAATCCCGTTCGGCGCCATCAGGAGACAAAGCACGTTTTCTAGCCGAGGTGGTGATCAAGACTACGGCACCGACGAAGAAGATGCCGATATGGTCAATCCGACACTCATCAGCTTCGACGTTGACACAAGCGAATCTAATGAGCAGCCAGCGGGCGTCTGGTCCGCAGAGCTGCGTCCTAGCTTTGCGGGAGAAGGACGGCAGCCGCCTCCGGACCAGCCAGTGTATATGGTTAACCCGCTCACTAATTTGCCGGCTGTACTTGCCACAGATATCTTGACCAACTTCGTCACGTACATCCTATGTGCGCCCTTTGATACCCTTGCCACCCGGGCGACGGCTCGGGCATTCGCTCGCAGACGCGGCCTCCCCACAGCCAACATGTACCAGATGAGTCTCCTGGACGGCTTGTGTTGGCGGAACTTCGGAAACATATTCGGCATCGAGATAATAAGGTTGTTGATTTCAGGCGAGCTCTGGGCGCTGACGAGCATCGTGTCGCAGTGGCTTCACGTCTCCGAGGATGAGTGGAAGGAGTTCCATAAAGAGGAACAAGAACAGAAGGAAAGAGACGAGGCGCTTGCTCGTCTGGAGCAGGCTGTGGACATGTTGGAGGGAGAGGTTGCGGCCGAGCATGCTGCCGCCGAAGCCCACCTACAAACTCCGGACCAATGAAAGAAAAGCTGGGGTTGTACCCGTAACGTGCTTTGTATTATAAACTTGAGCTCGATGCCAATGGGGCTAGAACATAACCTGCTCATGTCTATTAATTTGACCAGCAATCAGTATTGGACTTTGGAAACTTAAGCACGTTTCTTCTCATATTTATATTTAACATAGCCGGGCCATTATCCTAAATGCTATGATGTATATCTAGCACCGTCAATCCCGTTATCCTGCTCGTGGGTATATGTACTCCTCGCTTTCATCTCGAAAGTCGCTGCTTCCGGTTACTCGCGGGACTTCGTATCCTAACCCCCTCCCAAACACTTTTATATCCTTCTCAAACGCCATGTCATCATCATATCCCAAGAAAGAAAACAGTATGAACCCGATAGAGAACGGTTGCCATAAGACCTTTCTTTATATCCCAGCCCATACCAAAGTTTAAGAAACGAATACATCGCCCGCGCTGCCAGTATCCACCAACAGATTCATAAAACTATCATTTGGCTCTGCCGTCGTGGCGGGAGCAACAGCCGTGGCGTTTGGCGCCGCGTTGTTCTTCTTGCCCCCTTCAGCGGGAAAGTGCAGCCACTGGTCGAAATCGATGTTTGTACCTGTCAGGGCGTTCCAGTCGAATTCATCCTGCTGGTGTTGGGTGAAATCAAGGTCCAGGTCCATCGGAGCCGGTGCCCCCGCATCGCTCGAGTCGCTTGCAGTGGGCGTGAGGCCATCCTTTTCGGTTTGCGGCGGCGAATTGCCAGCCGCCAGGTCTGAGGTTGTGACATACATGTTGGGGTTGGCACCGAGCCTATCGGCCTCTGGCTGTGTCATATACGGTGCGTTCTCGGGTGGTGGAGTGGCCATCTTCTCTGATGGTATAAGGGGGAGTGCAAAGATGGCATTCTTTTCAAGCTCGGCGCCCATCTGGGCACTGTGAGAAGCCTGGATGTCAATGGCCGCCTTACGTAACGCAGCATCCAAGAAGGCGACCGCATAGTCAGCAGCTGAGTAGATGTCGCGCAGTCTCTCCATGACCTTCATGCACTGGCGGAATCCGCGGACTGCCTTATCGCGGGCGTGGGGTAACGGGTTCTTCATCTCGAGCAGATGAATAATCATTGCCGGGAGAATGACAGTGACACCAGTGGTCGGCAAGAATCTCTCGAGCTTAAGATGGTGCATTTCGGCAGCCATACGAGTGATTTGAGAGGCAGCATCCCGAACCTTCATCCGGGACATCTCCTGAGCTTGTCGAGAAGTTGTCGGGGCGTGTAGAGGAGAAGCGTGAAGGAATTGCGGTCGATGCAATGCTGATATTGTGGTATAGTATACCATGTGCAGCAAGTTGCGTTGAACGGCAATTGTCTTGTGACCATCCTTGACATCCATAGCCGTCAATCCACGGTACTGACAGCAAGCTGGTAGTTGTTCAGCCCAAGCCATGAGCGACAAGTCACATTCTGTGACAGTCTCGAGGTTATCGAGCTGCTTTTTGGGATGGAGCATCATGGTACTGTTCGTGGTGTTCTCTGCTCGTTCCGAGTCTCGCACAAGGACAGAATATTGCGCCTTTAGCATTTGGCTGATACACAAACAAAGCTTCGCCTTGGCAACGCACATTGATGCGAGTTGTTGTTGCATCAGGACATCCCGAGCCAGGGTGCAGTCATGGGTAATGACTTGAACGTCATCTGCAAGAGGCCCAATCTCGAAGTCGCTTTCCTCCAGCAATGGCACATCGAAGTCTTCGTCTTTTATCCTGGTCGGTCTTCGCATGCCTAGTGCAATCAAACGATCACGCATGAAACAGGACCACCATATCCTCTTCCACAACTTTTGTTTCCGCGGTGACATGCTGGTGTTGGCGGGATTGCGGTGCAGCCCGATGGTATGAGCCAATGAAATGGCAACACCCATCCAATGCCATGTGTCTTTTTGGTCATCGGGCGTCTCATACCAGTAAGTCATGAGTAGTAATGATTGGACGAGGATAAGCCGATCACTTTCGTAATCGAAGTCATACAAAAGCTATCGCTATTAGCACAGCTAGCGATGGCATGTTGGAGCGTCACTTACCCTGGTTTTCTGGAAATAGGCCTTCCGGGCGGCTTTTCTGTTTGCGTATCCTGCCTCCTTCAGGTACTTGACGTCAACATAGGCAGTGCTGGCAAACATGACAGCATGATATAAGAACAAACTGATCTGTCCGTTGAGGCCGTCGGCTGAGTTGATAGCGCCCAAAAAATCATGCAAGTCCAACATGGGCATATACGGGTGGACATATTCGAGAAAAGATCGCAACAGCGCATTCTGCAAGGTGAGGCTGGGTAGCGTAAGGGCCCCCTTCATGTGCAGGTAGCTCACATCTTCGGCAGCGATCTTGGCTGGCAGAGGCCGGATGAAAGCAGGAAGATATGATGACGCATCTGGTTCCTCCAGCGAGCTCAAAAAGTGAGCAGTCTTGGCCTCGCCGAATGCAGCGCCGTTTTGGCTCGCGTCGTTCAAATTAGGCCATATACTTGGATATCTAGATCCACCGTTCCCGACTTGTAATTGAGCCAGTAACAATGGGTCTGAATGTAGGCTGGCTGATTGCTGATCTGTAGCACATGAAAAATTGCATGGTCAGTATGACTTCATCAAGTGACTGACGGTTTGTTGCTTGACAACTCATGGGTAGCTGTGGCTTCTGACATGTGAAAGCGCGTGGGGCCGGAGGATCGTCAAAGCTTACATATGAGATGCGGAACGTGACCCTCCAAACCGGCATCCAAGAGATTAGCTTGGCTGGGTTGTCGACCAACCGAATTGGTCGTTTCGTCGCCGTTGGTCGTTGCAATAGACACTTCGCTTTGGCGGCGCAGTTCCGTAGCTGGGCTGATGAGAACAGGGTTGCTCGCCAAGTGAAGTTTGTGTGCCTCGGCCTTTTGATGGACAGGATTTTGACCTGCTGCACTGGGGTTGTGGTTGTGGTTGCTGTTGAAGACGCTCTTCCTACAAAGTACCGACAAGGTTAGACTGGGGGGGGTCCCGAACAGTTGGAGAATTTGGAGGTGCATCAGACATGTCTTTTGCTTTGAGGATGACGCATTCAAAACGTATACTTGGGTTTCAATCGCAACCGTGCGATTTATGCAAGAAACAATAAAACATGTAGGAAACGCTCTTGTACTCACTTGCGTCGGCGGCTTTCCTGCACGATGCATTCGACATTATCCCATCTGCAATTGCCACAAGGGGCTCCCTCTACAACATCGCACCGCACCTTGCGTGCACGGCAGGATACGCAAGCACGTGCGGCTCGTCGTTTTGTGATTTTTGGCGCTCCGTTGGGATCTGATTCGGAGGCTGTTCGCTTCTTTGACGTCGAATTGCTCTTGTCCTCTGTTGACGCAGGCGATTGGGTGCTATCTCCTCTCGATGGTGAATTGGCGTCCTGTGGCTCGGGCGAGCGGACGCTCGAATCGTCTTGCGCCATCCTGGCGTACTAGCAACGAAGATAAGCTGGTCAAGCTCGGGATATGCAAAAAGAATAATTTTGAATGACACCGTAATCGGCAATCAGGTTCCTGGTGACTGTGTTTCCCTTCAGATTTCGTCAAAGGTATCGCTGGTCAGCTCGATTGGTGAGGTACAACTCCCAGGTAGTCGCGGACTTCACGCTATAACTGAATTGTGCGGGTTCGAGGATGTCTGCGGCAATAGCTGGGTTGTCTATGTGGAAACTTTCTGCCGTAGTCTAGGAAAGTTGAACTCTCGCACCCATAACACAGTCTTGTTCGACTGGATCATCGATTCTAGGCACGTGAAATATGTTGCAAGAAAGTTTCTGGGGAATGAGACCGCCCGAGCTGGTGGCAGCGGGCCAGTGGGGGACCAGGGACTAATATATTTCATGGAGATCTTTCACACGCGATCAGATCGTGTAGGTTAGACCGGCAGGGTGTGAACACAATGCGACCGGTACATAGGTACCTGACAGGCGGACCTAAAAGATGGGCGTTTGCATCTACAGTACTAGTTGCCATGTCATGTCCAAGTACGAAACTGGAATGCGTGTCTCCATAACTTCTCCGCCAAGGTGCCCACACGGTAATCTTGGCAGCCCCAGGAAAAACAGTTATCAGGCAGGGGACCCAGACAAAGATCCGTATTCCGATTCCTACTTCTCACATGCTTTCATGCCAAAGCCGGCGAAAGCCATGTAAGTTCTCGAAGCTGGTATCTGTTAGTCAAACATGAGGACGGCATCAGCATCACACGCTCAATCGTTATGTAATTGCTGGTCATTCATTTACGGCGAGAAGCCACCGATACGGACGTGTTCCCTTTCCCGGCTTGCGTTGCCGCACCCCAGGAAAGGTTCAGACGGCTCCGCCTCCAATTGACGACGAGCCACTCCACAATAGGGAATTGTGGAGTGGCCAATCAGTGCTGAGGACCAAGGCGTCGGTCATGTTCGACGTTGTAAGTTGTAACTCGTGAGCCATACCCTGACGAGGCTAGTTGTCATTCTTGACGAGTCAGCAGGCTCCTTTTAGGTACAGCAGTAGCGCATACTAGCGGCATTGTCCCTGTGTCGGCGTGTGTTCGAGCCTTCGAAACACGATGCGGATTTTGTGATGCAATCGAGAAGAATCCGCGTCCCGAGGTTCCCGTAGATTCTGTTTTGCGTCATCCCTGTTTGGCCCCGTACAGGTAGTCGATCTACTGTAGTTGTGGCACTTTGTACTGTGGTAGCTTGACAGTATAAATCCCCGACGGCGATTTGACCAGCCCCCAGTCGTACTGTTCGCGTGCCGAGGCACCATCTCTTTGTAAAGTTCAAGGTGAGAAATGCAGCAATGAAACTCAGGGCTTGAGCCCAAGGTGAGCATGCAAGCTATCGTCGTTTAGGCAATCGTCCGCTCCGCTTCAGGTCTTGCCCGGTCGTGGAGGTGAACAGTCCGCTAATCCGAGACTTGATCCTCGAACAGCGAAACGCGAGGCTGCTGGACTGGCGCTTGACCCCTTGTTCAGCCCCGGCGAAAATCGGGTCACGCACAACAAGAGCAGTGGATGATTCCATAACAAAATGCGACCATGTGGATCTTGATCCTATGAAGTGTCCTAGATTTGAAATGAAAATGCAAAGCCTTCAATATTGGCTGCTTCCAGCGGATGAAACCGGTCAATCTTGCATTTTTCAAGCATGAGTGGGAGTGCTTCGTCGCCGGAATAGATTAAAACATGACACTTGTGGGAAGCCGCATGTTCATCGAGATAACCCAAGCTTGGACTAGGCATAGAGTATGGCAGAGTATTATCACACGGGACTCGCTATTATGCGAGCAAGAGTTGAAAATGTCTAAGCTTCAGGCGCGAACATCGGCAATAAATGAAATCGCGAATTGCCTGTAGAACCTAGACCGTTATTAAAGCGTTTGCCAAACGATCAGCAATTGTTTGCATTGTCCATGTATGGGACCGTGGACGTAATCAACGGGTGTCCCACCACTGCAGATCCTGGTCATATCATTACGTCGCCACAAGTTATCCCGATTCCCGTAGCGCTATCAGACAAATCCAATCCCCTTTTTCTATCTCCACGTCGATTTGAGAAATGCCCCTCCCCCTCATTATTCCAAGAAAATGTGTTATGAACCCGAACCTGGGGCTCCCGCACTTTTGGGAATTGGGGGCACTTCTTGGCAACTGTACGGGTTTATAGGAAATAGGAAATAGAGAAAGCCCTTGGACCATCTAGCGTGGGTTTGTCGTGTCTCGATCTGTTCGTCTTTTAATAGAACAATCGAATAGCAGTACCCATTATTTGTCCACCCATCGTTTTGTCCTCGCTATTCGGAACTTAACCCGGAACTAACCCGCTGCTTAACAAATTTCCGGTAAAGCTTCCGGTACAAGATCGGGCTTCCGAACACAGGAAGGTGACACGAGTGCGTTAAGTGACAGTAGACCGGATATGTAGAATCAGAGAGATGGAGTGCCGGCTGCCTCGTAACTCCTTTTCTTGAGCACACTACTTGAGTTAGTATAAAATTACGGCATAACGGTCGTGATCGTCTTGCAGATGATGCTAACTCGGCTAGGATAGGCGCTGTTGCATGAGGCTGCATGTCAAAGACCCAACCTACCGTCAAGTCTATCATGCAGGATATTGAGTACTAAGCCTATTAGCCAACCAGGCACCGTAGTTTCGTGCAACGCGATAAACTGTCATGGCGCTACGCATAATGAAGACCAGGTATCGATGAAGTTGCTTCCGTACTTTCCCGACAAGTGCTTCATGGTAGGTCTGTTGATACCTAAAACCAAATGACGATTAAGAGTATTTTGCCAAAATGAGGCCGCCGATGATCTAGCTTGAAACGATTGAACATGCATCACCGCAGGCACTATGTTGTTGATTAGTATCAACCTCCTACATTCTTTACAAATGCGGATGGACTTGATTTGTTCAATGGAGTATTACATGCAATACTTCCGAAGCTGCGCTGGATGGGATTTCCGAGGTCCTGCTTCTGGAAGTGAACCTCCATCTCATCGACAACATGATACTTGATGGCCTCTGGGTAGTATGTCATTAGGTTTTATGATCAGAGTCGAATACCAGACTCGAAGATTTGGGTTCTGTAATCGGGTCTTTGCCACTGACCGTAACCTGTCAAACCCACTCATCCTACCACAGACTGGCATCTATGAAGCAAATCACCGCGAGCTGAAGAACCCTTCACACCCTTGGTACAACCCATGACTATCTAGTCACTTGCTAAGCTCACCTTCGCAGCTCTATTCAGGGTTCTTGGACAACGGTCACCATTCTGCTTGCATCAAGCAGGTATTAGAAAGTAGTAATTAACGTAGTTGCAGTCGACGGTTCTATATGTTGACTTTCACTAGTGTTGCCTATATATGGGCTTATAATCAGTACTGTTAATAGTATGTGTGTTGTACTTCTATGTTGTGACCACTCCGATGACAGAGTATTCGTAACACCGTATTACACGTACACTTCTAGATCAGTGACTTTCTACGAAAAATGCAAAATATCATACAAAGCAAACCTCGACTCTAGATCTTGTGCCAACAGCTATAATTTCGCATATCTCGGCACGTTCAATTTAGCTTGGATATGCTAGTGAACTCTGAGATGATATATTATGTCGCCGCCCAGTTTATTGGTTACTTCGCAACTTACTAAATGCGCACCATGCGTCTCCCCGCGCTGGATGCAACTATACAAGCGCCCTGTTCCATAATTCGTGTGACAGAGATGGCTCGCAAAGTCCTCCTCTCTCCCTTGAAAGGGGCAGATGGTAAGGCGCAATGGTACAAAGAAGTATATAATTGACATGGGCCCCGTAAAGCTTCTTGAGTATCACAATATAAGAGCTTACTCGACCTCACGGACTGGCCAATCCTATGCACCTCTCCGTCTTTCCTTTCCCTGCTTTTAGTACGCGTCTCGCCTAGCCGGCCTCCACGGGGCGTGCGTATACTGGCCACAGATGGGGTTACGACCTTAACTCATTGACTCCTACGGGGAGAATACTTTAATATCGTTGCACTTTCTTCAAAGTCGGCCTCGAAACATATTATATACGGGCCCGAAATATTATATAATTTGTTGGAATATGGTTATCCGCGGTCTCGCACGACCATATAGTCTAGCTAGTTACCGGCGTACTGACGGCAAGCCACTACAGCCACACCGTGGCTGTCGGCAGCTTGCAGCCGTATAGGCCAAACCCCTATCTGTAGATCGCGTACGATGGGAAGAATCCCTTCTTCCTTTCGTACGATAGCGCTGAATAGATCTATTTGTCGCCCAAACTGTACGGAGAGAATTGAATGGAGAAGCCATTCCACATAATTCGTGTAATTAAAGCTTTTAAGTTATTTTAAACATATGTGAATACTTTTTTAAATATATAATTCTATTAATAAACAACATTTTAATTATAAATAATACAATTAATGTTAATACGATAATATATAGTATTTTAAATGGTGATTATAAGTTTACACTAAATGACGAGGTGAATTTCGGATAAAGTGGAGAATAACACGATTAGCGTACAAGCAGACAAGTCACCTTTTATTTCAAGGGGAATTAGTTGTGCCCGTTAACGCGTTCGTCATCTTAATTTTTGTACATCCATATTCGACACCACCCTTTTTAAGCGGTATGGAGGCATCTGTAATTAGGAAACCAAAACTAAGGACTGCATGCGACAGATGCTACGAGCTGAAAGAACGATGCGAGCGCGCATCGACGTCCTCCCACTGTGCACGGTGTGACAGGCTGGGTTTGGTTTGTTCAACGGTGCGGCCGGTACGGCCCGTGGGTAGGAGGGCACATCATACGGACTTTGTGGCCAGGATGACGTCGAGCAAACGCAGAAAGCTGCCGCAATTACAGTCTAGCATTGACGCATGTTTAAACATACTTCCCAATCTTCAGCCAGAAGAGAAGGAGTTGTTAGTGTTTCTCCTAAGCCAGCCGGGAAGCCTGGATCAATATGTTGCGTGCTCAAGCTTTCAAGCTGGGCAGCAGCAGTTGTTGTCTGTCCAGCTGCCCACTGCTCTGCCATCCCTCAAGGATGCTTTGCTTGCATGTGCTATAACAATAAAGCAACTTCAAGCTGGCACTGCAGTGGATTCGGATACGACTTCCAGTGTCCGCTACATATTAAAGGCCATGGACGCATTACGCTCGCTGCCTATTTTGTCTTC